CCTCTCAGAAAGTAATCAAACGCGATCAAATTAAGGTCAAGGCAATATTGCAATAGTCATTTATCTTTATTAATAACGGCCTTTATTGAAAGAAAAGTTTTTTCGGCTCTCCAGAGAGCCCTAAACCATATCTTTAAATGAATCTGAAAGGTCTGTCTTACTGAACAATGCTTTTATCCACACTCTTTGCAGTCAAAACCTAAAAGACAATTTTGACATATTTGGCTTGAAATTAGTGTAAATCTTCTTTCAGGAATCACTATTTCGGTGCCATTTACGGAGTTCTATTCCTTGAAAAGAGCGTTCAAGAGCGTCCAGGATGCCCTGGAGAAGAAATTAAAAGTGTCAGTGGGAATTTCCAATTCGGATGGTGTGATGTGCAGCACACGTCACATGTGTCACTTTTTGGAATAATTAAAACTGTATAAAACGAGATTTGCGCCGCAGACAGCGAATTCAAAACAATCGACATCCGGAGTCGCATCCCCTGACCCTGCAACTAACCCGTTTTAAATTTTGTTGCCGAAATGTTGACACCCTTAAGCGATTTCGCTTCTTGTAAGAGGAGTAGGGATAGTGTTATCGTTTCACCTGCCATTCATCAAAAAAGAATTACGATAAGCGGTGGATATATGATTCCAATATAATATGCATATAATTGTATGCGATCGACGTAATTGTACATTATGCATTGGACTGGGTGTCGAATTCGATCTTTTGCGAGGTGAAATCAAAAACCGCCCCTTGCGAGCACTTTCAAGACCCAGCTCCAAATATTGCTTCATTCTACTTGCTCAAGAATAATTCCAAAAATGAGCGAACAAAAGTACCAATTTATCGCGCACTTCTTATTTTTATTCCAGCACCCTTCTGAATGGTCGGAAAAAATATAAATTTTCAATTTTGACAAAAATTTCAACTTGGGAATAAATCATTATCTTGACCGTTTTTGTCATCGTCGAAACTCTAGAGAACACCTGGAAAAAACTTTTTTTCATAGCCTGGGGCGATTCTGAGGCCATTTTCATGAATTTTCTACGAACTGCCATATCTCACGTGACAGATGATGAAATCACGTGATTGATATATTTTTAGAAAGCTCAGCTTCTGAGGATTGGGGGAAAGAAAAGAAATTTGAAAAAAATCGATTCTGAATGACGAAAATTAATATTTTAATTTTTTGGCCAATCAGCAAAAACCGATTTTTCGGAAAAATTTTTGCTTTCCCCCAATCCTCAGAATCTGAGCTTTCCATTGATACTTGGATCATCTGGTTTCAAAGAGTATCACGTGAGTTATGGCTGTTCGAAGGCCGAAAATTTATATTTTTTCCGGCCAATGCAAAAATCTTCTTGGAATTCGAGAGGTGTTAGTTTTTTTTTGTAAAATCGCATTTGAAGAGATTTACCGCTAGAAGGTACTTGATCACGTGGTGATATTAGCCGATGTATCCACTTGCGAATGCAGCTAATAACGTTAAACGATTTAGAAAGGGCGCGGCCAAACGAGCCTTTAATTGAGTGACAGATCCGACCGCCAAATCACAAAGTTTTCCAATCACTCTTGAATTATACATTTCAGCCCTTTCAAAAACGCACTTGCTCTTTCAATTCAAATACAAAACCCGTCCTTAGATTTTCAATTTAAATTGTCCGGACACAACGGAGTGAGACAAACCAGATTTTTTCTTGCAAAAAAGAGCGGTGAAAATCGACAGAATGATCAGGGTTAGGGATGTGCAGCCACAATAATTCGACTTGGAGTAAATTCGGTGCGGGAAGGGACAAAGAGCAAGTTATTTGAAGAAGGCATAGCTCGATGAAATAAGCAAAGATATTAGCGCACGTGATTCGACATATGCACATGTCTCGCGTTTGAGACTACTATGCAAGGAATTTTAAGATTAATCAATTTATCGCAAGTACTAATTAAAATACCAGATCGGCGCATAATTTAAAAGTCCAGTTCTACTCTCTTTCTCTCTTGCCTTCTTGCCTTTTTCTGTATTAACTCTTCCGAACAGTTTGGTCAGATAAAGTTCGATTGAGTAATTGTGCGTTACAGTTTCGGAAATACAGCGTTGTTTTCGGGTGGATTGACGGGTTGTTTGTCAGCGGCTGGTCTAGCCGTAAGGGTGGAGCAGTTTCGATTTATTCAAAATATAAAACGAATGTAAATAACGCTGTCAAGCTGTCGAATGCGATGTTACATCGGCGCGGTTACATGTACGCTAGAAATGAAAATTGAGAGAGTGACACTTATTTAGATATTGCCCAGAGTATTAGAACGGATCTCCGCCGCCCAACACCAGAAATGGCACTAAGATCGGATTATACACCCGCCTCCAAGAGCAGCTAAGTAGTAAACTTGCCAATTGCAATTGACGATTAGAGTTTATTCGATTACGAGCGCCCTTGCTCCGTGACCCTTTGGCATTGAATGGGAATCACAATCACCCGCGAGTGATAATTGATGATACAATTATTTCTTTCAAATTTAATTGTCTCGCTTTTGACGATTCCTTCTGGCGCTTTCAATTTTCGATAATGAGCAAATTTCGCAACTAACTGCGCCGCAATCAATACTGCATCACCCGCTTCTATTCAATCAGCAATAATAATGACACCGATTTGTTAAATAATAGGTTTCTTTGCTTCTTCGTAATTCGTAATTTCTAGTGTAATTTCAATTAACTTCGTTCTTTGAGGCTGCCAATGAGCGGAATCTGCCCTTGCAGATTAGAAGTTGGAAAGCAACAGTAGCTACAGTACTTTGTAGGACATTAGAGGGGTTAATAAGTCGCTAGCGACTATGCAAATGCATATTAACACTCTCTGTTTAGTTTGCCCGTCATATCTTCATGTAAGATCAATAATTTCTGCTTGAATTATCGATGCACATCTCCACCCTGGGCAAGGCAAGTTTGAAACTTACTAAGTATCAATCATTCAATTTTTCAAGATCTACATATATTTTGGACTGCGCCCGATCGCCGGCTGTACACCCCACCGATAATTGCTTCAGAATTGCTAACAACAGATTTCATACGCCAAATTATCGACACCCCATTTCGATTGAATGGAAACAAAAACTCAAAAATTAAAAGGCCTCTTTCTCCAAAAATTTTGAATTGGAACAATGCAGTTGATAAAACTACTCGAAAATCAAACCCAGCATTCAAGCGATTATGAGCAACTTTTTCCTTGATTAAAAATACCAGAAAGTACCATAATCAGCAAATAAAAAGAGTCAGTTTTCGGCTTGCGAAAGATGTGTTAATGCTTTCGGATGGGTTAAACTGCTCTTAAATGGCTAATAAAAGGTACATTCGTGATTGTCGATGGGATTGACCCCGCGTTCGAAATATAAAGCCCGTAAAGTGGCCACCTGCGAAATAGGCTGCTTTGAAATTCTTAATTATTATTTACTTATCATAATCACGAAATTATTGAAGAATAGTTGGGAATTAATTTTATGACTTATGACAGTGTTGGCATTTGATGGATGGGTAATAAGCATGTTTGATTGTGGGAGAATGATTTGGATAATGACTGTTTGATTCTCCTATTAACCTTTCAGCGTCCTCCGAGTCACAAAGGAGCCACGTCCGGCCAGCCAGAATTACCAAGTTACGACCTACAAACGTAAATCGGACCTGGAGGAAATTATAATCCATTTACGGCTGATCGAATAAACGCACATCAAAAGCTGATGAAAAGGTTGTTTTGAAACGTGCTGCGCGGGGTTTGTTTGTCCCTTGTTTGTGGAGCTGGAAAAGTAACGGGCTCCTTTGAAGAGTCACAATGGAGTTATATGGCTATGTCCGGGAATGGGATTATTGATTAAATCGCACTGTAGCTCTTTTGTCGCCCTGCCTTGGTACCCCGGCCGCCGATGATCGGCCCCTCATGCAGAACCGCAATCACTCGTCATCTTTTCACGCTTTGCTAATTCGCGGACAGTCCGATTTCGCGAATTTTCTTCCGCCCGGAAGTGATTAACCCGATTCTAATCCTCCTTATCTCGACTCTGATTGTTCCTGTATTGTGCATTCGATCCATCTCTCCAAGAAAGTACAATTTCTTATATCTGTTCAATAGAATTGACTGCGCTATCGATAGTGCTTTTATTTTCGCATCAGAAGTTTTCCTCTTTCGCTTGCTTTGAATCTGTAATTGCCAGAAATTGGCTAATAACATTGCGGATAGCCCTTAGAACGGAGAGAACAAGAAGGCGTTCTGAATTTACCAAAATGTTGGAATTTATGATTGGTATAGGCAATTTGCGGGTGGGGCAGTGTGGTTGCGCTTTGCTCCTGCTCAAGATCAGCCATAATTCGATTGAATGCGATCACTCCAAATGCCATAAATAATGAAATTTCTGCTTTCACTGCGATTCACTTTCAATTCGGGAGAGAGCTCTATTTTTGTTGATTTTTCTTTATTTGAGTAATCGTTTTAAATACTAATCTGTACAACTATATTGGCATGGGAAAAGGCCGATTGTGCTTGTAGTGTCTATTTGAATATGAAAAGGGCGAGTTTAACCGGTTGAGCCTGTAGGACAGTAGGGTCGATTTCATCACGCTTAGAAGTAACCAAAAGAAGCAGGTATATAATTAGAAAACAGTATATTTGAAAGATGTACAGTTGGCGCACACACGCAGCTAGAAAAAAAAATAGAGAAGTGTTTCGTTTCGAGTCTATATACAGTCAGAATGGAGGAGATAGGTACTTGTTCAAACTTAGCCAGCATTACACGTGCTTCTCGGGTTCTCCTCGGATCAGTGTACTACTGGCGAGCATTGTGATAGTATTGAAGTGTGTACGTGTGCACTGCGCAAATGTTCAAAGTGTAAGGAATTGCACGAGAGTTTTTTATCAAAAAAGCTTGAAGAATTTCAGGCCAGCAGATCGGTCTTCCGTTCGCGACGGTACTGCTTCACGTGAATTTTTATAACTTGTTAAGTTAACCCTCGGGGAGCTGCTGGAGCTCGACATCTACTGCGGCGACTTTGGCATGACGGTAGTGATCTGCTCGTCGGCGGCATCCGCAGCAACCGGGCTTTGTACTTTTTCGCTTTGCTCGGGCGTGTGGCTCTTCTTGGCTTCGAGGTAGGTCTCCTCCATTTTGGCGAAAAGAGTGCCTTCGTAGACGACGCCATTCACGCAGATCGACATGTTGATGGAGCCAGGGTTCTCATCGTCGTCGGGGTCGCCCTCTGCTACATCGAGTTTCGCGTCCATATTTGCGCTGAGACCTGGGAACAGACGTCCAAGGGCCGCGGCAGTGACGGCGGAGAGCGGGTTAGAGGACGACGTAGAAGGCATGGCAGTTGGCGTGGGCTTAGCTGTATCGCTGCTTGTCGTAATCTGCGTTGAGGCGACAGCGGCGGCAGCGTTGGCCTCGGCGTTACGCTGGGCGAGGGCGGCGAGGGGAGAGTTCAGGGGGAACTTGGGCGTTTCCAAGGCAGCGCTGGCAGGAGGAGAAGAGGTCGACGGGTTAGAGGCAGCGGACTGGGCAGCAGCAGCGGCGGCGAAGCCGGGCAAGTTGGCTGGATTGAAACCGGGGAGGCCGGGAATAGCACTCGACGTCGGCGGTGGTAAAAGTCGGAGAGTTTTCGGAAGGGGAGACTCGCACTCGTCGTTCTCGCGCTCCCGTTTGACCGGCGAGCCAGCGCGTCCTTGCACAAGTTGTTGGACTGCTTTCGATTGTGCGGCCGCCTAAATCACTTTTGTTAGGCTTGATCTTTATCACGTGATGCGGGAATAAACAATCATCCTTGTGTGTATTGAGATTGATCCTACAATTACTCTAACTTAGGGCCTAAAGGATTCCTCCCTCCTAAGCCGCATTAATCTGGTCGGAGCTAATACCGTGCTCGCCATCTTATCCGGATCGAACAAAACAGTCAATATATCTTTATCGACTAAACTAAGCTAAGCAGATCGTAGAACTTTTTATCACTAACAAGGCGAAGTCAAAATTGTTAATACAGAGATCTTTCTTGAAATCTCGAAATCTTCTATTTCAATTAAGGCTCTCACTATGTTTATTTGTGTAGATAGATTCAAAGAAAAATTTTGAGTTTGCTGTTCCTACCTTAGCATGGTTCTGCATTGCCTCCAGAGCGACCATTGCTGCCATGTGCTGTGCGTTTGCTGCTTGAAGAAGTTGCTGCTGTTGATTGGAGATAAATCTCTCTTCAGGTCGAATAGGTGGCACTAAAAAGTTCGTTACGTGCTGCTCGGGATCACAACTTTCTACACCTTCTGGGTTCATATTTTACGTGCTCTTTTTCGAAGTTAAAAAATCACTATCGCGAAACTAAGGGCGCGGAAGGGAGCTCGCGTTACCGGGCTCAATTGGCTCAAACTGTTCACCGACGGCTCACCGACGGGCATAACGCGCCTTCTAGCTTTTGAGCGATTTGAACGCTGCATCAAGAGCCGCAATTTAAATCATTTAATCACAAGAAGCTGCAAGACTTACTTCCTCCGGGGAGTCCTAGTCGAGGTGGCATTCCAGCGCCAGGCATGTTTCCAAAGGGATGCATGTTGGGCACTCCTTCAGGGAAGCCATAAGGATTGCCGTAGCTAGGTCGGCGGCCTTCGCGTCGGTTGCCGTCAATCGCTGCTTGAAGCTCGCCAGGTGAGGACAATTTTTCTTTCTCACATTCGTACGGGTAAAGGTATTTCATGTACCTAAAAATCGTTATTATCTTGCTCCGAGCTGCCAAGAAGGTATTTCAATTCAAGCGCTGTTGTCACTTACTGTGTTCGGAGGGTGAAAGCCGCGGAGGTGATCGAGCTGGGCAAGTTGAGTCCCTTGGTGATTTCGCGCCAGATCTTCTTGTTGATGACTTCGACGAGGCCTCCCCGCTCAACAACGAGCTTGTACAGTCGGTAGAGATCGAGTACTTGCTTCGCCATTATGGGGATTCTGCTCACTGGCGTGCCTAAAGAACCATTAAGAACTTTGCTTATGATAAGCCGCGGGGACAATAATTAAAGCTAAACTATTCCAGATTTGAGTCACGCTTAGCATAAATATTTAGGCATAGCGAATTTCCGCCGCGAAATCATCGGTTTAATAAGAGAAAAGAAGATCTTAATTAGCAAAATGGATTAAAACATTTGGGCCTTGGGAGAAGCGGAAAGAGAAAAAAACGAATCCAATTTTCACGGGCGCCGGAAATGCACCTGCCAACGTGTTAAATCGCCGCGGAATTAAGGGAGGGACGGACACTTACCTCGCTTCTGCATGTAGGTGAAGAGGTCGTCGAGGAATTCTTTGCGGCCGGGTTCGTCGTCGATTTCGTAAAGCTGAAAGGAAGAATTAACAAGACGCAAAAGGTGAGCTTCGCTTTTCCTGGCAATGGTCGGGCCCCTGTGGACATATTATCAATTCTTCAATTATGCAAGTAATTAAAATAAAAAAGTGATATAAATTATTTCGCGCCAATCCCAAATTGCTAATTTTCAGTGATAAATAATTGATTGATGAAAGCAATTTATATTCATTATCGAACAAGTTAGCGCGGCGCCCAGGCTTTCTCCTCCTTTTTTATATCAATGCGTGCCTCATTCAATTAGTATTAATCAGCCATTCATAAAAAATGCGATGACTGCGAGGAATCAAAAATTTTGCTTTCAAAAAAAATGATCTGCCAAAAGGGTATCTTCTCAATTTTGGATTTGCAAAAAATAGAGTTGGAAATTCGGAGCGACATTCTTTCGCAGAAAGGCTTCTTCTTGTGGCTGTGAAGTATGCATATCATCGATATCAATTTAAAGTTTTTGATCATTATATTTAAAATTGTGGCCGAAATGCTGTGGTCTAGGCGCGAGAGGTACTTTTGATGGCGCCGCCCGCAATTATTCGGCTTTATTTCAGACTCTCCTCTCGCCCGTGCAAGAAGTGGCGCCTTAATTAGGGTACCCTTAGCAGACTTGTATCACGTGTTCCTGCCTCTTTAATTGAATACGATATTATATCGAAATGGCTCCTGCGGGAGTGGCCGCCCGATCGAAATTTCGGCAGAGCATTAACCAGCCGCGAAATCGAACATCCAGAGTCGAATTAATCACAAAGCAAATCGCAATTTTAATTGCAACCACCCTGACTCGCGCTGCGGCCGAATCGCGAAAAGCCGATTTCCCGATTTCGGAATTCATAATTTCAACTCTTTGCCTGTTTATTGGCTCCATCTCATCAGACTTGACGAGTTCATTAAGCTTTAATTAAAAACAGATCTGAGCAGAGAGGATAATTGGAATAATTGTCCATATTAACCGAAAGCAGCTATAAGGGGAATATAAAAATTGATTGCCATCCGATGTGGAAATTGTTAAAATGCGAGTCGCGTTTTTATGTTTATCGGCCCCTGTGGAAATGGGGCGCCCATCGAGACACAAAGCGAATTCTCTTATCGCGCCACCGTTTCCCACTGTGCATTAACGATAAAAATATAAATCAACACTTTGATAAACTGAGTGCCCTGTGGTGCGCCGAAATCATTTAAATATGGAATGGAGCCCTCTCGAATCCGTTCTCAGAGCCACGAAAATTACAATATTTATCGTAAAGGCTGCGGTCTCACTCCACAGAAGCTCGAGTGCCCGAAATTCGCATAATTATTCCACTCTCCAAATCTACTCTCCAAATCATCCCATAATATCCCTTCTCGCTAAGGTTTTTATAACTTGCTAATTGAACGAGTACTGCTCGTGCATTTCGCCTCTTTGATGCACGGAAGAATTTATCCCGGCCGAAGGAATTAAATCCCGATTCGAGATAAAAAGGAGATCCGACACTCTGAATTTCGCGTTTTTACGAGAGTCACGCCTGAGAGGAATGAGAGCGTTTTTTTAATCGAATGAAATTAATCAAAAGCTACAAATAGCATCCAGCGGAAGTCGCGACTAATCTGCTAACGATTATTGAGACTCTCAATTTGAGAGTAGATCTGGGTCTTCTTATTCTGTTTGAAAAATCCACGAAATTATACCTGTTTGAATTGCTCCTCGAAGGTCCAGTCTTGTTGGTTGGAGGAGCTGTTGCCGTTTCCGGAATTGGGTGTCGACGGCTGAGGTGTCGAGGGACTGCCACCGAGGGGATTGGCGTCCTGCTTGAAGCCGTTGAAGGGTGTCGAGTTCTGTTGGATGTGGAGACGCTTCTGGGCCTCGGCTGCGATTGCCTGCACGGAGCGCTGAATGAAACTGTTACTCAAAGCCCGGAAAGTGCGCCTAAGAGGCAGCAAAAAGAAGAGCTCCATATTTAATCGAAATGATAAATATTATGGCACTCAGGACAATTGATACACCTTCCGCATTCTATTTTTGGTATGCGAAAATGCCCAAATACCAGATCAATTTAAGTAATGAAGAATTAATCGAAATGTTGCTTCGATTCTTGCGGCCAGGTGGCTTTTAGAATTTGCATAACGAGGCGACTGTAGTTTCGTAAAAGTGGTTAAAGTGGTAATCCTCATAAATCGCGCAGTTGAGTGGTTCAACACATGAAAGGGCTGCTGATATTTTAATGTACTTATTTGATATTGGACATGATGATTTTTTATGTCGTTAAATGGTCTTTGATCTGGGCAAATGGCTCAGACGGCCTGGCGCATGGATCATCGACGCACCACTAATTAATTTTTGTTTTTTCACATCGTTAATAAGCATCGTAATTTGCAGATACATTTCGCGACATAATGTCAAATGGACAGCTATTTCCGAAAGATTAAAGCCGCCCCGGCCGATCATATCAATCCCAGCCATTCGAAAGGGCAATAGCCTCATCATTTTACGCACCAAAAAAAGAAAAAAAAACAAGAGAAGTAGTAAAAAATCAATCTAATGCAAACCCTTAAAAATAATTTTAAGGGGCTGAAAGAATCCTTTGTGGCTGCTCACCTGGGCGAGTTGCTGGTGCTGAAGCATGGCCAGCTCGCGCACGCCCTGGGGCAGGTTGGAAGGGTCGAAGTTTGGCAGACTAACCGGCAAGTTCTGGGCGAAGCCTGGCGGGAAACCGGGAATGTTGAAGTTTGGCACGGGTAGGCCATTGCCAGTATTTGCTTTGTTACTGTCGGTGTTGATCTCTTCGACGTCATCGGCGGCGTTGTCGTTGCCGCTGTCGCTGCCGCGGCTTCTGTTCTCGTTCGACTGTGAAGGTGAGGGAGTGCGCCTGGATTGTCCGGCCGCTGAAGGCAAAGATTATTTCAAATTCTAGAATTGATGCGCTGGCAACACCAAATATTTGCATAAATTTCAATTCAACAAACCAAACAAACCAAATTAAATCCCTTTTTCCAGCTGATTGATTTTGTCAAACTTGCGATTTAACTATCTTTCAAGAAGCCGTGAGCGGTTTCTTCCAAGTTTCTACCTTCCCTTTGATAAAGAAAGACGCATGCGGCTTTTTGGTTAAATTTTGTGATGATCAGAAATTTGGGCGAACTTGTTCTGAGGAGTAAAGATTACCTTGTGCACTGTGCATTGCCTGCATGGCCTGTTGGAGGGTCTGTTGTTGTTCGAGGATTCGCTGTCTCTGGAGACTTTCCATCACAGAGTCGAGCTTGGTGGAGTTGAGTCCGGGGAGGCCAGAGATCATTCCTGGCGCGCCGGCTGCCTAAAAATAGAAAATGAGAGTTCAAGGCGAGCACCAACGAGTTAAGGGGCCTTGGAGCGAGTTAAGGGGCCGTGCGCGTATCTCTACTAAGCAGGTAGGTACCAAGTCACTCTCACTTTACATTTGATAATTGCGCGAGATCGAAATCTAGAAATATCTGACGCTGGAGCGTGCCCAGATCAGCCAATTTGGGATTGTCGCCTCCGGCTATTTCCGAGCGGCTGCTGTGGCCAAATATGCAACCTTTGGCCCCAGTGTCATATCTGGCACATTAAATTTTATATTAACAAGTTCACCTGTCCCCGAGCGAGCGCGCGCGCTAAGCTGCAAAAAAGGTTCGCGCGGAGGCCCTACGCAGCCACAGACAAGTTCGCCCAGTTCGCCAAGCCTCCTTAAGGTTACACGCCTGGATAGGCGAACACAGTGCCCAAGGCACACGGGAAGCACGCTCTTTGGGCACAGGGGAAGTACTCACAAACTCAAGTAACTGGCATTTTGTAGAGTGGGAGCAGCGGAAAAAGGTGACTTTGATAACTGTACCCCGGGCGAGTGAGAGTCTCTCTGAGCCTAAGTCTGCGCTTATCAAGTTTTCTGGAAAGTGATCTTGTCGCGCTTTGATTCCTTAATCTGGCGACGCAATATTAAAATCATTCGCTGATTAGGCCGCGAATTAAAACACCCACTCGCCCTTATTAGCTAAGTAGCATACGCGTAGTCTTTATTAAGGAGCAAGGAGTTACCTGTGTCATACTCTCCAGCATAAAATTCTTACAGAAAGTGTGTGTGAAGTGTCGTTGCTAGTGTCTCTTCTATTCTCTGTCTCAGTTTGTCAATTTTGTTGTTTCGCTAATTGGAAATTGTTGTTGTTGGCTATTATTTGGAAATTAAAAAAGGAGTTGCTCGAAACTTATTTGAAATCGTTTGCGAGTCTGTGCGTCCTTCAGATTAATGTATTTTCTGTAGTTAATGTGTGTGTTTGAGTGGTGATCGCGCGTGGCGCGCGAGTGCCGCCGGGTGGCGTACGAGCTAGCCGAAAATGTCCGACGGGAGACGAACCGGGCGTGGAACGTTGCGCTCAGCTCCCTAGCAGCTCTCTAGCGCCTTTCCGCATCCCGCATTTCGCCGCGCTCCCACGCCACCTTTACCGCGCCATTCAACAATCACACAATTCCAACAATTCCCTAAACAACCGAAAAGAAAATCTCCGCTCATTATCCCATTCTCTTTCATTAAGCTATCAGATCGGCCAATCTTGCAAAAGAAAGAAATGCATCTCAATGGAGCATTCATTAAAATGAGGAGCAGCGAAAACGATACCCTAAGAGTCAAACCTTAACAAAGACCTCCATCTTTGACAAAATTATCCAAAATCCTTCCAAAGTTCAAATCGACTTAGGGAAAAGTTACTTGCTTTATAAAAAATGTCTTAATCTATCGGAGGAAAAAATGATAATTCGTCTTTTAAAGTTTCGTACAGTCGTGAGGATTTATGAAAATCTGATATTTCTTATAAATTTGTTTTTTAAAGGTTTTGAGTGTTGTAAAAGTGTTGGCGCTCAGTGAGGCAGCACTGGTCGACCATTTTGGGCCTTGATAAATGAGGTATGACATCTGATTGGGATCAGGAATAGAAATTATCCATCAAATTTTTGAGTCAACTGTGGCTGATGGATCTTGTCCCTTTTCCGGTTGCGGTTATCGTTCTGTTTATCGTTGTGATTAAAAGTTTGGTTCTGATCAGAATAGCCTCACCCGCACGTTTATAAAAGAGAAAAACTTAACCCCTTCGTCGTTCTCGACCAATCGATAGGTAATTCTTCGACAAGCTCTGCTTTCGAAAGTTCTGGAGTAAGAAAAGAACGTACAGTTGTACTGTAAGTTTGGCGTTTTAGGAAGACCATCTGCAAACGTTTGACTCGATGCAAACGAGTTGTGGAAACGCTTTGTTTGGAGTACGAAATTTCATTTACGACTGTGTTAATCCAGAGCGGCTTCAAAGTAATGACCATAAAATACTTCCGCTAGTTGAAATTTTTCAGTCCGGAAGCGAGGGCGAGTCAACTGCCGCCAGAAAATTGCGATTGCGAATATTCGACCTCGATTCCGATGCAGTATCGATTCGCAGCTACTGTCACTATCTCTGCTCAGTCCTCAATTAGCCCACTTCTGATTTATATCTCGCCCTGGGAGACCCCATTTTACGCAGGTGAACCATCGATTCAACAAATCCCGCCGCGTGACACCTCCATCAAGAAAACTTTGGAAATTCGTGGCCTTTTTTCTTGCTTTTGGAGAGTGACTGAGTTAAAAAGAGTGACTTGATATCAAAGTGCCGGCTCTGGGTCCAGTCAGAAGGTGCTCGAGCCGCTCTCAGGCATTACTTTGGTAGGTGCTTTAGTAAACAAAAGTTTGATTAAAAATTCAATTTTATTCAAGACTCGAGGAGCGAGTGGCGCCAGAAACACATTCTGGCTGATAAGATACTATTTTACTGCTGTGGCTCGTAACAGCAATCAAATCCAGCCCCTAATGTCGCCAATTAAACAAATGTCATAGCTGGATTAAAGAAATCCCGAAGCGCCTCACATCCCAGCGAATAATCGTTTTGAATATCGTCACTTTCTTCCATCGCAAAATTTCAAAGGCGCCCGACGCTTTTTAGTCCCCAAATACAACAAAAACAAGGATCAAAAAACATCATTTTCTTAACAACCAAAGAAAATTCTCATTTTATAAAAAATCAAAATTACTCATATTATTTAAAAATATTCAATAGAAAGAAACGGATAAGACAGTTGCAAGAAGATAGATTCATTAGAAAGTGTACATTTGATGCGGGAGTAATATCAAAGAAAGGAAGGCAGGGTTGATTCGGGATGTGTGCTCGTTGACGCCCATAATTTATAATTAGCCTCGATCGAGCTGCATCGCCGCTCGATTCCATCTCAGCAGACAAAGTGGCGAGTCGCTCGAGCTCCAGCCAACAATTTTTTTAAATTTTTGACATGGTCCAACCTTCGTCCACATCTTCCCCCAAGAGGGAGAAGCTCTCCAATAAAACGCTAGAAAAATGATCCTAATCAGAATTAAAATAGAACAGATATACTTTGTACTCCTTAGAATATATAAAAAAATGGTTATTTTTTATTCGAAAAGGGTGAGTTTTGAAAGAATGAATTATGAATTTTATGATTGTCGGGGCACATTGATATCTGGCATCAATATTTAGCGTTTGCAAACCTCTAATAAAATCATTGGCAGGATTGATTATTTAAAAATGCATTGTGGCGATCAAGTCTATCCAATTTGTTGGAATTAAGAGAGGACGAGAGATCGCATTATACATTTAAAAAACGCATTTAGAAGCATACTGAATAAAATTAAAGCATCTCAGAGCACTCTTATGGCATTTTTTAGTTTGTCAAGTTATAAGCGATTGTCTATGGAATCTGTTCCCTTTGCTGGAGTTGAGGAAATTAAATTAAAAGAAGTGAGTTTATATCGCTGAGTGAGTAAATTATCACGAGCGTCTTTGAATCGGCCGGTCAAAGAAGACGCTAATCATTGATTGTGTGTAAGTAGATTACCATTGCCGAATACAAATTATTGAAAGAGAAACTCAATTACAAAGACTTGCAGTTTGCTATAATTGCATCACGAGCGACCTTTATCTTCTTATCAAGGAGATCCCTTATGGCGTCCGCGCAAATTAACGCGAATCAAGGAAACCGTTAAGGGCATCTCATACCAAATTAAACGAATTAATAAGTTTAAAGTAAGCCGATAAAACCTGTCCTAAAATTTTTGGGCGATGAAAACAGCAAATTTCGAGCTTCCTGAAATGCCTCCTTGCTGTAAAATGGCTAAAAGACGCGAATCTAACGAATTTCGAAAATAAAAATTTGCTTTATATATGGACTTTATAAACCCCCGACAGTCTGAGTTACGCCTTGAGCACTGCACCAATCTGTGCGTATCAATAAGGTTCCCGCCCGTGAACCGAAGTCAAACTACGACGGGCGGGATTAGTAGCGCGCGCGCTGCAGGGTGGAGGGTGGACTCGGATTTTGTTACTCTCGAACTTTGGTTATTTTATGAAATAAATGAAAATGGATAAATAATTAAACTGCTCAATAATGATTTTAAAAACAGTTATTTTTCATCGATGAATATTTTTCCCCAAGAAAGTTTAGAGCATAATTGAACAAAACTTCGCTCAATAAGTTATTAGAAGTATCGAGGATCGTAATTCGTCGTTCCTTCCCCTTGATCTGGCGGCGGTTGAGGCGCGATTAGCCGCGACGAGCGCCAAAGTTCAGATGACTTGGGTAAATACCAGATCGCTCTCTAGATCAACGCAAAGACATTCCCATTCACTCCTCGCATAATCCCTGCTACTCCATCGAGACTCTTTTATTTGAAATGGCACCTTTCAAGCGCGGCTAAACATGTCCCCGTCTAAGCCTCCAAGATAGTATCAACTGCCACTGACTAAAAACAATCATCAAGCGTGAAATATACTCAAACAATTATCAATAAAATGTTACCAATTAAAATAAGCTTATTCTAACTGAGAATAGACAGAATTGACTTCTAAACAGAATCAAGAAGCCGCTTGCGGCTTCGAGCAAAAAAATCTTTCAAGAAATTATACTGACAAATTTTTCTTTTTATACGTATTTTTTAATTCTGAAAGGAGAGAAACGGGAAAGAGAGCGGAGACCTGCGTACGGCGCAACAGCGCCATCTCAGTTTAATCTCATTTTGATATTAAAAAGCGCAGCCAATGAGCAGGCGCACGGCGCTAAAGCGTTTTTGATATCAAAATTAGAAGCGCCATTGGCTCCTGTACGTTTCGTACTGCTATTTTTTTACGTCGTAAGTGCTCAAAATTATGATCTCAATTTGTCTAGCTTTTAGTTAGCCTTTTAGATGAGGCGAAAGAAAAAAAAAACAATTTTGGCATAAATTTGCGTGCGCTTTGGAATTTCCCGACTTTGGAAGCGCCTTTCAATCTCGGAAATAGTGACAGGTACTTGAATCACTTGTTTCTTGAGCAGATAGCACTAATGACGACATATAGCTTGAAAAGTCGCCGACGTGATTGCGGGCGCTCATCTGGAAACAAACAATTTCTGAAATTTCAAATTTCCTTGGCCCAAAGTGATCAAGTGCCAATCACTTGTGCCATGATTAATATTCAACAAAAAATAGTTAGCAGGGTGAACCCGCTGTTGTCGTGTTTGGGCTGGTGTTGCTTTGCGGCGCAAGTTCTGCTTGTTTGTTGTGTTGTTTTGGCGTTTTCATAAATTTGCGCTGGATCGTTAATGGACGAGGTCACAATGAGACTCCGGATTGCCGATCGCATTTGGGCGAATATGCAGCATCGCTATTTATTAAATATACAACGGCAATTGACAGCTTCGCATCCGAGCTCGTCAAGCTGGCGACCCGTTATAATTATGAGAGCGAGCGGGGTCAAATACCGAAGCGCCAAAACATTTTTGATTGTTTTACCAATTCCAATGGACAAGAAGTAGTCTGGCAGCAGCGCCAGTATCACCAGTAGATTGGGCAATATCGGCGGAATAAAATCCGATTGGGGCTGTTATACTACACAGCTTGACTATGCCAAACTACATATGAGCGGGATTAAATATTTAAACTGGTAATATCTCTTTTTCGTGTTGGATTTGCATATTAAAGGATCCGCCCGAGTGTGATTCAATTAGAAGCGCTACTTCCACTGAATTTCCGCACCCACAAAACGAGTCCACAATCGATTTTACAAGCGTATACAATTTTCCTCCCTCCCAATCCAAATAAAGCCCGAAATAAGAAACAAATGGCTAGTTTTGGTGCCTTCTTTGAAAGTTGCTAATTTGGAAAATTCGTCGTTAAAAAATTTGAATCACTATCTCGCCTTTGATGGGCTGAAAAAGCCGCCGCCTCTCGACATTAATTGTATCCGATATGCATAGGTCGCATCCGCCACTTCTTGAACTGGGAAAAGGTTAATCGAGCTGCCACCAATTGCTTTGTGATAAAGAATGACAAAATTCTTGAGCAAGGACAAACGCCCCGGAACCGTCTTTATTCACAAAACATTCGATTATTCTTTTTAGCAAGGAGTTAGAGTTCGGGTTAGTATAATGCAGAAGATGATACTTAAACGATAACGCAAAGCCTAATCTTACTACAGTAGCAATTACAGTAGTTGATTTAATTTGATTTGAATTTGATACTGGGACCAGATGGTGTCACTTTTGTTGATTGTTGGTGCACTGAATGGAAAATTGCGGGATCGGAAGTTGTTTTTTGAGTAACATTAGAGGAGGCAGCGGATCGGAAATATCTCCCTCTCGATTGCAGATAGATGGTGATTCTGCTGGGTGTTTGGGCAAACATCCGCATTTCGCCGAAAAGTCTTTTCAAAGCTAAATTGCACCTTCCAAATCGCAGCAGCATCAGTTCTGCATCGCCACACAGCCCAAACAAATCCCAATCGAAGATCTATTTATCTATTTGGAAAAAGACTTCCGCCAAAATCTTATCACTTTCTCAAATTAAGAAAAGAACAGTGGAATAACCCACGAAATTTCGATTCCACGATTTTGCCTAAAAATATATACGGCCGCATGCAGAGCGGTTTTCAGAACCTGACTCAGGTTTTCCACACATGCAGCCGAGTCTGCTGATAAGAAGTCTCTTTTGCTAAGAATAGAACAAATGGAATGGATTTTATTGGGCTGATTTCATTCGTTTTTTTCTTGTTTTGAGAATGCATGTGCAGCTCGGCGATAGATTTCTGCGCTAATGACATCTTGTTTCTGTCGCAGTTTGAAATTGATGGGATCGTGGCAGCAACAAAAGAAAATAAAATTTGTGGCTCGGCGACGGTGCCATTGTGCCTATTATTCGACTCTCACCGCCAATCGAATACCCATTCATCATTATTCGCGGGTGCAATTTTGAATGCACCGCCGCCTCACTCTCCAGAGCAGCGTTTTTCGCTCCTTGTTTTGTCCACTCTAGCCGCAGTTATTTGAATCTGACGGCCACAAGGGCCACCACAGCCTCTGATGGGCCACAGATCTGGTAGCCATTAATCCGGCGATTTGTAAATAGCCTGTTTTTAGCAATAATCAATCCAAACTTCTAAACTCCAAAATGTGGCGCCCGTTAAGTGCCTCGCAAGTCGGCTTACTGTAACTTTCCCCCTGTAAGTTTTCCAAAGCGAGAGAGAGAGAGAGCGAATCAATCAATGCTTCTCAAGGTGCATCCAAATCGCCGAATTCGCCTGCCCGCGAAATTTCTTTAAACCCTCGCGCTAAGCCCCTCATGAATAAAAATCCCATTTCACCCCTAAAATCGCGAAACGCTAATCAATTTACTACCGCTCCATGAAACAAACCAGCGCTGGAAAGAAACAAAAAGTTCTTCCTTTTTTAAAAGATTTTTTAGACTTCGACTCAGGTTTTCTATTCAGGTTGCCGAGCCCAAATCGTCATACTTTGGAAATAATCGGTGAACCCTTATTTTAGGTGGATATTTTGATTCCGCGCACGTGGGAAGAACAGTAGGCGATTTGGAATTCAAGTGGCAGATTTCCGTGTCTGTGTTTGCCTAATCGCGACCTTTTGGCAGCAGGCGCGCGCTAGAATTAGAATATCTCGACAACAGAGGCAGATACATTTAAACAATTCTCAGCCTGTTGACCTTATCAAAAACCAATAGTCAATCCTTTTCACCTGACTTTCCCATTCGCTCAAAAGCGATCAAGAGAAATTTTAAATAAAAAACAAGTATTTTTTTATGTAAAAAATGTTTTTTGTTATAAAAAATGGATTCTGCGCGGTGGTGATGAGTTTAGGAATAATATGCAGCGAGTAGTGTGGAGCTGTTTGGCAATTTGGCGGGTACTTGCAAAATGGAATTATCCCAAATTTTGAAATTTATGCTTTTCAAGTCACCACTCGAGTATTCATTAGCCTCGTGCATGTCGCAGAAATTAAAATTTTGGAAAGAAGAAAACACTTTTAATTCGCAAGGCAATTTATATGCGTGTTCGCGAGGGCCACTTTGTTCAATGGCCAGACTTGTGTATACTTTACCAATACACATGCCTATCATATTAACTTGCCGCCCGACAATCATTTATTCTTCCATTTGCAGAGATTTTTTTCTTGAGTTCAGCCTTTTTAAAGCTTCGATTTTTGCGATTTTCGCAAAAATGAGATTTGGATCGCGCGCGTGCGGCACGATTTAATTTTTTCCGATTTTTTGCTGTTCCCTTGGAGCGGTGAAGAAAAGGATTCTAGGATCTTCACGCTGCATTCTCCTCTCTATAATCGAGACTACTCATTAACAAGGCCACTGTCCTCTGATCAAGAAGAAACTCAACTCAAAAGATACATACTGTGCCACCTAAATTCAATAAACATTCTATTTTTCCATTCTTGTCTGGTGTGCTTCATTCCTTGCCCAATAGTGGTACCTAGCCCAATAGCGGCTCCCAAGCCCAATAGCGGCTAACTCCTAGCCCAAAAGAGGCTCTCCGTTGTGGAACCTGAGTCCTGATAACTTGAAAAACCATCTAAACGTGGCCTGCGGGCCCCTAGCTCTCAGATCTTGTCATCTCTGGATCACCATGCACTCGAACATCCATGTTACACCCTTCTCCAAGGACCAACTGTATCAATCCCCTAAACAGCGCAAAATCGTAGGTCGCAATGCAGGAAAGTGGACAATGAACTCCGATCGACCTCTCAGATACAACGGTCAAGGTAATGATGACGTAGCCACATCAGCCAATCAGCGAGAGGGGCGGAATAATTCGAATTTCTCACATCCCAACGGTTCCCGCGAAACAACAACCAACGGTCCAAATGAAGTAAACAAGGTCAAGAGAGTAAAAGAGAACATCAGAAGAAGGATTAGGAAGAAAATGAAAGATCTGGCCCAGCTTAGCCAAACCATTGTTTCTGTCGACAAAACCAATAACTTCGATCCTGAATCACTCTCTACAACAAATTACTCTAGTCACAAGCATTTCAATAAACAATGTAGCTTTAGACTCTCGACATCGGTTGAACCTGGGAAAATCCCCGAGAAGAACAAAACAAATGCATCTGGAGACACCCCGTTTAATGGCAGTTGCACGGAAAAGTTTTTCATTCCACCAGAGAACCAAACTAACAACAGTAAAAGCTGCAGAAAATCTTTAGCGGCTACGTTTGAAGGTATGTCACGACAATTCGGAGCAATTCCGAAGAACTCCAACCGCTTTGAACCATACAACAGAGGAGGCAATAGACGCAACGTGGGCAACACTACAGATGAATTTCTGGATACATTCAATGCCACTGCTCTCGGTCGCAAAAATGATGAAGGTAAGTTTAACAGCCAACCGGTTTTGCCCCAGAACCTTCTTAACCATTGTAAGGAAGTGCCACCATATAAAAACAACATAATTCGGCAAAACACAACACCGAAAATTGACAATTTAGGATTTGGCGAGGAGGAAGATCACATGCCTCTACTTGACGAGTCTGAACAGGTGGACACAGAAGTCATGCAACTCGCCGAGGGAATAGCCATCTCCACGAAAAAAGGCTCAGAAATTAACGGAGTCTCCTCCAAGGTCGTCAATCTGGAATTCTTCGAGGATAACTACCAAATCCCAGCGTCAAGAGAAATCAGAATAACATTGAGCAGCAACGAAAACAACTCCATCTACGTCAAGAATCAAGGGGATAACGTTCTTCAGCGATCTTATATGGGGGCCCTTAACCGACCAAGAGACTCCCTTAATTTCGCTGGCAAAATCTTCATCTCAAAAAACTTCCCTCGGGACCGCGCGTTTGAAAACTTCTGGGAACAAGATGACCTGCTTCACGGATACAAGTTTCCGGATGGTCTACCCCGCCCAATAATGTCGAAAGAACGAGGCCCCTTCGTGTGGAGAGGCAAAGAATGGAGAAATCATCTTCAGGTTAACACAACAACCAGTGTCCTGATTCACGCTCTTTTCATACTCGGGTTTGACTATCGGAACAATAGGCAGCGCATTCCAATGGAAATCATCCAGCTTTCTGACGATGGAACCGAGGAACTATGCATCGATGTGGAAGAAGAGGGGATCCAACTCGGGAAATACATTACCGGAGTCAGATTTAAATCAAACTTCATGACATACATATTCATGTACTTCTTCCCAAGCCTCCTCGCCCAATGGGAACCCCTAGGTCTTCTCATCAATTGCGAACTGTTTAACGCTAGCCTTGGATTGGTAGACGATCAGAGCATCCGAAATCAAGGCCAAGTTACTTGGCAATCCGTCATCCATCCAGCACTCATCTCGACAGTAATCAACCGGGTGCTGAACGTTGCTTATAAGATCCTGGACAACTTCCCCACGAGCGTCACTTTCGACTCCCCCCAATTTAACAAGGCGATTGGGGTTACTCCCATTTCAACCCTCCTTGGTCCAAATTCAGAGCTAATGGTAGGACTCCGAGTCCCAAATTCAATTTACCCAGGGCTGAAAAAGATGCTCCATACCTTCTCGAGCTCATTCAAGTCCACACTCAACCGCAATACCGGTCTCGAAAGCTTAAGCCGTGCGAAACAACCTCATCCCCGTTTCTCAATGGTCTGGACAAAGGAGCGTTACTTAGGCAAAGGAATCCCAATGAAAAGCATCATCATACGTGAGATCGAAAGGCTACGTAAAGAACGACGGGGAACGTCCGGACGAATCCCATACAGAACCATCGAAGAATTCCTGGAGATCGAAGAGAAGGAAACCAAACAAAAAGTTCAAGCTCATGCTTCTACTCACGTCAAGGCCCTGGACAACCTTAACGCCAAAAGCGAATTTCAGAACAATCAGCTAGCCTGGGTCGAACTCTCTAAGCAAAACGGCTACGAAACCCTAACTGCCGAACAAAAGAACACCCGAATCCGCGAGCTAATGGCTGAGTTAGGTAACGAAAAACTAGTCAAAATTAGAAACCTGAACGAGGCCCTACTCATAATCAACTGTTCAGAAAGCAAAGCGGCTCCCAACTGCAGCATTTCCGATCAGAACATGGAAACGAACAAGACCAAAACCTTGGGCGACCTTCCAGAAGGTATCTCCGTAATCGAAGAAGGGAGCGAACTCGGAAGTAGAGTCACCCTCGAGCGGCACAATGGCTGCTCCCCTTCTGAAATCTCGTCGGACCAACAAGGAATTGGGAACAACCAAGGCAACAACACTTCAGCACGGAAGTCTTCCTTCAACCAGTTCCGAGCCGACCATCCTGTGAGCACTTCGGAAATGCGGCAGGAAGCACTGCCAGCGGATTTGCCTCGTCCACTGGACCTGATGCCTCGAGATACCCCCAATGAAGATGCCGGAATGGAGTCTGAAGAACAATGCACGGAGTCGGAACAAGTATCTGCTAACTCAAAAAACTAATTCAGGAGCCTGACAGTGAAGCACAGTCAGGCTCCGCCTCTCTCTCCTCGTTGGCATGCCGCCTCAACGAAATGCAAACAAGCTCGGAACAATGGACTCCGACAAGAAAATCGGCTAGAATTAAGAATCGTAAGACACCGAAGCCAGGATCACCTGGACTCAAATCCATTCAAGAAGGACCTAAATGCCCCAGGGCTAAAAGAGCGGCTCCCGAAAGCACCGATGACAACGTCCACACTGAAAAGAGGAGCAAACTTATGGGTAACCCCAAAGAAGGTAGTTGTAAGTTCTCCATTCCTCCCTTAACACCTTTTGAATTAGGACGCCCGGAAAGGAATGTTCATACTGAAGTTAATCCCCAGATCCCTGACACTATAACAGCCCTCGACAACTCCAGGGCACCCAACGCTCATTCGGAAGTGACATTAACCGAAGCTGAAGCCCTACCATCTGCCGAAGACCTGGACGACTTTCTCTCGACCTCCGAAAGCGACCCCTCCATTTTAAGCACCATCAGCTCGAGGGACTTGGAAGATGTACAAAAAGAAATCCAAAGCAGAGCCAACTGCCTTAAGGCCTCGACGCCACTGAAAACAAGACAAAGCCGAACTTCGAAAGCGAAAGTGCTCCTGGTAAATGAGGCGGAAGTGGAGCAATTTATCAGAGATAAAGCCGTTGACAAAAATGGACAAGATGGCTCTCCAGGGAAAGCCGACCCATTCAACAACTCAATGGCGCTCCCATCTGAAGATGTTGAACAACTCTTAGCTCTCCTTGGCGAAATCAGAACTGTGGAGGAGGTCTGTGAGGACGATGGCAACTTGGTGATTGCTAAGTCCTATGATCTTTACAAAAGAAACCTGGCACACGCGCATAAAACTCGCAAAAGTGTCAGCCGATTCTTCAACCAAGTGGCGCAATTCGTAGACACGAGACGAAGATCTAGGTCGAACTGGTACATTGCATGCTTCCTGGCTGTAAACGACACTATCAAAGAACTGAAAGAGATTTGCAACCGAAAAGATGATGACCCCTTTTTCCCCGCCAACCAACTAGACCCAACCTTTGACAAGTTAGCGCTGAAAGATATACTGGAGAAGCTCAAGAGTATTCAAAAGGTGAAGGAGAATGCGCGGGCAGTGGTCGAATTCCACGTTGTCAATCCTGACCTCATCTTCAGCATGACGCCCATCCCCAAGTCAATTAGCGTTTTTAATCTTGTTGAACGGTCGGCGGTAAAAGCGAGAAATCGTTACGGCTGGAAAACGAAGGATATTTCCAAGGGTGAGGATGTTACAAAGATCTGGGCAGCGAACTTCAACTTGAATTTCCTGAAGAAGAACGGAATTCGCTGCGCGTTTGGCCGTTTCGACTCGGAACATAATAACTTTCACCTCCAACAGCGATTTTGCCTAAAGGTATGCCCCAAAAGGAAAGAAGGAGCATTTTCCAAACGAGAAAGCAGCCCTGCAATTAGTGATGCGCTAATAGTAGAAACAGTCAGAAGTAAACTCATAAAGGATTTTCACTGCCCCATCTCGTTAGACAATGTGAACCAAATCAATTCCTCTTTTCTGAGCGGTAAAATCTCCCAAGAAGGACTCGATTGGATCGAGTCCCTTGGTCAAAACCCCAAGAAATCACTGACAAAGCTCATCCTTTCCCCTGTTTCCAATATCTCTCACATAAATCTCATTAGGTCCGATCGGGAATCGAACAAGAAGGGGAGGGAAGTGAAGAAAAAGGAGAAACTACTGGAGGACATTAAGAAAGGTAAAATCCCCAATTGCATTTATCCAGAAAACTTAATCAGCCCTAGTGAATTCGCCAAAGCAACAGTCTCCAACGCCCTTTTCCAAAAAATTGATCAAGCGCTTCATCACCCAGCCCGACACCTCAAAAAGAGAAGAGTCGTGAAAGAAAAACCTCCACATGGATGTACACATTTCGAAAGCCCCTTTCTGCCCTGCATTGACAACCCGTCAAACTCTGACATTCATAAACTGAATTCTTACTGCAAGGAACTGAACACATTTAATAAAAATAATGCTCGCAAACTAAATCTAATCAACATAAACCCAGGCAAAGCAAAGAGCACAGGAGAAACGCTACGACTAATCAGCAGCCAAAGTGATGAGACTGATTTATTCATGATCAACGAAATCAGGCTCGAAATGGACATCCTACTCACATCCGATCTGTGGCCCGAAGGCTATACAGTCTATTCGCACAATGAAAACCCCCTGTACAGCACGGCCTACACGGCAATCATGACCAGGAACTACAGCCTCAGCGATAGGGTAATCAGGCATTTCAGTTTCGGAATCTTTACAGGAGTCCATATCAGGAATGAACTCGATCAAGAAGTACTGATTGTGAGTGTCTACAGACCGATTGCCAAACAAGATGACAGTTGCTTTTATAAAAAATATCATAACAATAACCAATTGATCTTTGTAGACTGGGTCAGAGAAGCGATCAAGACTGCTGGTGATTTGAACCTGCCACTGGTTATTGGAGGCGACTGGAACCTTGATTTTGATGGACGGCCTCAAGACGACTGTGAACTTGTGGACCAACTCAAGGAAATCCTCAGTGGCTACACAGACATCTGCTCGACTAACACATTCTTCAGAGGTAACAGCAACTCGAGAATTGACCACATCTTCACAAAATCTATTCGATTTCATAATTGCAGAAACTTACAGTGGCATAAAAAGCTATCCCTAGATGGCCACAGTGGACAAAGCTTCCAGTTCTACTTCCAAGTCCCGAAGCACAGGATGAAGGTCGTCTTCAACAGGAAGCTTGATGAACCGGAACTCATCAAGAAAAAAGCCCTGGGTAAGTTTGATGCAATCTGGGATAGAATAAGGCTAACTGAAGAGGCGGAGGAGAAGGTAAACCTCATTTTCAACGAAACCCGCAAACTACTAATGAGTTGCTCGAAACCACAGGCAAGAATAGTGGAAGACAAGTTAGAATTCACATACAAACAGAGCAAAGAGCAGGTTAGCTTCATTAATCTCAAAAACATCTGTAGGAATCTTCTCAAATCAGCGAACGACCGGGAAAAAGATGAACTCAAGAGGCTCCTTTCCAAAGTGGGAAGCGTAATCGCTAAAATCGAGGTGAGAGACAAAAAAAGAACAAGACAGAAATTATCTCTTAGAGCAACCGATGACAAAAATGCCGTATGGGACATCTTCAACAAAGAATGTAAACCGAATCAAGTATGGGATGTGGACAGGACCTACACCCCGAATGAACTAGCTGACAAAGTCACAAAACTACAGGAATCAACTGCCTCAGACAGATGGCTAAATGAGCCTCTAAATCGGAACCTACCAAGCGACATGATGGAATTCTTCCCCTACTGCTTTAATGGAGAAAACAAACACCCGTCAATTCTACACAAATTCAACAACCTAAAAGACTCGACAAAAGGCTGGTCTGGTGTAAACAAAACATTCTTGGACGCGCTACCACTGGCATTTCTCCGCATCTTCCTCTTGCTTCCGATCTCAACCTGCCTGGAGAATGGAATCTACCCAGAAAGCCTCAAAACGAGCCGCATCACTATCCTGCCGAAGAAGAACAAAGGAATTCGCCCAATAGCTATAGGGGAAGTTCTCACATCTGTACTTGAAAAAGTGATCAAAGGAAGCCTCAACCAATTCCTCGAATGTGTCGGTGCGTTACCTGATGCCCAAGCAGGATTTAGAAGTGCAATGAGCTGTGGCACAAGTCTCTTCGAGGTAATCAAATTCAACGAATGCGCTTATACGGAAGGCAACTCCTGCTCCACAACCTTCCTTGACGCGAAAAATGCTTTTGGATCCTTGGGGCATAAATCTCTAGTAAATATTTTAAAATTCTTTTTCAAGGGAAGAGCCCTAAAGCTCCTAAGCGATTCTCTTCATAGATTTTTCGTAGTAAATAGCAATGGGTTCTACTCAACCAGAAGAAGCGGCTCCCCGCACGGAGTACCGCAAGGTGGAAGCCTATCCCCTTCGCTTTTCTGCCTATATGTTTCGCAAATAACTTCCATTTTCAGTGATACTCCCGCAGTCAAGGTAATCCTCTTTGCTGACGATACCTGCGTCCTTTGCAAAGGAAAATCCCAATTAGAAATGGCCAGGATCACAAATGAAGCAATTAACAAGATATCGATAACCTTCAAATCAATGGGCCTGGAGCTGGTCCCACAAAAAACCCATATTCTAGTAACATCTCCAGCAAAAACAAGAAATTACGGGCGGGACTTAGAGTTCAACCTCAATGGCACTATTCTTAAACCCTGCTCGTCAGCAAAATACCTCGGCTCGACCATAGACACCATTAAAGGGCAACTCTCATTCGGAACCAACACTAAAAACATCCATAAACGAATGAAAATATTGAATAGCAAGGTAAGCTGCATCATCGATACAATTAACCTATCCCAAACCAGCGAATTACTGAGGGCCACCTCCATGGGCACCTTTCAACACAACCTTCAAGTCACGCCCCCCCTCTCCATTGCAGAAACCGCGAAACTTCAAAGAACATACCACAATGGTCTAAGCGCCAAAATGAGCAGACGGTATGGAAACGAAAATAATCCTTCAGCTGATAAAAGGTTCGGAATGGATAGTAATAAATACGAAAGTGTAGTAAAACTCCTTAAAGCAACAAAGCAGCCATCCTTAAGCGGAATCAAGATTAGATCGGTCCTTTGTCACATTAACAGCGTAATGACCAATGACAGATCCGAATCCCAATGCAACTTCCTTTGTGAAAACTCGATTTTTATAATTAATGGGAAAAACACGAACTTCAAACTCATTCCACTCTTTAGAGAACGAATGAAACTTAGGAAGGCCTCAACTCTCGACGGACTTAATCTTTCTTCGCTTAAAGCTGGAATCAAGGTGAATAGGAAGATGCTGTTTGCGGAGATTTTTCTAAGCCTGCTGTTCAACTTCAATCATATCTCTTATGCCATTAAACCAAATAGGAACACTGCCAAAGGTAGGTGTAAATCGATGATCTGGCCGCTGTTTGCAGCAGATTGGATAGCTGATCTGCCGGTGGATGTAAGAAACTGGACCCTTCTAGAGGGAAGAAAATCCGACATTAAGCGTTATCTTAAAGGTTTGCATCTGCATTTGGAAAGAATGGTCTTCTGCAACGATTGTCTCATCAAAAAGTACGAACCCTGCGTTCATAAAGCAAAAAGTATATATTCTATCTCCTGCGAAGCGCTGTTTCAATGTAACAAGCTACTCCCCAATCATATCTCTCCTCTTTCCAGACGCGAAGCTGGTATCAACGCCATCGTGCCATTCCATCATAACAGGGAACAACTGCTGGAGTTCATAAGTTCTCTTTGCATTTCCTTCTCTGAGCAAAGTCATTCTTTCGCTCTCTAACTGTCTCCAAGTCAATATCAACAACTGTACAACGAGACGCTTACTTTATCCAAGATGTTTTAGATGAGTTTATCGAAACTGGCGTTTGACGGCTGCGGCAGCTGGTCTAATGCCAAAAACTCCGAACCGAAGGTCTTCGGCTTCCTCAACTCGGTCCTGGATACAATCTATGCGAGGGACATTGATGAATTAATGGAGTCAGCGAACTCTGAGCTTCGGTTAGTACGATAAGAACTGTTAAAGAAAGCAGGAGCCGCTGGCAAGCCATGGCACCGAGCCTCACTCGCTGATCTAAAAATAAATAGTTGCCTGCCGAATTTCAAAAGCTTTTCAGACTGCTCGAGGATGTCTTGACAACCCTTGGGATTGAACAACTTCTGAATAACAACAATGTCGGGACACTATTTCGCATCATGTTGGTCGATCTCTGGGTACTTGCAGTCAAGAATTGTATTCCCCCTTGCATGATCTTCACGTATTTGAAGATCTCGCCTGCTGGTGCCAAGAAGCAATTCCTCAGCGAAATTTGTGTCAAAAACGACGGGTTACTTCCGACCGTCTCTGACCTTCGTTTTAAAACTAAACTCTTGGTCCCAAGTGGTCTCATTCACACCAATCTTTTCTCTGAAGACATAGGCTTACCATCCAGCGAAGCTGCGATCAAATTCGTCCACCAGCTTAAATCACGATGCTCATGGGGTGAACTAATCAGTTATGTTGCCAAATTCGGAAACGACAAGGACTCCATAACGGAAGACGAAGTAGAAGAAACGCTCTTGAGTTGGGTCAGTCAGCAGGAAAAGGATAACGTCCTACTCAGAAACATAGCTGACTGCATGACGAAAACTCTGGGAGGGGAAATTAACGATTCGAACTCCTTCGCTTTGTTCTCGGGCCCCTACTCTTACGCCAATGCATGCGCCTTCGACGGCTTGAAGAAGAGTGCTCCCTTCATGGCTGACGACGTAAAAGTGGAGCTAGTAAACGCAGCGGGGATCCCAGTCAATAACAGTATTCTGAACAAATGCAAAGCAAGGCATGGCCTCAGGGTCAACTGCCCTTTAATTTTCCATCCACTTCGAATGTTCCACTTCAAGAATGATCGGGAACTGGTTGGCGCGGCTACCACCATTTATAACCACCTGGTCAGATCTCTTGGAAATGCTCTAGCAACAGCTCAGCTAAACTTCAAAGACGCTTATCTTGGAAGTAGCGCTATTGAAAACGCTGCACCTTCGGTCATGGAATTCTCCCTGGCCAAACTCACAACCAATCTTCTAGAAGCTTCGATCCTCACCACCCAAAACTCATTAAACGGAACGCGAGATCTGGTTGCGAAAAAATTCTCCCTCTTACTCACGGAGCACTGCAAAGAAGAGGTAACAATCGAAAAACTCGAGGAAGCGGAGATGGCCGAAGGCATTTCCACATGCTGGGCAACTTTCCTGCTAAACACGCTGCAAATTGGGACAAAGGGCCTAAACTTTCTGGAAGTCATCGCGAATGAAAGAAACATCTCTCTGGCCAACTTACTACACAATTGTCTCGGAACATTCTTTTGGGGAAAAGGAAGCATCGGCCAACGACCCACTCCAGGCCCTCGTGGGATTCATCTGGAGAGGAATCAGGATGAACTTCAGGTTAACATCTACCTTGCCTTGAACCACCTGACTGCCAACGGCGAAGAGGTGGAAAATATTATCTCCAATCTCTTTGACATTACCCCAAGAATGATCTTGAAAGAATTCAAGCTCTCAAAGAAAAGAAAAAGACTTTCGAATGATTTGCTGCCACCCCTCTCCCCAGTGAAGACCAGCAAGTCCCTCAAATTTGCAGATGAAATGGACTCACTCATCCTAGCCGAACCGCTAGCACGAAATACCGCCGAGCAAGCTCCGATTGCTGGACGCAACAAGATTGGATCACCAAGGATGGGAATGTCAGAGACAACCAATTCGTCGCCACCAGGTCCATCAACCCAAAGCCTTCTCAAGCCAGACGCTAACAATGAGGAGGCGAGTGAATCAAAGAACTCCGTCTCAGCTGAAGATGAAAGCGCTGGACTCGAGGACACTCCTTCCTCGCATGATGACAGCTTCTTGGACGAAGAAGAGCCCACGGGCGGAGTAACCTTCCACAAAGAATCCGCAGAAAGTTTGAGGATTAACCTAGCCGCCCTTTGCGCCGAGGACAAAGAAGTACCATCCAGTGAAACCCTCGGAAACCAGCCAGATCCACTCGACAAGAACTAAAGCGAATGTTATGTCACGCTTCTCCCCATGTCAACTTCATCGGTAAAAGTTTCTAGCTAAGCAATTTCCCTCTTCTATCATGATATCACCCACGCAGTTCCTTCACCTGCAGTTCAAATACCAAATCAAGTCTTACTCACACACAGCTAAGTCAAATCATACTAATAAAAGTTGCGCTCGAAATCCTTTAACTAGAATCCCAGTAGTTCAAAACCATGATGCTTTCAAGCCGCCCCACTGTTTCAAATAAAGCGCCAAAATAAATTAACTGTAATTCTGTCCAACTCTTTTCCCGAACCCTCTGCACTGCAAATATTTAATCTTACTGCCAATAGACTCTAAAATCTCATTAAGCTCAGCCACCGGCATTAACCACAACACTTTTAGAAGCACCTGTGCACTATGGCGAATCTTGGACAAGGGACACGTAACTCGGTGACATGGTCGCGCGAGGAATTCCGCACGCTAGCCACTGGCAACGCGGACCCGATAAATTGGCCCGATTTCTGGGAGTCATTAATGATCGATTTGGATGAAAAAGAACGCGCAGCTCTCGCAAATAGTGGGGGCTCTGGCCAGCCAGCCTGCCCTCTCAAAGCTTGGCCTAATCAAGTAAATAAAGTCACCATCAATCTGACTAAAAGCACTGTCGAACTAATCGCCGACAAGGGCATGATCGCCTCTAAGGGTGATGAAGAGATCGTCTCCACAACTGTCTTTAGCAATGACAGCTTCCCACTTGTTGACCGAATCAACCTCAAGGATGCGAAAGACAATAACGCTTGGTGGAGAACCAAAGTCAGAGCAGTCATTGGCCAGGCTGAGCAGAATCTCCGTGAAAGGCTCACCCTAGTGAACCTAATAATAGAAGCCGAGGACAAGAAATGGTCCATCAAGAAACTCAATGATTTGGCTGGCACTATGAATGTCCTCCCAACGCGAATCTCACCCGATCAAGCTGCAATGCTCATGGATATCTCGAAAGCCCCTGGCCGGCCTCTTCAGGTAATCTTGCCTCACGAATCTGACCCAAATTGATTTGACATAGCCTCCCCAACCCCTAGATGTTGAGGCCCTCCATGCGAAATGGCGACAGTAGAAAGCTCCTCGAATCGACAAAAGGATCTGCACCACTAAAGTATTCTCATCTACCCCGAACACACTGCACTCTCCTCTAGCGACTAACTGGCGCAGCCTAACGAACATCTCCAACTGAAACTGAGTTAAATCCAACTGACCCCCTGTCCAAGTTTTACTGCATCTCGCATCGTCCGCTAGTCAAGCAAATTCACTTATTCTGGAGCATCTCATCAAGATAACCCTGACAATCTCCTATGCCTCCCTACCTACCCTTTAAATTTGAAACTGGAAGATCCACACCCCTGAACACCGACCTTAACATTCACTCTTTATAGATTTCTGACGTCCGGATTCCGGAACACAACGGGAGTAATGAGCGGAAACCTGTGCCAACTACTGAATCATATGCGATGTCGCATCTGCACATTCATCATGGACGATTCTCGGAGATCGGAAATTGCCATATTCCCGTGTGGCCACAGTAAAATCTGTAAGATATGCCTGGAAAAGCTGAGCAACTGCCCCATCTGCAGAGGCGAAGTGCAGGGCTCTCTCAAGCTGATAAATGATTTCGGAACACAAGGGGAGATGGGAAGAATTCTCGATGGACTCGAATTGGACTTGCTGAAGGATGAAACCAAAGAAAGAATCGGCGACAAGCATGGTCCAGGATTTTAACAACACCCACTTCAGAAACGGCCAACTCACCCGCTAGCGACTTTGAGCTCACCCAAATTCAATTCTCATCTACCCAGTCACGGCAAAAAAATCTTCCCCGCTCACCGACATCGTTAACAAACCCTCCTCCTGACTCTAATTTTGACCATCCAGAACGAACCCGTCAACTGTCCATCTCCTTCAATAAATCTGCACTGAATTAACAACTCCTGATAAGATGCTGACCTTACTCTAACCCTTTAGACTGAAATCAATCTGGACATGATCACAGAAAACATCTCACGCTCACCAGTTGAATTAAAGCTCTGGATCAGTGCCACGTGCCTCACTCTCTTTCACAATGGGGGCTGCAGCTTCTTACAAGAAATGAATTACCTCGCCAGCTATCTCCAGATGCAAGCAAGGGCAGAAGGCATTGTAGTCCCTCAAAGTCACCAGCTCGGGATAGTCTTCATGGTGCAAAACTTAAAACAGATCAACTCCTGCATCAATAATCTGCACTCACCTGACTACCTGGACAGAGTGATCATCTGTTTCCCGGCGGCTAAAGAATTCATGATCCTCAATGAAATGGAGCTGAATAGCCCAGATATCAAACACCGACTACACCACACGATGTTTATGCCAAGCGGTCTGATTCACACATTACGGAAACAACAACCGTTTAATCCGCCAGAAAGTGAAGTATCCTCTTGGGAGCACAGGTGGAAAATAATCCTTGAAGGCACCGACCCACTAGCGCGAGAGCTGTACTGGGAGTATTTCGGGCTAAATAGCCTCACTCAGGAAAACACTGAATCCGCCTTCAAATCGCTCCTCTGGGCGAGTGAACTCAACGTGAAAGCATTATGGAACCTAATTGAAAGTGGTCGCAAAGTGAAGGTAGTAACCACGACGGGAATGGAGTCACTTCAAACGGATCCCAAACCTTGCAAGGCTGAAGCCAACATCACCGGAACTAGCAAAATCAAAGCGCGAATCATCATCCCAGGTCAGTGTTCCTATGAGCTTTGTTGGAAGCCAAGAAGACCACTCCTTAAAAGAGACCATCAAATTGATGAATGGCTCGACCAAAAAGCCTTCATAAAGATGGAAGCATGGACGAACCGGAACTTTCTAACACACGAGCGGCTCCAATCACTAGACGCAGAGGTGCAGTCAATGGACATCAATGCCACTCCAATGCTGGGCCTAGAGAAACGCCCGAGAATGTTATCGTTTGATGAACTCAACCTCATCAAGGATGTCTGGTTCAGAAGATGGCAGAATGCTGATCTGTGGAACCCCAACTACTCTCTTACAAAGATTCTGGACACCTCAACTCTCAAATTGTGGAACTGTCTACATCGGATCCTAATTCTTGAGTTGGAGGAAGACCTCCAAAAGCGCGGCAATAGTTTGGCGACAATGATGAACCTGTACTCGATCTCCAAATGCTTGGAAGTCGTCAATGAATGCGGAAAAGAACTGAGAACAATTAGCGGCTCAGGCGGGAGTTCTAACTTGATTAACTTAACATCACATTTCCTGTCAGTCGTTTTCTAACAAACGTAGAGTTCTTGAGGAAAATTAATTCCTTAGAATTGTTATCTCTCGATAAGAGAAGTACCTTATCTTGCAGCTAATTCATTCAAGGTCCGAAAATGATCAACTCTGAAAAAGCAAGTCTGGGAAGACTAAACGAAGCGCCAAAACTCCATCTTGAAGCCGCAAAGATTTTGAAAAAAGCGATTTCCAAAACCAACAGCTCCAACTCCGACCTCCTGATTAACCAAATAGATGGTGGGGCGTCAACTCTAGCCATAGTCCAAAGAAGAAACCAATTAAAAGCCCTCTTTCCGGGTCGCATCAGCACCCAAACAAATGGCACTATCTCACCAGAAGTTAGTGAAACTAACCCAATAGAATGGGCTGCGAAAATCCTCACTAGACGGGGGAAACCCTTATGGAAAATCACTAAAGTGGAATCGACGACTATTCTCACCAAGCAATGTGGATTCCAATGCCGGAAGAACAAATTGGGATGTTTTGGTGCCTCACTAGCGCTGATATCTCCGGACCTGCGACTTGCACATAAAAGCTGTGAATCCTACTGCTCGACAGGTGAAGAGGAAATGGTCACGAAATTGGAGAACGATGAGTAACACACAATACGATAACGCTGCTGAAGCCGGGCTGGAACCCGAAAGATCGACCTAACTTACATTACTTCCTTAATTCCTGCATTTCCGCCTCTTTCAACTTACTATACTCTTACTACTTGTTTGCCCAGTTAATGTGGAACTAAGATTAAACTTTCTTGCGAACCGAATACACCACTCAAATGTCTTTACTCTTCCTATGGCTCGTGAACCTTGAGTTTGAAATGCTGAACTAATAGTGTCAAGAAAATGCATAATCCTACTCAATGTTAATGTTCTGGTTTGCTACTTGATCTTGCAAAGGCTTGGCTTGTTATATTTTCTTTCGAGTTTATTGGGTTCTTCTTAGCTTTTCAATAAAACGGCAGTTCTTGCATCAGGGAAACAGAGAACGCAAAAGAGGAGAAAGGTGAAGGGGGATTGGACTGTTGAGAGGTGCAGGGTTCAGGAATGTTGTTTCAGTAGTTTTCGTGCAGGGTAGCGGAGTTGTGAAGGCGAGGTGAGGCGGAAGGGATGAGTCAGCACTCGAGGTCGAAGGAGCGCAACTTGGCGAGGAGAGCAAGTCGTTCAGCAGGCGTCATTGGAAGGACCAAGTTGGCTTTGAGGATCGCCAAGCGTGTAGCTGAAAATCACTGGTCAACAATTGAATTACTTCGCAAGCGGAAAGCTCCATCAAAAGTTTAACTTACAGTACTGGGCGATTCGGGCACACTGCTTTTGGAAGTTGTAACGCTTCTCATGAGATTCGGGGGAGTACCAGGTGTTCCAGGAGTCGTCGCATTCTTGGATCTGCAGGTCGATTGGGCAGCTCAGCATCTCCAGACCAAAGTGATGAAGCTTGACCTGAGAGCGAATGGAGGACCACTCGTCGAAAGAGTTCACCCCAAGATAAGTCCATCTTGGATCAGTCTGATTCCTGAAGGAAGGATTGACCAGGGCGTCGATGAGGAGATCCAAGTCGAACTCCGCGTTTTCGCAGACTTCTTTCCAGCATTTATTGAAGAAAAGTCGGGATCGAGGGGAGGAGTAGCTGACCGGAGCCTGGCAAAGATGCTGGGATACGTTGGTGCGGTAATCGGCTCCACAAATGATGTTGACGTTGGGGTTGTTCTTGAGCCATCGTCGAAACTCACCCACAGTGAAAAGGTGACCCTTGCCGGTGCGGATGTTAATCGCACCATATTGTATGGCGAGCTCTGGGTTCACATTATTCTGAACCAGGGTGTTGATGTCCTCGGAGATGGCCAAGCCAAAAAGAGCGAAAACTCGCTGGCAAGGTGGAGGAGGAGGAGCAGCCGAGTTGGTGATCGTGACCAGTTCGCGCCAGATCGAAGTCATTTTGGCGGACATCTCAGCGAAGGTCTGGGCAGAGGTGTTGAGGAGGACGCTTTGTGAAGGGCTAAAGAGAAGGTGCCGGTAAAAGGGCGGGAGCTGGTTGTGCTCGAGGTCGTGATTCTGGAAGGGAGCGAGCTCCCCTTCGCGCCACTCCTCAGGGAAGTCACCGAGACAATTAGCATCGCCGAGAAGCTTGAAGTGAACCATTCCGAATCTAAAATATATGAGGGTTAGAACCTGAATACTTCCAATCTAAGGCTAAATAGAACTCAAGAATTGAATAGTTCCCATTTAGGGATACATCATAAAGGAACAGGTGAATTAAGAAACTTAGTAATCTGACAAGCGAAAGAGCGTCTGATGCAAAGGGAAACTGGTTAAAACATAAGCTAAAGGACCAAAATCAACGAGGAGCATTTGACGAAACTCAGGAAATTGAATGGCGAGGGAAGCGAGGAAACTCAGCAGCAGTGAGACGATAATCGATCGACTGGTCTGAATCAAATTCGTCAAAACAGCACTCTAGTGCTCTAACTAACCAGTATCCTATGGCGAAGCAGATTTAGCGGCGAGGTGAGCATCTCCGTTGGGTCTGAGTGCCTCGGGAACGTCGAACTCGAGAAGTAGGTAATGGCTGAGTAGTAACCGCACCTTGATAAGAATATCTGCGGGGACCTAAGTAATTAAAGATAAGTATGGAAACTCGGAAACTGTAGCTCTCACCGGTCTGGGTTGCCTGATCGAGGTAATAACGCTCCGGAAAGAATCGTAGGGGTGCACTTAATCGAGAACGTCTTGCATTTTCAGCCGATTGGAGTCGTAGGGCTCCGGGGGTGAATAACACCGTCTCTTCACGAGAATTCCTTGGTGTAGCTGATGCCCGGCCGGAAGCTGAACTTGACTCTTCCTCGTTGCTGTCGGAACAGGAAGAACTGGAAGAACTGGAAGAACTGGAAGAACTGGTAGAACTGGAAGAACTGGAAGAAGAAGACGAGGGCCTAAGTATCTGTTAAATTGGTGCTTCCCTTGACTGTACCGAATGGAAATCCAAGAGCCCCCACTAAAATAATATCCTCCAAACCCTCATCTCTACTCACATTTGATGTCGCCGTCGATGAGCTAGAGGCATAATGCTAGCCCAACCGTTTTGAGCTGCATACTCAATACGATCTTCCCGGACCGAGTGGTATGGGCTACCATCGTAATGGATGACTCCAGGTGCAATGGCAGGATATCGCTCTGGAACAGCGCTCATAATGCCATACTGGCGGGCATACTCGAATCTCTGGCGCTCTGGTAATCGCAAAGTATCGAAGTGTGGAACTTGAGTAGTGGCTCGCTCATCATCATCGTCAGAAAAACACATTTGATCTGTAAGTGTTTGCGGAGCAAGTGCGGAGCAAGTGCGATGATTCTGAAGGCTTCTGCCGATCCTGCTTTTCGTGGGCGCGTGGGCTGCTTAGCGCCACCGCTATGAGCCATTCAGAGTTGCGCGTGGACTCAGGTGAGAACTACTCACTGCTAATGATTCAGCTCATCTCGGTTCGATCCCTGCTCAACTCGGTACGACTTGCTAACTCATCTCAATGTCACAAAAACTCCCGGCCCTGCATTAACAACCTAAACCTGCTGAAAGAACGAGTTGACGGGGAGAACTGGAGCGGCTCAATCAGCAATAAGCTCTTTCACAGATCTCCTCGGATTCAATCAAATTAACGCAACATAAACTGTATTAGTATATTTCTTTTCGTAGTGGTCCAGAATCATATATGTATAACTTTATTAAAACTAATACAATCTATTCCTAAAGCGAACATAGTGGCATAATGAAGTCAAAAGGCACTCGCGATCCCCAATTCCTTCTTCAGTGCTGCGGCACTCCTCCTGCTCATTTGAAGCAAGGGTTAACTCTGCAAGGCCTGGTGCTAGGCAGAGTGGACTCACATTGCGGATTTGAGCTTTTTTCCTCCATGTCGGCGAGTGGTCTACGGACCCGACCCGCTTCTACGCTGCAGTCGGTCTGCTGTGGTGGTTGGATGGTTGGACTGGTATTTCTCCGCTCATTTCGCCTGGACCGGTCCACAATTCTGACGCCCTGTGCTTTAACACATTCCTTCTGTATCTTTTACTGCTCGTACATCGTTAATGGTTCTTTTTACCTGCAAATAAATTATAATGAATTGAAAAAATTGAAACGGAAAATGAGTTTGGCTATTGGTATTTATCAGGCGGCGCGTGCGCTTGATCTTATGGCGTTTTGTAACGAGAAACGCATTTCCCCAAACAGCCCCAGACTCGCCCTTTGATTATCATAGGCGTAGACTTTGACCCGTAAATTTCAAAGATTTCGATAAACACCCTTCCCAAACAAATATTTAAAAAGATCAGTACTAAACGCGCCGCCGGAAAATATACTAATTCGCAAGCAAACGCATTAATTAGGCGCCAAAAACAAAAATACGATTTCTGCGATTTGCTCCGCCGCCTGCATCAGAAAATTATTGGACGGGGGGCTCTGATCAATCATTCCGTGTCACTTACTCTTTCGTAAATCAAGAAGATGTGGCACATTGTCCAGCTGCAACAGAAAATTAGACCCCTAAATGAAATATCATCGCGCTGAATTCCCCTTTCAAACAGACACCTTTTCAATTATTCACACATCGGATTATTTTCGGCTCTAACTTATGAGCAGATGATGATCAACTATTTGGTAGCAAAATTACAATGCACCGATTTTTTAGCTTGAAGAAAAAACGGCAAGCCGCTTGCGGCTTCATGAAGAAATAAACACAGGAAAGCCGCGCTTTAACCTAACACTAACCCTAACCCTAATTTTCTGTAAAAAAAATGATTGATTTGACTTTAGAAAAGAAAGATGAATTATCGCAACTTTGGGTGCAACTAAGAAAGACCCGAATGTAATAATTAAAAAGATAATTGTAGAAATAAGAAATGGGAAACGAGTTGACTCGGGCTTGTCATACTTCTGACCGGTTAATGGTAGTATTTTGGCGAATTACGTGTCACGTGTTTGATTTATTTGCCGAAATTAGATGAAAGTAGCATCACGTGATCGCCCTTTCTCACCCGTTTTGATCTTTTTATGATTTTTGGATTTTCGCGATTTTCTTGAGGCCGGAAATTTCGACACCCTTTCTCACGTGTCCATAAAGCCAGCCGAAGCACCGCGACGTCCGATCGACAAATTTACCTTTGAAGTCGCCACGAATTACAAAAAAAAAACTACTTTTGCAATTTCAAGCTGCTTCGTTTCGAGCAAAGGCCATTGTGGGCAAATAAGGGCTTTATCCAGTTATGTATTTAATTGGTCTGTATTTGGCGGTGCAAAGGTGGTCGTATCATCTCAAGTTGAGGTGTAATTACTGGAGAGGCAGGTGATGATATTGTAAAATCACGCTGGCGGTGGCGGAGCCTCAAGAAATACTCACTCGGTGATAACCTTTTCCAGTGGCACCAAATTAAGCCGGACGACAGCCGCTGCATATTCGATAACGGATAATATTGCTCCACCGTCTGACACTGCCTCCAAAAACAATTTGTCATTATCTGTCAAAAATATTCTGCAAATTTGCATACACCAGGTGAAACCTTTTTGCAATAATCACCATCATTCTTACACCGCCGAAATTTTCTTGATATGATTTAATTCGAAGACGATACAAACAACTAATGAAGCGAAAGAAACAAAATAGAGTCAATCAGTTGACAGAAAAAAAGAATAATCAAGGAAGCGTATTTTGGAAGAAATTTGTTATTGAGTGTCTACTTAATCAAAAGTTGCGTTTTTCTAATTTTGAATATTTTTGGTCAAAGAGGCTGGATGTCCAGCGCGGGGCTGGGCCGACATTTTAATGCATATCCGAAAATGATTTTGCGATCGAGGCCCGCCCAGCTAAGAATGTCAATCAATGAATATACAATCCAGGGAGCTTCCACTCGCACAACAAATCGTCTAGGCTCAGTACAAGGGACATACATCGCCAAGCTGATTTTCCAACGGACTTTTCTTTCTTCCAACATTTTGATCTTATAAACATGCCCCTCTAATGTCTTCTTAGAAAATTTCATCGTCAGAAAGTCTGCTCGAAATTATACAAAATCAGCCTCATTTGAGCAAGTTTTAGAAGGGCATATTTCTAGTTGTGTTTTGTTGAGGGAGCGGATTTCCATTATATGTGTTTATATATTTGGCCTCGGTGGTTGATAAATTCAAATCTGCAACAATGTGCCTCGCAAAGCCGCTTATCTTCCATTTTGCATAAATCGTTTATTTGAGCCTTTTATATTATTTGTTTTATGCGAGTATTATGAATTATATTGGGAAAGTGTGAGATTCGAACTGCTGCGACAGATTGGCGGGCGGCGCGCAACTAATATTTAGCAGTTACTGAATTTAATAAGCTTAGTCCGTTTGTTGTGAGCCTCGATGCCAACTCAAGTCAATCGAGAATCAATCTTGAGAAAGAATAGATCCGGCTACTGTTCTAGCGGCGAGCGAGGAGCCGGCAAACAAGAAATCTTTGAATCGCCAGTTTATGTTCGATTACTTGCCTTCTGCTCGCCTCGCTAGAATTATGATTCAAGCTTATTTTCGACCTTTGATAGGTTCTTGTGACCTTTGAGTCTCATTCTCATCTTTTATCCTGAGCTAGCGTCTCAGCTGCGTTGTCGCGCCCGGCTATCGCCTAATTCGAACAAGCTCAGCTGCTTCCCACTCTCTGTAAAAGCACATTGACGACAAAACGGATAACACCATTTCTTCCGCTACACCTGCTTAGCCTTCCTCTAGCAAAAAAAAAGACAGAAAACGCGATAATTTCAAAAAGAAAATTTTCAATTTTGAAATCAACTGAATAAAAAAATAGTTGTTTTATTAGCATCTGATCCAGATAGTAATGTAGTAGCAAGCTTTCGCTTAACGAAGAGTTTGAGGTGCGTAACACAGCTGAAAATAAATGGTATAATTGATGACATGTTTCTATCAAGTGGGAATTTACCTCGTTTCTTTGCCTTTCGGACTTGCTACTTCCAAGAGCAAGAAGTGAATGAAACTTATTCAACAACATTGGCCGCTGAGGCCTAGTTCTAGAAGCGATTTGGATGTTACTGACTGTCTCTCGATGAGGAGGACAATAAAATGCGCTTTCTGAGAGCTGAGTTGTCGGTGTTAGTAAGCATGATGTGAAGCGACTCGTAAAGGTCGTATATTTGAATCAAAGGTCGGTTAATACGCGCATGTCACTCAATTCTTGAGATAGTAGGTAGATCAGCCTAAGACCTGCCGGTGACATTTAGCCTATATGGAATGCTACGACTGACACCGACACTCACCTTTCAAAATGCTGGCAAAAAGAGTTACTTACAAAAGTAGATTTACATCTGTTTTTTATTTGTTCTAGAAAAGTCATTACATACTGCAATATAACTTAGTTATAAATTAAACAAAGAAACGGAAATTTGTTGCGTTAGTAAATGTGCGACTATGATACGCTACATAGAAGGTAGCAATTAGGATGTTTCGCTAGTTAGACGAAGCACTAGCTTTATCGGCCACAAAGGGATTCAATCTCATAAGTGCCCTATCACGGAGGAATGTATTTTGAGGTTTTTGGAAAATGGGAAAAGGAATTTATTATCAAGCAAACAGGTGTGGATAACAGCTAGGGATGATTTTAGCCGAACATCTCAGTCGAAGCGTACGTCATGTAGAGGAAGTTGTCCTCGTCTTGAAATCTGTGGTAGAGCTCCGCCACGGACATTTGCATCGACGGCACTGGAAGACGCACAGTAAGAGAATTACAGTTGTATATCGAAACTAACCTTGTTTGCCGCCAACGATAAAGTGAAGACTCTGGCTCGGCCGGATCATCATGCGACTGCGAACAACAACGACAAATTGAGAGACGCTCAGCTCTGAGAACCGTTAATCACCGAAAGCAGCTATTTCTCACCTTGTGGGACTAGAAACTTAACACGATCTAGGCGGGGCAATTCTTTTTCTTTCTTGTAGCGTTCAACTATCACGGGTACTTTTGATGGAAACTGAAAAGCATGATTATTGCAAAAACCATAATATAAAGAATTGCTGTAATTTAAGATTGATCTTTTGAAGAAAAAGGATGATAAAAAGAGTCCGATCTTTTACCTTCACGGTCACAAATTACATGCGCGTCTTGCATATAAAATAAAGTACTCCTAATATCTTGCCACATATATGCATATAAATAAAGTAGGCCTTACTCTCTGCCTGATGTTAGAGGCTTCTTCTGCACGAACATCTGCAGGTCTCCTCTCTTTGAAGGGCACATAAGTAGCGACGGATGATATTTGCGTGTTTGTCCTGTTTCTCGCCATATCAACCGGCAAAATGCAGGCTCTCTTTTTTCTCGCCACCGATTTCAGATCTACTTTCGCGTCAACGGACTTTTTCTCAACAACAAATCTTTTTTCGTCGTCGCCCGCGCCAAACAGCCATTTTTCAAATTATAGGTCGCAGAAAAAGAGAACAACCGGTTATTCCTTCTTTTTACAATGCCCTACTTCAAGTTCAATTCAGTCAATCATTGATTTTTAATTAGCTTATTTATTGAAGAATGATTAGTCGAATCTTCCTTCGATCAGGCCGTCGAATGCAAAGTGTCTCTCCTCCAAAAAGCGGTGGCCAAGCGGGTCCGCTTTCCTGGCCGGCCAAGGTCACAGGCAATCCTGCGCCCAAAAAGTTCGTCACTTGCAAGTCGTCTTTTTCAATACATATATTTTTAGACCGGCGAAAAAAAGCGGTTTCTTCCCTTCGCTTCGAAAGAATCTCCTGGCTGACCAAGAAAAAAATCTTCTCAAGGCAGAGCAAAATCGATGGTTTCCATTTCTCAGGAACAGTTCTATGCAATCTTAAATATAAAGTGAACGAAATATTTTAAACTTAATTTTTAAATTTTAAATAGATTCGACATAAAAGTAACTTTTTCGAAGAAAATCTCAAGATGAGTCGCCTTCGCCCTCGAAAACGACCTATTCCGTCAAGACAAACCAAAAAGACAAAGAAGATGATCTTGTCGTTTGGTGAATATTTCAATATTTTAAGTTGCAGAATCTTTCCCATTTTAAACTGCCAATAAATTCAATAAACATACTGTCGTCGTCCGAGAAAACTCATTGATCTGAGATGCCAATTTACTGTTCAACTTGCAAAAAGTCATTTAGAAGAAATGCGAAATAATAGCAGAAACTGGGCAGTGGGATGATAAACATTATTCTTAATTCGCTGGGTCAATATTTAATCAGATATATTACACGATGCATAACTGACGAGGCTAAATTGTCATATTGCATAAAGGATTGTTATTTGTCAACTCTATCGAACAAGAAGTCCTGAATCTTTTATTTCTTGGAGCGTTCAGAAAGCTTCCAAAATTGCGGATTTCGAAAAACCACACTCAACGCTTTCCACAGCAATAAAGATGTTTTTGAGCTCGCTTGTAAAGAGAAGAGGCACCCAAGGACACTCTTTCCCATCAGGTGATACTTCAATACCTATATTTTCTGGTTAATGAAATTTGCTTTCATAAAATCTAATTCATAAAACATTTCTTTACAGAAAGAACGGTAAGTTATGAGCAGAGACGCACGCCGACAACAACGAAGAAGAATCGAGGACCAAAGATGCTCAACCCGTATGAAGTGAAACTTTCTCCGTGGCGTCGATTGTGGGTTACCATCCGGGTTTCTGGTCTAGAATAAGATACATAAATCACAGCTTAGATTTTCATTCGATGCCTTTTGAGAACCAGCGTATAGTCGCACGAGTCGAGCCAGATCATCATGGCTTCAACGATGACACTAACCATCTTTTCGATGATGTCTCTTATTTGGGTAAGTCGACATGTTTAGCAAGCGTAAAATGTCTGATTTCAGACATCTGTTACTGTCATTCCGTGGTATGTCTCGAGAGACTACGCGGAAGACTCCTGCAAACTCGTCTCTATTCAAGGCTGGCCGAAGCGCTGCGAAATTCCAAGGAATTCATCCCATCTCATAGGAAACCGTCTGCAATTATAATCACTTAGTTTGATTATAAGCAAAATAATAGCTGATTTCAGATACCATTTAATGAACGGGTAATAAGAAAGCCGAAAATGCTCGGAACACATTTGTCTGCAAGTTCACGTATCGAGTGCCAACTCATCCGATCATATCATCCTTGGCGACGAGCTAGAGCTGGCAGGCCTTTGTCAACCAAATTGCACCAAAGCCTTTGCAGGACGAACTAAATGCAAGACTTTTCTTTCAGAAGTAAGCAACACCTTATATTGAAAGATAAAAAATAAACAAACATCAATTCAGACGCTTCCGATGGTCAAGCAAATAACGGATACTCCCAGCTTCACTTGCTATACAAGCTTCCTGGAGAGCAAGTATGCACTCAAAAACAAAATTTACAAGAAGCCATTTCCTTGGAGGGTCATCTTCTCGATCGTTATTCCAGTTTCTGGAACAGTAGTAAGTGATCCTCGTCATCGAAATAAACAGAAATAACTCTACTTCTAGTGCGGAGTAGGAGGAATGCTGATCTTCATCTGTCAAAATAGAGGTTCACTCCTTTCCCTGACAAAACTTTGAATGCACAACTATTTATTTTAAACGAAATTTAAGGTTTCCACTTTTTTGTATGCTTGCTTTTCGCTGAAAAATTCAAAATAAACTCGCAAAACACATTTCGTAGCGGTACTACAAAAAACAAGTTTGCACGCTCAGGTTTATGGATGTTCATCCTAACAACTTCTTTCAACAGCATCTTTTCTTTGCTCTCCGATGTGAGATTTTCGACATTGGTTTTTTCATTGTGAGATTTAAAAAAAAAGAGAGAATATCTTAACACCCTAGTAAGGTACTCCTAAGTAAGGTAATTACTTAACCCTTTTTTGCGTATTTATAAAATATTCATCAATGTAAAGATAAGTTATGTTTCCCTCGCGAAATATCTGGCAATTTTTTGTGTTAATAAGATTATGCGATGATGGCTTCTCTTTTGATTAAGTAGGTTGATGGGGCAGAAGGTCGTTTTACTTCTAGTCAGATCTTACCTGTTTGCTCAGACTTTCAATCTCTCATTAATCAACGATTGACCAAACTTCATTGAAAGAGAAAGGATGTTTGAGCGTTTTAAAATTTTAAAATTGAAGTGATTCGCAATGCCTCGCAACTGGACATTCCTCCTTGTCCCATGCATCCAACTCTTCATGCACGGATTCGCTAAGCAACAAGCATTCGTAAAAATATGCACAAAGAGAATCCAAAGAAAAGAAACGCCGTTGTGGGAATAGATCCGTCAAGTGAATCATGTGATGGACTTCTAGGCAAGGATTTTAAATCATAACAATTTTGTTAAAAAACACTAAAAACCTTGTTTTCCGCCTTTCCATCACGTGGAATTGATCATTGTCGAGCAAGATGTGCAGCTTCAGCGTTTTGTTGCGTTTGGCAAATCGTTGGTGATGAATGTCGAATCAGTACTGGCGTAATTAAAAAGTGTCAAAAAAGAGAGCACCCGGTCAAAGCTGGTGCTATTTTAAGACCGTTGATTTACTGTGAAAAGGTCAGCAGCTTCGAATATAAAAGTAACAACTAAATAATTTGCAGCGCTCGAGAATGGTTGGAGCGATCGTGGTGACTCGGCGAACGTCTAACAGCGTAAAACTGCGCTGGAGTCCTCCAGGTGATTTTTAGTAAAATAAGTTTTATACTGTTTTCAAAGTGCGAGATAAAATAAAAAAGGGAGCATTTATAAATCTCGGGCTGTTTCACGATGACACTCTTTAGACATCCCTGCTGATGGGTACTTGATCAAATTCCAAGAGGTGGCCACACGACGGCGGCGGAGTCAGCGAGTGTCTTCGACTGAAGTAGTATACGGCGGTTTGAGGCCAGGGACGACGTACGAGTGCGAGGTCAAGTCGATTTACAACGATACTGGACTTGGGAAACTCTCCGCGAAAGCCAATGTCCAAACACAGCTACTTGACAAGGGTTCAACGCCGCTCTGAGTCCATTTTAACAAGTTCGCTTCTGAAAATTGATAAAAACGAAGACAGGAATAACCAGCAGTAACTTTCTTGAATGAAGTTGAACCCTTTTGATCGCGCCCACGATTGAAAACGTTTTCGTAAATATGACAAACCTCAATTTCTCGTGGATTTACAGACCATTGATCGAATCAGCTGAGGATGAACAAAATAGTTTCGTCATTACTCTGGGCCCGGTTCGCAAACCTTGTGGCCGATTTGACACCTCAGACATAAGGTTTGTAAATTATTCTGATTCCAGTTTGATTTGTATGCTTCAGGAGGAAAGTACTTGATTCTGAAGCAAGAAACACAACCTTTGATGATTTACGACCAGGAACAAGTTATTGGATCAACTTGCAGCTTCATCGTGGTCTTCGGAAATCAGCCGTTGTATCTGCTAATTTCACTACAAGTGAGCGAATTTTCGAATCCTTCCAACGCTGCGTCCAAGGGGTTATATCGTTTGTTCATTAATTTCGCGTTTTCTTTGATTAGGGGTTGAAAAATCGAGAGAAATTGCATTGATTGCGGCGCAATATCCATCTGCGCCTTTCTCATCCATCAAGAAGGCCCCCTAGCGGCGCGTGTCTAAATGTTTATCGTTTTAATTTTGTTGAACATTCCAGTTAAAATTATCGGATTGTCCCTTCCCCGTCCTTTTCAATTCGTGCTTTCCTTTTTTAGTGAGAGGAAACGGTGCCAAATTAAAGTTACCCGTGAGCCCTAATGTGACTGATGCGAATATGGGGCGGATTCCAAACCTCTAGCTAGTGTCTTTACTTTAAATAGCTTGCCAATTCGGGCCTTATTTCCAGCGTCAGCTCAAATGATAACACCATGATTTCATACCGACAAATATGTTTATATTTTTTGCCTTTTATAGGCGGAGAGATGGCGAAGATAGATTCAAACTATATCAACTACCCAGGTAACCTTGAGTAAACTATGGCTGAATACGCGTATTTCTACAGACATTTTCAACAAGAAGCTCGATCTCGTCGTTTTGATCGATAACAGCTGGTCGATGGGGAAAACGAACTTTTATTATCAGGAAATTTGTTATTTTGCTTTTATTTCTTTACATTTGATTCATCGTAAAAATCATTTTTTAACAAAATGCAAGAAAAAATTCCTCTGGGAGCTGACAAAAAAACTTGATATGGAAGCAGTACGCCTTTCAGTGTGGAGTTATTCGGGAAGACCGCGGCTAGAGTTTACTTTTGAAGAAAAGTATGTTCGCTCAGCACTGGGACGTTTGAAGTATCGAGGCGGCGAGTCCATGCTCGGCCGCGCACTCAATGTGCTTGATCGTTTTGGGTGGAAACGAGCGAGACAGGAACTGGTTCCCTTTTTTGCGTATTCAAAAGCATAGATAAAATTATACTTTTGAGCCAGTTTACAGAATACTAATCGAGCCTTGCTAGTTATTACGGATGACGGTTCTAAGGATGAGTTCCAAGCTGCAGCGACAACTTTGAAAGACAAAGGAGTGCAAGTCATCTCTGTAGGGCTGAATAGAGCTCGGCAAGATATGCTTATGCGTAAGTTTTTCCTACGAATCACAGAAAAACTGGTATTATAGAACTTGGAACTGAGAAAAACGCGTTTTACTCTCACAGTGGATATGGATTGACGCAGCTGGTCCCGAGTTTGATTCACAGACTTTTTGAGATTGAAGCCGAACACGAAAATGTACCGCTGAAGATTCACTGGCAATATGTGCAAGAAAAGCCAAAGACAATTCGTATTAGCTGGCACGGAGCAATCGCGGATGTAAATGCCTCCTACAATGACCGCGTCATCAAGACTATCCAACAAAGAAGTCCGCCGTTAACTTTCAGTCATCTCTCGCCATTTGCAATGTATCACTTTAGTGTAAATAGTGTTAATGCCTCCACGCCTGGTTTCGAGTTCCAGCTTTCTTACGACTGGTTCAAAACAGAACACGACATCGGCGTACTGCTTGATCAATCTTGGTCTGTCGGCGCCATCGATTTCTCACGCCAGCTTGACTTTGTAAAGCTGCTCTCTCTAGGAATCGACCCTCTCGCTCAAAAACTCATGGTGATGTCCTATTCGCACAAAGTTCGCATGCTGAAAACTTACGAGCAAGATATTTCCATTCTGGATATGGCGAAATACGAATCGGGAAAAAGATTGGCCGGCTCAGGAAGATGCTTGAACAATTTTCGCATTTTAAAATGATTTTTATGATCAAAATAAATTTTGAGCATTTTAAGGCGCGAAAAAAATTTTCAACTTGATGCGAAAGAAAGGAAGTAAAAAGATACCAAAGACGATTTTGATGATCAAATGCGGCCCGAGTCTGGATAAATTGGAGCCTGTGCTGAATCGACTGCAGAAACTCGGGATCCGAGTTATTCTAATCAGCGCCTGGCCAAGGTCCAATGAATCAACTTATAAAGACAACTTCATCCATCTAAAGTTCGACACGGTCGCAAAGATTTTGAATCTGCAGCCGAAAATACTCAAGCTTATTCTTTCTCAAGAAGACGACAAAAGAGTCAGTACAGAAACTCATACTGCTTCGGACATCGAAAACGATGAAAAAGATAAAGAAGAAGTCACGACTTTAAAGTCACCGAAGAAAACAACGAATCCGATTACGACGTTATCAACAATTGAGGACGGCGCAACCACAACAGTCTATAATATCGAAACGACAACCTTTTCGCCGACAGAATCAGACAAAAGTACAATATTTACAACTGAAAGAGAACTGACCACCAAATTAACGGACATAACGATTTCAGAGGATAACGACGGCATTGCTTCGAACAACATGTTCACAACTTTAGATGTATTTTCAACGACTACTGATAATTATGTCGCAAATACAACTGGTGATATCAACAAGATAAACTCTCAAACAACGGCAATGTTTTCTTCAAACGAAAAAGAATCCACTTCAAGAGAAACTGTGGATCCAGCAAACTCACAACCAATAACGCCAGTGATTACAAATTCAGAAGCCGAATTAACTAAGGAAATAAAAGCAACGATAACGTCAGTCGTATCAATAATCCCCACCGAAACTGGCATCTTGAAAGAAATGGAAGCTGCAACATATGGATCAGCAGTAACTACAGCTCAGACGACAATGTCGGAGATGTTTTTGACAACTGAAATAGCTACTGAAGAAACTTCTATGGCCTCAATTTCTTCAACCGCCTCACCAGACACAAATGAATCCATAGTATCGAATACAACATCGTCAATTATTTCTACAGCTTCAATAATGCCTGAAATATTACCAACTGAAATGTCCACAACAACTTCGACGAAAACATCAACGACAACATCAATGCCGACATCAACCAAAGCTTCAACAACAACTTTAACAAGGGATTCAACATCAACAACTACAACAACGACGAAGACAACAACTTCAACTTTCATTTCGACTACGCTACCAGTAACGCCGCCAACGATAATTCCAAGTACACAATCAACAGCACCGGCCACCTTATTCTCAATAACCCTACCGCCAATATCTACAATGATACCAGATAGAACAAGTACTGCATCTACCGATTTGGAGTCGCTTGTGCCAACAACGTATGCAACTGATGGGCCTGAGATGAAATTCGAGTACTCGACAAATATTTTTGAAACTTCTCAAGCAACGAATAGACTCAAGGATATAACCGAAACAAATCCAGAAGCATCCACGTCGCCGACGTTGGCACCATTAGAATATACCCTGACGGATGAAAATACGTACATTCAGTCTTCAACGAAAAATCAGTTCACCCATCCCTCAGAAACTACAACAGCTGCTAATACGATAGACAATAAAAAATATACTTCAACCTCAATAGATTATTCAACAACAGAATCTATTACAGCTAAGATAGGCGATACTACTACTGCTAGTGAACTCATTGGTAAAGAAACTCATGCTCCAACGGAAGGATCGATAATATCCAAGGCTGAATCGTCAACGGAATCTCTTTCGAATGAAATTACAAGTATGAAGACTCTATTAATTCAACCAGAAGACTCCACTATCAATTTTGATGATATCTTTGTTCCTGAGGTGGTATCAATCGGTAATGATCTTGACAGCAATGAAGCGTCCGGTTCTGGAGATACAAGTGGAGAATCAACTTCAAACAATTATGCAACGGAAGCGGCAGTTGTAAATTCTCAAACAACACATCTCCCAGCAACAACAGCGGCTAAAAGTAGTCAAGTAACGACTGCATTTTCGACAGTAGCTACAGATCATTTATCGAAAAGGTTTTCTTTAAATTATAGCTTTTTAGTCGAAACTAAAGAACTTAGAAAACTTAGAAAACCTTGACATAAGACAACAAGTGATTCGAAACTCAATACGATTGGAAGTGGTTGCGGCGAGGATGAAGACTGTGTTGACGACGACCTTTACTTGATCGATGAAGAAGTACTCTTGTTTGAGTCAAATTGTGGCCCTGGAATGGTTTGCTCCGAGAATGAAATTTGTACGGAAGGAAGATGCGTTTGTAAAGACGGCTTTGGCGGTGTAAAGTGTGCAGTAAAAGTTTCGTGTGCCAAGGATTGCTCCAGCCATGGGAAGTGTATTTTGCCACTTGGGAGAGAGTGTACACATGGAAACTGCGAGGGTAGCTGTGAATGTCAAGACGACTGGGGTGGTGAATCTTGCGATGTATCGATGAAAGATTCACCAAAATGCCAGCTTGACTGTGGCGATCATGGTGCGTAGCCTTAATAGTGCTTCAAAAAGCCAGAACTTGATCGATAGCCTGTCAATCACAATCGCTTGTTTAGGATCGTGCGAGATGTACTCTGACAGCGAATTCAAGTGTATGTGCCGCGAAGGGTTCACGGGTGCGCGCTGCGAGATAGAAACTACAGAAGCTGTGGATGCATTTTTAGACGTGAAGAAAGATATTAAAGAAATCCAATCAACAATTAGTTCAACGAGCACTCTGCAGTCTACGAATGGGTAATTGATTTTTGTCTCTGAAGGAGAAACAAAAACGGTTTAAGATTAAAGACAACGATGAGTACCTCAACTACTGCTTCGACGCTGCTTTACGACGAAAATTTGGAAGCATCCGGTTCGGGAGACTTTGAGTCATCTTCCGATCCGCTCTACGACCCAGTTGACGACACTGAAGATGACTCTGAGGACTTTGACGATCAGCTGTTTGAAGAAACGTTTCTTTTTACGACAAAGCCATCGAAACTGAAAGATGAAGATTTCGTGACTGAAGATCTTGTGATTCCAGGTATAGAGCAGGAGTGATTGCGGTGTTACCTTCTAAGTTAGATCGCGGCGATTGGGTTCCGATCCATTCGTCCGATTCGTCAAAAATGCTTTCGGAAATGTCGCCCGAAGATGAAATTCCAGAGCTAGAGCTTCCCGACATAGCTCGAGGAGACAGTGTTTCGAACAACTATGACACTGTCTATCTGGTTCCTCCAGAACAAGGTTATCATTAACCTGAAAATTTTTCAAACTAAAAATTTGCATGATTAACACATTTGAGTGTGGATTAATAAGCAATAAAACATCTTATCGAACATATTTGACGAATAAATTAAGGACCACAAGGCGCACAAGACTCTTTCAAGTTCATGGAGCTGGATCTACATTTCGAAGTCGATACGGAAAGCGCTCATGACTGGTCGGAAGCTGATATCCACCAGATCTGGAAAACAATTCTAAAGAAGATTAGCTTCCCAAACGTCGAGACTATAAAAATTTCTCCACCGAGAAAGGTTATTTTTAAACCAATATTCATCACTCAGATTCTTAGATATCTTTGCATTCAAACGCAATGTCAGCACAGTTGGACATTGAGTTCGAGAATGAGGTCAAGAATGGAAAGAAGATTTTTGACGCAATTCTAACGGAGCTCGGATTAGATTCGCTCAATCGAACTATCCGCGAGATTGACTCTGAAGTCTTCATTTATGTTAAAAAAAGAAGCTCGTCTTTTGAGCTTCTCAAAGAGCTTAAAAATATCGAGCCAGGTACAGTGTCAATCCATTTTTTCATAACGTGATTCGATAAGCTCCAAAAATGACTGAGATGAAGACGACTACAGCTTCTACAGATTTCTCAACCTACACAAGCGAGACAACAGCAGCAAAAAAAGATCGATTCAGTACATTATCACTTGCAGAGATGACAACAACTGCCCCTTTTTACAAAAAGAGTGAGCAATTTGACGTCATTATTGAAGGCAGCGGCGAAATGGAGGACACTTTTATCTCCGAAAATGATCCACTCGTATTCGATAATTTGGAAAACGATGGTCTCAGAACGACACAGATCACATTTTCAGACGATTTTGATCTTTTCGAAGATGATGGAGAGGTCGTTTTTAAAAAACTCGCTACGGAAGCCATAATCACCACAACAATTCCTACGACAACGACAATACGGTCTACAATCTTGGAAGAGATAACTACTCAAAAAGTCAGTGCGAACGATCCCTTAGGCTTCGTTGGAGAAGAAGAAGAAGTCGTTGATGATGCCTTTATCGAAGTGCCCGGTGTTTACGAAAGCGGGGATTCTAGTGGCGACTTTAGCGCTGATTTTAGTGGTGAATCAAGTGGGCAGGAAATCGACGATGTTGTTCTCATTGAAAACAGTGGTGAAGGCTCGGGACTGGTCGAAGAGATGGTGAGAGGTTTCCTGGAAACAATTTTTATTAACATTTTTCAGTTTTTAATCACGATGCAAGACACTGAAAACGACCAAATAACCACACCTCAACCTGGTGAGTCTTTTGAAACATCGTTGATTCCTGAGAATTCTCCATCAATAATTACGAACACGGCTAAAACAATCGAAACATCAAACACTACGAGTTCGCCATCGTCTAGCACGTCAACCAATTCTATGACAAATGATTACATAAACACTACTTCCGCTCCGAGGCACTCTTCATTTACGACTACAGTTGCTATGGCATCTCCATCGGAACAAGTGATATCTGAATTGGAGTCTTCTGGAGACATTTATTACGACGAGGTTTCAGATGACGACGAGATCTCTTCTTCTAAGGAATGCAGCTGCAAACCCCAGGATCTTCTCGAATCAAGTCTCTTTGTCGACTACATGGAGAAAATGCATGCTAGCTACAGAAAAGAGCTCAACTCTCTTGTAAATGGAATTAATTTGTTACATCAAGAGGTAGAATTATTCAAATTGAAAACAAAAATAAATAATTTTTTAAAGATTGACCATCTGAAGTTACAGCTGGAAGTAGCATCCAGCACTCCAGTCGATTCAAAGGCGGCTACGCTGGCGATCATGAGGGTAAGTTTCTCCAACTAAAAGCATAAAAATTATTTCTTCCAAAGCATCACGTGATGAAGTACCACGATCCAACGAAAGCACCTTACCCCTATCATAACATCGTCGGACCTCCAGGAATCCCAGGGCAGCCCGGTCCGCCTGGTCGTCAAGGACCCCGTGGATATCCTGGAGTTCAAGGTCCTCCTGGAAATCCTGGCCCTCAAGGACCAACTGGAGAAAAGTAAGATGTCAAATTAGGGGCGGAGTAAGCATTTCTTTTAGGGGTGATTTAGGCGATCCTGGCTTCGGAAACGTTCAAAACTTCCCGAAATCCGACTGGCCGACCTACAATGTATAATTTAAAAAGCTTGTTACATACTGTAAAGTTGCATTTTGTTCAGAAGTTACGTGCAGATTTCCGAGGGCCCTTTAGTAATAAATTGACGGATAGTCTCGTGTTTACGCTCAAAAAGGAAAATTAAATTGATGTTCCATAAGCTGAGCTTCCATCGCTCACAAATCAATGAGTCGTGACGATTTTTTTACGAAATGTGTGCGCTTCGCCGTTGCCTACGCTTGGCTGAATATTTTATCCTTTTGTAGCGCTCGAAAAACGAACAAACTTTGAAACGCACACGGGCACACTCGCCTCAGGCCCAAAATAACCCCCTTGGACGAAGTTTAGAGAGAATTAGAAAGAACTAGAATGAAACTTGAGCTGCGTGATGAGAGAATCTATCAAGGAACCGACAGGAAAGCGTTTTTTATTCTTCTCAATATGATTTAGTAAGTTCTCGAGAAAAAGTAAATATGTTGATGGCCAAAAACATCAAATAACATGATGCGTTTGCTTATCCAAAAACGCTCATATAGCACGATGCATGGATTTCTGGTGCGAGTGACGAAAGAAAAACCAAAGTTGGAGACTCATTTAATAGAATTTGAAGATGATACGTGTGTTCAGTTTTATGCCGGGACTCTTCGTCTTCACGAAGGTATAATTATTTTTTCATAAATAGAAATTATTATTCGCTAAATATACCCATAGAAAATTTATTTTCAAAAATAGAATTAAAATTAAGGCGAGGACAAAGCCTCAGTGATGATAAATTTAACCCTGGATCCGAAATTGAATAAGATCGGAATGGAAATGGTTACCTTGGAGCCCACAACGGTCGACATTGAGTTTGCCATCATCGTCGGACGCGCAATAAACAGCCGTCGAATAAAAGGTGTTACATTCTCAGGCGCCTTTTTGGAGAAAGAGCGCAGCCCGGAACCCACGCATGAGAAGTTCGAGACCTCCGCCGAAATGTATATAAAGCACAATTACTTGGTACGGAAAGGCGGGGTTAAAAATAGTATCGAATACATATTAAGAACTTGCTGGTAGAGCACTCGCACGGAGCACCGGGCGGAGGACATCTATCCCTGCTTCTAGGACGCGATTGTACAATTTCGAACGTAAAGGAAGAGATCGCCAGGAGAATTCTCGACTGCAACGGACCGAAAGAGTTTACTAACACTTCCTGTCAACGACTGATTCACGGCGGACAAATTCTGGCACGGGATAAATAATCAGAAACAAACGATCGGTTTTTTTTTTTAAATTCAGAACTTATTCATTGTTTGATTGCGTTTGTCTATTCCTCTTTATGGGCAGCTGATAATTGCAGACTTGACGACGCAATCGGACCTTCAGTGGAGAGACACATTCAAGAAGGGACCGTGGTCAACATTCTCATGCATTACAGGCAGATAACAGAAGCCAACAAAAACGAAGAGGACAATATGCCTCAAAATCTGCAATGCTCGCAAACTCACCAGCGCTTACGAAGCTGCAACATCCTACAGGTCAGTTTTGTCGCCAAACTTTTTATCTAATAATCGGCGTCAAGAGAAATTTCTCTGAATGCATCCGAAACGCGCAACTCAACAAGAGCCGCGAGCAACGTGAGCGCTACAACTCGGAGGAGCGTGATCAAGAAGTTCCTCAAATTCCAAAGCTCCACGACATGGGAAAGATGACGGAGAGATTGTCGAATGACCTTTTAAAATGGGCAAACCAGCTCGAACGACTTGGTGGGTATTGATTTCCGACAGCTTCTTATATCATTTTCAGGCGAATTGCTAAAAGAAGACAGACCCTTATCTGCCGGTTCTAGTCAGTTCAATTTTCATCAGAACCTAGTCCAGAACAACATGGACGGTGCGAAATACTTGGGCCATACTTGCGAGCACCTGGTCAAGCTAACGATACCTTTACACGAAGCGCCGCCTCGAGCTCTTTCCTCGCACCAGCCGCAGCCAAATGCTCCTAATCGACCCACCTAATAATTAGGTCGTAATTCGTTTAATCGCCAAATTCAATAAATCAACACTGATAAGCAAGTTTGCTCTTTATTTGAATCTATTTGAACCAGAGAGATTGAGTTTCTTTCGCTTCTTGAATTCAACTGGGCGACGAGGCAACACGCGAGCAATCAAAGACTTGTGGAAGAAAAGTAGGTTTGCTTCAGTTTTAACGCAATATTTCAAGTACAAATACTTTTAAATGATTTATCAAGTGATTAATTAAGTCATTTCCTCTGGTTTAATAGAATCATTTCCTTCGGAAGTCGAATCGTTGCGCAAAGTAGGAACCAACTGATCAGCAAAAGTTGGAAGAGGCCGCCGAGAAACGGTCCTCCTGGTAGATAATGATAGTCTTCGAGAACAACATCCAGCCGGCCATTAGTCCACACTGTATTGATATTGTGCTGGACATCCTGATACTTTTCAGTAAAAACAGCGATCAGGATATTGAGAAGTATAAGATTCGAGCAGAGCATGAAAAAGGCGGTCACCATTGTCGACAAAACTGTTGTTTCTGGACAGCGAGGTAGGTCGCTAGTGTCCTCGAGGACTCCGCGGCAATCGTCGGGATTCTCGTATTTGTCTATTGTAACTTCGGATAAAAAGGCCTCGCCATAAAGCATGAAATATGGCTTGAATGCAGCTTTTAACACGTACTTCAGCAAGCCCAGATTTCCGAAGCTCTGTCCATTGTTCGGTAAGATCAGATTTTCGAGAACAACTCCAATCGGCAGCAGGAAAACAAGGACAACGATGAAAAAGTGTCCAACGCTGACTATCGTTTTGTAAAGAGCCATCACCATCGGACCCAAATGCTTTGAGTACAAAAAGTATCGCATCAAAGTCAACGTTTGAAAAAACATTGTAAGGTTGATGAGAAAGTAGCTAAGAAAAGCAACCCATCGCAGATTTTCTTCGTAGCAAACTTCCTTGTCACAAGAAGAGGAAGGAACAGTGAAAAATTGTCTGAATCCATCGGAGAAGAAAGCCAAGGGATTTTCATGACTTGTAAAAGATGTTCAAAACTTCAGTGTTTTCCGAAAAAAACACACTTGTCGGATTCCAGAACGAGGACAACTTGAGTTGTTGTTATTAATAAATTCTTGAGCAAAGAAATGTCAAGGCTTGTTGTTAAGTTATGGTCTCGTGATGTGTTTAAAACTGTCTCTAGAATGTTGTTGAGGATCACTCAACAAGTAGCCATTTTCATTTTTTTGCTCATTCCACTCTGGGAATTCTCAGAGTCCGGACCCGCACAATTTCAAGGTAACTTTTTCGAATTTGAAAACTCGATACTAACGACAACTTTTTAGTCCTTCAAAAGGATTCAAAATCTACAATTGCCGAGGCAGTTGTAGTCAAAATGTATTTCCGAAAAGGGAGCTCTCTTCTTACTCAGGCTCCAAAGCCAGGGGCCTGAATAAAATCAATTTTCCTGAAAAGGAAACTGCATGCATCAAAATCAACCTGAATAAAATCAATTTACTGTACTAGAAAATCATTGGTTTAGAAGTCGAAACTTTCTTCTATACCTTGTTAGTGTTTTTTGTTCTTTTGCAGGCAACTTTTGTTAGAAAAAAAGGTCATTATGGCAGTACAAATTAGACAAAAATGCGTTTTAGATGAGGTTGTAGTTTAGAGGTGAAAATTGACCACAACAACTAGGGTGGTCCGCGTTCTAGAGAGTCTCTAGTAGAGACAGCTCAACTCGTAGTGTTTTAGGAAGACTGTTTTGAATTATCCGGCCTTTTGAGACTGTGGTTTGATCCATAAAAGTCTTGATATAGTTTTTGATATGAGTTGTTTGGAAAATAGATTTCTTCTGAAGTCGAAAGAGGTTCTCCTTCGAGAAATGACTCTGTGAAAACTTCGTCGGGAGTCCATTCAGTAAATATTTTACGGCAAAGTATTGCTGCCAGGTAAATGACGTAAGAGATGCCATAGAATATTGTAAAATATGATTTCGAGGTTCGTTTTAGATACATTTTTGTGGCGTTAATTTTCCTAGACAACGTTGGCCGCAGCTACAAAACAGGTTTGAATAGAACTTCGTCGCAATAATTATAAATCAAAACTGGTAAGTATACCTTTGAGAGAGTAACAAGAAGAAACAGGAAAAAAATCGCGGAGTCGAAAAACGTCCATCTGTATGAGGATGCGGCAGTGGAAGCATAGAGAGCGAGAATTAGGACGAAAATGACGTCGGAAAGGCAGTTGTAGGTAACCATGACGCGGTTTGAGAAGTGCCAGGTGTAGAAGCGGAACTGGATACGCTCGAAAAAGGTGCGCGTCATAAAATTATCGCGCTCCGCAAAGTCGAAGCATTTGAGGTCTATTTAAATTGCAATAGTTCCGCTGTGTCCCTTGAGTTTATGACTCACCTGTACGATGGAAACTCACTGAAGGATCAAACTCAAAGTAGCCAGGGCCAAACATATCGCCCCACATTTTCTGGTTATAGAATTTCAAAGAGTCCATTTTGAAATATCCGCTAAAGAAATATAACTTTTAACACTAGCTTTTTTGAAAAAAAAACCTGTATAAAGAGTCTCCGAAAAGAGCAGGAATGGTTCCAGCACTGACAATACCAAGCCAGAAGCGAAGTTGATCCCTAAACCTTGCGCTTCTTTTCAGCCCACCTCTGAAAATAAAGCCGAGCTGGCGTTGGATGACCTCGTCCCATACGAATCGACTTAGTTTGCCGATCTTGGCGATTTCCAAAATTGTAATCTGGTAAGTCTTCGTTATAGCGATCAGATCATTGGGAAGGAGTGAAGCTCTGTTTTCACTAGGCATGCCTGGTACAATTGATCCATGTCGATTTGCGGGCACTCCCTTTTTGTAGCTCGGATCAAGATGCGACTTCGAAATGATCTCAAAGGCTCGCGACGGTCGGCACTGTAGGAGCTCGATAGCGAGCTCCTCGTAAATATCGGAATAGTGAACACAGAATTTTTGAGCATTTTGAAAGCCTGTTTTGCCAAAGAACTTGGCATTGTCACGGAGCACGAATGCGCTCACCGCCGCCTCCTCCAGAAAGAGCTTCAACTTCTTCTGGTGCTCTTCGTCTCGCGTGTTCCATTCGTTCACCTTGCGACTCTGGTTTGTTTTGAAACTCTTTGCACAGTCGATTGTTTGTTTTATCGATGATGCCACTTTTGCGAATTGTGAAATATCATCGTCTTCTTCCAGAATAGTGGCCATTCCTGCTGGAGCTTGAGCAAAAGAAGCTCCCATAAATGATCGTCGGATTTTAGAGACCTAGAAGTAATATTAAAATGAGTAGCCATTTATATTCTGAGTATCTAACCCGCGTCTTACAAACTTGTCTCTTCCAAAAATAGCACCACTTGATTTAGAGTTTAAAACCAATAACGAACACTTAGATTATACCTGATATTGTCGTCTAACATCATCCTTGAAGTTGTTCATCTCCACTTCTTCGAATCCAAACGCGTCAATCATGATGTCCTTTGCCCGTTCACAGAGACTGGTCAGATGTTCTTGAGGATTAAGCAAAACATGAAACAAGTTTTGAGTAAATTGATATTCTCCGTCGTCATTCTTATCAAAGCTTTTAATATTCTGAAAAAACTAAGGAAGCTCTCCTTCAAAACAAGAAAGAAACTGTGAATTTTTGTATCTAAAAGCGCTGCCTGTGGGAGAATTAGGCTAATCTTGCTTTTGAGCTCTCCATGAATAAGATTTTCTAGGTGCTGACGTACAATGACATCTCTTTTCGATGGGTTTATAGTTCATACTCTTGCATACTAAACACATACTAAATATCTACCCATTGGCTAAGCTCGCCTTCTGGAGATTTTCGCTCGACATCGTTCGGATCAATCAAGGGAACATTTAGTGAGTCGGTATTCACGTCGTAGATGATAAAGTACAAGTTCGCCAAGTTGACCTCGCCGACTCCTTCGCGCGCCCTAAATTTCCTCTTTTAACAAGCTGCTAAAATGAGCTGTCACTTTTTGAGCAGACGAGTGCAACTGTTAGAAACAAGTTCTACAGTCGCGGGATCCAGCGCCGGGCGGAAAGGCTCTTGCTGATCTATAAGCGGAGTTCGCAGCGATAAAATACTTAGATTCTAGGATTGAATATATACTGCTTCAAAAATTATATTGTTATACGCAGAGGGAGATTTTTCTGAACTCGGGCCTCTATCACACTCGGCTAGCTCCATAATGGGCCGTAATGTTTCGCGCGTTCCGTTTGCAGAAGCTGCAGTGGATCGCCATAAACCTGTCTTGAAACTGTCACTTCTTACCGTGCTTCGAGTTGGCGCAGCCGCTGCTCCACTACAAGTGCGATTTGTTCCTCGTCCATCCAAAGGTAGCTATTTGTGGCTCATCTCTTTGTCGAGTTCGTATTCTGAACGCTTCCGCTATGTTTTGTGGTATCAGTTGAGCCGGCCGACTTTACGCCAGAATCACGCTCGTTAACCATCAATAATGACGCCTGTTTCTCTAAGACCAGTAGAAACTTTCAGACAAAACCAGCTGTAGCACCTCGACACCGCGACGGCTCAAGCGCTTTTATGGCGTCAATAGACTGAAGAGAAAGTAGAAATATGGCCTCCCTAAAGGTCTTCACAAATCCCACGTTGGGATCTCTCCTAGAGCGAAATTTCACTTTGATTGATTCTCTGGGAATTCATATGTGAAAAGATTGTATCTGTACCTTCTAACTTTAAGGCGTCTCTTTTTGAGAAAATTAACTCTTTCAAAAGAAAAAACGGAAAAGGCACAAAAAGATAGGTAGTATGTTCGCTGCAGGGATCAATCCTAAATTGCTCCATCTTAGGTTGCTCATTATTAGATTAAAGTCGAATTCTCCTGAATTGAATTTTGGCAGACTGAATTGAACTTGAATTTAACAGATTGAATGTCAGAAGACAGGGGACAAGTTGTTGATTGCGGTTTCAGCGGAGTAGCGGCCAGTCTACCCAAAGCATGCACCCGCTGAGAGAATACTGCTTTTGCATGAGGTGAGTTTTGAACATTCGACCAGAAATGAAGTTGATTTCTTACAAGTTGCTGTAGCACGAGAATTCGTAAAAACACGGAACCACTTTCTCCTCGCGCCGCTGTTCATGTTCGACGGAGGACTCTTCCAGCTCTTAGCTCTCCAGGAATGATAAGCTAAGTTTCCCTTTCTTCGTTGATTGCAGTTTACGCGAAGAACTTATCAACTTTGAGCAAGGAATTCGAAAGATATCCAACATGGCTGGAAAAATGCGTTCTTCTATTTTTATTCCTCGTTAGAGTTTTATGCTGTATTTTAAACCAATAAAATTGAAAATTTGAGAGTTGGCAGTTGCGCTGAATGTTTATTAATAGCTACCAATCAAAATGATATAGTAAATTTCTGACAAGTTTCCATGGTTGGAAGTTTTTAAACAGACAACGTGCGAGGTGCTGAAAGTCATGTCAAGAATTTTAAATTTGCGAATCTACCATTAACAGGGGAGCTCATTGACCTGAGACCCCTTTCAATGTCGAATTAGCACCTGACCACTCTTAAGCTCCACACGTACAAACTAAATCATTAGATTTGCTCCGAAGTCTGATACGTCATTCTTTTTAAAACATTGATTATTTCAAATTTTCAATTATCTTCTTCTTTTTTGCCGAGGAAGGCAAAAAAATATATGCTTTTCGTGTCGAGCGCAAGAACTTATTTATGGGCTCATAATCGCCATCCTCAACTTATAGACGTCAATTCAAGCATGTGTCCTCGAAAGTCACTTTCAGTAATTTTTTGTCTGATCGGCTCGATGCTACGCAATGAAAAGGTTTCTCTTTGAAGGTACTAATTATATCGCTATTTGAGTAGTTGTACCCTTCCAGCTCCACTCACTTTGTTTGGTCTTGTATCGCTCTGATAAGTCCCGGGTCCAGATCCTGGGCAAGGAGCCTAAATCTCATTCATCAACTTCCGAGAAACAATCTCAAAATGCCAAAAAGTAGCGTTTTCTATACAACAACATTATCAGAGAAACCGCTTAGTGAGTCGGAAAAATCTTCTCTTATAAATAGGTACAAAAAACATGAAATAAAACGAAGCCATCTAATCAATCCCGTTAATAGAACTAAAAGTTAGAATTATTGTAAGCATTTAAAAACCTCTTTATTGAAGTTATCCGACAGTTTCCTTTTAGTGACTCGATGGAATATGCCGCAAACATAAAGGCAGATCTTACCGGATGCCACCAGGGCGCGTTGAGCCCACCTCTGAGCACATGTAAAAGGTCGTTTTATATATCCGGGTAAGTGTGTATCTTACTTCTTGCAAGGAGAAACTACAAGTAGCAAAAATAATCTCACAATGATACTATGATTTTCATAAGAAAATGAACTTGAGACGAATTGAGATATCGTCATAAATAGAGGTCTAAATCGCTTACTTTATTCATTAACTTTCTGCTTCTACCAGTACATGAAAAGAGCAATAAGGAAAGCGAAATCGTCAGGAATTAGTGGTAGAATGACTGAGTAGATGATTTTCTGCGACAGTCACGATTTAGTCAGAGAACTAATCTTTGACTTCTGAGATGCTAAATAAGCGAAATGACTTATCACAGAACCCATGGTCATCCGGCGTGGAGTTGCCCAATCATTGATACAGTAGGGGAGGTAGTCCCAAGTGCCACTTTCAAGGAGTGCTATATAGATGTCGAGCTTTGGCAGCGTGCAAGGCCAAGAGAAGTAGATCAAGACCCAAAATTTGAATAGTTTTTCAAGGTGCCCATAATTTTAAAAGTGTTTGGATCATTGAACGGGGTACTAATCCGAGAGAAAAGCGCCACTCTTCGCACCCCGCCAAAAATGCTATATGCGCCCCTAGTCGAGATTTTTGACCATAATGATCGGCAGAGAGACAATTCACTACTTCTTGAGTCACACTGCCTCTGATTTCTGTTCTAATTGCGCCGGCCAGAAATTAGGGCCGATTTGGCGCGAATTAACCAGCTAGCTTCACCGACTTCAATTTTCAGTGTGCACAGTGCGTCAGAGAAGTCGAAGATGACCAAGAGCTACGAAGAGCGCGTTTCTTCCTACCGACGAACTTTTGGCCCCGAAGGTCCCGGCCAGGCCCAGGCCTCGCAACAGTCCACTCGCTCTGAGCACGTTTCCTACAGGTAACCATCAATCAACTACTTCCGAATCAGAAAGAACAAACTCGCGAGTAATGCCATTTCAGCACTTCCAATCTTCTCGGCTCATCAATGGGCGGTGGACGCACCACTCCAACTGGCACTTCCGGTACCAGACGAGTTCAGCGATCACATGAGCGAGCAAAGTCCTCCGGAGTCACTCGACGAGGTAATTTTTTTTTCTTATGAAACATTGATTACTTATAAGTAAGGAAAACACATTTCTTTCGAAATTTATTTCTTTCAACCGCTGCGACTGGAGTAACTTTAGTAGGGATAATTGATAACGACCTGTTGATGACGATCCCATAGATCGCTCTCTCTTTTCAATACACGCGAGCTGCCAGAGCTCTGTGAGGTCAAGTTCATTAGTAATCTTCAAAGAGCGTCAGTTCTGTTAAATACTTTTAGATCTCGAAAACTTGGCTGCTCCTATCGGTCCCCAGTTTGTCTCCCAGAGAACCAACGAGAAAGAAGAACTCAAGACCTTGAACAACCGATTCGCCCGATACCTCAAGCGAGTCCAGGATCTCGAACGAGAAAACAAAATTCTTGAAGCACAGCTCACTCAGGTAAGAGTTTTTCGTCAATTTCCGCCGTCAGTAATCAATCAAATCATCCGAATTATTGTCGGCAAATTAACTCAGAAATTGTATTCAATTTACTCTTAATTTTTCAAATAACGACTAAAAAAGTTTAATGTAAATCTAGCTCAAATCTCGAGGACCTTCCAACCTTGCTGAAAAGTATGAAGAAGAGCTCCGACGACTCCGCCAGATGGTCGACAAGCTCACTCATGAGCGAGCTAAGGCCGAGATGGAGCGAGACAACTTCGCCAACGAAGCCGAGCAGTACCACGAAAAATACGAGGAAGAACTTGTAAATCAATGATTTCTTGGCATTCTCTTACCAGTTTTTAGGCCCTCCGAAAGGACCTCGAAGCTGACCTCGCTCAGATGCGAAAGGATTGCGATGACGCCACCCTCGTCCGAGTTGACCTTGAGCGAAAGATCGAAACCATGGTCGAAGAGATGGAGTTCCTCAAGAAGATCCACGCCGATGTAAGTCAATAATCGAGGTCCAAGGTGCTCAATTAATATTCAGGAAGTCCGAGAACTCAAGGATCAGCTCAACTCTGTTGAAATCAAGATCGAGGCTGCTCCTGGACCAGATCTCATGGGCATGATTGACGAGATCCGAGCTCAATACGATAAGCTCGCTGGTAAGTCTGACTAAGATCGTAATTTATGACCTCGAGAGATTCTCTCTTCTGCTTTCTGCAATCGTGGTAATAAGTATATAGTTGCTGAAGTAATTACGTAAGCAGAAATTAGGATTTCCGTGAGGGTTAGTGCTAAGTATCTCGAGTGTTCTAGTTTTACTAACGATATAAATAGCTCAGAACAAGATGGAGGCCGAAGACATGATCAAGGCCCGCGTCGCAAAGGCCACCGAACAGTCGAAGAAGGACGCCGAGGCTATCCGAGAATACAAAGACCAAGTCGGCGAATACCGAAAGACCGTCCAGACCCTTCACATGGAGATCGACTCGCTCCGATCTGCGGTGAGCATTTAGCAAATTATCTATTGATACGTAGATTACACGCGGCCGGGTGGTAATCCACATTAGCAATCCACAGGGCGCTGTCAAAATGTACAGATTAGGAAATTTTCATAATTCGTCGTCTCACATTCAAACGCATATTTCGTTCAGAACGACTCTCTCAACAGAAACTACTCCGACTTGGAAGGACGAAGCCGACAAGATGCTAACAACTTTGAGGTTGACAGATTTATGTAACGAGCTGTTATATAACAACTATTCTAGGACCAGATCCGTGCTCTCCAGAACGAAATCGAGGACCTCAAGTCCCAGATGGCCAACCATCTCAGAAGCTACCAGGAATTGATGAATGTCAAGGCTGCTCTCGACTTGGAAATCAACACATACCGAAATCTCCTCGAAGGCGAAGAACAGAGGTTCGATCAAGCTCAGCAGAATGCTCAGCAATTTGCCCAGCAGTCTCAGTTTGACAAGCCCTTCTAAATTTGATTGTCCATCTATTGCAGAGACTGCTTAGTTAGCCCAATTAACCCCACTTCACCCGTTAACTGAAAAACTAACCTTCTAACTAAATATCGATAAAAATGAGCCAGGACGACCCTGTTCTTGGAACGGTCCGGCGGGCCAGAATGCGTTCCAACTCCAAAGTTCATATACGTATTTAAATGTCCCCTTTTACCTAAAAAATACGAAAAAAATCTACAAAAAGATAGAGAAGCTTCTGTTTAGATTGGATTCCCGACCCAACAATGCCGATCTTATGTCATACGCTCAGTCTACTCTCCAGGTAAGCTCAAATCAAATCGACAATAAGCAATCAAAATTATTAGCAGAGCCAACCTGTTGCACAGCCTGAAGAGCTCTCGACGGTGACGCACAAGCGAGTCGTTGTTCGAACTATTCAGACCCGAGATGGAGAGGTAAGCGCGAGATTAACCCTTGAATGTGGCTTGTTGATAACATAAAAGTGTAGCAGACCGAATCAACGGAATCGACCACGGTTAGCGCGGGTGAGGTAGAGCCAGTCTCAGCCTCACTGAAGCCTCCCATGTCCCCGAGTCCAGCGCGACGCGCGTCCGGGGAACAGGCAGGTCGAGACCGCACTAAAAAATCCAGAGTCGGAAAGAAGGGCTCGCAAAGTCCCCAAATCCCTCGCAAATTGCTCCAGCGCGCGCGCTCGAGCTCCCGGGATTCCCTTCACTCTCTTGACAGTGAAGAAGTCTTAGTCCGTCATTATTCTACCGAAGATCTTAGTGTAAGAACAAGTGCTAACAGTCACAAGACACGCGTTAAAATTAACTCACCCGCACCAGTGTCGAGCCTGTGATCCGGTCTTAAACATAGTACTTCCGTTTTGTAAAACTTCAATCAGCATGTTCGAGCCTGGTTCGGCTTTTTGTGCGTTGAACCGTTTATTTTGCATTTCGAAGAAGCCTTCGAAAATCTCACTCTCTTCTTAAGGTAATTGCTCAGTCAGAGGATGTCCGTGAATCCAATGAGTAAACCAAAACAACGCAGACAGAAGCCACCCTGATTGATACTTAAAAGAATGAACTATTCGTCAGTAAATATTACCCTTGTAAATCCATATTATTATCATTTATACCATTACTTGTATACATGTTCCTGATTTTTAAACGGCAGGACGATTGCCATGAAACTAACAAAGAATAAAGCGAATAAACTGCACTATGACTGGAATCAAATGAGATTGATTTATGTTATATTTAAAATTTACCTGGGCGTGCGTTCTTGAAATTGGTGGAAGCCGTTGTTGGTACGCTCCGTTCAGTTCCGCTACTAGTTATTTTCCGTTCGTAAAAAGTGTTTGATTGCACTCGGCAAACATCATGAAAATGAAATTTTCATTCTGCCAAGGACGCTTGAATCAATAGTTTAACTGAACTAAGGACAGAGATGAAAGTACTGTTGGCAATAATAGCTGCTGTTCGCGGGTAAGAATCAGAGGTGTTATGAAATCAAGGAGGACAACTAACTTTATTTTCTAACAAACATGAACTTTTGATAGTCTCACTTGCGAGGATGGTCAAGTGAAGACTTTTTTTAAAATGACGGAAGCGGAGCGAAATGCGAATTGGGACGATGTTTCCAAGGATCTTTTGAGAAACACCCTGACTAGTGCCTACAGGAAACACGTATGGCATATAGCAAGAGTTCGTTATCTATCTGTAGCTAGAACAACGACCAGAATGCGGAAATCGCTTGGGGCGAAGAGACAAGACGGGTTTCATTCTGTCTTCGAGTCAAGGATAACGTCAACAATGAATCTGCAAGAAAAATCCGCGAAGCCATCTACTACCTCAAACGTAATAGAACTTTGCATGAATTTTCTAAATAAAAATTCCAGCGAATATCTACGGAGCTATGCAAACAAATGAGAGTGTGCTTGTCTTCGACGGTGTCCCAAAGACATACGTTATCGAAGAGGAGTCCAGTAAGTTGTTTGGCGCGTCCAAAGTATTATTTCTGATTTAGGACAATGGCTCTACCCTTATTACGCGTTTATGGGACTTGGACTTATCGGTATTGCTGCTTCTCTCTACGCATCGGCGAAAGAAAACAAGGTCGACGAAGCGGAAGAAGAAGAGATGGAAGAAACAGAGAGAAAGTCATCCATCAGGTGCACTTATCCTATCTTGAAAAATTGAGAACAGCAATAATTTTAGCCCGTCCGACGTTAACACGAATTATCAGTCGATTGAAAAGGGCGATGGATTCGAAAGTCACGCTGATGATGGAGAAGCTGCTTTTTAAATCTATCGGACATTTGTATAGAATAAATCTAGTATAAACAACTTAATTTTGTAAATATCATTGGCATTTATTTGTTAATATTGCAGGTTAATTAATTTTTAGTATTTTGAGGAAAGAAGTGAAGTGATTTCTTTGACCCTCTTCGGGTCGATTTCGTTTTCCCAATATCCGTGTTCCTTGAACTCAGAGCCAATGATGAATCCATCAACCGACTCAGCATAGTGGAGAATATTCTTGGCGCTAGTACCAGAGCCGATAAAAACCTTCTGGTTCACTGATGCGCGCACTTGAGTGATATCGTTCTTCTCCACTGGTGTGCCTGTATGCTGCCTGTAATTTGACTTTGAAGAAGTTGAATGAGGAGTAAACCTTACCCGGTGACTATCAGGCCATCAGTTAGAAAGAAATCTGCAGCTACAGCTACGTCCGCTATTGAAAGATCTCCTGTTATAGCATGCGATGAGTGTTTCTTTTTGATGTCTTATTTTATGATTAAAAAGAATTATTTTCTAAATCAGTTGCATTTTTCTTTCTACAATCAAATTCCTGTGAAGATCTTAATATTGTCTGCTCCTATGTTGCGTCTATACCTAAGCAGTTCCGCTGCATCCGACTGCGCAAAGCCCTCGTCGCCGATATGTCCGAAGACAAACGATTCGCATCTAATGCGACGATTACCATCGACTAATCTCAACAAACGCGGTCAAATCACCTGATAAAATCTAGATCCGCGGCGAGGGCTATAGACAGAGCTTCTTTATTTCCGCAGCTTAGGACTTGCACTCCAGCGGTGACTGTGGGAAACTGGGATCTGAATTGCTGCGCGATCGCCGCTCAATTTGGGTTTTCTCTGTTTCTAATTTCAGTTCTCAATTTGTAAGATTGCTACTAATTGCGCTCAAAACCGGACCCATTATGGCAGTTACTTCCGGGTTCCGATGTTCCGGCCTCTGATATGGGACATCATGCATGTTCTCAATTATGATCCCATCGACCCCATTGTTTAGAAGGGTATCTACCTCTTGGAGCGCTTTGTCGGCTATCTGGCGGACGGTAAGTTTATTTCGGGGCGCACCTGGCAGCGCACGCTAAAGAGAACTGGGTCAATCATGCACACATCACCTATCACTAGGTATTTACCAGGTGTACCATGCCAAAGATAAGAGGACGCTGCATGATTGAAACCTGAAATGATCTTTGCTTATACTGGATCACAAAAAATGAAACTCCTCGCAGCAGAAGGAAAAATCTCATTTTGAATAAAATTGAAATGTTAAATTTCAGTATTATTATCTTCGAGGGCAGTGTTGCTTATGAGCAGACGCGATGTATAAATGCGATAAAATGACATTGCATGTCGTGCTACAAGCAAAAAGAAATGTACAAGATTTAAAGAAAGATAAAAATAGGGGAAATTTGGAAAATGGGACATTTGTAATTGAAAAAGTGAGGGTAAATTTGAAATAACGACGTAATTTGCCAGTTAGATTGATAAGGACGGTCTATCAGTAAGATGTGCCAGCTTCTTGTTTTTCTTCCTCGAGCACAACTTTGTTTTTCCGGTTCTCCTATAAAAATAATTAAGGAAAAAGTGAAAAAAGTGAATGTACCCAGAGAATTCGCTCCTCGTAGAACTGGAAGACCAAGTGAGGACATTTTGCCTTCGCTTCTTTTGCACTAACGATATCTGCAGTCTCGCTATTCTCCCTATATACCGCGTTTGTTTTCTAAGTCAAAAAGGATACTACTACCATTTAATCAAGAAGACAAGCTCTGCATCAGTACTAGCCTTCTTTCCATTTTCACCCTTTTCGTTGATCGTGGCCGCGCCGATAATTCTTTCTGGGACTAGCCCCCTTTCGAAGCCCTTCTTCTTGGTCAAGTCGACCATGTCCGTCAGTTTGCCCTCTGCACCTCGTTTCTTTCGGTTCTGCCACTTTGGATCGCTCTCCCTTTCCTTGCGCGCTTTGGCCAGCATCGCTTCTTCAGACTTTTTGGAATCTAAAAGTTATTCATTTGACTCCTTTGTTTGTTGAATTTGCGTTACCTTCCCAAGCTTTGATGATCCCAGGGCAATCGAGGTTCTCTACTGGTTCCCAAGTGTCATCCTCACTAAGAATATAATATTTTTCAAATATGAAAGGTAGATCATACGCATCATAACCGCGCCATCTGATGAGGTATTGCAGTTGGCCCTGATAAGTGCGCTGGTTGAGGATTTTCTCAACTTCGAATTCATCTTCTTTGAATTCTTCCTTAGGCTCAGTCTTGGATTGGGGCTTCGACATTCTAAAATGATTGCGACTAAGTTGTGGGTCCGGTAAAACTGTTGGAAGCGCGAATAGAAGGCCACTAACTCATGCTAATGGGCTGTAAACTTGGATCAGATACGGGTTTTTACAAGCTCCAATAAACACGGCGATTCTGCCTCCCCATCGCCACCTGGGAGCCTAATCATTACGCGAATAAATAGTCGACGCGCTCTCCTCCTTGGTGAGTAAATGAGCATGTTTAAAAAACAGCTAAAATACAGGGTCAGTTTGCCTGAAGAAAAGCCCATTCCCCCTCCCAGAGACTACGAAAACAACGACGACTCAATGCAGTACGACTATATTCCCTCTGAATCTTCAGAGAGTCTGAAAAGCTTCAGCAGCTCCTCAAGTAGCAGCATTAGCACCAGAGCACAAAGCAAACGGCTCAAGGTCAAACATTTTCTCTGCTTTCTCTAATACTAGTATTATCAAAAATGGTGTAAATAAAACGAAAAATTATCGAAAAGAGGTCGCTGTTTTGATCGATTTTTCTCAATCAAGCTCTATCCCGATTTAAAGAGTATTCTCACGATTTAGCAAGAGTTATTTTAATTTTGTTTACTATTTCAATACAGCAGAGTTTGAAATGCTCGCAAATGCTCGCGAGCGCAAAGAGCGAGAGCGAAAATATATTATTGCTCTGAGAGCAGGGGAGCGGGAGCATGAAAATGAATATGTTCGAGAGCCAAAAGAGCGAGAGCCCAAATTTGAAACCGCTCGCGAGCGCGGAGAGCACGAGCGCATTTGTCGGCAATGCTCGGGAGCTAGACGAGCGGGAGCGGCTGCTCTCGTGCTCGCCATGGAATCGACTCACGAGCGGCTCGCGAGCAAAATTAAAACAACAATTTTTTGCATTATTATTCACTTTGATGGATAAATTTCTCTTGTGGATCAATTTTTCGTTTTTCCGTTTTGTGCAAGCTTCATTAGATCCGTTATCTCGGCAGCAGAACGCGAAAAGCCGAGAGTAAACAGATAAAAGGTGCCCACCGCGAAGTGCTAACTCCTGTGAGAGGGACTCATTTGGAATTTGTTACGGGGTCGTCGAATCATTTTAGGTTCTTGAAAGCTGCTCGGGAGTCAGATTTTTCAGCTCGGGAGCCAATCGAGCGAGAGCAAAATTTGACCAGTGCTCGGGAGCCAGGAGAGCGAGAGCGCGAAATGAAATCCGCTCGGGAGCACAAAGAGCATCATGCTCGTGCTCGCTCGCTCTCAAGAGAGCCGCTCGCGAGTCACGAAAATTTCAAACTCTGCAATACAGTATGTTTTCCGTTTTTATATGGTAGGAGCAGGACAGAAATTATATATTCATAAATTTGGGAGTGGTTAGCTGAGGTTTTGCTTCACTTTGGGACCGTCCCAGAATGACTTCAATTCTTTGCGACAATAACCAACAAGAGCGACGCCAATGCATGTACTAGGGACGATGAAAGCAAGTGCAGGCTGTCCGGATTCTGATAAAAAGCTCTTTATTATTCACCACTGATTTTTCATCCGAGGATTTTCGAGCTGTTCCTGTAATGATCAGCGCAAGGAAAGTGAAGATCAACCCAAGTGCGTAACTTCCAACAAACGTCCAGAAAAACGGCATCCTCGTGTAGCCATTGGCCCGATCAAAGATCGCGCAGTAAGTGCCTTGAGTGATCGTTAATTCCTTGGAGAGGACAAAATTTGGTGTTACCTAGAACGCCTGGCAGAATGATGTCGCCATAGCCGAGCATTGACTCGCGCGTCCCGTCGGAACAGAGATCGTCGTAAATAGAAGGAACTATGTGCGGAACACGGAATAAAAAGGGAATCTTCTCTTTTGAAGCCGAATTCGAAGCGCCGCCAGTTGCAACGTCTAACATCACGGAATCGCCGTTCTTCGTGAAGAAAGGAGTAATGTATACCATGAAGATATCGTACAAACAGAAGGCGATCTTGAATCAGCTATTATTACTGTATGCTTGAAAAACCTACTTGAAGAAGGTAGACATTAGCTCCCTTGGAGACTCGAATTTCGGAAACGCACTCGATGCAGAAGCAAAAGCCAATGATATCCTGCAAAATCCAAGACCAAGGATAATGCCGACATACGGCCCAGGTGATACCAAGCCCCATCGAAACAATGATAGCGAATACAACTAAACTCGATTAGTTTTTACTCAGAAGCGATAAGGTTTATTCTTACGGGACCACGGTGCACCGCTTCGACATATTGCCTTGGGAATGCAATCTAGATAACGCCAGTGGACATCTTTGGTAGGCATTCTGTATGAATGGCTGCAATTGAATCGGAGTAAAATTTGATTGTACAGAACTAGAATAGGTTAAACATTCGATTCTGGATAGTAGGTACCTGAAAGAACAGCGAAACTGCCGCTTATTGTGAAAATGGCGATAGCGAACCAAACCATGTAATCGTAGAAAAAGTAAATTCCTAGAAGGGAGCAACTTGCGAGAAGAACAGCGACTAGTAGATTCAATATTTCTTGATCTGAATTGAGCGCTTCTACCTAAACTTTGACGGGCAGTGAATTGATCTTTCTCTTCGTCATCAGCGGGCAGGATGATTCTTGTTTCGTCGGAAGTCGTCGAACTTGTGCGTGCTAATTGTGGTCGATCTGACTGCGAGTCTGAAATTCTCGTTAGATTAAGGACGATAGGAAAGCTCAACAGATGATGCACAATCACGCACGCACGCACATTTACAGAAGCAACTACAAGCGAACAATCGAATTAAAACATGCTGGCGAATTCGCTGTCAGCCTCTTTTTTATTCAGAATGATCTCTGATTCTTTAGAAGAAATCGTAGATTCAACGCAGCACGAACTAATATGCGAAATTATACCTATAGTCGTACGCGAGGGCGGACCGGACTGCTCTGCAGCTAAAATTGGAGCGTTGCGAGTACCTGATCCACTGAGCCAGCCGCCGAGAGTGACAGAAGTGAGAGCGATGAGAAACATGGGCAGCAGAGTCCAGTCGACCAGTTTGTGCGCCGGTGCATACAAAAGTCCTTTCACAAGACTTCCATCAGCAACCAACTCGTGTATTTTCCGGTAACTATAATATGATTGGGAAAAAGCGCGATAGCGGGACGACATACCTTGAATTTGAAAGAGTAGCAACGAACATACCAAGGTGATCCGCGTTCGAAGTGTTACCTGGCGCAGATAAGGGCGTCGTATCGTTGTTTACCTATGAAAGTTAATTAACTTCTTTGTAGTGGATATGTTTAATTTACGCTGATAAGGCCGTATAAAGAGCCGCCAGCGGACTCTTTCGCATTACTGGATTTGTCCTGGAATGAGCACATTCCTCTTTCGACAAGTGTGGCTGTACCAGCTTCGGCTGTAGCCTCGGAACCATTACAAAACGCATTCTGACCGAGGGAGTATTTGTCGGAGAAATGAATGAAGTTGTTTCCCGTGGGCGTCTCGGGAAGCTCTTCAGAAAACCCGAACTGAAAAGTATTCTTACGATGATGAAAAGATGGACAATAGTACCGATCTTGCGAAAGACGTGCATATGTCTATTTGCGTCAAACCAGCGTCATTTGCGAGTCGTATAATCGCGTACTCCGCCACCACGGCAGGTATTAAAGACAGCTTCATTCACCGCTCCTCGATTTTTGGTCCGAAATCTGAAACCAGAGAGTTTTAAATTTGGATGATGAAGAATGAACGGGTTGAAGAATCAATGAACTGGTGAATAGTTGGAACAGAAAGGGATTTAGAATCAATTGAATGGGTTGTTGGCGTCGTTTTCGTCCTCGTCGTCGCCGAATGGGTTCCCTGCGTCTCCTGAATCGTCTTCGCCGAAAGGATTTCCTTCGCCTTATGTGAGGGGTCGTTTATACGGCATTATATTGAGATATTTCTTATAATTCTTGTTGACCTTTCCTGGACTTTCAGAATCATCATCGCCAAACGGATTCCCACTTGGTTCGCTTGGTGACTCGCCAAACGGATTACTGAATTCGAAGTTTTTCTTTTTCTCTGCAGTTGGCTCGGGCTCATCTGGCTCGCCGAAAGGATTCCCTTCGTTCTCTGAAGAAACTTCCTCTCCAAATGGATTCTCAGCGGGTGGAATCGTCGCTGGTTTGTTCAATTGGATATCGAAAGGTTTTTCCTCTGGCGGTACTTCCAAAATCGCTTTCACCGAGTTTGTCTTTGGACTTCTGGAGTCTTTGGAGAAGGATTTAGGCGTTTCTGGAGTCAGACCAAATTTAAGTTCGCTTGCTATCCGCGCTCTGTTCGCCAGGAGCTTGTTTGAGACGGGTTTGGACTCGGTTACAATTTCGTCTTTAGGCTTCTCAATTTTCCTCTTATGAGTTATAATTTCTCCACGCGCGAGCATGTCGATAATTGTCCCAAAGCTGTCCGAAGACTTGCTCACTTGCCCAAGAAACTTTTCGTCCGACATTTCGCCACTGCTGGCGAGTTTGAGCGACTGAAGGACCTGTCGGTTCTGCTGCGCGCAGATCGGACACTCGCCATCCTGATCAATGTAGGTAGTGAAGCAATGACGATGAAAGCTGTGGCCGCAGAGGAAGTGCACGCTTGGCAGTGAAAGGTCCTTCGCGCAGAGCTTACACTTGCTTAATTTGAAAATGCTCGCTTGTTGTAAAAGATTCTTGCGCTTCTCTTTCTGCTTTTCAATATTTGAGGAGAGTTTTGAAATGCGGCTTTCGCACTTTCGTATATCTTCGTCGTCCTTTTCCAGCTTCTTCAAAATCAGAGGCTTTAGAATCGAAATTGGAGCGGAGGAAGATTTCAGCATATTGATTAATGAGCTCAAATCTATGCATTCGGACGCAGCAGGTATCGCTTCGGTCAAGATTGCTTGAACTCCGTCGTAATTAGACCTACTCGACCAGTACAGGATCGCTTTTCTCCAAAGATCTGGCTCGTTTCGACCATTTTTCTTGCACAAATTGAGAGCCTGCTCGTTTTGTCCACTTTCCAGCAAGACGGAGAGTAAGTCCGTAAGATCGCCACCCGCTCCACTTTCTAGCAGTTTAACAAGTCCGGCTGTGAAATTGAATTGTCTACAGTAGACTAACGCTTGTTTGTACTCTAGCTTCTTGCTTTCAATCAAGCTGATTATGCTTTGCTCGAGGCGATGGATTTCTGCTTCATCGTTGGAAGAAGTAAGTCGACGAAGTTGCATTTCCATGAACCGCTGTGATAGAAATTTGAGGCCTTGGCATTTTCGTATAGATAGGCAGTACTCTGTGAATTCTAGTGCTAGCGAACTGTCTCCTTCGAGAATATCTAAGAGGTACTTGATCGATGGATATTTCTTTTTATTCTTTCTTGAAAGCTCTAAAAATGAAAACATCCATGCCTGAATATTCACTTCTGTCGACGGTGCCAAATCTAAATCATCTTTATCAATAAATTGAACTCTTCTGGGTGGAATTTCCTCGCCAGGCGATGTGACAACAATATTCTCCGCGTTGACGATTTCTTTCAGAGCGACCAGAAACGCTTTGCTGCAGTTTTGAACAAAATAAGGTCCATACTTTCGGAAAAGATTGAGTCTTTCCTCCAGAGAAAGGGATTTCACGTAGTTGAGCGCGTCGATAGGATTGGATATCTTTTCTGTCAAGATCATCATCACAAGGCTTTTAAAAAAGATGAAAACGGCTCATGCTTATAAATTTTGAGATGATTCGAAACGATTTCACCCTTTCCTGTGATTCTTCGATGCTTTGGCGAAGCTAAGGGCAGCTTCAGTAAGGCCTGATTGAAGCAGTACTCCCATCGCATTTTCAAGCGCATCTGAAGAAGGAAGCGAATCGAGCTCAAGAAGACGTTTCAGATTGTGCTCGTCTTTTTCTTTCGCGTAGCATGTGATGAGCAGACTTCTGTGTTCTGTGGCACCATTAACGATGTTGTGCTGCGAGTTATAGCTGACCAGGGCTTCGAGGTAGAGAGTAAGCGGTGGCAAGCGCTGAGCATCCATCAGTTTGTGCAGGACGTACGAAGGCTCTAGTTTGCCCAGCGTTTCGACATACTTCTCAGCTGCTTGCATCAGATCACCCTTTTCGAACAAGTAGTCTGCCCAGCGTTTGTTGACATCGGCCAGGCCACTCTCTCCGAATCCCTGCTCGTGGCAGATCGACTTCGCGATGTCAAAATGGTTTCGCTGGAAAAGCGTGTCCAGCTTCGCGTCAACATCGCACTCAATCAGTCGGGTCAGCTCTGAATTAAATTTTCTAACTGGAAAAGATAGCTTCGCTACCTAATTCTTCAGTGCCGCTGAGGATGCATATCGATGTCCATTCGCAGCAAATTGCGTGCACATCCGTGAAAACCGACGTAAATACAGAGAGACGATCTAAAAATTGAAAAAGAAAATAATTAATGATGATTGAAATTTATTTTTGGGACGCGTTTCGGTCTCAGTGGACCTTCGTCAGCCCTAAGTACAGATTTTAAATGAAAGTTCAAAAACAGGAAAAAACAGTCTCTCACCTAGAGTGGACAATTTCGAATGAAGGCAGAGATTGAAAACATAAAAACATAATTCGCTTTCGCGGGCAGATGTAATGGAGCGCCAGAAGAAAGCGAATTACAAATGCTCCATTACAGAAATTTAACTTCAGCGAATTTGATCTGCTTATTCAAGCAAGGATCATTTAACTTGATCGAAAACGCTTCACAAAGGACACGGTCTTTGTAGTACGGTTGGTTGGAGATAACAGAAATAAAGTTCTTTTCGAAACAGAATTTGGTTTTGATTAACGCTCTCGATGTAGTAGGCTTGTATTTTGGAGTGTCTGGCTCACTAAGATATTTATCATATTCCTCTCTGAATTTTGGACACTTCAAAGAGTGGAAAAACATAGGACTACGATAACGTGGCTCAAAATGTTCACGAATTCTAGTTCCAAGCTGTCTCTTTGTCTCCCCCTGGTAATCCGTTTTCCCACATGGACATTGGAAATGGTACACCACTCCACTTTTCTGCTCAATCGGTACCGGGCGCTTCCAGGTTGGGTGCAAACATTGTTCTATTCTCACTGTTTTCCAACAAAGTCTCAGAAAGAACTTCGGGGTAACTTTTTAAGAATAGCACGCATTTTGCCGCCAATACTGTCGCACCGGGGACCAGTAAAGCTTGCGCAAAAATTGTGAACTATTTCCCCTTCCACTTTGTTATCATTTTTGGGCTTCTCAAGGAGTTTTATTTTATCATCGACCAAACCTGGTGGATATCCATTGAGAATGAATTTCCTCTTGGCTTTTCGGAAACCTTCAGTTTTGGCCTCTTCGCAGGATGAAGCATTTTTCACCCTATGAAGATGCCCAACTAAGAGACTGATCTTTTGTGACTTAGGAGCTACATTTGTGCGAAAATTGGGAAGGAAATCCTTCGAGGATTTCTTTTCATAATGAAACATCTCAATTCCATTCTTATGAATTCTGAATTCAGTGTCTAAATATGCAAGTTTGCCATCAACCATCTCTTCCTTGGTAAATTGGATATTTTTGTGAAGTCTATTGGCCTTGTCAAAAATATACTGTATATCCGATTTTTGCACAATAAGGGCACAGTCGTCCACGTACCTCCGGATAAAAATGGCTCTACCTTCTCTTATCAATTGATCGAAAAACGGGGTCTCCAAAGTGTGCATGAAAATGTCTGCCAAAATAGGGGAAAGCTTCGACCCCATAGCTGATCCGTCTTTCTGTCTAAAGAATCCATCTGGCGTGCTAAAGCTTGTAAGCTTGAAAAGGACAGTATCTACTAAATTTTGAAAATCGGATCTTGCCGGGAACTCCGAAACATGTCCGTCTTCTAATTCCTCCGGACAAAAATATGACTGTGGGTTAGCATAAATAAGATCTACTACTATTTTGCTTATTTCTTTAATGGGAAGAGAAGGAAACATACTCTTTATGTCTAAAGAAATAATAGTATGTTTATCTAAATCAATTTTGTCACGAATTTTAAGAAAACTGTCTTTAAGCTCAGCAGTATTCTTTAAATTGTACTTGACATGATCTCTAAGCTTTTGTAAAATTGGTTGTAAGAAAATTTCCGCACCCTCGGCAATTGATCCCCTTGTCCCAATAATCATCCTACTTGGTTGACCAAACTTATGTGTTTTAGTCAAAGAATATGCTCTTTTGAGTGAATGTCTGGGACGGATAAGATTATAGGTAGCATTAGAGAGAGAAGATTTTAATGGTCGAATCGTCTTTTCATATTCGCTTATGTCTCTTTTTAATGGATCGACCTTCAATTTCTCAAATTTCGATACCGGTAGCTCATTTCTAATTTTCCGATTGTAAGTATCTTTGGTCCATATACAAACTTTCAACTCCTTGTCCGCTTTCGTGATAACTAAATTTTGACCATTTTCGGAATCAAGGAAATCTCTCAAAATTTTAACGGATGTGTCATTAGAGTGTACTTTGAGTAGGGAATTAAAACAACAAGCCAGCTCAGAATAGACTCGAAAAATCTCGAGCTTGGAAATATTTTCCGACTCTGCATGAATTTTCCAATTTTCAAAAAGCTTTTCAAATTCGACTAGAAGTTCGAGTGGCCGGGGCCTTCCACCAACACTCCTTTTCAATCCATGCTTTAATACATCTAGAACTTGAATCGGAATGGTAACATTAGTAAAATTACAGATTTCAACAATAGGACCAAGGTCTTTAGATTTGAATTTCAGTAATTTACGAAGTTTACGTTCACGTCTTTGGTCAGGTAAAAATTCGAGCCGGGAAACAGATTGATTTAAACGAGATAAATACTCGTTTTGTGATTTTGGAGACATAGAAGAGAATAACGAAACTTTTAAAGAGTCAAAAGAATTGGTGAGAGACCGTACTTTTTCAATTGAATCTTCATAAGCTCTGTTAAGCATTTCCATTCTTTTCGAAAAGATAGTTCTAGGACTCCAATTGACGTACCGAAGAACTCTTACTGGTATTTTAGTCCATTCGGGTGTGATTCGATTTAGTAATTCGATTTGTAATTCGCTTTCTTCTGGCGCTCCATTACATCTGCCCGCGAAAGCGAATTATGTTTTTATGTTTTCAATCTCTGCCTTCATTCGAAATTGTCCACTCTAGGTGAGAGACTGTTTTTTCCTGTTTTTGAACTTTCATTTAAAATCTGTACTTAGGGCTGACGAAGGTCCACTGAGACCGAAACGCGTCCCAAAAATAAATTTCAATCATCATTCATGAGAGGTCAACACCGACAATCTTGAAAATAATTAACTATTCTTTAATGATTTTTACCGTGAAGGCTAAAGATAGTGACGCGGAAAAGTTTCTTGTCTGCGGAGCTGGAGTTGTCTTTTGTCAAAACGACGAGATATATCCCAAAGGAGATGAGCTGGAATTTCTCTCCGGATATAGGATGAGACGTTACTCGCTTAGTTTCACGATCGTAGCTGAAAACATCGTCCGATCTGCCGACAATAAGCTCATTTGACGAAGACAAACACGCACAGTTCGGCGCGCAGCCCTTTTCGTCCAAGTGCTTTCTCCCCGGATTCTTCTCCTGCATTTCATAAAGTTGACTGTCTTTCACTGTAATCACATACAGCCTGTTTTGATCAAACGACAGGTTCGTGACTGGATAGGCCGAAGAATGAAGCTGCGATATTTTTGAATGCTTTTCCCGGAGAATATCGCCTTTTAAAAGCAGCACTTTTCCGCCAGTAAAGCCGATCTACAGAAACGTTCACTCATCATGAAATTCAAATCGAAAACAGAGACACTGTATTTTTTACTTACCGCAGCTTGTGTCAGAGCAGAGTTTACAGCCAAAGCGGAAACATCTCCAAGAAAATCCTGCGCCGTCAGAACCCGCGAATGGACGCATTTGGGTTGGTTCTGGGCGTCTTCCGCGAACTTCTCGTCGTAGGTCCACACTTTCAACGTGGGCTGCGAATCGTCGATGCCGACGGAAATGAAGATGTCCTTGGACGGCGAGGCCCATATTTGAAAGACTCGCCCTTCGTGAGCGCGGTACAGATTCGATTGATAGTGCCCGTTCAACAAGTGAATAGACCCTGTCCGTTCTCCGATGAATAAAAGTCCCTTTTTTCGACTGATAAATCATTCTTTTTCTGCATCTTTATACGCTTTATCATGATTCAGACCGATTTCCTTTGCAGAAGTAAGGGCGAAATCTACCGGATCAACAGCTGGTAAAGGAATAGAACTTGCGGACGAGAAAAAGGCGAATTTCCTCCAATCAAGCGACATCGTAAATTTCCAAATATCAATTCAAAGATGCATTCTAATATTTTCGATTTTGGATTTCAGAGAATTCTATATTTAGACAGAAGAGATGTATGAATGAGAGAGCTTCTCTGGGGAACATTGATGGGGGCATTCAAGTCGGAAAATCGGCTCCAATGGGCGGGCTCCCACGGAGAAAGGAGCCAATCAGCGCCACTGGCTCCGCACTAGCGCGAATGCTGCGTCTTCAACACTCCCTCCGAACGTTTTACAGGTAAAATTCACAACCTAAGAGTACCCATTGGCCCCTTTAACCCCTTGGCGCACAGATATCCGCGCGAATTCCGCCAGTGGAAAGCGCGCTAGAGAGGCTCCGCGCCGATAAACTTCCAGGGGCGATTTTTGAAGGAGAAACTAAAACAAGCTAAATTAGAGAAATGGGAAAGCCAAAAGTGTGTTTCGTTCTGGGCGGCCCAGGCGCGGGCAAAGGTACCGCCTGTGAGTTCCTCGTCAAGAAGCATGGCCTTGCTCACCTCTCCGCCGGCGACCTCCTTCGCGAAGAAAGAAAACGAGCCGGCTCCACTTATGGAGAACTTATCGAAAGCTGCATTGTTCAGGTAAACGCCTAACTATTCAATTTGGTTCCGTAAAAGAGAGTTTTTTTTTCAGATTAGAGTCGTCTACCTGAATTTTGCGTTGTTGCTAAAATTCTGGCTACTTAACTTATTTTAAAAATTCGTTTCTAGGAAGGACTTTTTCTAAGCAAAATTAGAGTTTTAAAAAGGGTCGTTTTGAAAATAATTTTACAGTGCATCATTTGCTTCTGTTTGCTCGCTGGAAAACGAGTAAACACTAGTTCAGATGGCTCTTGTCTTCCATTGTCGATTTCGAAATTGAAATCGCGTCAGATTCTCAGCATGAGACTACGCTTTCTTTGCGATTAGCTTTCGTGATATGCGTTTTCTCATGCTGTATCAAAATGAGGCAAAAGATGGGACATGGGAATTGTTTACTTTTTCCTTCTCAAATGTATCTTGTAAGAAATATTCATTAGGGAACGATTGTGCCTGTAGAAATCACATGCAAATTGCTCGAAAATGCGATGAACAAAATCATGACCGAGAGCAACGGCGAACAGGACAAATTCCTGATCGACGGATTCCCAAGGTTAGTGACCATGAATTCGCTGGTTTGATTGACGAGTTAAGAAATTTGGACAATCTGGAAGGATGGACAAAGCAAATGGATGGAAAAACCGATGATAGAATAGTTTTGTATCTGAACTGCCCCCTGGAAGTCTGTGAAGCGAGAATAATGGAAAGGGCAAAAACCTCCGGCAGATCGGATGACAACATAGGATCGTTATGAGCTTCATCTAAATAATCCAGATGCCACAGTAAGAAAACATCGTATGGCTACCTTTCCTCGTGAACGTAGTTAATGAAAGTTTGCTCATGGCGACTACAGAGGCCCTAAGAAAAAGGTTTAAGACATATGAAGAATCAACCAAAGGAATAATTGAACATTATCGTGGCATAGGAAAAGTCAGAGAAGTTGACTCAAGGTAAGATTTTTAATCCTCAACGAGATGCGATAAACCATCTGTAGTCAATCGAAAGAAGCTGTTGGAGACGCCGTCTCAAAATTGTGGAGCAGGACTTTAGCGATGTCCAGCAGCCATCTGTTTCTGGTGATCATTAGTTTGCTTTTACTGGTAGTTCTTAACTCTGTTCCAGTTGACACACTATGGACCCGTCCTTACTCACAGGACACAACCTGGTGACCTCTTTATGCTCATACCCCTCGCATTACACTTAGATAATTTCCAATTCTCCTATTTTCTGTGCTTCTTCCAGGTTGATGTTTCCGGTGGGTTCTAGCTCCTTCAGTGCAGCTAGTAGACGCGTCAATAGTTGAAATTCAAGAGTTGCAATCCTTAAAACATACCACCGTCTATGCACGTCTACTAAGTGCTCTGGCCAATCTTAGACAATGCTTTCTTTCGTAAACACTAATAATTAGCACGTGGATTCTCTCCAATAGCAGTCGTCAGTTGCTTAGCGGGAAAAATAAATCAAAATTCGCTTTCAAAACGATAGCACTTTTTTGCTTTAGGTGAAAGTCTTGCATCCGAAGGATTTAGTTCTTTAATGTAAACTGCAGACAACAACGATTTTATATCCTGCAGATAACTAGTAAGAGTAATTCGAAATAAGAAGCACTAGAAATTGATCACTAAAAATGAATGGCAAGGAAAAGAGCATCCGGCAACATCTAAAAGTTATCATAAAGTGGAGGAAAGTCCTGACGATCAAAAGAAGCAGAAATGCATGGAAAGTTTGCCTCAAGTCTGGATAGCATCAAGCCTTCTTCTTCATGCCTTCATCCTCACTACTGTACAATTACTATGACAAAGAAATACAAGCAACAAGAATTCACAGGGAGTTAGACTGAATTCCTTTCTTCTGCAACTTTCATTAAACATATCGTAATCGAGATACCCCTTTTGCTAGATTCGATTCTAGCAATCAAAAGTCCGTGTCAACACCTAACACTTCTGATATTTATGATAATTTCAGCCCCTAAATATCAAAAGGTTTTTCTCATTGCGAATTTATTTGTGTCCACAATCTTAGTTGTCAGAAAAACTTATCCGAGTCGGTTCTCTTTTTGTGGAGGAGAAGTAGGCTCGTCAGATGAATCTTCTGTATCAGCGTATGGATCAGCGCTGAAAAGCGGTTCAATTATCGGAGGAGCGAAGCTTTTTCCAAAGGCAAGCTGAGGGTGAGCCACAGAATGGGCGAGGAATTCCTCTCTTTAGTCAAGGTTTATTGCTTCCATAATTTACCTTTGATCCGTAGTTAATCATCACATCATTTTTCTAAAAATAAGAGAATCTTGCAAACCGATCCTTGCATTTTCATATTCCATTCTAGCCTTGATAAGATTAAATTCAGCCGTTCGTATGTTGTCAAATTTTTCTTCTTGTGTTTTCTTCAACGTTTCATAAACTTTGTTGAAATCTCCTTTGACTTTGAGGAGATAAAAGTAAACTAACTATCGGAACAAAGTAAAGTGTTTTAACTCTTCTCTTTCTCTTCACGGTTAGCCTTAGAAAACATGGATTGGAGTTTCTCTTCCGTTTCACGGCCAAATTTGCGAACAATATCTTCGATCACGAAATCATCGTAGGTTGCGTATTTATTCCCGGACATTATAAAAGAAAAGCCCTGGTTTCGAGAAATGAAGTCTGACTGAATTTTATGAAAGTAAAGCGTCGCTTCGCTGCAGCCTGCAGGTGAACCTGAAAAACACGGCATTTCCGTTGAAAACAAGATATTTTTTTCGATAAAAACTGTTCGATGCCATTTATCACTACACATTAGCAAACAGATTTTTTTAATCAGAAAAGCATTTTTGTCAAAAATATATAGCTAGAATATCAAGAATAGAACGCGTTTGTTATTTTTGGACGCCATTTATTTTAAAACACAAGACGGTAAAGTGGTTTTGTACTTGGTTTTTGGGTAGCCAAAGGTGTACGTTGAACTGGTGAAGAAATTCGTTACTTACTGTAGCCTGCTGAAATTCAAACAGCAGCAGTACTCAAGCAGTCGAGAAGAAGAAGAATAGAATTATGTACAGGAAGAGCTGGAACAAACAGATAGAAAAAGTGAGAGGTCAATGTTCGGTCAAGTTTTTTGACAGGGTTCATTTGTCTGATTTAAGTTAGGCAGTTGAAATATTTGAAGAAATTACGCGCGGACACTTGCCCATCGAGTTACATAAAATACTCCTTGTTGTTTTTTGACATATCTGATAGCGACGGCACGTCTTCTTCTTTTAACGTTTCAGTTTTATAGATGCCAGCTACAAAAAAATGTTATTCCAGGGTACCCTTCGTCGAGAATATCTTTTGATAGTTAGCCAGAAAAAGATAAAAAGAGGTTCTACTTACATCTACGTTGCTGAATCCAACGATTAAAGAGCATACAAAGCGCGACGATCATGACAACTCCGATGACTCCAACAAGAGCCCAGAGGAGACCCAGCGCCCCTGCCGCATTAGGAACATCTAAACAGGCTCGTGAGTTAACCGAATCATGTTCGAAGTGTGATTTCAAAGCAAATTGTAATTTGACCAAAGCAAAGCACTTAATAATAGTGCTCACATCGGGCAGCGCGACGAAAATACCATTTGCGATTTCTCGCCGGCCAAAATAATACGACTCACGTAAAGATCATGAGAAGCATTAAATATGCGCTGTTTACCTTCTACAAGTAGCCGAACATAGTCGGAAGTGACTGAGCCGTGTCGGTTGGTGGTGGAGCAGACGAACATGAAGTCCTCATCCGATTTCTTCAAGCTCGTGGTTGAAATGTATGTGCCTAAAGTCCACCGTCAAATAAGGAAGAGAAAAGGTCGCCCGGTTTCCGGTTTTGAGAAAAGCGGCGGAGCATGAAGCTATTTGAATATGATATTGTTCCTGGAGAGAAGGCAGAATAACATTCGACTTCCAGGGCTTATCTATCTTCGACCTCTATTGTCTTTATCACAAAAGTGGAATTATTTGTGTAGCGGAGGTTATCACCGCGGCGGGTCACTTTGAGCAGTGCGCACTCCGCTTCCGTCGCATTCCCACCTGGACAAGCTCGGGCCGAGGATGACCTCGCAATCGAGAAAGAATCTTACCGCTCTCAGTGGCTTCCTCCGTCCAGTGCGCGTACTCATCTGCTGTCTTGTTCGCGATACTCCAGGAAACTCTCGGCAGCGGGTTGCCAGTGCTTGCGCAAAGGAAACGCACGCTTGAGCCAACAGAATGCGTGAAGTTCGACTCCACGGGGATCTCCTTATTGGCATCGATTGAAAACGTCGAAATGGCCGTGATCTCGGGCAGGTACTCGACGTTCATCGCTTTCGAGAAGTTGGAAGTGTACATAACGGCGCCATCTTGTGATATTTTGCATCGATATCGCCGCTGAAAATTTTAAATAAGCTTTCAAAAGCAATAGCCAATTTCAAAAAATCTTTGTTGTAAAAGGTAGCTTCTTCATTCTATTACCTGTTGGTGCTGGCTCCTGCGAACAGTATCGATGCGAAGCTCGGACGAAGTTTCGGCGGTCAAGCCCGCTCTGGTGGTCTTTTCGATTGCGGTTACGGGCTTTCCTAAATTGATTTGAGTCCCCATTTTGCGCCGTTGCCAAAAACTTGACGCTTGAGTTATAGCACCCACTTGCCGCGAGAAACCAAAACGCATAAGTCAATTACGCGTCTTGGCGCAGTGTGAGAATTTATGGGAAGGTACCTTTATCATCTTCCCACGTTATGCGCACGGCGGGCTTTGCATCTCGTGCTGAGCACTTGCCAACGTAAAATTGGGTACTTCCGCTTTCCACTGCGAAATCATCGGCGAATAATGATGACACGTTTGGTTTGGCTAAACAAAAATAATAATTCGAAAGAAATTTCTCAACTTACAAATGACGACGACATTAATCGTGTTGATGATTTTCTTGGTGACATCTTTGCAGTGATAGACGCCCTCGTCGCTAAACTGTGCTTGAGCGAGCTCAGTAATCAGTCTCGAGTTGTTGTCGTCCGCGGAGTAGCGCGACAGGGCAGCGTTAAAGTTCCACTGGCGATCCTTGGTGTCTATCATCATCACATCCTGATCTTCAATTCTGAGAAGCAGAACCGAGGTCGTCGATCTCCTGCGACTTGCTTCTTTGATTTCTCTACTCAGCTCGACGTAAACGCCAGAGTAGTCGCAGCTAAGTCTCAGCCGCTTTCCAACTTCTACTTTAACTGTCTCCGACGCTGCATTTGCCAGCTGTGTCAAAGCTAAAAACGAAAAATTAAAACATGATCCAAAAAGAAATGGAAGCGATGATGGAAACTGATTCGCGATGTACATTAGAGTCCAAATAACTTATTAATTACAGTAATAATCGAGTACACGGCGCACAGCGTGTAATTGAAATTCCACGGGCGATGGAATGTAACGAGCGCTCAGAATTGCTGCATGTGCACGGATGCGCCCATCGCGTTCTTGATGCAAAACAAAGTACTTTTCCGAAAAAAAGCGACTTTCAGATCAAAAACTGCTAGAGATTAGCTAAAATATCGAATTTATAATTGATAACAAATCAACTTTAAATCGCCAAATTCAATCAAAAATTCGAAATGTGAATATTCTAAATTCCATTTAGAACTTGGTCGATTATTTATTAATTAACACTTGAACTGGAAATGCTTTTGATAAACAACGTGTGATTTTAACAGCGTTTTTGAAAAGTTTAGTGCGCGGGATTCCTCGGAGCATGTCTAAATATCGGCCTGGTGAAGAATATCTCGAAAATTTCCAGCTTAGCTGACTGCTGCGGGCGCGGATCAGTCGCAATATCTAGAGGCCCATCAGCCACTTAAAACTCTCAAGAAGGAGAAGATTAAGCTTATCAGAGAACACAAAGCGGATATCGCCATTGCCCATAATAACTCGTTCTAAGAAGGGATAGATGCCTTCGGACTAGAGCCGGGCGCGATTGGGACATTCCAGCGTTTCCGGTTGACTTGTTTAGACAAATTTGCAGGATTATCTACTCATTGCGCTAAATATTTGGACGCGTTGCCGGACACTTTCGATGAGCAACGCTCGGCAACTTCCAAGCGCTCCGTGGTTGAAGATACGCCACACCTGAGACTCCCTCTTTTTCAGTTTTTTTTTTTTGAAACGTTATCTGGTCTTTTTATCGGGCGCGCAGATACCCTGCTTCTAAAGACAATCTAGCTCGCCCTTCCTAATCCTGTGGCTAAGGCCGCTCTTAACTTGTGCTCTGAAAAAACTACGCGTTTTGTTCCTAAAATCACATAACAGCATTCACACGATTCACAAGCCCTCTGGAAAGATGACATGCTCCCCTGCTCCTTTCTCAAGAATCTGAAAAATTAGAAATCGAATCAAGAATTTCAGAGCTTTGATTGTAGCCGGGCTTGTAGTACCTCGTACTTGAGACAATTAGACGACCTGGCGAGCCCGCAGAACCCAATTCCGCGGCTCGCTCCGGCCTGCCTAACAGTCTCGGCTCAATTTGAAACCACAGCCAAGAAAAGACGAAATTCGCAAATGATGTTCGCTTTTATACCACTGCTTGTTAGCCCGCGTTCGTACCTACAACTCGCCTTCAAAAGGCCACAGCGGTGCACCTGGACGCGCTCAGGGGTTAAAGGTTTCTCAGCTGAGAGATTACGAGTGTTTCTTCCCCAGTATCACTTCCAGTGCTGTTCCATCTAAGTGCCTGTTGAAGTTCAATTTCCGAAAATCCAGCTGCGCCATAAAAAGGTCGAAAGTTGGCCAAACCAGGCTCATAAATCACCCGCGCTCCCACCATTCCCAAGAGCACTAAGAAAATTTGGGCACCTGGGCGGAAATGGCCTCAGGAGGCCGCAATCGGAAATGTGAGGCTCTATCGCTTCACGCTGATTTTATGGCTGCGGCGATATTTCGCGACGTTCAATTAACAAAAGCATAGTACCCCCTTATGGCTTTGAATTTTTAATCTGCATCCGTTGAGCCCCCCTTTCTCGATTATCTGGGCTAAGCTGCGTGCTGCGGGCGACTTGGCGCTGAGCGATTCAGGTCTCTGCTGGATTGATGAATTTCCGACAAAAACGAAAGAAAAACGCAAAAATGGCTCCGCAAGGCCGATTAGTTTCACCCGATTTAGGTTTCAGCGCTTTTCTTTGCCATTTGTGAACTCATTTACTTTTACCAATATTTCTCATTTCTAAACGCTTTTGAACACACAATTGCTTTCTAAAGTAAAAGACACAAAAGTCGGCTTAGACTGTAACTCTTACAGTCGCTAGTTTTGCTTTGCTTCCTTGTACCGGTTGTTATTTGGACTGTTGCTTCTTGCATGCTGTATGCATATTATCCGTAAGTTGGAAATAACTTGAGTAGGTGAAATTCGCCGCTAGAAGGTCGGCTTAGCTCGCAACAGAGCTCGCCCTGTCTTAGGGTCGAGGGTTGCGTTTGTATTGGCAATCGGCGATAAAGAGTCACAATTTCTGTTTCCAAACAAGGAGAAAGGCCCGATACTATCGCCGTGCAAGATGGAGGGGAGCGTTGTTTAGAATATGCTATTTTGATTGGTAAACAGTAAATCTATCTCTCGAATCAACACAAGTGTAAACAGCTCTGCAGGAAATAAAGAGCGATAAGAGCGACTTCCAGTCGCTGGATTCCGTGATTTCTTGAATATTTACTCTTAATTGCTGCCCCGTGAGAAGTTCGGCGCCGGCTTATATTTGGTTTTTACGGGAAAGAGGATATTCTAGCGCATGTATATGGATATGCAACTCGACAGGTGCAATCAGCTCGTGAATATTCGCAAAAATGATTTAGCAAAGAGAAAGTCACGCTGCTGCATTACAAGTGGATTACCCGATTACTACTGTGAGATAGTTCCGCTACTGGCCGTGAGAAGCGTCGCATTCTGACCAAAACGAGGTCGATCCGATCTATAAGCTGGCTTGGGGTGCGCGATTAGCCCCGATATACCGATTTAAGCGGCCCTTTCATTACCCCAAAGCCCGTAAGTGTGAATCGGCACTGCTAGTTAAGTACATACACCGTTGCAGCCGCACAAATCGCACTGAGCTCGTAACTCTTTAATGCCGCCGCTAGAGCTTTCTAGTCCTCCTTATCACGCAGATAGAGCAACAAGGCGCATCTATCTGCACTTATATACATATTATCATTAAAAATATAGCGATCAAATTCTGGGAATCAAGCTTGGTAACGTTTTCGATAATTGAAAGAAGGCTCGCAAGTTTAGCCAGTTTATCGAGGTGGCAAGTCGGCTTAAATTTCATGAGAGAGAAGTTTTATAAATCGCGATAAGTTGGATTGGCGCTAATTGGAGGAAGTGGACACTTGAGTTGTTCCTGGATGCAATGTTGGTGTTTTGGACATAACCAGCTCACAAGTGTTGCTCGTCGAAAGAAATTGATAAGTGTAAATTTGGCGTTAGGTGCGAAGAAGTGTGTCTTATCGCGGAACGGGCAGAGGAGTACTTGGAGGGCGGTTTGTTTCAATAACACTTCTGCTCAGTGTGCACCCAAAGCAGGGCGAGCCCAAGAGATTCATTTTTATAATTTGGAATGTTAATTTGATTCCGGCCTTGTATATTTTATGTAACTCTCACTTTTCGCCCGAGTAAGTCCTGTCTCGATGAAAGCCTTTAAAACAAGTAGAATGGCTTAACTATATAAGAAAATTAGGGTAGGTAGCCTGCTAGCTCTTTTGAAGAATGTTCCGCTTAGCGTGATCACGTGACACCTCAAAAAGCACGCCCGGTTTCAATTGAGGGATCAATTAGGGGCATCCCGACCAGTGACCACCTGCTAGCTAGTGGTCACTTGCCGAGCTTCAAAAATCCTCGAAATTTTTTGCAACATTCCAACTAATTAGAGCCCCAAATCGCGACACTTGGCCCCGCATGCTCAGCTGATCAAAATACCACATGAAGGAAATGCCTTGATACCACTTAATTAGCGAACCTGCTTGTTGAAAAGCTGCTCAGTTCAGTTCAAAGACCTCATTAACATTTTATCTTACAGATAACCTTTTTGCAGTTTGGTTAAATGAATAAATGAGCGTAAATAGCAAAAGCTCGTTTTGGAGGCCGTATTGGATTTTACACGTCTTCAGTTAAAAAAAGACTCTGTTTTGTTATAGATTGACTTTTATGGTTTTCCCATGAAATAAATATGCTGTAATCGATTAACGATATTGTCTATCCATGTGATTTTTTTTAATTATCAATTATTGTTATTACTAATTTATTTTAAAAATATACAATCAAGAACATTATAAGGTTTATTTACTAAAAGTACTCACCAATAAATGTGGAGAGCTTCATTCTTCGTCGCTTTAAGAATAGCTCGGATTTCTTCGTTGAAAGTCTCTTGTTTCTTGAGTTTGTTTTTAAGCTTTTAATAAAACTGAGGAACGTTGATTTGTGGAATTTCCTATTCAATGTTTTCAGTTGTTGTGGGTAAAGGGGCGATTTCAGCGCGGTGCTAGCGCGTGCGTTCTCTTGGAGGTGGCGCGCGTGCGCGCGCTCGGTGGCGGACCTGCGCGTTATGGGGTTAAAGCGTCCGACTAGCGAGCCTAAACAGGGCTGGGTCGGATACCGTCTACAGGGAAAACATGTGTTCTAGGTTTTCGCCGGGGTCAAATGGCAACTCGGCCGAGCCCTTGCGCAACAATGGAACAAGGAACATGCGCCCATGTGCCAAGAATGCCGCCGCTCGACACACTCAAACATCTACGCGCTCATCCGGCCGCCACAAACGTCCGACTGACGGAAGCAAAAAGTTTAATTGTCGAGCTGTTTGCCAAAGAAAGAGGCAACGGTAAGAAGCTGCACATAGTCCCGCTGCATTATGAAGCAGATCAAGTGAAGAAACAAGGAGCCTATCGCGTCAAATAAATAATTATTAAGGCAACAAGGCTTATGCCGACTAGGAATTCATTTATGAGCCCTGAGTTGTCAGAGTTCGTGGTAAATTGACTTGAGTACCAGTAATTAAGAGCTCGTTTCCTTTTTTTACCGTCAGCTTTGCGGGAGGATATTGATATATTATATATAGTTATTATTTAGCTTACGGAACGAAAAGAAAAGTTGGCTATTAAGGTGAGCCGGGATTAGAGCGGGGGCTTAGGAAAGGTGTTAATTACTTGCTCTGATTGTTAAATATCGTCGGTAATCTTCGATGACACGAGTTGACAACTGTCGGCAAAGGCCTTTTCGAAACGGCCGGACGCTGACATCTTCCGCCAAATATGAAAATATTCAATCCGTCAGCTGACCTCGCCAGATTGAATAAAAACAGTCATTTGACCAAGAACTGATTATGTACTTCGTAATTGGCGCTTTGAATTTACTCGTAAATATTTTTGCTTCTTTGTTACAAAGCTACGATTTTTCTACGAATTTTTTATCCCTCCCTGTTTCGAGCTAAACAAATCAAAGAATGTTTTGGTTACTGCTCAGAAAAACCTCAAAACATAATGAAGGCGATGTTTTACTCCTTGCTTGCATATTGGGTAATTTTTTAGTAAATCAAGTCACAAATCTTTCTATTTATAAAAAAAGGACCGCAGCGATAAAAAAAAACCCGTCTTATCCTCGCATATTATCTATAGTCTAACAAGTTTCAAAGCCTTGGTTGATTCGTGCGAAGGGGTTAAGAAAGGAAGCAAGCCTGGCTCTCCGGAAATTGCAAGGTTTTCAAGCGGGCAAGCTAGTTTTACAGTTATTAGGTTGATCCCGTCTTATTGCTCGAGTGGCGACAATTCGCTGCTAATCGTTTGAGTCTTCCGGAGTTCTGTTTCTGGCTGAGCAGGAAAAGGGTTAAACAAAATCGACTGTGCCCTGGCCGTGCGCCAGTCCCGCTCCCAGATGATCACACGAGTAAATAATGTTTAAAACGGGCACAACACAGTTTCTTCCATATTTTAATAAACCAGGACCACCTTCTCATTTCCATAATGCAAGTTAATAGTGACAAGCTTGGGGGCGGCTCCACCACCGCCATCAAATGATTTTACGCTCGCCAAGGAAGGAATATATTTCGAGTAATCTGCCAAAAGCCCGCCTCTCCCTGCTTACATGTATATTAGCCTTGTAATTTTTTTGCTTATTTCTGAAATGATATTTTCCTAATTCAATGTTTCTGAAACGGGGCCAAAGGTGACATATGGGTCCGAGTTTTTAAACTGGTTTCGCTACATATTGCCCAGAGCGAGTTAATAGAGTCTGCATTTTGTAGAGCCGCATAAGTTCAACGGTAAATAATACAATTTTCCCTTGCTTCTTTCATTCCTCAATCTCCACTGCTCAAGTTTTGTTTGGGGCTGTTGGCAATGCACTCGGAAGTGCGTGAATATTTTCCTCCCTTATCGCCTCCGAATCGAAATCAGTTCCTGTGGAGGACTCGCCAAGGCGCCAATTTTCGAGCAACTCGGTGTCTCCTTCGTGCACCGGCATCCTTCCAACTTTCTAAACAAGAATGTCTGCCAGTTCTTCTTTCTGAGTATTTGCCGGACTGCTCAAGTGGCGCGAATTTTCATTTTGCGGAATCTGAGTTCGCCACTTTCCGAATCTTTTATCACAACCGCTTGCACTCGAGATCGGAGAGCTGATCCTCCCCTCCCCCAGAAATTCTGCCAGAAGATCAAACGCACCCCGAAGATCGCTTTCGCGCAATTTGGGAGGAAGTCTCACACTCTCACTGCAAATTAAGTAACTCGTTTTTCTGACTAAGACTTATTTCCGAGAAGATATCACTGGCAATTAGGGTCCTTTTTCTTTATAAAATTAAGCGATTTTTGTTTTGAGAAAATCACTTTTTCGCCCAAGAAGGTGTTGTTAGGAAGGAGCTCAGCTGGATGGATTTATTGTGCGTCGACACGCGCTGCTATTTACAGTAAACACTCGGGTACTTGTGAGGCTCTAAGGCTAATAAGGGTTGCCTGTCCACTCCTTGCTCCACCTGTGCATAACCGAATTTGCACAACACTTGCAATTACATTTCAAATTAGCCAGTGAATGTTTTCTTCCAAACTTCTAGGCAGTTGGCACACAGGATCAAAGCGCGCCGCAGCGAAGAGAAAACACGCACTGTATGATGATGGTCGGAATTATGCCCTCTTGCCAAGAAAAATTTATAATTCAGCTTCGGGGCACTCGAGGGCGCCATAAATTCCTCGTCTTCCTAGTTTTGACTTCGATGGAGATTTATTGAAGCCGATCAATGCCGGAATTGCGCTCCAACTTTATTATTAATTCAAATTACAGTAGCATGCGTTTGGCATGGACACAGAAAGCTGCAATGCATTGAAGAAACGCGTCAATATCGTCCAAATGGGATCAATTGATTCAAGGCCCGCTCCTTGGGCAAACGAGGCGGAACTATGCAAAGCGCGTTTCTTAGAAGTCCGATTTTATAGCAGTCCGCCCACCGCAGCGATCAGCTCAGTCTGGACTTATTTACTCGCTTGTTAACTTTCAAGGCGCACACTTGGGACGAGCGCGGGCACATGTTCCGATTCTTTCGAACGCCCATAAGACAAATGCCAGTTTTTTATTCTTCGCATTAAACTAAGGCTCTGTTTCATCCCCTAATTTATGGATAAGATGACAAATACATATAAACAGATTGAATTGAAGGTGATTTTCGAATTATAAAATAGCCGCACGCGACTTTTTCAAAATTTGTCTATACAGTTGTCTAACTTTTGATAAATACGCAGGAAAAGGTTAAACTTATACTTCGGAGGTTAATTGTAACATTTGAAAAGATCGCTAGGAAAAACCCGGGTTGAAAAGAAATTGCAGCGGAATTCACGCGGCATCTGCAAGTTTGCCATTAGAGGGGCCCGTGTTTAGGTTTGTGGAGCAGCCGAGATTTTGGTAGAATTAAAATTCCTCGGCTAATGAATACGGCGGGTGAGGTTTGCGAATCGCCGCGCAACGAGCTCATTTTGCTCGGTTTGTTTGAACCTGATTGTGGTTAGTATTCGAGCGCCCCAATCACCCCGTAGCCGCGCGTGAAATTCTATACAAAATCCGGCCCCATCTGACGTTTACTAATTTCAACAACTTATTATCTAGTTAAATAGCGAGCCATAAACAACCCCGCCTTTCCATTCTGCATAATCGAACTTTCAATAATATCTAAATCATCAACTTTTTCAGCAGAGATGCAAAAGCATGAGTAAAATTATCTTGAATAAAAGTCTCATGTCCGAAAATTGGCCGGTATTTGTTTAAAGGGTTAACTTTATGTACGATTTACAGGGTTAGATCGATTGGGTGATTGGCGCGACCTTAATTTGTTGGTTAGTGGGTTGTTTACTTTGCATAGAATTGATGGCTTTGTCAAGAATGCAAACGGCGCAAAGCCGCAAAATATAAATTCCTGGGGTGTGTGCCCCAACGACGACGGAAACGATTAAAATGACCCCTTTCCCGGCGCCAGTTCGATGGTCTCCCGTCTATTGTAAATTCAATCTTTCCTCATAAATCGACGCCCGGCTCTCTTGAAATTATTAAAACAAACATAATTAACTCCAAGCTAGAAAGTAGATTCGCCATAATCGCATTGGCCTATTTCTTGTCCAAAATGAGCACCACTGGAAAAAAAGTATTTGAATCGCGGCGCTCCAAAGAGGCGATCTCGTTATCCAAAAAGAGCCACTTCCGAAGTTTTATTCACCTCAAATATTTATAAACTATTGACAGGTGCTCAGGCGAGATTGTCGAAATTGGATTTTTTGTATTTTTACTTTTCATCAAAAGAACCACCACAACCACAGTAAATTGATCATATTTTTCCTCGCCCTGTTTTTTTTTCTGAATCGTGCCAAATATCTGGCCTCCAGATTCTGGAGTCTATTTAGGAATAAAGAAGATGTATAATTTGATAAGGGGTAGCTACAGATACTCATTACCTTAGCATTCAATCAGTTTAGCACTTGCGAAAACAAACAATACCACTCCCTTACGGTCATATTTAGTAGCATTCAAACTGAAGGAAACTAGCGCCTCTTTCCGGAGATCTTAGGATATGTCGGAGCCGAGCTAATCCCCAGGATATGATTCGTATAGGTCGCCTCATTGATAAAGTAGCACTTGAGCAAACATTTGATAATTTGAAATGTGAGCACTCGAGAAAACGGAAAGCGCGGCGCTTTTATCGCTAAATTTACTAAAAACAATTAAATCCCACTTGCGCTCGATCATAAACCCTTAACAGCACTCGAGCAAGTTGAAAGGCGAACAGAAACTTGGCCTCTTTGTTTCTAAAAACAGAATTACCGAACCCTTTCTGCTTAGAGTTAACCCCGGTGTTGAAAATTTAAGGGATCCCCCCCCCGATCCGAAAAATTTTCCCAAAAAGTATCGAGAGGTACATATTTGGATTCCTCGTGATCTGAGGGTCATTTTTTACTATAATATCAAGGGCCCTGGATCACGTGATAACCCGTGACAGCGCTTTGAAATTGCATTATAATCTATACTTAGAGAAAATTTTCGATTTTTTCGAAATTTGTAAGTCTTGATAACGAGGCAAATAAGGGCTTATTTGAAAGCATATAACGCCCTTATCAAGAAAAAACTAGTTTTAGAGAAAAAAAATTATCACTTGGTGGTGCCAGAGAGCAAAAAGACTCCAAAAAATGGCTAAAATTACGGCCGAAAGTTTTACAACGAGAAAAATTTTGTCTACTTTTTCAATCATCATGAACATGCATGCAAATGTAGCCGAGGGTCTTAACTTTATAAAAATCAAGAGATTTTGGGAATTCAAAAGGCCAAAAAAAAGTAGATACAACTTGAAGTTGGCCCAAAATGGCCATTTTTGCCAACTTAAGTCACTTAAGAGGCATCAAATGCATAAGTGAATGTTAGAACCTAGGGCTTATCATGCATGCGTTTGTTCAGTAAAAAACGGGCTTTAATCTGCGCCCAAAATCAGCCTCATACGTAAGGCGAGAAAAAAGTAGATACGGGTCAAAGTTCAGGAAATTTGGGGGGGATCCCTTAAAATATAATTATTCTTTTATTCCAAGCCGACGCGCGGCTCCGTGAAAAAAAAAGCCGCGTTGGATTCTCTTATAGAAAGAGATCATTTATTCGTTTTTATATATTTTCCGGAAGTGGCTGGTTGCTTTAATTAAACAATTTTTGAGGGAAATCAAAGCTGTTTTATTTACAAGGGAGAACGCGTAAATACAAATGCTCGTCATAAATATTTTGGCGGAGAGTTACAAGCCTAATCCCTTCCCGAGTAAACACGAGCGTCTGTGGATATACACATTATAGAATGCGGCGCAGATGGGGCCAACAACATGAAATTGTATTTGAAGTCGTTTACAGCTTGTTGTGAGTCTCGGAGAAAAGATTCTAGGGGCACGTGTTAACCGCCTTGTCCTGTAGCTGGCTAAATATTTAGGAATCCTTCGCTACCCTGCTGGAAAGGCGGCGCATTCCGAGAACGCGCGACCGCCAACGAGGCGAGCGGCAATTGTGGCAGAAATTGTACCGCACGGTTAGACGCTAATTTTCAACGACATGCAAGTACCGCTCCCGCACGTTCCAAGGAAAGGCCTTGTCATGAGGCCACATCCAACAGCTACCGGCAAAGGTCCTAAACAATTTAGCTGATATAGTCATATTATATGAGTAAATTCACATAAGAAAAAGCTGCAGAAGAAAAACAGTTCTTAAAAGTTGTTGTAAAAATCGTGAGTCTCTAGAATCAAAAATGTTGTCTGTCCTTTTTTCCGAATTTTATCAGTCTTCAGGATTTTCCCAGTCTGAGAATATCAATATCCTAGGTAAATAGCTGACTTTAAAGAAAAGGAGAAAATTAGACACTTTTTTAGAGAACAAGTCGCAGACCTGATCGGCAAAACCGTCAAATGTGCTGACCAAACAGTCAAAGAGACGACCTACAGAGAAAAATTTCTCCTGAATAAAATCAATTTGTATATTTATCGTTGTGTATTTGTTTCAAGAGGTTGAATCGTAGAAAAACATGGTTGGCTGAGTCAATTGTAGTCGGTGGTAGTAGAGAGGTTAGAAGTTTGTTCGAAAGTGGCAACTAGTACACTTCGCTGGAGCATTTGATGTGGCTTCGTTGGTACCACATTTCGGCGATTCGAGAGTTGAAATCTTAAAGATGCGAGCTTGGCAAAGTAGCATCAGATACCTTTAATGTTCTTTCCAAAGCGATCACTTGTGTAAACTTCTTTGTTCTCACTGGGAACACAATTATTTTTATGCAGAATCAGGGGTTTGCTGCACCAGGCTACTCGTAACTCTCCAATAGCATCGATAAAGAACTCACGATGTCCTTTATTTTCGAATTCTGGGTCTTAAAAAACATAGGTTATCGAAAGGTGATTTCGCTGATTTTGATTTACCGAAGCGAATTTTTCCAACAGTATTTGTGCGAGCAAGGAAAAAGTTTTCAATAACATCGACAACCTGGCATTCCTGCTCAAAGCCAGGTAAGTCGAAGTTTCTGTATCTTTTTCGGCGAAAACAGTAACCATCGTTTCCTGATCGTATGTCGATAAAGTCTTCTTTCGCCCAGCCACCTCGGACATGACTTAAAAATTATATTCAAGTACCGTCTTATTTACAGTAGTTAACATACTTGTCTAACGCGCCACCAATAATGTCGAAACCTGTGCTTTCAGCAACATAAACCATATATTTCAAGTCTGTTTCTTTCGAAAAGACGAAGTCGTCGTCAACCCAGAGATAGAATTGAGTGCGCACTTGGCTTTGCGCTAGTGCCCTTCCTGCAAACCAGCCTTCTTTTTCTGGCATTTTGTATTGTTTCACGTTTGTTGACGAACTCCTGATCTGCTCGAACTTGCTGTCGGGATTGTCGTCGGCCACGATTACAGTGATCCCCGGATAAAACTGACCGATCGACTCGATTAGCCTTTTTAGGCAAGGGTAGCGGAGATAAGTTTTTGTGATCACAGTAACTCTATCAATGATGGCCTCTGTTTTTCGCTGAGTGAGAACAGGTATTTTTGTTCTTTCAATCGTCACTGGAAATCGAATCTTGAAGCTGACCTCTCCAGTCACTTCTAAAGTAACAATGTCTTCTAGCTTTCTGCCGTCGTAGATTTGCGGAATGTATTTTGTTTCTTGAAGTTTCGCGTTAAAATCTTCAACAGTGATTTTCTGATTGAAGGTGGAATGATGCTCGTCTTGAATTTCGAATGTCGAGAAGAGAGGGCAGTCGATGATGCCAAAATAGGATGAAAACTTGGCGTTTATTTCTTTTGTTGGAGAATCAGTGATTTTGATTTTTAATTTTACTGATTCAAACGGCTGGACTTTATATCCACTTGAGACGAATTCAACTGGCAAATTTGAAGGCGTCATTAAAACAGCTGGTTTAGCAATTTGAAAGAAGTTGTCTCGCTCCCATAATCTGTGATCATGAAGATGAACTTCTGATCGATGGCCGGTAAAGCGTTCTTTTCCGCACTCACAATTTTCATGCTCGTTTTTCTTCGTTGCAAAGATATCGGGTATTTTCCTCGACCACGGTCTCAGCTTTGACGGCTCTATAATTTCGTATTCCAGAATATTTAAACTCGATTCGTCGCTCTGTTTTCTGTAATTATAGAGATCTTGCGTACTCGGATTGTAGTCAAACATCCCTTTCAAAGATTTACAATTCAGATTTGATAAAAATTATGCTCTGGCTTTTGTAAATCATTCCTGGAAAACATGTTCCCAAAATGAAGCTAGCTAACAACAAGAAGTATTCTCTCATTTTTAGATTTTTACGAAAGTTCTCTTTTTAGTTGATTTGAAAAAAAAAACGCCGGATTCTGAACGTATACTCTGAGACGCCCGAAAATTCTAAATCTGTCACATCGGCGAATTTGCCTTTCTCCGGCATTTTTATCAGAGAATCTGCGCTCAGGATATGTCTAAAGAGAAAGTTGAAATATCATCATAAAGCAGGATCAAATTTAAATATTTTCATTTTTACTTGAATAGTTGCTAATGAGGCTTTTTAGAATAGCCATAGATTCCTTTCTATGATGAATTTCCCAAGTCTGTAATCATAAATAAAACGCGGCGGCTCCGAAATTCCGCGGTCGTTTTTCTGTGATGCTTCTCCAATCCTCCGTAATCAGCGCGAGTAATAAACTCTCCAAACTGTGGTTATTTGCCGAAAACATCATTTACGGTCTTGCTGGCATCAATTTTTTGAAGAAGCGCCCGGGACAAATCCTGATAAGCTCGTTTGCGGATAAATATGCTTCTGAGGGATCTAGGCCCTTTTTATTGATGATCGCTTGTGGCAACAAACTTAGACTAGATAAGTATGAAGTGTTCCCTTAAATCCGCCTTTATGGATGTCAAGTTTTCCGTGTTGGAAAAGGCGTTTACTTTATTAAACTTTATTCTACTCAAGCTGTGATGGGCGATCATCTCCCATGACTTCCTAAATTAAGGAAAAAAAACTCGATCGATCAACTGACAATTTATATTTAACATTCTCAGCCAGAGTAACAAAATAGCCCCTTTGTTTCTGATGATATTTGAATTCGCCGAATTGAGGACTTGTTGATTTGCAAAGTGCGTGCAAACATCGCATCCTTTGTTGGCCTCTTAAAAGCGTACCCACGTCGAACTCACGTCTAATCATCCCTTTTTTCCTGACGTCATCTGGGCTTCCTAAGTATTAATGAAACCCACGCGATTGATGGAAACATGATTTTTTGCTTAGAACCAACAATAATTTGTTCTGATTGAGGATCCACCGACTGTTGTCAAAGGAAAATATGCTGATAATATTTTTCTGCGAAAAAAGCACGTGAAAAGCATTATTCTGAGAGTTTTTCAGATAGCTGTTACGCCCTGCGGCAGACATTCAAGGCTGAATCTAGCGCGCTCGCATCCTCAGAACATCCATCCTTGAAGAGGACGAAAGACGAAAAATTAAAAATATGAAATTTTTGAAGACAGCAGTCACTATTCCTGCTGTCTTTGGCAATGAGATTAACTTCGACCCGTCGATGTGCGATGGCACCGAAATGGCTACGACAAGAGAATATCGCCCAGTTTGTGGTACAAACGGAGAGACCTTCAGCAACCCAAGCGTCGCAAAGATGAACTACTGTATGGGCGTTCCAGGGCTGAGCGGGATCAAGAGCTTCGGTCAGTGCCTGGATTCGGGCTGTCCTGCCTTTTGCCCGCGCGATTTCCGGCCTGTCTGCGGCTCCGATGGAGCTACCTACCCAAACGAGTGTGTACTCAAAGACATGAGCTGTAGAACGGGTCGGTTGGTGATCAAAGTATCCGATGGGCCCTGCGCTGAAGTCGACAATGTTGACGTGGAGCTACTTGAAGTCGTAAATCTCAAACAAGCTGGCAAGCCCGCCAAGAAGGGTAAAAAAGGCAAGAAAGGCAAAGGAAAGAAAGCTGGAAAAGGCAAAAAAGGCGGAAAAGGAGCCAAAGCACCAGCTAAAAGAAAGTGTGCCCACGTCGCTCAAGATGCAGAAGTCTGCGGCTCAGATGGAATCACATACCAGTCAGCATGTCACCTAAAGCAGAAAAATGAGGAAGGCCTCACAGATGCTATCCGAGCTTATAAGGGAAAATGTAGAGAAGAAGTGGAAGAGGAGGAATCCGAGAGTATGCAGATGGATGCTACCTACTACGAAGAAGAGGAAGAGGAAGAAATTCTTCAAGGCGACATCGGCCTTAATAGCTGTGAGCAGGGTTCTAAATTTGAGGCAAAATTTAAAAGTCTAGTCTGTCCGTGTCCGTGTCATCCGCCAAAATCCCAAGTCTAGTCTATCCGTGTCCGGATCGAAAACGGATTTTTGTCCGGTCTAGTCCCGGACATGTCCGTTTTGTCCGTTTTTGTCCGTAAAATCCTGACACATTTTTTTAAAGAAAAAGTCTGGCCTAAAAAATCTTGTCCGTAAATGTCCGTAAAATTTCATGGGTAAAAAACTAATTTTTATCGAAATAAACCCGACAAGACCAAAAAAAATCTTTGAAAATAATTTCGGCAGAGAATACATCGAAATATCGAGTTCTTTTCAAGCCAATTTAAGAAAATCAAGGGACTTGCCTGGGACAAGAGTCGCAAGTTTATTGCTATTTTTTCGGAAGAAGATACGCTCAGCTCAAAGACTTCATAAAATTTCTAGCTAAGCTCAGCATCAACTGGTTAAAACCAGCCCGTCTCAGAGTCTCGGAGTCAGAGAAGATAAAAATTTATTTGAAGAGAGAAATAAGAAGTGATTTTCTCAAGTTAGAGAATAGTCTTTTTGAACAAGACTAGAACTTTCACAACGATTTTTTTAGCTAGGACCTTTTTCTCAAAGCTGAGCTAAGCTGTATGAAAATTTGCGAAACTGAGCTGAGCTTGCGTTTTCTTAATGTCAGCTGGTGTTATCCAAGCTGACCTTAGCTGGCGTTATGAAAAAAATCATTAGTCTGAGCTGAGTTCTCTCAAAATGATCGAGCTGAATGACTGAGCGGGCTAGCCCGACCGCTGACCCTCAACACGTTGAGCTGGCTTTTTCCGATAATTGCTGTGCTGAAAGTCCCAAATTAGGACTCGCAATGAATTAGCCGAATAATGAAGGACCTAATATAATATTATTTTTTAATTTAATTTCTTATTTTCATTGAGACTCGGTCCTCAAAGTTCCGGCTTCGGACCAGCAAAAAGACATATCAATTAAAAGTTATCATCGATATTTTCCGGCAAAAAGTCAAAATTTTGATATTTTCAAATTTTTAACTGAAAACCTGGCTTATATTATCAAACAATGACGTTGGTTCAGGCTTTTTTGAAACGAATTCGAACTCAAATCGTGCTTTTTTACGGATTTTTTCGGATTCTGCCCGGATTTTACAGACACGGACAAAAGTCTGGGGTTGTCTGGATTTCACGGACAAATACGGACAAATACGGATTTTGTCCGGATCGTGACAAAAGTCCGGTCTAGGCTGTCCGTTTTTTCCTCAACCAATAGACTAAAAGTCTAGTCTGTCCGTACGGACAAGACCGGACAGACACGGATAAAATCCGTACACGGACATGTCCGTTTAGAACCCTGGCTGTGAGGAAAGATGCCCTATGATCCACTCGCCAGTTTGTGGCTCAGATTATCAAACGTATTACAATGAGTGCGAGCTCCGAAATGCCGCTTGCAGAAAACCTGATCTCAATATTTCCATAATGGAAGAAGGTGAATGCCCATGTCCCGGATTCATGTGCCCACGAATGTACATGCCTGTCTGCGCTTCTGATGGAAATACATATGCCCAGTAAGGACGAGATAGAGTTTTTTCGAATATTTTTTTTCGAACTGTCTCTTATACTTTTTAGTCCCTGTCTTTTCAAATCAGAAGCTTGCGCTTCTGGCACAGAAATGGAGATTCTAAGTGCTGGCGAATGTCCCGAAGACATGGCGCGGATCGAGCTAAAAGGTGCCTTCTGTCCATGCCCTCGAATTCTCGCTCCTGTTTGTGGTGAAGATGGCAAAGACTATAGGTAAAACGTCACGGGTAATCATTAATTCTAATAGGAGGTTGTAGCAACGAATGCGAGGCAGAATGCAACGATGTGGAAATCAAGCAGCACTGCAGCTGCGAGTTCGACAGTTGCGCAACTATGCTCGACGATTTCAACATGATGTTCGGAGGTTTCTTCGATGACGTCGAAGAAGAGACAGTAGAGGAAACCGAAGAGGAGGAAGATGCCGAGCTCTGCTCAAATCAGGCAGCACGAAACTGCAACGCCAGTTCAGGTGAAGTTTGCGGCTGGCGAGAATCAGATGGATACCAGTTCTATCGCAACCATTGTGCCATGGTCAGACAGACATGCAGAGATGACGACCCCGCAGTGCTTAAACAGGAACCAGTTTGCGTCAGAAAGGTTTGTCTCAAGAAGTAAGCACAAGACTTATTTATTGGTTTTAGCCAAATGGAAACTACCGCGAGATCCGTTCTATGTGCCTCTTGATGAATAAATTCCCAGACGCCGAAATCGTCGACGATTCTAATTGTGGCCTTGGAGCAAATGGATTCTGGGGCTAATGGATTTTTCGACCCTCTTCGCTTTATATTTCAATAAATCATTCCTTCATACTTTTTGACTCATTTATTCGAAGTCAATAATAAATGTCCGCAGTTCCATCGGGGCAATAACGACGGTTTTGCCAGTTACAGGAAGGCTATCATCCTCTTCTGCGGAAGAGTTCTTCGGCCAAATGAGTCGATTTCGTGATCCTTTGACAACGTTCCCGATAATGTTTGTTTCGGTTATTCGTTTGATTATTCTGTATTCTCCATAGAGAGCAGAAAAATCGAAATTCTCAGCTAATGAAGGAATAATGTAACGTCCGCATGGTAAACATTACCTCGGTTAAACTTGTCACAACTTTGTCCAGGGGCACACAGATGCTCTAATCGAATCATATGAGAATTATTTCCGAGTAGTTCCAGGCTTGAAACTGCCACCAACGTATTTTCTTTTTTGAATTTATAAATTTTAAGTATATTAGTACAAAGTATTTTTAAAGTGCATCTTCGCTTATAAAATCATTCCTTTCGGCATTGAAATATCGCCAAATCTTGTTAATTTGATTTCATTCTCGTTTGACTTTTTAAATGCAACCCATGGCTCATTGAAGACGAATTTTTCTATCATTTGGTCTTCTATTCCTTTTAGAGGATTAGACGATCGTTTTTGATTTTTCCCAGTAAAGAGGATGAGGTGCTTTCCTTGAACTATCAGCCCCTTTCCAAACTGTCCTGGATCATTCAGAGGTTCGTCAACTCCTCGACCGTCGTCTTTCGTCGTCTCTCTAAAAATATTTTCGAAAATTCTTCAATCAACTTTTCTTCCTTTTACCTGAGGAGCATCAATTCAACTGATCCAGATTTAACTGAGGATCCTCCTTGAGCTCGATCTGGAAAAATACTGACACTTCTTCTAGTCGACTCTTCATTTATACGAATCTTGCTTGTTACAGGATAGTAGTTTCCGGCTATTTTCTCCGTCTGATTTAGTTTCCATGTTTTCCGGGCATCTCGCGTTCTGACCAGTTCTCCTCGTCCATTCGTATCTTAGTCTTACGATGTATTCAAAGAAAAGAATAGTCATCTACCTGTTACGAAGGATTTTCCAGTGTTCAGCTTTGTGTCAAGTCGGAAGATCAATTCCATGCCTGGATGAGGTAGTTCGCCGATGATGAATTCATGCTCTATGATTGGATGATGCTAAATAGCGAAGTTACTGTAACTGTAAACTCCTTTGAAAATGATTACTTCAAAGAATCGGAATCGCTGCTCAGCCCAAGAATTATACTTTAGCCGGACGTCTGTAAAAAGTCGGCCCTTAGTTACTGCAACTCGCGGTTTGCCAACGCAAGCTGCTTTGTTTGAGGTGGGACGAAAAATGTACGCTCCAGAAGCTTGATCAGAAGCAGTAGAAGATGCATAACTCCAGAGATGGCACTGAGAACGCATAATAATGCCATTTATTGAACGAATTCCAGCACGATCAATTTCAAGCTTGTTCGAGCCCACTGTAAGGCGGACTCGTCCCCGTGACCTCAGTTCTACTGGAGACATCTGGGCTGCTGGAACGATGCTACGCCTTCTTCTCATTTCTGGACGGCTCTCTTGTTTTTTAGATGATACCTAAAATCATTAGTTTTTTTTGCATTATAAGAGCATTTACTTTAAAAGTGTTTATACTGAAAGGGTCAAGTTGCCCGGTAAAAACGTTAAGTTGAAAACCAGTCGCACCAGAATGCCCAGTTTGAACCTTGACGAAGTTCTCCATATTTGACGAAATCTGGAAAGGTTGATTCGCCCCATTAGAAGTTATAATGTATTCTCTGCCACTGTCGTAGTTTATCGGGATGGGAAGAAGTTTAGCTGTCGGAAAGCTTCCAGGATTGATGACAACAAATTCAAAGTCGTCATTTTGTGACGATACATCACAAACAGAAATATTCAGGAAGTCGCAACGTGTGAACTCATCTCCAAGAGCAGATTGAATGACCTCAGTGCACGCTTTGCTCGGGTTACACTGCTATTTCAATAACTAACAAATAGTATGATTTTAGTGTCCCGAGTCTTGGCGCCCTTCGTATAACCGTTGGGCATAATCAGCTGCCACATGCTGCCTCTCTGTTCCACTAACGGCGTCGTGATGCTGGGCCACAGCAAATGCACGTTCTAGTATTTCAACTTTATCCTTCATCTTTCCCTGGAGATGAATGTCAGCCAGTTTGCAAGTAGCCAAGAAAACATTAGTCTCTCGCACGTAACGCTTCAGCGCTGCTCGAGAGGTAAAATAACCAGTCTTGATTTCGTGTTTTTGATTTTGCTTCTCTTCTATGACATCAAATTCAAAAAATCAAAAACCATTCCCAAAACATGTGCGGTCCATCTGCATACGGGAAGAAATCATCAACGACTTCTTCGAGATCGTTTAGCTCCTCGTTTTTCGCTTTCATGTAGCAGCTTGGAGTTGAGTAAATCAAATTTAAGCCGACATCGGCGGCATTTACGTATTTAATCAATTTGTCCAAGTTTTTATACCACATAAACGCATTCCGGTACTTTTGGAAGATGAAATATTGATTCATAAATGCAAATTTTTGATAATTCTCATCGTTCCTGAAAATCAGAGCCCATCGTCATCATAATATTATTTCCTTTGAAATGTGCACGCTGCTTCTCGGCTTCAATTTTGAATCTTTTGATGACGTCGTCAACATTGTAATCATGGAGGCGCTTGTCGTCCATGATCGGTTGGTCGCCCTCGCAGACCCAATCAAAACAAAATCCAGGTGGAGGATTGTATCCATTTTCGTTGAGTCCACTTTCACTTGAGTCCAAATGGAAAGTATCAAAAAATGGCTACTTTGGAGATCCTTTGCCTGAACAATGATCCGATATTGAAAGACCCGGTTGATCTTGTTTGCCAAAGAAATTCCATCCTCTTGTCTTTTTGCCGCTGCAGTTTGTCTTGATAATCCGCTCGGCCGAAGAAGAGTCCGTCAAAACCGGCTAATGCAAAAATCTCTGCTTGCGTTTTTGAATGGCCAAACGGGTCAATCTGCCAACCGACCCTCGGCTGACCACATTCAGAACCGAATACCTCGCTAAGATATCTTTTCGAGGACGAAAGACCATCAATGATTACACTTTCATATTAATCACGGTGTCACCCTTTCACTAACTCCAAGCGAAAGCTGTTGGATCATCCCTGTGTAGTGAACAGTCGCCTCGTCATTCATGCACCATCCACCAAGAATAAATTCAAGTTGTCCGCTGAAATTCATTAAATAAATCGCTAAGACCAAGTACTACGTCTCAACCAATTTGCGAACGTTATCTTTCATCAACTGCTCTTGCTCTTCCCACCATCGCCAAAAGTAAGCAGTTTCCACGAAGATGAATCGTTTTGACGGATCCGCAAGGAGATTCGGCACAACAGTGTCTAGAATGTACTGGACTCCTGCATTCGCCCATTTGATCGTGTCGTTTGACCCGTAATAATATTGATCTTGGTTGTAATTAATTTCTCAGAAAAACACAGCAAATAACGTTTCCATACCTACTGTTTTCAGCCAGCCGACGTCATCGTGCGTGTGTGGTACAAGATGTACGTTAAGCTTATCCGCGACAATGTCATGGCAGTTTCCGTAGAAACACTTTGATTCTTCTCCCAACGAAATCCGCAAAAGAAGAAAGTAAAAAAGACTCTTCATCGAAATCTATTTCTCTTTTCTTTTAAATCAAGACGGCTGCCAATTCGACTAAGAAGGAAGGAAACGGCGAAAACAACAACAACAGTCCAAAATGCTGACATTCGAGAATATTTTAGCGGGGTTCAATCTCCTTCTAAGTCAGTACTTTCCTCGTTTACATAAAACAACAAGAGGACGTGACAAATTAGCACTTTTACGATTGATTGAAAAAGATGTTTATTTGTATGAACTTGCAGAAAATTAAACTCAAAAGACATGGAGTTGTTTAAAAACACTACCTACAGACTTAGTAATCGAGCCAAGGTGAATTGCTTTGTTTTGTATCCGTAGTCATAAATTAGTGATAGAAGAATTGTACATCTAAAAGCTAAAAGGTCTTTTCGAAATATAGAGCAGAGATGTTCAAAGTGGGAATGAGATTAATCTGTCAGGGAAATCTACTCCGCTTGAACATTTTAGGGCACCAACACCCGATGATCCAAAAGATTCCTATCATCAGGTCAAAATGTCGGTTGAGTCAAGGTGGAATAGAGATTTCCTGCATAATTATTCTCGTCACTCATTCATATTCTGATGATCCTCATTTCTCAGAGACTCGCGATATTTTGTTTACAGTTTGTATAAAATACATAGATAAGGGCACTTGAAAATGATAAATGTTTTTTAGTTAAAGCCAGATACACAATCAACTGACGAGCACAATAAAAATTAAAGTACGGAAATACTGTATAATATGGTTTTATCCTGAGTACGGCCGTCGTGATCGGTAAAAGTAACGATGCTTTAGTGCGCAGATATCCCAGCCTAGTCATACCATGCGTGAGTTGAGCAAGTAAATGTGCATTAGTGTCAAGAGGCTCTAAAAAGTTAAAGAGTGTTTTACATTGGAAAAATCTAGGGCCGAAAACGAAGAATTCCAATATATAAACCATCGCTCAGGTAAAAAACCCTAAAGGCATATGTGTATATATTTCGCGTCGCTGTTTCTAGGGCTCGAAATCTTGATCGTTTCAAAGTGGTATTTGAATTTCCAAGAGCCTTTCCTTTTTACAGGCATTAGTGGGCAGTAGTGTTTCCGTGGTGTGCAGAGTTCTCGAGCTCTTTGCTGACGATGATGTAAGTCATGACCGTCTGGTTGAAGATGCCAAACATGATTAAGATCCAGGGTAGCATCGTTTTCAAACTCAATCTGCGAGAAACTAGTAACAATGAGCTAAAAATTGACCCTACTTTTTGTCCTTGTGGCAGATAAAGATGAAAAATAGTGAAGGGAAGACGATCATGAGGTTCGTTGCGGAAATCTGGCCTCCCATCGCGAAGAAGATTTTGAGATCTTCAACTGACACCACGATACAGTAGATGATTGCCATGATGGTGACAGTCACACCGTAATGGTACTTGCCAGCGATCTAAAGATTGACAACTTAGTTTTTTCTTCAATTCTGTCACTTACAAATTCAGGCTCTTCTTCTGGGAAAATGTTGAGGAAGATCGACTTTCGGAGAACGAAGCAGAAAAGAGGCGCGGAGAAAGTGACAACGAGGACCATCATGAACTAAGTAAACGTGTTTACATTTCCGAAATCAACTATGAACGAACCTTGGCAATAACAACTTGGATCTCAGTAGAAGCACTGTCCATTTTAAGGTATTCGAACATAAGCAGGAATTCGGCGTTGACGTGGTTGAAGAAAGAAAAGTAGCCAAACACAGCAGTAATCGTATAGACGGAAACGACCAAGAGTAGAGATGCAAGGATGATCTTCATCATTTTTCCTTTCGACTTGATAAAAGAAATATATGATTTCATTAATAAACACAAGATCAGTTACTTTTCGGCGAAGGTCGCAGTAGATCGGCAACATCGTTCCATGGCATTCGAAAGAAAATAGAAGAGTTGGGAGCGAATAGATAGCCTAGAATTAAATGTAAGTGGAGAGGATATTTAATCTTCGCACGTCAGAACTGAGTCGGAATGGATGAGCTTCGCATTCTTGTGTGGTTTCAGGGCAATGTTCACAACCTAAATTTCTACGATAGAGCCTAATAATGTGTATGTCTTTCATTACTTTCAGGATATTCCAACGGACATTGGCCGGCAGCAAAGTCTTTTTGGGTGATGACAGTAACGACGAAGAAAATGATGGCGAAAATGGCAATAGCGGAGGTGTAACCAAGATTTTTCACGTTTCGAAGACAGGCGAGTGGTGTGATGATGAAGGCGATAAACAAGCCGACGAGAGTTTTTTCGTTTAGGTACCATCTCTAAAAAGCCAAGTCAGTCTTCTATGTCTGCATTGATAGACTCACTCCTTCGACGCCACCGTCGGATCGTAGGGTAGCAAGATTTACGGTTTCGCTTCCAGAGACGAGGTTTATTAACCTCGCTAGAATGGGGCCGCACTCTTTGCGGATGACGAAGGAATATGCACAGCAACAGGTGAACGTGTGAAACATGACAATTGCGGAGACGATCCGTTTACCTTTTTTTATCAATTTTAAAGAAGCTCTTTGGAAAGAAGGACTTACCCAATATTTTGTTTCCTGCAGCAAGGTATCCTAGTTCTTCGTAGCCAGGAATAATTAAAGGATCTATCCTCTCTAAGTGTTGAGCGGCTTGATTATTATTAGAAAGGTGTTGAGCCAGTGAATTAATTACCCGAAAGGTTGAAATACTGCGTACAACAGGCAATAATGACGACCGTAAATATGGCCATCGTGAAGCCAACATAGCCAAACTACAAGTGTTATTGAGGAGGGGAAGCAAAGGATTTGTACTGACTTGTGCGGCAGCAAAAGGAAGTCCGATCACACCGCCGCCGATGACCAAATTCATCATGTTAAAGACGGAGAGTGCGATGCTCCTAGCATCCTTCTTGAAGTCAGGCTGGGAAACATGAGTCGCTCTCGATCTTCTCGACGCGATAGATTTCTTAAGAACGGCTTAAAAACCAACAATAAAGAGATACAAAGAACCCTAGATTGATCTGGTTTGAATCGAGATGTTTCGTTGAGATCGTCAGCGATTCCTGTGAAGGAAACGCCAGATCCCGCTGGGTTTTTTGTATCAACTATGTCATCTGGGTCTTAAAACGGGATCAAAATGAATAAAAAACGAAATTCTGAAGAAAACGGAAATCAGCAAAGAGTAAATACACTCTCATAAAAAAATTTGGGAATTACTGCTTGATTCAAAATCACTGATAAGGATTGTTTTAGGTAGTTAATAGTTCTTTAGTCTCTTCTCACCTCTGGGTCAATCATTATTTGGGATTTTCCGAATGCGGCACAAGCGTGAGAAGGGCAAAGTACACGCGGAATATGAAAGACCCAATTCTAGCACTTCTATAAAAAAATTCTTCCTAGACCCAGAGGCGTGTTCATGAATCAATGGGGAGTGAGCTCTCTCATTTATTGTTCGCGATGTCTGACTTTTGCTTAATGCATACGATGGCTTATTTTCAATGATTATTAACTTTTTTAGCCTGTCTAATTTATTCATTCAAAGCCTTGACTCAAAAGGTTGATTTTTAATCTTCTCATCTGCAATATTTCAAAAGAAATAACTGCATATACCTATTAGGAAAAAAACTGAAGGTGCCCGAAAAGGTTAACTATCTTTCAGTCATAAATCTTTGGAGTCAAATGCCTCTTCTTATCAGCATCTGTTTCAGATTCTTGTATATCTCTAAGGGCGATTTAAGAAATCTCTATCTCCGACAAAAGGCGGTTTGGTCCCGTTTTCTAATCCCTCCAGAAGGTTTTGCTGGTTTAGCGGAATCCCGTTTTGCATTTTTGTGAGGAGCGGATTATTCACTCAACCCTTGTCAAACTTTTTTGCTTACCTCCTTCGAAGAGCCCCCTGGTTGGACTTCGTGTTTCTAAAAACCATAAATTAGAAGATTGACAGCGCACACGCCCTAGGCCAGATGAATGTCGACCTGAAACCCAAAGGACCTGTCACGTGATCATGAATCCAAAATTCATCTTCAAAAGGTCACTCGCTAATTTTGGGAAATGAGCAACTTGCTAACTAGATTTGACAAGTTAGTCAAGGCCAGGAGGGTGCTTTGTTAAGGATACCTAATTAAAGCAGTTCTTGACTTACACTTCCTAAGAGAGTGCGTGAATTCTCAATCAAATCTCTCTCCACAAAAATAATATCTCAATTCAAAACGACATATTTCCAAAATGTAGATAGACTACAATATACTGTTAATATGAAAATATAGAGATTAATAAAATATTATTAATACTATCATTTGAAATACACCAAGATATACGTACTTTCTTTCTTCATTCAAATTTATTTTGCTGTGATTGAAAGAATCTACATTGTAGATTCCACAATCTGCATTATGTAGCGCTATTTTATGTTTTATCCGACTTATGCAGCTACAATAAAAGCAAAAATACAGAAAAAAGTAGTCAAGAAAAAATCAAGAGACTTACCACAAGTGCAGCGGAGGAGTGAGTGACGGTGTCGAGGGAGGAGACGATATTGTTGGAAGACTGGTAGCCAAAATCTTGGGAAATCATAAGTTCGTCGTTCGAGTCCACGATTTTTTGTGAGGAGCTTGTCATCGGAAAATAATCGATATTATCCCTACAAGTTGATTATGCTCTGTTTTCTTGTTTTTTCTGAAAAGAAAAGCGGAAGTTATATATGAGGCCTCGCCCTTTTTCCTTTGGGTAAATTTCTGGCAGTTTTGAAAAAGGAGGGGCCATCCTTTATGATCGATTCATCGTCACATGATTTAGCTCAATATTGGTCGATATCATCGCGTAATATTCTGGTTAAAAATATAATGTCCAATGGGATACATCTTTCGTCATGCATTTTTAAGAATATGTCAAACATTTTCCTTCTGCTCAACTGGAAAAAGGCAAAAGTCCGACTAGTAATAAATTCGAACCAACAAAATAATCATCAAGCTATTTTTTACCGTTGACGGACATTAATACGGCTGCGCCAACTTTTTACGGGGTTTGCATCGATTGCTACGATTGAGTCCTTTTTTACGGTTATAAATGCATTGTAGGGACCGTAGCAATCAACGCACAGGTTAGGGTGGGCATCAACCAAGGCCTAGATAGCCTCAGAGTTTAATAATTTTCTAAATGAGCGACAAACCCGACCTTGGTTGATGCCCAACCTGGACTGTGCGTTGATTGCTACGGTCCCTACAAGAGATTCATAGCCGTAAAAGAACGCAACCGTAAAGGTAAATCCCGTAAAACGCAGAAAAGGCGCGCAGTCGTATTGACCAGCTTTTTAGGTCAGCATTTTTATAACTTTTTTGGCTTGAGGTATCTTCAAAATTTAAATTGGAGGATGATCCTTGGCCAAAAGAAAATTTTCCACCGGTCGAATTTTTTGAACCGGCCGGTTAAACTCGCGGTAAATCGCGGTTCAGCCCCTTATGACCCTAGAATACCCCTAATATGGGTATCAATCGACTTCCTATGAAATTTCAAGTCGAATGAAATATGAACCGCGGTCAACCGCACTTAACCGGGCGGTTAAAATCGCGGTTTAGCCCTTTTTGACCTTCAGAGACCCCTAATACGGGTATCAATCGACTTCTTATTCAATTTCTTATCATAATAAATAAAAACCGCGGTTAACCGCGATGAACCGGCCGGTTAATTCGCGCTAAATCGTGGTTCAGCCGATTTTTTTATGCTCAAACCCCCCTTCAGCAACTCACAACCTTAACTAAAAACACTTATACAAAAAATGAATAAAAAATTTCTGAAAAACGAACACCATAATAGATAAACAAGAAGGGGGAATCTGGTAACAAGTAAATACGGGTGAGGGTGGGGTTGGGGACAGAACTAAGACTGATCACCTTAGTTTTAATCGCCTTTATCAAGCCCATTTTTAATAAAAAGCCAGGGACGGGGCTGAGACGGCCCTTCGGGCCGTCAAACCCATTTTTAATAAAAAGCCAGGGACGGGGCTGAGACGGCCCTTCGGGCCGTCAAACCCATTTTTAATAAAAAGCCAGGGACGGGGCTGAGACGGCCCTTCGGGCCGTCAAACCCATTTTTAATAAAAAGCCAGGGACGGGGCTGAGACGGCCCTTCGGGCCGTCAAACCCATTTTTAATAAAAAGCCAGGGACGGGGCTGAGACGGCCCTTCGGGCCGTCAAACCCATTTTTAATAAAAAGCCAGGGACGGGGCTGAGACGGCCCTTCGGGCCGTCAAACCCATTTTTAATAAAAAGCCAGGGACGGGGCTGAGACGGCCCTTCGGGCCGTCAAACCCATTTTTAATAAAAAGCCAGGGACGGGGCTGAGACGGCCCTTCGGGCCGTCAAACCCATTTTTAATAAAAAGCCAGGGACGGGGCTGAGACGGCCCTTCGGGCCGTCAAACCCATTTTTAATAAAAAGCCAGGGACGGGGCTGAGACGGCCCTTCGGGCCGTCAAACCCATTTTTAATAAAAAGCCAGGGACGGGGCTGAGACGGCCCTTCGGGCCGTCAAACCCATTTTTAATAAAAAGCCAGGGACGGGGCTGAGACGGCCCTTCGGGCCGTCAAACCCATTTTTAATAAAAAGCCAGGGACGGGGCTGAGACGGCCCTTCGGGCCGTCAAACCCATTTTTAATAAAAAGCCAGGGACGGGGCTGAGACGGCCCTTCGGGCCGTCAAACCCATTTTTAATAAAAAGCCAGGGACGGGGCTGAGACGGCCCTTCGGGCCGTCAAACCCATTTTTAATAAAAAGCCAGGGACGGGGCTGAGACGGCCCTTCGGGCCGTCAAACCCATTTTTAATAAAAAGCCAGGGACGGGGCTGAGACGGCCCTTCGGGCCGTCAAACCCATTTTTAATAAAAAGCCAGGGACGGGGCTGAGACGGCCCTTCGGGCCGTCAAACCCATTTTTAATAAAAAGCCAGGGACGGGGCTGAGACGGCCCTTCGGGCCGTCAAACCCATTTTTAATAAAAAGCCAGGGACGGGGCTGAGACGGCCCTTCGGGCCGTCAAACCCATTTTTAATAAAAAGCCAGGGACGGGGCTGAGACGGCCCTTCGGGCCGTCAAACCCATTTTTAATAAAAAGCCAGGGACGGGGCTGAGACGGCCCTTCGGGCCGTCAAACCCATTTTTAATAAAAAGCCAGGGACGGGGCTGAGACGGCCCTTCGGGCCGTCAAACCCATTTTTAATAAAAAGCCAGGGACGGGGCTGAGACGGCCCTTCGGGCCGTCAAACCCATTTTTAATAAAAAGCCAGGGACGGGGCTGAGACGGCCCTTCGGGCCGTCAAACCCATTTTTAATAAAAAGCCAGGGACGGGGCTGAGACGGCCCTTCGGGCCGTCAAACCCATTTTTAATAAAAAGCCAGGGACGGGGCTGAGACGGCCCTTCGGGCCGTCAAACCCATTTTTAATAAAAGCCAGGGACGGGGCTGAGACGGCCCTTCGGGCCGTCAAACCCATTTTTAATAAAAAGCCAGGGACGGGGCTGAGACGGCCCTTCGGGCCGTCAAACCCATTTTTAATAAAAAGCCAGGGACGGGGCTGAGACGGCCCTTCGGGCCGTCAAACCCATTTTTAATAAAAAGCCAGGGACGGGGCTGAGACGGCCCTTCGGGCCGTCAAACCCATTTTTAATAAAAAGCCAGGGACGGGGCTGAGACGGCCCTTCGGGCCGTCAAACCCATTTTTAATAAAAAGCCAGGGACGGGGCTGAGACGGCCCTTCGGGCCGTCAAACCCATTTTTAATAAAAAGCCAGGGACGGGGCTGAGACGGCCCTTCGGGCCGTCAAACCCATTTTTAATAAAAAGCCAGGGACGGGGCTGAGACGGCCCTTCGGGCCGTCAAACCCATTTTTAATAAAAAGCCAGGACGGCTGAGACGGCCCTTCGGGCCGTCAAACCCATTTTTAATAAAAAGCCAGGGACGGGGCTGAGACGGCCCTTCGGGCCGTCAAACCCATTTTTAATAAAAAGCCAGGGACGGGGCTGAGACGGCCCTTCGGGCCGTCAAACCCATTTTTAATAAAAAGCCAGGGACGGGGCTGAGACGGCCCTTCGGGCCGTCAAACCCATTTTTAATAAAAAGCCAGGGACGGGGCTGAGACGGCCCTTCGGGCCGTCAAACCCATTTTTAATAAAAAGCCAGGGACGGCTGAGACGGCCCTTCGGGCCGTCAAACCCATTTTTAATAAAAAGCCAGGGACGGGGCTGAGACGGCCCTTCGGGCCGTCAAACCCATTTTTAATAAAAAGCCAGGGACGGGGCTGAGACGGCCCTTCGGGCCGTCAAACCCATTTTTAATAAAAAGCCAGGGACGGGGCTGAGACGGCCCTTCGGGCCGTCAAACCCATTTTTAATAAAAAGCCAGGGACGGGGCTGAGACGGCCCTTCGGGCCGTCAAACCCATTTTTAATAAAAAGCCAGGGACGGGGCTGAGACGGCCCTTCGGGCCGTCAAACCCATTTTTAATAAAAAGCCAGGGACGGGGCTGAGACGGCCCTTCGGGCCGTCAAACCCATTTTTAATAAAAGCCAGGGACGGGGCTGAGACGGCCCTTCGGGCCGTCAAACCCATTTTTAATAAAAAGCCAGGGACGGGGCTGAGACGGCCCTTCGGGCCGTCAAACCCATTTTTAATAAAAAGCCAGGGACGGGGCTGAGACGGCCCTTCGGGCCGTCAAACCCATTTTTAATAAAAAGCCAGGGACGGGGCTGAGACGGCCCTTCGGGCCGTCAAACCCATTTTTAATAAAAAGCCAGGGACGGGGCTGAGACGGCCCTTCGGGCCGTCAAACCCATTTTTAATAAAAAGCCAGGGACGGGGCTGAGACGGCCCTTCGGGCCGTCAAGCCCATTTTTAATAAAAAGCCAGGGACGGGGCTGAGACGGCCCTTCGGGCCGTCAAACCCATTTTTAATAAAAAGCCAGGGACGGGCTGAGACGGCCCTTCGGACCGTCAAACCCATTTTTAATAAAAAGCCAGGGACGGGGCTGAGACGGCCCTTCGGGCCGTCAAGCCCATTTTTAATAAAAGCCAGGGACGGGGCTGAGACGGCCCTTCGGGCCGTCAAGCCCATTTTTAATAAAAGCCAGGGACGGGGCTGAGACGGCCCTTCGGGCCGTCAAGCCCATTTTTAATAAAAAGCCAGGGACGGGGCTGAGACGGCCCTTCGGGCCGTCAAGCCCATTTTTAATAAAAAGCCAGGGACGGGGCTGAGACGGCCCTTTGGGCCGTCAAGCCCATTTTTAATAAAAAGCCAGGGACGGGGCTGAGACGGCCCTTCGGGCCGTCAAGCCCATTTTTAATAAAAAGCCAAAGGGCTAAACCGCGATTTTAACCGCCCGGTTCAGTGCGGTTGACCGCGGTTCATATTTTGTTCGACTCGAAATTTCATAGGAAGTCGATTGATACCCATATTAGGGGTATTCTAAGGTCATAAGGGGCTGAACCGCGATTTACCGCGAGTTTAACCGGCCGGTTCAAAAAATTCGACCGGTGGAAAATTTTCTATTTGGCCAAGGATCATCCTCCAATTTAAATTTTGAAGATACCTCAAGCCAAAAAAAAGTTATAAAAATGCTGACCTAAAAAAAAGCTGGTCATTGATGCCCCACACCGGTAAAATGGCTTGATGATCATTTTCTTAGTCCGAATTAATTGCTAGTCAGACTTTTGCTTTTTTCAATGCAAGTAGAAGTTCTGAAATCTTCTATTCGCCCACCCTTACTTTCCTAAACGCTGTTTCTAGGACTTACACTGAAATAAAATGATAATCGTTCAAAATTTCGAAGTTTCTCTAAGTCGGTTTATTTCGGATTAGTTTGAACGTTCACGATTGGCTTAATTAATTTCGCCCTGTGCAAAAATATCCCCTTCTAGAGAGTTTACCGATGTCTGCTCGAGTTCTTCCTCTCCCTGACCATTTTCCCACTTCTCTGATCGAATGTTTTTACGCAATTTTTGACCTAGATAATAAAAAATATTCCAATTGTCTAGTGAGTAGTCGTAAAATTCAGGCCTACTTCAGTATGAAGTTTTGTTTGGCGCATTCTGACTAGATGACTCATCAAATTAAGAAAGGGCTCATTGTTCTTGCGCGGATGATTGTTTCCGCTACTCCAATTTATATTTAATATAATTCCTGTCATTTCTTACGTACCTTTATTAAAAAACCAAAAATCTCTCTCCTCTTGGAAATTAAAGATGAACTTCGAGTTGTCATCGTCGGTCATGGGGGATGATATTTACTTGTTTGATTAAACTTGGGGAATTAAACCAGGTCCACAATGGGGACCTTTTTCGAAGCTATCATGCGTTCATTGTTAGCTTAGGCTAGTTTGAAATATCTAAGCGAGTATTTTTCCATTTTTTTGAAATGGAAAAGCCGTTTGAAAACAACTTTTATACGAAAAAATCGGCAAAAATGGACCTCTTACCTGTATCTCGAGCAAGAGTGATTCTGAGCGGGATCCTTGCTCTAAAGCTCGTCTTGAATGCTTGCTATCAGTCAATTTCGTTGATAAGGATTAATTTCTCACAGTCGTGGCAGCAGCAAAGAATGGAATATTACCAGAGAGGGGCGAAATTTCAAGTGTGTTTTTGAGCTGCATTCAGCTGTGAATCTTGAACTTGGAGATTGGGCCCTTTCTTTTGATCTCAAAGCCAATTGCTCCCGCGGTGTATTTGATCATTTTAAAACGAAACTGATGATTTTACTTTTGCATTGAAGGTCAATAAATAAAGACGTTCAGAAATAACCTTTCCCTGATCATGGCAATATTCGCTTACTGTATCCAACAGTAAGCTGTTTCCTAATTGAAGAAGGTATTCTTGATCAAGAATTATCATTTTATCCAATATATAAGCCAGTTTTAAGCTCTATGCCGTCAATGAATGTAGATAAAACTTCCGATACCGAAATTCTAGTGCCAGGTCGCACATTCTGACCTTGACTAGCCGTGGAACTCGCCCTGCGGGAAGGCAATGGCTCCTTCTTTTTAGCGCGGCAAAATACTTCCAGCCTTGGCTTAATTCTGTAAGAGAAGAATTTCAACACGTGTGATGGAAACAGGATAGAAGTGGGAGAATGAGCAGGTCACCTAGGCGCAAACTGATAGTGTGCATCGCGTACTTCTACGCTGGAGTGGCAGGCACCGTCTACGCCTTGCGCATAAGGAAAGGTCACTGACTCTTTGATTAGCACTTGATTGCGCGATTATCAAACGTGTAGCTTTCGAGCAATGTCAGAACCCAGGAAAGACGTGATGGCCGCGGAGTTCTCGGACAAGGTAGAGTTCATCAAGCTATCAAATTAGTGCGAAAAAGACACTGCTAAAATGCCGTAGCTCTAATTGAATCTCATTGAACTCAATTCAAGGCGACTCACGACCCTCTGTCATCAAAGCTATCGGCCTTGCCCAGGAGGCGGATGAAGCAGAAGAAGATGTTGACCCATCGGGTCAGAAGAATATGATTCTAGCGATCTCGGTCATCATTGCATTCGTCTTTGCCGTAGCTGGCATATTCATCGGCGTTTATTTCAGAATCGAGCGCTTTTTGAAATGCATCGACAGGTAAATTTCAAAAACGATAAAAGAGCGGCTAAATACTGTATCTCAAGAATCGGGGGAACCTCAGAACTAGAAAGGCCGCTCTTAGACGACGACACTAAGTCTATCATTGGCGATGATGCGATGAGTACACTGAAGACTCAGAATGAGACTGGCTTCGTTCACTCATGCCCCGCAGAGTCGTATCCAATGAAGAAACAAATCTATGAAAAGGTAAAATTTTCAAGATTAATTCGCACAAAAACATTTTCAGGCAAATCGCACGCCTCATGTTGCCCGACGTTCAATCGGACCAGATCTTCCTCAAGCAGATCCGCTTATGATAGGTACAGTTTTATTTCGCTACTGTTATCTAATAATTCTTATAGCAACACCAATGACACGGAGAAAGCGAGAAGGATCCATCGCTGGAGACACGATGTCGCTCGCTTCGTTCAAGTCCGAATCAGGCCGGTCTATCCGGTCTATGTTCTCAGCCCGATCTATTGGAGCGAAATCATTTGGCTCAATGTTTTCAGCCACCTCAAAGGACTCGAAATCCTCTTCAGCTCTCAGAAACAAGATTAAGTACGACGTTGAGTTTTACCTTCAATTTTACTGACAATTTTTAAAGCATGTATCGAAAAATGCGCCAGGATAGGAAAAAATTCAAAGACGATGATACTGGTTCCGTTATTTCCGAGGCCAGATCACAAAGATCCATGGTCATCGACGGAAGTTCCGTAAGACAAATAGCTTACATATGAGACTATTTTTCATCTCAATATTTTAGCGATCAGTTTCTGGCTCAAGCAGACATCGCGGAAAACGAGGAAGCAAGACCGAAGAACATTCAGGAGCTTCAGCTGGTTCTAACTTTGGCAATCGACCACAGGCAAGTTTTTAATCGAGCTAGCAAGTTCCTTAAAATTGATGACCCCCGACTGTGGGAAGCCACCCTGCCCTTCGTAATAAAATGAGCGATGAGTTACCTGTCTGGGAACGTTAAGCAACTGCTTCACGGATAAATTATATAATGATTTCAGGAGGATGACGTGATGTCGATGAGATCCGCTCGATCGACGGCTTCACGAGCGTCCAAGGTGTCGCGTCGTTCCACAACATCCGTGACGTCGAAGAAATCTACGATGTCACTGAAATCGCTGCGGTCAAAGAAGACGAAAGAGGAACCCGCGCAAACCGAGTTCTTGAACTTCGGGAGTTACGTCCAGCAAGAATACAATGACGATCATCAAGATGAGCCGGCTGCTGGCAACTCGGATATGCTCTTCTAAGCTGACCCTTATCCAATCCTGTAATTGTATATTTCAACGATGAGAATACTTTACAGCTACAAATCTTTTGGTTCATTTTCGAGCACTAGCGACTGACAGATATTCTAATTCATATTTTTGTTCCATGTCCAATTTATATACTGCATCTACCAATATTGCCATCGAAATAAACTGCATGATATAATACTGACACGACATGTTGCGATTAATTCCAAGATCGACATTGCATTTAATCCATTCTTTGTGTCCATGTCCGTGCATTTACGCATTCGCAAGCAAGAGGAATCACGCAGAAAATTGTGCCGAAAAGGATTCAATGAAAAATGCATATGGGTAGGGTGAATAAGTTCACCGAAGCCTAATACTTTCCGTTGGCATTCGTCTTACCCTCGCATTAAGAGAAATGGGCTACAACTTTGAGATGGGACCCAACGGCCTCGCAATGGTTTTTAATAAAGAAAATCATCTCATAAGAAGACTTCTGTGGCTAGTTGTTGTTGTTTTTGGCTTGTTTTATTCCGCCCAGAATGTTTACAAAAATAGCATACGGTAACAATGCCGTACTTTTATTCATTATCGTGTTTTTTTAAAGATATCTGTCTTATGCAAGCAGTAGGAAGCCAGTCGCTTCATCGGGAGTAATTCATAATACCGATGAACACACGGAGGACTCTTTCGGTCTCGGATTTCCGAAAGTTGTTGTTTGGAAAGGCTGATTTTGATTATAGCCATTCCTATTCAGCTAGATCTTTTAACTTCAAAATCTTTCTGAGTTTAAATTCAATGCATTCGATGACAAAGCTGCGAGATTACCACAAAAAGCAAGTAGAAATTGGAAAGACATCAGCAACGATTGAAGGTGTTCTATTTTCAATTGCTTTAGAAAAAACTTCTAGCCTTTTTGCATTCCATGGCACTTTACTATGTTGGAGATTCCACTGGTGAGGTGGAGACCAAATTGAATATCAACTACTCTGATTTTGAAAGGGTTACGAATATGATTTCGCACAAATATTTCGAAAATAAACCCGGCAAAGATGAAATAGACATAGCGGACCTCTACCGTGAGACCTATCCAACGTTGCAGATAACAATTTGTCAGGTATTCCCATGCATCAAATACCTGAATCATCTTCTAGGTCGGAGAGACTGACTGCCAGAAATCGTGGAGAATTGAGAAGACTCACTATGGGTCTCGGTTAATGCTGGTTATCAGACAACCTGAATGTGAAAGGCATTAACCCTGGTCAAGAATGTGCCAAGTTCTCAAAATAGCAGACATGCCCGAGCATCAACGAACGAAGGCTGTTCAAGGACGGCTGAAATTCATCACGACAACGATCAAATACAACGTTTCCGACTGGGCATTTGGATGGCAGCAGCATATAGGAAAGATCGAGAACGTAGACACGGTGTGAAAACCACTATGAAATCGATCATCGTTAAGATGGACTGACGCTGTATGTTGCTGAAGATACAGACGAAGTGATTAATGAAGCATCGGGCATGAAACTGAACTTAGTATTGGGTTTCGAAGTTCAAATAATTATGCGCAGCGAACTTCTTTGAACCCTTCTACAGAAAGTATCGGTTACATAGGTTATCAAGATAAATGGTATTTTAAGCTGAAAAGATAATTAAGACTATAAAAGATTCCATACACGTCTACTTGGACGACCATACTCAGATTGCGTCCCCTCGGAGAACACAATGGATTTCTTCAATAAATACAGAAGGTGAAGCTGTCCTCTCCAAGAAAATCATATTTTCAGAGACCACTGTCTTTTCGAATGCATGGCCAAAGAGATCATTAAAAACTGCGAATGCATACCAGGAAAAGTGATCAGTTTTGAATCTTGGCTACACAAACAAAATTAACGACTCTCCAAAGCTCTTTTCACGGTGAAGGAGATAAACGTCTCGACGTGTACTTTGAAGCAAGGTAAATTTTCCGAATGACAGATCGTTATAGAATTGCATTCAGCCACAGTCTGCGCAACTCCTCAGTACTTCCAATTCAATTACAATAAGTGCAACTGCTTGCCATCGTGCAACAAGAAAGATTTTACTATAAACTCGGTCCACTATGGAAAGTGGCGGGAATCAATGAGGAGATCGCATCTCATTTCTGGCTCCGCCTCCTTCACACTTTACGCATCTGAGCAGGAAAGGAAGAGTGAACTGCGAATTTTACGATGATGCAAAGACTCGACCTTTTAATAGGATGAAATCGTGTATCAAGAAGAGCCGGATTATCCTTTCCACTCTTTTATTAGCGATATTGGTGGTGCTACAGGGGTGATTCTTGGAATGTCGCTAGTTACAGTAATTAGTTGAGTCAATACTGATTGTATTTATCTTGACATGTTCCGATTAAGGCAGCCTGGAGTACTTTGTCGCGCGAGCATGGCGCTTTATCGCTAGTCTCTACATCTCAAAGGGAGAAACAAAGAAAAATAGAAGAATCAAAAGCTCGCACTCACAAACGGAAGTTTTCGCCACTCTGTGATCTTTTAATAATAAAAAATGGCGCGTTTATTTTAAAAATTCATGCCCTGAATAGAATAGTGTTTAAATTATTAAGTCTTTGTGCTTATGAATTTAATTTACCAAATTCGACTGATCTACGTATTTTGCTCTCTTGCCTGCTACCGTGGGCGAGAGATATCACGACGGAGTCTGAGGGCCCGGGCCGGGGTTTTGAATATTTCGCGCACATTCAAGTATTTTCCCATGGCTGATGGAGGACTTTTATCTGGTGGAAGACCCCATTGATGGAAGAAAGGTCTAACCTAGGCTATTTAAGATAAATTAATCTTTAACTAATAAATAGATAATAATTTTGAAAAATCTTGATCATGTGACTCTTGGAGGACCCCTGGAGGACCTTTTCTGGTGGAAGACCGGCCTTCATGGAAGACCCTTAAAATTCAGCCCCGTTTCATGATTTTTAAATTTAAGGGGCTTGACGGCCCTTCGGGCCGTTTCAGCCCCGTTCCATGATTTTTAAATTTAAGGGGCTTGACGGCCCTTCGGGCCGTTTCAGCCCCGTTCCATGATTTTTAAATTTAAGGGGCTTGACGGCCCTTCGGGCCGTTTCAGCCCCGTTCCATGATTTTTAAATTTAAGGGGCTTGACGGCCCTTCGGGCCGTTTCAGCCCCGTTCCATGATTTTTAAATTTAAGGGGCTTGACGGCCCTTCGGGCCGTTTCAGCCCCGTTCCATGATTTTTAAATTTAAGGGGCTTGACGGCCCTTCGGGCCGTTTCAGCCCCGTTCCATGATTTTTAAATTTAAGGGGCTTGACGGCCCTTCGGGCCGTTTCAGCCCCGTTCCATGATTTTTAAATTTAAGGGGCTTGACGGCCCTTCGGGCCGTTTCAGCCCCGTTCCATGATTTTTAAATTTAAGGGGCTTGACGGCCCTTCGGGCCGTTTCAGCCCCGTTCCATGATTTTTAAATTTAAGGGGCTTGACGGCCCTTCGGGCCGTTTCAGCCCCGTTCCATGATTTTTAAATTTAAGGGCTTGACGGCCCTTCGGGCCGTTTCAGCCCCGTTCCATGATTTTAAATTTAAGGGGCTTGACGGCCCTTCGGGCCGTTTCAGCCCCGTTCCATGATTTTTAAATTTAAGGGGCTTGACGGCCCTTCGGGCCGTTTCAGCCCCGTTCCATGATTTTTAAATTTAAGGGGCTTGACGGCCCTTCGGGCCGTTTCAGCCCCGTTCCATGATTTTTAAATTTAAGGGGCTTGACAATGGCTGGGAACTCTGAGGTGATCAATCTCAGTCCCCAACCCCGCCCACACCCATCGTTTTTAAAATTCAAATTGACAAAGTTTTCAATAATGTTATGGTTTTGAATTTATTTTTTCAATCTAAAGATTTCCTTTTATTATTATTTACAAATTATTATTATTAAGTTTATTCATTATTATTAAAACAAAATCAAAGTTATAATAATTGAAGGAAGAAGAAGTTTCTTAGGTCAGTTATTGAGAGAGGTGAATTGTGAAAAATGTTTCTAGACGGGGGGTTGTTGTTGTTCTTCGCGGAGGACCCACTCCCACGTGGCGCAAGATGCGCGCCAAAAAGAGCAAAAAGATTGGGACGAGAAAAACACGCGCAAATGCCCCAATCTATTTCGCCCTCCGTCGTGAAATCTCTCGCCCACGGTAGTATTTCCTGAATTTAACAAACAAAAGTCAACGAGCCAAGTCGTCAAGATCAACACTGCGCGGTGATTGTTGACAACGTGGCACATGAGCCATGTGACATGGCGAATCGATTTTTCCTTGAGGGTCATGTTCGACAATTGTGGCAGTGCACTAGGGCAGGTTTCGACAATGAGTGACAGGAGATATTCGGATACGAAGTCATCAAGGAGGAATCTGTTTGCAATAAATATATAGTTAAAGACGTAAATGGCGTGTGCGGTAATAGCGGGTACAGGGATAAATGGACTTGACGACGTCAAGTTGACGTTCACTAAGTAATCGGGTGCTTGTTATTTCAATTTTGAATGAAGCCGACAGTAGGTTCAGTCGCGTTAGGCAGTAAGGTGGAATGTGAAGATTGAACTCATTTGAAAATTCTATACTTTGTTTAAAATATTTTATGCTGACGAATGGCGACGTGACTAGCGATTATATAAGACCCTTGTGCTTTCTCTTGGAGAGACGGAGAACAACCCGTGGATCAGTTCGGTGGAGAGGTTAACGAGTGGGAACAAAAAACAGCCAGGTCTCGCTAAGATCTATAAATTATCTGATCTATTCGGTCATCCAAAGCGAAGGACGGAGCAATAAACAAAACGATAATTAATCCAGACCAGCTCAAAAAAGGGTGAAATGTTTTGTTGCTCGTGCAATAATTCCCTTTTCTCTTGTGTAGTTTTACGCTGGAAAACATAATCGATTCTTAGCCCAAGAATCGTTAGGTTTTGAAAGCTAAAACAAATCAAAACGCTCATTCAGTTTTCAGATCTTCTTTTACTTGAGCAGTAAATGGAGCAGTAAAGGAAGGATACAAAGAGGGGTGAGCAGCGATACTCATTATGTTTCAATAAATATAGGGCTACGCGCTATATAATAAAATGGAGAGCAGTCTCAACCGAGACGGATACAATGGTGATGGTGACATAATAAGAAAGTCTGACGTGAAGGAGATTTCGACGGACCTAATAATGGAGCAGCGAAACAAAACGAAGAGAAAGTAAAAATCCAACATTTTCTATCAGGGTCAGCATTATAGTTTCGAACGAAGGTACGCTTCGAGGTACTGGGATCGCGACAGGTACCCCGTGAGCTCGATAAATTCTTCGGTTGGCATTTTGAGCTTTTCCTCGACCTCGACCGGGTAGTTGTCCGTCGTGAAAGGAAGCTGAAAATAGATGTTGGAAGGCATAATTTGAAAGTCAGTAGCACCTTGAACTTATTTTGAGTTTGACGGGTGGGCTGGGGTTTGGGAGTGCTGGGCGCTCGCGTCGCCACCGGTTTCACCGATTTAGAAATAGCGGGCATTGTTCTTCGTCGGGTAGCACGGCCCTCAGTCTTCGGCTTTTCGGGTTTAATTTCCGTCTCCACTGTCTCCTCCTCGTTCTCTTCTTTGATCTCGTCGCTATTCTCCTCATCCAGTTCAGGAAGAAGAGGCTTTGGAGATTCAACTAATCCCGCCTCGAGCTTGATGACAGTGTTCGGGCTAATGTATTCCTTCTTTATTTGAGAAAGGTCAACCTCTTTCTTCAAGGCTGCAATCGCAGGGCTCTTCGAACGCGTAGAACGGGTCTCACTTTTCGGAGGTACTGGTGTCGGCAACTTTTCATCGGCGTCTTTTGAACTTTCTTCGGGATTGGACTTTTGAGCGCGGCTGGCTCGGAGGGAAACTCGAGTGGCTCGGCTCGGAGTGGCTTTCTCAGGCGGCTCCTGTTTTACCACGACTTGGGCAGCCAAAGACAGACGGTCCTCCTTGGCGGTTTCCTCAGTCTGAGGCTGGCGACTTAGACGACGCTTGGGTCGAGTGTTAATCGAGGGTGCTGAAGCTGACTTCGTCGCTGCTCGTGGTGGGGCAGGCTCGACTCCGTCGCTCTCAGAATCAGAGCTTATAACTTCCTTGCTCTTTTTGCTTCGCTTGCTGAAAAAATACTGTTATTCGAAGTCGTGCGCGAGAGAAAGAAATTAAAGATGATTGAAAAAAGAAATTAAAGCTTTACGAACCTCGTTGACTCGGTTTGAGTGTCAAGATCCTTTTGCGGGTACTGCTTTTGCCCAGCCTTGACCTCGGACTCGTCCAGCTTCACATGCGAGAGGAACTTGAATGATTCCGGCACGAAATCCTCAATCTTGGGGGACGTCGTCTTCGGGGCTTCTCGTCGTGATGGCCGTCCCTTCGGTGTCTCTTGTCGTTTTGGGGTCGGTTTGTCTTCGACAGGTTGCGAAACACGACTGCGAGAGCGTTGTGGTCGAGAGGGCGTTTCTGAAGCACGATCTGGTGTCTTGTCCTTTCGGAAGCGTTTCGAACGCTCTTCAGATTGAGATGGTTTTGCGGGCTCCTGTTTGCGCTTCTTGAGCACACGGGACTTCACAGCGTTGCGGTCCTCGGGACCAGAAGAGTCATCAGAGTCTTTGGGAGGGATAATAGCTCTGGATCGACGTGTTCTTGCTGTCGGGGTGTTCTCCTTATTAGGATCAGCTTTGGAAAGTTTCGGCGTAACTCGCTTCTCATTCTTTTTGTCTTCTGGCACGACAATCTCTTCTGCAATGGCTACTCGTGGATATGAAAAAATGATCAGAGGAATTATTTTCAATAAAATAATGCTTCTATTTTAGATATAGTAAAGAGGACGCATTTTCAAATCCGTTCCCATGAGGGCATCATCGTCGAGGTCACTTGCTTGAGGTGTGACTTGCGCTGCCATTGCTGATCTCAACAGATCTGGACTTTGAATTTCCGTGCCAGAAATGTAGTAGGACTTGTACGACTTTCCTTGTTGAATTCCCTCTTTGAGACTCGCGACGGTAGCATCGAGCATGCGAATCTTTAGCACTCCCACTCCCTTGACAAAGTCGGCCACATCGTCATTGTTTTCGAAGGGACCGTAGAACTGTCTGTAGATGTAGTTGATCATCTTCTGAAGATGGGATGTGCCGAGCTTCGGGATGTGGACTTCATTGCTCATACATGACTCGCTCGCGACGTAGTCGGAAACAACTGCCAGAATGATCTTGTGAGCTTTCAATTGACCATCGGAGCACACCAATGTCAAGTCTAGAATTTTGAGTTTAGGAAAGGAACTTTCCGACAAGTGGAGCTTACCGCAGGAAGGATCGTCATACATCTGTTTGTTAAGAAGCATACTCATGATACAGTTCTTCGCAGACTTGGTTTGCTTGTCCAAATACTCGTATATCATTGCTCGCGACTCAAAGTCCTGAATTTCGACGTTCGCGTCATATCGAATTATTTAAATTTTACCCGGCTTAAAGTGATGTCTTCGCTGTCCCCTGCTAGATACTGTGTTTCGGCGTCTTTTGTGCTTCTCGTGGCTTGAACTCCAGCGGCAACTTTGAAGGCTCGTTGGGAGAACTGGTGTCCAAAGTGAGCTTGTTTGGGCTTGCGGAGCTTTTTCTGGGTCGAGGCGTCTTTCTTTCCGACGGGCTCGGTAAGGACAGCCATGTCGCGTGTGTACTGCGAGGTCTGAATAGCGCGCGTCGTGGTGATCACTCCAGTCGACGAAGTTTGTTGAGCACCGGCACCGGGGCGTTCGAGGATCGACGTTCGTCTGTTCGGCAATCCGTTAAGAATCTCGTTCAAGCCGCGGGACTTGTGAGCTGACAAGCTGGTGAATTGGGAGACGGGCGAAGAGATGCCAGAAGAAGGATGAGAGACGCGACCTGCGCTCGGTGCCTTTTTAAGTTTATTAGAAGAAGTTTTTTTCTTCTTCTCTTTAATCTTAGTAGGCGGAGGAGTGCTGATCACTAAGGCATTGTCGTCCGAGTCTGAAGCTTGCTTTTAGATTGACATTCGACAGTAAGAAAACAGTAATCTTAGGAGTGAATTGCGACTGACCTGAATCCTCTCGGGACTGGGCTCGCGAGGCCCGCTCGATCATCGACAATCGCTCATCAAGGGCAGTGGTTGATTTTGGTGCGTCTTCGGAAACAGTCGAAGGCGGTCGCGAACGCAAGTTGTTGGGCGAGGAGACCGACGATGGCGTTCGCGTCCTCGTCTGATCGGCGTTGTTGTTGGGCAGCAGGCCGGCACCAGATGCGCCGCCGTTCAACATTTCCTCGGCCTTTCTGGCGTCCTCGTCCGCGATCTGGCGATGGCGCGATCGTGAAGACCTGGTCTCGCTTTCTGTCTCACTAGAATTCGCGTTACCACTGGCGTCGCGAAGAGGAAATGGGGCTACCTGTGTGAAAATTCATCGCTGCTTTGCGAGTGTGGTGTGCGCGACGATCGTTCCGACTTGACTACACGAACCGGCCACTTTTTATCGATGTTTTTCACCTAAACTCTCGAGAAATGACCTCGGGAGTAGCTTAACCCACCGTACTGTCCAGCTCGTACAGAATTCTTGGTGGGAAAACGTCGTCCCACGTAGTCCTCAACTCGTAGAGCTTCTTGCGGTCCGGATCGGGTGAGCTACCACAAATCATATTTTTCTGATCGTTGAGTTTGTCTTATTACCTATGCCTGAACGTCTCCGCGAAGAGCTTCACCAAGTTGGTCGAGAAGTGGTGCACGTACTCGTCGGGGAAGTCCTTGATGATGTGGTCGATGAGGTAGAGCACGGGGATACGGTACTTGGGCGCCTCGCGCAGCCGCTGCTCGATCAAGTCCACGATCTATAAAAAAAACGGTGGAATGGCGCCCTAGAATAGCATCGCTCCAACCTGATCCGCATGTGCTCGATATTCGCCAGCCAAGATCGCCAAGGTCGTCAAGTGAGGTCGAGAATTGACACGCAGCTCGTTGAGCATGCCACCGAAGCCGCGGATGATCTAAAATACGAATAATTACTACTTCCAAGCGATGATATCGAAGAAAGAGCTTATCTATGCTTCGTTGGATGCGAAAGGTACATCTCGCAATCCTTTCGCAATTTTTTTTAGTAACTACGCGCTTATTTAAGAATCATCTGTTCCTTGAATTTACATTATCAATGAAGGCTTGATCCGGGTTCGCTTCGATGACCTTCTCTTCCAGGGTGGGTCCATTTTCATTCGGCATTTTTCCCACGATTCATAAAAACGTTTATTTCACTTGTCTGAACCCGTTCGATTTGGGTCAGAGTCGGAAATTTCTGAATTCAAAGAGTTTACAGATTATTCCTTCTTTTTTCGTCAAAGAACAAAGGTTCAGCAAAGTTTTTAAAAAGGCAACAGACCGGAAATTTAGTCTACTTCTGTTATTAGGACTAGGACTGTTCGAATGCCCTTAGGGAACGAGAGAAGGAATGACTCCAAAAGTGGCTTGATGATTCATAGATTTCGAAAAATGACGTCACTTTTTCCTACCGGTTTAGAGTGCTTTAAAAAGTTAATTCTTTTTAGCCAGAAATAAAAATTCCAAAGACTAAATCCACCGAATAAAAGGCATTTTTCATTTATCTTTTCTCTTTATCATCCCCGTCAATCACGTGACCCTTTTGTAGGTTAACTGGGTTCATAAAAAGAAGGATGAAACTGTAGAATAGGGCGCTTTGCAATATTTCTCTCCGCCCACGCCTTTTTCTCTCAAGTTTTTTAAATTCATTTTTTTTGCGATTTCAGTTTTCTCTGATTCGGATTGGTTCGTTCGTGTTTGTTTAGAGAGGGTCGAGTTCAGTTATTGTTTGATTGAAATTCGATTATTATTTTTTTTTTTTTGTTGACTTTAGAATTTTTTTTTTGGGGTGGAGTATAATTTTTAGCGTTGGGTTGGGGCTATTGGGGCGAATCGAGAGAATCTTCGAGCAGGCCAGAGCGTTTTTCTTGGCAGTGACGAGCGAATGGCTTTGGCTGGTGGGAGCGCGCCGCCTACGCGCGCTGAATTGGAGCCCGGAGCCAATCAGCGCGCGCCTACGCTCACATTCATTGATTTCGAGTGCGCGCGGCGGCCAATGAGCGACCAAACTCCACTAGATCGCGCTCGAGACGGGGATGGGACACGTAGCCTTCTATTCGCGCAATTTTTCTCGCGAATTTTTGTCACCTCACGTCTCGTCCAGTATTTATTAAATGAATAATTAATAAAATAATCATTACTCTTGCTGAAAACGACAATTGTTAATTGCATGCAATAGGTATTAGAGTTCTCTATATTGGAGTTTATCTTTTTCTTTTCAAAACTCATTTTCCTGCAAAATTTCTTCGTGCTTCGATGCGAAATGCTAACAATAACGAAATGAGAATAGTCCTCAATTCTGACTGATCGATCTGCAACTGTATTCAGCAGCAGGGCTCGGCAATCTATGTGGAAAAGAAAGAAATCGTCAGGAAAAGCGACACAGAAGTCGACTTTTTAAGCGATAGAAGTGGATTTTCGTTTTTGTTTTATTTTTGGAGGAACGTCAAAACCTAGACTGTAACTTCTGGTAATGGTAAGCTGACACAGAAAGATGAAAGAAAATGAACTTGAAATACGGATAAAGAGAATAAGAGTTTTTAAGTTTTTTTTTCTAGGTCAGAATTACTGTTTTCCAATTACTGTTCGTTAAACTGTAAATACTTAATTAGTAAAAGATAAATTGCACTTTGTTTGAAGAGAAAGAAGGGCAGCTTCGCTTCATTAAAAAAGGAAATTCTAAACGGAGAAGGTTTTCGGAAGTTTTCGGCTCTTGAAAGTTGAAATGTCGCGGTTTAATTAAGTCTACAGTTCGTCTTTGACGCCAGCCGGCCAGTTCTCTTTGGGCACATACTTGGGCATCAGCTCCTTGACGCGCGAGACGAACTCGTCCTTTTCCAGGCAGTTTTTGCACACTTCGCCCCAAGTCGTCAGAATCTTCTTCAACTCTTTCACCTGATCAAATCGTCAAACACCGATCATTGGGCAAGTCTGGTTACCTTGATCTTTTGCCAGTTGATGGCGCTGTAATCGTATGGCTTCGGGTATTTGAGATCGCAGATTTGAGCGTCCTTCTTTTTCAGCGTCGCGCAGATTTTTTGAACCGGCTTTTTGAACGACATTGGATCCACGATTGACTGAAATTAACATGACTACGATTGTCTACAGACGTTTATAAGTTGGGGAACCGCTTTATTCAAGCACTTTAAGGCCCTGACTCAGGTTTTGGAGACAGGTTACTTCGCCCAGAGAAGCTGCTCCTCGATAAAAAAAATAATGCGCTAAAAGGCAGCACTCTTCTAAAAAGTATTAACCTTGTGCATGGTGGTTGCAGCGTCTGGCGTGAGTCCCGTGTAATAGCAGAATCTGTTGTCCTGCTCTTTGGCTTCCTTGCACATGGCTCGGAGCTTCTTCTCGATTTCGCCCTTGTCACTGATGTTCTCGTCGGTGAGCACCTTCTCGACCTTGCCGAGGAAAGTCTCGCAGACTTCGCACTCGCCAGAAGCCGCCGCCAAAGTCGCCAGGCCGAAGAAGAACAATTTCATTTTCTGAAAAAGGAAAGAAGTGAAATCAACGAAGAGTAACGTAAAATAATAGAGTTTCTTGTTTCAATCAATTGCTATCAAAAAAATAATACATGTAGATTGTTCTATAGAAAGTGAAGACTGGGCCCGGCGATCTGTGTAGAAAACCTGAGTCAGGGTCTTTCGACAAATAACCAATTTGATTTTTTTATTAGATTTCTTTACTGACCCTGACTCAGGTCTTATACACTGGTTGAGGAGCCCAGATTGAAGGGATTTCAGTGGTCAAGAAAAAATAACATGAAAAAATGGAAATGTATACGATTCTGCGTTTTAGCACTTTTTGTCACAGGTGGATGCGTCTTCTTTGATTCTTGAGTGACAAACTAGGCAGTGACTTCTTTTAACTTGTCGCTGGCGGCAACCCATTCTTTGGTCGACTTGTCCGCGGCTTCATCTTCAACAAGTTGTCGGAGAGCGATGATGGCTACATTTTTTGTTTAGAATCTACCTTTTTGAAGTTATAAAGTTACCGTTTTGCAGCGCGTTTTCAGTGTCTTTCAAAGCAGCTTTGGTCTCGTCGATTTGCTGGGGAATCATTTTGGCGCGGTACGCTTCTTCTTCGTCTTTGAAGTTCTGGTTTTGAAGCTTCTTTTCAAAAGCTGCCAGTTCTTTTTGATAGTATTGCTGGAATGATAAAATTAAACTAATTTCAAAGAGAATTTCAACATAAATTTGAAGCGGTTTTTTAATCATCGGAATCTTTAGAAGAATTTAGAATCTTGCGTTAAAAAAAAGCCGCACCACGGCTCTTCATTTGATATTTTTCAGGGCCTGACTCAGATTAAATTAATCGTATTTGTACGTATCGTTGATTACTCGGAGCCGCAAGCGGCTTCTGGATTAATAATCTCGATCATTATAATAATAAAATTACCTTTTCTTTGAAAGTTCTGTTGACAACGCCAGTTTGGATTCTCAGTTTTTTCGCGTCAGCCATCTTCGTTGTTTTTTTTTTTTGTTTTAGCGTTTTTCGAGTCGAAATGGGCTCTTTTAAAAAAGAATGAATCAACGCAGTAAATTTTTCTTTTGGAACACGTCGAGCGGGGGCGACCAATCAGCGCGCGTCTTCGCTCGCGAAAAGCAAATTGCGACTCGATGCGAACGCTGACTTAGCATGACGTGGCCGACTCAGTGGAGAATTCTAGAGAATGTGTCTCATCTTGAGAAATTATAAATCGCTCGATGTTTTGCGTAATCTTTGATCATCTTTCATCATTTACGTGTTAGAATCATTATAAGATAGAAATTTAGTTAAAAAAATTTTATATCGACAAATAGCTGTTTGAATGTCGAGAAGCCGCTTGGACTCGGCAACCTGTGTAGAAAACCTGAGTCAGGGTACTGACTAAATTCTTCTTTCTAAAAAAACTTTAGATGGTTTCGTTTAGATTGATTTTGAAAGAATGATGAAACGAAAAGTCCAGTGCCCGAAATTGATCAAGACGGTCGTCGTAAAGAAAGCACGGAAAATGACGGAAGCGGAAATTAAATCGGCTCAAGAACAAGCACAGAAAGAAGACAGACAACGGAAAGTGATGGACGGAATCGCGCAACACCCCGAAAGGCACATTCTAGCGCCGCTTATTTTTAACCGAATGCCGGCAAATGGCTTTGTAGACGCGTTGAATGTTCTTGCGCCGCGGGATGGCCAGCCAAATTACGACGATCTTTTACCTTTCTACGACTGTCGAAAAATTCTCGCGAAATTCGGAGAAGAAGATCCAACGCTGAAATCAATAAGAGCACGGTGCAAAGTACTCGAGGCTTTATTTTTCCTTTATCTTAGCAAGATAAAGAGTATCTTTCATCCTGTCCAAGAAAATCGTACGAGCAGCGCAATCGGGATTGCCCACTTTCTGGCTTGGCAATCGCCATTTCCTGGATAAAACAATAAGCAAAAAACAACGAAAACTGCCAAATTTACGTCGCATTTTGCCTCTTTCGCTTTTGCGGTATTTTTGCTCACTTACCGCATTCCTGACAAATTGAAACCGAACGACAGTATCTCTTTTACTTTTACTGTTAAAATAAAATTGAGAACTTCAAAATCTTGCCGAAATTTTTAAAAATCTCAATTTCAGCAATTTCAGAAATGCTATCTCGCGCCTTCTGCTTCACTCGGAATCGGGCGTTCTCGGTGCTCAAAGGAAACCGGGACAGATTTGGCGGCGTCAATGTTTATTCCTACGAGAATACAAGTTCCATGGACGATTTCCCCGAGACGCTGCAGAACTCGCTGGAGGAATGGAAACAGACGGGCGTCAGGGGAGCCTGGTTCCATGTTTCGGGAGCGCAGACTACTTGGGTAAGTGTGCTTCGTTTTGAGTTGTCTAATTTGTTAAGATTTCGCATCTGATTTCGGCCGGGTTCGAGTTCCATCACGCAAAGAACGACACTGCCGTATTGACCCGTTGGCTGCCCGAAGACGAGAGTTCTGGAATCCCCGAGTACCCGCACACCTACCTCGGCGTCGGGACGATCACCATCAACGCGAAAAACGAAATCCTTGTAATCAAGGAGAAAGTGCGCTTTTACAACAATTGGAAATTCCCCGGAGGATACGTCGACCGCGGAGAGAACATTCTTGACGCAGCCGTTCGAGAGGTTAAAGAAGAGACTGGGGTGCAGACTGAAGCCCTCGGCTTGGTTGGATTTCGGCACGTTCTTCCACAGAAAGACATTCCCTTTCCTCCCTTCAAGTGTGCAGGTAGTCACATTTTCATAATCACTTTTCGGAATTTAAAGATAAATTAAATAATTTTATTTTGCGAAGCCACTTCGCGGCTATTTATTGAAGATCCTTCAGACCCTGACTGAATCAGGCTGACACAGGTTTTCTACCCAGGCTCTCGAGTCACGATGTCCATATCTAGCAAGATTAAAAATAGATGGAAAAATTTTGGACAATTGACAAGTTTAAATTTAGACATTTACGCGATTTGCGCCCTGCGCCCCACGGGGGACGAAACGATTGTTCGCCAAGAGCGCGAAGTTTCCGAGGCCGAGTGGCTCCCCGTCGACGAGTTTCTGGAAAAAGGCTCTTTGCATAATACGCACTTCTTGAATGCGTATTTGAAAGCGAAGGATCAAAATGTTATAATCTCGCCGCACGACTTTTCGATGAAATATGGAAATGCAGATAGACACATGCTTATGTACTTTAATGATATTCTTGATTCGAGTTCCGATTGAATCTGATTGAACTCTTTTTTCTCCTTCCAGTTCGAATAAAAATACCTCTTTCAACCAAAGTCTCAACGGGACTAGGCAACCTGAGATTGTTTTTATTTTATTGAGTTTCTGGGTCAGGAGGTCTGTAAAGAAGTGAGTGGGATAAAGTTAGGTATAATTATCAATTCGTTCATTCACAATGATATCGATAAAATGTGACGCTTTTGAATCTAATGGTCAGTGAAAAATTATCAAGCGGCAGTGGAGTAAGTGACTTATTCGAGTTCGGCGAGTTTTCTTTCGAACTCTTGGATTTTTTCGTCGCAGTTGGTCAAATTTCGCGAAGGCTCCCAAGTAGCTGACTTGCGTGGCCAGTACTTCCAGATGACTTTGTATTGGAAGCCTCGTCCCCAGCGACGCTTGTCGATGATTTCATCCACTTCCCATTCGGTCATATCGACCGGCGGTTTGACAGGTTCCTCGTCGGATTGCTCGTCTTCTTCTGTGTAGTCGAACTCGGGCGAGATCTTTGCCGATCGCTTCCTTTTCGGCGAGCTGCGATTCGAGGAATTAGAGGAAGAGTACTCAAACTCCTTGGTAGTGTCTTCAGAAATCTTCTTCTGTTCTACGACCGGTTGATTTTCGGGAAAGTCTTGAAGCTCTTCTTCGTCGGACGGGTACTCCCGGAGAGATGCCTCGTATCGGACTACTTCTCCAAGGTTTTGAATCTCATCCAGCGCCCAGTAACGAGTCTTGTTACCTTGCTCCATCTAAAATAAAAATGTTAGGGCGATATTTTGACACCATTAAAAATATCAAACCCTTAGATCTACTAAGACACTCTCGAAATTGAGGAAAGCTAGGCTTGGCAACCTATGTAGAAAACCAGAGCCAGGGTTCTGAAAGAGCTATAATGAAAAGCGGCATGTTGAAAAACCTTATCTGTATGATAATCGATTACGTGAATCATCTTTATAGATTTTTCTTGCGAGCTAACCTTGTAGTGGACCATGTTGTTGATGATCTTCCTGTCTGAAATCGTTGTCATGAAGTCGGTTCTTTTCAGATTTCCCCGTTTCACTACTTTGTTCATTTTTCTTTCACTCAGTTATTCTCTCCCTTTAATTTATTCTTTTGGGATACCGGCAAGACAATCCCATGCAGCAATTAAAAAAAAAAACTGATAAGATGAGAAACTAACTTTCCTGGAGATATTGTTGCTTGGTTCAACCATTTTGACTCCTTGAGGATTCTCTATTTTTAGATTCAGATTTTTTTTTTTTTTGAGTTTCTTTCTTTCTTTGGAATTTAACAACACTCATGTCCCTCGGGGCGCCCTGGCGCGTTTTCGCACGATCGACCACGAACCCAGAGGAGCAAATTCTATTTGCTTCTCTTCGTTCAAACCATTTTTCAGAACCGTGAAGCTCCCATGATTATTGCTCTAGATTTCAGGGTTGCACAAACAGCCCATTTGAATGGACGCGAAAATATCGAACAAACTGACACAGTTTTTTAATGAAAAATCAGCAATCTGAATTGGCATAACCTGATTTCGCATTTTTGTCTTGAATTTAGTTGTTTATTTTACACGATAGCAGATTAAGGTTAGACTTTGTTTCCGTCGGAAGACTCGATCTCGCCGTCATTCGGAAAGCAACTGTTCATTGTCGAGTTTCGTTTCTTAAAAAAGCCTTCAATAAAATGAGGGGTGGTGTAATAAAACAGATTTCATCTTTGAATTGCACCTCTTATCTGATACCATTTCTTTATTACCTTTGTCCGTGGATAGTTCCGCTCTCGCAGGCTCTTTCGGAACCGCCTGTAGCTTCGCTTGAAACTCACGTCTTTCATGAGCATCAGTCGAGAGGGGTCTGAAAAGTAAAAAAAGAAAATGAAGTAAAATCAATACCAACCAGCTGGCGTCGCGAATGAAAGGACTTCGTGAAACATGCAGAATGAGAAATAAAGGATCGCCGCCCAGCCGAATATGACCAACGCTGTCAAGGTCTTTCCTGGGTTTAATAAATAACGTGCACACTGTTTTCAATTGAAAGAGCAGAAAAATGTTCAACCCGTGTCCAGTCGGACCAATTTGGCTGATCCAAATATTCTTCGTCGATTTCCGAAGTGTCCATAGTTTCCTTCAAATCAAAAAATTAAATTTTCACGGTATTTTATTAAAGTCGTGTGAAAATGCCGTTTGCGGCTTCGCTTAAAGCCGCGCTAAATGCGGCTACTTATAGTCACAAGCGGCTTCTCAAATTTTGTAAAGAAGTCAAAGAAAAAAAATGATATTGGTACTAAGGATTTGAGCGTAAGAAGAGAAAGCTCTTAATCCCACCTCCATGATTTCATGCAGCAAGTCAGACATTTTCTTCATCTTCAGTCTCAGCTGAATTTTGTTCAACATCGTATTGTTATGTTTCGTATAATTGAAAAGTTTTGTTATTTCGTCTCTACCTCAGTTTCTCTGTTTGGTGTGTTTTTTTGGCTTTGGAATTAAATTGCTGGCCCCTATTGAGCTGTAAATAGGTCACTTCTGTTTGAGCCTCAAAGAAATGGAATCAATAAAGACATCAGACAACGAGCGAAGGAAGAAATTCATTTATTCAGAAATTCGATAATCTCATCAAATGATAATAATAAATGGGATGGATACAAGCACCATTTGATCGAGCCCGCGATTACTGGCCACGAGAATAATAAATTGATGTCCCAGCTACTATAGTTGAATTATGATTTCATGCAAAAAAAAGAAAGAATAACACAGAGCTAGAAACTTCGATTTGGAATTTGGAGCTCATATTTTTTTTAATTTCCTGAAAGGGAATTTATTTTTCAATGGTTAGATATGAAAAGGATATATTTTTTGATTACAGTTGATTAAATAAATAGCTTGAGACGAGTATTCGACGAGTTATTTCTCCGATTTCCATATGTGAATGCCGTACACGCCTTGGTAGTACATCATGAGAACTGTGCCTTGAAACAGTTTTGAATATTTTTCCCAGATTAAAATATCTAAACGAATTGAAGTATTCGTGATGTTTGAAAACTGGTTCCTTTGACGGCTTGAAATTCACTGTGGAAAGCTTTTCCAATGACAATATTCCAGCCAACGCCGAACTTCTTATTTAATACTTCAAATGTTTCTAGAACAGTTGTCAGCATTTGTTATTATTCGAAATGTACCTTTAGCCGCGAGTCCGAACGGATGCTTCTCCAAAAGTCCGACAACGAGTTCTTGAATTTCTGTGCTCATTTCTTCATTCATGTCTGATTCTGGCAATACCAATGGAAATCTTAATTTCAAATTTACCGGTATTCCATAGTGTGGTCTATTTGCTCCTATTACTTCTTAAAATTTAACGCTTCCACAACGGATATAAGAAAGAACAACCAATATTGTTAGTAAACTTACTGATGTGCTTTGGCATGTTCAACGTCAATATCTCGCCGCTCGTTTTCTTCTTCTTTGTTCATTTTCCAATTTTGGGCGCGTATAAACTGATTGCGAGACTGAGAAGGAAACGATTCCTGCCTTGATAATAAAGAGATTCTAGAAATGTTGCTCACGTGATAGCAGGGAGATGAAGTCTTTCGTCATGAATCGCCTTTTATTTTGTTGGAAATATTTACAGAAAGGGAATAAATCAGAGCTTTTCGCTCTTCTTTGATGACGGCACGAAAGAAGGAGCTGTTTTGGCTTTGCGGCGCAATCTTCGAATCTGAAAATAAAAATGAGAAATAAAAGCATAATGCTCCGAACTCCATCCGCCAGAGGGCGCGCGGAAAAAGAGGTGGAAGAACGGAAAAGAGGTTGAAGAGCGCTCTTAAGTAGGGAGCCGGAGGAGAGTGCGCTGAGGAGCGCCAAGGGAGAACCTCCGGAGAGTACACACCGGGTGAGCAAGCACGGAAGGGAGCGCGAAGCCACCTAGTCCCAGCGTAAAGTGCGTCAATCTCTGTTCAAACACCGCTATCATTTCTGATCGCGTAGTACCCCCTGAATGAGCTAAATTTCGCTAAACTGATTTTTCACGCTCGTTTTTTTTGAAATTTTGAAAAATTTTTTTGAAATTTTGCGTTGAATCTAAATAAAGGGTCAAAAACATTAAATTTTGATGATAGAGTTTATTTTCAAGTTAAATGCCTGAAGATTGACGTGTTTTTCAACACATCGTTTTCCCCGGGCATTGAACTCCCCATTTCTGAGTGCAAGGCGATTATCTTCCTTCTACTCATAAATGACTTTGCAGGTCTTAGCAACAGTATTTTTGCCCAGACCTGAAAGCTCTCCGATAGTGTGATGGTAGCTCTTGATGGCAGCCATTGGAGTTCGCTACCTTTATCCGCATCCGGAAGTGCTGGTTCTTTCCGTGTTATTTCTTCCCGTACTTCAAAAGAGGCATAACTCTCAGGGTTCGCTTCTGGGCCGATGTGAAAAATATGAGGAACTTCTTTTGATCCCGCATCTTCAGGAATAAGGTCAACTTTTTTCTTTTAATTCCGTAAAACCCATATTCTGCTCGAAAAGAGCTTTCTTCTGATATATATACCCATGTATGTCCAAAGGTATGTCCAAAGAAACAACTCATCACTCTAACTTGCCTCTAGAATTGATAATAAAGTTGATACTAGCATGGGTAGAACAAAAATATCCCCTCCGCCCCTGCTGTGCTAACTCCCAGGTGTAACGCTCGATTAGCGTATTTGGGGCTTATCGCCAACTCATCAGTTCTCCCTGGACTCGCAATGTTCGGAGGATTCAGAGTCCTCCGCGCACCTTGCGCCCTCATGCGAGAAGAGTTCGGAGCATTGTGCTCGACATCCAAAAATGATTCTAGTCTGAAAAGATGTTTTGTACCTGTTGCAGTTCGTTTTTGTCCGCCAGCATTGGTGTGTACGAAACACTGCTAAAAAGCAGATGTGCATTTGGATCACTCTGCATCTCCTCCCAGTATCGCTTGTAGCCGTCCTTTAACAAGTAGATCTCGGGCCAGTCGAGTTCGGGATAGGCGTTCTTCTTGCGATCCATCGCGCGGAAGATGTTGTACATTCGCGGCCCGCGCTCTGAGCTAAACTCGCAGTGAAACACCATGATCCGGCGCCTCTTCTCGTCGAACTTCGTCAGTTTCTCATCGAAAAATTGCGCCAGCTGACTTTCTGCCTGTCCATTGTCGCTTTGCCCCTACAAAGACATTCGGTTTAACATGTTCCGTTAGAGAAGTTCAGCTCACCTGTGACGTAATATTATGCGCGTTTTTTATGTGGCCTCCGTTGAACTCGTATGGATATCGCGCGTCGATAATCTCGATTCTCTCCACATTCGGGTGACCGTTTACGAGCAAATCTCTCAACACTATCGGCTCTATATATTTGAAGCTGCCACGCGGACCCGTTACAATGTCCAACAGACACTAGGAGGTTTTATTATCAAAGGAGAAAGGTGCCAAGTTCTTACCTTGGCTTTGAAATTTCCAATGAGATTTCCTTCTTCGTCTGTTGCGAAATTCAAAAAGTCCTTTGACGTGTCGATAACCGGCGCGTGGAAGCCCTGCCGGTGCTTTTTCTTCAGTGGTTCTCTTGGGGACGAGACAGACTGACTGTAGCCAGTTGTGGACATTCGTTTTCTTTTCGTGTGCATTTGGCCATTTGCTAACCCGTCGAAGTTGTGATTTTCCTGGTCGTCCTCTAAATTGATGATTAATTTGGCAAATGATAGTTAGAAGGTAACCTTTATTGTCGAAAACATCTGAATCGCCCTCGCTTTCTTCTAGTGCCTGTATACTTTCCTTCAGACGAAAAGGTGTGCTTGATATCGATGTCTTGAACATTTGGCTTGCGATGAGCGGCGAACAGGGAATCGAGTCGCATCGCTGGACAAATCTAAAAAAGCTTGACTGTTTTCTTCGTTGATTTCAACTTACGAGTTAGATCGCAAAAAGGAGGGTGAGCCAGGTTCAGATTCCATCGTCAAGTTAAACGAATCATCCGATTTCAAAAAGGATTCTTTTCTGGCATCTCTTACTGGCGAGTCGGAAACGCGTTCCCTGAATCCGACCGACCTCAGTCTCATTCTCTTTATGTCGGCGCTTATGCCTCTCGTCGGCGTGCTTATATCTGTAGCGTTGAGTTTATTCATTTGCAATAATTTTGAAAATTTGGCGGTTTTGGAATTTCACTCGATGTGAGTGCGAAATGGTTCGGCATGCAGGGCAATACACCAATTTCAAGCTGTCAGGGGCGCCAAAAAGATCGCAGTACGATAGTCAGAGAAAAATGAATTTTTCGGTTTCTACTTTATCGATGAAAATAATCAACCACCTGCAGAGCCTCTGAGGCTGACAGCTCTTTTGTGAAATTTTTACTCAGTTTTAACGGAGAAAATAATAATTTTTTTTTTGAATAATCATGATCATGGTTAGTCCCGATCAAAAAGCATCGACTTCACTTATGGGTTTGCTCAGATTTTCTCAAGGAATGAATCCTATTTTTCATCGATGATATTTATATAAACCGATTTGTCGTAATTTTTCAACTCGTTTGTATAAAAGAATCCAGCTTCCTAAAAAGGTTACATAAAGTTTGACGGAAGAAAACCAATGAAGAAATTTAAAAATTTCTTTTTGAAACTTCAGCGAAAGCGGGAGATAAAAAAGTCAGTACCTTTTGAATTCGAAGAGGAGGCAACTCACAGTGAGAAGGCTTTTCCGAATACTACACAGACATCATCAGTTTTTGGTTTGATTTTAGATAGCAGTTTTAATGATATAACGCGGTCAAAAAGAGTTAAACCTTTGAAAGTCGATGACTTGATCGCAAAAGTCGAAGAGCTCAAGTTGAAGTCGAAACAATGCGAAGATAAGATAGAAATTGGACTGGATGTTCATGAAGCAATTCGGCAATACGGCAAAGTGAATTGGAGATTCCTTGAACTTCTGGAAGAAAACTCCCATGACAGCTACATTTTTGATAATTTACTTGAAGAAGAGAGTAAACTTATGATTTCAAAGCTTCGCCGTAGAGATACGGAGTTAAAACGCCAATATGAGCGCTGCGAAGAGAGAATTCTAGCTCAAGGAGACGAGAAAGATACTGTTGACGAGGAAATCAAGAATATCAAAAAGAAGGTCTATAAAGGAAGCGTTTCAATTGAGCATTTGAACGATTTGATACCATAATAGTTGAAACTGCGAAAAGTGCTTGCCGACAAAGAGGACGATGAAGATGCAAACACATGCTCTATCTGCTGGGAGCAGTACGATCAGGAAAATCATCGACGTTCCTGCCTCACTGTTTGCGGTCATCAATTCGGAAGCTCCTGCATAAAGGTCGTTGAAAACAAAACGATAAATGGACAGAATAATAATACAGTTATTTCAACCATAAAAGACACAATTCGAGTACAATTCGAGATGCCCAGCATGCAATAAAACTGCGAAGAAGACTCATATTTTACCATTGTTTTAAATATAAGTCTTAATAAATCTGCGTCTACTGATTTCAGGCTCAAACAAATTCGTGCATTTATTCACATGTGTAAGGATACAGAGCTCATCACAATCATTTCTGCTCATTTTCATGTAGTCTTGCATTAGAGATCGCATGCGTCCAAATCGCCACCTTCCATGTAGTAGCCATCCATTAGCTCGCCATAAAGACAAGCAGAGGTAAACGCGTCATCCGCTTCGAGTGTCCAGCCGACCGAATATTTCAGAAGGCAGAGCTCGGCGACTTCATTGTAACTGTAGCAGTGGCACTCCCAAGTATGTCGGCAGCGCTCGATAGCCTCGTCCATCGATTGGCATTTAAAAGAGCAGATTCCAGCGGCCACTTGTAAAATTATCTAAAACTTTCTCGTCAGAAGGAATTTCAAAAAACGCAAGACAATATCAGAATTAACTCTTACCGAAATGATTTTCATATTCTTCTGATTTCGCTTTTTCAAATTCTCAGAGTTTGATATTTTTCTCTCTTCTGTGATCTTTTTTGAGCGGACACTATCTGCTTTGTTAGTGAGAACTGATGGGCGTAAAAATGCATCGTGATATTTATTTTCTGGTTATAAGATTAAATTTATTCAAGGTCAGCTGTTTATGATCTCAAAGATCTTTGAGAATATCTCGCGAAGTGTGTTTGGCTTTGTTAACGTTTTGTTACAGACAAAATGGTGAGCAACGGCGCAAACCTATACACGGTCAAGTTCGACTTTGATCTGCTTGTCATCGACAAAGGAAACGATCTTCGCTTTCGCGCGAACTGACTTTGGACGGTCTTTCTCCTGGAACCGCTTCTGAAATATGCACGTTTAAGAGAGCGCCTTTACAAAGCGGTACTTTCCTTAGGGAAGTTCCCAATTTTCAACAATTATTCAACATTGAACCAAAAAATTATGACCCTCTTCACAATCTGACTCACCTTAATCACATAAACGACAAAACGTAGCAGCAGCCCAGTTATCTGAAGAAAAAATAAAAGTCAACGAGTATTACTCAACATCGATGTAAAATTATAACTACGTAAACAATTGCAACGCACCCATAGCCCTATAAATGCTAGCACCGATATGGCAGTCCATGCTTCTACTGTTAGATTTTTCCACGTTAGGGTTGTCAGTGTAACTGCATTTGACGTGGTCGTTGACAAGATCGTCGAAGTGATACGAGCCGTCGACTTTTCCAGCGCTCTGCTGGTTTCATCTTCTGCTAGGCTTGTAGCAATAGAATTTGTCTCTGAGAGTGGAAAAGTAGAAACTGACGAATTCTGCGTTGGGTTCATCTAACTAGTCTCGCAACTGGCTGGAACATGTATTGAGTGGAGCGAAACTGAAGTGAGGAAGAGTACTGACAGAAAACTAAATTATAGATACTGCGGAGACACAAGAATGTAGCCACCGACACATGCTTCAGCGTGATCGCGCTTATCAATCATTTACCCCAGATCTACAACTCTTATCCCAACACGAAACAGTTCCATAGAACATAAAAATTATTAAACTCGTATTTGATGATCATCATTAGTAATAAAAATTGATCAAAATAATCCGGGTAATATAAATATAAAATAAAACAATTTGATGAGCAGTAAGGATTCCTTCGAAATCGATCGGACAAGAAATTGAGACAAGCTAAATGAGTAAGAGATCCTTTGGGAGCTTTGATCTTGAAACTTGGCATCTGTAACTTCACACCCACTTCAAAAAGTACCAAATAGAGAAATTAGGCGAAAATGAGCTGGAAGGTATGGAAGCTCAACGATGAAACAATCATCTTTAGATTAAGCAATCTAGCAAGTGCTGCCGACGCCGTTTGCGATCGCGATAGCCGCAGGAACGTGGTACAATGACTCGAAACGCAATGGCGCGCTCAACCAGCTGAACAGCAGAAGGGAGATCGTCAACAACCAACTCATGCGAATGTACGCGCCTCTTTACGGAAATCGACTGATTCACTCTTCCAACTTGAAAGCGCTCGAGAAGAAGGTCGGCAAGTGCGTCAATCAACATCTTGTTGATATTTGCGACAAAAAGGTTATTTCATTGTACTTTTAGCCTTGCTTAATCTTTTTAAAAGGACAAGGACGCGTTGGAGAACTGGCGCGGTTTTTACCGACGGTCACTTTCTGCTCTGGACAAAGATGCTGAGATCGTTGTTCTTTTTGGCGGGGATTGCTTTTACGACGAAGAGACTAGACTCATAACAGAGGTAAATTCTTCTTCATAAAAACCTATAATGTTCTTATTGGGTCGTCCATGTTCAAACTCCCAGGTGATTAAAGACACTAAAATAAATTGCTTTCGTTTAGAAATTTATCGAACAAGTGGCTCGTTTCAGTCTGGGTTCAATTAGCTGACCTCCTCGAATTTCGACAAGTGATACTTGTTACTTGGTCCGTTGACAGATTTTGAACCGAGTGATAGTTTCAATGAGGAAGTTTGGCGCGAGAATGGAAAGTGGGACAACAAGCAAGAGTTTCAAAATTAACAATTTACATAAATATGTTACTACGAATCTTTTGTGGAACTAACGATAGGAAAACTACGATTCAACAGACTTTCAACCTGAAGTGAATAATATCAAATACGATATCCACAAAGGTTGGTCAATCTACTCTTTGGACAGCAAAGAACACTATTTCAAGAGTTCACCGATCTGATCACTGCTACTTTTCACAAGCTAGTCCAAGAGCGAAATGACCTCGATGATCAAATGAAGGGTTCAAAATAAATCGTACTTTTGCGTCCAGTGACCAGTACTCAACCCTTTAAAAGTGCTTCATTTAATTCGCGCCACTTGAAAGCGAGCAGTCTTTTGGGAATATTTAATGTCTAATGCACTTGTTCAATTTCTGTTCAATGTTCTGGCGAACGAGGAGAAATGCACTGTAGTTTTGCCGTATAGAATAACTGTTTTACTGCTAACGAAACTGAAATAAATAGATCGTCTTTCAAATCAGTTCTCAAAAGTTCAATAAATTACGGAAATTTATTCTGAAACGTAATTATCCAACAGTCTATTCGAGAACCTAATTGATTCTTTGGCAAACAACAGTATTATACAGAAAATAAAGCGATAAAGAGGAAAACGAGCACTCATCTGACTTGCTGCTTTTCGACAAAGGCGGCGAACTGCCTTCCATCTCTTAGCAGGTCGCCGAAAGTACCATTTTCAGCAACTGATCCATTATCGAGAAGGAAGATTTCGTCGGCGTTCTTAATCGTCGACAGGCGATGAGCAATAATGATAAGGGTGATGTCTTCCTGTGAGAGGTTTTCAATTGCCTCCTGGACATGCGACTCGGATTGAGCGTCCAGAGCAGAGGTCGCTTCATCCAAAATTAACAGCTTCGGCTTTCGAACAAGGGCTCGAGCAATTACGATCCTCTGGCGTTGGCCTCCACTCAAAAGAATACCGCCTGACATGTGTTCCAATACTTCACTTGAAGAAGTGCTATTCTATTCAAGAAAAAAGGTTCAAAACGAGTTGAGACACATTCCTTCGCCGATGTTTGTATCAAGTCCATTTTCTAACTTGTCAATGAATTCCCAAGCGTTCGCCCTTCTACAAGCTTCATTGATACTTTCAGCGGAGACGTCTTGGCCCAGCGCGCCATACGCAATATTGGCTCGAATAGTATCAGAAAACAGCTCAGCTTCTTGAGACACTATCGCCACATTTTCTCGCAGCCACTTGTAGTCTAGTTCATGCAGGTTCACCCCGTCGAGATAGATATTGCCTCTTTGGCAGGCGTAAAACTGCAAGATCAACTTTGTAATGGTGCTCTTTCCAGATCCAGAATGGCCGACAATCGCCGTTGTGAGTCCCGGTTTGATTTCTAGCGATAGATTTCTAAAGATTTGTTCGTCTGGACGGCTCGGATAGGAAAAATCAACATTTCTACGATCGAGTTACATTTACTATTCTGTGCGTAAAATAAAGAGTATGCTTTTCAAATGGAAATTTAATACGTAAATCTAACTCATTTCTTAAAGAAATGCCTCCATGAACATTTTCTAGTTTTCTGGATCCGCCAATAGCAGGCGTTGCTTCGTCAAGAATCGTCCATAATCTCGTTCCAGCTCCAGCTGCTTTGCTTATCGTCGTATAAGTGTTTCCAATCATCGCCAGTGCTCCGCCCGAGAATGTTCCATAGAGCAGAAGCGCCGTCACATCTCCAGAAGTCACCATTCCAGATTGCAAGTAAGGCACCGTCGTTTTTAAAATATACAAAAGCAGAAGATTACCCATGAAGGGATTCATTGACCAGAGCGTCGCATTGGCCTTTGCTTCTTTCGCCGTTGCGGCTTGGACGTTTCTGACCATGGTCGAGTACGAGTCGACTTCTCGTTCTTCTTGCTTGAAGGCACGCACAGTTCTGAACAAGAAATCTTGTATAGGATTATGTTGTATAGGATTAAATTTCTGGCGAAGACGCTTCGCGGCTCGGTTTTTACAAAAGCCGCTACGGGTCTTTTTTCGTAAGAGACATATTTCTAGTTATAGCTTTACTAATTCTTCTCCGTTCTTTTACCTTACGTTACCTTATGTTAGCAATTCTTTCAGTAGCAAGTCTTCCAGCTTGCGCCGTCCAAGTCTGCTGTTCTTTCGTGAATCTTCGGATCAGCTTGCCGCCAGTTTTGGAAATGAGGATAATTGAAGCAATGCCGCCGATGGAAGCGAAAATGAGCTCTGGCGGTGCCATGTAGCAGATCGCGCCGGTCGAGATTAGAAATTGTAGAATTGAGCGGAAGCCATCGTTTAAATTGGACGTGGCGGCGAGGCCGACCACTTGGCAGTCGGAAGTGAGGCGAGAAACGATCTCGCCAGATTGGTTTCGGTCGAAGTACGCGATTTCCTTGTGCAGCAATTTGGAGTACACTCGTTCTCTCAGATTGCGGATGAAGATGTTGCCCGAAGTGTTCGTAAGGTAGACTCTGAAGTAGAAATGTAACACCGAAGGTCGAAACAAGAGCGTTTTCGTTACCTGGACCAGTTGCACGACGCTTGCAATAGAAAAACGGCCGCTCCGATGGAAATAATCTGGCTCGCGTCAATTGTTCCATTCGCCGCGTTGTCGATGATGTATCCAGTCATTGCTGGTATTCCCATCATCACTCCGGAAGAAACGATCGACAATCCAAACGCAGCGGCCATTCTTTTCTTGACGCACTCCATTTCACTCAGAATCCGACGAAACGAAGCCTTTTTGTCCGCCGCGGTGATCCTCTCCAACTTCTGTAAATAGTTTAATGACTTATTCGAGGACTAGTATTCGTACTTTTTCATTTTCGTCGCTAGAATCGAGCAGCCTCGAGGAAGAGGAGAATGTTCTTGTGACGATTTTTGAGCGATTAGCCAAATAAAGTCTACGAGGCAATCGAAACATCTTCTAATCTCCGAATCCGCGCTTTTTGAAGGTTTTTTCTAGATTCCAAGATTGTTTTCGTAAAACTGAGGTCAGTAGGGCTTCCCGGCTTCGATGAGCAAACACAGGTTCATTCTAGAAACGCGATGGAAGGGATGATGCGCAGTTTAGAAATCTTTATTTGATGCGGCGAAAAGCTTTTGTATCCCACTAATTTAATTTAATAATAGTCGATCTTTCACGACTCTAAACCGAAAATTCAAATTAAAAAAGTAAAAGCGATGAGATCAATTTAACTGTGCCTCTTTTAGGGATTGAGAGATTCCGTCGGAGTCCTCCAAATTTCTATTGGCGGAGCTAGGCCAATGGCTGAAGCACGTTTGATTCTTGCGAGTAATTTCCACTCTGAGTCGATAATTCTATTGTGAACCTTTTTTCCCTTGCGAGAAAACATGGTTCCTTGTGTTTATGGTTTTAGGAAGGTGGCTTGTAATTAACCATTCGGTCAAGCTAATTAGCGAGCCAATCAGCACGCGTTGTGGGGAGCCAATAAGGGACCTTATGGGTTCAAATTAGGGGGTGATTATGGGCGCTAAATTTGAAATTATCTTTAGAAAAATATAATTTTACTAGGTAATTAAAACATAATAGCAGTATCTTCAGTCAAATTAGTAAAGAAACGCACTTGTTTTTCTCATCAGCAGTATTTAAGATATTTCACTCTAATTGTCCCTTATTCTCAATATTTTACGAATTTTTGTCTATTTTTAAATAAAAACCGCGAATAGAAATGACCAAGAGTGAAGCAATTAAAAGATAAGAAGGCTTCTGACCGTTAACTTGTCAAAAGTCAGCCAGAGGCGTGTGAAGGATGAGTCACCGTTGTGACAAAGTCTCCTGCTTACTTGCTTTTACTATTTTAATTTTGGAAATTTTGCGAGACCACAGCCAAAAGAGACACTTTCTAACTCCCGGAAGCGAGGTCCAGTTCAAGGAACAGAGGCTATACTGAATCTTCTCTTTATTACCCGACGTCCATATTAATCGACTTTTCTTCTGAAGAGATTCAGTACCAAAAGATTGGTAAATATGGACTGGGTTTGCTAGTCTTCTTTCTCTTTTTATTCTGGATCGAGTCTTTTTGATTTGTTTTCAATTTTCGTAAATTGTTTATCGCTTTAGAATAAATGTTCTATTTCAGTATGAGCCTCGTTTAGCACTGTTTGATCTTGTCGTGCGTGGAATCGTAAGTGAGGTTAAGCGGCGGAGAATGACCACGGATGGTGTTATCAGCCACGCCGAGCTGCACGGCTCATCGCAATCAAAACCGGAAAATGAAGAATCCCTCAAAGAAACACAGAATGGACCTGGGATCTCCTCCGACGAGGCCGAAGAGGACGAATGCATCGATCTTACCAAGAAGATTAAGGTCGAAGACATGAAGATAAACACAAATAAATATAGCCAGGGATATCAATTAGTAAAAGTCTAAATTGATTAAACGAAAACTGTTAAATGCGGAATGAGTGACGAAACGAATGACTGTAGTATCCCAGAAAAGATATCAAATCTTCGTCCCTGCTGTGCACGACGTTGATTGCAAATTCATTACACCGGAGAAGCTTTCCGTTCAGTTCACAAGCAAAGACAAAAACTTCCTGGCTGAACATTCGCAGGGGAGCAATGAGTACTTTTGTGTCAATCTCAAAATGTCTGAGGACGCGATCGACAAAGAGAAGATCGCCATAAGAGGCGTCAGAAGAAAAACATTCGAAGTTGAAGTCACCTATTTGAAAGGCATGGGAATAAGCACACTTTATGAGAACAAGGGGAAAATAATTGCCGTGGTAGGAAAAAAGGTAGCTCGAACTCCTCAGATCTTCATTGAGATTATAAAATGCTAAACCCAAGAAACAGGAAAAGACCCGATTCCAAAAGCCCCGCCGCCACCAGCCCCCTCGGCGCGGAGTAGCAGCAGCACCTTGAAATTGCGACCCGAGTCAAAGAGCGAAAAGACGGAAAAGCCAGTGGCAACTGTGGCCCCAATGACAAAGGCTGGCTACACCGGGCTGATTAACGTCGGGAATACTTGCTTCATGGCGTCAGGAAACGCGTTTTCAATAATTTTGTCTGCTTGGAAGCGTGAAATTGAATCTTTGTTTCATCTTTGAGTCGAGTGATGAAAGAGTTTCTTAATTGCGACCGCGAAAGTTTATGAAAACAAATCTCTTGAAAACAAAGCAAAGTGATCCAATGTTTATCCAACATTCCAGCGTTGCGCGATTATTTTCTATCACGAGGTGCGAGTGACCATCTCCATCCGACGAAAAACAAGCAATTCTAATTAACTGCCTTTTAGACTTCGAGAATGACATCAATTGCGATAACCCGCTCGGCACTGGCGGCAAAATGGCCAACGCTTTCTACTTTCTATTGACACAACTCTGGTCAGGAAGGCTTAGATAGAGTCGAGTAGTGGCTTTTCGAAGCAGTAGATTTACCAAAAAATAAGCGATACTTTTATCTTTTCAGCATTTTGATTTATCACTTCTCTTCTGTTTTACGAAAAGCTCGATGCATCTTTAGAGCCCTTTGGCTACTTTTAATGATGATCGATTAATCTTAGAAATCTTAAGTCTCTGACGATTAGATATTTTCCATCCTAAGCCTGCGACAGGGAAGCACAAAGCGGTAAAGCCGACGCAAGTGAAGCAAGTCGTCGGAGAGCGAGCCCCGCAATTCCAAGGCTACTCGCAGCACGATGCACAAGAGTTCTGCGCCTACATACTCGACCTGCTGCACGAGGACGTCAACTTAATCAAATCAAAGCCATACACGGAGTCTAAAGAAGCTGATGGACGCCCGGACAAGGTAGGAAATACAAGCGAGAAGCATTGTCAAGCAATGCTACCAAATCACAGAAATAGATTGTTTCGATATAAGCAGATTAGGTTTTGTTTTCGCGAGTGGCTCTGGACTCCATCGCCGTTCATCCCATGTTTCGAGCGTAAATAAAATGCTACTCGCGAAAATGAATGATGCATCCACGATTCTAATTCGCATTTGAAAGGTCTCATTATAAAGTTAAGCTTGGACATGCATTTTACATTTTCGCGTGTTCTATTGTTTTGAATGCGAAATCAACTCAATTTGTCAAAGCGCGCTCGAGACATGGCGTCGTATTTTGATAACAGTTTGAGTTGGCTAGTCGCGACCTTTGGCAAAACCAAAATTTTAAGGTGGTGGCGGAGGAGTCTTGGGACATTTTCTCGCGGCGCAACAAGTCGAAGATCGTGGATCTACTCTACGGGCAGTACAAGTCCAACCTGCGATGTCCAAAATGTGAAAAACAATCGATCACCTTCGACCCCTTTGTTTATTTATCAGGTAATGAGCCAGAACTTCAGTTAACATCAATGTTTTCTACAAACAGTGATATGCAACAAGCATAATAAAAATAGTCAACAAAGGCAGGCGCAGCAACGGGATAAAGGTCACTTCAAAGGGGGAGGCGATGGTTCAAAAATGCGTATTCAGGAGTAGGGCGATCCCCTTTCGCGGTGTATATGTCCTGGGCTCAATATTTATTTAGGCGAAAAATAGCAAGAATTATTAAGGAGCGTTTGAAACATCATCGGCGAAAGGTTACCGGCCAATAGGTCAGTCAGGAGGAAAAGGCGATTATTCTAGGGTAAATAAAAAGATTCTAGATGGACGGATCTCTTCAGTCGCTTTCTTTGGATTTTAAAAAATTGGGACATCAGATTTATATAAGTAATAAAGCGGAGGGTACCAAAGGAGCGAGCGAGAGTCCGACCGGACGTTTTAGATCAGAGTGCGGGACGAGATCATAAATAAGATAGAGATAAGTAAAGATAGAGATTGCAATTCTCTCCTCTCAATAAGGGTTGATGAAAGAAAGCACTTGGTTAAAGTTGTAAGGGCTCATTTGGTTGTACCAGGAGCCGTCCATCAAGGCGGGCATGTCGTTCACCGTCGGATGCGGCATGTTGTAAATGCAAAACACGCAGCCGGACTGGAAGGCGTAGTCCATTGACATCGGCAGCATCCCCATCGACTGTGCGATCTCCTGGTTACTCTGCGGGTTGTCGGAGGAGTTGTCGCTCTAAAATCGCCAATTAAATCGAGCCTTGTATTTTTCATGTAAATCAGAGTGCGCACTTATTGATTAGGGTTTTTATCTTTCTAAATCGTCTTTGAACACCTTTTGTTCAAATTCTAGCTAAAATACTAATCTACATAAGCAGTAAAGCTAGCTCGCTAATTTTCATGTAAATTTTAAGTTCGACTTTAGAAGCTATCCGAAATAGCGTCATAAGCTCGTTAACTACGAGTGCTAGTGCTAACCTAATCGCATTTTCCCTGCGAAATAAATTAGCGCCTCTGTTCGGAGCGTTACCTGAATTCCGCTGTCCATCGCTGGACTCGGGCTATTCAGATCCATCTTCTGCATTGATTGGCTGATTTCGACAGGGCTGTATGATTCTTGGGGAACGTAGGCTTCAGCGGGAGCGTATAGTTCTGGAGATGCATATCCTTCCGGGGGAGCGTAGCTTTCTTGAGGGACGTAGGCTCCCGGGGGCGCGTATCCAGCCTGGATCGCGTAGCTGGGGTCATAGTGCGGGGTCGAGGGACTCTGCACAGGTGGCGTGGAGAGCGGGCTTTCACGTCGTTTCACGCTCTGAAAAAGTCAATTGTCAACACATCCTGTTTGTCTACAGTTTTGACGGATGGCTCTCCTCCCTCCTTTCTGGGAGAGCGCCCTTCTCAGACGAGCTCTATTTGAACTACTTACGGGAATTTCGAAGGGAGGAACAACGGCTTCCTGAATGTTGATTCGGAAGCCATCGAAAGTGCGCGGGTGACGATCCATCAGCTTCTGAGCACATGCAACGGTCGTGAAGATCACGAAAAACTTCTTCAAGTTCTTCTTTGAGCTTTTCTCCTGAAGCTCTTGAATTGCATCGTCTTTGTATCCGATCTTCGAAAGCGCCTTGTGCAAGTATCTGAAATACAGTCTTAGAAACGTGAGAATCGCTGACTTCTGAATATACAGGAGCATCTGTTCAGTTTACAATAGAGGTCACTTCCGGTTCCTCTAACGCCCATTATTTGTTATTAAAATTAAGCTCACATTCGTTAAACAGTACTTTTCACCGTATAAGCGTATTTTATTGATCTCGGCTCGTCAAACTTCAATAAAGGGTTGAGTTGACAAAGCGCGGCCTGAAGCAGGTGACGTGGGATAACGTCGTAATTCAATAGGCCTTGATATGACATTTGTAAAAATTCACAGGAAGGACCACCCTTTACCGCGCGAGTGTGGTAGGAGATTCGCGATGGCTCCTGATTCTGGTCGCGGGCTTTCTAATTATGGGCTTTCTCGTTTATAGTGTCTCCTCAAGAATGCACGGAGCTTAATTTGAGTGAATTTACCTGACAAGCTTCTCTTCTGCATCATTTCCACTGTAGGGAAAGGATATCTGCAGCCCGTTGTCGATTACTGTATAAATTTCCCGCCGCGGAATCATGATACTGTTTGGCCTGACAATAGTGTGTTCTCTCTTCGACTTTTCTTTCACTCGGAATCGCTTCATTTTCTCTCTTTTTTTCGTAATTCAAAAATAAAAATAAAATCTAATCAAAAAGTAACTAATGTTTGCCCACTTTTTGTGTTTTAGTTTTTAGTAAGGTCGTGCGGGTTCTTATTTCTTTCTGTTTTTTGGGTGAGTCGTGCGCCGCGCTCTCTGGCCCGCTCTGGCCTGGCTCGATGGCGTCGCGTTTTTCCTTTTCTATTTCTGCTGTGGTGGTTCAGGAAGTGGTTCGGAGTGTCCAGCTCGTTCTGGCTCTCTCCCGTGACTCCCTCGCGTGACTGTTTGCACTTCTTTGCTTCAGAAGGAAAGGGGTGGGCCCGCTGCTGACCACATTGTTACGTAATCGCCCTAGAGCCAACTCCACTACTAAAGTCTTTGTTCGCTTTGAAACTCTATCGCTGCCTAACTCTTGTTGTCCCGTCTCGCCCTTGCAAACGAATACATCTTCGTCAAATCCCCATGCTTCTTTCCAATTACGATTTTGGACTTTTTCTGCTCATTTGACTCCTCAAGTGATCGCCTCGGGCGAAATATTTGTTACTACGACAAATTGACTCCCTGATTGCTCATAATTTCTGAATTTCAGGTTTTGAATAATTCCAGTTGTAGAATGAACTAGATATGATTTACTGTTATTATAATTTCGGGGAAATAATAACTTACGCAAACGCATTTTTTCAAAATAGCTTATTGACAATAAGTTATTGTCCAATTACTTTAATAAGAAAAGTCTCGGTCACGAATTCCTGAGAAGAATGCTGACTAAAGGGGTTAAAATTACTGGCATTAGATTCCAGAGTCTCATCGCCGTCTATAGTCATTTCATTGAGAATGGTCAATTTTTCAAGTTGCAACAGAAATATGCTTTTGGTTTGTTCGCATTCCAAAGTGTACATAAGAATCTCCCGGTTTTCTTCACAAATATGCAGTGGCCCATTTCTCTCATCGGAAGCAAATTTACTCTGAGAAATCGGCCAGGCGATCCGATTGCAATCAGCGACTCGTGTATCCTAAGCAGCGTTCCAAGAAGGTGGCTTTGTTAGTCTCGCTTTGAAATTGAAGCGATTGAGTAGATAAACTAAACCTCCATGTAAATCTAAAGTCACCCTATTATTAAACTGAACCTGTGAATGTCCGAACTTGTGAAACTCCGAAGGATATGGATCGTCAGAAAACGATTTTATTCTTAAAAAATCCCGTCGCCATCGAATCAAAAAAGCGTTGGCTAAAATGTACTTTTAGTGCCGCTGCCACGAGAGCTACGAAAACTGTCAGTCCTTTTCTTCTTCGCATCGCCCGAGAAGAGACCCCGTCGCTTCGAAATCCAAGTCTCGAAAAAGGGCGGAAGTGTTCGCGAAATCTACCTCCAAGTCTCTAAAAACACCGATGTTCCGGTAAGGCGCCTCACTCGATGGAAAAATCATCGTCGCTTTTCCCATGCTGCATAAATCGCACCGCACCCACTTTTCCAATAATGAGAAAATAAGAAACATTCACAATGGAAGCTACTTCTTTATTAGTAGTGTTAACCTTCCATTATCTTTCCCGAACTTTTCGACGTAAAATTTATACTTTCAACTTCTTTGAAGAATTTTTTGACATTTCTTCTTAATTGATAAAGGCCTTCATATGCTTATTGTAGAACCAAGAAGTCAGATAAAAATATTTTTCCATAAACTTTGAAAATCCGCCTTGTTAAATTTCACAAAAAGCGATGAAGCATTGAACTGATAAGCAGTCCTGATTTATCGCGTCTATTTTTTTTTAACTGAATAATTGTTGCTTATTTTGGAGATTTTCCAGTCGCTTATCGGTTTATAATTGTTTCTAGCTGGATGCGCTGCGCGTTCTGACTAGCTATAAAAAACGGCTGCACAAGAGTCATCCCCCCACCGGCGACCTCGACGACATCGACTCGACCAGCGAAGTCATTGCCTCACAAATCAAAAATGATGAAGAAAATGTCGTCATTGGCCTTTCTCACAGGAAAGAGCTCAGAAAAGGTATTTACAATCGCAGTTGATACTTCTCCAGAAGAATTCTCAGATCGTAATAGATTCTCAAATTGACTACAAGGGAGATCCCTTCGCTGGCCTTGGACCTGACTTAGGTTCTCAAGAGCTAAAATGAAATGCCGCGTAATACGGCCCGCGTATTTAAGCTCTTTAAAACCTGACTCAGGTTTTTTACACAGGTTGCCGAGCCCAGGCCTCTTGGATCGATTCGAGACAATGCTTGAAACAGCCAAATCTAAAGCTGCAGGTTTCCAGGGCGGCCTTGAATTTCAACCGCGGCGATTATAGCACGCGTCAAGTGTCAAATCAGCCGTCTTTTGCCCACCTTTGAAGTTCAATTTGAACTTTGGCGGAAAAATATCGTGACCCCGTGTATTTTTTGTGGCCGGTTGAGATATCCAAGTTAATCCCATTTTTAAGTGTCCGATCCGGATAAGTGTCAATGCTGCGGGGTCGAGCACAGTGAGAAAAGCTTGAAAAGATGTGCCAAGTGCAAAGATGCTTGGTTCGTATCTATGAGCGTATTTCGACTTTAGAGACATTAGCTGTTCTTTGAGGACAATTATGCTTTGACTCTTAGGATAAATTAATGATTAGAAAATTATATATATAATTATGAATCATATAATATGATAAAATCAACTTTTATTGAATCATCTAATCAGGTACTGTTCAAAAGAGTGCATCAAGGAAAACTTCAAATACCACAAGTCAAGTTGCGAAGGTAAATTCTAAGGACTAGTTGTATAGTATTTCATATAGCGAGGCTCGTAAATCTTGCAGCTGCGAAATTATCACGTGATCCGTATTCCCGTATTTCGAACAAAGACTCTTTTCTCTGCAGAAATAGAGCGTCCGAAATCGGGTTAAACTTTCTTTTTAGTTTCAAAAGAGTTTATCGGAAATCCGCTTTTCATATCTGTCCCGCGGCGAATTTCGCGCTCTACTCTTCACAAACTCATCCTCGATTACGCGGCGTACTCGATTGACTACAGTTGGAGTGTGGAGTCACTCGAACGGCAAAAGAATGCCACTTCCGGTAGTTTAAAGACTTAATTTCGTTCGAGACTAATGCTCATTTTTCATTCAGACTACGAAACACCCCCAAGCAGTCCTGAACAACCGGAATTAGGCGATGACTTTGAAACAGAAAATCAAGAATCCACTACTCTCAATCAACCTATCAACAAGACACGGCCAGAATCCCAGCCACTGGTGCCTTTTAGACTCATTGCAACCACACAAGTAAGTGGCTTAATCCCCATGAGGAAACGCCGTGCGGAAACGGTCCCTAAAACGGAAATAACAAAAAAGACTGTTCTTGTGAAACAATGTCGTCGGAAATTTTAACGTTGTTTTCTTAGCACGGAACAGACTTGGCAAAACAATCGATGACGGAAGAAGAAGATGTATATTTGCTCGACGATGTGACGAATCTTACGGCAGAATGGTTAAATGACAAAGTAAGAGATTAATTTAATACTTCTGGTCAAGCTTGCAGTTTTTTCTTACTTTGATTCGTAATTTTTAACCTCTGCGGTTACGAGGATAGATTTATGAGTATTTTGAAAACAAATAATCCTTGCATTTAACTTAATTTTCAAATAAGCAGGTGAGTATTTCGAGTGTGAAGGGCCCTTCTAATTAAACACGAAATTACAAATTGCCCGCTTGAAGGGTTTTTGTTTACTAATTTGAAATTGATAGCATCGAGTCGCAAAAAAAGATGAGCCCTACGTCCCGTGGCTCGAGTCAGTCAGCTCAGTCAATCATGAAGACATTCGCGCCGATCGCATGTCCAGTTACGACGATACAGTTACGCTCGAGCGCTGCATTGAGCTGTTTTCTGAAGCGGAAATACTCGAAGAGGATGACTTTTGGTACTGTGGCTCTTGTAAGGTATGCCTTCGTCTACAACAGTTTTATTTACAACACAAGAATGATTTCTTTAGTTTTCGGGTTGCCATCTTTTGAATGCTTTTCAGTAGTCCGTTTCTATTTGCCGCCAAATATTCGAAGCTGACAATTCTCGTGTGTTTATTAAAATTTAGGAACACGTGGCAGCGCAGAAACAGCTGTCTCTGTGGAAGCTGCCAAAGGTGCTTATTTTCCACCTGAAGCGCTTCCATTACCGACAGAGCCAATCGCACTACTCGATTCGACGGGACAAGATTAACAAGCTCGTGGACTACCAAGTCGAAAACCTGGACATGAGCCCGTTTGTGATCGACCCGAAAGAAGCTTGCAACGGAGTGCCGCCCAACTACGAGCTCTGTGGCGTCGTCAACCACATGGGCAGCATGGTCAGTATCGTCAACTCAATTCCCCATTCATCTACCCTTTCCTTCAGAGCTTCGGCCATTACACCGCTTATGTCAAACATCCAGATAAGGAGAGCCAATGGAGACTGGCAGATGACTCGCATGTGCGCGATGTTCGACAGAGCAGCGTTGTTAGTGATAATGGATATTTATTGTTTTATAAGGTTCGTTTACTTTTATTTAATGTTGGGGTTCTGTTTCTTCATTAGCATCCTTTATGTCATCATGCTTTATCTAACTCTGTTGATTATAGTTGAAAGAACCGACAAAATCAGATTCTAAGCCGAAGCTGAATATACAGTCGTATGAAGAAGTCAAGCTTGAGGAGCAAATGGAAAAACTGACATTCGAATCACTGAAAGAAACCTACGAAGCTAAAGAGCAGGAGAAACTCACCGAAGACGAAGAAGAAGAAGAAGACTCGAATGAAGACGAAAGGAGACACTAAGCTAATTTATTTCAAATACTGTATTTACTTGCGCATTGGTTGCCAATCCTCCTATTTATATATTGTACTAGACTTTCCCTATACAAACGTTACAGTTCTGACATCCTCTGCTACTGATTCTTAATTTCTCAAAGTGATCAAAAAGTAGCTGTTTGAAATTCTAATAAAGGATAATTTTATATCAGAAACAACTGATGTGACATGTTTTTAAGCTTAAGATTTGATTGTAAAAATGGACATAGACCGGGATGATGGTGGCTACTCCGATATGGACGTAGGAAGGTGCGCAGATTATAAAATTTGGTTAAAAGTTGTGGTTAAAATTTGTTCACTTTTTGCAAGATGTGATTGAATCCAACTCCTCCTCCTCAACGCGTCAGCCCGCGGTAAGCTTCTTTTTGTTAATAAACACGAGAGGCTATTTATTTAGAAAGAGGAAAAGAAGAACGAGTCGAAACAGAACACGATTTTGCATGCCGACTACTGGAAGGACTTCGAGGACCCCTTCAAGACGCTCGTGAGGAAAAACTGACTGCCCCAAGCTTACTGTATACAATTTCTTGTGTTATAAAAGATTGAACATTATCAAAGACCCGAAGTGGCCCTAGATCCGAGCAGAGCGGCCACTTGATACTGAACTCAAGTTTCTTTCAGCAGTATTGAAATAAGAGGATTTATTCTGGGCAGAAATAGTCCTTCTGGCCTCTTATCATGCCGGAAGTGTATTCGAAATTTGGAGAAAGCTGCAGACGTGCCTTGTCCGTGATGTTGCACCCGTCTGGTCCAAACGTCCACACAGCGCAATGTCTTAGGAAATATTTTTAAATCTCGCTTCTTTCCGTCGGGTAATACCTGATGGCTTCGCACATTTCCTTGCATGCGGCGAAGGTGCTCTCGGTCAACTCAACCAATCGAGAATGCTCTGTAACAACCTAAATCATCAAGTGATAATGGATGAGTCTGGAGTCTCACTTTCATTCCGTATCTGATGCACTCATTTTCGTACAAAAAGGAGGATGTGTCTTCATCGTGATGTTCATGAGTCCTGTTGCCGGCGAGGAAGTCGCGCAAACTATGCTCGTCTTTATCAAGTTTGAGTTCATTAAAATTAGTTTTTTTTATGCTCAATGGCATTTTCCACCGGGGGAAAATGCTCTTTACATCTCTCATATGGTTATTTCTAGCTTCATATGACAGTTGCTAGGTTGACATAAAACTGGGCCGGGTTACCCGATCAAATTAGAACTCGTGTCATGCGCACTGTCAATTCTGCCTGTCCATTCTTTCGTCTCTTCTTCGAAATGTCCCTGGTAAATCTCGTGGACATACTCCGCTAGAAAAGACTTATTTTTGGCTGTCATTTTGAACGTAGAAATTAATGATCGATTTGAAATCGACGATTTCCTAATAAAATACAGCCACTACTCACATAACACAAGCATACAAACGCCAAGAATATACAATGCAAGAAATGTCAAGACTGTGAGATCTTTTTGTGGATCAGAAAGTCCGGACATTTATTTTTTCTTTTCTAGCTAATTCAAAATTCTCTAAACGACGCAGTCTTTTTGCCAATTGCAAAGAATTAGCACCCAACAATCCAGCCTTAGGCGCCCATAAAGTCACCCCTGAATGAGTTTATTCCTATGTTACCTTTTTTGGCAATTCTTGACAATCGTTTTCTGAGTTTTGAATCTTTTTAAAGTTAGGTACCTGCTGAAAGAAACAATAGTCAATAATGAGAATCAATAAGGAGACTGTAGTTTTCGGCAGTCGTCGATTTTTATTCTAACATTTTATTCAATGAGACTTAAAAATGAACAAATACAGGCAAAAATCTCATTTCTGTGCATCCTTCTTGGCAGAAACTTGCTTTCGCGCGGCGTCACGACGGATATCCTCGACCGCTGTTTCAACCAGTTCCCGGAGATCGACCGGAAGTTCTTCGTTGATTTCGCCTCCCTCAAGTCTTTTCTCAACCTCCTCTGAAAAAGTAATATGTTTAAGTTTCCAGTTGGAGAAAACGTACCTTGGTAAAGCTCAAAGTCTTTCTTTCTGTCTTCGGCAGCCATTTCTATAAGAGGGCGGAGTTGGGGAGGAAGATCTTGAATCTGGGCTCAGCAAACTGAATTTTCAAGTTCTCGCGAAGCCGCTTCCCGAAGAAAGTGAAGATCTTTCAGTACCCTGAGTCAGCTTTACGACAAAGACCGCCGAGCCCAGTCTTGAACAGCATCAGTTTCCTGATACGCCTTCTTTGTTGTGTTCGTTTCTGGTACGTCTTCCATTGGTCGTTTTTGGGCCGACTTGAACCTGTAAAGAATCCCTCCTAAAAGAAGAGTGTTTTATTTTTTTCTGAAATCAAAGGTGAGTACCGTAATCACAGGGGAGGGTCCCGGTACTAAAGCAATCCAGGCAAACTGCAGTTCCATCGCCCATATCGACCAGAGATGCAACATTGTCGTTCCTACCGACTTCTCTGGCGGAATTCTCATCAGCAGTCCGCGTCGATTCGACGTCGTCTTCCGCTTTTTCTTGAGAAGAGAGCTCTTCCAACTTCTGGGAGAGTTGTTGAACTTCCACTTGTGCCTAAAACAAAGAATAACATAACGAAAGAAACATTGTCTAACCTCATCTTGAGAAGAAGGAGGAGCTGGCTGGGAAGGGTCCTTGCCGGCTTCGTTTGGGACGTCCTCGTGGTTGTTTTTCATCTCTGGCTGGGAGCCCATCGCGATATCCTGCGTTTTTTGTGTTTTTCAACAAGTGAATTGTGAGTTTTTCTGCTGAGACGCAGGCCTTTTATACGGCGGTTTCCACGTGCAAGGGTTTTCGAGCGGGGGCCTTAGATCCCGAGCGGATGGTTGGTCTGTCGTCCGCCTCCCTATTTTTCATCAAGAGTCCGTTCGAATCGGCGCGAGAACTGCTCCTCGTTGAGGTCCAACGCTGAAATCCTACTAAAAGTATTTTTCGTGTTGCCTTGAAAATCCTACAAAGGCGACATTTCTGGCAGACCTAGTGAGAAGCTTTTGAAAGCAATGCAAGTCCTCAACATGTTAATTAATTTATTTTCTCCGAAAATTGTTTTATGATCGCCATTGAAGCTAACACATGATCTGCGCGTTATTTCCTCTGCTGGATTTGGCAGGACTGGGAGAGTGTCGGCCGTGCTGTTGCTTGTCGGTCAGCTGGGTGTCGGAGAGACCCTCGGAAGTGCGAGCAAGTCGTTTAATTTTTCCAAATCGCTGTTTCGCGTGCACGGTGATGATCGATCGCGCTAGATCTGAGGACACGATCTATCTCAACTGTCCTCAACCTACCTTGCCCAGTCGACAAGACACAAACACCAGCACTTTGATCACTTGCGAATGAATAGAACCCAGTCGTAGACATTTCCGTAAATTTCGAAACTCACTATTAATTCATTTTTGGAGACATAGAGGAGATACTCCGGGTACTCGACAAATATTATTTCAAGTTGAAGTCATAAATGTCTTATTCTGAAAAAGTGATTCATTCAAGCATTTTTCTTTCATTATTCGACAGAATATTCCTCTCGAAAAGTATTCATTGGAATTTCCAATTTGGAAACATTAACATTGAACAGCGAGTACGATCTATACTATCAGAAATTAAAATACTAATAGTCTGTTTAAAATTATAACTTCATTAAATCATTATGTCATATTTAATAAATTTTGATCATAAATCATTTTTATGCCAAAACTGAGGCCCAAAAAGAGATATTCGCAGTGTGAGAAATTTTATATAGTACTGGGAGTTTCAGATGTGGCGTTCCCACAAATAGAAATTAGCTCAATGCGATAAAACTCGTTTTTTCCATTTCACGGTGTTCGTAAGTTGAACCGATATTCAGTATGTGTGGCGATAGTTGATCAGTCTAGCAGATAAATTGGAGAAGCCGGAAAGAAAAGAGACTTTTCGGAGCCGCGCTGGCAGTTGTGAAAGGGACGAAAGAAGGAATCACATCCGACCACTTTTGATACTGCCCGTATGAGACGCCGAGTAGCTTGTCAGACACTGATAGTCCTGCTGCATCATGCTATTCGCATCATCGTCGCGTTGAAGACCGCTAACTACAGTCAGACTGGCGTGACATGAATGGGCGTTACGCCGGAGGTGAAAAGGGTTCCCTCGTTAACCTCATCATGAGAATGGCAAACGGTACTAACTTTTTCCTAGTCAAAATATTTGACTCAAATACATAGTGAATTTCCTCCATAAATACGCTTTCGATAATAGCAAAACAAGAGAAAGTGTTGTTATCGAAATTCAAAGTTCTCGAAATGTCTCTAGAACCGAAGTTGTTGTGAGGGCTCATTTTCAAGTTTCAGTCAGTCTGCGTACTTTCGCGGTCCGAAAAGGCCAAAAAACAGGTAATTCTAATTTCATTTTGTGTAATATATCCGTATTTACTGTGTTTTATGATTCTTTCAAGTAAAAATATACTTTTAGTTGATCCCGAGCCACAAGATCTTCGAAAATCGAGGAACATCAAAGAAAGAAAAGGTCCTGAAAAGGTGGTTCGTGGATCACAGATATCCTGAAAAGGGATGATTACGGAAATAAAGTTCGGAAAACCGGAACAAATTTATAACGTCCCCTGAATAAAATCAATTTCCTCAAAATTATTTTGTGTCCTTCTTTGTTTCTTTTGCAGGCTGTTAGTGTAGTTTATATGCGGTCGGTTGTAGCGAGAGTGAAGCCTTATGTATACGGTAGATGTCCGTAGAGGCTGTTCTAACTTCGGATTTAGGACAGCTCTCTAAGGAGAGTCAAAAGGACAAGGAAAAGTCCTCAGAAGTCGGAAGTGTTTTTGCATCTCCAAAGGGGAGGTGATCTAGGTCGTTGCTTGCTAATATATGTCAATACAGTCGATGTCAATTGCGCATTAGCTGTAGATTCGAATAATTTATCGATATCGGCGAAATCGGCGGCGCAGTAGGAGCTTACATGCCCCTGAACAAGCATTTTCGGCGTAATGACCCCATGGGGAGGAATGAGGCCGCCTCTCACCGAGACTCAAGGTCGACCAGCGGCAGCATTCTAGGGCGCTTCTTCGGCGAACCTGTCTTATCCGCTGTCCGATAAAAATCGCAAATCGATAAGGTGTAATTCTAGGCGGCAACAGACGCCGTAATTTGCCAAATCTGATCCCGGCAGCACAAGAAACAGGGTGACAGCGGCGACGTAGGTGTTGTAAAACTCCGAAATTGATCTTGCAAATACGATGCTCCCGAGGTGTCAAACAGTTCAAAAGCTATGAACTAGTTCAGAATCGAAACTGTCATAAAATGTACTGCCCATGGGAGCACAAAAAATTTGCACAGGCGTATACAAAGACAATATTTTCGTCGCAAGCTATTCCTCCAAAAATAAAGGATCATACCTAATAATACAACTCAGAGTTCGATGAGCAGGGAAAAAACAACTTTTTTGCTAGAAAAAGTAGTTATCCCAATTTGAGATTGCTTCGGAACTACTCGCTCATTATTCAGGTTTGATACAATTTTGCGTGAATCTACTTTTAATTTCTACTCCTAGATTTTTACGACCATTTCCCTTTAATATCTGCTTGTTTTCCTAAAAATCTCATTGTAACGAAGATGAAACAGATAATTTTTGGTGGCAAGGATGGTTAATCTTCATTTAGTATAGTTTTGGAGTGCATCGTTTGAAGATGCTTAAAATGGCCATCCGGAATGTTGATTAATTCTCGTCGATGTTTCCGTAGCAGGCGATTCGTTGTCGGCCGGTGGCGCGCGGCAGCCCCGGTATCTGGTCGTTGCGTGGCGCTGTCGCCTATTCCGTCGATCGTCCAATTTCTCGTCGCAGAAATCCGTCAGACATCGATATTAGCTTGTAAAGTAATCCCGAAAACGCAACAAAAAACTTAACATTGCCAAGTTAAATTAGAGAGAGCTGTAAAAGGATGAACTCGCCAGACCTTATGTTCCGCAATGGCTTTCCACTTGCCTACCAGTACTCCAGTGCGCAGCCTTATCACCAATCAGGTACTCCAGCGGGTGGAACTTACTACATGTGGTCCGGCAGTGAGCCGACTGCAAGTACGGCACAGACGTTGAATGAAACCGGCGATAGCGTTGGAAACTCCTCCACAATGTCATCTGGCTCTCCTCCGCCACAGGAAGCATTGGTAGAACACCAGGTCCTCCATCCTCACAACGGCCATCCTACCCACGTGCCCATCAAAGTCGAAGATGCCTACGGAGGAACCGCCTACCCGACAATGCAAAATCACCACTTTCATTACCAGCCTCAGATTCAGGTTTGTCCCTTTCCCTCTCGCCGTTGATCATAAAATTATCGAATGAATGATGAATTTGTGGTGCCTTGCTAATTTTAGCCTACCGGAACTAAACTTAATTCATAGGCTTTGCCCGGGATAACATCGCTCTCCTGGGCTGGCTCCGAACAGGAGGAGTGGAGACTTCGACATCAGATTCAACATATTCATGACCGTAAGCTATGAGTAAAATCTACTTGAACTCATTTCTTTTCTAGCTAATAAGACTCGAACGCGGGAAAAGTACCGAGTCGTCTACACGAATTTTCAACGGCTAGAGTTGGAGAAAGAGTACAGATTCAATAGATACATTACCATCAGCAAGTAAGTTCAAATGAACTTGTGGAAATTGAAAATTTGTCAGAAGGCAATTTTTATCTTTGAAATATTAATCTTTTCTTTTCAGAAAAGCCGAATTGGCTAAACAACTTCAACTTTCTGAGCGACAGATCAAGATTTGGTTTCAGAATCGGTAAGTCCTTGTTGCTATCAAATCCCGGGCGCAGGCAAAATTGAGCGTTGAGTGATCAACCGCCCAGACATTACTTTTCTCAGACAAAAATGAGCCATTGTCGTCATCTCAGGAATTTAGACGTTTTTTTAATGTCTTTTTTTTAGCCGCGCAAAGGAGCGCAAACAAACCAAAAGAGTCGGCTCCGAGTCGGAAAACGGCGGCGATGACATCGACGGGGCAGTGAATGATGACATCCTCGTCGGTAGATCTCCCTCTTCGGAGCAAACTATCACTGAAGGAGAGCAGGAAATCGCAGCGTTGCAGAGCAGCTCGTCCTCAAGCGGTTCTCCGCCTGGCCAGTCTCCTGCAATTCAGAGCATTATGGACAACCTTGTTGATTGCACTGAGAAGTACTTGAGCAAGACAGAATGGATAAAGTTTGAGCCTAAATAAGATGACTAGTCATCGGTCCACATTCAATAAGTATAAAAAACCCGTAATTTTACTGTGCCCGTCATCAAGACTTGAAAAATGAACTGTCTGAATTTTGCTCACTGCAAATCATTATATTTGCAATGTCACTGTACATTTTATTGTTCACTGCAACACCATCACCGAGTTATGTTATTTCATCAAATTGCTTAATAAAGGTCCAGAATAAACCCTCTTTATTCTTCTTGATTTCCCAGCTCCACTGCCATTTTTTCCTACTAGAATAGCAAAGTGTTGACCTTGTAATTTTGTAATAATTGATAACAAAGTAGTAAACAGGGCAAAAAAAGTTCCCAAGTCAAGATTGTAATTGATTAGGTAATTTATTACGAGGCGATTATCATGAATGAACATTTTATGAGCGCGAGTCTATTTAGAGATGTCTAGTTGGCAGTTTTCATTTAAAAAAATCAGCAATTGAATTCATTTTCTGGCCACAGTCCATCGTTGCAAAATATTGTGCGTTCTTCATCCGCGCAGGAGATGATGCAAAAGTACGGGTTGCAAAATTCCTGAACTTCATTTGGTGTCAGTGCTTTGGGTGTTTCCTTGCAGAAGATAGGACGTTCTTTCACTAATAAAATGGACAAATGTTCATTTAATCAATTTAAAGTTGTGTCCCGCGAATACGAATTAAATAAATGAGTCACAGATAATTTTTTTTGCCCATTTCCTAGGAAATCAATTAAACTTATTTCTGGGTCGAGCATGCGACAGAATACCTTCTCAGCGAACTCAGGAAGGATCCATTCATTAGTTTCATTATTACAAATAAGATAGGGTATGTTCGGGGATCGATTCATGGGGCATGAGAAAAAACACTCTGCGACGCGACAATCGACGCTGACGAGATCGTCGATTTCAACTTGTTGCGAGACATCAGCGCACTCCCCTAGCTCGTAAACTTGATTTTGCTTCGTAGACGGATTATTGATGAAAAGATCGGACTGCTGCGTGCTTGTCTCCAACCACTCCATTTCCGATTTTAATGACGCCGTTGTCTCCATGTAAGTTGTCGTTTCAGAATGTGACTTACCAACAGATGTCGGATTTGATACTGTTGTTGCTTCGTTTGGCTTAGTCGTCGATTGTGCAGATGTGGACGTTGTTAAATGTTTTGTTGATGTTGTTATAGTCGTTAAAGTAGTAGATCTGGTAGTGGAAGATGTTGAAGTCGTTGAAGTCGTTGTACTAGTAGTTGTTGTTTTCGCCCAGTGAGGAGTTGTTGTAGCTTTCGGTTTTCGTTTGCGTTTCTTCGGTCTATTGAAAGATTGAAAATATTTTTCAATCTTCATTCAAATGATAATACCTTTGAGTAGTTACTGGCGCTTTCGTGAATTGAATCCAATCAAGAAGACTATCATCCGCTTCTTCTACAGTTAGTATCAATGAACAGTCATCGTTTCCGCTACCGCTATGTGTATCGTAAGCAGTAACGATTCCTTTGAAGCGCTTTTTCGATGAACTTTCTTCTGTTTCGTTTTTAGAATTGAATTCGCCGTAAACTGCCGCGCCTTGATAACTTTCGCATTTTACATTATTCATAAGGACACACGGAGAAGAACCATTTTCATCAATTTTGCAGTCGTTAGTCCATATTCCATTTTGTACGGATGCATGACTTAGTACTGTCACCTTGCTTCCGTTCGGCAGCGCTGAAGATTCAATTTCTTCTACTGTCGGTAAGCAAGCAGGCTTTTTTTTGAGTGTCGAACATGAAATTTGTTTATAAAAAGAAATGATCGACTAAAGTTCGAAACAGACCTGTGTGAACATGACGTAGTCTTCTAAGTGAAGCAAGCAAGTGGATATTGAGCCTTTGTAAAATCGCCTGATGATCTTTTCCAGGTTGAAACTAGACTTTTCTGGAAAGCGAAAAATGAAAGAGTTTGAACCGAAGCCGGAGCACAAATGATCCAACGACGCCACGCGAGACTAAAAGCGTAGCATCATCAGGGCAACAGTCTGCATCAGTAAGGACTCTGTTCGCAAGATCGCCAAGAACCACTCCAGAGCAGTCATTAAAATCTACAGCAGGATGCAAGACTTTGTCTTTCTGTCATATTTATAAATGTAATTTGCAAGCCTGTTCTGGACTCTGAATTTTCACCATCCAAGGCGGCGGGCCAAACGAATTGATCTCTACTTTTGAGCATTGCTGAGCTCGCAGATAACTTATATAAAAAGACAGAAATATCAAACGACACATTGTTATTTCTTTTTTTAGCCCTGCAAAAAGTTTCACTCGTGGAGACTAGCAGACTTCAACCGCCTTGCCCAATTCCTCGCCGTTATCCTTAAATTGGCACCTTGAATATTTGCTGACGGGCAAAATACTAGGCTGGAAATATCGAACTTCGACATAAACACGTAGAATGTGGTATTTATTATTTACATTCAGTAGTTTTAACGCAAACTTTTTACATATATTATCAATGAGCTTAAATGCTGAAAAGATTGTTTCCTCACAGAATAAGCTATAGACAAGTGTTAGCAAAAGAATTGCTGATAGGCATATCATATGCCGCATATGAGAAGTCACAGAATATTTTTGAGCTCCAAGGATTCAACCGACGCTGCTGCAAAACGTCCTTGATCAGCATTGCGATTGTGAGACAGTGTTTTAGCAATTCTACTGATTTTTTGCTTTCGTCGCCGTGCTCGTTCGTGGCGCAGGATATTCGCTGTCTAAAAATAATTATTGATTCTGAATCCAGTGACCGTTGTGAAGCATGTCTCTTGGTAGACTTACGATGGCGTAAAATGAGATGAAGACGATGATAAATATGCAAAAGCCACCGCCCAGCTTGAGGAAAATCTTGCCGTCTTTTTGATACTTTAACGTGTTCCCTTAACAGATGCTGGTCGTCGTTTCTTTTCTAACGTTTACCATCTGAATATCCGCTTTTATAGACACAATCATTGTGGGTGAAAATACTCTGTTGAACTTTGCACTTGAGTTTTTCTTCTTTTTCAAGTGTTCCGGGGTCGCAACTAGGTATTTATCGGAGAAAATAATCTGCTCTGATCCTGTCATAATACCTGCAATACCATCCTTGAGTTGTTTCTAAAGAGCTGAGGCATTTCTCGTTGATGTCTTCCGGACATTCCATATTCCAAAATATTTCGATGGGACAGTCCACGTTCAAGTTCACATACGCTTCTCGGCAGTTACGATCGCTAGAAACAATGTTCAGTAAGAGCTTGGTAAGCGCGTGAACCTTAAACAGTCGTGGTAAACATCATTGCACGAGTAAAAGGTGTGGTTTTTCTCCAGACAGGGCCATGGTAAGTACTGATCTTTCATTCCTTTGCAAGAATCGGCAGTCGGGCAGCATTCAAAATGCTATTATGTCGTTACGACTTCGATAACGGAAAAAGCTCCTTACAGGTTTCGTGAAGCGATAGCCGTTTTGCTTAGCGTGACCTCCGAAAAAGAATCCAGAAAGTGCAGAAACACAATTTTCTCGGTTGCAAGGCACTTCATCCGTATGATAGCACTACGAAACAATGAAGTGTTTACGGTCTCAGAGCTCTGAGGGAAAAGGTCTTGAGGATAAAAGTCAATGAGCGGCCGTACATTTTAAATGTCGCTCGGATTTAAGCAAACAAAATTGCCACTTCAAGCTACGTTAGTATCAACTTACGCTCATTGAAATATTGGCCATGTATTTTCCACACTGTTCAACGTTATCGAGGCATTCGTCGAAGTATCTCTTACATGAGGCGTCGGACTGGTAACAGGTTTTCTATTCGAACCTCTAGCACTCTGCAAATCGCTTCTAGTAGGAACCTGTTTCTTTTCCATGGTACGTAGTTGCTTCTCAAAGACTCGGCCACCGAGCGACTGTAATGTGTGTCCGCTTACTAGCTCAGTGCCAGTAGCCTTGATTATCAAAATGCTAATTTCAATCAGCATCATTCTGGCAGTTTTACTTACGCTTGCGTGAGCATATGATACGGATCATAGTCGCATATCAACTGAATTTAAGCTATTTCTAATATTTGAAAAGAAGGGAATAGAGATTTTGTCACGATACGTTATCGCCTCTTTTACTTTAGTCATAAAGTTCGCGAAGTACCAGAAATTATTACGCCCGTTGTGATTTCGACTATTTTATAATAAAAATATAGCTTCCTTTCATGAAAACCGACTCAATAACCTTTCAGGAAGATAAGCTTGTAACCGACATTTTCTCTGACTCTGGGGAGCGTTACGACTTATGGTAATGGTCCACTAACTGTCAGAAACGAGGGGGCCTCTGGAAAACAATAAAAAAATCTTTCCCACAAATACATACTTGGTTCGCAGTCAGGAGCTTCGCACTTGTAAGAATAGTCCGCAGTCTGAGCAGATTGAGAGTAAGAAGTCAACGATTTCATGAAGAGTTCGGCGTCCGTCTGGTACTCACTGATATGGCGAATTTCGGCGAATTCAACTTCTTCAAATCGAGTGTCCAAGTTAAAACAGACCTTGTAAAGGTTTTGGCTGTAAAAGTTCAGTGCGTTTGTTGCTTTTCGTAGACAAAGCATCGAAAAAATACTTTCGGTTGAACTCTGTTCCTAGTCTGACGGCTATACTCGCCATCGATTTGAAGCTGGACATCCGCATCTGAGCCAGCCTTCTGAGAGCTCCAGTTAAGACTAGCGCCTCCGCCCGTTTGATCAATTTCTTGCAAGTCCGTGATTTCGAAGGTCTTCGAAACGTAGCCGGGGAAGAAGGTAGTATTACCGTAGAAGGCATCAAATTCATTAGAGAATACGCTTGTCAAGTTGGCTTTGGCATCATCAACCGATGTCTGGTCAGCGAAATCGACAACACCCTGGTAAGCTTCATAACATCCTTGAGTGTTCACATCAAAGTATCGACATTCTTGCTCGCTAGTTCGGCAGGACTCGTGGTAAAGACCAGGTTCACGGAAGGCAAAGTCGGGGTTGAGGTCCATAGCCTGGGTGTAATAAGGGTCGCCCTCGAACTTTGCGTTAACTCCAAGAGCAGCAGTGATCGCAGCCTGGACATCTGCCTGGGCAAGATCTCCTGAAATTATTTTGTAAAAATATTCAACTGTGCGCTATAATTACCCTGGTACATGGCTTGCATGATCAAGTAGTAGTTGAATGTATCGAGAGTCCGTTGGTAAAAGTGTCGATAAACAAACTTATTGATTCGTCTGAAAGATGTAAAGGGAATCTCTTTGGTAGTATCTTTATATACCGAGCGGTAGCAATTTGCCCATTTTCTCCCATAGCCTCAACGTTCACATCAAGAATTGCAGGCATCTGTTCTCGGATGTCGTTCAAGTACATCAATTCCATTGGTCGCTTTCGAGGTCAAAATTTAATATCTTATACTTTCATATTGAGGTTTAAAATTTGTGACCGTCCGTAAGAGGTATCATATCCTGCAATGATTCCAGTTCCAGGCAGCGACTCCAAAACATATACAAAGCCTAAAAGTAGATTAAACCTTCGATCTCTTGGAGCTTCGGTAATCTTCAGTATGAGTCTCTATTTTCTCTAAATCGAAAAACTTTACGTTCGGATTTGTAAGTTTCCTGCGCCTGGGCAAGCCCAGCAAGGAGCGGGAGGGAGAGCTTCATCCAGCAGCCGATTGAAAAGTTGTCGAGTGGTGGACCTCTCTCGTCTAAAACTAAAAAGGGATGAGTGAAAATGGCAAGCCGAGGCAGAGTCGTGAGCTGTTTACGAAACAATAAGCGCGTTCGGCCGCCGACGACGACAACCGGGGCTGATAACCGCGAATCCGCCGGGCCGATCCTTCAGGAAGCTTATTCACATCACAATTTCGCAGTTCTTTGATTCTCTTGTAATCCTAGCACCAAGGCGTCTCGTCGAAATTTAGTTCGTTATTGATATTGAAGCTTCGACTCAAGCTAGTTAGAATTCCACGTCAAGATTGCACTTGGAGGACCTGGTATGTAAGCTTTCAAGAATTTATACGCAACATTGTCAGGTTTAAGTATAACTTTGGCAGGTTCATCCAGGTTCTATCGCGTGTTTCTCTTCGAGCCAAAGAACATTTTAAAAATAAATGAAGAAAACCATTCCCAAGTTCAAGTGTATTCTGGGGTTGGCTGCATCTTCCTATTCACTAATAATTCACTAATTCAGTTATCCCTTTGATGCATGTATTATTTGTTCCTATACATAAATAATAGCTGGTGTTAAAAGTGTCGCATATTCTTCATTTTCATTCTATTCAGATCCCTCGACTATTAGATGCAAATAAAGAGTTTCAGGATAATCACAAGTTGCATTATGCTCTGAAACAGAGATACTTGTTTAATACATTCCATTGCATAGTCCAGGACTATAAAAATTGAGAACTCTGATAAGTTACAGACTTATATGCTTCCTTCTTCCGGTGATACATGGATGGAAATCGGCAGATAAATCCAGTAGAGATTTGGATTATGGTTGCAAAAGTCAAAGTAATTTTTTTCGTCCATTTTTCTAATTTATATAATTACTAAGTAAAATTCTTGAACCATCGACAAGATTTTCATGAAAAAAGCGGTATGGATGATTGTTACATTATTCGAAAGTTGACACTTCTATCGACTGAAAAAAGGCTCAAAGCGGAAGCATTTTATGCAATGACAGGTTTTCCAAGATATTTTTATTTGTCTCATCTTTTTTTAGCGCCGGGAATGCTCAAGCGATGCTCTTCATAGTACTTTTTGACACTCTGTGTTGACAAGCAACCATTGTACTTACTTTTTTATTTGTTAAATAAAAGCACTGACGAACAATGACTGGAGAACTTTTATGAGCAATTCAACATATCATTCCTTTGATCAGCGTATTATTTTTTACAATGATTCGCGTTACTGAAAATTGGGTCAGAGAATTCATAATCAATAAAGGACTAAAGAGAGAACTTGGAAAGGATCATCTAAGGAACAGTTTAAACAGTTTTGTGCACTCTGCTGTCAATTATTTGAAAACAGATTAATTAACTTTCGAATAATTTGCGTGAACCTGTGACAGTCGACTTATTGATTCCGTCGAGCGCTTAGAATTCGATCTCAAAAACGAAAGAGAATGGAAGTGGTTCTCATTCTCCTCAGCTTCCGGCGTCTTTATGGGTTCACTAATAGACTCTAGGGGCAAAAAAACTCTAAAATGGAAAGCCACGCCACTTCAAGTCAGAATTCTGGAAGAAGAACCAACCCTGCTCAATAATGAACTTAGCAGTGAGAAGATAAAACCCGACTGTACTAAATGGTGCAGCGAGGCATATTCAAAAGCAAGCTTTCATGGAGGAGAAGCGCTGATTTTTAAAGATGCATCATTAGCGGAGAAGAATCTGGCAGTAAGAGTTCAGGTTTCGTGGTTTTCACTTGAACATGTCGCATATTTCAGCCCAATCTTGACATATTGAAGAAACAAGAACCTGTCAGAGTCAGTTTTTCTAAAATTTTGAAAGAAAACGCTCGCTTCCAATCTCGGATCAATAAGAAAAACGCATTATGTAACTAAACCATTCCTAAAATTATTGGAAGACGCAGCTAGATCATATTTCTCAACATAAAGAGTTCGATCATTGAAGAAAGTCAAAACCCAGAGGAAAGCCCTTTTCGTCTGAATTATTTGCGCTTGAGCTTGACTTGGACTTAATTAATTATCCACCACTCCTCGAATTTCCTTAAAGCGACGGAAAAGCGGTCGTCATCGTCAGAGGCTCAAAAGTCAATCCCTTTACACGACAACGTCGTAAAGCACTTGGCGAATGTGGAGATATTCATGAAAGGAGATCATCGCGACTGTCTTGGCTGGATAACTGTGATGGAACTTGCTGATACTGATCTTTGGAAGACTTTAGAACTGAATCAAATCTCATGGAGTGATAGAAAAATACTTTTATCAGAACTGTACGATGCTTTTAAATATTTAGAAAGCATTGGAATTCATCATTATGATCTAAAGGTGAATGGGCGACTAGAATTCACAAATCTATCATTTTAATCTTCTTCTTTTACAAACAATTGTCTATCTTAGTTAACAAATATCTTGATAAAAGATGGAAGCATTCGAATTTGCGACTTCGGCCTGGTCTGGGATGAAACTGGACGTGAAAGCTATCGCCAAATGGGTTACGCCCGACGTGGCGGGACGCGTGTTCGTAATTTTCTTTTTTACTTCTGTTGACAGATTCATAATGAAACATCTTCGGAGCGGTAATTAACCGTGATTTATGAACATGAGTAAGTCGATACAAACGGCAGCGAGGATTCGGACTTGAAGCTGGGACACCGGGCTTCTGCGTTGGTAGCCAGCTCTTTCAGGGCAACAACACATCTGATACTTTTTCGCGGCTGATCATTTTTCTTATTTGCGAATGGAAGACCGCCTGGAAGATGCTTTTTCATTCCATTGACGATCAGGAACTCAAAGTCATCGAAACAACGATAAGAACACTTGTGAGTCTCCTGTTGAGAACTATCTCAAAGAATCGCTTTGTAGGACGGGTGGAAAAAAGGACGAACAGCTGAAACATTTAGAAGACTTCGAATTAATTTCACGAAGGAATTTGGCAACTCAAAGGTCGACCATAAGTATGTAATGGAATCGGTGAATGGAATGAGCAAAACCGTGATGCTTCCACTTGGTCAACTGAATTTGAGCATTCCCGGAAAGGATTGATTATATGAAATACTTGATTTTTTATCAATATTGATCTATATTAAGGACCACCCCACAGTATAAAATAAATGTAAAAGTAAACCTAATGCAATCCTCAAGCAAATACATGCGAATCAATCGGAGTGAATATAATTCGACAAGTTCTTTCGCGAAAAATCGACGACCAGTTTGTCCATCTATCAGCAAGCATCGTCGACCAAAAAGATTCCGAGCTCTGCGTTTTTCTTTCAGTGACAAGCCTCTTCCGACACGCTGTGAGAAGCTTTCTCGAGGAGCATGGCGAGTTCCTCGACGACGATCGCTTTTTTACATTCGAAAGCGTTTTGCTTGTCATAACGATGATTCTTCTCCCTCGCAACCTTGCTGGTCTAGAACTTCGCGAAACGCAAAACGAAAGGCGAAAGATTAACGCTCAAAGTGCGAGCATTGTCCACGTTCTCAAGCGATTGACACACCCGACGTTCTTCGAAAGAGAGGGCTGGAAAATTATCGCAAGGCAGTGCTGGCTCAATTCGAGGACGACCCTTTTTTCTCGCTCCAATATGAACAGAATTCGATTGTGCTCGGAAGAAAGATTTCTCAATCAATCACTTGAGCAGGATTGTCCATGGCAGGCGTTCATTTTTGACTTTCTTTAAAAAAATAAGCATATAATAAAAAATAGTGTTTTTCCTAAAAACTTGTTGCCTTGGGAAAATTTTGCGTCTTTCTCGTTCACACTTTAGAAACATCAAAATAAAACTGTGCGTGTTCGCAAGAAATCAAAACATGCGTTTTACATCTGAGCTAGTCTCGAATCTGATCATAAATCTGAACGCTTTGATAGAGACCTCTGGCAATAATCGGCGCGATGAAGAAGCAAAACTCCAATTCAGTGCAATTCCATCAAATGGTGCTTGACCACATTGATCACGCTGCTGGACAATACGTTATCAAAAACACGCAGCACGATTTTCAGCCAGTAACAAAAATCCCTTGTTCACGCGCTCTTTATGTTCGCTTAGGAAGGGTTGACAAGCACAAACTGTTTTGAGCAATTTGGAAGGGCGGTTCCATCCCGAGATAAGAATTTATAACAGACCTTTACGCGCAAACTAGCTCTACGAAGCTTCAAGGCTCAAATTTAAGCGTCGTTAATGAGAATTTCAATGTTAAAGGAAAGATTCTACTCTATGTCTTATTTTTTACTAAACATGAAAAAATGCTTGAAATCGAAAAAAGACTTGCCAAAGATGGCTGAAAATTATTGGTACCTTCTGCCTCATGCTTACTCGTTGCACTTCGAATATTTGGACGAGCTCGCCCTTTCGCATCAGCGCAAGATTGACGCGATCATTTAGCTTTCCATTTTTCTGCATTGATGTGCATAAAATAAATTGGATCAAAATAACAAGTTAGAACCCCGTCTGCCAGAACGAGCATTTCTTTCTTATTTTAGCGGATATTTACATGATGTATTGATTCTGGTATTTTTTATACTGACTGTATATTATACAGTGTAAAAATACTGTATTTCCAGATGTTCAAAATCCATACAACAATTTTAACAAGCTGCCCCTAATTCTAAGCGTTTCCTTTTTTAATGTTCTATCTTCTCCCGCTTTTCCTAAAGCCGAATCAGAGGAAACGATATGATCGCGATATACTTTTATGCATATTAAAAGGAACTAGCATACAGTACTTTCCCAGAAAGAGAATTCAAATTCTACACTCGAGATCACGTTCTCACCGTTTCATATCTGGTCAAAAATTCGTAAGAACATTTTAAGAAGACGTGGGATCGGAAGCTTTCAGCTTATCATCTCCATTAAAAATTCTAAGTGGATTGTCCTTGCCTAAGAGGGAGAGTCTTTACCAATTGATATAAAAAGTTATCCGCCGCAGGTTTGATGTGTCAGCAAGTTTGGGAAAAAAGCTAATCAGGATATTATGTGGTCGCTATTATCAAATCAGGCTGTTGGGAACTCAGGCGACATTTGCTCACGTTATTCCACGTTAAAAAAGGGGAAGTCACAACTGTACTCGCTTCTGGGACTCAATTTACTGTAAGTAATGTTCTTGTTCGTGGACAGTTGCCTTCTTGGCGCAGTTGGTTAGCGCGTCAGTCTCATAATCTGAAGGTCGTGAGTTCGAGCCTCACAGAGGGCATCTATTTTGACAAAAAGAGGCCTGGTTCCTCGAATAACCGGTTAGTTTTTTCCAGTTTTATTTTTCAACTTCAGAGAGAAGATCTAACCAAACTTTAGTGATGTAAATCATTTATTAAAAATTCTAGAGTGAGCTAACGGACAGCAAGATTTTTAATCGAAGACCTTGATGATTTTGGAAGGAGTAAAGCGAGTTCGGCAGGTCGGGCAGTTTTTCTGTCGAAGGGCTGCGACGCCAGAGTTCGAAATTCCCGCGAACTTTTGCGGGTGCGGGGGGTAGCGGGAACTATGACTGAAATTTTTCGCGGGGGCGGGGGAGCGGGAACTATGACTGAAATTTTTCGCGGGGGCGGGGGAGCGGGAGCAAGGTCGAAAATTTTTGCGGGAGCGGGGGAGCGGGAGCAAGTCCAAAAGTTTGCGCGGGAGCGGGGGCGGGGAAGGATTCCTCCTCTCTTTTGCTCCCGCGGGAGCCCGCGGGAAAGAAAAATCAACGTGAGGGCTAGTTTAAAAAGGTCTTTACTAAGGAAGAAGCCTGGGTCAGGCCTCTTAGATAATTCGACAATTGAGAAATAAAATTGAAAAAAATAAATAGAAACCATAACAAAGCTAAGAACAAGAACAATATTACTTCCACATTGAATGGTGGTGGGTGGGGTTGGGGACGAAACTTAGATTGATTGAATTAAGACTTCCCCGGCCTTTGTCAAGCCCCTTAAATTTAAAAAACAAGGAACGGGGCTGAAACGGCCCGAAGGGCCGTCAAGCCCCTTAAATTTAAAAACCTTCTTCCCCGCTGCTCCCGCAGCCCCGCGGGAGCATTTTTGAGTTTTCGCGGCGCGGGAAGGGGCGGGAAGAAGGCGGGAAAGAACAATTTACGGCGAGAGCGGGGGGGAGGGGGAAAGAATATCCAAATATCTTGGGGGAGCGGGGGGCGCGGGAGAAATTGTGCTCCCCCCCCGCTCCCGCGGGGGCTCGCGGGAGCTTGCGGCGCGGGAAATTTCGAACTCTGTGCGACGCAAGGCTCGCAGAAATGATGACCACAGGAGGCGAGGAGTACTTGAGGACGAGCATTGTTGTACATTTCGAAGCAAACTTTACATGTCAGTTTGCAATCCATTTTCGCCCGTTTAGTGACGACTGTGCCCTCTAAAAATAATTATTAATGGCTTATTAAAAGGTTAGTCTTACTGAGTTCCTCGTTATCTTCTTTCATTGCAATGATGGAGACGAATAAATGACGTTTCTGAACTTTTTTGCGAAACTCTTTTTTCGCAGCAAGAATTTTTCGAGAGTTTTCGACTTTCCGCTTGGCTTCTTCGAGACATTTTTCAGCCTTTTTCATTTCTTCTTCATCGTTTTCAACGGCTCTCTCCGCAGAATCTTCCTCTGCCCGAGCAATTAGGTGAATTGTCGAGACCTTCATAAGCATTCCAAATTCATCTGATAAAAACTACTTGTTGACTGATTCACGCAAAATAATACTTACAAGGACCAGATTTCCGCAAGAGCGATTTCTGACAGCAAGATCCGATTATGTATTGATTATTAGAGAGTTGATTTTCGTTACAGTGTGAACAATTGAATTTCGCATCGGAACGTTCAAAGACTGCTGTTCGATCTTCAGGAAACTTTATTCTCGCACAACTTCTGCAGTATCTTTTACCGAAAATGAGAGCGGTTGAATCAGGAACGCTAGAATGAATTTGTGATACTTGAAAATGCATTGCTATATAGTTGAATTATTCAACTTGAATATTATGTTCGGCGCTATTTTTTTTTGTACTCACGTGTCGCAGTGACTGCATTTCCCTTTGAGACCGAAATTTGAAACCCTCCTTTTATCGATGCTAAAGTCCGTGATGGGCCTCTTCATTTGTCGTAGTAGTACTGCGGTAGTACAGACACCCCTTCCGTTCTTCTCCTGCTCTTCTTTCAAGACTCTCTTTTTATGCTTTTTCAAATATCTTTTGCTAGAAACTAACAAAAATGAGAAGAGTGCTGTTTTTCAAACGAAGAGTGTTAAAAATAAAGCTCGTAAGCTGTTTTGAACCTTTGAAATAAGAACGAACCGATACTGAATCATCCAAAATTTGTCACCTTTTGCATTCCCAGTGGGAATTTCCAAAATGATTCCAACTACGACAGTCGATTTTTGCACGATAAGGTCCCGAGTCGAGACTCTCGACTAAGTCGGCGCGACGCGTAAGAAGCGCCGCCCAACGCTCTTTTGAATACAGGGGACCGAGTAAATAAAAGATTTGGAAAGAATTTCCTTATAATGGTACAAAATGATCCGGAAGAATTGATACGGCTCTTGAAAATCCTAACTTGGCGCCTTCTATTCTTCCTCTGAAAGACGAAATTCGACTTACGCCTAAGCCCTGAAATCTTATATACCACGAACGTCTTAATTCGCCCCTGCTTCGCGAAAATCGCGTTGGAACAGGAGCTCGTTTCTTTTTTCAAAAATCTTTTCACGTTTGTTTTTTCTGGAATTTGTCAAAATTCACGAAGCGTTTTTAGGAAAAACAGATTTATTTAACTCATCCAAAATAAATTTGGCTTAATTGCGCCCTTTGCAGGACAGACTCCTTTTTGGGAGAAGAAAAGTGTGAGAGTGGATTGATTCTAGCTGGCAACTTCGCTTTCAAAAGCGGAAAAAAGGTTTTGAGTTTCCATCATGGCTGTCGATTTTGAGTCCTTTGGGATTACCCGGCATATTTTTTCCGGGTAGCCCGCAGATTTTTCAACGGGTTACCCGCGCGGAGAGTCTTTTCACAGGCTACCCGCGCTAAATCCCATAAAGAAAGGGCCCTTATAAATTGCTCGAAGGTGGCTCTTCCTTGTACTATAAGAGACATCTTTCAATGATAAGAATTTTTGGTATGTTTAATCCCACACTTAAGAAGCTTACACGTTGGCAATCAAGCCGGACGACGAACGTATCGGGAGAAGAGTTTTTCTCTCTATCTTTCTTGTCTCTGCTTATTATTCGCGTTTACGGTATTTAGAATGACAGGCTTTAGTTGCTTGAAGTAAGCAGAAAAAAGCTGAGATGAATCTTCTTGGAAATACTTCGGACTCTGACGTACTTACATTATTAAAAGTATATGAAATCACTAGCGGTAGGACACGATCTTTCGCACGATAATCATGAATCGGCGACAACTTCGCCGAATCCCTAATTTTTTTTTTTGTTATTGCACCTTTACATGATCCGATAATCTTATTCACTCGGAAAAGTAAAAGAAATAACAATTCGTAAGCTGATTTTGACACTTTTAAAAGTTTATTTGATTGCAGAATCAAATCCCGTAAAGAGTCGTCTTAGGATAAACTAACTTACGGGTTTTAAAAGAATAACAGTGACGAAGAAAGGTAGACATTCTTTTCAATCTTGATTCAGTCACCATCTGTGTCACAGTTTGTAACTGCCCTCTGTCGACCTTAGATGAACAATAGCAGTTACGATTTTGGCGTAATCTTCAGACAAAGCCGAATCTTCGAATCGAAGAAATAGAAAACCACTAGGGCGGAAGTTCACTTACTATAAGTAGAAAGGCAAGAACGAGAATCCCCATTATCGAACATGAAACTTTTTCTCTTTTTCATCGGCGTTGTTTTCGGCCAAAAGACTGAGTGGTTTAGAAGGTGCAGTTGATCATCAAATTTATGATTTATTTCCATTTTTAAGATGCGTGAAACCAACAGATTTTGATTTGGATCCAACAAGGTACCTCGGAACGTGGTGGGAGCAGGCCAGCTACTTGCCAGGCTTCGGCGACGAATCCAATTCGTGCATTCGCGCACAGTACAGCGACTATGATGGCAAAAGTATTGCAGTGAACAACAGCTACGTCCGTCCGGAAGGAGACGAACAAGTCTTGGCCTGGGGAACGGGAATAGGAGAGATCCCCGATCCGGATACACCCAACAGGAACGTTAGGCCCTATAAAACTGTTTGGTGTAAACATATTTAGAGGCAAACTCCACGATGGTTGTTAATACAAGTTTTTTAGGCCTTAACTAAAACAAGGCTTATTGTCACGTTTGATAGTGTTCCTGCCATTGCTAATTGGTTTATTAAACTTCTTGGAACCAATTATCATGTTATGGACACTGACTATGACAACTATGCCATGGGTAAAATCAGAGTAAAACAAGCTTGAAAACCTTCTTCAGTCATGAGCTGCACGAACTATGGAATCTTCAGATCAACGTACTTCTGGATCCTCTCTCGCAACCCGAACTTTCGCAACTTGCCCGAATTCGATGCAGTTCTCAACAAGGCAGTTGCTGACTATGAAATCAAGAGCAATTCACTCTTCTACGTCAACACCGTTAACTGCGACTATGACAGAATAGCCGACGAAAATCTGTAAACTTTTTTGACCATTCAAACTTACTCAATAAAGTCCGCCCATGTTTGTCCTTTCCCGCGAAAAATTTGCAAGAAATTTCGTCATTAACGAGCAGATGGGGTGAAAATGTACTTTACGGAGTCTCGGGCCTCTCGTCCATCTTGAAAATTTTGATCTAATGATGTTGAAAAGTCTACAGATCCTGCAAGCGAGAGTTTTGCGTAAACTTTTTTTGAAAAGGAAATGTATCCAATCCTTAACTTTATTCAGTGCTCTTTATCATACTGCTCAATCTTAACCTATGTTTGTTCAATGCAGCTAAACTTAGACGACTTTAAGGCTCTATCGGTCCTAATCATCTAAGGACCCTTTTTTTATCGGAGCTCTCGACTTTCGCTAATCTTTGTAAAAACTCTGTCTAAACAGTGTTCGACTGTTTTTGGAACGGAGCCTCTATAACACGGGCGATTTGGACGAAACGTGGTACAAGCGTTATATTAGCCGCTTTTAACGGGGATTACTCAGGGATCTCCAACGTTGAGAAATATGAAAGACAAGTAAAGCAAAAGCTCTTTAAAACACCGATCTATATGTGAGACTGCGTTCTAAAGCTTAAAGAAACGACAACTTGGCAGTTCTATAAATAAAAATGATTTTGCATAAAATATCCGCTCTCTTCATATAGTTTTATGTACAATGAATTTTAAGACTTTCGATATATCTTTGTAAAATCAAGTTTTTTATGTACCCATAGTCGATGTAAAATAAATTTATGACTGAAGATAACCACGAGAAGACAAGGAGCGTTAAGAGCGCTAGAAACCGTAAGAAAATCGTGCTACGCTCAGGGGGCGCCAACGAGTGCGGCGTTTTCCAGACTTATGGGAAATTCAGACCGAGTATAAAGGATAACACACTCGAAAAAGAGCATAGAGAGATACGCTAGATGAAGACCTTTATTTGTTTTGCAGGTAAGACAAACTGGGTTGTGATTTTTAATAGAAAAAATTAAGCCGCGGTGGATAGCAGCCAGTGGGGAGGAAAAACAGGTTGGACTAAAACTCCCAAACCGCATGGTAAACCTGTCGGACTTCCGGTCAAAGGGCTGGACTTAAATTACAATGTACAGAAAGATATGGTCTGCGATGACCTTGACAGCACGCAAGACTGGAACTGTAGCGATGGGTTCAAAGAGACTAGGTAAAGAATAAGAAGCGGACTGATTGTGAGTATCAATTTTAGCGTTTGCCAAACAACCTGTGGAGAAACTGGTTCAGTGAAAACGGAGAAAGTATGTGCCTGTCATAGAATTGTCGGCAACGCGAAGCTTTTTCTTGGATGCAGATGGCTCAATAAAACAGAAAACGAATGCTTAACCGAAACTAAGAAGCAAATTATCTCCACTAAGATAGACCTTCCAGAGAAAGAACAGAGGATCGAGAAAGAAAGAGAGATCAAGCCGGAAGAAGATCCAGAGGAAGAAGAATCTCGGATCGTAGTGGTTGAAACACCTAAAGAGAACAAGGTAAAATATGCTACTGGAAATTGTGAGAAGCTTGAAGATATGGATAATTGGAGTTGTGTACAAGGAACGGTTATTTTCCGAACAAGTTTTTAAAACCAAACAAGGTGTATCCGTCATAATTCAATCGTCGCGATGACTTTACTTCGGCAATGTAACCCCAATCGAAGCCAACAAAGATAGTCCAGTAGTCATGACTTGTAGCCGCTTGTGTCAGACGAAAGACCGATTCCGAACGGTACGCAATCGTTGCATCTGCATCGCTGGAAAGTGCCGCTGGCAAAAGGCAGCGGTTTTACTCAAGCTAGAACTGATATAATCCCTCTAAATATTTTAATCCATCCTATCATGCGCCGATAATGGTCGAGCGTCCTGTCCTGTTGTTTCAGGGGAAATGATGATAGCTAAAGTAAACCCGCGGGTCAGGCTCATGTTCAAAGCTGCCCGAATTTGAGAGCGGGCCTCATTCTTCCGCCTGTTTCGTTGAAGAGTGCAGGCTCTGCCGACAAAAGTGAGAGTCAGTCGCTCTTCTCCGTCTTTTCGGCACACGTGACCGACAAGGCGAAGGTCGATGATTCTAGTGGTAAGTCACCTAACGAGTTAATAATGACATGCTTTGATAACTTATCACTAAACAGCACACTCGCACGAGTCAAAAGTTCAAACCCTGCAATTATAACTAAACACGCTCGGTCTCTTTGTACCTTCTAACTATTCAGGAAAATACGTTCACCCTTTCGAGTTCCTGCAGAAGTTCCAGAGCTGGATGTACGACAGCGGTCTCCTTTCCCCGCAAAATAAAGACCTCCTTATCGAAATGTAAATGCGTTTTTACTCTCAGACATTCGGAAATAAGTATAGCAGTATTTCCGTCACAACTTGCACACCTGTACAGTATTTTCCCATAAGTAGCTGTTATGTTAATAAATTTCTACCAAACAATGAATTCTTAATACCCCTTCTTCGCTTATAAATATAAGAGATTGCTAATTGCAAGGCAAAACATTTTCACGTGCGTCTTATCTACTATTAGTTTATATTCTCAATATTTTCATTTCGGGGCACCCACAAAGACAACGTTTTTCTTAGATGTTTCAGGTGAGTGTTATTGTCTCGAATCGTTGTTAGTGCTAGAAATCGCTGGAAAACCCCTTGAAATCACAAGTTAGTGTAACTGAAGCATTAGAAAGACATTCGAAAAATACGCTTGCGTAAGCTGATTACGCATCGCAGCTGAAAATGCACACAGTTGGCGGATCTACGCCTGCAAATTACAGTTGCTTCGGGTTGATTTAATTTCATGGATATGCGGTACGTCTTCGATTAGAAATACGAGCTGAATAGTTCCAACAAAACAAACAGTAAATCATACTTGATAAACTGTCATTATTTTCAAAGACTGATTTTATAAATATTTATTGATCAGCAAACAATTCATGGTTATCCATATATATAGTTATTATTCTTTAGCATATAATGGTTTAGTTCTGGAGTTGGGAATAGTAGGAGTCAGTAGTCCAAAGGAAAAATGATAAGACACGATAGATTGCACTTGGAAGTGGCGTGGAAATCAACGAGGAGTAGATAACGAGAAAAGGGTCTCTAAGGTAAGACACGTTGGCTGGGTGAAAGGATTGAGTCGCTTTGTATGTGGAAATCTTTTAGTTCTGAGCTGACTTTTTACCGATCGCCTCGACACGGAAACCAAGGGACAGTAAGTGACTGAACAGAGTTATTGCAATTTTAGCTGTGGATTACTGCTACCTGTGGGGAAGGATTCCTCTGCCGTCGAAGACAAACGCGGGTTTGAGCATATCGCTGTATATCCTTCTCCAGTCGAGCGCTTTGAACTCGTCCCACTCGGTGCAAACGGCGACGGCATGCGCCCCTTTGCAGGCTTCGTACACGTCCGAGTGAAGAGTCACGCATTTGTCGACAGTGTCCATGTTCGAAATCGTAGGGTGGCTACAAGTCTTCTTAGTTACAGTATATTATCAGTCTGCTACCTGAGGTCAGTGATGATTTGCTTGTGGGGAACTTTCGGATCGTAGATGTGCAGCTTGGCGCCTTCATCGAGAAGGTATTTTGAGACATAGATGGTGCTACTCTCTCGTGTGTCACCGGTGTTTTTCTTGAAGGCGAATCCCAGAATGGCGATTTTCTTATCGGCAACAGTGTTGAACAGGGACGTGATAATTCTAGAGGCAAAACGGCGTCGTTGATAGTCGTTCATTAAAATTACTGGAAATCGATATCAAACAAGCATTTTTGCTGGTCTACCTTGATTCCAATACGCGGCGCATTCGGGCAAGTTGAGTGACTCGCAAAGGTAGACGAGATTCAACACGTCCTTCTGGAAGCAAGAGCCGCCATAGCCGACCGAGGCTTTGAGAAACTTGGGGCCGATGCGCGAGTCTGATCCACAAGCATAGGCGACCTGTATGGAGTGTTATTACTATGGAAGGAGAATCAAATGGTTCTTGCCTCGTCGACGTTTGCACCAGTGGCTTCGCAAACAGCGGACATGGCGTTTATCGAGGATATCCTTTGAGCGAGGAAGGCATTGGCCGCAAGTTTTGACAATTCGGAGCTCCATACATTTGTCTAAAAGATATACCCGTTACTTTTGTCTATACTTACTCCGATCGTATTTAGTGTCAAAGTTATATTTTCAATCAGGGGTAGTAGCGCTATTCGAAGATTTACTTTTATGATTTTATCGACGGGGACCCAGTTTGCGTAAACTGCGGCCAGTGCGTCTACTGCTTGATGTCCCAGCTCACTCTCTTCGCCTCCGATCAGCACTCGATCTGGATTTTGAAGATCATTCATTGCAGTTCCCTCCGCGAGAAATTCCGGATTAGATAGAACTAAAAATAACCGAGTAAAAATCGATAAATTGCTGTCTAGAGTACCTTGAAAGGAGTTCTCAGGGTTGGTGTTGTACGATAGAATCGTCTTGATCGAGCCGGCGGATCGCACGGGCACGGTGGACTTTTCAACGACAATTTTGAATCCCCTGCTGACTTCCGCGATTCTCCTTGCACAGGCCTCGACATATTTCAAATCGGCGGCGCGGCCCTTTCCGACTCCATACGTCTTTGTTGGCGTGTTAACGGAGATGAAAATGAGGTCGGCGCTTCTGATGTGCGTGTCGATGTCGGTAGAGAAGAAAAGATTCTTGCCACGGCAAGCTGAAAGGAGATTAAACAAATGAAAGGATCGACGTAAGAGGAGCGCTTTCGTCACAACCTTTCGTCATAATTACCTTTTACGACTTCTTCTAAGCCAGGCTCAAAAATCGGCAGCTCATCAGAGTTCCAGGCGTCTATTCTGGCTTGGTTAATGTCAACAACAGTCACCTTGATGTGAGGACAGCGAAAGGCGATAACTGAGCAAGTTGGCCCACCGACGTAGCCGGCGCCGATGCAGCAAATTTCTTTAACCGGTTTCATTCTGAAAATTGAATATTTCTCGCAAAATTGAATTAATGAAATTTTTACAAGACTTCTCGAAGCCATTTACGACTAGAACCAATTAAATATTTCGCAAATGTGACTAAGTAGTCATTTAGTCCGTTTTATAGTCATTTAGCGATCCTTTCTCATAAGTTATGGCGTTATCAGCACCCTTCTTCTGCTCGAATCCTTCTGAAGTTCGTTTCTTCAATTTTTCAAACTGACTTTGCCAGCCCTGCGCTTCTTGAATTTTCAAATTGATTGTGTAATTGTCTGTCTCGTCGTTCATCTCTTTGTATCTCTTAATTTTTTTCTTGTTATTGATTACACAATAAAATCAAATGATTAAATCTGCCTTTTCTATACTTTGCATAATTATCCCTGATAAGTTTATCCGTAGAACTATTAACATGTTTATCTGTTTAGGTTTAACTTGACATTTTCAAACAGAACCGCATTTTCTCAAGAATAGACATGACATTCATTGATTTAACTGTTGCTGTTACGGAAACGTTACGAGCTACAGAAAATAAACAAACTCATATTTTAAACAATATCGGAAACAAAGTCTCTTATTTTGGGACGCCCTTGACGTTGGAGAGAAAATGCTCCTGTTTTCGCAAAATATAAAAATCCAGATTCTTATTTCGTCAAAAAGTCAGTAATGATTAACTCACTTTGAATTCTTTGCTCGCCCAGTCAACATAGTATTGTCTCTCTTTCACGTCCGGGATACGGTAAATACTCCGCTTTGCGAGGATTTTCTACCACAATCACAACACATTTAATGGCCGCGTATTTAGCTGGTGACGCGCTACGTAGGAAATCATAAAACAATACTTTCGCTTCTTGCGCCTCGCAGCGTCCAACTTCTCTTTCAAAATAAAAAAAAAAGGGCTGACCCGTTACGACCAGCCTTGCTCCGGGTAATTCATTATCGCATCCGTAAATAATAGATACCGCGAAAGTTCGACGATCAGCGAAAAAAAATCCCTGCCAAAAGGCCCTGGTAAAGCTGGAGAATGCGGTTCCGATGCATCCATTGTTTCAGTGATAGTTTTTCTAAGCCGATCCGACGTGCCATCTAGCAAAACAACTTTTAAAACAAAAATCACCGGCAAAGTTGACTGGCGAGCGCAGTTAATAAGTTCAGATCATTTAGTTCTTGCGATAAAGGAGTAAAATAGAAGTAAAATCTATTTAAGATCACTCACGTGAAATTGTCGTCCGTAACATTGAATGCTTAGTCTCTGAGTTCAGTTTTCTCTTATTTTTTGAATTTGATTTTGGCGCTGATTCAATTAACGGCATTGAACGGTGCTGCAAAAATGCCGCTCTTGGCTGGTGTAAACACTTTATCAGAAAAAGGGATGCCTTGGTAGTACTAGATTCTGATCTGGCTAAAAACATTAGCCCCACCGTTGCCAAAAGGCAGATCCAAAAGTGATATCAATTTCAACTTGTCAAAAATTCATCACCAAAGAACTGCCAACTACATGGATAAAATTTCTGATGAATGACGCCATCGGATAATCATTCGCCGGATTCGGTTTCAATCAAAAAACGGTTTTACCGATTCGTAAGAAAGGAGGAGTGGTAGAATTTAAGAAATTCTTGTTTGCGAAGAAAGAATAAGGAAAGTTTTACAAGTAATAAAATTAACGCAGGCAATTTGTGCAGAAAATTGTCTCTAAGCAAAACGGCGCTGCTCGTGTCACGATCACATGATCAGGCTGGCTCAAATCGTTCATTCCTCGAGTTGACTGTCCAAGTACGCTTTGAGGGCGGCGAGGTCTTCCACGTTGGAGCGGCGGGCGTATCCGAATGGGGAGCGCGCCACAAACCTGCAAATGTTCTTATCGCCTTAAACTCGTATTTTCATGACTTACTGTTCTTCCGGGGCGTAGGTCCTTTTAGGCACTTGGAAGCCGAGCTCGGACATCAGCGCTTTTAGCTTCTCAACGTCGGACTGAGCCTGGGCCTGGAGGACGAGTGCGAAAAAACCGAAAATTTTCATTTTTGAAATTTTTCGTTTTCGATTTCTCAATTCTTGCTATTTTCTGATTTTTGCACCTAGATGTCTTTATATATATATCGCCAATAGCCTCCGGTAGTAAATTGCTTTTCAATATTAATCAAATTAATATTAAGAACTGGGCTCTTATCCTCCCCGAAATATGGCTATTTGTGGGCTCACAAGAGGGTCTGCTCTACATATTTTAAGCCCGACTAAGAATGCGTTTTCGCCTTTCCAAACAAATACCTTGGCTTTGCTTTTTAGTTAACTTTATTTCAGTTGGTTTACATTGAAATGTAAAATTGGCTGTATAACGAAAACACAGTAAAATTAGAATAGTAAAGTAAGAAGTCGGATCAAAGAAGTACAGATACAGTAGTTGATGGTATGATTCATGTTGGTAGAAGTTACTTTGAGAATAATGAACTTTGATAAAGCAGTATACACATAGAAACAGGAACATAGAGTTAAAGGCTTGAAATTTTATAAGGAAAGATCAGTAGGTGTAGTTTTCTTCAGGGGGAATTGAGGTTCACAAAGATAAGATAGGCCCAGCATGCGAAGAGTAAGTTTTAAGTAAGTAAAAAGAGTAACACTTCCTTTCTAACCAGAAGAAACTATATCCGGAGTTGAAATTGATAGATTTGATTAGTAGTTTTTTTTTCGACAAAGAAATTCAAGAGGTTAAGTAATAACTTATAAATAGGCTTAAACCTCAGCTTTTGTCGCCCTTCCAAATGCAATATTTTTAAAAGTGGAATGCCTTTTCAAATTGGAAAGATGCAACAAAAGAATAATGAATATGTGTTTTCACTACGTTCGCTCTCATTTATTATTTGAGACCAATAAACAGTAGTTTCTTTTTTATTCGTGTGTTTGAGAGTCAGTAAATAACAGTATCACTCTGGGCGTCGGGAGGGTGGAGGGATGAAGCTCAGGCACTGCCACTTATGGCAGGTAGATATTATGCTGTTCATTTGGGTTTTCGTATTTACAGAGATAAAATGAACATAGGTCGAATGTTATCGTATATACAGTATATTACTTTGAGGAGGCAGAAAAGCGCTTGCACCTAGAACGCTTTTCCAAGTAGAAATATTATGGCCATACAGAAATAGTTTAAGGGGTTTTCTTGAAGTAAAAGTAAGTTCGACTAGATTGGCGTAGAATCGTCCAGGCTCTGCGAGATGCTTTTAGCACCATTGTAGATGAACTCGTACTGAGCAGAGAATGTTAAATAATTCAACAGCATCATTAGGTTTACCTGTGATTCTGTCTGGACGGAACGTTGCCTTTGGTTTCTCAGCGACTTGACGATTTGAAGGACATCAACAGCTTGCTCCGATTTCATTTGATCAATGGCAATGTAAAGGCCTAAAACATTCACTCACGCAGTGGCAAAATACCAACGCTGCATACCTATAAATGCGCCAGTTGCTCCTGCGCCAGTACTACAGTGTACTGTTATTGGACTCGTATCATCTGAAATAAGGGCTGTCTTTTCATAAGCTAAATATACTCTGGTACCGTTTTGTCTTCGCTGCGAGTCGATAGAGTTTATCAGGTAGACAATCTCGTCAATGTTTTCAGGCACCTGATCACTCGTCCAGCCACTGATATGATACTGTGAAATCTCAAGCACGTCCTAAGAGATAAAAAATAACCAAAGTTCATCCAGATAAGCCTTACCTCATGTTCGTTCTTATCAGCGTAGGAAAACAGTTGGAACATGCGTTTTGAGATTCGCCCTTCAGAGCCTTCCCAAGCTGCGCCGTCCATTGTCTTGATGACGGCTATTTCAGTTTCCATTTCACTCTTGGCGAGGACCATTCGTCCCTCGTCGATACTCCACTCGTGCCATTCACGCTCCTGATCCGGCCAGAAGACGGGCAAACCTGCAGAGTCGAAGTCGTTGAGCGTGATGAGCGTCACCGAGCGTTGCTCGAACATCATTCGCCAAAGATCCTCGACAGTGTCTACCAACGGCGCTTGCGTTGCAATGAAGGTTTTTGGATGGAAGTATCCGTCTGAAATAAACATTTGGTGGGGCCTACTTTGGGTAAGTTTTGATTAATAGCTAATCATAGAGAGTGGCACCTCCTCAAGCCTAAGAACCCGCATCCATCAAAAAGCAGGATGCTTTCTTATTCATCATGCCTGCGTTCCAACTTTGTTGGCTTCAGTAATTCATGATTTTATGCATATCGTATTTTGAATATATTTTACCAATAAATGATGCGTTGATGTAGTCAGCATCGTCAGTCTTCGTGGTCAGTGGAACTCGGTTATGGTCGAATGGGAGAATCGTACCGATGCGGTTTTTAGCCAAATTCAAGGGTTTGTTTCCAGAAATAATTCGATCTTGGCGGGTTTTCAAACTGTTCAACTTGTCGAACTATGGGAATTCCGCTAGATAAGGAAAAAAGCGCTTTTCTTTACCTCGTGTTGAATTCCAGTAGTTCCTCCGGGCATCTGTCGTTTGTTGTTCTCCACCCATTCATGAAGTTCGCTTATTTCAATTTCTGTGTCCCCAACTGCCTTCTTTTCGACCAGAACGGCGTAGATGAATGAGTACTGCTCCATTGTCTGGACCATTTTCATACGCTGCTGGCGCATTTTCAACACAAATCGAGGTAAATCCATTTGTCCGGCTTCATCCAGTTGTCGCGTCATTCTGTCTATTGAAATAAAGGTGCCAGCTCGGCCACAGCCCGCGGAGCAATGGACAATAAGTGGTGCGTGAACGTCGCAGCCATACGGAACATTGTCTCTTTGGTAGATTCGCATTTTTCGCAGGAATTTAATGAGGCTCATTTCGGAGGTGGTCGAGAAGTCTTTCCAAGATGTAAAATGGAACTGGTAAACAGTCCGCGATTGCTTTCCAGGCGAGTTATTGTCTGTGAGAACCAACTGACGAATGACAAAATCCATCAGATAGATCTCACGTTCCAAAAAGACATCATAATCATCGGTAGATAGAGTATCGCCGATTTGCTCAGGCCAGTAGCGCTCAGATTTCACTTGAATTGCTCCTGTCGGTCCAGCTTCTTCAAGATTGCTCAACATCATAATAATGTAACTCTTTTCTTCCCAAATCATTCGCCAGAAGTCGTCGAGTGTGTTTGCCATTGGTGCTGAGGCTGCAATGTACTCTCTAGCGTACTTGCCATCAATATAAGAAGCATTGATGTAGTCAGAAAAGGGATCGCCAGGTTTTTCTTTCAATCGAACACGATAGTCGTCATAAGGAATCACATTGTTGTAGCGGTTCTTTGGCTTATTAGAGTCTTGCATTGCACTCGAGCATTTTTCGTTGTGATTAGGAAGATCGTTGATGCTCTCAAACTCCTCCCGCATAAGTTTACTATCGTCAGCAAGTCGCTTTTGATACTCATGCTCTAGCTTTTCGAAGGTAACAGTTGAGTCGGTGAAGAGTGATTCGGTCATTCGAGAATCTCGGTGAGTGCTTACAGGCCGTCGATTTGTATCAAGAAGATTTTGCAACTCATCGCCACCAGAAAGGCCACTTGAATAGCCAGGATAATCCTTGGAAGATTTCTCTCCATCAGATGACTTTTGCCTTTTGTAGAAGAGAAAGCCACCAACCAAGAACCCAACAAGAAGAATAGGGACAATAATTGCAGCGATGTTCGCCTTGCCAGGTTCATCGTCCTCACCTTCAGGAGGTCCTAGAATCGGGTCGTTCTTTGGAACGACTGGTGTAATTGCCTCTCGCTTTTGAATGATTGATGAAAAGTCACTCCAGACTGCACCCACTTCGCTGTCGACTTGACAAATGGTTTGATTTTGGCTGAGCGAATAGTCCTCTGCAAAGTTCTCCTTCAATTTGAAGGAGCATGTGGAATGAAGTGAATATTTGATTCCTTTCTCATGCGAGCAGCTAATTTCAATTCGCAGTTCCTCATCTAAGTGCACCTCCGTCAAGTCGGTGCAGCGAGGAATGCACGCTATGTCGTCGGGGACCCAGTTGTCGGTCTTCTCGGTGTCCCAAGAGCTCTTTGAACATCGCGTCTGCAAGTCTTCAATTTCGAGTAGTTCATACACGTCATTGTTTGGTCGTCGTCGATAGAGCTGTACGTTCTGAAGCTGGGTTTGACAGACAGTGCGACAAAAATTTATCTGATTCTGGAGAATCAATGAGCAACTCCATATGTCAGGATTGGGTGGTCTACATTGGGGGAACTCGTTGCAGATAGCTGTGAGCTCTGCGTCCCAGGAACCGTCGGACAAGCAGTTGACTGTTTCAACGAGATTCTTCTTATCACCTTTCCAAATTTGGTAGCCATCATCACAACTCAAGGAGGCGGTTGAACCAACTTCAGCCTGGAGTCCAGAGCTTATTTTGATAACTCCATTGTCAGGCGCTTCAATTAGTGGACAGGTGATCTTTCGGCATGAAGGAAGTGCGTCTATCGTGGCGGTGAAAACGCCATCAACGCCGCAGATAATTTCCCTGTCGCCGAGAAGCTCGTAGTTCTCGTTACATGACGCGGTACATCTACTTCCGTAAACATCGCCCTCGCAGTCAAAGACACCATTTTCAAGCGTTGGATTTTCGCAAGTTATTTGCTTGCATTTGCCAGGAACACCAGACCATTTCATATCATTATTTCGAATTTCGCAAGTGATAACGTTTTCGTTTTCGAGTGTAAAACCCTCTTCGCAGACAGTCCTACAACTTGACTCAAAGTAAAATTCGTTGGAGCATTCCAAATGGCCGCCGTTGATTTTTCCATCATCAGGAAAGGCAGTGCAAGTTCTTGGAGTACATTCAGGATTTTTATTAACGACATTATCGGAATCAACCCAGTCAAGGCGGCCCTCTTGCACTTTGCAGCTCAACAAAAGGCTGTTGAGAGATTCCTTTAGTGAGAGAATAATGTGGTAGCCAGAGTTGCATACGAGAGTGCAAACTGAGTTTAGCCGGTTATCCTCAGTGCAAATTATGTTTCCATGCTGGATTGTCGATAGTTGTTGACATTCCCGTGGAATACAAGTTGCGGGGCTAGAGTCAAACGGCTCGTTTTTCCACTCGCCAGAAGATCGACAACGTATCTTTTGAACTGAGTTTTCTGCCAGGACGTATCCTTCATCACATACATAGTCGCATTCAAGGCGACCTCTTGTAGTACACTTGAGCTGTCCATTCTTCGGATTTTCTCTGCGATTGCACTTCGCTTGTCTACAGGTCGGAATGTCAGAATCCCAGCCCTCTTCACCACAGGTTGATATTTTATTGCCAAGTAGAGTGAAGCCATCGTCGCAGAAGGACTCGCAAGTAGATCCATAGGTACTTCCAGCGCATTTGTAATGACCGTCCGGAATTGGACAGACTTCGCCTTCAGGACATCGAGGATTGCAGTATATTTCCATGCAAGTGGGGACTTCTAACTGAGCTGAGTTATCAACATTTACACATCGCACTTCAGTAGTTGCTGATTTTTGACCTTCTGGGCAATGAAAAGAACATGCTTCGCCAACTTTTAGATTTGATGGACAGTTTTTATCGGTGATCTCATCTTTCAAATGGCTTACATCGCATGACAATTGGATGCATTTAGTCTCTGCGGACCAGTTTCCATCTGCCTCGCAAGTAACCAGATCTGGTCCTTGCATAATCGCGTCTTGATTGCACTTTAGCCGGCACTCAGAGTTGAAGACGTGCCCACCACAGAGATTAATGCCATTGGGGAACGGAAGTTGATCGATGGCCTCGCACTCAACTTTCACGCAAGTTGGAACGGGATGGTCCCATTTTTCATTGATGCAAGTCAGCTCTTCGGCTCCATCTAGCCGAAATCCTTCGTTGCAAGAAAAAGAACAGACTGAGCCTTCAGCGCTAGAACATGCGTTTTTAACGCCATTTATTGGATTCGCCAAAGGTGGGCACTCTTTAGGGATGCAGTCCGTAAATCTATTCGACCAGGCGAGATCTTGCTGGCATCGCGCCGAGATCAGTCCATCTTCTTCTGGTTTATAACCTTCATCACACTTGACTGTGCATGTGGAGTCAAAATAGCGCTGCGTCGTGCACTGAAGTCTTCCCCTGTTTATTTCTATGCTTTCTTTGCACTCTAAACGGCGACACTGCGGTGTCGGCTCCGACCAAGAAACCTTAGAATGGTCCTCTGATAGTTTGCAGACGATTCTTGAAGCACCAATCAATTCGAAGCCCTTCGGACATTCAAAATCAATCGATGTGCTTGGGTACAGTCGGTCCTCTTCGGATGAGTCTTCTGCAGAAGCCTTGATTTCCAGTGGAGGCATGATGACGATCTCTTCGCAAACCAATACCTTGCATTTGAGCAATCTATCTTCTGGAAGAGACCACATTGCTCTTCGAGGAGAGGAAGGCGCAACGATGCATTTGACTTCCGATTCATAGCCTTTTTGAGGAGTGGCGTTCTCATCCAAGCAATTTATCTCACATACGTCGCCTACAAGATGTTGTGCGCCATCTTCGCCACTACATTGCTGGTGAACTGTCGGATCCAAGTCGAGTGCGTCGCAGAAGAGAGGCCTGCAGATCAAATTGTCAGTGGACTGATCCCATGTCCCACCGATGTTACATTTCACTTTGTAGAGATCGATAAAAGAGTTTGGTCCCGAGTCTAGGTAGTATCCTGCTTTGCATGAAATAGTGCAGCTAGACTTAGCGCCTTTTCCGTCGCAATTGATGTTGCCGTTTTCGGGAGGGAGAATAGCCGGGCAATCCATCGGAACGCACTCGAACTCGTCCAACGCCTCGCCAGACCATCCAGAAGCTGTGCAAATCTGAAGCGAGTCTTTTTGCGAGGAAGATTTGTAGCCGGGATCGCATTGAAGCAAACACTCAGACGAGTACAGATTGTAGGATGTACAGTCCCATTGCCCGAATTCAACAGTGGGTAGTGCTTCGCAAGTTTGGAACTGGAAGTTTGTCAAGTTGAGCGCGTTAGGACTTTCTGCGCCGACGCTGAAGTCGACTGCTCCGGGTACCGGGATGACTGTATACTGAGAGGAAGCTTTGGGTGACTTGTGAAGACGGATTTCGCTATTGCGACTTCTATAGTGGAGATAAAGTTCGGTTCCTTCCACTGCTTCTGAGCTTTTCAGCTGAACGAGAGTAGACTTGACCTTCAAGATTGGACTCCACTGTTGGCCCGCTCCATCGCCGTTGCACTCGTCAAGAATGAGCGCCTGCCCTACTTGATTTGTGAGTCCGCCCTGAGTCGTCAGACAATACGAATTGCTCTCGCCTACAGTTTTCAGGACACTATTTTCGCCCCACTCCCAGTAAGATGTGGCCGGGTCACAGTCTTCCAAGTGGATCTTTTGGCGCGGCGAGTTCTTTTTGTACGAAACGCATTTTCCATTCTGCTGTAGCATGAACTGCGGCCCGACAGTTTTCGGCGTGCACTTGCAACAGGCCACACGGATTGCATAGTCAGAGCAAATAAAGTCGCAGAAAAGACCCTCAGAAACAGAGCAGTATACTTCGCTTCCGTAAGTCGCTTCTGTGTTGGTGTATATGTCCCAGCACTGGACGCCTTTGGGCTTCTCGCAGATATCATAACCTCGACGTCTGAGTGACTCGAACTTTTCGTCGTCAGCTGAAGAATTAAAAGTAAGCTAAACTTGAGAGTGGAAAATTGAAACCGACATTGAAATGAATTGTTATCTTTAAAATGCAATTACAAGATGACAAATAGAGAGAGACACGTAAGGCTTACTTTGGCCATTACTTTGACTACCAGCAACTAAATCTTTAAAATCGATTGTTAAAAGAAAGTCACAAGCCAGGATTTAGTAAGGTTCCAAAAAGCGACTTACTGTCATCGTCGTTCTTTTTTGGAGAGTCGGAGCTGATCCATTGAGTCCATTCGCAAGTACAGCGGTCGTTGGGTGGCTCGATTAAAGGAGCGGCACCAGCTTCCCTGTTGATCTTGGCCACGTCAAACTCAATGGACTGAGCATGGATAGTTGTCCCGCTAAAGAAGGCGGAGAGAAGCGCTGTTAACCTCATAATTTAATTTGGCGCTGTTGTTTTTTTCCGATTCCGAATAATTTCATCTAAATTGAAAAATTTGTTCTTGGGCTTTTTCAGATGAACCATTTTGATGGTAATGGATTGAAGAGACTGGTGGAGCGGCTAGCTCGACAGAATATATATATATATAAATTACAGAACTGTTCGAGCAATACTGTCAGTAATTTTCTAAAGGCAGTCATAAGTTTCCAGCAACATCACAAAACGTATCGTAGAAGAGAAACATTTGAAACGGCTACAAATATCAAAGTTAGCTTTTGATCAGATAGACAGAATTTAAGTGACGTCGATAAAAACTCACCTTTCTACAGAAAAATGCAAAGCCGGAATCTGATTCTAAAAAATCGAGAAATGCTTTATGAATTTCAGGATTTCGATGCTCGAGCGCAGCGTCCGGAAAATCTGATTTTAGATTTGATACTGCCAGTCCGAATATTGAAAAGATGCTGAAGCCAGAGTCGGCGAAGTACTCTTGGTGCAACTTCCCCCAGCACAGTCCCGGTCGTTTGTTCTGAAAGGATAGTTTTGAACTTTTTTGAGAATATATCCATGTTTCTCTCTTTCTCTTTTTAAAGGACAACGTCATTAAAAAGCTGTTTTCTTTTAACTGGGCGTGCGAGCTAAACACAAAAGGATCTATTGATAGCCATCGAGTTCCTTTCTCTAAGGACCTGTCTCCGGAAATCGAGCGCTCCATTTTTTTGCAATGAGTCGCAAGGGGATCAGGTTTTTCGTTTTTTTTCGGGGATTTTTTAGGACCCGAGGCGGAAATCACCCGCCGCCGTTTTATTGCTTGAGCGATAATGCGCAATATTTAGGACTCGGGCTTTGGCACAGGCAGAAGTTCGCGGAGAAATAGAATAAATCAACAACGCAGGGGTCAAAGTGTGCGGCGGGGGTTTTATTGCAGACAAAGCGGAATTTTAGCTGCGTATGCGTTTTTTCCTTTTTGGAAAAGAAAGAAATAAGCTAATATTGAAAAATTCCTCCCTCTTCACATATTCTAATTCACAAAAATTCATGTCCTCTCACTGTTATTGTGAAAATTTGCCCAAAAGAACTTAATTGGACTGGGATCAAAAACGACCGTCGATCGAGGATAATCCTTTTTATTTATATTGCACTTACGAATGAATTCTAACCATCTTTGAGGAGTTTAAATCTCTATGCTTCAATTAGCGAAATTAATAAAAATTGGAGGGGATCGCTCTCGGAGTATTTCGCTGGATCGCACGCTTGGGAGGATGTAAAAGGACATAAGGTGCCATAGACTCGTAAAAAGTATATTAATCGAGGCTGATCAAATCGCCGAAATCGAAAGTCTGCCACTCAAAATCTTACGATTAGTGTTAATTCTCGCGCTCGCTGAAAGAGCAGAGAATGATTATTCTTACATAGTAAAATTAGTTTTACGCGTCCAGTCTTTTTTGTTCATGATTCAGATGAATTTTAATGCCTCCAAATGGAGCTTCATTATCTTACAATCGGAAATCACACGAATGACTACTCCGAAAATATCTTTATTGATTTATTCCTCAGCAATTTCAATGTCTCAACAAAATGACAGTGATGCTCGATAAATCTACTAAAAAGAGAAGATCTCTTCTGAAGATCTCTTCTATGTCTTCAGAAAATATTATTAAATTTCTAAGCTAATTTCCATGCCCGATCCTATTTTTTGATAAGTTTCACTTCCGTCTCGTGTGGTCCGTTAATTGCTGCAGTCTTACGATAGTCATAAAAAGCTGACTTACGTTTACAACTGGATTCTGGACGTTGTAGTACGCGACTGTTTCTGGCCGCGCCAGGACGATCGCTCTTGTTTTCTTCTCCTTGTTGAATGCTTTCCCAATAAGTAATTCATTGATCCACTGCCAGGTCGGGAGGACCGTTTCGTACTCTAGTTTTCCTCCTGAGAGTGCTTCTGTAACTGGTCAACAAACGATTCCCTCTTTGTTATTAAAAAATGCATGTAAGATGTGGAAAGCATGATTAATAAAACGGTATTTCTCTATTTGGCAAATCTGTGCCATGTCTATTGATTATAACCTGAAAATCGATTGCAAAAGTACGCCATGTGTGTAATTTCAAGCAGAGGTCACAAGCCGCCCGCGAAAGTATAAAAAGATTCAATTTTCCGCAGGTTTCATGCAATTACCACGCACTACCGCTTTCATCTGATTCAGATGAGCCTTCTTTTTAAATCCAAAATTAAAAGCTCCAAAATTGAAGAGCTTCGATTCAAATCTCTTCGGAACTGATCTGCAAAAAAGTTCATAAGGTTTTGCATGCTGACCCTAAAGATATGCATTCTCTTACTTATAAGTGGGAATATTCGTCGACAGGATCAGAAGAAGGAGAGTTTTCAGACGAGTGGATAGGATCCACTCAAGCGAAAACAAATGACGACGTTGGTGATCTCAAGGGTTAGCGACTTTGCTTAGTGAATGGAAATTTCAAGGGCCGAGCGGTGACTTATCGGCCACGGTGTTAAACGGAAAGATCACTCGCCACTTCGATTAAGCGGACATAATTAGGGGAGACAGCTAGGTAAGCAGCCTGTCAACTTTTTGTCAGAAAGGCAAACGTTTCTTTTTATTAATAATTCAATTTTAACTTGAATGAATTTTTCATCTGGCGGATAATACCTGACACATTCTGGATATGTCCGACAAAATAATCTTTTAGATATAGAATACTTAATCTAGTATTCTATTGATAATAAAAGAAATCAACCATATTTCAGGAGTAACTCGACCCTACGCTTATAAGAATAGACGCTATTCTAGTTCTTTCGAGAAGCACTTTCTTCCTGTACCCGACTGGATGATTTGACTGGCGGATTACTTTTTATTGTTTCCGGATCTTGTCATTGTTCCTTGGAGAATATAAATTTAACTTTCATTGAAATGATCTCACAACGCCCCGCCGTGATTGAAAAAGTAAGACTCAGACTCTTGACCTTTGAAAGTTTTTTAAAGAGATTAATTAGAATGAAGATACTGGACACTTTACTCGCAGCAGTTGCGCTTGGAAATACAATTCGAGAGGATGATGGGAGCAGCCCTAACTCGAATACGATCATTATGATAAACATGAACGCAGCGAACGTCCAGATGAACATGGGGGACTTCACGGACACGGGAGCGTCTGAAGGGATCTTCACGGATAGCAAGTCTTGGCAATACGTTTCTCCGAATAATCGAGAGAAGGAAATTGGCCAACGCACTCTATCGCCATTATCTAACACAACTTATCAAAGATCAGAGTCATCCATCATAATTGTGATCATAATAAGTGATAATAAAAATTATCACTTGATAGGGGATTTGGAACCGAAAATGAAATGATGAAAAGCCAAAAAAATAGATCGACGATGTCATGGCAATGCCTAGCGTGCAGGCGGGAGTAGAAGTACTTGGTAAGAACATGCCCGGTTTCAACACCTTCTACGACGCTATGCTTGTCTCTGTGCCGGAAGAAACGACCGAGAAAAAGGGCTTTTGGCAGCGGACTCGAGAGGACTGTCCCGTCATGTCCCGCATTCTCTGATTCGAAGGAACACACACTTTCTTTAATAAAATCTTTGTTTGACCATTCCTGTGTTGCTTTCGTCTCCGCATACATTTCCCGTCACTAAAGCTTCTATGACCTTTCTTCTCTCGTCGAAGTCTTCTAACGAGTCTAAACTTTCAATTTGAAAAGTTAGCTCCCCGGAGTGCCATAAATGGACTCGATTGAAAAAGATCTTTTTAACACCAACCGATGATGAATAGACACTCATCCGGAGAGTCAGAAATTATTTTGAGTGCGTTCGCTCTTCTATGCACGTTTCCTGGCAGGTGTTCATTGTGATTGATCGCCTAGCCCCAAGAGTCCCATCCTCGACCCTTCAAACGAACTTGCCGAATTATGTGCGCTATTAAAGTCTTAAGACTATATTTTTTAATAAAACCGAAATCGGTTATTTATCAATACGAAACTAAATGTATAATTTATTTTGACAAATTCTAAAAATAAGATTCTTTCCCAGAATGGATACTAAAATTCCAGTCAAAATTATTCCCTGGGTGGGAGAGTCCAAAAACGAACACCTTTCCTGGAGCGTTTCCTTGAAACTCAGCTGGGAGAAGAATCTCGCCTAAGCTGCATTCTTTCTTTTTGGCAAATGTCTTGAGGTGGATGAAGAAGGTGAAGGTGTCTGGATACTTTTCTTGCTGTATTTTGAGAATTCTTCTGGCAAAGAGCGTTTTCCCATTTCCAGCTTCGGCCAGGAGCACCATCTAAATCGCTTGATAGAGGAATGTTTGTTGTGACGTAAATCAACTGTATTCGGATTGTTAGCAAATGGCTCGCGAATAAATTTGCATTAACTAGCAACTTGTTGACATTGTTCAGTTCAGCCACCATTAAAAATACACATTTAAAATGGCAGAGGTAAAGAGTTGCTAAACTTTGATTAAAAGTGAATTTTCTTAGAACGCGAAAGTCGAGCTATTGAAGCAAGTGATTCAAGACAAAAACGATCAAATAGCTCGACTTGAAGAAGCCGTCAGAAAATTAAAAAGGCCGCGCTCCTCAATTTTGATCATTTGATAGAAAAATTGCATTTGTGAGCTTCGAAAAAGAATCACCAGGGATCAATCAATGCAAATAGATCGCCAGCAGAAGACCGTCACCGCCATCCGTATGCTCGTGGAGCCGGGAAAAGGATCAGTCGCCTTCGCCAAGCACGACTACGAGGCCAGTGAATCGGGCGAAATCAGTTTTAGCAAAGGCCAACGAATAATGGTATCAATTCTCTATTGCATGTGTCTCAATAAATATCTATTAAAGCTACTGGAAAAACCAGACGCTGAGGGATGGGCCCGAGGACGAACCGAGGATGGAAGCGAAGCGATCTTTCCCATCGATTTTCTGGACATAGTTACCTTGTGATCTGTGTTAAATACATTCGCCACAAGTTCTTCTTCGCTTATTGACTTTTGAAAGATTGGGTCTTCTTGAACTACGCTTACAAATTGGTTCATTACCGTAACTCGAATACAACAATTTATAAAGATCCATTAATGGACCGTTCCCATAAGATGTGCTTTTGATCTTTTCGGCAATATCCAAAAAGTTTTCCAGCGAAAATATCTTCATCGGGATATAAAGATCGGATGTATCGAAGGAGTTGTATTTACCGTCTCCGGAGTCGTCTACAACTTCTTGATCTCGTCTGAAGGCCATGTATTCAGGGTCAGGCGTCTGCATGTTTGAGTCTATGGAATACTAACTCAAACTTGGACATTTCTCGCAAGCGCGTTTTATCTACCGAGTCTGGAATATTCACTTTGGGGCGGTTCTTCGTCGGCTTCTTGTTTTTCTGAATCGCTTTTTTGCCCTTTCCTTTAGGCATTTTCGATTTGCGCGTTTTTATCTGAACAATAAAACAATCAGCTTCTATCACCACTTGTCCCGTCTTATCTATGACGTTCGTCCCATCTTTGATCCCACCTTCGATAGATCTCTTTATATATGTTTTTGCTTCAAGATAAATGTAGACATATGTGGAACTTTCTACTACGATCGTTTGGAGTAACGATAATGTCGATCCTGCGAGATGGAAACGTAATCTGTTGATATCCAGTTTTAACTGTATTTTCGGAGTACAGAGGATAAATCAGGTCGTTACTGGAACTTGTTCAACTGTACAAGTTGAAGTTGAGCTTCATTATATGAACAACTAGGTAGTAATTGAAATTCGAATAAATGATAGGCGTTGTACCCGAATCAAGAAGCAAATGTTTTTTTTTGTTATTTTTTTAAGTAGTAGTATCAAATGTATATTTGTGAGGTTTACGGCGGACAAAATTTTCTATAGACAAATAACTATCACCAGTGATTAGCTTATTAGCATTGAAAACGAGTTTATTAGTAATATCGAAGGATTTGTTTTCAGTTCTTCTCTAAATTAAATGATAACAAGGTAACCTTAGGATGGCGTGAGCATCTGGCTGTAGGTTTCAAACGTACTGAGACTTGAGTTGTAAAGATGAACGGAAAGAAGTGTCAACTTTTTACAAACACATAAACAGTTACACAGAACCCCATCCCACAGTATATAATTTGAAGCCTTGCGCCAGATGTTTTTGAACTTGATTAAAAATGCGTTTAAAAATTTCTTATACTGTTGAACAAACGGATATTTACAGAACGAAGTATAAGAAAGGCTTGCGATTGATAATGCAGCATCAGGAGTTTTTCTTTTGTTGGTATTTGTACGGGAGAGAAGAAGCTTTTTTGTCAGCAAGCATATGAACATTGAAAACGCGCAAAAGGATGGTAAGCACGGCTTCTTATGATTGAAACGACATGGAGTAATTACAATTATTTATATGTTTATAATACGAGCATAACGATGATCTCAACACGCGATTATCACGTGATGGTGGCTTCCTATGGTCTATTTCGGCTGAATTCTAACAGCAGAGATTTAGCTTTGCAGTAGTCGAAATTTTTTATTCTTATTTTTGAACTTAAAAGAGGTAACAGTGGTTGCGGGCATGGCATTGCTGGATGATTTCTGAACTCGCGGAAAACTAGCTTTCTTCGTCTGTGCTTGATTCATAATACTAGCAAATTCATATTTTAGCGAAGAGAATCGGCTGATGATACGTACGGGAACTTTTTTGTCCAAATTTCTTTTATACACAAGCCGTTCGTCGAATATCTTTCCCAAATCGCCCTTGACGGCATCTTTCTGGTTTTGTTTCACGCGCGATCGCTTAAAAATGATATATGAACTTCCTGAGAGCATGATAGTATTCTGTCGAATAGGTTTAATGATATGTTACCTTGAGCTGGCCGTCCCATATTCTATCGACGAGGCCACCAGCTTGGGCGATTTCGCTCTTGCATCTATTCGCGAAGTCGATTGGCGACTCCATCACCCTCCTGTGCATTACAGGCAAGTAGTAGACATCAGCAACAATTGCCCAACTTGTGAAAACGCGCATCAAATAATGCAGCATCCCATACTTCGACGAGTTCCAATACGCGTCTCCGAACCAAGGGTTGTATTTGATCGCCACTGGGTACACACGGTCGCACGCTTCGAAACTGCCCTTAATATTATAAGTTGCGTAATTATGCGATAGTCGGCAGTAGAACTGACCTTTTTGAACTGCAAAACACTCGTGTTGTTGACGCAAGTCCCTTCGGGAAAGATCAACAGCGGGTAGTTGTCATGATCGGCGCAGTGAGCGCGAAGCTTGCTCGTCACTACTTGTCGATCGCGCAGTTCTGTTCTCTCAAACCAAATGTGCTAAAGACATCATCAGGCTCAATCACTACCGATCTAAATCCTACCTTTGTACACCTGGCTAGTCTTTTCTGCCACCAGCCGAGCGCACCACCATGAGCTTGGCCGATGAGCGCATACGGTCTGTGATTGGAGAGCGTAACAACATCAAGGATTGTCGTGTGGTTAGCAACACACACTGACCCGTTCATCGGAAGATTTTCGACGGCGTGATAGTTCACAACAGCTCCAAGAGCGCGCGTGTAAATTCTGAAGGTGACGATGTTCGCCCAGTAAGCCATTTTCAGACGCATCGAATGGTGACCGATGATGCTGACTATAATCAGGAGTTAGTATGAGTGAATTGTTTTGTCCGGGAACGCATGCCGCATGCGGAAAGTGATAAATGAAAGAAATGTGCATTTGATAAGTGAGATTAAAGGATTACTGAATTACTGGGCCAGAATTTAGGCATTGACCGCCAAAACTCTATTGCCTCTGGAGAAAGCCAGATGAAGTCGACTAGAATAGATTAGAGGTGATTCAAATCAGTCATCTAGACAATGAAACAAGACAATTGCCATTTGAATTGTACCTATAGACATGGTGATCATCATCCAAAGGCAGCCGACAATACAAACGACAAGGCGCCAGGGGAAGATGATCATCCAGCGCCAGACAAAGCCGCCGATCCAGACAATGGACATTCGGAGGCCCAGGTTAAAGAAGCTGAAGTTATTCGTGCGCGCTATGATCAACGTCATTCAAACAAAAAATAGAGATCTTCTACCTAAAAGATTCCAGCCCCTAATCTGCTGCGAGTGGAAACACTGCGTTACTTCATCTTCTACGATTGCTTCGATTCCCGAGGAAATAAAGAAAACGGCGTCGTCGACGATTTGCTGATGGTCGGGTCGCTCGAGAACGGATTCTCTTCTAAGCCGACCAAGCTGAGAGATGGAACGATTTCTGTCGATAATTTTTCAGGGTTCGCGAGTTCGTCCATTGCTTCTTTCGTGATCAGCCTTTTCTTGGTTCTTCCTGGCTTCTCATTTGAATTTTCTTCTTCTTCTTCGATGATTTGCTCGTCTACCATATGCTGCGTCGCCCAGTTAAAAATCATGTAAAGAGCTTCTATATACTTCCTCCTGAATCCCAACTCCTTCCCCAAAATAGCAGGCACCAACGACAACAGTGAGATAATCAAGCAGTACCATAAAACTGTATGGCCGCTCACAAATGCCATCAAAATACGCACAGTCGACCATAATGCGACAATACCTTTCAAGGGTTGGTCCCGATCTTTCCCGAAAAACTTTATACTCATTGAGGCAGTGCTTTGAAGAATAGAAGGATTTAGCTGCGCAGGCTATTTTGTAGCGAGTATGGCTGTGTTTACAGAGATGCGCATTACGTAACTGGTAACATCAGCTGCTGATTACGCTTGCACAAGAACCAGTGATTATCAAAGAAGACTAGAAATGCTGCCCATGCAAATATAAAAAGTTTATATTTGGATGCAGTATCCTTTAACTTTAACAGGTAACGTTTAACCCATAAAAGCGATATCAAAAACACAGGCGAAAATTAACCCTTCCTTTTCCAACTAAGCTTACTTCAGAGGACTCTCTAAAATTAAAAAAGCGCATCTCTGGTTGGCCTTTGAAAACACCGGCAAGTTTTAAAGAATTGCAATCTAGAGACTTTCACTGCGGCAATTTGCTTGTCCCATCGAGCAAGAAGGGCACCAGTTACGCAATGCGGACAAATATTAACCCGCTCGTTATTTACAAATCAGGCGGCGTTGGGTGAGCGGTTCCTGATTTGCTCCAAATCTCCATCCAGAAACACAACGACGCCCACTGCTCCTCAGTCATCGCTGCCATGATTGCCGTTGAGTGGCGGCGCGGAAAACTAGGAAAACTCAACCTCCGAGTTCAATTCTCTTCCAAATATATCATCTGAATTAATTTTCTTAGAATTATCAATCACAACTTGTAGACAAAGAGAATCAGGCTTCAAAATATTGCACAAAAACGGAAAGTCAGTAATTTTGACTTGAACTAAAAGACAGAAAAGACGCTCATTCTTTCTTCTCCCAAGATGGATACAGTTTTGGATCGTCTTCATCGAGCTCTTCGTGCCACTAAAAATATATTTTCATAAGACTTTCGCTAGTTTTTCTGGTTCTCTTGTCAAAGACTGATTATTGAAAGACTGATTTTGACTGCAGTAAAAATCGTCATAATACAATCGTCTTATCCCGTGTCTAGCGACAGTTACGGACGTCTTCGTTGAAAATCATCTCTTAGATTTTAGGACCTTAAGTGTGATTCCCCGAAAAAAACATTCACCTTGAGTTCTTTTTCTTGAGGGCGCAGCCAGAACCATGGAGGAATCGTCAGGAGCGATGATAAGGCCGCACCGCCGCCAAGAACGATCATGCCATTCTGAGGGAAACTGGATATCGGAGGAAAAAACGAGAACGATTCTACCTGCATGGATTCGGTTAGAAAGCCGTAAATCCAGCCAATAACGCCAGAGAGCACGAGAATCACCTGGAACATCTTTTCGGCGCGAGCCTGCCCTTTGTAATCTACGTACCTTAATTCATATAAAATAGAGAACAAAGGCCAATTTCAATATCTTACCACCAACGGCCCATATAATTGTTGAGCCAGTCGCCGGCTTCCTGGATCAACGCAAGCACCATTCTATCAAATGGACATTTGAATCAATTGAAACGGATCAAATCGGATCTGTGTATAGACTTGATGAAGAAACTAAGTGGAAGTAATTGCAATTTTCCATGATTCAAGTATGAATTAGTTAAAAGAAAATAATTTACAGAGACTCAATTAGGAGTGAAGGTAGCGCTATCGTTGTAACGCACTCGCGAAGCAGCGATGAGGAATTTCTTCGGATCGCTTGGGTCGTGAACGCCCAAAGGTCCGATCTCGCAATCTGCACAGGTCAGGTACTTGAGTCCTCCCGTGGCAGCTTTGCTAAAATCGCAACTTTTCAAGCTTTGGTCAATAATTAAATCAAACCTAAAACCGATGTTGTCAAATGTGAACATGTCATCGACGAGCCACCAACTGTCAATCTGCTCTTCGCCCGCGTCTTTCTGCACTTTCGGTAGTGAGATCATTTCTTTATGTAACTGGGCAGAATCGGCTAATCAAATATATGAGTGATGTTCAGTTGACGAATTTTACTTTATTGAATTTCCGCTTGTATATAGCTATAAATGCTACCGTAGATAAATACGCTTATTTAAAGCGATAGGATTCAAATACTTCAAGAGCACTCACGAGACAGAATAAGCGAAGGGCATACGGGACATCGGATCTTTGAGCAAAGTTTACTGTCTTTACAGTGATCCTCCAAAGCCATTCTAAACTCTATCCATTAGGCGAGTTTACGCCGATTCAAGGTCGGACATTGTTAACAGATAGGCGTATCAAACAGACTTGAACCGGAAGTTTGACTTTCGTTACTACTACTGAACTTGCTACCTGTATCTGAGATACGGTATCTCCCGTAAGAATCTCAATTCAAGTCTCATGAAACCTCAACGTAAACAATCTTTCTTTCATTTGATTTGCGATAGCAAGATAAACTCTATTGCTACAAAGAGTAACTTACAACCATCACCAGGACAAAGGAATGAAATAACACAAGCTATATTCTGCCAAAGATATACCGCGATTGGCATTTCTGACTGACTGATTCTGATTTTCGAGTGAAATAGCTAATCAACCAATTAAAATTTGACTCTAGTGTCTCTTCTTTGAGAGTTCCGTCAAACCAGTGACGCCTACGCAATCTACGTTACAAATCTCCTATGTTTTTAGCATGGAGAATTGTAACGTCAATGTGCATCTTTCAAAAATCAGTCAGTCAGGACTGCCAATCGCGGTAGCTTTGAAGGAATAATGGAAAAAAAATTTATTTAGGCATTCAGGAAATTATTTAAATCTGCACTTTGTGTGTGCTGTTGTTGATTGTTTTACTCTTCTTGTTCCAGAAGTGTAGTGAGCATAGCAGAACACCATGCTCGTGATTCTCAGCCTCTTTATGTCTCCTGAAAACGAGGATGAGAGGTGAAAAGTGTACGATGTTACCTTTCGCAAAAAGTGTTCGGCAGCTTCGTAAAACACCAGCGTGCTTTCACAAGTCGCTATAATCTGAGTTGTTTCAAATCGCATAAACTGGGAGGGAAGTCATTTCAATGAGTAACATTCTAAAGGTAAAAAATTACAGAAGCTGTTAAAAATTGATAGAAATATTCACCCGGATAAGGGTGAATATCATGGTTTGAGGATGTTTTGGGTTAATAAGAAAGACGAACTGGAATTCAGGTAATATACGGGGCAGTAAATTACCACTCTCTTGACCATTTCCGGTGAAGGAGTTGTCGAGGAGCGACCTGATCTTTTCAGGTGCTCCCTTGATTCCAGCCTTTCCCTCCTCATTGGGAAAGATGATGGTGAATGCCATCGTTTCGTCTTCCTCAGGAATCTTCGCTTCGCCTGGGTAGACGAAGGCTCGCAAGTCGCAAAAACAAAAGGGACGTCACAGAACAGGCATTCGAAGGTCTATCTAAAATATGAAGATTAGGATTTGAAGTCTCGAAATCTCTCAGAAGGAAGTGGAACTTGCAAATTGGTTGCTGTGTCTCGACAAACTAGCAAAATCAAAGTGACTGGTTCGAGTTGATACTCATTTCCGACTCGAACTGAAGCATTTCCGAGTCGGAATCCCGACCAATCAGCGGCGACGATAACTGCGCGGGCGGGGCACGCGACTTTCGGCAGCAGTGAGCGGAGGAGGGCACTACTGTGCTGGGCGGAGGACTTGCCTGCTTGAAGACTTTCAGAATAGAAGAAAACGCGCAATCGAAATTTTTAATATCATTAATCAACTGACATTAACGAATTCTTATTTATTTGAACATGTGTACAAGAGGTTTATCCTTGAGAAATGATAGTAGGTTTAGACGCAAATAGAACAATAAGGAGACAGTAAGAAGAAGGTTAAAGCATTCGAGTGCGGGTAGGGTGTATAGTTATTTGAAATAACAAAGCTTTGTAACAGTTATGCTGACAGAAATTCAATATTATATCAATGTGAAATCATTAGCTAGTGACTGTGGCCGAGGGAAAAGATAAGCGGAACTATAGAACCGATGATCATCAGTGATAGTTTGAATTTATCAAGTGGACCAGCTTCTGGTAACACGTGAACAGTGGCGACGTAGAGAAAGGTACCAGCGGAAAAGAGCATCGCACTACCTGCCCCACCAGGAATCACTTCTAACGCGTGGTACAGGAATAAGTAAGACAACATTGCTGAAACATTCAATAATTAAAGCGCCACCATTGTGAGTTTCTTACCTGTTATCGGCGCGGCAAGGGCGAAAACAAGCAAATGGCACCTGATTTTGCTGCGCTCGATTCCCTTTTGCAAAAGAAAAGCAACGAGTCCAAAAGAAGCAGGGGCCTTGTGTAGCATTATCGCCAGAAAGACGATGAATTGGAGCGAACTGCTGTCGGACGCGCTAGCTGCACCTAAACAAGAAGCGTTAAATCTAGCCCGCGGTTTCTCGTGGCGTACCTAAAGCAAGACCATCGGCCGCAGCGTGCACAACGAGCCCTAACGTCGCAGTCGAAGCCTTCGATTCGGACACAATTACTTCTTGCTCGCCCCTAGAAACATTAAACTTAACGAGAAATATTTCTCTATTGGAGTGTACGTTTCAATGAGCTTTTCACTCTCTGCCATGGGCACTGCTTCACTGTGAGAGTGTCCGTGTCCGCCAGGGATGTTGTCCACAACAAGCATCAGTAAAAAACCGAAAAGCAACGATAAGCCAACGTATTGATGAACCTTGAATGAACAAGAATGAGGCTCTAAAAATAAGAAGTTCTTAGCACCTCGTCGTGCTGATGATCTTCGTCTTCGTGCTCGTCATGATCGTGATGATCATCTTCCTGGTCAGCGTCGATAAGGGTATCACTTCCATGATGTTCTATGTTCGAAAATATAAGCCTGGGTACTGGAAAGCATATAATTTACCATCGTGATGTTTTTGACTGTAGAGCGCTGAAACTCCTTCTGGAATAATGACAGAAAGCGCGGTACCGACAAGTAGGCCAGAACCAGCGACGTTCATCTGTTTGATCTTGTTCTCGTTCAAGTTGAATGCTTTTTTGGGATATTTAACTTGCACGTAGCAGAATAACTGATCGTGCACCCGTGAAATGAACTTAATTGCTACAGCTAAATTTAAGCAATCGTCCTTAGAGTAAAGAGTATCCCGTGCTCGAACGGTACAAACCCCGAAATATAGCTTCCAATGAACATGGCCCCACTGAGGAGTAAAACATGCCACACATGTTGCATTTCTGTTCTCTCGAATCTCAATAACGCGCTTGCTGACCTTGATCCCACCGGTTGAGCACCTCGGAGGCCAGAAAATAACCCCAGGGCCAAACTTTAGCGAGCAGAGTTCTCAATCTTTATTTGATCTAAATAGCGAAAACTTAATTATCGAGATCACTTTGGCATGCCCTAGATTCTCTCAAAGATATGTTACTGTAGGTTACAGTCTGTAACATGTCTAAGCCTGCTAGAATGAAAACACAACTCCTGATTTTGCTTTTGAATAAGCTTTCCATTTAAATGTTTATTTTTCCAATTAGTTATCAATACAGTATTGAAGTGTCAGGAACCATTAGGCAGTATCTAGCAGTAAGGCACGAATCAATCGTTGGGGAGGATGTAGCTCTTGACGTCCAAGTTGCTCCAGTTGAGAATGCAATCGAGCAGCCAATCTCGAGAGACACGCGGGATATTATGTTGAGTAGAGAAATCCTTGAGAGCCTCAGTTCGAGAGAGTGGTCTGGCCTGAAAAGATAGAAACATGTAGTCGAAGATAAAAGAATCAATAAACATACCGCTGGATCTTGATTTTGGCCGCCATGGCAGATAATAATTCCCTTTCGGCCATCCTTGTCGTTGATAAGCTCGTCCTCGTTCTCAACTACTTTCGCGCCCATGTTCAGCAAAAGCTCGTGCATGTTTGGCTTCGAGAGGCTGATATCGTAGGGTCGGCAAGTTCTGACGACGAAATCTCCGATCAAACCCTTCTTCTCTTTACCCATTCTTCTTCTAGACTTGTGTCTTCTCGACATTCTTGGCACATTCGGAGAGGTGTCCTTAATAAACAAGTCAAATTTGTTAGTCTTTTAAATTTCTTTTACCAGATCAAGGTCGCCGATAATTTCGTAATGATGCTCGTCAAGAACAAATCCTCTTTCAAGGCTGTCCTTGACCCAGTCGAGTGATACAATCCAGCAACCTTGAGCGATCCCGGCGATATACTTAAATGTTCGGTTGCATCGTCGAGTTGCATCATCAACGGCGACAACATGAGTGATGGATCTGCACATGCTGTTTCTGAAGGTGATGTTTTGGAAGCGGCTGGAGAAAGCCTTCACCATCAGTTTCGTTTCCCGCTCCGCTAAACAAAGGTTTGTTCTAATAAAGCATATCTTATTGCCAAACCTTTGGAAAGAGTAAGGACAATTTCCCCTTCGGACTGACGGGGCATCTGTCTCGTAGGTAAATGCTGAGATTGACTCTGAGACGGAATGATAAACGGACCGCTTGTTCCTCCGCCAATGGGACTCGGCGGCACCACGCCTGGCTCCATTTTGATGACTCCGTCAAGTGGGTCGTTCGGCTGAGGAGCATAGCTACCCTGCATCGCAGTCGACTGTAGATGCCCATCAGGATGAGCCGGACGAATAGAAGAGATTGGTACGTCTATAATGAACTGATAAAGGGGAGTATTAAAGAGTGTTGTTACCTGGCATGCCAATATTTCTGGACGAGCGCTTTGGAGTTGACATCGCCTGAATCGAGCTCTGTTCTTCATTTTGTGCTTCAGTGCTCTGAGATTCAATAACCGTCGCTGGCTCTTCAGTAAGGGTAGCCTCGTCGTCCTCATCCCCGAACAAGGCCATTGATGTATTGGAGGGCTGACTCGCGATATCCATTGTCTCCGGAGAGGCTTTCGTTTTACCAGTTCCTAAGAGAATTGAATTACACTTATTTTTTTTATTTTAACCTTGACTGGATTTGTTCAAGAGCTGCTCGGTCGGATTTTCATTGAAGAGATCTTCGATTTCGCTGTCGCTGGAAACTGGAGCAGTTTCAGGAGCTGCGACCGTCACGGGAGCTTTCGATTTGTTGAGGCCGTTCATATTTGACTTTTTAGAGTTTTTTCGTGGGTTTTCTGACAGTGTCTCGTCGTTCTTCTTGCCATCGTCAGTTGACTGCTCGGTGTTGGAAAGAGGTGAGTATGAAGTCGACTCTTCGTAGTTTTCCGTCGGCACATTGGATCCCTCAATGTTATTGCTGATGTCGGGCAGAGGAAGCTCTTCGAAAGGAGAGCTCTTTCTTTTTTTCGACTCCTTTGAGCGGGCGCCGTTTTCGTAGCAGCTTTTGGCCGCTGTTTTTTGTGATTCCAGAAAAGTTTCGAAGAGAGATGTCAAGTTCTGGATTTGTTTGCCGACGAGGGTAATTTCACTCGTATTCTCTTCACACTTTCGCTGGACATTCTCGAGCTTCTCTGCGAGATTTTTTTGAATAACCTCAAGATTGGTCACAGTTGACTGAGCTGCTTTTTCAACGATGCCTCTAAGGAGATGCACTTCATTCTTGACTTCTTGATTTTGCTCCCCAAAAGCACTCATTTCGTTTTCAATCTCTTTCAGCTGACTCTCGAAAATATTCTCCATATTTGCATTGACGCCCTGAACTTGTTCCGTCACTCGAACCATCTGCTGGGCAAACTCTTCTTCCATCTTTCCAGTAAGCGTTTGAAGCTCGGAGGATATCTGCACTTTTATTTGCTGGTTTTCGTGGCGGAGTCTAGCCTCAAGCTCACTGAGCTGCTCAGGAAGGGAAACGTCCATAAGCTTGTCTAATCTTCCTGGAACCTCTTTCCACCGAAGAATAATTTTGCATGCTTCTTCGCGACCCAAATCTATGTCTAATTTGGCTTCTACGGGTCCTACAGGGACTAGCGGAGAACAATTCTTTCTCAAGTCAATCTTCGTACTTTGAGGAACAGACTTGGCGTCAATGACACTTGGCATAGATTTCTCGGAGATTTTGGTGCTCTGAGGCGCTTCTTTAGCGTTGAATTCACCTCGACCAGACTCATTGCAAATCTTTGTACTTTGCGGCACATTATTCGGGTTGAAGTCGTGAATAATTCTGTCTTTAGGGAGTTCAGATCGAGTCATTTCGCCAATTTTTGTAGATTGAGGAAGACCATCAAAATTACCGCTGAAATGGGTGGTCTCCGAAAGCTGCTTCTTCTGAGCTGGAGTTTCCTCAGTTGGTTTATCTGGTACGTTCGAGAGAGATCTGCTCGAAGGTTTTGTGCGCGACTTTCGAGGAATGACTGTCTTATCCTCGTCGCTTGAGCTCTCGGAGGCTGATGGGACTCGTTTTTGCTTTATGCCGACTTCTCTCTTTCGGGGAAGGACTGGTTTCTTTGGCTCCGGAGACTCATTGAATGACTGTGACTGAGAAAGCATATCCTGGCTCATCGGTTGCAGCTGTCTTCGCGGCAAAGCGCCACGATTTCCGAGTGGCTGCGCTTTTGGGAAATTGCTTCGTTCTGGCTTAGGAGCTTGAGGTTTGGGGACGGGAGCAGCTTTCTTGGCGACTTTATCAGACTTTTTCGGGATCCTTACTAGCTCCTCTTCAGGAGGAGGAGTTGGTGTGCTTAGTGTATGCATCGTATTCACGTGTGGATCAGCCAGACGTTTTCGCGGAACATCTTTCTTCTTTGTCAGCTCTGGTTGAAGCTCTGGCTCGGGCTCACTCGACGGTTTATTGGAAGCTGATTTTCGTGAAGGTTTTGGGTCTGGGACAAGCTCAGGTTCACTGTCTTTTAAAAGGTCAGTCTCGAGTCACTGCTACGAAGAAAATTCTTGTAATTTACATATAATAAATATCTTTTTCTGACCCTTTCCTGAATCGTGAGAAGGCTTTGGATGGAAGGTGGGCTTTTTATGAAATTTCTTCGTGCTCTCGGTAGCGAATCCTCTTTCGAATGGATCTTGACGAAGATTGATTTCTTCGTTATAAGCCTGCGATTGAAAGTTGAATTGCGAGAGACCCTGAGTCTGCGTATGGGGAGCTTCTTCCTCTACAAGAAGATCGTAAAATTTTTCTTATGAAAATCAAGCAAGTAATACCTGTAGCGATTACATAATTATCAAAGACCTCCGCCAGCTTTAGGTGAAATTTGCCTGCCTTCCTGCCTTTATTTTTGGTTGCTTTTTGACCACTTCATAGACTTCTGATGTTGCGCGGCTAACCTCCTGCTCAACAAGAGTTGCCATAGTTTTTCGAGATAGACTATCTTAGTCTATCTATTATCTGAATAAGACTCTGATTCCAAATGAGGATATAATGAACATCTCATTGTTTTAAGGTAAAATGATGTGGCTCGACTGGAAAATGGAACAAGGAGGAAAGAACTTTTAGGATTCGTTGAAGGTTAATAGAATTAAACGCAGTTTGAAAGAAGTTTTTTTTGTACTGTTTTGGCTTGGCAAAAACGTCTGACATTTGAACGGAAAAATTCATCATATCGTTTTTGTTGAACATGAAAACAAGGTAAAAAAGGAGAAGAATGTGTAATTCAAGGATCAGCATCGTGAATGTGAGCGATGATTCTCGGTAGAATGATCATAACGCCTAGAATAATGGCGAAATACGCCATGCAGTAGAACGTTGACTTCTGGTTCGGGTAGTCGGGCGACCTTCGTTCGTGCGAACGCTGTGCCATGATATAAAGAGGCGCGGCACACAAGCCCAGTGGAAGGCAAAAGAGCAGCGCACAGAATAAACAAATTTGACTTTGAGAAGGGATTCTTAAGTGCCGAGTTGATATCAATCAATCATCAAGTTCTCCCCGCGCCTTGGTCCTTCCTCGTCTTGTGTCTCGTTGGTTGATGGACATGGAGGTTGTGCAGAATTGCTCGTACTGCGAGAGAGAATGAACTGCTGGACGGGCAAGGAAGCGCGCTGCTCGAGCTGCCTCGGGTCCGTAATTTGCCTGGAGAAGAGTGGCACCCGCGCGTAACTTTCTCGGTTGCAACTTTGTGCTTCTCCCTGGTGAACTGAACCATATTTTTCTTTCATGACATCTTCGTACGAAGGCGGCGATACGTCTGGATATGCGCCACTCATTATTTCAAGTCTGAAAGCATCTTCTCTAGCAAAGCGGACTTTGAGAAGCTTACAATCACGAAAATTGTTCAACAAAGAATTAGGAGATGGGACAAAAACCAATTCGAGTATAAGTATCAATTTTATTTTGTAGTTTTTTCTTCCAGGTCTTGGTGTACAGTCAAATGGCAATGGTTTCACTTTGAATACGCACTTGACTTCTGCGATCATGGAGGAATTCTCGTCTTCGGACTCTTTTTCTTCCATCTCAAGCTTCTCGTCTATGAGTGCAGGGGAACTTATTTGGCAAGACAACGTCGTTCCAGCATGACCATCACGATCAGCTTTCGCCGCTAATAATCTCAATGAGTCTCATCTATTTCTAAAAATAATTGGCGTTTATTGACAATGATTTTTGTGAAGAAAGCGTTAGCTTGTTGAAGAAAATTGTGATAAAACAAGTAGGAGAAGGGGTAGGGTAAACACAGGCCAAGTGAAATAAGTGGGGATCGGGAGACGGTGACTCGAATCTTCCGAGTCAGTAGTACGAAGAAGAGTCATAGTCCGTGCCATACTCCGTGGACGAATTCGAAGGCACCTCTTTGACATCGTTGAGAAACTGATGGAAGTTGTACTATAAACATTGATTCCCTTTGCAAAGTCAACGAAAGAAAAAGAAAGCTATTAGTAGCAGTTGGACAACGCCAAATAGGTTACTCTAAAATAAGCTGCCATGTAGGTGTTCTCAAAACGTAATGGGCATTTAGGGGCGTCCACACTCGGTTAGCAGTGACTTTTAATAATCGACGAACTCAAGTACCCTTGCGCTAATAATGACAATAATGGCAAGGCCGATTCCAACGAAGGCAGCGTATTTGTAGCGGCTGTTGTAACGAATCAGGCCTGTTGAATCGGATCTATCGTAGGCACCTTTCGCTTGAAAGTAGTAAATGCAGGCAAGAACTGCGCAGGGCCATCCGCCACAACACCAGACAAAGACAAGAGGGCAGACACTGTGGATTGTTCTAAATTGCTCTTTGCTTGAAAAACTAATTCGTTCTAGATATATTTTGAACGGTTCCTAGGGGGATCTTCGTTGAATTGCTGCTGAACGTGCATTGTGTTCTGAACAGGCTGTTGCGAAACGAGGTGATATCCAGGCTGAAGAGCTGGCCCAGCTTGCTGAGGCATTGGATAACCTTGAGCTGGTGAATAGTACGGAGTAGTGTTGACTGGCGCGTAAGGAGGTTGATTCGCCGCGAATTCAGGATTGCTGGCGGCGTAAGATACCGCCATCGACGGGTTGTAAGGAGGTGGAGCCGCACCAGTCTGATGTGGCTCTGACAAAAATGAAAAGGTTTCTCTTGAATAATGAACAAACCTATAGTTGGAGCGGAGGCTTCCTTCGGTGCACCCATTTCTCGATTTCACAACAAGCCTGAAATCAGAACAACGTTAAAAAGGGAGATACAAAGGCTTCACATGCGCTTGCGGAGGTGCGGAGATTTAATCAGAAATTTTAAAATTATAAGTATCCGTTTTTGGATGTAGTTTCTTCTTCCAGATTTTCTAGGAATAACGGCGGTATGTTCACACCTTCGTCTGTTGGTGAAGTGAGAACATCTCGATGACAGACTCTTATCGAGTCGTATCCTCAATTTCTTCCTCTGTTCCCAGGGAAGAACTTTGCTTTGTTCGCGGCAAGTGTGCGAGTAGCCTCATTTTAACGTCTGGAAAGGGCGAATGTTATTTTAGGGTAGAGAGTAATTATAATCAGTAGAAATCTTCCAGTTTGTTGCAGTTAACGCATCACATTCAAAATAAAGTTATAAGTATCCGTTTTTAGGTAGAATCCGAGTTTCGGAGAGTTTTTCGATTCTCGAGCACTCTGACGCACTCTTCCTGGAACGCTTCTTTATTCATACCCTGTTCTAGGTACGGTAGCAGAGAAGTTGAATACTGGAACATCTGATTCTCCAGGACCGCTTCTTTCTTAATTGCTCGTTTCGCGCATAATGCGCGATTAGCCTCAATTTTCTTTCATTCTAAAAGTATTCAGTGTTACTCTTCGAAAAAATAAAGGTCAATATTAAGATAAAATAGATGTGAAAATGTGCAGTTGAGATATGATATTTTATAAGTATCCGTCTTTTGGAAATGTTTCATTGTTTATCCGGGTTTTCCGTCTTGATTCTCGAACTTTCCCTCTTCAGGAGTTCTACCTCTCGTTTTCTTCTCTTCTCGCATCAGTTTCACTTTCTGAAAAATAGACTGGGTTAGATCGAAGATCAAGGCCAGACTTGATTAGAAAAAACAAATCAGAAGAAAAAAGATTGAATACTGTCTGGGGACGTGACTCATTCCTTTATACAATGATTCCAAGCTGTCTAGACTCGGCAATCTGTGTTGAAAACCTGAGTAAGGCTCTGGATAGCGGCTTCGAGGCATGACGACTTCAATCTTTTTTAAAACTGACTCAGGTTTACAACGCATATTCCGGAGCATAGCAATGTTTAAGCCTACAATAATTATCAGAAAATTATTCCACTCAAGAATTTCGAGAATTCGGATTTGAGGAAATTTTTTTCACAAGCTGGGACTTTTTAAAGTTCTCACCCTCTCTCTCTTTGTTTATTTACAGTTGAAGATATTTATGTTCTCTCGGAGAAAACAAAAAAAAAAACACGAAATGCGAGGTTATCGATAAGCAAGCGAAAATATAATGAGTTTTGAGAGGAATCTCCTCTGCGATGCGATTGAGTGCGTGACATGAAGACGGGAATCTGATTGGCGCTCGAAATCGCGCGCGAACTTTTGAAAATTCAAAAACTCAGCGACTTTTTCAGCCAGTCAGAATTTTGGCGAGTTTTCAAGATAGGCAGATTTTAAGTAAAACGGAAAGTGCGTAATTATAGAATAAATAGACACACATAGTCAATAGAATTAACAGAAAGTTAGAGAATAATTCTAGCGTCAGAAAAGCCAAGTAGATCGCTAAGGATGTCTTGAACAGCTCTAGAATGATTCTGAAGATCGTTCGCAAGATTGCCAATACTTTCTTTGAGTTCCCAAGCAGCAGAATCAAGGCGCTAGAATTATCAAATATACTTTACTTTTCAAAAGCATTTTACCTTCCAATGACGATCAGGTTTTCAAAGTTGACTGTTTCAACTTGGCCAGGGTGATATTCTTGAAGCCATTCGTAAATCGTAATCGCTTGATTTTCGCTTATTTTCATTTGTCTCGTGTCAAAAATGTTATTCTCCAATTTGCAGTTTCGAAACTGTGAAAATCTCCGCCGGCGCTGGATTCGCACTCATCCTCCTTATCGCCTTTGTTCACCAGTAAGAATCATTTTATTCTGGGAATTTTGAAAAGGTTTGCGTTTTTTCCTTTTCCGCGTGGGTGGAAGAGCAGAAAAGTTGGCTCGATCCTTGCTCATCCTGACCCAGCTGCCGAGAAATCGATATTGTCCACTGTAGGAGGCGATCGCTGAAAATACGACTGTACTCGGACCGTTTGAGTTGATAAGAAGGAAGAATCAATTGAATTCTTATTCGTTAAATTAATTTATCTCTCCAAAAATGAATTCAACTACTCCCTGTAGAGCCATAAAGTCAGCTATCGCTTCCAACACTGGCTCTTTGTGACTGGCTCTTTGTGACTGGCAGCTGGGCTCGCAACCTGCGAAATCTGAGTCAGGGTTTTGAAATAGCTTACATGAAAAGCCGCGCAGCGGCTTACTTTAAATTGAATCTACGATGGAAATGCGCGGCTTTTCATGAAAGCTTTTCCAAAATCCTTACTCAGGTTTGCACAGGTTGAGGAGCTAAGCACTTGAAGATTATCTCTGGGTAAAGACTGTAGCCTATAGTCGATAACGAAATCTTCCAATTTTTAGAGTTTAATTTCAATGAAAATCCTATTTTATTCTTCAAAAGCAATCTCGTGACGCTGTAAATTTAGTGTACGCAAGTTTACGTAAAGCGCATAAATCAATATAAAACAAATATAACCGTTTGAATTGCGTTCAGATCTGAGAACCGCGTTGAGGCCGTTAGAATGGACTCCAAGCCCGCAATTTTCAAGGGCCTAAATTCATCACTCTCGCTTTTTAAATTTCGCCAGTAGTGGAGTCCATGGGTAATTGAGCCTCAATGCAGAGCGGATTCGGATTGCGATGAGCTACCACGGCCGGTCTTCCAGTAGGCGAGACTACGAGCAGCGTGGCTCTCGAGACAGGAACGGAACTCTCCTTCTGCAATTACTATTGTAACAGAAAGGAAAATAAGCGAGAGACACTCCGGGAAAGAAGCTACGAGGATAGAAGAGGCCATAGATCTTACGGCAGAGAGACGTCGCGGTACGATCGCGAAAGAAGAGAGCCCCGCAATTTCTATTCCTCTGTAAGTCTGATTGTAGCCGGGTATTGTTCACTTTCATCAAATTCGATTCAGAACCACCGCAGATGGCGAGACACATATCAAGCTGGTGACCGAGACGGCTCTGGTGGACATACTCTTTATCCAGTGCAGTCCCGAACGCAGTCTGGTACCTTCAATCAGTACGACTACAAAAACGTAAGCTCCTCCTTCTCAATTATCGTAATACTCAAATTCGGTAGACAAACTTCAAGAAGGAATTCAATATCACAAAGAAGCCCAAAGATCTGCCGAAAAAACCTGGGTCTGACTCGGAAAATAGCGACGAGGAAGACGACAAAACTGCGAAACCAGTGCCACATTCTTCCAACCAGGTTCAAAAGCAGCCTTCATATGGGCTTCGCTTCAACGACGAGGAAGGATCTGATGAAAATGAGCAATACAACTACGCGAACGACGATGCTCTTTTTATGCAACAAGCTTCAACTGGTTTTCAGGACGATTCGTTGAATATGTTCCAGGTACATTTTTAAACGTCTCTCTTGACCGTAAATTTATTGATAGGGAATGAAATCAGCGAAGAAAAAGAAGAGAAAGCGAAAGAGAAAGAATCCAGAAGGAGAAGACGCTCCTGAATTGACCCAAGAGCAGGCTTCTTTGCGTGAGCAGGCGAAAAAAGAGTGGGAAGCTGTGAAGCAACTGCCGAGCGGAAGTGGAGAACTGAAAGCGGATAATTCGGACGAAGAGCAAAGCTCTGGTGAGCTTCTTTTCCCGATTCGTTCATTTATTCCCTAGGCATGTCCGGAAGAGCGAAATGGGGAAAGAAAAACAACAAGAAACTGATGAAGGTGGCGCACATTCCAATGGCTCCACTGCTCTTTCAAAAAGCAAAGGGCGTTCTTGGAGACGCATCACTCGAAAAGAATGAGAACAAACCGTTCGAAGAAATGAGTAGCGAGGAAAGAGCGAGAAAGGTGAAGTTTTTGGCAAAAGAAGAAGAAGACGCACAGGTGGAGTACCAGAGCTGGAAACGGGATTACACGAGGTTGGTGATTCATTTCCGCCGTTTTTACGAAAATATTTAGTTGGTTTGTTGATACTTTCACAATGCGAGGGTTGCTAAACGGGCAAGATCCGATCGAACTATTGAAGAAAACTGAAGTTGACGGCTTCAAAGATGTTGACAGAGCGGTTCAAGATGAAGCTGCTAAAATTAGACAATACTTCCTTACTTTCAAAATCGGTAACTACGATCCCAGAATTCCCTGATTGACTTGTCTGTTCAGTCGATATGAAAACGAAAAAGTGTCAAAAGGACTTGGAGAAGTTCAAAAAGAAGCTTTCCGAAAGTGCGAAAAGCGTCGAGCAATGACTCGTTTTCAGTTTACTTTTTAACAATCTGTCTGGCAAAAAGCGACCAAAACGAAACTAAATATGAATCATCTTTCTATAATAAAACCCTGATGACTTGAGTCAAGCAAGCTTCCCTTACAAATGGCATAAGAATACCAGTTCAGATTGGGAGAGTTGAAACCGCTGCAGTTTGTAGTAGTGGGACGAGTTTGGATGAGCTAGGATGAGTCACCTAGCAATGAAAGCAGGATTGGTTCGTGGGGAAGCTTATTGACAGGATTGGCGGTGCCGCGTCACTCGCCCCGGGGGCCCGTTGGCTGAGCTCACTGTGTTCCGTGTGATTGGCTGATCCGCCTGCTGACTCGGCTCAAACTCGAAGGGGAGCTGAGCCCCTCCTCTGAGACACTCAAAGCAACTCTGCGTCTCTCCGTTAGACGGCCTCCCTGTAACCCTCATGTAAAGCAGACCTAACTCGCTAAGTACGCGAACATCTCAAACAGCTGAAAGAGCTGATGAGCTCAAGAGAGCAAAATGGACATGCCCAGAGCTTGCCTCCAAAAAAGCGCGTTCTCGTCTCTTCCCAACAGGCCACGATCGCCGAGCGACAGCCAGAGAATAACATGACAGCGGTAGGTTAAACTATCAAACACACATGTCCTGAGCATGTCTATTCCGCTTTGCTTCGTTCGCATGCTCCTTGAAATTGCCGTTTTGTTAATTACTGATATGTTCTTCCTTGCTGGAAGGTTTTTTGATCGCTTGAATGAGAAACTTTGTTCTTGACTGTTGCTTAACGCGCCTGATTACAGTATGTGTTGAATGTGACTGGCAGCATTTCAATTTTCAAAAGAAAGGAAGCGAACCACATTAATCAATCCGTGCAGATTTACTTTCAGACTCAGAAGATCACGCAGGTACCCGTGGTTGTGCGGACGCAATCGATGGCCACGCCGATCGTGATGGCCTCCTACCCTGTCCAGTCGACCAGCTGTATACCGACCATGTACATCCCTATGCCGATTCAAGGAAACCATCAGACCACCGTTCAATACGGTGCGGCTACGTATCAGACTGCCAGTCAACCAGTTGTTAAAGTACAGGTACTTCATTGCTGATCGATAATTTTATGCTTGCTTTGGATACTCCCCAGAAGTCGAGAAAATCTTACCTGGTTGATTTAAGACGGTGCAATACAGCCCGCAGAAACCTGTGGTAACGAATGGAATCACGCACGCAATCAAGATGGCTCCAAAACGTACGAACGCAGTTCCCGAAGCTCAGAAGACAGTGACTTACATCACGGGCCACAACATAGGGCAGCGCGTGGAAGCGCCTAAACAACAAATCGTGATGGCGTCACCAAAGATGACAACCGGCTTTATCAGGGCGGTTCAACCCCCGCAGAACATTCAGCGCAGCATCAAACTCGGTAAGAGGGTTCCAAAAGAAAGCAACAGAGTTTCAGAGATCATAAACTTCTATCACGATTTTTAATTAGTTTCTGTTTCGAATTTAACTATTTGATCTTGCTTCAAAGAAGCTTTTACATCAAATTACGACCTAGTCATAAGCTTACATAAAAGAATTCCAAGCGGAGCACTACTGTGTCAAATATGTACGGTATTTTATACCTTATTTTAGATTCTGGAGCTTCTTGCGTTCCCGACGTAAAGATCGACACTCAGGCTCCGATAAAATGTAAGTAAGCGCGAAGAAGGTATTCGTCAAATCTTACTCGGGCGTTGGTCATACTTAATTTTTAGATTATCAGTTGAAGAAGCCAAATCAGAACTTTGTGCCTGTGCAACAGCCGGAAGTGTCGAACACGAGCTTGTCAATGCCGGAGTCGACAGATTGCTTCTTCAAAGGGAGCACGATCACGCTCGAGAATGGCGAGTGCAAGAAAATCGAGGATCTGAACCAAGATGACTTTGTCAAGGTGCGCCCTCGTCACTAAATCAATCTCTAGTTGCCTTTTCAGTGCGCGCAAGTGACGACGGACAAGAAACTCATTCGAAGTGTGTTGACGGAAATGACAGAGATGAAGATGAAAAGCGCGATGGTTAGTCTCCACTTCCGTGTGCAGGTCACCGGACAAAATGTAAGTCCGCGTTTCTTTTCTTCAAAAATTTTGACTTTGTTCAGGTAATAGTGGAAGCGCCAACAAATTACCCATACTTTACAAAGGACGGTTGGGCCTCCGTCGATCCTTTAGCTACTGAACGCAGTTACAGACTTAAATGCAGGTACTGCTTCGTGCATTCGTTTTAGGTGCTTTATCGACCTGCTTTCAGAAAATTAGCGAAGGGAGATGAGATCTTTTCCATCGAAAAAGAGTCCTCCGACGAGCAAGAAAGCCAGTTCATCCCCGTTTCCTCCTCTGTCTCTTCCAGCCAGCCCCAGAAAAAGAGCATCATCGAAACAACATTTGGTAGTGGTGGAGCGTTCCGTCCAATTCACGAAAAACCAATGTCCGAATATCGCGCCAACTTCCCCACAATCACTTCTAATACGCTGCAGAGTTGCAACTCGCACGCTCCACTCGAGCAAGACTGCAGCGAACGCAACTTCTTTCGAAACCGACTCGATAGCAGAGGGAAGAAACTGAGAAAGCGTAGAGCTTCTGATTCTGATGTAAGTTTAGCTGGCGGCGTTTATTCGTAACGCTCTTTAGATCCGGAGAGAACGTCGTAGCGAAAGTAGATAGCGGCGCCCTCTACAAATCAAAGTATTCGCTTTTGAAACTGCCACCGCGTGAAAAACCGACCGATCTTGCTCAGAAAAAAAACAAGGACAACAACAACAATCTCCAAAAAACCAACAACCGACATTTACATGAAGAAACAAAAGAAGCGACTGGACTGGTTCCGAAACAAGGCCCTGCTCAAGCAACAAGTAGTATCTGTGGACTTCGCTGATTTACTTTTAATCAATCTGAACGACGACTTTATATTCTGCTGTTTTTCACTTCGCTCAACCAAAAATATAGCTAATCGTTTTGCCAAGTGTACTCGTAAGCGGATAGACCTACGCAGACAAACAAGCTTCTCGCACGTTGCAAGTCGGTATGAGTTTATTTCAGTGTTTTAATCACAATTCAATTCTGGCACCTTCCGCGTCTCGCGCTCGTTTCCACTCCTCGAAGAGCTCTTGCTCTTTTCGGCGAATCGCTTCGTGATCCTCTCTGTCGAACGCGTCGAAGAGCTTTTTGACTTTTGTCTCGTCACTCAGTTGCACTTCGTCTTTGTCCAGAATCGCTGTCAAGTTAGCAAGCATTTTTTCCCCTTTGAGGAATGCGTTTCGGTGGTGATCAGCAGCATCAAACATAGAAGTCAGGAGTTCGTCCGCCTTCGATCCGACGTAGTCCAGCTGCGTCAGTACCTCATGCATCGTTTTGATCAGATGTTTGCCAATTTCAGCCTAATTTATTATTTTTGAATTATTAAAAAGTCTCAGGCAAAATTTCTACCTGCTTTAGAGAGAGAACAGAAGCAGCAGTGCCACCAGCGAGGATATTTGCGTTTTCAGTGATCGGCGCGGTCGGAAATTCCATCGTATCGCTTATTTTTTTGATTTCGAAGTCGCCATATTTCGTCTTCAATTTGTCACCGATCTTCAACGACTAAAACCGTATACATAAAATGAACATAAGTAAAACTTACCTTGGTAGCTTTGAGTTTCGCTCCTCCAGAAACAGCGACGTAGACGAGATGATCTGGCGTCAGTCGAATTTCCCAATCATCTTCTGCTTTCACGTGCTTCATATACGCAAGTTTTCTGTATGTTTTTTTATAGTTGCCAATTATCGTCGTGCATTCGTACTCGCCAGTTTTATCGTTGTATGAAAGAACTTCGTCCCCTCTGAAATTTTGTAAGTATAATATCGCCGAAAAATGTATCATCGGTAGCTCAATGCAATTACCTTGTCAGCTCTTCGAAATCGATTAACTTGAAAAAGTTTCCACAGGCAATAGCATGCTCTATTGTCGAGAAAGAGAACGTCGATACATCAATTCCTGGCAAACTTCTATCGCCGAAGCAATTTACAACGGACCAGGTAAGAAACAAACTCTTAGTGATCATGCTCATTTTTGATTATTTTCTTGAAAGAATCGAGCTCTTACGAAAATTCAAAATAGCAGATCAAATATTTTTCTGCCGTACTAGTCACATAAACATTTTCTATTTGCTCGAGGGGAGATTCTCCTTGGAGTTGAAACCAAGAAATACTTGCTGAGTGAAATATGTATTCAAAAATAAAATGGAAGAAGAAAAGTGGTCAGAAATGAGTGGCGAACATTCGCTGTAAATTGCCGAGCACGTCGTCATCTATCAAGCGCTTTTTGTAGACTCGTGAGTGGAATCCGCGGGTCTTAGTCTTTAGGTTCCATCAACTGTTTATTTCGAATGAATAAAATTAATGTTTTTTGAACCATCAGTAGTAATATACCTGAACGGGGTTTTGCCTCAGAAAATTCGCTGAAACATGCTCTGATTGGCTCATTCATATTGGCGGACTTATCGCTGATTGGCCAGAGGCAGGGGATAATCTTTTTAATCCTTCGCGCTGATTGGCCGATCTTGACACTAATCCCCAGTTGAACTTGACTAATCCCCCTTTGAACTTGACTAATCCCCTGTTGAACTTGACTAATCCCCTGTTGAACTTGAACTTTGAACTTGTCACGTACGCAGATTTAATCACGTACGATTTTGCCTTAGGTGTGTTCCTAAACCCCTAGAGACATGTCACGCGCTTGGAAGATTCTAGTTAAATTTCTTTTATTGCGTCATCGCCTGTATAAAATCGATTGAAATGTCTTTTTCTGTACACAAGTCTTCATGGCGAATTTTCTCAAAAAGATAAAAACTAATTTTCAGAAGATTCCAACAATGTCTAAAGAGAAGCGCGATGAGGATTTCGAAATTGTCGAATCTATCGTAAAGAGAAAGAAACGAAAGCGATTCACCTTCATTTGCCGAAGTGATCAAGAACTAGAAGAAGCTGCCCGTTCGCTCGATTATGACAACGTTATTGAAAATTACGAACTCGAAACTCAAGCCGGCTACGATCTGGTGCAGTGCTTGGAGAATACGAATCATTGCAAAAACTCGATTTGTTTAATACAGCAAGCTTTCTGTCAAGATATGATACATGAAGGTTATTTCACTTTTATTGAATCTGTTCCCAAGAGTAAAATACCTCGAATTTTTAAAGTGATTACACACCCTTTTCAACCTGCAATGTATTCTTGCGGAACAATGCTTGAAGATTATGTGTCGACTTCTTCTGAAGAAGATTGAAAACAAAAACATTCCTTTTCTTTATCTTTATGCAATAAAAACAAACTTCTATCTTCAAAAATGATCTTTTTCTCTCGACCGCTGTCAGCTCGGTCGGTAAAGAATCCCGCTGGCAAATTGAGCATCTGAGTTCAAATTTCGCTCTCAGTATAAATTCTTCGGTGTGAAAAAAGGCGCTTATTGGCTACTCAATAGAGTATGCCATATCCTTCGTAAGACGGTTTCACGAGGGAAGAGATCAGAAAAGCCTAACAAACAACATATCGAACAATTGTTATTCAAATGCCAAAAAAATTTTTTATTAGAATGCCCAATCGAAAGCCCGTCAAGGTTTCCAAGAATATCGAGTTTACAGAGCTGGATGAGAAAAGTTTTAATTGATCTTGATATCTTGATTAGATGATTAATGAAATTAGCATAATTAAACTAATTGAGTAATTTCAAACATCTGCATTATGTCAAGCTGCACTTACAGCTGCTTCTACCTATTTAGCTAGAAATGAAGTCGCACAGAGTATCATTTTTTTCTTTCTAACATTTTTAGGTACTCAGACTTCAAAATGCAGTTTGTTCTTTTCATCTGCCAAAATATCATCCATTTGTACTGGCTTATGGTCTTTGCACATTTGACCATTTTCACTCTCATCTGTATATTTTTCTATTTCTTCATTAACATTCTGTGCATAATAATTTGAATATAATTTCATCAATCATCTAATCTAGACTTCAAACTCAATTAAAACTTTTAAAAGGTTCAAATGATCGACCACGAGTTTCGACTTCGTTCTAAACCAATCAAAATTGTACGAATGGGATAAGTGTCAAAATAAAAATTTTTCAGAAATACGACGTAGAACTTTTTAACATTTTTTTGGAACAGCAGCATGCTTACAACATCGATTGCGTTGATCCTTTTGAAGAGAAAGACTACTCTGTTGTAAGAGGTGAGATTGATACACCTTTTAAAATACTCGAAAAGTAGTTGCCTGCGTTGACTGCGAAGTGACAACTACAGTTCACCGGCTTGGCACAATGCAGGATCTTTTACGAAGGGTTCAATGCATCTACTGCAAGACTTTCCAACGAATAAAAGTGGTTGCAAGAGGAAATTATCGACTTGACAACTATCTGACTCAACTACCGACTTTGATGTACTAACTGCCAATGTTCAAAACAAACTTCATTTTCGATTGAAAAATCAATTTTGTGGAAAACTTTCAATTGATCGGTATCGGTTATCCTTTACCGTGAAATTTTATTCGATATTTGCAGGGTAATATAAGCAGGGCCGGATTTGGTTTTTCCATTCAAAATGATTCAATAATTTGTTTGTTTTCTATATCGAAAAATGCTGCAAGAGTCTCACCGTAACCTGGAAGAAACGGCTGTGCAAAAATGAAACATTAAAATTTCTGATAAATCTTACAAAATCAACGAGATAAAATGATTATCAATTAATTTGTTTCGAAAAATATTGAACGCAAGAGCTCATTTGTATATTTTTATTCATTATCAAATGATTTCAAAAAGATTGCTAAAACATTTGAAATAATCGTATGCTTTTGTCATTAAAAATATAATTTGTTAACTTCTGTTATTTTACTGATTTCTTAATTCTTCTTTAAAATGCTACTCAAAGAAGATTACATGCTGTATTCCATTCGCAAAATGATAACATTATGATCTCCTAGAATACAGTCGATAGTGTTGAGAAATCTATTTTGAAAATAAACTTTTTTTAAATTCTAGAATACTATTGTGTTATTATTTACTTGCAAAAAACTTTGAACAAATAAATTGCAATTAAACAAAGAAGACACAAAATTCAAATGTTTCTAGAACAATTTGAAGCTTGATTGTTTTTTTTGAAAGAAGAAATTCTATTGCAGCCGAAAAGGGGTTATACAGGCGCAAGAATTGTTCGCAGAGGAGTTAACCGAGGGATGGTTCTTCGGGAGCGACGGTCTGATCCATGTTCTCGCCAGACTCTTCGTCTTCTTGCCAGCCGGCGCCAGCCAAGCTGAAAGATTTTCCCGAACGAGTTCGGAAGTGCAGCTTGATCTGCTGGCTCTGGAGATCGTTCCAGAGGTTGTTCATTCGTTCGTTGCGCTGGGCGAATAGCCGCTCGCAAACTCGTCGGACCTCTTCTCTCTGGACAGGGGTCAGGTGGGCACTCAAGTGCGTGGCCAGAGAGATATTCTCTAGAATTGAGTTTAGTGAAATGTTTTGAAGAACTAAGATTACCTCTGGGATCGTTCATGCTGATATCCTCTTCTCCAATCCAGAGAGGCAAGACAGCAGGGGTTTCGTCATGGTTACCCGCGGTGTTTCCCGGGTATCGGAGGTTAAAAGTTCGCTCTTCGAGCGAATCAGCCTCTCCGATGCTTTCGTTGAGGGGAGCGTTGTTCTCTAAATACAGTCGATTATAATTTGAAAAAAGGGTAAAATTCTTACCCGGTTGAGAGAACAAGTTTCGACGGGCCTGAGGCTCAGCCAAAGGGTCGACTTGCTCTTCAGCAGGTTGAGCTCCTTCCTGGCGCTGGTTTCGATTAGATCGAAGACCTAGAACCTTGCCCATTCCCTTTGAAACGGAAGAAAGCAAGTTCTTTCCAGTTCTTGCCAATTCTGGCTCTTCGAGCAAGTTTGTGAGGAATCCGTCGATGTCTTGACGGATTTGAACAAGTTGTTCAACGATTTCCTTTTGCTAATAAAAAATTTTTTCTGCGTAACTTCACCTTTTTCTTACCTCGGCCATTTTTCGAATTTGGTGTAGTTCCGAAAACTCCAAAGTGCGAACTGACAAAATGTGAAAAAATTTTTTTGAAAAATAGAGACATTCTAGAGATTTTTCACAACATTGATTTTTTTATTTTTTTTGTTTTTGAGTTTTCAGACAAAGAAGTAAACAACATGAAATTTTGAATAACAGATTCAAATGTTAAGTTTTTGGTCGAGCAATTCTTTGGTGATTGAACGACGTTTCTTGCAATTTTCTACAGTAAACCAAGCTAGAACGTATCGAATTTCGGCAAGAAGAAATCGTTTGTAGTCGATATTCATCACTGAGAATTTTTAAGATTTAAAGGTTTTCTTTCTTACTTTTCCAGTGTGGAAGAACTTTTGTTATATCATCAAGTTCCTCTTGCGTTCCAAAGTCATGAGGTGCGTAACCTACGTTGAAATCAGGTGGATTGTTTTCTTTGTTGTCGTAAATTGGTGTCGAAGCGTGAACAGAATTCTTCAATTCATATTCCAAGTCTGTTAAAAGAGGGGACATGATTGGAGAAGGGTCGTCTTCTGATCGAGTAAAGTCGAGATCGCTATCTGTCGCGCTAGTATCAAGCTGTTCGCTGTGATTTTCTTCTTTTGGTGAGTCGTTTTGTTCCGGTTCTTCTTCAGAAATTCCTAATAAAAATGTTTGTTTTGGTCTTTGGCATAAAAATTACTATTCACGTTTTTGGCTCCTTTCAAGTCGAGTAATTTTAGTTCTTTGCTTTTGAAGTGTTCGAGGGCCTTTTAAATCTTCCTCGAGGTCCAAAATAGAACTCACGTGAAGAAGACGGTGGCCCAAAAGTACCTTCAGGGATTTTACCGGTAAATAGGGATGGCTCATTAGGTGGTGATGAAGGGATTCCAAAACGAAATTTCGGCTTTTCTTCGTCACTCGAGTTTTCCGTATTGTCGTTTAGTTTCAACTTTTTGATACTTTGGTCACCCATAGAATCAATATTTTCATTGATACGCCTTTTTTGATCGTCATTCAACACGACAGTTGATGGACATTTAATTAGCTTGGGTGCTTCGAGTGTACGCATTCTTAATAAATTGATTGTCAAAATTTTAGAGATATGGAAAATCAAGCTTGTTAATATAGTCATTTTCATTTTCGAAAGGTGTGACAAGTAAAGCTTTTTTGAGTTTTAACGCATTAATCTTGTAATCAATTTTCTCTAAATAATCGTTAAAATAGGACCTTGGAAAGACTCGAACTTGTTTCATATTTTCTCTGAGTCTAATGTATGATAAAGATTCTCGATACTCTAAAAGTTCTTGATATCCTAATTTCTCTACAGAAGGGGTGAATTCTTTAACAAGATTTTTAATATAATTATCAATAAATTTTCGGGGATAATTGTTTTTGTTACGGCTCAAGTAATCTCTAACGATTGTTTCAATAAACAAATTATAAAAAAAGATTATTTTTGGGCAGCTAATATCAGACCAAAGCAGTTTATGCCAACGAAAATGGTCGATAAAGTTTCTATAAGTGACAGATTGAAGTGTCATCTCGATTTTATACTCATTTGTAGACAAGGATCGACGATATTCCAGCTCTCTTTTGACGATAACTTGATCGTTATTTCCAACTGATTGTGACGAATGCAAAGTTCTGCTCTGTAAGAAACGCCGCACAGAGAAGAGAAATAATCTCTTCACTATCCCTAACGTTTCTCAAAAGCAGAACTTTATTTCAAAGGGGTTTCGAAGAATTTTTCAAGGTTTCTAAATCAAGTATGAAAGAGAAGCACGCTTACAAAATAAACCTGTTTGTAACACGCATCGAGGAATCCGTATGGCAGGCTTTCAAATAGGTCAACTCGGGAACAACTGAAGGGTAAAGATGGAAAATTTGTTTTTAAATTAACCGTCATTAACCCTACCTTGAATCTCTGAGAATTTCACTTTTACTACGTTTTCCCAATCGTTATTTTCATCGTTGAATTGCTTCTCAAAATAAAAGAAAACTTTACTAGCAGTGTTTGTGTTATGCTCTCCAAACACAAGCTCAAGTGCTTGATAGTTATCACCATGTTGAGTTACTTTTACAAAAGGGTGATTTTTTCTAATTTGTCTTTTGTTGGAAGTTTTAAGAGTAAAAAACAAACACATTTGGTATTGTCGAGCCAAAAGCTCTGAAATTTATACGTTCGATGTCGGATTACGATTGAGATTAGCGGGATTATTAGACAGTAATCAAGTGTCGAAACAATGACAAATTAATCGAAGTCTAATCGCAGGATGATATGCTTTCAATTGACATAAGAATCTTATCCGGATTTAAAATCGTATAAAGACAAAGATGTTTGTGGATACCTTTGCAAACAAAAAATGGCTCGTATAAAAATCGTCGTAACTGAAAGGGGTGAAACCACTTACAGCTACGACGGTTATATCAGTTCTCGGGTTGACTTTTTCTTCCGAAGCTTCGGAGATCGCAAAGTGACCTTACAGGATGAAATCCATTCCAGAGATCGTCAAAGAGAATCGGATGTCTTTTTCTCCACCAATAGACTACCGGAAGAATTAAATCTTGATCGAAAGAAACGTAAGCATTTATTATTTGTCATGTAAATTAAAACGAATCGTTAAGTTGAGTTCTCAAAGAAGAATCAGCAAGTTGAATTCGGCGAGGAAAGCGAGTTGTCCTCAGACTCGGAATTTTCTTTCGAAGAATCTGATTCAACTGAACCAGTTAACGTCGATCTGCGAAGAGACTCCTTCTACCAGTTCTGGTGCTACCAACTCACCGCCTCCTCCAAAAAAATCTAAAAAATTAAGGAAAATCAATCGTAAACCCTCGATGAGACTAAGGAATCGTAACAAAAAGCCTGTTTTGCGTAATAGAAACAATTTTACTCATCGTTAGACATACTTCTTAACATTCCCGAGTGACTTATTTTCTGTAATTGATGTTTAATTTGGACTGTAAATACTAAATTTTGATGTTGTGAACTTTGACTATAATTTTCTCAATTTAAGAATGGACGATTTTAACGATCCCACGACTGACAGCAACAATAACGATTTCAAAAACGATCCGAAAGAAACCTTCAACGAACTGATTTTACTTTTTACGTCATTCTTTATTACAAAATAAAAAATTTTTCGCGTGAAATCTATTGATCATTTTCCTTCCATGATACCGATCAATGCGGATGACCCTGGTGTGAGTTCGATTAGTTACGCTAGAATAAAAAGGCAGGACACTTGAGCAAGATTATGGCAGAGTTAACTCTAACAGAGATTTATCAAGAGCCTAATACCTTTATTAGACTCGAAGGTGGTAGAATACGGGCACTTTGGTCCTACAAGTCGACTTCTATTGAAGACGATGAATTGCCACGAGCGCTCCGTCATCTTGACTGGCTGAAAAAAGTTGCAAAAGAAGCCCGGAGAGATCTTTCTCATTTGGTTGATGATGTGCACGGATGGATAAAATTTACGATCCCTTTCAATACAGACCCGATTGTTCTTGTGGAGCGAATTCGAGCTCGACAAGAAACAATTGATGAGCTTCACAGAAGGATTGCATTAGTGCGTAAAACCTGCGAAATCTACGAAAAAGCAATCATCAAACAAGAGAGTACAATTTATTGCTACATTCGCTCGATCGATACTCTTGAAGAAGGAGAAATTGTTTGACTGCCAAAGATCAAAACATTGAGTTTAAAACTGCAATTTCCTGCCAAATAAAACACGTAAAATGTCAAAATAAAACGTTGTTGTCAACAAAACAGTCAGAATCGATCAAATATCCAGGGAACTCCATTCAGATTTGGCGTGTCGAGAAAGAGGTTGGTGTAGACTCGAGCTTGAGTAGGTCGCGTGGTGTCTTTTCGGATTATGACGTGTTGATGTCGAGGAACTCGCTTTATTTTGAAGAGCAGCATTGCGGCGTTGAAAGCGTCACCTTCGCCGGTCTTGGTGGCGATTTGCTTGTTGACTGAAACGTCGTTGTTGTTGTTGAATAAGATGAACGCTGTCATACAGTTTCTAAAGTAAAAGTTAAAAATTTTTTCAATTTATTAAAACTTACCGCAATGTGATGGCTCGCTTCGATCGCTCGTAAAAATTTTGTGCTGTAAAGGCAAGAGAAATGCCCATGTGCCTACGACCAAATGTTACTAATCTTTCTATAACATCACTTTCAATACACTCGCTCCACATATCATCAATTATGATAAATGTGTCTCGAGTGCTTTCGTTAAAAGTTTCGTCAACCCATTTAGCAGTTGGCAACCCTTCAATGACATAAAGTTTTTGATGGGCCAAAGGTGTTATATCCAACGGCTCAAGCCGAGGCATAAAATAATAAATTGTTGAAATGGTACCTTTGATACCATTTTTTTCAACAAGATTTTTAATAAAAAAAGATTTTCCCGCTCCCGTAGTTCCACTTACCAATAGAGCACATGGATGCGAAAATCGCAAATCTTCTATATAGTTGGCTATATAGTTGGGCATGTGAGAGCCTTGAAAGTGAAGAGTCCTGGAACGGTGTCTGGGATGTCAATCGTATCGTCTTTTGCCGGTTTGTAGCCAGTGATCCAGACGACGTTTGTCTTTCGCCTGAGCTTTTCATGGAGTGAGTCAAGATATTCCATTTCTTCCGGATCAGATTTTTTGAAAGAGTAGCTGTTAGTCAAACCCTTGAATTTGGTACCGACCTGGATAAGCTTGTACCAATCTGGAGGATTCTCAACAGTTGGAACAAGTGCTGGATTAAAAGTCGGAATGATGGAGTAGGGGTGAGGATTGACCATGAAGCTTGGTGTCTCTACGAGAATCGGAAAACCGAAAGTTTTTGCTTGTTCGTCGATCTTGTTCATCTCCTTTCCTTGTCAGATTGTATTCTGAAAAAAGAAGTGTCAGCGCAGGGATTATAAACCCTTATAGAGGGCGCTCTTTCTAATCCTATAAATAAGATAAAACAGTAGATATTAATTCATAACCATTTTAACAAAAGAGAAGACGTAAGCAATTATAAAAATAAAAGGTATTTATAAAAATATATTTTAGTGTCAATGAGTATTAATGATATTCGCGCGGGAATCCCGTTACCAGTCGTAAATCATATTTCATCACAGCTTGAAGCAAACCCTGACACCGGCGGAATAAGACTACAAGCACCTAAAACGGCGGAAGAGCCGTATCCAGATTATGGGGAAAAGGCAAGTGAAGCGGCCCGCTTATTTGGAAGAATATCAGACCGAGTTTTCCCAATTGGGAAATCGTACTCTCAAGGAGAGTTCGAGCAAGGAGAAGACGAATACGAATGGGACAATAGTTCCGGCGAAGAATATCTCTCAGAATCAGAAGACGAACCTGCCAATCATCAAAACAAACCCTTCTCCGATCCAGCAGGCGGCAGAATGGCAAGAAAATCTGACGAAACATTTGAACAAGATTGGAATAGGCGATCCAAACGGTCTGCCAAGTGTTTCGCCAGTGATGTCACCGGCTCTTTTATCGAAGATGAACGGAATCAACTTTCTGACAGTGATGACAGGCGAAACAGCTCCTCCTTTGCCTCCAGATACAAGCAACAAAGAAACTTTCCCAAGCGTAGAAAACGACCAATTATCCGTCACCGATATGGACACTATGGAGACGAGGATGACAACCGAAACGGACCCTTCTATTACAATGAAAGAACCGACGAATTCGAGTACGGAGAGCCAAGATTGGTGGGAGAGTCCTCAAGAAAAGTCGCCACTGCCGTCAAGGGGGAACGCCAACGAAGAACCGATGGATTTAGACCCGTTAGATTTAGGTCCAGACGCGTTGGAAAGACTCCCTCCACAACCGGCTCCGTTACCACCCCCACCGCCAACAATGCCACCACCCCCGATCAAATCATCACAATTACCGATGACGAGGATGAAGAGCAGCAGCCAACAAAGCCAAGAAAACGAGTTGTCACCCCCTTCCGCTTACCAAAAGGTTCCACAACAGCAGCAGAATCAAGCAGTGGATCAAGCTCCGAGGGAGAACCTGACGAGGGAGACCCGCTCACAAACATCGACAACTTTTGGGGATGATATTTCACCGTCTGCAAATTTGTTTTATAATTTAAAACAACCTTCTGCTTACAGCGGTCTTGATTTGGCAAAATTTAAAGCTCGAAATAAGGTTATTTCAATCCATAAACCTTTTCGGTCGCGCTTTCGACGTAATCCAATTATCGCCACAAATTTGTATACAGTATTATTTGCAGACACCTGTGAATACTATATAAAAGATGCTGCGATAAACGGTGGATACAAATACATTCTTGTGGTTGTGGATGGGCTATCAAGACAGAGTTTTGTTCGCCCTCTGTTTACAAAATCCTCTGAAGAAACTTCTGCGGCTTTGGAAGATATTATCAAACGGCTCGATTTACCCGGTCACACTTTTTTGATGACAGATCGAGGTAAAGAATTTTATGGTCATGTGGCTCCTATGCTTGAGAAATGGGGAATAACACCATACAAGTTGACAGGAAGACATAAAGCTTCCATAGCTGAACGCTTCATGTAAGTTTTAATTTCTATTTCGAGAATATAAAAATATTTTTAGCCAAACTCTTCAGTCTCGCCTTGCTCGATATTTTGCAGCTCACAATAATTATCGTCGTTGGATTCATATTCTGCAGCATATAAATGCTCTGTACAATTCTACTGTGCACAACTCTATTGATATGCCTCCAAAAAGTGTGACACGTGAAAATGCGCCCCAACTTTTCAATTACCTGGAGCAAAAACGTCGGAATGAAGCTCAACGTAAAACTAAAACTAAATTCCACATCGGTGATTTGGTGAGAATTCCACTAAATGATCTTGGAAAGAAAAAATTTAAAAAAGGAGCTACTCCGAATTGGTCGAATCAGCTTTACAAAATTGTGAAAATTCATTACGGTACTCTTGTTCCAACGTTTACGCTTCATGACTCTCGGGGTAAACCTCAACTGCGACGTTATTACGAAAACGAGTTAAATTTTGTGATGAGTTCTTTTGATTTGTGAATAAATGAATTTGTTTAGACATTTATCGACCGTGTGATGAGACCAGTTCGAAAATCGACATCGAAGAAGAAAAAGCGATCGTCGAACAAGAATACGAAATGGAACAAACGAAAGATTGCGTATCTGGTTACAAGCACTGGGGGTGTTATTCCACTTGGTCGCAGACGAAAACGTCGATAAGAAACCGCCAGAAGGGTTTAATTTTAACCCTCTCCTCATCAATAGTCATCTTTGTTGTCTTGTATTATCTCTTTCAGCGCAAGATTGTTTTTTGTCAATCTTTGCAAAATCTGTCCACATTTTTTAATAAATTCTTTTAGATAATGCCTGAAAACTTTGGGAATTTATTGTACTACACAAACGATGTCAACTGCAACGATGACCCTTACAAAGGGTTGAAGGTTTTGACGAAGCAAGGAACTGCGGATTGCAACGATCGTGTCATTTTCGACGTACCTGATGACAAAGCGGCTCTCAAACTGGACGAGTGTATGTTTCAATTCAAGATGACAATCCCGGAAAATTTCGTGCCCGACAACGATGTTCACGCTAAAATTGTCAAAAAGCTTGATGTAAAGATTCTTGATAATAGGATCTTTTCATCGTTTGACACTCACGAATATACGTTCTTCAATCATTTTATCACAAAGTTGAATTACTCTCCGCTGGCGCAAGAGTGTGAGCTTTTTCCCAGCGGACGATTTGACAGCTTGGATCCGGATTCTGAAGAATTGACAACGATTCAAGTGAGAAGAAACGGTCTTAACTTGGCGGAAAATCGTCGACAGTATGGAAATTCTCGATGGCAAAAAGCGCAAGAAAAAATCAATGGCTACAACTATGAGATTTTGATGTATGATTATTCTTTCCGAGCGCCGATAATTCACGGTCTTTGCCGTCAAAATAGAGTGCTTCCCTCTGGATCACGCCCGAATTTCGAAGTTTATCTGAACGAGCAAGGCAATGTTTTGATGGAAGTCGAAAAATACACCAAATGCCGAATGACTGTACCTGGAATTAATTCTCTGACGACTGGAGATTTGCCACCAAATATCAAGACAATAGATTCAGAACGAGCGCATGCAACTAAAGCCGATTGTGATTGCACCGATGAAAAGTACCGATCCGGGAAATATAAAAATTTGAAGCAGATTCAAGCCAAAGGAGAAGTGATTGAAACAGTTCTTTCTAAACTGTATGGATCCGATACCTTCAAAGCTCATAGCTTTGATGAAGCTGTTGCTAGTGTCACAATGGATACAGAGGACGAACGATATGGCTACATTTGGATGGATCTGAAGCTTGACCCAAAGTCGACGGTTGAAGTCAAAGATTATATTCTTGAGGCGGCATACTGTGAACCTGGCAAGGAAGAAAAACCACTCTCGACGGGCGTTAAAGGTGAAGGGGTGATTCCCTTTTTTTACCCTCGTTTTACTAGAAAAACGCTGCCAGTTGGACTCAGTCAACACGATATCGAATTGAGCACAGGACCGTTACCAAAGATGATCATTATAACAGGAATGCCACACGGACGCTACGATGGTCACAATTTCCGACTGTGCACAACAAAAACATCGATGATTGATGAAAAATTCCGAATCAAGTCTTTTACGGTATTTGTTGATAATCGACCTGCATTTAGATCGCCCTGGACGACGGCTCAAGAACACTACATAAATTACATGAAGCACAATGGCCGCTGGGCCAATAAAGCGGTTGCACTCGGTCAAGACTTTTTTGCTTTTCAAAAGTACAATTGGATGGTGCCACTTTTCTTTGACGATCGAGTTGGAAGCACGGGGATTGTGACTGTTCGAATTGAATTTGAAGAAAATTTGGAGGAACATTGGGATGCATGCATTATGAAGATTCCCCGAAACGAGCTATTTTTGGATGCGAATAGAAACGGTAAATAAATGTTCATTTGTAATTGCTAACTTTTTATTTAGAAGCGAGCGTATTGCAAAAAAAGCGCAGCTGGAAAGAAGCGAAAAGAACCTGAACTGAAGGAGGCGTACAAAAAATGCTCGAAGAAAAAGGACGTGCATAACAAGAGCGCAACAAGCGGCAGCTAGCGCTATTTAAACGACTGTGTTTTGAATAAATGTGATCAAAATGAAATTGACAAGATTTTTGCCCGCGAAACGAAAGTTTTCTCGAGCAGAGAGAAAAAAGGTTGATAATTATTTGACTTTATGTAAACCGCCAGAAGAGAGACCTTGCGAAGAATTGTCGAACCTTTACGAATGTTTGTTAATCGGTCGAAACTGGTGGAATTTTTTACGAAGAACTGCTCCTAAAATACCTGACGATATTTCTCCTGAGCTCAAACAGGAATTACTTGACGTTGATACGTCAGGTTTAAAATCTCGATTTGGGCCTAATCCAAGGCGAGCGGATCTACCTCAGATTGAAGATTATCTTGGAATAGATTTATATCTGATGTATGGTGGTAATTTTAGCCCGCTGGGTATATCATATCGCCCAAATCGTTTTGCTGAAGTTTTGTCTGTTCGCAATGTTTTGGAGAATTATGATCGTAATGCTTCGGCGATTTTCGGCGAGGAGCAAGGTCACCGACCAAGAGTGATTCTACAATCGGCAAGAGCGTTTTTCAACGAATTGGGAATGTTTCATGTTATACCGTCGAGAACGATTGCAGAAGCGACACAACGTGATTGGATTCACTTGTGGCAAGCAATTGTTAAATTTCGCTGGCCAGATTGTTTGGATGTTGACGAAAAGATCCGGTATGTCAAGTGGAGACTCGATATCAAGGAGGATGAAAAATTTACGATTGCAGATCGAATATTTGAGCGAATAAGAGTGTGCTTTCAAATTCCAGTGCGACTTTTTGCGGGGAAGATAATTAATGACAATGTTAATAACAAACGCTGTTATTATGCTACACAACCGATAAAAAACAAAAAATATCTTAATTTGCTGGTGGCGAGTTATCCTCCGGATGTTTTTGCGCGTGAATTTAAGAAATTTGCAAATGTTGATTATGATGAGCTTGTCAGAAATCCTTCGAAAAATCGCATTATTGCAGCAGATTACGAATATGAACGCTGGCGTACAAGTGCTGATCAAGGTTTTCGCGCTCACGGTGACATAACAAGTGACGACGAAGAGGAAGAGAACCCTTTTGAAGAGTTTCACTCTTTTGCTCAGAATCCGTTTGTCAACGCTGAAGCCTCGGAAGATGATCACTCTGGTTATAATTCTGACGAAAGTTATGAAAACAACAGTAGCGAAAGCGAAGAAGAAGAAGAAGAGCTTTTTACTGAAAATTATCGCCCGATTCGTAATTTGACTTGTCAAGTGCCAAATGTTTTCGACGATGACACACTTGTTCGAATTTTAAAGGATCGAGAAGTAAAAGAATTGCCAGTTTGCCCGACAAAAAATTGTCTCTACACTCATGAAAGACCATCTTGCATGCAAAAACATGTGAAAACATGTACCAACGAAACAAAAGTACGCATTCGTCAGAGTGTCCAAGATGGCTCTATAATTGATTTCGTTGGTGAGCTTGTTGCTGAAGGATATTTGCCGTCGTTGGATTTTACGCAAGATTTCTACGTGGCATACGACATTGAATGTTTAATGTCGCGAGATATGCTCACTTTGGGACATGAAGATTCGCGTAAATTTCACAATTTGGTGTCACTCGTCAGCCTGACAAATGACGGCGAGCGAAAGTACTTTACTCGGAAAGATATGCGCTATGAATCTGTTTTGGTGATGTTAACCGAATTCGTCAATTATTTGATAGATTTGCGCGAGAATATGGAATCTTTCCTGCCACCTTCAATCATCAAAGGGATCGAATATTACAAAGATGAACTTGGAGTGAAAGAGCGCCGATTGAAACACACCTTTGACGAAATTGGAGTGATGAGAAAAAAACTTCAATATCTAAAGGATTTTACAAAACTTCGTATTTACGCCTGGAACGGTGAAAAATATGATTTGAACGTTATCTATCCGATGCTTGCCTCGGTGCTGTACGAATTTGTCGGTCAAAAGAGTAAAGACATTTATCCGATAAAGCGCGGCGGTGGATATATGATGCTTGATGCGGCAGGTTTGAGCTTTCGCGATTTCATGAACTTGTCGGGACCGATGAAACTTGAAAAATTGGCAAATTCGTGTGGCCTCGATTCGAAAGAGTACTCTAAAGGATGCTTTCCGTATGAATGGTATACAAAGGTTGAGCATCTTTACGCTGCAAAAAATTTTCCCGCTTATCCGTGCTTTTATTCGACGCTAGAATCTGGCGCCGCTTCAAAGGCTGAAACATATGCCACAAAGATGAACGAAATTATAGTCGAGCGCTGTGCTGAAATTATGCCCGAACGACGATGGAATCGTGACGAAGGATTAATTATTCAACTTGTTCAGTATTTGGGCTTGGATTCGCTTGTAACAGATCCAGTTTTAATTGAGTGGTGTGAAACGAATGGCGACTGTACACCAAAAGATATTTTCAAAAAACATCTTTCAATGCTGAAAAGAAAGTTTCTGTATCATGCAGAGAAGCGATGCCATCAATGCGATCCGAAAGATGCTGAAATTCGCGAGTTTTTTCGCTTTGATCCTGTCAAATATGAAGAAAGCAACCTGCTGTGGGATGAGATGGAGGTGGCGGAGAATCACTACTGTGGCGCTCAAAGTAACATGAATATGATGCTGTATTTGATCAATTACAACTACAACGATGTAAAATTACTGGTTGGCTCGATTGATCGATATGCAGCAAATTACAAGCGTAAATTCGGCCTTGGTGTTCATGCGGATATTTCAATTGCCAAAATGGCTCAGAAAATTGCGTTTATTCGTTACGATAAGAAATGCCCGCCACTGTACTCGCCACCAGCAAAAGCTGATTTCTATTACAACGATTGTCGACAAAAGTTACTTGGAGGCATTTGTCAAGTTTTACACCGCGCGATTTATCTGAATCACAAGCATGATGATCCACGAATTCCAAATGCTGCAAAATTTGCGCCAAACGGTGAACGCTACAAGACTGTAGTTTCACTTGATTTTAACTCGCTTTATCCGTGGGCTGTTCGACGAGAGTTACCCCTTGGTCCAGGAATTTTATATAAAATGGCGGACAAATGGGATGGACGATGTCGAAGTGATGCATACAAATTTTACAATCAAGGACTCTTTTGTCAGAAGCAAAACAGCTCACTCGAGTCGATTCGCTGGCTCGAGTACTTGAATTGGAGCGAGTACGACGGACGTATAGAACACAGCTACAATTTGCGTGAAAAAAAAATCGCGGGTCATTTTGTTGACGGATATGCAGAATTGCCTGATACCTTTGTTGCACCATCAATTCCGAAAAAGGTTATTTTCGAATTTCGTGGCTGCACCTATCATACCTGCCCGGTCAAGGAGTGCAAAGTAAAACCCTGGCTTGGCGTGAAAAAGACGATGAAAGACGACGAAGGTAAAAACATTATTGTGGAGATAAGCGCAGATGAATTGCGCAAAGAAGACGATGCTAGAATTCACAAAATTGTGGACCACCTGCGCGCCGAATACAACGACGATTTAAAAATGCCACAACGTTGGGGCGAGCGACCTGGAGAAATTTTGGACGAATATGGACCGTTGAATTTCCGCCATCGGATCGAGATCATTTACTCTTGTCAATGGAAGAAACTCTGGTCGCGACTCGAGCTATTGAACACACCACCCATTTCAAAATCTTATCCGCTGATTTTCAAAGGGGCTGAACAAAAACACTCTGGTTGTAAAATGTTTGAAGCAGGCGTCACGGAAGAAGACTTTTTAAAAACTTTGAGGGAAACGTATCAATCTGACGAGAATCCCAAAGACATACTAAAATCACGATCGAAGTTTTTCGGAATTGCGCTTGTTGATTTGGAATCGCCGCCTCAAGTCATTGTTGAAAATCCTCACGTGCCGCCAATATTTGCAAAAATGAAACTCGAATCTGACATGCTGCACGGATATATGAAACGTGTACTGCCAAGCAAAATGGTGGAACAACTTTATCCCTCGGAGGAGAACATTTTTTGCTACAACACGAAGCGCTATTTGGCAACAAGTGAGATGCTTGCCTACTTGGATCGCAAGGGTCTCAAAATACGAGTTCATTATTTCATTGAATATTATCGAGGTTCGCCTTTTGAGAATTTTGTTGCCACAATGGTAAAAGATCGAGTTGCTGCAAAAGTGGCAAATAATGATACAATGCAACTCGTCATCAAACTGATTCTAAATGCAATGGTGGGACGTTTTGCTTTGGCTGTTTCGCGCTTTATGGCGACGAAAATCGTCGGCGCCGACAAGATGTACGATGCGATACGATCGCCCTTGCTTCATTCAACAAAACCCCTCCGAGTTGAAGATATTGCGTTGGATCCTTTGCACGAGATTGTAAGCAAAAAGAAACGAGTCACCGAAGACTTGGCGATTCATGTGCAAATTTTTGTCTACCAGGAATGATTTTACTCTTGTCTTCTCCGAGCGAAGCCGTACGGCAAGCTCGGAGCCCAGGCCCGAAGGGACTGGCGGAAAATGGCCCCCCTCCCCCGAGCGAAGCTCGGGCCGCAAAATCCGGGCCCGAGGGCCCGGATTTTGCTAAACCTTGTGGCGACCTCCCTCGCCGTACGGCTGCGGTCGGGTCCTCGGCTTGCCTGCGGCTTCGCCTCGGAAACCCTGTGCGAGGGGGGTTTGTTTTGATGATTGGCAGTAGCCATAATTGTGTTTTGCGGCGGGGAGAAGATGAATTAAAATGTAAAGGGGGTTGATTTGAATGAAATGTTGCGTTTGTTTTAGTAAGCGTCTTTGTTTAAATCGTAGTGAAATCATAAAAAAGAACTCAAAATTATTATTCATGAGCTTTTTGGACGTTCTGAAAAAGTATCTAAGACCCGGCTCATACAAGTTTTGCTATGCCGATACAGATTCTTTTATGCTAGCTCTAACTGAAGACACCATCGGTGAATGTGTAAAGTCGGGTTTAAAGACGGAATGGGAAGAAAAGATTGTGCCGCTATGGTTTGTGGACAAGAAGAATGTAGCCACTGAAAAAGAGCCAGGCTTGCTCAAGCCCGAAGCAACGATTCGAAGCGGTTGGTTTATCGCACCGTCGCCTAAATGTTACATTATGGTTGAAAAACCGCCGTGTGAACTTGAAGCAAAAATATGCGATCCAAAGAATGAAGACAAAATTCTCGATCTGCTGGCAGAAGAAAAGGCCACCTATGTTGTCAAAAAGAAATCTTCAAAAGGATGCAAGGAAAGCGTTTCGCTTTGGTAAGTTTGTTTGAAATTTTTTAAATTTTTATTTTAGCCCGTATGAATATCTTGCCGCTGTATTTGGAGCAAATTTTGATAATAAAATCGAAAAAGATGTTCCAGTTTTCCAAATGAATCGCAAACGAGACCGAATGCAAACGTACATGATGCGCCGGCAAGTCTTCAACAGTGTCCTCAAGAAGCGCGTCGTCCACGAAGACAAAATCACAACAACACCACTTGTCACCTCTGACGGAACATTTGTTTAAATACAGTTGTCTTTCTGTGACTTTAATTAAGAATGGGTATTATAATGTCAATGTTTAAAAAACCTCGAATCATTCAAACGCCGCAGGAGCCGAATCAAGAGGCTCAGTCTACTGAAGAGTCGATTTCTAATGCAGAGAGTATACTCGACTATATCCAACGAGTTCGCTCGTCATCAAGAAAAAGTGCAAAATTATCTCCGCCAGAAAGGTGGGCAAATTCACTTGATAAACCCAATTCACGCTTTAATTTAACGCCAAAACAACTAACTTGGTTCTTCCCGGTTGCAAAGGATGCACCCAATTGGCAATACGAAGGAGAGTACATTGATAGTGGTAATCAAGCGAATAAAGAATATCTTGAGGAGCATTATAAGCTGATTGAACCTGCACCCGATTACTTTGACGAAGATGAGCTGCCAATACTGCTGGCAGCAGATTCGCTACTTACCCATCCTCCACTGTACTTTATCAGTAAGTGAAATTTGTTTAAATTGGTAAAATATTCTTTTAGAACAACATTGGACTCATAATCGTATTCTGCTTGGTGGTGATATATACGGCCGACTTTACGAAGTTGTAAACCGCTATAGAATTACGCTGCTGAACGATGTAGACATCCAAGAGCATGTGAAAAATTTGGCTGAGAATCTCAACGGTTTGCTACGAGTGTCTGTGGATGCTTGGTACTCGACCGTTAGCCATCGAACAGTGGAAGAAAATGGCGTATCCCGCGTTGAAGCCAAGTACGGAATAATTTACCCCAATACTTGGGGTTCAGTTAATAATACAGAATTTTTACGCAACGATGAGGATCTTGAGCAGCTGCTTGATGAAATAACGCCTGTTTCTTTTCGCGACAAACTACTCAAAAACACTTTTTGGAGGAGAGATGTCTACCAAGAAAGTAACGTCAGACTACATCGAATTCTTGCCTATCAAGTTCAAATCCTTTCTTATCCGCCATCTTGGCTTTCAAAATAAAACAACAAAAAACGCTTTACGATTATGATTTTATTTCTTGGAGTTGAACATGTTGTCAAAAAGAGTGATGTTGGTGGGGACGGAAGGAATAAAGTTTTGAGCAGGTTGTGGTGGTGGTGGCGGTTGATAAAATGATGATTGCCGTCCTAGAGAGTGAATTTTACGCTGATTTGAAGCTTGTTTGTACCTAAAGGAGGCGTGGTTGTTTCTGGAGAGACGACTACAACGGGTACAGGCTCAGGCTCACGAAGAGAATCGTCTGGCGTGAGCGGCTCGGTCAAATCAATCCAGGAGGTGCCTAAAACTCGTCAGAAAATGAAGTGTAAGTAAAGAATACCTGCATTGATTGCGTCGTCAATGATCTCATCTGAGAGAGGTAGTGGCGAGGTAGGCTTCATGGCAATTGCCGCCTCGTATGGTGGCGGTGGCGGTGGCGCGGCAGTAGGTTCTTTCAGCATTGTTTTGATTGATTCGATTTGTTGAACCTCGTCAGGTGTTTTCACCTTTGGTGTAAGCTTGTAAAGCTCACTAAAGAGAAAATAGAAATGACAAATGAAGAGTAAAGTACCTTTTGATTTTTACGGGCGGGCTGGAAACTTCGATTCCACTGTCAGGAGTTTCTGTCTGGCCGTGAACTCGAGTCTCATACAGAACGAAATCGTTCAAGCTGTAGAGGCTTGAGAATTTCACTGTTTTTATAAAACTTTCTCTTCTCAGCGCAATGTAGCCGTAATCGACGCAGGAGGAATACTTGAGTATTCGGTTGAGTTTATCGTTTGTAATCTCTGTTCGAGCCAGACAAAAGTGGATATACTTGTTTGCGAAATTGTTGACCATTGCGTTGAAGGCGTTTCTTTGGCGGTTTTTCACGAAATTTTTATCTCGAAAAAAATGTCAGGACAAACCGCCCCTGTACGCAACGATTGTAGATTCTCGCAAGTGACGATATCGCGTCATCAGGTGGAGGCGCTTTGTTCGCTCGGCGAATGACTCGTTAAGCCCTTTTGTCTGCGTAAGCATAACAGTCACTTCGCTTGGCGTGTGGCATAGCAGCGCTCTGATTCGTCGACGCTCACTTTCCAGATTGGTAATGAGAAAACGACGAATTACTAAAATTCTGCCAAAGATCAAAACATTCGCTTTACCTGCGAGATAAATCAGATGGCAGTTTTCCGTATCATCGCGAATAAGCGACAATCGATAGCTGCACCTTTCAATCAAATTTTGCCAGTTGGCAGCGTTTGGAATTTGGGTGTAATCGACGTTTCCGTTGTCATAAGGGTACGAATGGAAGCTTGCGGGAATCCAATTGTCGTCTTCTACGATGCTCAACTCCACCTTGTCGTAAACGCTGTCGACGATGGCTTCCACTGTGAAAAGATAATCGAACATGTTGGTGTCGATGATCGAAAGAGGAATCAGCTCGTTTTCGCTTGGCGTAAACTGGTAAGAAGTTTTTTGATCCCCGTAGCTTGCAGTACAGAGTGATTTGAGCAGTGCCAAGTAATCTTCAGTGACGTCTTGACCAAATCGAAAAGATTTGTCAATCTTGCCTTTGGCTGGTAGATCGAGCGCTCCGAATTCTTCTGTAACGGATTTCGCTGTGGTAGATATCATTCTTATCTTGACGGAGTTTTCTTCGACAGTCGTCATCATCTTGATGCCCAAAACCGTAAGATAGAATTCGGACGCAGCGAGAGCCGCTTGAGCTTGTTGAACAGGAAGAAATCGGTCACAAATGTTCAAATCGATGAGCGAGCCCTGATGAAGATTGAAGTTGTGGGACGGGTGAGATCCCATCACGTTTTCGCTTTTACAGGTGTACATCAACCGGACAGTGTGCCAGTCGATCGTCTCCAGCGGCGTAAAACGTTTTCCTTCTTCAACATTCATCGGGCAATTTTCAAAGAGTGATTTCCGCTTTTGAGCCATTTTGAGCAAGGCGGTCGAATACTTGTTCCAAACTCTCAAAGTTCCTTCAATGTTGCTAAAAATTTTTGTTATTGAGGTTTGAAAAAAAGACTGACCGGTGCTCGAGAGGTTGACGGTCGCTTCCGAGTGAATTGGATTCGGGAGCAATTTGATCAGGAAAACGGCAAACGTCAATACGGCCATGATTACGAACGAGTTGATCATCATGTTTACGAGCAGCAGCGCTAGTCGAAGGCTGTTCGGAATCAGTCTCAGAAACGCTCGCTTAAAAAATGGTAAATTATGTTCTTTAATTGAAAAATACCTTGATTCGAATTAGCCGAGCTCGAAAGCAATTGCGAATCTCCAAAAGAAGAATTCGCAGCCTGATCCGAGGGTCGACATTTCGATTTTGGTTGTTCAAAAGCAGATCCCTGAGATGAGCGACCTCGTTTTGAAGGTTTTCTTGCTCGAGGTTTAGAACTCGGCGAGCTTGACGAAGTCTTTCGAGCCTTGCCCTCGCATCCTGAAGACGCACTTCGACCCACTCGATTCGCACTTCGTGGCCTTCGTGAAGAGGATTTACCAGACGCTGCTGGCGACCCACAAAGTTCTGCATTCATACACTTTGACTAAATTTTTTAGTTTGCTCACAATTTGAAAAAATAAAATGATAGTTTCAGGCTATTTAGGGTAAGAGATTGAATCTCTTGCAGAGATTCGAGCAGAGGCACGGGTTGGTTTTCTTGTTGGCTTTTTCTTGCGCTTCTGAATCTCTTCAACGTGAGCAACAACGGGGGCAGGGAGCGCTAGAACTGTCTGATCTGGTCGGATTTCTTCGTCGCTGTCTTCTTCAATTGTCTCCATTTGGCGACGATTTGGCTCTGGCGAAAGAAGGCACGGAGAGCTTTTGGAGACTTCGATGGGGTGCGAAAAGAAGCTAAAAAGTATTAAAATCTGTCCACAATGAGATAAAACTTACAGATTTCCCATTCGTCGCAAAAATGGTTGTCGAGAAGGGCTATCAAGATTTTCCAACTCTCGATCCATTCGCTCAAGTTTGAACTCTGTATGCTTTTTTTTGAGATATGTTTTCGTCATCGGTGTCACTGCTTCGCCGAAAAACTAAACAACTTTGATACATATCAAAATGAGATTTTATCTTACCGTTTCGCCGGGCTCTTCTTTTGGCTTTTTAATTTCCGGTTTTGGAAGCAACATTTGAGCTGGAGGAGGTGGAAAATCAGTTGATGGTGGTGCAGTGGCCGGTGGCGCAGGTCGAGGCGGAGGTGTTTTATGGCAACGATCGAACTTTTCGCCAACTTCTTGAATTCGTGATCTTTCATTTCGAACAGTATCACCTCGTTTTCGCGTACGACTTCGGCCTCGCCCGTTGCGAGAACGAGAGCGTGATCGCGATCGCGCTAAATTTCATAAATTTTAGGACATTGGAAAACAAGTACCTCTTTTGGTGGGTTGAGGGTTTTCATTCTTGACCGTTTGGGGAATTGGAGTTGTCTTTCCTGCCACGTGATCCGTTTCATTTTCTTCAATTTTGATACACGGGATGAACGAATAAACGCCGTCCAAGAATGTATTGAAAGCGTTTGAGCAACAATCTTTACACTTCAAGCAAAGAAATGTCACCATTCCGATCACCACCAAAACCAAAATGACAATCATGAGCATTCGTTCAGGTGTCATCTCACCGGTCAAACCAGCTGTTTCAATCGGCATCGGAACGGTTGGTTCAGCACTAAAACCGCGGTTAAAAAAATTTTTTTTTCAAAATTTTTGACCCCTTGGAATTTTCATGTGCTTAAAAATCCCTCCTATGTTTGGAAATGCGCCCTACCTGGAATCCTCCGGGTAAAAAATGGTGCAAGTTTCTGCATAGGGCGCATTTCCAGACATAGGAGGAGTTTCCAGGTGTGGGAAATTTCAGTACCCGGGAATTTTTTTATTGATTTTTCCTGGAAAAATGACAAATGCATTAAACGAAAAAGATTTTTTTCTATCCGAATTTTATTGCTACAACTAATCTAATCTAAATAATTTAGGCAGTAAGTTGAATGACAGTTATTCGCCTCGAAGGGCAGAACCGATGGCACCTCGACCCTCACAGTAAGACAAAAGCTCTTGCTCGTGGGGGCTCAGTCGAGTTCCATCGTAGATGGGGAATGATGTGTAGAGTCGAACCCGAGGAACGCGTCGAATCGTGGCATACTTTGAGTATCTTTCCGGAACGAGGCAGTACGGGTAGAGAACCTCCACGGGGAGATCGTCAAGGCAGACCTCAACTTCTTCTTTTTTGAAGAGTTTGGTAACCTTGTTGAAAAGTTTGTTGAAAAGTTTCATTGTTTTCATTTTGTCTGATTTGATCATCCCACCCGCACCCTTAAATATCCCTTCATCTAGCCGATTACAATCGAAAAAATGCAACAAAACAACGCCCTCAGCGCGCCAACTCTACCGCCACCCAGGCAAACTGTATTACAAGAGGATTATTAATTATCTTGTAAAGATTGGATCATGTTTACCTCGAGTTCTTTGAAGTTGTATGGGTTTCTGGGACGATCGGAACAACCGGAACAACCGGAACGATTGCTTTTTGTGATTTTCTCCACTGGATACATTCTGGCAACATGTACCGACCATCGACCGCGCACCACGAATCCATCGAAGTCTATTAGGCAAAAGTTTTTGTTAAAATTCTAGACAGGCTATTTTTTGACAACAGGAGCTACAGCAGGAGGTGCAGTACTTTTGTAACGAGGAAGAGTATTTTCTTGTGGCGCTCCGTAATCGACAATTTTACATTTTTCAACCGCTCGTACAACTTCCTCGAGACTTTTTTTGAAATGTCGCCCGATTATCCTGATCTGGCGGCGGAACAATCGCTTCGACTGGAATTGAAGACCACAGTTGCCAGCTCATGATTTCAGCAGTTATTGTGTCACTGCCAAACTAGTAAACAAAGTGTAAATTTACCAGTAAAATTGTTTGAAAAGACTTACAAGGCTCATCAAGTGACTATTTTCTGTAAATCGTAGTTTGGATAAGCCATCGAGAAGGCATCGCAATAGCTCTCGGCTTGGGGTGATCTCCTTGAAGTGCGTCATCACAGGAGGAAGAGCTGCAAACAGGCTTTCAAAAGCGGACTCGGCGGGAGTCGTCTTTGAACCAGATGATGTAAATGCGTTGTCGCATGTCAAAAAGTTTTCTTCTAGGAGATTGCCGATCTTTTCCAGTCGCTTACTAGAGGATTCTTCTTTTGTGGTCAGTTCCTCCCACTTGGACGCAATCAGACATCGGTAGAGCATATTTTCAAGCTCACGATTCAATAAATCCATTTGGATAATTGAAGGTCCATGAGGGAGTTCACGCTCGAGGCCTAGAGCTTCTCGAATCTTTATAAAAAATTGATAAAAATTTTTAAATTTAAAATTTCACCTCGCTTGACAATTTTTCTGCGGTTTTTGCATATGGTGGTACATTGAAAAGAGGGACCATGCCAAGCGTGAGAAGTATAACAGTTTTGGCAACTGCATACTTTCCAGCCGGCCAGGGATAGACTGCACATGGGATCGTATTCAGAGTAGCCAAAAGTCTTGCTGGGTGACCTAATTCAGGACTTGACAGCGATAAGCACTTCCATTTCTGCCCGTATCGAACCTTGAAAGATTTTCATCATTTGACAATTAAATAGGGGTGACCTAGATCATCATGCTGAGGATGATCTAGGCCGTCACATGCTATGGGTAAACTAAGCGACCCTACTCGAAGACTTACCCAAATATAAAGATCGAAAATGAAAAAACTTCCCGATCCGTCGATTTCCCAAGTTGGATAAAGGCAACCAAGCTCGTCCCATGTCTTTAAAACTCCGCTAAACTTGCCCGGATGCGTGTAAATTTCCTCGTACAGCTGTTGAGCGGAGCCTTCAAAGATCACTCGAAAACGTGCAGTTGGAGTTTCCCCGTCTAGCTTCATTTCTTTGGCTTTTTTAGCAAGGCGTCTTACATAAATTCCAAGTCGTGTCGTAAACAGGGTTGCACGAATTCCTCGAGTAGACATGAACGATCGATGAAAGACTTGGCGAAGCTGCAGGATATTCATCTTGTAAACAGGAGCAGCTTTTGCGTATTCCTCCAACCGCTGAGCTCGATAAGCCTCGTCGTTGTCGGTTTCTGTCAGCTCGCTGTCAAACAGCTCGCTTGCTTCTTTATCAAACGGGAAATTTACGGGGAATTTGTCGTCTTCTTGCACCACGTTTGACATAAAGGGAATATCTTCCCTAGGCAACGATTGAGCTGGCCCTTGCCGAACCAAATTTGTGACTTCTTTCACCTGAGAAGCTGAAGGACCGGACTCAACTCTGCTTTCCTCGATTTCTTTCCAGTTAATCTGCGTCGCGTAGCCTTTTGGAACTTTTTTCTTACGGCAAGGTCGTTTATAGGGTTTCTTTGGAGGGTTTTGCCTTTTACGAAGTTGTCTCGGCTCGGCAGGTGGTGGAAGTTTGACAGTCGAAGATTGTTCCCCGTCGTCTTTGATTTCAATCTTGACAACCTCACCGGTCGAATTTTGCAGATAGCTTTCCATCTCGCTTTCAGAAGAAGATGATGATGACGAGTAGATTCGATTGTCGGTGTAATCCTCAGGATCGCTATCTGAGAGATTGATAACCATGAGAAATTTTATTCTCACAGATTAGCAGTCTCACCTGAATTTATCTGCTGAAAAGTTCGCTTTCGGCAAGCTTGTTGTCCAGTAGAAAGTGTTATCGGTGGCCCGTAGAACTTTTTTTCTAGATTTTTTTCTAGAATCAAGCAGTGGATCAAGCTCCGAGGGAGAACCTGACGAGGGAGACCCGCTCACAAACATCGACAACTTTTGGGGATGATATTTCACCGTCTGCAAATTTGTTTTATAATTTAAAACAACCTTCTGCTTACAGCGGTCTTGATTTGGCAAAATTTAAAGCTCGAAATAAGGTTATTTCAATCCATAAACCTTTTCGGTCGCGCTTTCGACGTAATCCAATTATCGCCACAAATTTGTATACAGTATTATTTGCAGACACCTGTGAATACTATATAAAAGATGCTGCGATAAACGGTGGATACAAATACATTCTTGTGGTTGTGGATGGGCTATCAAGACAGAGTTTTGTTCGCCCTCTGTTTACAAAATCCTCTGAAGAAACTTCTGCGGCTTTGGAAGATATTATCAAACGGCTCGATTTACCCGGTCACACTTTTTTTGATGACAGATCGAGGTAAAGAATTTTATGGTCATGTGGCTCCTATGCTTGAGAAATGGGGAATAACACCATACAAGTTGACAGGAAGACATAAAGCTTCCATAGCTGAACGCTTCATGTAAGTTTTAATTTCTATTTCGAGAATATAAAAATATTTTTTAGCCAAACTCTTCAGTCTCGCCTTGCTCGATATTTTGCAGCTCACAATAATTATCGTCGTTGGATTCATATTCTGCAGCATATAAATGCTCTGTACAATTCTACTGTGCACAACTCTATTGATATGCCTCCAAAAAGTGTGACACGTGAAAATGCGCCCCAACTTTTCAATTACCTGGAGCAAAAACGTCGGAATGAAGCTCAACGTAAAACTAAAACTAAATTCCACATCGGTGATTTGGTGAGAATTCCACTAAATGATCTTGGAAAGAAAAAATTTAAAAAAGGAGCTACTCCGAATTGGTCGAATCAGCTTTACAAAATTGTGAAAATTCATTACGGTACTCTTGTTCCAACGTTTACGCTTCATGACTCTCGGGGTAAACCTCAACTGCGACGTTATTACGAAAACGAGTTAAATTTTGTGATGAGTTCTTTTGATTTGTGAATAAATGAATTTGTTTAGACATTTATCGACCGTGTGATGAGACCAGTTCGAAAATCGACATCGAAGAAGAAAAAGCGATCGTCGAACAAGAATACGAAATGGAACAAACGAAAGATTGCGTATCTGGTTACAAGCACTGGGGGTGTTATTCCACTTGGTCGCAGACGAAAACGTCGATAAGAAACCGCCAGAAGGGTTTAATTTTAACCCTCTCCTCATCAATAGTCATCTTTGTTGTCTTGTATTATCTCTTTCAGCGCAAGATTGTTTTTTGTCAATCTTTGCAAAATCTGTCCACATTTTTTAATAAATTCTTTTAGATAATGCCTGAAAACTTTGGGAATTTATTGTACTACACAAACGATGTCAACTGCAACGATGACCCTTACAAAGGGTTGAAGGTTTTGACGAAGCAAGGAACTGCGGATTGCAACGATCGTGTCATTTTCGACGTACCTGATGACAAAGCGGCTCTCAAACTGGACGAGTGTATGTTTCAATTCAAGATGACAATCCCGGAAAATTTCGTGCCCGACAACGATGTTCACGCTAAAATTGTCAAAAAGCTTGATGTAAAGATTCTTGATAATAGGATCTTTTCATCGTTTGACACTCACGAATATACGTTCTTCAATCATTTTATCACAAAGTTGAATTACTCTCCGCTGGCGCAAGAGTGTGAGCTTTTTCCCAGCGGACGATTTGACAGCTTGGATCCGGATTCTGAAGAATTGACAACGATTCAAGTGAGAAGAAACGGTCTTAACTTGGCGGAAAATCGTCGACAGTATGGAAATTCTCGATGGCAAAAAGCGCAAGAAAAATCAATGGCTACAACTATGAGATTTTGATGTATGATTATTCTTTCCGAGCGCCGATAATTCACGGTCTTTGCCGTCAAAATAGAGTGCTTCCCTCTGGATCACGCCCGAATTTCGAAGTTTATCTGAACGAGCAAGGCAATGTTTTGATGGAAGTCGAAAAATACACCAAATGCCGAATGACTGTACCTGGAATTAATTCTCTGACGACTGGAGATTTGCCACCAAATATCAAGACAATAGATTCAGAACGAGCGCATGCAACTAAAGCCGATTGTGATTGCACCGATGAAAAGTACCGATCCGGGAAATATAAAAATTTGAAGCAGATTCAAGCCAAAGGAGAAGTGATTGAAACAGTTCTTTCTAAACTGTATGGATCCGATACCTTCAAAGCTCATAGCTTTGATGAAGCTGTTGCTAGTGTCACAATGGATACAGAGGACGAACGATATGGCTACATTTGGATGGATCTGAAGCTTGACCCAAAGTCGACGGTTGAAGTCAAAGATTATATTCTTGAGGCGGCATACTGTGAACCTGGCAAGGAAGAAAAACCACTCTCGACGGGCGTTAAAGGTGAAGGGGTGATTCCCTTTTTTTACCCTCGTTTTACTAGAAAAACGCTGCCAGTTGGACTCAGTCAACACGATATCGAATTGAGCACAGGACCGTTACCAAAGATGATCATTATAACAGGAATGCCACACGGACGCTACGATGGTCACAATTTCCGACTGTGCACAACAAAAACATCGATGATTGATGAAAAATTCCGAATCAAGTCTTTTACGGTATTTGTTGATAATCGACCTGCATTTAGATCGCCCTGGACGACGGCTCAAGAACACTACATAAATTACATGAAGCACAATGGCCGCTGGGCCAATAAAGCGGTTGCACTCGGTCAAGACTTTTTTGCTTTTCAAAAGTACAATTGGATGGTGCCACTTTTCTTTGACGATCGAGTTGGAAGCACGGGGATTGTGACTGTTCGAATTGAATTTGAAGAAAATTTGGAGGAACATTGGGATGCATGCATTATGAAGATTCCCCGAAACGAGCTATTTTTGGATGCGAATAGAAACGGTAAATAAATGTTCATTTGTAATTGCTAACTTTTTATTTAGAAGCGAGCGTATTGCAAAAAAGCGCAGCTGGAAAGAAGCGAAAAGAACCTGAACTGAAGGAGGCGTACAAAAAATGCTCGAAGAAAAAGGACGTGCATAACAAGAGCGCAACAAGCGGCAGCTAGCGCTATTTAAACGACTGTGTTTTGAATAAATGTGATCAAAATGAAATTGACAAGATTTTTGCCCGCGAAACGAAAGTTTTCTCGAGCAGAGAGAAAAAAGGTTGATAATTATTTGACTTTATGTAAACCGCCAGAAGAGAGACCTTGCGAAGAATTGTCGAACCTTTACGAATGTTTGTTAATCGGTCGAAACTGGTGGAATTTTTTACGAAGAACTGCTCCTAAAATACCTGACGATATTTCTCCTGAGCTCAAACAGGAATTACTTGACGTTGATACGTCAGGTTTAAAATCTCGATTTGGGCCTAATCCAAGGCGAGCGGATCTACCTCAGATTGAAGATTATCTTGGAATAGATTTATATCTGATGTATGGTGGTAATTTTAGCCCGCTGGGTATATCATATCGCCCAAATCGTTTTGCTGAAGTTTTGTCTGTTCGCAATGTTTTGGAGAATTATGATCGTAATGCTTCGGCGATTTTCGGCGAGGAGCAAGGTCACCGACCAAGAGTGATTCTACAATCGGCAAGAGCGTTTTTCAACGAATTGGGAATGTTTCATGTTATACCGTCGAGAACGATTGCAGAAGCGACACAACGTGATTGGATTCACTTGTGGCAAGCAATTGTTAAATTTCGCTGGCCAGATTGTTTGGATGTTGACGAAAAGATCCGGTATGTCAAGTGGAGACTCGATATCAAGGAGGATGAAAAATTTACGATTGCAGATCGAATATTTGAGCGAATAAGAGTGTGCTTTCAAATTCCAGTGCGACTTTTTGCGGGGAAGATAATTAATGACAATGTTAATAACAAACGCTGTTATTATGCTACACAACCGATAAAAAACAAAAAATATCTTAATTTGCTGGTGGCGAGTTATCCTCCGGATGTTTTTGCGCGTGAATTTAAGAAATTTGCAAATGTTGATTATGATGAGCTTGTCAGAAATCCTTCGAAAAATCGCATTATTGCAGCAGATTACGAATATGAACGCTGGCGTACAAGTGCTGATCAAGGTTTTCGCGCTCACGGTGACATAACAAGTGACGACGAAGAGGAAGAGAACCCTTTTGAAGAGTTTCACTCTTTTGCTCAGAATCCGTTTGTCAACGCTGAAGCCTCGGAAGATGATCACTCTGGTTATAATTCTGACGAAAGTTATGAAAACAACAGTAGCGAAAGCGAAGAAGAAGAAGAAGAGCTTTTTACTGAAAATTATCGCCCGATTCGTAATTTGACTTGTCAAGTGCCAAATGTTTTCGACGATGACACACTTGTTCGAATTTTAAAGGATCGAGAAGTAAAAGAATTGCCAGTTTGCCCGACAAAAAATTGTCTCTACACTCATGAAAGACCATCTTGCATGCAAAAACATGTGAAAACATGTACCAACGAAACAAAAGTACGCATTCGTCAGAGTGTCCAAGATGGCTCTATAATTGATTTCGTTGGTGAGCTTGTTGCTGAAGGATATTTGCCGTCGTTGGATTTTACGCAAGATTTCTACGTGGCATACGACATTGAATGTTTAATGTCGCGAGATATGCTCACTTTGGGACATTAAGATTCGCGTAAATTTCACAATTTGGTGTCACTCGTCAGCCTGACAAATGACGGCGAGCGAAAGTACTTTACTCGGAAAGATATGCGCTATGAATCTGTTTTGGTGATGTTAACCGAATTCGTCAATTATTTGATAGATTTGCGCGAGAATATGGAATCTTTCCTGCCACCTTCAATCATCAAAGGGATCGAATATTACAAAGATGAACTTGGAGTGAAAGAGCGCCGATTGAAACACACCTTTGACGAAATTGGAGTGATGAGAAAAAAACTTCAATATCTAAAGGATTTTACAAAACTTCGTATTTACGCCTGGAACGGTGAAAAATATGATTTGAACGTTATCTATCCGATGCTTGCCTCGGTGCTGTACGAATTTGTCGGTCAAAAGAGTAAAGACATTTATCCGATAAAGCGCGGCGGTGGATATATGATGCTTGATGCGGCAGGTTTGAGCTTTCGCGATTTCATGAACTTGTCGGGACCGATGAAACTTGAAAAATTGGCAAATTCGTGTGGCCTCGATTCGAAAGAGTACTCTAAAGGATGCTTTCCGTATGAATGGTATACAAAGGTTGAGCATCTTTACGCTGCAAAAAATTTTCCCGCTTATCCGTGCTTTTATTCGACGCTAGAATCTGGCGCCGCTTCAAAGGCTGAAACATATGCCACAAAGATGAACGAAATTATAGTCGAGCGCTGTGCTGAAATTATGCCCGAACGACGATGGAATCGTGACGAAGGATTAATTATTCAACTTGTTCAGTATTTGGGCTTGGATTCGCTTGTAACAGATCCAGTTTTAATTGAGTGGTGTGAAACGAATGGCGACTGTACACCAAAAGATATTTTCAAAAAACATCTTTCAATGCTGAAAAGAAAGTTTCTGTATCATGCAGAGAAGCGATGCCATCAATGCGATCCGAAAGATGCTGAAATTCGCGAGTTTTTTCGCTTTGATCCTGTCAAATATGAAGAAAGCAACCTGCTGTGGGATGAGATGGAGGTGGCGGAGAATCACTACTGTGGCGCTCAAAGTAACATGAATATGATGCTGTATTTGATCAATTACAACTACAACGATGTAAAATTACTGGTTGGCTCGATTGATCGATATGCAGCAAATTACAAGCGTAAATTCGGCCTTGGTGTTCATGCGGATATTTCAATTGCCAAAATGGCTCAGAAAATTGCGTTTATTCGTTACGATAAGAAATGCCCGCCACTGTACTCGCCACCAGCAAAAGCTGATTTCTATTACAACGATTGTCGACAAAAGTTACTTGGAGGCATTTGTCAAGTTTTACACCGCGCGATTTATCTGAATCACAAGCATGATGATCCACGAATTCCAAATGCTGCAAAATTTGCGCCAAACGGTGAACGCTACAAGACTGTAGTTTCACTTGATTTTAACTCGCTTTATCCGTGGGCTGTTCGACGAGAGTTACCCCTTGGTCCAGGAATTTTATATAAAATGGCGGACAAATGGGATGGACGATGTCGAAGTGATGCATACAAATTTTACAATCAAGGACTCTTTTGTCAGAAGCAAAACAGCTCACTCGAGTCGATTCGCTGGCTCGAGTACTTGAATTGGAGCGAGTACGACGGACGTATAGAACACAGCTACAATTTGCGTGAAAAAAAAATCGCGGGTCATTTTGTTGACGGATATGCAGAATTGCCTGATACCTTTGTTGCACCATCAATTCCGAAAAAGGTTATTTTCGAATTTCGTGGCTGCACCTATCATACCTGCCCGGTCAAGGAGTGCAAAGTAAAACCCTGGCTTGGCGTGAAAAAGACGATGAAAGACGACGAAGGTAAAAACATTATTGTGGAGATAAGCGCAGATGAATTGCGCAAAGAAGACGATGCTAGAATTCACAAAATTGTGGACCACCTGCGCGCCGAATACAACGACGATTTAAAAATGCCACAACGTTGGGGCGAGCGACCTGGAGAAATTTTGGACGAATATGGACCGTTGAATTTCCGCCATCGGATCGAGATCATTTACTCTTGTCAATGGAAGAAACTCTGGTCGCGACTCGAGCTATTGAACACACCACCCATTTCAAAATCTTATCCGCTGATTTTCAAAGGGGCTGAACAAAAACACTCTGGTTGTAAAATGTTTGAAGCAGGCGTCACGGAAGAAGACTTTTTAAAAACTTTGAGGGAAACGTATCAATCTGACGAGAATCCCAAAGACATACTAAAATCACGATCGAAGTTTTTCGGAATTGCGCTTGTTGATTTGGAATCGCCGCCTCAAGTCATTGTTGAAAATCCTCACGTGCCGCCAATATTTGCAAAAATGAAACTCGAATCTGACATGCTGCACGGATATATGAAACGTGTACTGCCAAGCAAAATGGTGGAACAACTTTATCCCTCGGAGGAGAACATTTTTTGCTACAACACGAAGCGCTATTTGGCAACAAGTGAGATGCTTGCCTACTTGGATCGCAAGGGTCTCAAAATACGAGTTCATTATTTCATTGAATATTATCGAGGTTCGCCTTTTGAGAATTTTGTTGCCACAATGGTAAAAGATCGAGTTGCTGCAAAAGTGGCAAATAATGATACAATGCAACTCGTCATCAAACTGATTCTAAATGCAATGGTGGGACGTTTTGCTTTGGCTGTTTCGCGCTTTATGGCGACGAAAATCGTCGGCGCCGACAAGATGTACGATGCGATACGATCGCCCTTGCTTCATTCAACAAAACCCCTCCGAGTTGAAGATATTGCGTTGGATCCTTTGCACGAGATTGTAAGCAAAAAGAAACGAGTCACCGAAGACTTGGCGATTCATGTGCAAATTTTTGTCTACCAGGAATGATTTTACTCTTGTCTTCTCCGAGCGAAGCCGTACGGCAAGCTCGGAGCCCAGGCCCGAAGGGACTGGCGGAAAATGGCCCCCCTCCCCCGAGCGAAGCTCGGGCCGCAAAATCCGGGCCCGAGGGCCCGGATTTTGCTAAACCTTGTGGCGACCTCCCTCGCCGTACGGCTGCGGTCGGGTCCTCGGCTTGCCTGCGGCTTCGCCTCGGAAACCCTGTGCGAGGGGGGTTTGTTTTGATGATTGGCAGTAGCCATAATTGTGTTTTGCGGCGGGGAGAAGATGAATTAAAATGTAAAGGGGGTTGATTTGAATGAAATGTTGCGTTTGTTTTAGTAAGCGTCTTTGTTTAAATCGTAGTGAAATCATAAAAAAGAACTCAAAATTATTATTCATGAGCTTTTTGGACGTTCTGAAAAAGTATCTAAGACCCGGCTCATACAAGTTTTGCTATGCCGATACAGATTCTTTTATGCTAGCTCTAACTGAAGACACCATCGGTGAATGTGTAAAGTCGGGTTTAAAGACGGAATGGGAAGAAAAGATTGTGCCGCTATGGTTTGTGGACAAGAAGAATGTAGCCACTGAAAAAGAGCCAGGCTTGCTCAAGCCCGAAGCAACGATTCGAAGCGGTTGGTTTATCGCACCGTCGCCTAAATGTTACATTATGGTTGAAAAACCGCCGTGTGAACTTGAAGCAAAAATATGCGATCCAAAGAATGAAGACAAAATTCTCGATCTGCTGGCAGAAGAAAAGGCCACCTATGTTGTCAAAAAGAAATCTTCAAAAGGATGCAAGGAAAGCGTTTCGCTTTGGTAAGTTTGTTTGAAATTTTTTAAATTTTTATTTTAGCCCGTATGAATATCTTGCCGCTGTATTTGGAGCAAATTTTGATAATAAAATCGAAAAAGATGTTCCAGTTTTCCAAATGAATCGCAAACGAGACCGAATGCAAACGTACATGATGCGCCGGCAAGTCTTCAACAGTGTCCTCAAGAAGCGCGTCGTCCACGAAGACAAAATCACAACAACACCACTTGTCACCTCTGACGGAACATTTGTTTAAATACAGTTGTCTTTCTGTGACTTTAATTAAGAATGGGTATTATAATGTCAATGTTTAAAAAACCTCGAATCATTCAAACGCCGCAGGAGCCGAATCAAGAGGCTCAGTCTACTGAAGAGTCGATTTCTAATGCAGAGAGTATACTCGACTATATCCAACGAGTTCGCTCGTCATCAAGAAAAAGTGCAAAATTATCTCCGCCAGAAAGGTGGGCAAATTCACTTGATAAACCCAATTCACGCTTTAATTTAACGCCAAAACAACTAACTTGGTTCTTCCCGGTTGCAAAGGATGCACCCAATTGGCAATACGAAGGAGAGTACATTGATAGTGGTAATCAAGCGAATAAAGAATATCTTGAGGAGCATTATAAGCTGATTGAACCTGCACCCGATTACTTTGACGAAGATGAGCTGCCAATACTGCTGGCAGCAGATTCGCTACTTACCCATCCTCCACTGTACTTTATCAGTAAGTGAAATTTGTTTAAATTGGTAAAATATTCTTTTAGAACAACATTGGACTCATAATCGTATTCTGCTTGGTGGTGATATATACGGCCGACTTTACGAAGTTGTAAACCGCTATAGAATTACGCTGCTGAACGATGTAGACATCCAAGAGCATGTGAAAAATTTGGCTGAGAATCTCAACGGTTTGCTACGAGTGTCTGTGGATGCTTGGTACTCGACCGTTAGCCATCGAACAGTGGAAGAAAATGGCGTATCCCGCGTTGAAGCCAAGTACGGAATAATTTACCCCAATACTTGGGGTTCAGTTAATAATACAGAATTTTTACGCAACGATGAGGATCTTGAGCAGCTGCTTGATGAAATAACGCCTGTTTCTTTTCGCGACAAACTACTCAAAAACACTTTTTGGAGGAGAGATGTCTACCAAGAAAGTAACGTCAGACTACATCGAATTCTTGCCTATCAAGTTCAAATCCTTTCTTATCCGCCATCTTGGCTTTCAAAATAAAACAACAAAAAACGCTTTACGATTATGATTTTATTTCTTGGAGTTGAACATGTTGTCAAAAAGAGTGATGTTGGTGGGGACGGAAGGAATAAAGTTTTGAGCAGGTTGTGGTGGTGGTGGCGGTTGATAAAATGATGATTGCCGTCCTAGAGAGTGAATTTTACGCTGATTTGAAGCTTGTTTGTACCTAAAGGAGGCGTGGTTGTTTCTGGAGAGACGACTACAACGGGTACAGGCTCAGGCTCACGAAGAGAATCGTCTGGCGTGAGCGGCTCGGTCAAATCAATCCAGGAGGTGCCTAAAACTCGTCAGAAAATGAAGTGTAAGTAAAGAATACCTGCATTGATTGCGTCGTCAATGATCTCATCTGAGAGAGGTAGTGGCGAGGTAGGCTTCATGGCAATTGCCGCCTCGTATGGTGGCGGTGGCGGTGGCGCGGCAGTAGGTTCTTTCAGCATTGTTTTGATTGATTCGATTTGTTGAACCTCGTCAGGTGTTTTCACCTTTGGTGTAAGCTTGTAAAGCTCACTAAAGAGAAAATAGAAATGACAAATGAAGAGTAAAGTACCTTTTGATTTTTACGGGCGGGCTGGAAACTTCGATTCCACTGTCAGGAGTTTCTGTCTGGCCGTGAACTCGAGTCTCATACAGAACGAAATCGTTCAAGCTGTAGAGGCTTGAGAATTTCACTGTTTTTATAAAACTTTCTCTTCTCAGCGCAATGTAGCCGTAATCGACGCAGGAGGAATACTTGAGTATTCGGTTGAGTTTATCGTTTGTAATCTCTGTTCGAGCCAGACAAAAGTGGATATACTTGTTTGCGAAATTGTTGACCATTGCGTTGAAGGCGTTTCTTTGGCGGTTTTTCACGAAATTTTTATCTCGAAAAAAATGTCAGGACAAACCGCCCCTGTACGCAACGATTGTAGATTCTCGCAAGTGACGATATCGCGTCATCAGGTGGAGGCGCTTTGTTCGCTCGGCGAATGACTCGTTAAGCCCTTTTGTCTGCGTAAGCATAACAGTCACTTCGCTTGGCGTGTGGCATAGCAGCGCTCTGATTCGTCGACGCTCACTTTCCAGATTGGTAATGAGAAAACGACGAATTACTAAAATTCTGCCAAAGATCAAAACATTCGCTTTACCTGCGAGATAAATCAGATGGCAGTTTTCCGTATCGTCGCGAATAAGCGACAATCGATAGCTGCACCTTTCAATCAAATTTTGCCAGTTGGCAGCGTTTGGAATTTGGGTGTAATCGACGTTTCCGTTGTCATAAGGGTACGAATGGAAGCTTGCGGGAATCCAATTGTCGTCTTCTACGATGCTCAACTCCACCTTGTCGTAAACGCTGTCGACGATGGCTTCCACTGTGAAAAGATAATCGAACATGTTGGTGTCGATGATCGAAAGAGGAATCAGCTCGTTTTCGCTTGGCGTAAACTGGTAAGAAGTTTTTTGATCCCCGTAGCTTGCAGTACAGAGTGATTTGAGCAGTGCCAAGTAATCTTCAGTGACGTCTTGACCAAATCGAAAAGATTTGTCAATCTTGCCTTTGGCTGGTAGATCGAGCGCTCCGAATTCTTCTGTAACGGATTTCGCTGTGGTAGATATCATTCTTATCTTGACGGAGTTTTCTTCGACAGTCGTCATCATCTTGATGCCCAAAACCGTAAGATAGAATTCGGACGCAGCGAGAGCCGCTTGAGCTTGTTGAACAGGAAGAAATCGGTCACAAATGTTCAAATCGATGAGCGAGCCCTGATGAAGATTGAAGTTGTGGGACGGGTGAGATCCCATCACGTTTTCGCTTTTACAGGTGTACATCAACCGGATAGTGTGCCAGTCGATCATCTCCAGCGGCGTAAAACGTTTTCCTTCTTCAACATTCATCGGGCAATTTTCAAAGAGTGATTTCCGCTTTTGAGCCATTTTGAGCAAGGCGGTCGAATACTTGTTCCAAACTCTCAAAGTTCCTTCAATGTTGCTAAAAATTTTTGTTATTGAGGTTTGAAAAAAAGACTGACCGGTGCTCGAGAGGTTGACGGTCGCTTCCGAGTGAATTGGATTCGGGAGCAATTTGATCAGGAAAACGGCAAACGTCAATACGGCCATGATTACGAACGAGTTGATCATCATGTTTACGAGCAGCAGCGCTAGTCGAAGGCTGTTCGGAATCAGTCTCAGAAACGCTCGCTTAAAAAATGGTAAATTATGTTCTTTAATTGAAAAAATACCTTGATTCGAATTAGCCGAGCTCGAAAGCAATTGCGAATCTCCAAAAGAAGAATTCGCAGCCTGATCCGAGGGTCGACATTTCGATTTTGGTTGTTCAAAAGCAGATCCCTGAGATGAGCGACCTCGTTTTGAAGGTTTTCTTGCTCGAGGTTTAGAACTCGGCGAGCTTGACGAAGTCTTTCGAGCCTTGCCCTCGCATCCTGAAGACGCACTTCGACCCACTCGATTCGCACTTCGTGGCCTTCGTGAAGAGGATTTACCAGACGCTGCTGGCGACCCACAAAGTTCTGCATTCATACACTTTGACTAAATTTTTTAGTTTGCTCACAATTTGAAAAAATAAAATGATAGTTTCAGGCTATTTAGGGTAAGAGATTGAATCTCTTGCAGAGATTCGAGCAGAGGCACGGGTTGGTTTTCTTGTTGGCTTTTTCTTGCGCTTCTGAATCTCTTCAACGTGAGCAACAACGGGGGCAGGGAGCGCTAGAACTGTCTGATCTGGTCGGATTTCTTCGTCGCTGTCTTCTTCAATTGTCTCCATTTGGCGACGATTTGGCTCTGGCGAAAGAAGGCACGGAGAGCTTTTGGAGACTTCGATGGGGTGCGAAAAGAAGCTAAAAAGTATTAAAATCTGTCCACAATGAGATAAAACTTACAGATTTCCCATTCGTCGCAAAAATGGTTGTCGAGAAGGGCTATCAAGATTTTCCAACTCTCGATCCATTCGCTCAAGTTTGAACTCTGTATGCTTTTTTTTGAGATATGTTTTCGTCATCGGTGTCACTGCTTCGCCGAAAAACTAAACAACTTTGATACATATCAAAATGAGATTTTATCTTACCGTTTCGCCGGGCTCTTCTTTTGGCTTTTTAATTTCCGGTTTTGGAAGCAACATTTGAGCTGGAGGAGGTGGAAAATCAGTTGATGGTGGTGCAGTGGCCGGTGGCGCAGGTCGAGGCGGAGGTGTTTTATGGCAACGATCGAACTTTTCGCCAACTTCTTGAATTCGTGATCTTTCATTTCGAACAGTATCACCTCGTTTTCGCGTACGACTTCGGCCTCGCCCGTTGCGAGAACGAGAGCGTGATCGCGATCGCGCTAAATTTCATAAATTTTAGGACATTGGAAAACAAGTACCTCTTTTGGTGGGTTGAGGGTTTTCATTCTTGACCGTTTGGGGAATTGGAGTTGTCTTTCCTGCCACGTGATCCGTTTCATTTTCTTCAATTTTGATACACGGGATGAACGAATAAACGCCGTCCAAGAATGTATTGAAAGCGTTTGAGCAACAATCTTTACACTTCAAGCAAAGAAATGTCACCATTCCGATCACCACCAAAACCAAAATGACAATCATGAGCATTCGTTCAGGTGTCATCTCACCGGTCAAACCAGCTGTTTCAATCGGCATCGGAACGGTTGGTTCAGCACTAAAACCGCGGTTAAAAAAATTTTTTTTTCAAAATTTTTGACCCCTTGGAATTTTCATGTGCTTAAAAATCCCTCCTATGTTTGGAAATGCGCCCTACCTGGAATCCTCCGGGTAAAAAATGGTGCAAGTTTCTGCATAGGGCGCATTTCCAGACATAGGAGGAGTTTCCAGGTGTGGGAAATTTCAGTACCCGGGAATTTTTTTATTGATTTTTCCTGGAAAAATGACAAATGCATTAAACGAAAAAGATTTTTTTCTATCCGAATTTTATTGCTACAACTAATCTAATCTAAATAATTTAGGCAGTAAGTTGAATGACAGTTATTCGCCTCGAAGGGCAGAACCGATGGCACCTCGACCCTCACAGTAAGACAAAAGCTCTTGCTCGTGGGGGCTCAGTCGAGTTCCATCGTAGATGGGGAATGATGTGTAGAGTCGAACCCGAGGAACGCGTCGAATCGTGGCATACTTTGAGTATCTTTCCGGAACGAGGCAGTACGGGTAGAGAACCTCCACGGGGAGATCGTCAAGGCAGACCTCAACTTCTTCTTTTTTGAAGAGTTTGGTAACCTTGTTGAAAAGTTTGTTGAAAAGTTTCATTGTTTTCATTTTGTCTGATTTGATCATCCCACCCGCACCCTTAAATATCCCTTCATCTAGCCGATTACAATCGAAAAAATGCAACAAAACAACGCCCTCAGCGCGCCAACTCTACCGCCACCCAGGCAAACTGTATTACAAGAGGATTATTAATTATCTTGTAAAGATTGGATCATGTTTACCTCGAGTTCTTTGAAGTTGTATGGGTTTCTGGGACGATCGGAACAACCGGAACAACCGGAACGATTGCTTTTTGTGATTTTCTCCACTGGATACATTCTGGCAACATGTACCGACCATCGACCGCGCACCACGAATCCATCGAAGTCTATTAGGCAAAAGTTTTTGTTAAAATTCTAGACAGGCTATTTTTTGACAACAGGAGCTACAGCAGGAGGTGCAGTACTTTTGTAACGAGGAAGAGTATTTTCTTGTGGCGCTCCGTAATCGACAATTTTACATTTTTCAACCGCTCGTACAACTTCCTCGAGACTTTTTTGAAATGTCGCCCGATTATCCTGATCTGGCGGCGGAACAATCGCTTCGACTGGAATTGAAGACCACAGTTGCCAGCTCATGATTTCAGCAGTTATTGTGTCACTGCCAAACTAGTAAACAAAGTGTAAATTTACCAGTAAAATTGTTTGAAAAGACTTACAAGGCTCATCAAGTGACTATTTTCTGTAAATCGTAGTTTGGATAAGCCATCGAGAAGGCATCGCAATAGCTCTCGGCTTGGGGTGATCTCCTTGAAGTGCGTCATCACAGGAGGAAGAGCTGCAAACAGGCTTTCAAAAGCGGACTCGGCGGGAGTCGTCTTTGAACCAGATGATGTAAATGCGTTGTCGCATGTCAAAAAGTTTTCTTCTAGGAGATTGCCGATCTTTTCCAGTCGCTTACTAGAGGATTCTTCTTTTGTGGTCAGTTCCTCCCACTTGGACGCAATCAGACATCGGTAGAGCATATTTTCAAGCTCACGATTCAATAAATCCATTTGGATAATTGAAGGTCCATGAGGGAGTTCACGCTCGAGGCCTAGAGCTTCTCGAATCTTTATAAAAAATTGATAAAAATTTTTAAATTTAAAATTTCACCTCGCTTGACAATTTTTCTGCGGTTTTTGCATATGGTGGTACATTGAAAAGAGGGACCATGCCAAGCGTGAGAAGTATAACAGTTTTGGCAACTGCATACTTTCCAGCCGGCCAGGGATAGACTGCACATGGGATCGTATTCAGAGTAGCCAAAAGTCTTGCTGGGTGACCTAATTCAGGACTTGACAGCGATAAGCACTTCCATTTCTGCCCGTATCGAACCTTGAAAGATTTTCATCATTTGACAATTAAATAGGGGTGACCTAGATCATCATGCTGAGGATGATCTAGGCCGTCACATGCTATGGGTAAACTAAGCGACCCTACTCGAAGACTTACCCAAATATAAAGATCGAAAATGAAAAAACTTCCCGATCCGTCGATTTCCCAAGTTGGATAAAGGCAACCAAGCTCGTCCCATGTCTTTAAAACTCCGCTAAACTTGCCCGGATGCGTGTAAATTTCCTCGTACAGCTGTTGAGCGGAGCCTTCAAAGATCACTCGAAAACGTGCAGTTGGAGTTTCCCCGTCTAGCTTCATTTCTTTGGCTTTTTTAGCAAGGCGTCTTACATAAATTCCAAGTCGTGTCGTAAACAGGGTTGCACGAATTCCTCGAGTAGACATGAACGATCGATGAAAGACTTGGCGAAGCTGCAGGATATTCATCTTGTAAACAGGAGCAGCTTTTGCGTATTCCTCCAACCGCTGAGCTCGATAAGCCTCGTCGTTGTCGGTTTCTGTCAGCTCGCTGTCAAACAGCTCGCTTGCTTCTTTATCAAACGGGAAATTTACGGGGAATTTGTCGTCTTCTTGCACCACGTTTGACATAAAGGGAATATCTTCCCTAGGCAACGATTGAGCTGGCCCTTGCCGAACCAAATTTGTGACTTCTTTCACCTGAGAAGCTGAAGGACCGGACTCAACTCTGCTTTCCTCGATTTCTTTCCAGTTAATCTGCGTCGCGTAGCCTTTTGGAACTTTTTTCTTACGGCAAGGTCGTTTATAGGGTTTCTTTGGAGGGTTTTGCCTTTTACGAAGTTGTCTCGGCTCGGCAGGTGGTGGAAGTTTGACAGTCGAAGATTGTTCCCCGTCGTCTTTGATTTCAATCTTGACAACCTCACCGGTCGAATTTTGCAGATAGCTTTCCATCTCGCTTTCAGAAGAAGATGATGATGACGAGTAGATTCGATTGTCGGTGTAATCCTCAGGATCGCTATCTGAGAGATTGATAACCATGAGAAATTTTATTCTCACAGATTAGCAGTCTCACCTGAATTTATCTGCTGAAAAGTTCGCTTTCGGCAAGCTTGTTGTCCAGTAGAAAGTGTTATCGGTGGCCCGTAGAACTTTTTTTCTAGATACTATTATCGTGTTGTTTAAAAATTTTTCTACCTTTTTTCGGCTTCAAAGATGAATTTTGCGACGATTTGCGTTTTGCAACACGACCCATCTAATCAGAGTAAATTTTGAGGTGGATTTATTCATTTTTCCAATAGATGCCAAAGATGTAAACAAACAATTTTGGACAGATTTTTTAGAGGTTGAAGGCTTCGTTAGTCTAAAAATAATTGTTAGTTTATTCTTTTTGAAAAAAGCTTACCGAGTTCGACAATGTTGCGAGCTTTGAGAAGCTTCTTCTTCTTCTTTTTGCGGTTGTCCTCAGGAAAGAGAACCATTTTCTCCGGAGTGTTGGAGAAAGAAATTGCGGCCTGATACTTGCCGTATTTGCCAGCAAGAACCATCGATTTTGGAGTGTTTTGAATATCTGATGAAAATTTTACAGAGGTCGAATATAGAAATTTTACCGTGGATCATGCCAGCCACTTCTCCAACCAAAACCTTGACCTTGTTCATATGCTTTGCAAAGCATTTTTTTCGAGGAGGCGATGCCACAGGAGAATCACTCTGGCGGCGTCGTTTACCTGTGCTTTGTTATAACGGATATTTTCACAAGTTAAATTTACCTCCAGCTCGACGAGGTGGAGAAGAAGTAAACGCAAGAGCGCGTTTAGTTGCGCTATTGACAGCAGCTTTTGTGACGCCAGTGATCTTCTTTCGCACAGCTCGAACAATTTTTCGAGGTGGCTTGACATCGAAAACTGGAAGCGCCATCCTTGAATAAAGATTTATTTACGCCTCAAAAAATCTTACTTTGGAGGGGTGCAAGCCCGTTCTAGCTTGTTTCGCCGCCGGTCGAGCTTGAAACCTGTAGTTACAGGATCCGGCGTCGACAAATTTCGAACAGGAGTGACAAACTGGGGAGTTCGCGCAGATGCTGTCTTGATCTTTGATTTACGATTGCCTCCCATACTGTAAAATTTTGAAATTTATAATTTTGGCCTTTTGACTTGTTCGAAATGAACAGAATTCAAAGGCAATTTCCGAGCCAGATAAATGGGACCTCCTGTTCGTCGGCCTTGTTCTCCTCAGGAAACTGGACATATCGCTGCTCCTCATCGTACGCCGCGTCAAACATAAGTCTGCCTACACTAGGATAAATCAATCTTTTAACTTTGGTAAAAAATTGTTTTAACCCCAGTCCTGAGTGCCAATTGATGGGAATGTGAGTGATACTGTCCATCTTTCCACAGTATCGTTTCTCGAAAGTGGTGAGCTCCCATTTTCGTTCAGTTTGAACGGAAAGCGTTGGGCTTGTTCCTCGATGTTTCTTCAGGAAGCTCCGCGCCGACATTTCCCCATCCATGGCGGCCACTTCATGGCGAGGAACGTAGTTGTTGAGAACCACCTTGGAGATGTCGGACAGACCTGTGATGTAAGGAGCAGGGGGTGCTTGCTGAAACATTGTCACTGGCTCCCAGCAAGGCGCGTTCTTTCCCCAGTTTGGAAACTTAAAATAATTGTCAAATCCTTATCTCTTTTTTTCTCTTACGTAAGATCGGAAAATCTTCTTGCCGCGCTGAGCAAAAGTGGGTCCTTTTTCGTTGTCTTTTCGGGGAGGTTTTCGAGGAGGGAGCTCGGGCTCCGGTCGCTACAAGGATAAAGTTAATTATCTCACTTATTTTGAAATAATCTTAGATACCGATAACATTAAAACTGTAATCAGCTTGTTTATCACGTTTTAAAGTCAGATTACTTACATTTTCCATCGGTTGAAAGTTATCGAGCGGATTATCGACAGCGGCCACGACGTTATCCATTCTTTGGTTTTTAAACTAATCACTAATTTTTGGGGGAAATTTGGCAATTTTTGAGGGGAGGAAGAAACAAAACTTTAAATTTTTCCAGTAGTTTTGATAAACAAAAATTGTCGAAAATGAACTTAAAACAGCGAATTTAAAGGGTGCGATAAATGAACGAAATTTTAATGAACTATTGACAACTTTTGAAGGAATGAGGGAGAGCAAGACTGTAAATTTGTGTCAGTAGTCAAGCTTAACAAAAATTGATGAGAAACCGAAACGTTTTTGAGAGATCTAGGGTTTAGACTTCAACGGAGCCTTCTTCGTCTTCAGCGGTGCCTATTAAAATCAAATCAAAACGAGTAATTATGAAATGAGACTTACGAGTAAAACGAACTGGAACGTGGTCTTCATCGTCGTCGACGTAAACCACATCGTAGTTGCCAACGGTGGTTTCTTCCAAAGTGAAATCGTAAGCCGTCTGGAAGGTGTCTTGGGCCTCGCTTGAGCCTTCAATCTCGACGGGTGGCGCTAAATCCGAATAGTCAACCAATCAACTGTCAGCTTAACTTACGTAATTCGCGGCCGACAAGTTCGCTCAAATGATCGCGAGCGGTGTGGACGTTTCTTTCCGCTTGAAGACGCATCTCGTTGATTTCTTCAAGAAGAGATCGAAAGGCACATTCAAAGCACATGCGGGGTTGTCCGTCGGTAAGATCTCGTCGAGTGCGCTGGAGAGGGAAAGAGGTCTGCGAGGGAAGCTGAGGTCCGATGACAGCGTGATTTTTGACAACTTTGTCCTCGGTGGCGACTGAGATCTTGCCGGTGATGAGCAAGGCGCTGAAGATGAGAGCGCACATCGCGATTCCGACAAAGCCTCCGAAAAGGATGAAGGAGCTTTCACGCACGGTGAAGCATCCTTTGCGCTCCTCCTAGATTATTTTTGTAAATATAAAAATTTTTTAAATTAACTTGCTACTTACTCGGAATCCGTTAGCCGAAGCCAGGTTCTTGAACTGTTGCGCAGTCATCTGGTTCAAGTCGAAAACAGGGGCGTCCTCGACAGAACTCATAGAAGAGTTGGAAATCGAAGAACCAACCTCTACTTCTACCTCACTAGCGCTAGATTTTCCCATTAAAAAGATGAAAATTTTCTCTTTGATCACCTGCTGCTAGTGAGAATTTCTCGGGAGCGGCGAGTCTTGTTGGAAGCGACAGAAACAAGGTCGTCTCTCGATCGGTTTTTAGCCATGCTCACTATTGCCTCCTTCTTAATTAAAAATAGTTTACAGTGAGAATTGTCGGCAAGTTTGATAGAAAAAATCAATGTCAGGCGATAAGGTTTCTCTTTTTCTCCGCTTTGAAAATGATGGGAAATTCCTTTCTCAGTGTTTTTCTCCTTTTCCGCGATATCGCGCCACCGCCCTCTGAATCTCGAAATACGGTTTTCCCTAACCGCCTGCAAAGGAATTTCTCACCGATGATTCGCCGAAACTCCCAGTGCTAATCCCTTTCGAAGAAATTTTGAAATTAAAACGCGCAATCATAACCCTGCCAAACATCAAAACAAAACTTTTTTCTTGCAAAGAAGAGTGATAACACTAGATTTTTTTTCAGTTTTTATTCATATTCACCGAGAAGACATTCAAGATCGTTCAAAATATATCGCATATTTTGTGTGACTTCGTTGCCACGAAAGATTATTTCGAAAAATCGACTATAAATGTACATAAAATGTCGTCTTAGCTCGCTCAAATCCAAGTGATCCATGTAATCTTCAAAATTGTTGACAGCTTCTTCTTCTCGCTCAAGTCCGTTTAAAATTCTTTCATGATTTATGTTACGAACATTGTTATTTGAAGAAAAGTTATTGTTCGAAGTTGAAACCATTTTTTTTGTTATTTCACATTCTGCTTTCCTGCATTTTATAGCTTAAGTTATAGCGCCATTCGATCAATAAGAACAAACACAGATTTGACTGAATAAAGATTTTCTTCAGACAAATTACAGTAAAAAAGAATATATGTTTATTGTTCGAAAATTGGAGAAGTATACATTGGTCCAATAGCGAACAGATGAGCCGAGGTTTCCAGGACGCATCCAAATTGACCACTGGCCAACTCAGCTTCGAGCAGATCAAGTTCTGCCATGTCCCTATTAAAAAGGAACACGGCAGTGTTCAGCGCTTGCGCCAAGGTAAAAACGCCGGCAAAGTTTACAACCGGAGCTAGAACGATATAAATATAAATTTTTGAAATCTATCTCTTACCGGCGTCTTCCATGGGGCAAATGGAGAAAGTTGGAGGTGTTGACCTCAAAGTGTCCGAAAATCGGGGGTTCGGCACAGTCATCGGGCCGTCAATGTAATATCGAAATAGATAATCGATAGGTCTTCGAGGGGCAGGGCGTCGTCGAGGACGTCGTCGTGGTCGCGGAGTAGGCTCTCCTTCGCCGTCGCTGCTGCTGCTGCTGCTGCTACCGCCACTTGAACCAGCATCGTCGCCGACGAATGCCTTTATTTATTTTATTCAATTAATTCAAAAAATGAAAATTACCTGGTTCAAGTCGACTCGCCGCTGTTTTCTTCGCTTGACACGAGCAGGCGCAGGATCTTCTTCCTGGGAAGATTCCCCGTGGCCTTCAGAAAGCGATGTCTGGACTGTTGTATCCGTCAGACTTGAAAGCAACGGTCCAGAAGTAAGGGAAGAGTTGGCAACTCCGATCCATCGAGCAAAGTGCCCCTGTTCACCTTTTGGAAAGGGGGTGAGGACGGGCGCCGGAGCTTAATTTATAATCTCAAAAATGAGAAGCTAAAAGTATTTTACCTTTTCGAACGACGCCTTCAACAAGGCGAGCTTGTCCCTGTCCTCGTTGCTGTCCGAAGGTAAGCCCTCGTTCGGTGAGCTGATTAACCAAGTCATCAGCTCGACGTCGAACAATTTCGTTGCGAACTAATTAAAAATAATTGAAGAAAAATCAGTCATTTTACCGAAGGGCGGGACTCTGGAAAGATCCAGTTGCGAGACGAATGGAAAACGTCGCTCAGGAACTTCCGGTGGTCCTTCTCTCGGACCTTGGTACCATCGGGGAGCGTCGTTTCCAGCAGGAGAATCTACTTGATAAATTGAAATTTGAAAATTTAAAATATTTACCGCTTCCTGAAGTGTTGGAACTATAAAGACCAGTCGAATCCGGGACGTTGCCAGTTCGGGCGCCTTCCGCAGCTTCCGCCTTGAGAATTAACTCTCGAAAAGCATCTCGAAGAGCCTTCACGTGGGCGGTGACACTCTGGAAAAATTAAAAATTTTTCGTTTCTTTTACTTACTCTTGTAGTTGGACGGGTCATCCCAGTAGTCGCGCTATTCTTTCCGAAAAGCGGCGCTTTGTTTAAGTCAAATACTTAAACTGACTTTTTTTCGATTTTGGTCCTCAGCAGAACAACAATTCTAGAGAAATTTTACCAAAATCTCCATTTTCGTTTCGAGAAGCTTCCATTTGTGTTTTCATCATCTAAAATCAATTTTAAACACTCGTGACTAGTCCCTCGAGGGTTTGGGCGCACACCTGAGGCTAAATTGTACGTGATGCAATTTGAATACGTGACAAGTTCAAAGTTCAAGGTCAACAAGAGATTAGTCAAGTTCAACGGGGGATTAGTCAAGTTCAACGGGGGATTAGTCAAGTTCAACTAGGGATTAATTTCAAGATCGGCCAATCAGAGCACAGGATTAAAAAGATTATCCCCTGCCTCTGGCCAATCAGCGATAAGTCCGCCAATATGAATGAGCCAATCAGAGCATGTTTCAGCGAATTTTCTGAGGCAAAACCCCGTTCAGGTATATTACTACTACCATCCTTAGCGGTAAGCTCTGAAGATATCAAAGTGTATAGTTGAAATCAGAAAAAAATTTTCTTACCTTGATCACCCTCCGAAGAGTGAGCCATAGCGGCACTGAATTGTTAAAAAAATAGTTGATAATTTTATGCTGCATCTAACCTGGCGAATAAAATCAAGTGAATTCTCATTAAGGCGATGCACGAATAATATGCTCTAGGCTAAACACGCACCTTATATCCTGGACTCATGGAAAGATAAATTTTTAATACAAAATCTGCTCGCAATCGATGCACCGATGTTTTCCTGTAAAGAAAAGAGCAATATACGTTTTATTTCGTAAATGCGTTTAAGTCTCGGAGCAGCCAGCTCTGCAGACGAGGACAGGCATAATTAATTACGCGTTCTCAATTCATTAAAATCTTAATAAGACCGAAGAAGGTATTGAAAAGATTATTCACAGAAATTCTGTATTAAAGAATTATGTCAGCCGGAAAATGACGCAGAGCCCAGTCTGCTTTTCCCGTCAGAAATAAATCTACATCATTTGAAACAACTTTGCCGCTGAAAAACAAAAAAATGGCGCGGAAGAATATATGTAAAGCTTTTCCGAAAGAAAAATAATCTATTTTTCAGACAGTTGTCGGATATCGCCTTTGTCCTATTAATAATAGGCTATTATGAAAGATGTCGACAAATTCAAGAAAGGGAAAGAGATCAAGAAAGACATCAGTTAATTGCAGACATCTATCGGAATAATATTTTCTTCTCAAGCGATAATATTCTGCATCAATAAATTCCTTTGAAGTTTCCGATCGTCGTTGATTGTTTCTAACTATACAGTTAATTATGGAATTTTTGGACACGATTTTCTCAAAAATGTCAAAAAATTTGAGACACGCTTGATAATTCAGAATTGTCAATTACAGTCTTTGATAGTAGTACTCTCATTACGAGACTATTAGTATTAGATAATTTCAAAAAAATTTTTGCGGGTCCGGAAATCATAAAAAATCTAAAAGTGCAGTTTTCTTCAGCTCGTCGAGACGAGTCGAATGATGGGTCAAACTTTTGATGACTCCAATGATTAACCGGTTAGCCGGCAATTTCCCGGAAAATACATTTCCGGTCGCCGTTTTTGTTCTAGAAATGCTAGAATGACAAAAAAAGCGGGAAAATGGTCCTTGAAGTTAGTTCTTCTGTGGGTGAAAAAATGAGAATCATATCTCTAACTATAAGATGCTTATCACCAAAATTCTATTTTCTTATGAAAATGGGACCGAAAATTAGGAAGGTGCAGCAACAACGAAATACATACAAAATTTAGAATTTTTATCGTTTAAAAAAGTTTCGCTGTATATTTGACCAATATCTTTTTGCCCACAGTAGAACTTACCATAAGGATCAGTTTCCGGGTTCATTCATCATCCTAGCATTTCTAGAACAAAAACGGCGACCGGAAACGTATTTTCCGGTAACCAGCCGGTTAACCGGTCAATCCTTGGAGTTATCAAGAGTTTGACCCACCATTCGACTCGTCTCAACAAGCTGAAGAAAACTGCACTTTCAGAATTTTTACGATTTTCAGACCCACAAAAATTTTTTTGAAATTATCATTATAATTCACTGTTAGAAAATTTTAACCTACTTTAGTAGTAATGCTTCATTACTGGGCCAGTAACACTGGTTAAAATATATTCTTTGAGTTTCAACTGCTTTTTTAAAAGTGTTAGCAGTGCAGAGATGGATTCAAAGGTTGGAAATGATGCACCGTCCAGCGATTTCAAATGATGACTCCTTCTTTATTCTTCAGTTGCAATCAATTAGTCGTCAATTTGCGTAAGCCACATCCTGTGGATTTTGACGTGCTGTCCATTGCTAATAACTAGAGCCAAACGAGTCGTTTGTCGCTGTGAATACGTTACAGCGCTCCGCTCAAAGCCGATAAATGAGCAGTAAATGCGACATGGAGCACTTTGACGACATCCTCAATTCCCAGAAACAATAGTTTAAAAACCAACTTTTCGCTTGCTCCCTCCCAGAATAAAAAAAAATCCGAGAAGCGAAGGAAATATTTAGAGAAGCGATGATGGCGAACGACAAGTGCGGCGCATCCCTCTGCACACAGGTAAGTGCAATAATCTTGTCGAAAAGACATCTTGCGGCAGTTCTACAAATATAGCCAATAAACCGATTCGGCGGGCAAATAATATTGAAAGATAATACTCAATCTTCAATTCTGACCAAAAATTTAACCTCGGCATCTCATAAATTTCCAGACAAATGGAGTAGAAAGTTCTTTGAAGCCTTCTAAATATAATTTCCCAAATTTAACACCAATGATTGTCGAGATAAAATACGGTGATTTCCGTCTAAAACTTTGCAGAAAGTGGCATGATAATTTGTTGCTGCAGTCATTAAAACACGGGCAACTCGAACTTTTGCTTTATAAATGAACTCATAAATGTATTCGGAAGAGCATATTTCTCGATCATATCGGCCACAGATTTTTGATCCACTTTTCTGTTTTAGTTTTATTAATTTTTACTGTTTCGTTGATTAAATTTTAACGTTAAAACGCCTCACTAGCACGGTAAGCTACAATAATCCTTTATAAACATTTTAATCCTTGTTGGATTCTACTTTTTTCTCCGAATCCGTCTCCTCAATATTTTATTTAACTGGAACTTACAGTGTTACAATCGCATTCACATGGACGGGCAGAGCCATGAAGGATGTAAATGGTTACTCGGACTGAAATACTGCTGTCAGAAGCACTTGCGCAGTTTCATTGGCATTTTCAATAGCAGACAGGATGAATGTCTACCTTTGGAGACATTGATGAAGAAGACGCCAAATTTCAACCCAGAGGCAAGCTCGAGAATCCCAGATGAAGTTCTCGATGAAAGAATTTCGGAAGTCATGGAAAGCTCCCCACATGAAGAGGTAAATGATAATGCTTTAAAATTGAAATCATTTCTTTTTTGTTCAGACTTGTTTCGAAACTTCGGTAAGATCAAGCTGGTATTCGGACAATTTGATTCGCTTCTTATGGCTCTCCTTTATTGTTGTCTCCTGCTTGACCCTATTCATCTCCTACGTTATCTTCAAGTATGCTGGAAGTACTTGTTTCTTGGTTTAACATGGTTCTAGGAGAAGGCATAACAACGTCCTTAGCAGTTCCAGGAGGAGTCTGGAAGCCAACTACCCTGGTTCCTGCCCATCGCCTCGTCGAGCAATCATCCCCTCCACTGTTATTGGAACACAGATTTGTCTTCAAGTATGCTTTGAATTGATCTAAGTGAAATACCTTTTCGTTAAGGCATCTGACTCCCAGGATCCGCTTCTTCCTTCTGAGAGAAAAACTTACCAAGACAACCCTTCAACCAAATAAAGCCATCTTTTTTGTAAAAAAAACAAGTTTATTGATTCGGAAAGGCGCTAATATTAATAACAGGATATCGGCGAATGTCAAGTGTCGCTGAACTGATGTTTCGCCAATTGTTCGGTCTTCCTTGATTGCAGCATAATTTATCGAAGCGTTTGACATTAATCGTACGTCTAAAAGAGGGTTGTGAAAGGCTAAGTGTTGGATTTTACGGAAATTTTTTTGTTTGCAAACAGTTCTTCTTTCAGCGATTTCTCTTTCCTTGTCATTGCAGGTGGTCGCTTCATTATTCTCTTGAATGCATGAGTCGTCTTTGCTTGAGTTTATGATTTGCAGAAGTTTGCAAAAACTTTACCGAGTACTTCAAGATACAAAATGAAAACTGAGTCCTTTATCGTAAGATAGATATTCTTGACGAGCCAGTACAGAAAGTTATAAACAGATGCAACCATGAAATCGGCGACAGCTAACAATGTCGCTTGAAAGGGTTCGTTCCACTAACCGCTAGCGTGTCCTTGCATAATTTTCAAAAGTAAACAACTATTTTGTTTTCTAACAATGGCAGCCTAGAGGTATCTCTGGCTTCCGCTTAAATTCTAGCTTAGAGGCTTAGCCTTGGCTTCTAAATGTATAATTCCAAAGTTTAGAATCTAACCTAAGCAAAATACGAAAAATATCTTGACTGGCCTAATTTACTGCAAGGCGGATTAGTGCTTGAAAAACACGTTTTGCGAAGGTGTCTGCGTCCAAATAATGAAGTGGCTGTAGCCCGTCCTATTGACATGCCGAGCATAAATCCAGCTGTACCTCCGACATCCGCAACAAACTGAATTGGCGAATGGAGCGAATCAAAAGCAGAATTCACTTTGGGCTCACCTGCATCGGCGTGATGTCAGCCTTTTCCTGCAGCTCGAATTCGGCTTCCTTTTGTTTAAGGTTAAGCCCAAGAAAAGGCAGAACAATAATCAAATCGCAAGATAAGAAATCTTATTTCAAAACGAGGCTCAACCCGTTGTCCTCTAAAACTACCATCGCCGTCGTCACTTTGATTTTGAAGCTGGTCGTGTTCTCGTTCACTTTCTCGCAGCGCTCCTCATCGCTAGTCGGTACGCCGAGCTGCTTTAGTTGATCCACATTGTGCTCGTGAATCCCGTCGAAAACGATGTTCATTTTGTAGCTTATGTCGGAGCACTCCACCGGGCAGTCGCAGATGATTTCGTGCTCGTGGATCTTCATCATGCAAAATATTTGCTAATTAGAGTTAAATTCGACCCTTTTTTGGTGTTTTATTTTCTGTTAAATCAGGACTCTGGATGTCGGATTCCGTCAAATAGAAAATTACCTGCTGAATCGTGCAAGTTAGATACTTCGTATCGTCAAGATGAGAGAACGTGTTATTCCACCAGGGCATTTTACCAAATGGGTCAATCGTGTGTCATGCCGCGTTGATGCAAGTGAGGAATCAATCCGCTTATCTGAGTCTTACTTCAGCGACCTTTTCGAGAAGGCCCAAGCACTTTTTAATTATTCGCAGCTGTCCGTTTCCGCGTTTCCGACTTCTAATTTTTTTCGCGGGTTCATGTTTATATAAGAAAATAATAATTAGCTGTTCTAACAGTAAAAGGGGGTCAGAGGTCGGCCTACCCGTTCTTATACTATCTGCTAATTAGAGAAGTTCTCTCTCTCTTTGAATTATTCAAGTCTTTTTGCCTGAAAGTAGAATCTTTTTTGAGAGATTAAAATTTGATACCAATTATCGGAATGAAAGAGTTTTCTATTTGACCAAGTTCAGATTGTGAACGTAAGCGCTGGCAGGTGCCATTCTATTGCGATCGAGCGCATTTGCCTGTCAAGAAACGCGATACGATAATTTATGATCTTAAGAATGTGCCACCAGTAATCGTCGAAAATCGCCAAAAATCTACTTTATAGAAGAAGGGATTACTTTTGACCATCTTTTTGAATGAAATTTTTATGATTTCTCAAACGGATCATCATTGATGTTCAAATCGACCCCGCATCAATGTTTGAGGTCTATCTTCTTCCAGCTGACACACGATCGACCCCAAGAACAGTCGCATGTTTTCGTGACGTTCATGGCATAGCACTCTTCCCGACAAGATTGACGCCTTTGCGGTGGAGAGAGTATTAGTTTGAGGGACGTGTACTCTATCTACTCACGTGTACGGCCACTCTTTGGTCGAGTTGAGGACCTTTTCAGTGCAGCGTGAGTAGGGATGCCCGAGGAACTTTTTGTGAGCTTGTTGGATGCGGTTCACCGGGACGCCGATTTGGTTGTTGACTTGGAAACGAGACGTATGCGCAACGATATTTGGCCGCTCGAACGGATTGTCTAAACCATTTTCAAAGAGAATTCGACTCTTGTTTAGATTCAGTGAAAAATTGTTAGCGAAAATAACCTTGCTGGAATTCGTCTCTAATCATCAGAGAATTCCGAAAAAATTAGGTCAATGAATTATTACAAAGTACCGGGCATAGGCTAAGCCTTTATTCGTGTTATAAGCTAAGTGCCCCTTCGTGTCCCCTTACTTGCCAATTGCGACATAATGATATGGGACGATAAACACTTACCTAGGTACATAGAGAAATCTCTGGTAGTGTGTTGACCACCAAACGTGCGGTCAGACTCATTATAAGCCACCGTGATCGTCAAGGTGTTTGAGTAGCCAGGTGAGGGCGACTTTCAGCGGTTGGCAGAATGCTCAATTCAAAGCCTCTCAAGCGTCTGATTTCCTCGGTACTGTATCGTCTCAACAGATGGCAAGGGAAAATATTCGTTAATAAATGGGGTATTTGGATAATGCGAAAGTGGATGGAATTTTATTTAACGTGAATTGAGTGTATTTTGATAATATTTAAAGTTATTTAGATTTGGGTGCTCGAGAATATCGTCAACCTAATAAACTGAAAGCGAGGGTCGAATTGCAAGCAACGTCCGTACTTTGTGAGGACTTTTGAGTGTTCAGACTTCTCGATTAGACGAATCCTTTTTGAGAGAATTTATTTGGTAACTGCGAGTTTCAAACTTGAGAAATTCACTTCGCGATAAAAGTTCGGAAAAATTTTGTATAAATTCCTCTGATCGACTAGCATCTGCTCTAGGAGAAATATTTGACAGATAAAAAGCTCTGTAACACTCGTCTGAATTCCAACTATCACGGCAGTCCATGCTCCTGTATTGGCACTGCAAGATGTTCATTCCTTGGTGCGTCTCCGAAGCAAGCGTCACCGCAAACTCCGAATCGTTGGAGTACTGGCCCCGCGAATAGCAAAATTAAAACGAACCTTCTCAAGATCGAGGAAAGTGTTTTCACGTTCCTTTTTCCATGCTTCGGAACTCTTGATCAGCTCCCAATTAACTTTGTCGTCGATTGCGCTGCCGCGAAGATAAAGTGGTCGAATAATTGTCATTAAATCTTTGCTTGGCTAGGTGATTTTTTTTCCCCTGAAGTTGAGAAGTTCAAATGACTGTCTCTCGCTAAATTTTAGAGAAGTAATTGTTAACTGAGCCTTCGTGAATGTGATTTAGAACCATTCTACTGTGCATCGAGTTCAAGCACGTTGTTACTCGCGGAAATTCCACACTTCGTCCATCTTAAAAAAAAACGCCCTTTTTTCAAGCTCAATGCGTATTTTGTCTACCTACGCCCTGGCGATAGACGGTGACCATGGAACTTGTGTATTTTGAATAGATGTTGACATTTTTGTACACCACCGCCCAAGTGTAATAAATTCCGAAAGTGGTGAAGAAGAACCAAACTACTCGGCGAATAACCGGCTCGCGGTCGTTGATTATCCATCTGATTCCTTTTTACAGGTTCAAAAAAGGAATATGCATCGCAAATGCCGATGTTTATTTCCATAAAGTCTCTTTGTGGAACCTGTTCCTGTAGGGCCATCCTCTAGCAGGACATTGATTCGCATCAGACTGGCCTTAGCGGGGCCGTCAAAGTTTCCTTTCAATCAAAGTAGCTTCTCTCTTTTAGTATACGTTTTTGAAGCCCAGTTTTTGAAAAAAAAGAAGTCTATTACTGGCTAATGAGAAGCAAAAATGAATGCAAGTTACTGTATTTCCATTTACATTTCGTCGCGTTTGGAGAAACCGCCTTCGATGCGTTAATAAATGATGCTCGGTCACTGCAAAATTTGATCCTCTCACAACAGCTGCTGCGTTTTGCATTAGAATAGGCATTACTGTATCAGAGCGGGGTGATTAAACCAAATCAATCCGGGATTGTAGGTAGTCCAGGAGCAGTCTGAACAGCTAAGAAAGGAAATTTGATTTTGCGCGGTTTTCAGCGTCAGTAATGCACCGACTGGCACCTTGTGGCTCGGCGCTTGAGCAATGCAGAATTATATGCATGACTATTATTATCGTTTTAGAACATGATTCTATTAGATTTTAAAGCGTGACGAATTCATAGAATAATTTCGTTCAATTTTTTCCTATTTTTGTACGCAAAAGACCAAAAACTCAGGTGATTTTAGCATTTTATCGGATAAAAAAAACGATTTTAGCCTTACTAAAAAGTTGGTGAGCTTTGTTTTTGTGTTAAACCGCTTTAAATAGCGTCATTAATGATAAAAACATCAAAAAACCTTGAATTGCATGTTTTCGAAAATTCTTGGAAAAGAGAGAATTTCTCTAGAAATGAAGTTGTTGTGAGGGCCCGATTTCTCATTTCAGTCAGTTCCCGAACTTGTCGGGTCCGAAACGCGCATTTTAACGGGTAAGAAATTGCGTTTTTTGAGATTGAACGAAATACTGACTTTTATTTTTAGTCTTACCACCGCGGCCAATTTCAATAAGGAATAGAAATTCCAAATCCTTACCTCCCATGTATTTATGATCGTTGGAAAGAGCGTAAAAAGTTACGTCAGAAAAAAATATTTCTAGAGGCTGAGTCATCACAAATGACGTCATGGCGGCTGGTTGAAGTTCCAAAAGCCCAAAGGTTGGGTCCCCTCTCATTTTTTTTCCACAAATGGAAAATTTGAGTTAAATACAGGAAAATGATCGCCTTGACCTACTCTAGGTGAAGAGCTATATTTTTCGGAAAAAATTTTGAAAAAATCGAAAAAAAATTTTTTTTTCTAGAGTTGGATCTTTCATATATAGCTCTTCACCTACAGTAGGCCAAGGCGATCATTTTGATATATTGAACTCAAATTTTGCATTTCTAGAAAAAAAATGAGAGGGGACCCAACGTTTGGGACTTTTGGAACTTCAACCAGCCGCCATGACGTCATTAATGATGACTCAGCCCCTAAAACTATTTTTTTCTGACGTAACTTTTTACGCTCTTTCTAACGAGCACAAAAACATGGGGGGTTAGGATTTGGAATTTCTATTCCTTATTGAAATTGGCCCGCCAAAATACTCCAAAGGGAGTAGTCGAATCTCAACGATCTCCTGGAAAGGTGGTTTGAGGATCACAGATATCCTAAAAAAGGGATAGCGAAGATGATGATGGTGGAAAACTTTCCTCCTGAGTCTAAATCCTGAATAAAATCAATTTCTTTCACTAATTGTCTTTGTCTCTTTCTTTTGCAGGTTGTTAGCTTAGTTACGCGGTCGATCTCGTAGTTTTGCGGTTAATTCAGTAGTAGTGCGGCTATAAATTAATGCCAATGCGCTGAGAGGCGGACATTCAAACCAATCGGACATTCAAACCGATCGGACATTCAAACCAAAACGGACATTCATAATATGGTTTGAATGTCCGATCGGTTTGAATGCCCGATCGGTTTGAATGTCTGATTTTTTGCGTCAATGGTTTGAATGTTCCTATTTTTTTCGCAGAAAAGACGAAAAAAATGTTTGTGAGGTTATTGGTTTCCCCCTTTCTGAAAGATTTTTCAGAATAATGAAAATTTTTTACTTATTTACTTGTTACCGAAAATAAAAGATATGACTAGGCTCTAAATCAAAATCTATATCCTTGGTTCATTTCTTGGTGTAGGGCGGCTTCGTTCGCAATTTCGTTCACAATAACGCCGTTCGTAATCTTGCGAACGCCGTTCGCACCGAAAAAAAATCTTCCCGTGAGTGTGCGCTACGCGCACTTTCTGTTAGAGAACTCGTTGGCTTGGCAGGAGCAGTCTTTTTCTACCGCTGGGACACATTTTGAAAAAAGTTGTGAACGATTTCCGGCCAAAAATTTTTCGATTTTGCGAACGAAGCCGCCCGCCACCCTCATTTCTCACCAAACTCTTACTGTAGATCCTTTTAAAGGACAATTACAAGCAATGAAAAATAAAACTAGATATTTTCCGAAAGAATTTTATCTTCGCCCTTTTTTTCGTGGGTTTTGCTGAGAAAAATGCACTTATGTCAGTCAAATCGACTTTTATCAGCCTTCCCATATTATATGGGCCATATATCGATTTTGCTCAAACTTCATAATATGATAGTTGACTTTCTAATCTTATCATAATTGAAAAAATTTATGATTTGGGGATGCTTTGAGATTTTCTAGCGCCTAAAAGTTGACTGAAACTATCAGATACGCAAATTTAAGAATTTCAACTTTTGTTCTAGGCGTGTTATGATTACGATCCATAACTTTTTTGAACCTAATGAATCACTGAATTCATTCTGGCGCTTCGTCGCGGTTCAAGCCTTTAGAAGGGTCGAGACCCAGCAATACGTATATGATATACGGTATATCGAAATGTCTATTTTTTGATAAAAAGGGTAACCGGTGAAAATATTTCGTTGGAACGAATAATTCGTTAGAAAAACGAATAATTCGTTATATAACGAGCCAAAGTCCTATAGAATCCGAATCTATATGCGCTCCGCGCCTGATTTGATAGAGAAGCTCATTTTCGAGGATGTTATCTTTCTACCTAACCGCGCAAACAGTCAGTAAAAACATTTTTTACCGAGGGTAACGAATTATTCGTTGAAACGAATTATTTATACCGGCGACGATAAAAGTCGAACCATCATATTTTCGAATCGAGCCACTTGGATGACCGACCAGGGGTTCAAAAACGCTATTAATACCCACAAAATGATGTAATATGTATATCAAAATGCTTCTCTGCTCATAAGGAGTCTTTAAAACAGATTTTAAACCCAAACCACTTGGATAACCGCCTGGTTATTAGCGGTTCAGAGTGTTTCACGCTCTTGGTATCAACAAAATGCTTGTATATATTTATCGAAATGATTCTCTACTCAAGAACAGTCTTTTTAACAGATTTTCGAACTAAACTACTTGGTTCAATGGAAGGTTGCAATTCGTCTGGGAACGCTTGTTTTGAAATCTAAAATAACATGTTCTAGAGATTTTTTAGGAAAAATGAGGCGCGAAGGTAGAGAAATTTCAAAAATAGAAATCATTTTTACCACAAAAAACTTCGATTCGGGGCATAACAAATTTCGGAGGAATAATGCAAAATCCTCAAGAACATGTTATTTCAGACTACAAAACAATCGAACCAAGACTAATTGCATACTTCCGGTTCAATGACTGGTGAGTCGTGGTTCGAGACAGTTCATCTTCTATTCACAGTCCTTTTTATACGATTCAGTCTACAACGGAGCCAAGCCGACCTGAAGGGGAGGCCAGTTCCGTTCATACAATTCAGTCTGCGACGGGGCCAAGCCGACCCGGAGGGAGGCCAGTTCTGTCTATACAATTCAGTCTGTGACGGGGCCAAGCCGACCCGAAGGGGAGGCCAGTTAAGTTTATAGAATTCAGTCTGCGTCGGGGCCAAGCCGACCCGAAGGACAGGCCAGTAACGTTTATACAATTCAGGCTGCGTCGGGGCCAAGCCGACCCGAAGGGGAGGCCAGTTCCGTTTATAGAATTCAGTCTGCGACGGGGCCAAGCCGACTCGAAGGATAGGCCAGTTACGTTTATATAATTCAGTCTGCGTCGGGGCTAAGCCGACCCGAAGGGGAAGCAAGTTACGTTTATATAATTCAGTCTGCGTCTGGGCTAAGGCGACCCGAAGGGGAGGCCAGTTCCGTTTATGCATTTCAGTCTGCGTCGGGGCAAAGCCGATTCTCTTCGAGTCTTATAAACTAAACTGGCCTCCCCTTCGGGTCCGCTTGGCCCCGTCTCAGACTGAATTAAAAAAACGGAGCTGACCCTCCTTCCGGTCGGCTTGGCCCCGTCTCATACTGTATAATATAAACTAGAATGGCCTCACCTTCGGGTCAGCTTGGCTCTGTCGCAGACTGAATTGTATAATCGTGACTGGTCTCCCCTTCGGGTCGGCTTGGCCCCGTCGCAGACTGAATTTAATAAATGGGACTGGCCTCCCCTTCAGGTAGGCTTGGTAAATTGGACTGTGAATAGAAGATGAACTGTCTTGATCCACGACTCACCAGCCATTGAACCAAGTAGTTAAGTTCGCATTTTGTTGATTTGTTGAGCATTTTGTTGATACTCTGAGCATGAAAAACTCTGAACCGCTGCTAACCGGGCGGTAAGCGAAGTGGTTCGGGTTGAAAATCTGTTTAAAAGAGTTCTTTAGAGTAAAGAACCACTTTGATATACATATTTAAATACTTGGTGAATATTTAGAGCGTTAACCGCTTTAAACCGCTGTTAACCGGGCGGTTATCCATGTGCTTCGGGTTAAAAAACTGTTTAAAAGACTCCCTATGAGCAGAACCATTTTGATATACATATTTAAATACTTAGTGGATATTAACAGCATAAACCGCTTTGTGCCGCTCTGAACCGGTCGGTCAACCAAGTGGTTCGGTTCGAAAGTCTGATAGAACGACTAATTATCAAAAAAAAATAAATTTTGATATACATATTGCCGGATCTCGACCATTCTAAAGGCTTGAACAGAATGACCAGCTGGTTCCGAAAATATCATCTCGATGAATTTATTGATTCATAAGGTTCAAAAAAAACAATTGATTTTTATCATAGCACGCCTAGAACAAAAGTTGAAATTCTTGCATTTTCGTATCTGGTAGTTTCAGTCAACTTTGAGGCGCAAGAAAATCTCATAGGATCCCCAGATCATTAATTTTCTTTCAGTAATGAAAAGATTTGACACTCAACTATCACATAATTAAGTTTGAGCTTAATCGATATGTGGGAAGGCTGATATAAAACGACTTGACTGACATAAGTGCAATTTTTCTAATCAAAATCTATCAAAAACTAGCCAGGCTAGTCTAGCCTCCATTCTCAATCTTTAGGATGAAATAAAATGCGCTTTTAATTTTTTATATTATTTCTTCTGAATAAGTCGCCAAAGTCTACCAGTTATTGGAAAAAAATTTTTTGGTGATTCGCAGAAAAATCTTTCAGATAGGGGGAAACCAATAACCTCATTAACATTTTTTCAGTCTTTTTTTGCGAAAAAAACTGGACATTTAAACCACTGATGCAAAAAATCAGACATTTAAACCAATCGGACATTGAAACCAAAACGGACATTCATAATATGGTTTGAATGACCGATTGGTTTGAATGCCCGATTGGTTTGAATGTCTGATTGGTCTGAATGTCCGCGACTCCAATGCGCTCATAATTACGGTTGAGTAACACGTTTACGATCTGTTTTCTACAGAAGAAGTACCGTGTAGGAGTGAGGACCTGCGGTAAGTTGCTATGATTTAAGAATAGAGATAAAATTTTTGGAAGGGAGACTGTCCCATTACCAACTCTTTGAATTTCTATTGAAAATAGTTCATAATAATCAGTTTTTTTTCATAATTATACCTTTCAAAGACAAATAAGACCTTATGGCAATCTGAAGATCATAATTTAACACATAGAAAATGCAAAATTAGTTAAAGGGTATTTGATTGTAAAGAAAAATGATGAAGAGGAGCATTATTCTAGCTTTTTCAAGGGCAATTTTGGCTCATTCTCGCTCACGAGCTCCTTTTGGTGGTATTTTGACAATAACAACTCTAGAGATCAAGAAATCAGAAATTTATGTGATCCTCAGTGTCGGCTGGAGTTTGCTACTAAGCGAATCACGAAAACAGCTGCTATTTCTAAATAGCCTATTTGCAATAGTATTTGAACTCTGAGTTCCCTACTTATGAGCTGAATTTTGCAATGAAAACTGCTTTTCCTAATTCAAGACACAAAGACTTAAAATATTAAATTATTTATTCTGCTCTTTATCGAGCATCAGGGTCGACTTAAATGAATATGTACAGTAATGGGACGAAAGTTATTTTGAAATAATATGTACAGTTTGATATTGTTTGAACAGGCGATAAAAAGTTTTTTTTCTTTCATGAAAGAACTTTGTTTCATTGGTACTCTTTTACCATGGGCAGTAACAGTACATGAGTTGTAAAGAAAATATACATCTTTGATTATTGTGCGTGCCATCATCAGAAAGTTTTTCTGACAATTGAGAATTTAAAAAGACTTAGAATTTCATAACTCGGAGAGGGAGCTTCGCCTTAGACGAAAAGAATATTTGACGATTTTTCTTACTGATACAGGGTTTCTCAGCTTTTTATAAGATACTATAAAAAACTAAAAGCATTAATAGCATTCTAAATTATTTAATAAAAAGCGGTCCAGCTTAGACTGAATTCCAGCTCTAAAACTAAGCATGCGATTTAAAAGCTAAAAGTGACAATCTTGGATTGTTTCTTGCTTATGACTGAAGAGGAAAATGAATCTGATTAGAAACCAGCCTTAAATTGTCGGAAAGCTTCGAAAGGACGAAGACAGGGACACATTCGAAGCCATTGTCGCCGAAGTTGATGTGGCCGAGGAGTGGATAGTTGGTGAACTTGCTGACGGCAGAAGGATCCAACTGAAGGTCGGGGTTGCCACTAAAATCGTCATATTTATGAAACTCGAAATGAGAAAATAGAATGATTGTGGATGCGAGATATTTCAGGTCAAGGAGGTGCACGCAAAAGCAGATTTCGCCGCGTTCGTGGAAAAAGTAATTGATCGCTTATCGCGTGCGACATGCTGTCAGTGTAGAAGTGACATCGGCCACCGCAAGTGACATTGACCCGCCGCTCGGCAAAATTTTATTGTGGCAGTCTGACGTGCTCCAAATTCTAGCTCACTCTAATCTAATCGTCAGTCAAGTAACGTCAAAACCATTCAGAGATCCTTCCCGGTTCGGACTCGTTAATTTTCTATATTAGAACTGCGCTAGTTTTAGATGTTATAGCAAAAATATTGGAATTTTTGTTTGATGGTTTCATTTTGAATGAACAGATCTCGATGATGATTTTTACCTGACATCAACTTCGAGAAGCTTAGGTTTGGCGAACTGGCAAAGTCTTTCGATGAGTGGTAGCTGGGTAATTTTGTTGTTGGCGAAAGTGATTCGCTGGACGAGTTTGATTGCTTTGAACTCGATGAGGTCCTTTCTTCCTTGGAAGGGCCACTTGCCACTCTTTGATACGGACTGAAGATATGCCGTTAAAATTAACATAACTATATGAGTACTGTACATTCAGGTAGTTCTTGATGTCATCATCGTCCCAGTTGAGTCCAGAGCAATCGAGTGCCTTGGCTCTGTTGTTGAATTTACAGGCAGTATGCACGGGCTCGCTCTCGGGGTCATCTTTTTTCCAAAGATCGATGTTTAGACCGGGGAAGGAGGAGCAAGGGGCGACGTTTTCCGTTGCTGTGGAGACGTGGAAGGGATTAATAGCCATCAGATCCGTGTCGAGCATAGACGCTCCATTTCGCGCTTCAAATGTGGAGCAAGAAACGGATGCCAGCGTTTGTTCCTTGATATTCAGCATCTGTTCGACGCTGAAAACGCCAAAGTTCTCAAACCAGAATCGATCGCCCTCCTTAACAGAATCGGTCAATTTGGAATTCGAAGTTGGTTACGTGTGTAAGAAAAATGATCGGACTAGAGATTATTTAGCTAGGAGCTTTAGAGGTTGCACGGGAAAACGCTCTCGGCATTGGCCTCGCGATACTATTTGAACAAGATGGATGAAGATATCCTGATGTGAGACTGTTATTATGGTGCTCAGGGAACGGATGTGATCCCTCCGGATTGCGCCCATTTAGGGGCTACTCCTTCACTTTTCCAAAACACGGAGTTATTTAGAAAACCAACTTGTCTATCAAGCATTTTCATAGTTAGATACCTTGAGCGCGACAAATTGCTCGGCAATAACGCATCCAGCGGTTGGGCCAACGGTTCCTCCTGGCATATGCTTCTCCAGTTGCATGCCAACGTACATATCTATATAATCGTCCTGGGTCTTACCTGCGGGGACCAGATTCTTTGCAATATAAAAATCTCTAACGGTGTTGATTTGCTCTTTTGAGTGGAAAAGATTCTCGTCAGACTGCATGTTTTTGTAGAACTTCGTGTAGACGGCGTGACTTTTGCAGAAGGTCTTGATTGCTCCGTAAGATCCGATCCCATGCTCTCGGCCACGAGCAATGTTGATGGCGGCCAAGTCCACTCCATGAGCTGCATTGTGAGGCTAAGAATAATGTTAGTGCTGTGAATGATTTCGCAATTGCATTTGCAAGTTAAGCTGCAAGATACAGCTGCGAGGCATTGTGTCAGGTTCAAAAACTCTCAACTTGGGTTTCCACTCTTCCGTAGAAAAGAAGTGGCTCACTGGCGATAAGCCGCCGTAATCACAAGGGTGATATTCCAAGGGAAGAAAATATTTTTACGGTGTGTTGGAATCGTGTTATTATTTGCACTCAGTTGCATTATTGCAAATAGTTTAATTGAGTATTTTCCCCTTGCTTTTTCAAACGGATACTGAAGTACGTTATCAAAGTATTGAGAGCAAATGCGCTCAGCTAACACAATTCCAATGTTATCTCCCACTCAGCGGGGGGCGAAGCGTTATCTTATCACTCGTATTCTGTGTTTCGACCAATCTATCTATGCCCGTAATATTAATCGCTCACGCTCCCTCTAGAAACTGGCAGCCGAGTTCATCAGTCAATAACCGCATAAATCTGCGGCAACATAAATAATTGATTTGTACCTTGAAGAGATTGTGAGCAAGATCTTTAGAAAAGGTTCCATCCATTCGAAGCTGATTCATCTTCATGGCTCCTCGGAGACATCCTCCAGGTCCTTTTCGGTGGACCCACTCAGGATCGAAGAAGTTGAACTTCAAAAGACTGGATCCGGGATTTGCCGCGAGCTTGGCCTGCTCCTCATCGTTGAGTTCACCAACCGGGTGAGCTTCGTCAGCGTGAGCGTGGCTGATTGGATTCCAAGCGTGGTCCATCGCCTTCATTAGGGATGAAACTTGACCGTGCATTCGGTATCCGGCCGCAGCGAATTCGTTTCGGATTGATGGCTCCGACTTTGGTGGAGGTTGATGTTCTGACATTCTGAATGAGACTGTTAAGAAAGAAGAAAGAACAGAAGTGTTAAATTAGGTCCAGTCTGCAGAGAAGAGCAATGTTAACTAAATATTTAAGTTAAAGACAAATTTTGTAATCCGCCAATCCCTCGTAATATTTTCTTACATAATAATTCTATCGGGACTATAATATTTTACATCGCAACAAAACTTTCTTGTTAGATCAAATGTTGTTACAAGAGAGCGACTCAATCAGCAAAAAAGTGCCCACTGAGAAGAAAATGTGAAAAAAGAACGTTCCAAAAAGATAAAAGGGTTGTAATTAAATTAAGTGTTTGGAAAGTGTGATCGGAAAGTGGCCACTGTTGTGAGATAAGAGACAAGGCTCGGCCTGAACTCACTGTAGAACTGATGATAAGGCAATTATACTCTTCTTATCTTGTTCTATTGAGAGTTAGGAAAAGTAATATTTACAAATTATGTTTTGGCCTTCTATCTGCAGATAGTCCTTATTTGATAATTAAGTTTTGTGATAATTGCATTCAGTATCTACCTTTGTCGTCTAGCGAATCCTTCAGCTTCAGCCAATCTTTCCTGTTCTTGTCGCATTCGCCAGGCCTTGACTCGTTTCTTGTCGGGTCTGGTTTGGAATGGATTCCAGGGTCGTTTTCCCTGGTCCCATTCGGCTTCGGTCAGTTCCATTCGCTGCATTGATCGGGAAGAGCTCGATTTCGTATCGCTTTTGAATTTTAAATCGGCAACTTGACTCATGTTATCTCCAAGCATGCTTCGAAGAGCTTCTTTGTAGTGAATGTTTTTGTAGACACTGATGGTGATCAATCTGGCGACTTGGAAGACGTCTTCGTTGCTCCAGTCATCTCTGAGAGCGCTCAGTTGATCGACGAGGTTGTTGTGGTATCGCATGAAGATAGTCGTGAAAGAGGCGAGATAAGGGTTCTCTTCTACTCGGTTGTCACCAGCGATGAAGTCCTTGAAGTTGTCGTCGTTGAAAGTGCTGTGTTGGACGAATTGCTGGGTGAAATTGAGAAATGACGAGTCCTAAAAGATGAATTGAACGCTCAGAAATCATTATTGACGTAAAGAGGAATAATGAGTTAATAAAAGTGACAATAATGAACTAATTGATTACTCAATTAAACCATTTTTGTCATAAAACCTAAAACGCATGTCATTTTTTATGCTGGCAAAATTTTCAATGTGAGAAAATTTACGAATAAAATACCTTGATTACGATTTAATTTGCGAAAGAAAACACCAAACGCACTTGAAAATTAGAATCGATCAAACGTGTCCCGTAACGCGCGAAATTTTGAAAGAATAAAATAATCCCCGTTTGAACAAGGATTTGAAAAAAAGTGAAAGCTATGCAAAAATTATGTAAGATTACCTGAGTGAAAGCAAGTAGATCTCCCGTGCCTTGATTTCCATGTGGCCCTCCAAGCATTCCGCGGCGAGACTTGAGATGCATGCCGTCATCGTCTCTAAGCTGCGAGAGCTCGAATTCCGTTGAACCGTAAACTTGTGACAAGTCCATGAAGGCCGACTTTTGGTTCATCTGTTCTCGGACAAAGGCACCTAAAATGCAAAAATTAGCCACGTGAATCTCCATTCGTTTCTCAGAAGAAAGCTTCCTAACCCTAATGCAATACAATTTAGCTGAATACAGTAAGGACTTTAGGTGGACCAAGAAAAGTGAATTATCGTCCAAGAACTGATCTAAAAATACGGTGACGCGCGAACGAAATAGTGCAACTGAGCCACGTAAAGCTGCAATTCAGCGAGACGTAAATTTTTGCATTTTTTCAGAACTTGGAAACTACAGTCGCTTTGTGCGCGTCACATTTGAATCTCTGCAGGTGGATTTCAAAACTGATAAAAAGAATCGAGTTATTATTACCTTCTGAAGAGATATGCGGTGCTGATCGTTTGATGATCATGCATTCAGCAATGTCCCTATCCGTGAAGATAGGATCGTCAAGTGGAATCTCGACTGCTTTGCAAATATCGTCGGTGCCCTCGCAGGCACACTCTCTTGGATCTGGAACGTCTGGAGTCTGGATGATGTCGTGAGTGACAAACTGTCCCCAGAGAGGACCGACCATCGTGCGCTTTTCATCCATTGTTACTTCTCCGCCGTTATCGTTAGTCGCCGCCAAGAGAAGGGAAATCTCTCGCTCGTTCGGAAGAGCAACGTAGTTACCAACTGAAGACAAGTCGCTAATGCATCGGGGCTCGCCTTGGACAGCGGTAGATGGATTTCCTTTCTGAAGGTGAATGTTAATTGTTTGATTTCTAAGAAGGAAATTGCACGTTTTGGAAAGAGCTAAACAGTGTTTGGGTATTCGCCTGAATAGCCTTATAAAGTCGATCTGTTAATCGCCAAAGATCGGCGCTCAATTTACACGATCTGCGCTCCTCGGATTTAATAAGGCGCTTTTAGGGAAGTACCTTATCAACGACGCAGTACTCGGCCGGGACTAGTCGAGAGTATCCATCACCGACTTGTCCTCGTTTCTGTCCAGTTAGATCGTTGCCGCTTCCATCCATCGATGGAAACTTTGAAATTGTCTTTCCTTCCGGCTCAGATCGAAATTTCCTGTCAAGCTCAGCTGCTTGTGCCATGATGAACTCCGGATCGCTGAAAATTTTGTAATTTTCGATCAAAGTTTATGAAAACGTTTAGAAAAAGAAAACGAAACGATGAAGACCCTGTGAAAAATGAAAATGGCGGATGGAAATCGAGTTACGTCCCGAGCAATTTTTGATAAATCAGCGAAAATATAATTTCTCGCGGTTGTTGTCCGGTTATTTCGTTTGTGGCGATGCAGAACTGGATCATCAATAAAACTTGACGATGCGTTATCTTTCGATAAGAGAAGCTTCTTTCGAATCGATCAAAGTACCGAATAATTAATCAAATCTACGGATAATGTAAGCCTTTTAAACATTGACCTTGGCTAGAATTCCGCCGGTTTTTTATGAGGGGGGCTCTAGCTGATTTTCTATATTTTTGAATGGACAGTGGCGGTGCTCAATCTTGAGCCGATTGAATGCGGCTTTGAGGGGATGAGCAACGCCGCGGCTCGCTTAATTACGCAACTAAGTAGCAACCACTGAGACCAGACGATCACTCCCGCGGCCACTTAGAAATGTTCCGCACCCACCGATGAACATTCGACCCTATTTTTCTGTCACATGTTCTTTTCTTGACAGAGTTTTTATCATTTTTTTTGTTATTCCTTATTTTCTATGGTCTTTTTCAATTCATCAATCTAATCAGCTTCTATCAAAGACAGTCTTAATTTTACGGCAAACGGAAGAACTTTGTGTCATAAAGATTTCTGAGGATTATCTAAGGTTACCTTCTAGTTTGACTGCTGCTGACTTCTTTGTAGAGTTGCTCATGTTCTCTCTGATATTCGACGAATTGGGGTCGGTTAAAACCGTTTTTAATCTTCGACAAAGCCGCCTGGATTGAAAACATCGGGTTGACGAATCCCGAGCGCGAAGTAGGGTCCACATCTTTGAATTCCGGGCCGCGACTGCTCTCGCCTACATATATCCATTTTAAACAGGTTACGAGTATTTAGAAATTTGGACCGCGGTGCCAATTAGATTTACTAAATGTAGCCGCTTCTAATGAACATACACGCCGCTACAGACCGCTACGAGAATTTTCAAACTCGCACAGTTTTTACTCCAAATAGTTCCCCCCGAAAGTTTCGATTAAAAATATCAAAGTCTAACAAAAAAAAAAACAAACAGGGCAAAGTGGAACAACTTAGCGTTACATTTCAAAGTTTTTGGTAAAAACAGATGATCCTAACAGGAATTTGATTTTGCTAGAAATATATTTATCTGCGATTTTTCTTTTGAATTTAGCTTGAATTTTTTACGCCTTCTTTCTATACTGATCAATAAATATCAGATGTCAATTTATTGAAAAGTATGGCCCGAGATCATTCGATTACGTCTTCTAACACCTTCTATAACGTGTGAAGGATTAAAAAATTTCGCGCTGGATTCGCGCTTGAAAAAATATCTACTGAATAATTCAGTAGGTAATTTTTACCGAAGAAAATCAACTTTTTAAATCGAACTTTAAGCAATAAAAACGGGCCTGTCTAATTAGGGCTGAAATTTAACAAGGATTACTGCCAAAATAACATGTAAGAAATCGTTGAATTTAAAAAAAAATTCTCAACGCGATTTCTCAATGCACTAAATTGAGATCTAAGATAAGATAATATCATTTAGTCCATAATTTATCCGTATTCTCTTTTGATAAAAATACTTCAGAGTGTTCATAGTAAAACCAAAATTGACAAATAAATCTGCTTCTATGTGTGGTCTTATGACCAGTTCTGTGCATCAAAGTCGAGTTCTACGATCAAAATTACGGGATCTCCTTGCTGTCACACGTGTTCTACGTACCATTAGCGACCGTGGCGGTCATTAGCCACACTCCTAGCTTCATTTTAGAAAAATCTGTTTGCGCGTCGTCTGTTTAGTGTGTCCGTTCCTATCAGCTCGACTTTCTCTCTTTGACTTGATAAATAAAAAAATATAAAAATAAGTTTTTTGATGATAAATGAAAATGTAGAATCGTAACGAATGTACCGTGAGTCCCGGTTGGTTTCTTAACAGCCGTTCGGAACGGCGTACGAGCGCCCTCTGATGCGCGCCAGGACTCTCGAGCGCGCGAACGAGCTCGTCCTAAATTGAAGTTCAAGAATGTTCTGGCGCTGGAACTTATTGACAGTGGCATCAAAAATTTCACAGAAAATTTTGAGAACAAAAGTTAATCTAAATCGCTGTTTGGAGACTGTATGGGCATTTAATCGCTTCTTTCCTGGAATTCGTTTATCTTCTTTTGTAAATTACAACGCTTTTTTTGAAGGCATTTACAGAAGATCCTCAGCATTGATAATTCTTGGAATCCTCATTGCTGAGAAAACTAACGATTTCCCCCGCGTGGCTGTTTTTGCAGCTTCGTTGCTGATGAGCCGCTCAAATATCCGCTTATTAGGTTTTTCAATGTGGCTTTTTTATTATCCGCACACCTTTTACAATAAATCGTCACTGGCTCAATCATTTTAATTTAGGAAAACTTTTAAAATCACTTTTGAAAATAAATTGAAGGAACAGCCTTGTTCGAGCTTCGAACCGTTCACCTCTTGCGAACTCGATTATCACGATATTCATGTATTTACTTTTTTAGCCGTGTATCGCACGGTGGAAATTTTACTCGTCCTTCCACCGATTTTTTTGTTCTTATCTTATTCTAGTTAGTTGCAGTTATGAAATGAAAATAAACTTTTGGGGATTTCGTTTACTCACACATTGTTTACGGGTTGATTTCTTCTCGAAAGGCAGTTATTTACAGAGCAATAATCAGAAAAGGCGAGAAACGAAAATGAACATTACTGTAAGAACTTGAATTCGCGCGTAAAGCTGTCTTCCAGCACAGGACACAAGTGAACATTTCGCCATTCGCCTGGACTCGCCTTGAAAAAAAGTTGTTGATAACAAAAATCGCAATTTGAAAGAACAGCAAACCTCAACTAACGGTCTTGTATTGCTCAGATCGGCGACAACTCGTCTTTTGAGTTCTTGCAGGTCTTGGTATGGATGATCGCGTAGAGCGGTGCACACGGCGTCGGTGAAATACGAAGCCTTCTCTGGATCGAGCGGCAGAAGCGCTACATTTCCTGAACGATAAATTTGAATGAAGAGCTGATGATTCTAGAGTTGTTATTTTACCTTCTGTGGAAGCTGCGAAAAGTGCTACATTTCTTCGTAAAGGATAGGTATTCTCTGGCGGCGGGTAAATGGAATTCGCTAAAAGTTCATTTATTTCCTGCTAAGTGCTACAACTATGGACATTCACTGTTACTTACAGTGTCTGCGAGCATCTGCCATCATTGCATCTTCTGGCGGCGCGAACTCATGCATTTGTCCCCTACAAGCTTCAAGAAAGATCAACTTGGGAATATCCTTGAATTTTTCGTTTTTCAAGAGCTCCTCCAAATAGCTCCAGAGGAAAATCTTGCCGTCGGAGAAGTGAATAAAAATCCCCTCGTAGTTATCGTCCTTCATGTTTCCTTTTGTAGCGGGTGCCAATATTATCAAATTATTTGTCAAAATATTATGCGTTCAATTCGTTCTTGTGCTTTGTCATAATATCCTGCGGTTTGAGTATTAAACAAGTGGCGATAATTTAGAAACTAAATATGATTAGAGAAAATGCTTTTCTTTCACTAAAATTTTTAATAATTCCTAGATGTTGACTTATTCATAATGAAGTTATTCCATTTCACTTGCCAATAACTTAGGGTAACAATTATGTAACGAGTCTTAGAAATAATTTAGATAATGAATTATCACTAATAATTCTTTTTAACCCTTCAGCAAAAGATAAACATTTTCTTGGACATTTTTTGCGTCATCATTAAAATCAAACCCTAACCATAACTCAAACTCAGCTCAGGATTGAAGCAATTTCCCACTTCCTTGTGATCCATGAGTTTTTATATAAATGATAACTGCTCTCAGATCCTCGTTATCCTCAATTTGCTTCTTGTCGATTTTCTTCACGAATCTGCGCATGTAGTCTTTTCCCTTGTTGAGCGTGATCCTGTCTTCTGTAGTCTGCGTTGGACGGTAACCAAGTCGCGAAAATGTTTTAAACATTTTAGCCTGAATGTATGATTTCAGCCGGCGATTATCATAAGTCAGTACGGCTTTATGACGCAGGAGTGAATTGAAATCCAATTTTAATAAGAATACATTATGATACTTCGTGTTCCGCTGTTTTCTAGCAAAAAACGAAAAAACCTGCGGTAAGATGTTGTTGTTGAGTTTTGGTCATGTCACATGACTCATGTGATGATCTCTACAGAGTCTCTAGAATGTTGTTGAGGATCTATCGACGGGTGGCCATTTCTTGTTTTTTTCGCTCATTCCACTCTGGAAATTCTCAGAGTCCGGACCCGCACAATTTCAAGGTAACTTTTTCGAATTTGAAAACTCGACACTAACGACAACTTTTTAGTCCTTCAAAAGGATTCAAAATCTACAATTGCCGAGGCAGTTGTAGTCAAAATGTATTTCCGAAAAGGGAGCTCTCTTCTTACTCAGGCTCTAAATCAGGGGCCTGAATAAAATCAATTTTCCTGAAAAGGAAACTGCATGCATCAAAATCAACCTGAATAAAATCAATTTACTGTGCTCAGAAACTGTCAGTGCGAAAGTCAAAACTTTCTTTTGCACTCTTTTATGTTTCTTGTTCTTTTGCAGGCTATTTTGATAAAAAAAGAGGTCGTTTGTGTAGTTGCCTTTTGGGAGAGGGGTTCAGTTTTCAGGGTGCTATTTTCGAAAATAAACAGTTGAGTTCTAGAGCCATTTTGGAACTTAGGAAGCTTTCTTCCCAGAGTGGACTTAGTTAGCCTTATTAGGGAGTCAGCTTATCTGATTCAGATAGCCCAATTTCGAAAACAATTCTAGAGCTTTATACAAAGAATGATTGTAGTAAATCCCTATGGTAGTTGGTGAAAACGGAGTTTCAATATATATTCTCACGATGGGAAAACTGATGAAAGAAAAAGCATGATGTTTAAATGTATCTTACTCTGTCTGTATGATGATTTTTCAAGTCGGGTAGTCCATCAAATTCACCAACAGAGATGCAAAAGATGCGTTTCTTCGAGTTTTTCCCGCCCTTGACATTGAAAAACTTGTCGTCTACCGGTTCGTTTACAAGCGTTTCTTCATCGTCTGATCTCTGAGAAGACATAGGCTCAGATTTCTGTTAGTTATTCAACAGAAAGCCCCGTTTTCCCTTTCTCGTTTACGATTTACGCATACTCAGAGCTTCTTTTCATAGAGCAAACATAAAAAACGCCTCCAACGGGTCAAACAAAAAAGACTGTGAAAAACTACTGAGCATTTGAAGTGATTTTGACTCCGTTTGAAAGAATTCTAGCTTTCTCAAAATTAAGAAAACAGACCTCAGTGGGCAAACGATTTTGAGTTTTTTTCAAGCGAAGAAGTTATTTTAAAAAGAAGTTATTTTTATGGAAACGTGGGGTTTTGACCAACTCTGTCTAGTGCTCTTGATGTTTATTATAATTTTGGGTCCGAGGAAGAACTTCTTATAAACACGAGAAGAAGTGGAATTCGCAGAAAAACGTTAAGGAATCACAATTATCACTTGTAGGCAAAATACTTCTTCGCCGCGTTGCGTCGGAATTCAAGCACTCCATAATTGTGGTGATGTCAAACCAAGATGGATTTTGTCACAACGCTCCTTCTCCTGAAGAATCTGGCTGAAACTTCCATTACAGTCAATTGTTATCCATATGGAAACACGTTAAACTGGAGCAATTTGGCAGTTGATGACTTAAAAATGACGGTCTGAAATTGGAGCTGGTTAGAGATTTGTCACAGGCTCCCATTTTGTGGAGTCGCACCTGTTGCATTCTTACGTAATAAAAGAGTTTAGGTGGAACTTCTTTATTCCAGACGCAATTTCAAAGTTTCAAGCAATTTTCGCGCAAGTTAAAAATTCGAAAACGCCTCGCTCCAGCGCACGCACAGCTGCCAATTTTAGAAAATTTCTTCCGAGTACTTTTTTTTCAGAAGATGAATATCTCTCTCCGCGAATTCTCGTAAACTTATGCCGAGATGAGCTTTCAATGACCGAAAGTTTCACTGTAATCATATATAATTTTTATAAAGAGAGAATTGTGTCTACAAAGGCTTTGGTTGATATTCCTTGAATAGTGATAAAGGGGTGCCGAATCAGGAAGCATGGACCCACATTGCCCTTCCAGATAATGTTATCGCTATTTTGAACACTGGCTTGAGGAACAGGCTCGTCTAATCAACCCCTAAATCGCTTAGGCGCTTCGTTCTTTTTTTCTAAAGTTTTTGATTTAAGATTTTGAAATTTAAATTATCGGTACGCTTTATTTATTTACTGTTATTCGGGAAAGAAGGTTTTCTAACTGGCCGCGCCGGATATGAGCTTTCCAACAACAATTATGGTTGTTCGTCTTTTTCCAGTTCGGCGTCGTGTTTGGAATTTTATGCAGTCGAAGATGGGCAAGATGTGAAAGAGCCGAAATTCACGTTTGCGAGTTCGAACTTGCGTGGAAGGTTAAAATTAGACGTGATTTTGCTCTGCCGCGCGTGTCTAAACGAAATGATATTATTAACTGGTAATTTATGCTCCCGAGAACCCATCAAGGACCAAGAACTAAGACTAACCATACTATTTTCTTGTAACTCCGCCAAACACTGTAGAATCTTGTTTTTCATTCTTTGTTGTTGGAGATGAAAACTTGATTTTTCGCTTCTTGTGTTGAAATTTCTGAACATCTGCGCAGCTCCAAAACTGCCAGTTCGTTATCTGGGGCAACAATAAACTAACCAACCGAAAAAAAAGTCAGATTTTGCTAACATTTTGCGTTATGACAAGTTCAAGTGTTGCTGGTGAGCGTGGTTCTTACAAGAGAAGACTTGAAGATGTGATCGACAAGGAAGCAACTGATCAACTAGAGATCTTTAAGAAACAGGCCGATCGAAAGTTGAAACTAGAAAATGCGATTAAAAGACGAAAAACGGAAGGTTCACCATTAATTCAAAAGTGACAAATAATTTTATTGAATTATTTTAAGCGCGACGAAAGTACCGCAAAGAACGAAAAGAGCAGAAGGATAAGGAGATGGAAGCAAGTGCTGTCTACAAAGACCTTTACAAAAGAATGATGAAGGTAGGGTTCCGCACGATTCGAGACGTTTTGGCACTTCAGGCAATCAGCGCGCTCCATTTAAAAAAAATGTAAAATACTGGTGCCAAAAACAGGAAAACGGTGAATTTTTGAAATCTTAGACTATTCTTAATAAATTCCTGTCTAGATTTAACCATGGTGCATCTGAATTTTATTTTTGCGCGATAACTTTTTTCGAATCGTGCAGAACCCTAGATGAAGGCAGCAACCGATATCGAAGACGCAAGAGAGGCTTGCCATGCTTTGGACGAGGCGTTTCCAGAGTTTGCCAAAGAGATAGAGGAGGAGGAAAACGATGGTAAGTCTGAGACTAAGAGTAAGATTTTGATGAGTGATCAAAATTCTTCTAGCCTCAAACAACAATGGACAACGCTCAGCGACGGAATCTCCTCTTTTTTAACTTAATCAGTAAGCACTTTTTATTTATCAACTGTTTATAAATTTTCTTAGCTCGATGATGGACGAAAATATTAAAACTTCAATAATATTCGACTGCTGTTCATCATCTTTTTTTATGAAAAAAAATGCAGTAATAAATTTGGCGATCTCAAGATTGATTATGAGTACAGTTTCTGTTAATTTGAATTTAACGAGTACGGGCCAGGTGTTTCTTGAGTATCGAAAAGTTGTCTTTCGTAACTTTCGATCTTCGCTAATCAGAGGTCAACGAAAACGCTAATTAGCAAAGATTTGGAAAAATGCGATCTTTCTTGCATCGACTACAAGATAATAGCGAGTAAATCAGTTATCCACGGACGATCACTTGTCTGGAGAGTAAACTTGGAGCAGAAATGGAAATTCCGTTCACCAAGCGTGACAAAACGCGCTCATCACAGGTGCTCCCGTGGTTTTTGGCATTTCAGTTTGTTTATGCCCCCGCTACCGCCGCGTTTTAATAAATTGCCAAGGAATTTTTTTAAAAGAAGAAAGATGAGAGTATCAGAGAGGATTTTTTGAAGATGTAAAAATGGGAAAATTGATCGTTTCCCAACTGCAGTGGGCGGTAATTCTGCTCGGTCTCTTCTACCTCGTCGTCACAGTTCTACTTGACATTGAGTATGAATTTTCAGAAAAGGGATTTTATGCACTTTTTCGTAAAATAAACGTGAGGATAAAGATCTGATTAGTGAAAATCTTGACCCCTAAATTTTATTAGTAACAGAATATATTTATCACTAATTAATCAAATCGCCTCTTCGCTAGAAATGAACGTTTTCAGGAAAGACAAATCCTAAAAAGACTCGCTCCCCGAAAAGATGTCAGAGATTGAAAAAATGCTCGCTTCGGAAAGTGGCTTTCTCAAAAACTGCTCCCCTCCCCAACGTTTCGTTTTTCTAAAGAAACACAAATGCGCTTCTTCATCGTTTCAGGTCTGGCGTCTTACAGTTCCTTCTTACAGATACTTTCGATAATTTGGCAGAAAAGAGCCACTATGGTAGAACGTCTTCAACAATTTCCAAAAAGCGTTTGGGCTGCCTACTTTGACACCTTTGTTCGGCTCTTACGGCGGCGGCTATCCAAGTCGCATGAAGGTAAAATAACATTTTCTCTCAAAACCCAAGTTACATCGTACCACCGCTCTTAGATCTCCTCAGAGACAGTCCATCAAAACAGAAAGGACCCAGATTTATTTGATTGTCCGTCTCTGATTATCGTACTTCTTATGTCCCCAAATCGAGCGTTTAGAATGCCTAAAAATCTTCGTGTTTTTTTAGTTTATTAGAAAAGCTCGAATTTTCAATACAAAGATTTTTCGCAAGAACCTAAAAAGCAAAGAAAAAAAAACGGTGACAGCTAAACAAGCGTCTTTTGACATTTCCTGGCTGGCATAAAATTCTCGATTCTAGCCGTCGTTCTTCGCCTCTCCCATCGATTTGACACGGTATTCGATCAAGTGTCACCATCGCTTGAATCTACCTCTACAGTTGTCGATCTTTGCCGGAGCGAAATTCTTCACATCGCTTCGCGAGCCTTTCGCCACGTTCCACTCCAGCTACAACTTTCACTACTCCAGGTGGGCCTCCTTACCGACCACGGCCTCTTCTTCAAGAGATTTGCCTCGCTAATGCCTAGCAATTTATTCACAACACATCCTTTCCAAAAAACAACAAAACTAATTATCTTGGCTTCTCTAAAATATAATATGTAAATTCGTCTTGAACAACAAAGAATAAGTCCTATGTTAACAACAATCAATTGCAAATAACGTCGCTTAACAATTAAAAAAAGCGAAGTTAAAGGAATTCTGTCAGGCCGCAATGATGAAAAATTAGACAAGCGCGAGCCCGTTATGAATTCTAAACTCGAGTTGGTAAATTATTCGTCCCATACAAATGCCGATTTCACGTAAACGCCAATTAATAAAATCCGTATCCCTACTTCTAACCTCAGTGACAGTTTTTGGGCTCTAGGAAAAATCCGCACTCTGCGAAATTGTCAATCTCTATCATTCTTTTTGGTCTCACTTTTGCGCGAAATTTCCAATTGAAATTCGACAACTCCTTGCTTTCTAAAAGCGCGAAATTGTTCATCTTTCAATTTTTAAGCAAGCGAAATCATTTGATCCCAAGTAAGTTTGGGAAACAAACGAAACAATTATTGTTGCTCCGTTAAATGGGAACGAAAAAACATTTCCCGGTTTACACTTTGAACAATGTTGTTATTACCCAACGCAAAAGTGGGGAATCGCTTTTAGTGCTCACTCTGTTCGAGAAATTACTTCCGTTTTTAATTCGTTCATTTTAGATTCTCAACGACAAAGCGGATCGAAGCAAGGGAATGCAATACCGCCTGCTGGTCAGTAACGGACTATTCAATCAAAAATAGAATTACGCCTGTTACGACTCGAGCAAATTTTCTCAGGAGTTCAAGCCCGCTTAATTGATTCTATTAGTCTTATTTTGATAGTCCGGGTGTAGAACCCTTTCGAACATTTCTTGGCGGGCGCCTGGACGTCTCCCTAAGCGCATATTTGGATGAGCTTGATGGTGTGTTTGACCAAACAGTGCCGTGGTCTTTCAGATCCAAGAATTTCCAGGCATTTGAGCTTGGGCACGGGTTTTGCGAAAAAGAAAAGTGAAGTTGGCATTCAGCGCCAGCCACTATTTCGAACTTGAAATGACTTTTACAAAACCTTTGACTTGATTAGACCCTTTCAACGACTCGCAGGCTTATCTCGACGAAGAGATCGCTAAACTTGACGATGCCTTTCACTTGGTTATGCTTCAGGGAATGGTTTATTATCATAGCAGCTCACTTAACTTTCTAAAGAACAGTAATCGAAGAAATCGAATATTACATCCATGTAAGGAATACTTTTTCGAATCGCTGGTCCTTCTCAGTCGTGAGCTATGCGTGGATTACCGCCTGCTTTTTGTCAACTTCCGGATGACAACGTCAAACGATTATGCAAGCCGCGAAGAGTTTTCGAAGTCGCAGATGGCGACATTTGAAAAGCACTTCGCTCAAGATCTGGCCATTTATGATCACTTCAATCGAACGTTTTGGTCGAGAGTAGCCGACTTTGGACTAGGTCTCTTGATTTTAATGATTGCGCAAATGGAATCAACGTGAGAGCGACGTTTTCCCAATTGACCGTTGTAGGTCGATTTCGAACTGGCATTTTCAAGTTCACATTAGATAAAGCGTACCTTCTATTTTATCCAAAACAAAGTCATACAAATCGCTCTGCCCTTTTTGCAGCGCAAGGTCAAACCCCGATGCAACAGAATAGATAAGAGCCACTATTTTGGCATAAAACACACTTCCCAGATTTGAGTTGAGACCTTCTTAAAGTTTCGAAAATATGCGGATGGAAAAAACGAAGCTGGAATTTGTATTTGAAGAATGCAATCTGAACCCTGAGCTGTGCCAATTTCCTGTTTCAAAGAGCATGAAATCGACGGTGGACGACGTCTCTCAACCTTCAGTCAGCGAACTGCTCTTCACGATGAAATCAGCTGGTGGCTGGTGCCCCGACGGGGTTCAAAAAGAAATGTACGCAGGTAGACCAACGAACTGCACCCAGCTGGATCGCGGGTCTTGATATAACCACACTGTTTTAACGCGAAGAAACAAGCTTGAAAAATATTCGAATAAAAAAATAAGCAACTCAATACAAAAATTTATTTGTCCAGGATCAGTCAGTTTGAAACGTGGATCAAACAAATGGGTTTCTAAGAAATAATAACTGTAAAAGCAGGAGAAGAAAAGACAAGACGCCTTTGTGGGTCGAGGTAAACGTCGAGGATGAAACTTTCGCGGGTCTCGTAAATTCCGATTGATGGCTTTTTGGTGCTTCTGCAAATTGCTTTTAGAAGAGACTTAATTTACCAGCTGTCGCCAGACTAAAAATCTCACGCTCTGATAAAATTTTGTTGACTTCGAAATTTTGTGCTAAGCCCAGTCTGGAATGAACTCAAGCCGGTTCACCCGAGGGTTTACTTAAATTTCTTCAGACCCAAATGCTGATTTTGCGGTAGCAGCAAAATTTTAGCTTTGCTTGAATCAGAGATTGCACAAGCATTGCCTGGTGGCCATCGAACAAGACTCCTGCGCGTGTTGCGGTTGCCTTCACCTAAAATCAATTATTTGGTGGAGCAACGGTTTTCCGATTATTACCGGATTCCCAGGCGCACTCTCTGCGGCAGACGCACCGACCTCCACTTTCTTCTTTGAGACGCGCTTTTTTCGACTTTTGGATTTTTTCCTGCTCTTAGACTTCTTCGCCGGTCCTTTTTATTAAGGGTACATTGAAACGTTTAATTTGTTTGTCAATTATAATTCTTTATCAACAATTTTATTTCTCTAGTTTTCAAAAATTAACATTCAAAATTTTGCTGAGCAATTTCAATATACCCTTAAAAAAGTCTTCACGTGCCAAAATCGAGAGTAGAAATTATAGACTACCATTTATGACCTTATTGACGATCTTGTCAAATTTCTGAGCATCTGGAGAACTCGGGAGTCTAGGCGATACGTACTCGTCTTTTTCATCCTCTGTTTTGTGGACCTGTTATGCGAGATCGCAAAAAACACTTGTAGGTAAATATTTTTAAGGTTATCATTAACAATAGCAAACTGAACAATTTCGCGACGCCTTTGGGTTCGCGAGGAATTTCAGGGTTACGTCTAGGCATTTCAAGATGCGAGGAAATTGACCGAATTAAGAAAATAACCAAGCTGTTATTTTGCTGGAGATAAAGGGAATAAAAACATTCAATAATTTTTTATCTCGAAATACACTTCAATGATGTGTCTTCCTAGAAAATAAATATTTAGCGAAGGTACTTATCATTACACCAGCTAAAACTCACACTACAGTAACCCTCATATAGTAATACTCTAGTTTACGCGCTTAGTATTTGTGCCCTGGACAAAGTAAGCCTCCGCCCCAGAATTAAACTTGAGGCGAATTAGTAATGGATTTGTGTTTAGAAGCTTTCTAAAGTCAAGCTGCAGTACGTAATTTCGATTTCGCACCTAGCCTTGAAAATCTTCTCCAACGTCCTGATCCGATTCCCGCTGCCAGCAGTACTCCGCGATATCAACTCATTTAGAGTTGGAGATTTGGGATAAATCTTTTTCGCCCCAGCGTCAACGTCCGTGTTAAAAGCTAATCAACAAAATAATTCAATTGATAGTTTCGGCAGTTTTTACCAGATGGAATTGAAACTCTGCTCGGTACTCTTTTTTGAGTGGAGGCATCACTAGCATCCTCAGGCTTTTTCGAGAAAATCGCCAACCGAGAAGATAGATTTCTACCTAAATATAGACTTAACGCCGGAACGCATATCGACCCATTTCTGGGTAAAGCGCTGAAATATGGCTTCAAAGATCGTCATTTTCTAGTGTATATTATTCCCTAATGTCCAAACGGACAATGGTCCAATATTCAAGTCCCAAATGGACGAACTTGGGTCATTCCTCCATGAAAAGGACAATTTACGGCAAATTTTGGTTTAATTGGTAACAGACCAATAAATCGTATTTTTATCAATAATTGGTACTGTACCAATAATAGTTGCATACTTCCGAATATAAATAGTAAAAAAGGGTGCCTAAGAACTAATTAGATAAAGTGCCCTTCTTTAGTTGCTGATCTCACAGATAGCCAGGAAGTTGACCTGAGAGTCCAGATAGAATCGGAGAATGTATCGCTGTCCCATTAACTTTGGTGTCCGATTCAAAGCTTTCTGATCTCAGCAAGCTCTCATTGAACGTGTTGAGCATGTTCGATACGGAAATGCCCTCTTCCAAAGGCTACAGACAAGATAGAAATTGAATAATGCGAATCGAAAATAAATCTGTAACCCAAAGTCGAGTTCTTGTTTGAGATCATCCGAGAGATTCGTGGCTGCGCCCCTGCTTCTCAAAAAGTCGGTACTTGGCTTTTTGCACTGGCCAAGTGTGGGAGAGCCGGAGCCAGTCTTTTTCCATTCTTGAGGCGAAGAAAACACTTGTTGTCGTCGAGCCAGGTCTACGTCCAGCTTCAGGTTTTGGTTTTTACGTTTACTGATTATATGTGTGACTACTTTTAGTAACAGATTCTAAGTAACCATAAGAAGTAGACACATAACTTGAGAATTTGGTTGTTTGGTCGGAAGTATCGTTTTTATACGCGGAGACTTAACATAATCGTTTAATGATTGGCAATTCAATTCCAACCTAAGGATTTTATTCCCCCACTCGCCAGCGACGTCAGAGTTGGTGACCGCCTCGAAGTCACAGCCACGTCATTTTCGCGCTTCAACGAAGTTTTTAAACGGTAAAGTCAAATTCGACCTGTTTTTAGATTTTACGAGTAATTCGTTATCTGAGGGTTGAACCTGCTCGTTTTTGTGTTATCTTGAAACACCCAAGATAGACGTATCCTTAATGCTTTTCCAAAGAAAGCTTTCACATCAAAAGAGGATACTTTTTGTTCCTAATAGAAGAGTTTCTTATCAAAATGAAAATTGTATCTATTCACTTGAATACATACAAAACATGTTCCTTGCGCAAGATCCTGTCTACGGCGGAAGGTTCTATTTGTCCTAAAATAAAAACCGCTCCCTAAGAAACATTATTTTTGTATTGCTGTTTCTAAGTTTTGACTGAAGGCTAAACATTATGTAAGGGTTTAAGAACTCCGGCTGCATTTGCGCTGCAATTTGAGAGACACTTTTCGTGTTGCCGATGTTGATGACGATTTTCTTTGCTGAGCCATTTTTATCGGATCGGATTTGTTCCCTCATTTTTCTCACTGTTTCAATGGTGAAATTTACCGTTTGCTTACAGAATATAGTCATTAACTTCTCACATTCCTGAACCGTTGTTAAGCTTTGCTAATGTTGGAGAGAGGATCTTGGCATAAGATTCGTCGGAAGTATATTGATTCCAGTCAATATTCAGGCGACTTGGATAGGTTTTCATTTATTCGAAATGCTTTTAAATCGAGACGAAGCGACAAAACCTAATCTTGGTAATTGTTTGTCCAAACTGCCTTTTTGCTAATAAAGCGTTACGAAGATGATCTTATTTTGCATTTCATAACTTACTTTTGCCTCTAACGCTTCAGCCACCTCAACGTCAAGTGCTTAATTACAAATATTTAAAAACGAATCAACTCTGAATGCGCGAGGGCGAGAGTAATTTTGCCCGCCGTTGATTGATATCGAGATATTGTCGATTTAGCAAGAAATTTTCGATTGAAGGCACGTCTTACGTAAACGGAGAAATACGGTCTGATTCCGGATCTCGCCGAATCGTTTCCGACTGTTCATTATTTTTGTTAACCCCTATACCCGAAGTGTACAATTTTTGTCGATTTCGGGATATAATCGCCCGCCGAATGGAGCTGGTGGGTCAGAATGACCTGAAAACTCAAATGAGTATTTGCACAAGACTTGCGCACCTTTCCGCAAAATTTCCGTGTGATAAGCCCAGTGAGGAGTCAGGAGGGACTCGTCTGCCCTGCTATCCGGCGGGTGACCAGAATGGCCGGACCAAGCGGGTGACAAGTCCGCCCTGGCCGGACTGCCCTTCTCCGCAGGGGACTGCGAGTCTCGGAGGGAAATTGCTAAGTGACCGTGCAAAATCCTGATCACAAGGGTGTTCCGATGATGGAGCTTATCTGCACTAGGTTCATTTTTCAGAGGATCAAGAGCATTTTTCTTCAAATATTTTCAGGAAAAAGGCTATTTATACAAAAACGAATATGAAAATTCCGAAAATCGAGGTTATAACTTCTGAAAATGAAAGTTTCTTCATGAAAACATGCATCAAAGAACATCCTCTTCTTATCTAATTATATAACAGCTGTCTTATGATCTTCTTTCCTGTTTGAATTTCCTTAAATGTTCTTCCAGCTGATCTTCTGACACTTATTCTTACCGTCATGGTGAAAACAAGTGAGCTGTACGCTATCTTTGTAAGCGCCCCTGACTGTAAAGATGAATCGTTTATTACTTGGATGTGGCAAAATCTCTGAGCCTGCTAAAGTAAATACCAATTGGCAAAGCTTTTTTGAGTTTCGAAAATATCTCACTCATTTCTTTTATTTTCTGGTTGAACGAGAAGGAGAGAACAATTAAATAGCTTTCCGTTAGGTGAAAACATAAACGAAGCATCTGTAATTACTCCGACAAAGTCAGAAGATCAGCTGGAAGAAAGTTAAAGGAAATTCAAACAGAAAAGAAGATCATAAGACAGCTGTTATATAATTAGATAAGAAGAGGATGTTCTTTGATGCATGTTTTCATGAAGAAACTTTCATTTTCAGAAGTTATAACCTCGATTTTCGGAATCTTCATATTCGTTTTTGTATAAATAGCCTTTTTCCTGAAAATTTTTGAAGAAAAATGCTCTTGATCCTCTGAAAAATGAACCTAATGCAGATAAGCTGCACTGTCGGAACACCCTTATGATCAAGATTTTGTAAGGTCACTTCGCAATTTCCCACCGAGACTCGCAGTCCCCTGCGGAGAAGGGCAGTCCGGCCAGGGCGGACTTGTCACCCGCTTGGTCCGGCCATTCTGGTCACCCGCCGGATAGCAGGGCAGACGAGTCCCTCTTACCCCCCAGTGAGCACTGCACCAGTACTGATTTTCTCACGCCACCTCGCGCGCTCCAAGGAAGAAAAAAAATTTCCTTTACTCATTTTTGCTTCAGTTTTAGTTTATTCTTAGGTTTTTTAGTATGGAGAGTTCGAAAATCACCGTTAAAAATGGATCAGATGAGTATTTTTCATAATTATCACATAATAAATTTCATACTGTTAAAAATTCTTTCCCCAATTTCAGCACTAAATATCAATTTTACGGAAAATATAAAAGTGCAGTTCGAAAGAGAATGATGAACTTAGTATAATATGATACTTTGAAAAGATTATCTCGAGAGGAAGACCAAATCGACAAAAATTGTACACTTCGGGTAAGGGGGTTCTTTAAGCAGCTTCGCGTATAGGGGTTAAACTAAGTCTCGCTAAAGCTCATTATTTGCTTGAGATTGAGGCGGAGAACTTGTCTGATAGGACTCAAATCTATTCAGAATGAAAAAAAACCCCGCTAGAATGGTCTGAACTCGTCAATTGCGAATTTTGAGGTGAGTGTAGTTATCCGGTCATAAGAGTGACTGCTAAGAAGCAACAAATCTCGAGATCAACATCATCTTTGGGAATTTAAAATTATTAGTGGCGCAATTCGCTGGATGAACCTTGAGCACGCTTCGCCACGAGTCCATTAGTGCCGAGCTGATTGCTTCGTCTTTGCAGCGAATTCGCAAGCTGCGCTCGTTTCTCACTGCTTTCCTTTAGACACGGGCTCGTACGGTGAAGAACCAACAGAAAGTGCTCATTATAACACATTTCTAAAAAATCATGGCCAAGACTTTCTTTCTCCTCTTTTGTGATGCATCTAACGGCCACAATGGAGTCTGTAAACATGCTTGAGAGTCAGAACTTGACTCAGAAGCCATTTTTAAGGACCCCCCGTCAGCTTTTTTCTTCAAAAAATGGAAATTTTGAGAAACGCCATATTTTTGGTTCTTAATGCGTCCTCAGGTTTAGCTTGCTTCAAAAACATGATAAGAGGAGTATTTGACCAAGAAAAGTCAATATTTTTGCTAAAATAAGGGCAAATTCGTCAATTTTCGGCGAAAAGTCCAATTTTCAAATGCGATTTTGGGGATGAAGGAGTCGAGATAGACCCCCAAAAATGCAGCCTTAGAATCGTTTTTTGACCCGTAGAATCCATTTCCGGGGTCAAAATTTTAAAATTCCGAAATTTGATTTTTCGAAAAAAGCTGACGGGGGGGTCCTTAAATTGTAATTTAATTACTTTGTCTGTTGGAGAAAACCGCACTTTGTTGTCACTTGAACTAATACATTTAGCCCCTGAGTCTTAGCTATGCAGACTGATACCGTAACAAACATAAAACAGTTGAAAGAATTGGAAAAAATAGTGTTTACTCACATTAGAATCATATTGTCCGTAAAACGTATACTACCCGGTTCCTGTTCCCAGTTTTTAATTTTTGCCGAGAGAGCGCCTGTTATTTTGATCACGATAATATGTAAGAATTGATAATTACAAGTTTAAGGCTTTAGTGAGAGATCAACTGGCCTAGCCCGTTGTTCGCGTGAGACAAAGTCTTTCCCTCTCGTTGATGATCCTCCGACTTAGGGCGTGCGAACACAATGTTCTCCATCCATCTTTCGTGGAGTTTCCCGTTTGTAGAACATGGCTTCAGCGAATTAGGCCTTGATGTAAGAGGCTTTATCCTTCCCAACGGATACCTCTTGATTTCAAAAGCCTCGCTGCTAAATTTTAATTGAACGATATCTTTAAATAGAATTTTCAAAGCAAAAATAGTAAAAAAAAAGTCGGATAATATTTTTTCTAAATGAACTCAAAACTATTATTTGTGGAAACGATAATTTATGGTTATATTAGATAGTCTGGGAAGATGCAGATCAGGTAAACTCCTGACTTGCACGTTGAGCAATGGAGGAGGCGACCGCAGGTGATGACGGTGTCTTGGGCTTGGGAGAAGGCTCGTCTCCAGAGGTGCCCATTTGGGGCTCGCATTTGGGCTCCGGCGCGGTTTCGCTTTCTTTGAATCAAGGTAATAGATCTGCTTTCTTTTTAACACTTGAGTTCAACTTGAACTAAGTTACTGTAACTCAAGCTTTATTAATAATTAACAATTATAAGAAGTTTTACCCATTCCTTGATTGAAGAACTCCTGTTCAATTATTTCGTTTACCGCTTAAATCAGAATGCTTTCATCATAACTGTAGGCATCGGAAACACTGACCTGATAGAATAGAAACTTGGCGAGAAGGATGTAGAATCACTTCTATTTTTGGCTCTTCTTCTTTTTGCTCTTCGATTATTTCGGAAGGTTCAATCTTCTCTTCGGGCTCTTCTTCTTCCTCTTCGATTTTCTCTGGAAAGACGAACACCGGTTGCGTTTCTTGCTGTTTAATAACAATGGGCGTGTAGGAACCAGAACTTCTTGGGGAATAAATAGGCGTCTTTGGAAACGTTCGATGCTGTGGAGATTTAATTTCTTCGAATGTCAGTGCATTTTCTTTACTCAAACGCATGTTACTAATTGAAAAGTTGCAATCGCAAACCGTTCGGATTATGCATATTCTCATCTGATTGGATTGGATTTTCTTTTATTCAAACTTAATTTTCAAAGATAGAAAATTAAATGTTAATCCAGGCCTAACGAAACGGAAAATCGTACATGATTGTTTGCGCTTTCTTTTAACAGTGCTCGAAAAATGCCAGAGAAAATGCTCGTATTCAATGTTTTCGGATGGGATCTCCTTATCGAAAACATTGCTCGCTATGCTAATCAGTTTTCTTGAATTTGCGCACGTTTCCTTCAACCTGTTGTTTCACACTTTCCACAAAGTCGGGGTCAAGCAATGGATTACCGATGGCTTCATCATTGTCGCTTGTCCGCAGAAAGTAGCCAATGGCTGCTGCTACTGCTCCGATTGCTAGTCCGGCCCCAGCCATCCCAGCTTCAATTTTTTCCGAAGTTATAAACAAAATAACGAGCATTAAGTACCTGAAGATTTAACTGTGTCCGTTATATATTCCTGCACACGGCCGACTTGGGCGAGGGGGCCATCGATAACATACTGTAACGCGGTATCCTTCCAGTCAGATAGTGAATAGAACACGTTGGAAATTGTCGTCCCTTAACGTCAACACAAACAGTACTCATAAACTTTTACCTATTCCACTGGTGCTTTCCTCCATTCTCTTTTCTTTTCGCCAAAGTGGTTTCGATTAAACGTCTTGAAAAGAGACAGGAAATGGTGGCCGCGTATTTTTGTTCCGGTCGAGAATGATTTTATATCTTTTTGAACGAGATTTAGTTTTAAAATAACTAAGTAGAATTCGATCTGCTTCGAAATATTATTTTGCAATCATGGAAGAGAATACCCTCGTTTGCCTTGTGAATATATGGTGTTTATTAGCGAGCGATTATATGGTTTTAAATATGAATGAACAGAATGGAGTAAGTTGTATACAGTTTTTTAAATATCTTTTTTTTTATAAAGTTAAACTCTTTATAAGTTCTTGTGGTATGCCATGAACTTTTGATAGCGCTTGGCTCGGTAATGATTTCTCGTTCTTCTCTGATGAGTTTCGGGAGAGCTTTCCAAAAGATAGGAAATCAGATTGTCGTTGTTGACCGAGTCAGATAAATTGGGAGAGTTAAGGATTTGTCGGATGATCTCGTCCTGGCCCACGTTTTCTGCGTTTTTTTCTTTTGCTTGGTGTCGAAGGTAGAGATTGTTGAAAAGGCGGTTCTGATAGCTGCGGTCGGCGAAAACGCCGCCGAGCATCGAGAGAGCAAAGAAATACTTGATAGGCATCATCTTCTTGTTCTTAGAGGATCTTTTAACTTTCGTTGTGATTGACTTCAGCTTCTGTTCGCTGCTTTTATAGCGACCTTCGTAACGAGAATGGGCAGTGAATCGAGCGCCCTCTCTGTCATGCCTGCCCAAGGAGGCACAGTCAGCTTCTGTCCGATGCACTACTCAGAAAGTCATCTGAAAATGAGTTCGCGGTTCGAATTACAGTCAAAGTAGAATTCCCAAACATCGGCTGATACAGATCATATGACAAAAATGAAAAGGCCGTGTGTTACCAGTTTTCTCCTCGGCAGCTTCATTTTGGCGGTCATCTGAAACGTCAGGAGAATCCAAGTTGATGATTGAGCGGAGGAAAGTTCTAGCGGTTTCTCATCAAAGGCGTGACTCTTCCAGGAGGAAAAAGTAATTGAGCCCGAGGCGGGTGCGCTGGCGTTGATGTATTTGTGTTCCGTCAGTGGTAGTTGAGCCGTTCGTCAAAAAAATCCCGAAGCGCGTCCTTTCTTTTCCTAAATCTTCGCACATTTTCATCACCACTTGTTTTTGGCCTTGACGTTTAGTTGCGCTAGATAGAAATTTATCTGCGGGGCTGAGATTTCTGGCCGCCGCCCAGTCTCCGGAACAGATCAGAGAATACTACAGATATCGAAGACTTCCGTCCAATTAACTGACAGCTGCTAATTGGAACACCTTCAAACCAAATAGCCGGCTGCGGAGAAACGCTATGAAGATACAGCTACTTACTGTATCGGCCCTTCTTCAATCAGGTTCACTTTGATAATTTATTAGCAGCAATGTTTTTTTAAGAATAATTTTTTTTTAATTGCAATAATTGCTAATGTCTTCTAAATTAGAATCTTAAATATTAAACTAGAAATGTCGAAATTGCCAACTTTCATTTATCGTATCATTAGCTACCAGTCAACCTGAAAATTCTTTGGCAGATGTAAGGAATTGTTGTGTCTGTATTTTTAATTATTGTAATTTTGCCTCATAATTCATTTAATATTCGACACTTTTGACACAATTGGCAGTAGTCTTTTGAATCCAGACTCTTCGATAGTGAAAGAAGATGACTTTCGACAAAATCCGAAAATCGACGATTATCTCAATCGGCTCATTCGTAAAATTTTCCCTGAGTTGGAACCCGTAGATGAGCCGACTCTCCAAAGCATACGCGAAAAAATAGGAGCGAGTATCATCAATTCATAAATCAGTTCTAACTAATTCAATCACAATATTCGAATTGGAATATTGACAATTTTTGAGACAAAGCATGTCTAATAAGAGACTAGACTGAACTTAAAAGACTATTTTCCACACCCTTTGAGTCAGGATCTTCTGGAAAAATTCACGAACTGTTTCGGAGCTCTTTGGAACGAAAATAAAGCTTTTAGGAAATTAAAGCTCTTTAATAGCCCTGATTCACGAGCGTAGGGATCATTTGCGCCAATCTGTATTTGTAAATTTCCATTTATGTCTTTAATTTTCGTTCTCGCTGTTCGGTAAAAGGGTTCTTTCTGGCTCTACGCCGATTCTTTTTAGAGTAAATTAATCAGACCGCAACTAACAACGCATTTGCCCAAACAGCCAGAAAAAGTATGTTGCCCTTTTTAGGCTATTAATCGACTGTGCCCGCTTTTAAGTGAGCTCGTAAAAAGACGTCGCTGTAAATGAAACTGGCGTTGCAAACATCACTGAAATTTTCAACGAAATGAAAGATTCCCAGGAGGTCGATTATACAATTGCAAAGCCCGACTCTTCGAACGAGTATGGTGGAGAGTATGATTATTACCCGAACTCAGGAGGACTTGACAAGGATGACTGGAATATCTTTTATGATCCTGATGTTCCACGGGGAGATGGAAGGAAAGGCTATTAAACGATCAGAAATAAATTATGATATGAAGCTTTTTTTGAGATAATTCGATATTTAATTAATTTAATCAATATCAAGTCCGAGACTTCAAAGTTTATCAGTTAATTATTCGACAGACTCATTTTATTCTATCATTTTGTCTCAAATTTGCAAAATGTTGATAGCACAACAAAGATCGTCGGTAAATGTAGCGCCATTCCAACCTCGGCAAGCTGTCGTGGATAAATTTATTGAGTAAGTTACAGTTTTGAAAACACGATAAAAGTGATTTACTCGCACGTTTGACTTGACGTCCTTCGCCTCCTTCCCAAACTGAGGCACGCACGTCCAAATATACTCACCTTGGGAATTTGCGAATAAATACAGACGATCCACTGTAATATAACGGGTCGTAGATAGTTCACAGTTGATACGTAATCGAACTGATGCAGCCTGTGTCTATTCTGTCATTGGCATCATACATTAAAAGCTTTATCTGATCAAAAATTCAGGAGAAAAATGGTGAAATCTGAAGTTCACGGAAACAAAGTTATGTTTACGATTGATCACTCGCTCTCGTCAAGGGATGATAATTGAAAAAGTAATATTTTTATGGTTGAAATAAAACCCCGCATTTGATTTAATTTAGTGAGTTGTAGTAGAAAGATATTATGTCTAAGGGAACACCATAAATGGATTTGTCATTTTAATATTTGACTGAATGAGAGTGGTTGATTTAGTGATAAAATTAAGCAAAACGGCATATGCCACATTTAAATCAGTCTGATGGTAGAAAAATTATTTTTTTTTTAATCTCAAAATTAACTGATAACTATCGTCTACGTATTTACGTTCAACTAAATTATCCATAATAAGAACTCCAAGAAGATGAACTCGTCTGGAAGCGGAGAAGCGTCAGATGACGGCACGTTTTCTGCGATGGATCTTTTTGGTCTTTCAAATCCAAAGAGGTGAGAAAGAAGGAAATAAATGAGCAAGTTCAACTGGGCGGAGTGACTGACTGTGCCCGCGTGATAGAACGGGCTCATCGCTCACAATGAATAGTGAAAGATTCCAGATCTTCGCTCTTTGTAGCTGACACTGAGTTTATTCAAACTAATTACAGTCTCTCGCTAACAGATTGAGATCAGATCATATTCAGTTTCTGGCTTGTTGCTGACCTTGTCATTCCAGATGGCCTCGAGAAAAATGACTGGTGGCTCGTCAAAGAATACGTAGAACATACTCTCTAAACGTCATATCCATTTTTTATTTTTATCATTCTATGTCAAGTTACAGACAAAAAGAAGGAAACTGTTGAGGGTTTCAGAATCGAAGGATCACGAAAACGGATCGTCTATGCGGCCAGTTCTCCAAAGGCAACATTGAATGGTTTATCTTTGTAAAGTGATGTTTAGGGAAATCTGAAACAACAAATTGTCGGTGCGTCGGAAAACGGCTGGGATAAAATATTCGACGGAAAAACTCACCAACTCGCAGTTCATGCTACGCCAAGATAGGGTCAAGCTCATTGGCTAAGACTCCCCATAGAGGTGGCGCTTTTCTTAATTATTGATGAAAATAGCTAAACCAAATGAAGTCGGATAGATTTCTACTACGCGTGCGAAAAAAGGGAGGTGCTTTTCTGAATGATGATCGTAGTCTTCCAGACAACTCGAGCTACAAATTCGCTGTCAACGACGAAGATGGACAACAAGAATCGATTCCAGGGACAGTGATAAATCAATTTTTACGCGTTCGTTACTTATCCTCGTGAATTTTTAGTTTGATTATTTTATCAATCTAACAGTGCTCTTCAATCGTCTTGAGATTCTCTCAGAAGCACAAGCGGAAGATTCTGGAATTTGCTGTACACCAAATGAGCAAGAAAGTGTTTCAACCTGTATCATCGAAGGAAATTTCCCTGTGCAAGGTTATGATGTTTCAGTAGATTGGTTATGACTTCAATTTCAGCAAGTTGTGCGCAGCCAAATTTACCTCCTCCTGAAGTCAAGCCCTGCGAACAAGGTCCACCTGGCGCTATTGGCGAAAAAGGCGCTTCAGGAAGTCAAGGTCCTGCTGGCTTCGCCGGACCGAAAGGTGTTACTGGTCCTATTGGCCACCCTGGACCAAAAGGTGAAGCTGGTCTCCCTGGATTAGACGGTCTACCAGGCATGGCCGGAACTGTGGGACCTACTGGGCTTGCTGGAGAAAAAGGCGAAAAAGGAAATCAAGGAGAAAAAGGAATGGCCGGCGCTGCAGGACCGATTGGCGTTGTTGGCCCAGCAGGAGCTCCCGGCAATGTTGGTGAACCTGGAAATCCTGGAATGAATGGACCTCCTGGCATCACTGGCGAGAAAGGAGACCCAGGGAAAAATGGCACTAATGGATCACCTGGTATTCCGGGTGCTATCGGCCCGAAAGGTAATTCTAATTTTTTATTGAAATTTTGCGATCTCTTAAGGTGATCCTGGTCTGATTGGTGAAAAGGGAGATGCTGGAGAAAAGGGATCTCCGGGAGAACCAGGAATCGCTACAAAAGGAGATAAGGGAGAACCTGGTCCTGAAGGGCCTCGTGGAATTATCGGTGATAACGGACCAATGGGTTTTAAAGGCGAGATGGGTCCTGCCGGACCAGCTGGAGAAGGAAATGGTTAGATTAAAGAATCTTTGTATTTCGGAAGACTATTAAATACCAAAATAAAGTTGGACCACCAGGAGCTAAGGGAGATCAAGGCCCTCCTGGGCCAGCTGGCGAACCAGGTTCGTAATTAAATATAAAAACAGTAATTTAAGGCCTGAAGAATATCTGAAGGCTAGAGATGGCGCTTGAAGCACCATCAATAAAAGTGATTGAGTACACTCGATCTCGCCAAACAAAATGGTTTGTGTGTGTGCCCAATAAACTTTTTTTCTGTGCGCCTAAATTAGAACTGATACACGTTTTTTGGGCGCGCCCGATTGTGAACAGAAGAAAAAAAGATCCAATGAAGATCTTTCTTTTTCTTTTGATTTTTTCGAGCATTTCTGATAGTGTGCGAGTGTACAAGAACTGCAAGAATTGCAAGAAAGTCCTCGTCCGCAAGCGTAAATATTAAGAGACCAAAAACGACAAGAGATTGTCTGGACCTACGTGTTTTTAGGAAAACCTGGAAGCCCTGGACCGAATGGAAATCCTGGCGGACGAGGTGAACCGGGAACGAGGGGCCCGATGGGAATTCGTGGTGTAGGTGGTAAGCCTGGACTGCCTGGAATCGTTGGGCTCACTGGCCCGCAGGGCGATAATGGTCCGAGGGGCCTTGCTGGACTACCAGGCGAACGAGGTTTACCTGGCCCAAGTGGACCGATTGGTCCACCAGGACCTCAGGGTCCCCCTGGCCCTCCTGGAGAACAAGGTGGACGAGGACCAGAAGGACCGCGAGGCCCTACTGGATCACGCGGCCCAGAAAGATCGGATAGCGAAGTGAAGAAGCTTATTCTCGAAGTGTTTGCTGAGCTTATTCCAACGTAAGATAATTAAGAAAAATAGTTCGCAATGTTTAGTGTCATTGAACCTGTTCGTGAGGAATGTAAAAAATGCGACTGCAGAAGATCTAATCAGATTGGTCTTGCTCGTATGCGAAAACCTGGTCCTCCTGGGCCTCCTGGAAAAGATGGAGAACCTGGAGAACCTGGCCCACCGGGACCAAGAGGACATCAGGGTACTTCAGGATTATTTGGTCAGCCTGGAAGCCCTGGTTTGCCTGGAGAGAAAGGTGACCAAGGGCCTTCTGGCGAAGATATTATTGGCGCCCCTGGCGCTCCCGGAAGACAAGGTAAAATGTTTCAACATGAAAAATTGTTTGAAAATTGAAAGGTCCCATTGGTCCTCCAGCGAATTGCTCCCCTGGAGAGCCAGGAGAACCTGGACCTCCCGGTCGCCCTGGTCAAATCGGTCGCGACGGCCCTGCTGGCATTGCAGGTCCACAGGGTGTTTGTAAGGCCGACGGTTAGTTCAAAATAGTTTTAACCTAGGCTAATTGACCTTTAGAATGCAAGGCACCTGACGAGTGGGCTGCTAACGTGAACAACTACGCGAAGCTCTTCCAAACAACTCCCGCGCCATGGAATAAAGGACCGCCTCCAAGTCGAAACGACAACGCTCCAGCCTTCAAGGTAAAATAAAAGAACCATTTATAACGCACATGGCAACCACAGATCTAAAACCCTCCATATCTTCAACAAACAAAGTTGACTTACTGACTTTGATGACTTTAGCCAGATACTGTAATGAGGCTTCCTGCCAAACCAGAAGACTCGGATCTCGGACCAGGAACCGTTTTAATTTGATATGAGAATTTCATATTCTAAAAATAGATTTGAGAAACATCTAGTCAGTCGCTAAAATGAGCGAAATCGAATTATCAAGCTTATTAGATTTTCCGCTCGCGAGCTCCATTTCCTTTTTATATAAATAAGGCTTGATAATGTGCCCGAATCGGAGTTCGTCAAGTGTATAGGAGCTCTTAAACTGCCTGGCCGACTAGACATTTGAGCCTCGTCGACTGTCATGTGCTGTTGGGCGGGGGTTATTAGAATTCGTAAGATTCCGATTATTCACAGCTCAAGCGCGACGATAATTGCTTCTTCCGCTTACTCTAATGAAAGTAGAAAGAAGGTACTTGATAAAAGGAAAAGGGAAGAAAAAGCTTGTTAATGAGTTGAAAACGGCTAAAAGTACGAACAGAAGAAGCACCGCCAGGACTGGGCATTCCAGATAGCGTCATCCCACATCTCAAGGTCAGTTCCGTCTAGTCGGCAGTTTTATTTACAGAATGAGCCATCTTAGCGATTTATATCCTTCGCGGGTTCAGGTCGAACTTGAGACACAAAGGGTCAATTCGTTGAATCATCAACTGTAACTCCTTTTGCGGAATATGATGAAATTGTATTAGGGTCCGACTGGAGAGCGACACACGGTCAACATCAACAACATTCCTCGGCCCGCAGTGCCTCCATCTGGCGATCTCGTCTGGATCCCAACAACCACTTCCACAACAACAACATCAACGACGACAACAACGACTACTACTACCCGACGAACAACGAGAAAAACAACGCCGCGTCCTCGACGGCCTTGCTACAGCTGTGAAGCGAGAAAAAAGGCAAAAGCTAGACTCACAACCCAAGCTCCAACGACAATGAAGCCGAAGCCAGCTACAGTGAAACCAGCAATAATCGCGCCTAAAGTCTCGAAATGCAAAATGAATGAACGCGACGAAAACTCGCCTTGTAAACCATCGCCGTGCAAGTCAACTTGGACAGGTTTAATTCAACTTAAATTACACTTTCTACAAATTACTTAAGTTTGTCAAGCGCGTGTTGCATGCAAAAATGCTGCTGCGAAGAAGAAGCAAAAATGCGTTGTTAGAAGAATTCAAATTATCAGAAATAAACGACATCAAGGTTTGCTATTTTCATAAATTAAAATTCATCAAATTCATCATAGAACTAATCCGAGCGAAACGACAGAAACTAAAATCCGACCAAAAAGCAAAGCGCTCTACAAAAAGAAAATCAAGAAGAATTGAAAGCTAGAAAAATTTTTAGTTATTGAAAATATCGATTGTAAATATTTTGTATCTGTACAGTTTTAGTTTATTGTCGACAATAAGTATGTAAATACAAGTAAATTTGAATTGGTACGAGTTGTGGTGTTTTTTTTTTCTTCTTGACTACTAATAGTACGCATAGTCAGCTCGGTGATGCATCACTAGCTTGCCGTCGACAAAATAGAACGAGTCCGATTTCGTGCTGTATGGGTTGTCCACGATTTCAGCCATTAACTTCTTGTCGAGTTTTGGAACCTAAAAGTTTTTTACCGTTTAATTGTCTGTTTACCTCGTAGATTTGCTCGGCTGAATTTTCAGAATCCGGAATCAAAAACCCAAAGTCGAAAACGAAGCTCTTCAGAAGATGATTCTTGTAGAAATGGCGCTCCAAAAGCGTGAACTTAGAGATGGGCTTATCCCCGTTGATGAATTTGATGGTGGCGCCGATTGTTTTGAGCTTGAGGATTTCCCTTTTTAAATTGTAACGGACTTTGCTAAGGTTGAGAAAATTGCTTTGAAAGTGTTTTTGCACTCGCTTTCTTTTCATTTGGAGCTTGTTCGAAGGGCCATCAATCATTAACCAAATCTGGCTTTGTCTCAACCTATTCGAAACGTGAGGCGTTTTCGTCTGAATACTTCAAATCGGTCTCATCTGCTTAGAGTGACTAATGATCAAAATTGTAGACAGTAATCCTCTTCTGCGTTCTCAACTTCGCAAGAACGAAAGTAGCATGCCGCACTCTTTCCTTTTGGAATTCCGACGTCGATAAGTGTTTGATTGTTCTCCATGTTCCGCAAAATGAACCGCGTGAACATAATTCCGTAAACGTTTCGCTCAGCGGAGATTAAAAAGTCACTAGTAGCGTGATCTGAATATTTTTTAAGTACAAATTGGGCCAAGCCTGGCTCCCTGATGATGGCTTAACCTCCGAAACATTTCGAATAAACTTTTTTTCTTACCTAGAGTGGAAACGTCGTTAATTGTCAGATTTTCAGTTTTGGCTTTTTCTCTAGTTTGGATCAAATAATCATATTGATTTGAGCAATTTCTTGAGAAAGTATTTTATTCCAGTTTTTTTTTATATCCTTTTCCTGAGGTCTTCCTCCGACGCTACTTTTAGCTTTGACATTTTTCTGCTAATGGTCTCTTTGGATTTTTTGCCTCCGCGCGTAGAACTACCAGAAAGGATCATTTTCTTTGCTGCCGCCGGAGTTGAATGCTTGAATGATTTACTTGTCTTCTCTACTGGCAGCAGCGTGGGCTCTAGTCTAGCGCTCGGACGCGGATCGAACTTACTCAGCCGATTAGAAGGGCCAGCATTTGGGGTGAAATATTTATCTGCTAAATAATCGATCTTCATGAAAGAACAAAGCTTTCTTGCTGCTTTTAGAAAATATTCTTTTCAGTTTACCTCGCATCAGAATTATCCCATTATTAAACGATAATTTGCTACCAGCAGAAGAAATATACTGTATATTATATACACATATCTTTGACGCTTTATTCTCACAGTAAGGGAGGAAATTTTGGCGTTTACAGTAAAAGTTTCATTAGAATATTTTTGTGGCATGTTTATTACTCTAGACAAACACCTTTATAAATTATAATATGCTTCATTTTCACTTCACAATATATTTTATCTTCTTCTTCATATGATATTCACTTCATTATTCTTTACTAAAAAATCCGAAAAGTAATTTGGCGAAGGGTAAGATATTTGTCATTTGGAGCGCGTAACCATGGGTACGAGAAAAGGGTCCCTTGTCAACAGTCCTCCGAGGTTGCCATATCGAGCTCAAGAGATTTTCACGAAAGAAAGGGGTTTAAGGTTTCTAGAATATCCCACTCAATAGGGATATTTGTTCGAAACACCCCCAGATCGATTTTGAGCCTCCAACAGGTAATTTTTAAGAGAAATAGCATGTCTTTTAACAAATTAATATGCAATAGATAAAAAAAATAATTTGATAAAAGCTAATCCCAATATATAAATTTATTTTTTTATAAATTTTTTTGAAAAATAAATTTGATATTTTGATAAAAGGTCGACAATCATGGAGGACTCTCGGATCGAATGGATGCGCGAGCGCATATACGCTGGCCTGAACCTCACCGAGCTATCAATTTTCGAAAAGCTTCTCGAGAACGAAAAAGCAGAAGACATCATTAGAAATTTCATCCTTGGCAACCACGTCGAAGGAGACGACACAGCCCATGCTATACTCTTCTACCTAGGTTAAATTTAAATTCAGAGAACACGTTTTGTGAGATTTTTAGATCACGTTGAAAAAACACGGGAAATCGAGGTCGAATATGAAGTGGAAGTCACTGATGATGAGGAAGAAATCGGCGACGATGAAACGACCTCTCAAGCGATGTCTGCAAGGGAATCCAACATTTCCGGTAGAAATAAAACACCTTGAAATAAAGATTAACTCTTGAACATAGGAGTTTCCGGAAAAAGCTCACGAAAATCGAATTCGCGCCGCGGCTCCAGAGCATCTTCTTCGAAGGCTTCTTCCGTCGGTCGATCAGAGTCGAAGACATCGAATTCACAACTTGCCGAATCCAAGTCATCGGAGAAAAACGACGCCAACGAGCAAAAATCTGGTGACGAGGAAGAGCGAACAGAGAGCGAGTCAACGATTAAAGAGAAGAAGACAAAATTCATCACGGAAATTAGAATAGAAGAAGAAGAGTACATTGATACTGTTCTGCACATTGCCGAGAAGAAGATTCCAGAAGAATTTGAGACTGCACCATGCGTCTTTTTTCTTAGAAATTTGGAGACAAAATTGCCAGGTAAAATATAAATCTTGATTCGAGGGGCAAAATTGCTGTTGGAAAACGAGCCAATCTGTTAATAATTTTCTCATTAGCTCCTGCCGACATTACACAAGCACGAAAACTTCTTCCTCGTTGCATCGAATATGGAGTGTTAAATCAACACTCTCTGGTGATGCTGAAGCAATTGATGGAAAGCGTCTTTGTCCCCTTCCTGAACATCAAAACCGGCAAAATCGAGCCCAACCCAAATGCCGAAGAGAAATCAAAGCAGAGCGTTTTCCGCGATGAGTTTTTGCTGAACTTGTCGAAATTCACACAGCAGATTCGAAGAACAATCAACCAAATTGAAGGCAGATTCGGACTTGAAATTCCGGAAAGTGTTCAAGCCTACCAGACAGAACCGATTGAAAAGCTTGCGCAAGACAATGAGGTTATCGAACTGCTAGAAAACACTGTTTCTAACTGGCAAAATCAAGTGCTCAAAGGAAAGGATTTTGATAATATTTTAGATGATAATTATCATTTGCCATAATCTCAGATGAAAAATAACTTCGTTCATTGCCATAGCCACTTGCAAAATCCACAAAATAGCCGTGGAAGAACAGCTTGCTATGCAACCACAAGGGGATGGACCCATTGCCGAAATCGAACTTTGGCGGGAGCGAAACGCAGCTCTTGCCGCCCTACTTGAGCAGCTCAAGCGGCCCGATGTGCAGTTCATGCTCTCCGTTCTCCGAGAAGCGCGAAATCCCGTCATCGAAAACTTCGAAGGCGCCAAAAACGATCTCACCAAATATTCAGTTGAAGCACGAGATAATGTGCGATTTTTGCAAACTTTGGAGCGACATTTCAAGAATCTACAACATTCCAATGACTTCTGGTATAGTTTCGGTCATAAAATGATCATATCAAATCGAGAAAAAAAATTAAATTCTATATTTTTCTAATTTTAAAAATGATTGTGGTGTTCATCTCTATTTCTGACAAAAGTATTCAGCCAAATCATCGACACCATTCCATCAATGATGAATTCATTGCGAATGGTTTGGATCATCTCCCGTCACTACAACAAAGACGAACGAATGGTCCCGCTTATGGAGCGAATCGCCTGGCATCTCGCCGAGCGCGTTAAAGAAAACGTCGACTTGAAGACCATTTTTGCTGCAGAACCTCAAGACGTCAAAAAGCTCGCGAAGAACGCGCGAACTTGTTTGACCACCTGGAAATCGAGCTACCTTGAGGTTCGCGCTAGGATCGAAGAAAACGAGCGAGATGCACGATGGGAATTCGACAAGCAGCGTCTTTTCCAGCAGACTGACTACATGGCGAGCATTTGCCAGGACATTGTAGACGTCGCCCAAGTTCTTGAGGAGTTTTATAATATTTTTGGTCCCGAACTCAAGGCAAGTCTTTATTTATATGCGAAAAGGACTCAATTACAAACTTTTCTCCTAGGATACTCTTGAGGTAAAACTGTTACTTTTTCGTAAAAAAGCAGGCTATTCCTGATTTGCTTATTAAAAAATCAAGAATTAAAGTTTTTCAGTTCCAATCAAAAAATTATCTTCGATGATAATTAAAATCAAGTTTCCTTTTTCAATTCTAAAAGATTGCAAAAGAGCTTTGTTATTTTATCTTTTCCAAGCTTATTATTTTAGCCTTTTTAAATGATGTTTTAGGCTGTCACAGGTGATCCAAAAAGAATTGAAGAAGTCGTGGCGCGAGTTGATGCACTAGTGAAACCTCTTGAAGACTATAAATTCGATCCGTTTGCTCAAGACTGCGCTGTCAGCTGGAAGAAAGTCATCAAGTGGTTCAACAGGGAAGTTGAAGGAATCGAGGCAGAAGCGAAAAGATTCATCGACGAGTCGTTCAAATACTTGAGATCTGCAGAAGGTGCCTTTGACCTTCTTCTCAAAGTGAGTTAGTCATAGTTTTACCATTTCTAATTTTGAATTACAGTTCCAACACATCAAATCTCGTGAATCAATCAACCAGCAAATGATGAACAAGTCACAAGAGATCATCAAACAGTATCGAAAAGAAGTTGACATCATAAACGATTCCTTCCTACGTCAAAAAGATCGACCTCCGGTACCGAATGGACAGCCACCAATTGGCGGTGCTATTATGTGGGAAAAGTCGTTGTTCGATCGAATCAAGAGGACCATAGTCAGATTTATGGAGTCGGAAGAGATGATGGCATCTGACGAAGGTCGCTACGTCAAGGATCACTACTTGCGAACTGCACGAAAGATGAAACAGTACGAAGACGAACTCTACGAAAAGTGGCGAGTACATACAGAAGCGTGTCTACCAGGTTACATGCGAAAACCTCTTCTTTTGAAGAACTTGGATACTGGCCGATTCGAAGTTAACTTTGCGCCAGAACTCAACGTCATCATGCTTGAGTCGAAATATCTTGAACAGCTTGGATTCAGTATTCCAGAGCTTGCCCGTAATATGGCCCTTCAAGAACACAAATATTCCATGTTTGTCGTTGGCCTTCGAAACATGCTCGAACGATATCACAGAATCATGTCTTCACTCGAACCAGCAGAAATGGACCTTCTCAGCGACTGGGTGAAGCAACTCCAGCAGACTTTAAAAGCTGGACACACCAGACTCAACTGGAACACGCTGGGTATCAAAGAATACGTCAATAAATGCGAAAAAATGATCGATAAGTTCGAATCCCTGGTCAATCAAGTGCACGACATCGCTGCTGATATAAATCATCGAGTAGAGCTGATAGCCATGTCCGATTTCTTCGTCTATAAAAGCGAAACGCCCGGAACACCAGATATCAAAGACTACTTCGAAGCTGTCGAAAATCAGCGAGCTAAAGATGTTGAGCTTCTTGCGCGAAAATACCGAGCTATCGGACCTCTTCTCACAAAACTAGAAGGCTTAGTTGTTTCCACCAATTCTGGCAGATCCGACTCAATGGCTAACTACTACAAGTATTGGGAAAAGAAGGTTTATGACGCAATTGTGATTGCGGTTGTTGACAACTTGGAAAATTTCAACTGCCAATTGAGAGCTGAAAAGCCGCTCTTTAGAATCGAGGCTGCTCTGGCTGGAACTGAAATCATTTTACGGCCAGCTGTTAATGAGACACAAAAACTCGTCTTCAAAACGATTGGCGACGTTATTGATTCATCACGTTCGTTTGTCCGATGGATGGATGGCACCTGTATAGAAACTCCACCTCAGCCGAATCCAGACTCGGATGAGCCTTATTTATTCACTTTCCACTCCGATATTCTTCCGCTGCCCTCCGTCACTGAAGTCTGCCTAGGCATTACTGAGAATCTCCAACGATGCCTGGTAAACTGCATCAAAATCGCTGCCAAATGGCGAAAATACTCCAAAATCTGGAAGCCAGACAAACCACTCGTGACTGAAAAGTTTGCGAATAAAGAGCCTTCATGTGTTGAATACGATCATCTTCTTGATGTGTATACGAAAATGGTCAAGGATGTCAACAACGCCACAACTGAAGAACGAGAGCAGGCTTTCATCATTTCTGTGAAGCCGATGAAGGCATCAGTCAAAATGCATGCACGAGAGTGGATTTCCGAGCTTCAGAAACAGCTTCGAATGTCAGCCAAAGTGTCCATGTTTAGTTTGGCTGATAAGTTACGAGACTTGAACTACAACTTGGAAATGGAACCTGATACACTGGAAGAATTGAAAGCTGTTTTGCAGACGATCTCCAATATCAGAGAAATGTCAATGGAAGTCGAGTTTCAGCTGGATGATATTGACGAGCGATACAGAACACTGCTTATGTACCGAGGTGAGATGACGAAGCCCGAAGAAGAGCTCCTAGGCGAAATTCGAAAGATCTGGGCTGATCTCATCTACCGATCAAAATGCGTCGACGTAGAATTGACGCCTATCAAGAGAAAATTCACTGCAATCACTCTGGAAGAAATTACTGACTTCAAAGTGAAAATGGCCGATTTTGCTGAGCGTTTCGAAAATGAAGGGCCATCAACTATCGGTGACGATTTAGAAACAGGCTTGCAGAAGATGAAGGAATTCTCGAAAGTCTTGATTCAGCATGATGCAAACAGACTTGAATTGGCCAACGCTGAAAAGCTCTTTGGCCTGGAAGTTACCGCTTATCCTCGATTAGTAAAAGCTAAGACTGAAATGGAAGGGCTGGCATTAATCTACGAACTATACGAGCGACAAATGAAAGCTCGAGAGGATTGGGCCCAAACGCTTTGGAGTAACCTCAACGTCGACTCTCTCACAGAAGGTATCGAAGGCTTCCTGAAAGATGCCAAGAAATTCCCTCCGCACGTTCGCCAAATGACAGTCGCCCGAGCCCTGCAGAAGAAAATGCTCGAATTCAAGAACGCGATTCCACTCTTTGTTGATTTGAAAAACGATGCTTTGAGAGATCGTCATTGGAAATCTCTCATGGACAAGACTGGGAAGACATTTGACATGAATCCGGAGACGTTTACACTTGGTGCTTTGTTTGAAATGGGGCTTCATAATTATGTCGACTCAATCAACGAAATCGTCACCGCTGCCACTAAAGAATTGTCAATCGAGAAGGGGCTGAAAGAGGTTTCAGAAGTTTGGGACAACATTAAATTCACCATATCGAAATACTTCAAAGGCACATCTGATCGAGGCTACGTTTTGGGAACTGTTGACGAGGTAATACAGACACTCGACGACAATGCAATGACACTGCAATCTATGTCTGCGTCAAGATTCATTGGTCCATTCTTGAATCAAGTGCAAACTTGGGAAAAATCGCTGTCGCATATCTCCGAAGTATGTGAAATTTGGATGGTCGTTCAGCGAAAATGGATGTATTTAGAGTCAATCTTCATCGGTGGCGATATCCGATCTCAGCTGCCTGAGGAGGCGAAAAAATTCGACAAGATCAATGACACGTTCAAAAAGATTATGCAAGAAACAGCCAAAAATCCTAAGATCAAGGACTCCTGTCACGCTCCAAATCGACTTGAGGACTTTACCGTGCTTGCTGAAGGTCTTGAGCGATGCCAAAAGAGTTTGAACGATTATCTTGACTCGAAGCGAAATGCCTTCCCACGATTCTTCTTCATTTCCGATGATGAACTTTTGTCTATTCTCGGTTCTTCCGACCCCACTTGTGTACAGGAGCATATGATCAAAATGTACGATAATATCGCTGCTCTTGGTTTCTCAGACGGCTCGAATGGAGAGAAGATTGCAGTTTCAATGATTTCTGCTGAAAGAGAAGTCATGGACTTCAAGAAAGCTGTCCAAGCAGAAGGTCGCGTCGAGGACTGGATGACCGCCGTCCTTGCTGAAATGCGTGCAACAAACAGAAGCATTACCAAAGAAGCTGTTTACACTTATGGCGAGCGTGGAACGAGAGCTGACTGGATGCTTAACTATCAAGGTATGGTTGTGCTTGCCGCCAATCAAATCTGGTGGACATGGGAGGTAGAAGACATCTTCCGCAAAGTCAAGTCGGGTGACAAGCTTGCCATGAAAAACTACGCCAAGCAACTGCACGGTCAAATTGACGAGATCGTCGCAAAGATCACGAATCCGCTTGAAAAGAACGATCGTGCCAAATACAATACTGTTCTGACGATCGATGTGCATGCGCGAGATATCATCGACACCTTCGTTAGAGATTCAATTTTGGACGAAAAAGAGTTCGAATGGGAGTCACAATTGCGATTTTACTGGTGGAAACCAGAAGATGACGTTATCATCCGACAATGCACAGGCGAATTCGGCTATGGTTATGAATACATGGGTCTCAACGGCCGTTTAGTTATTACACCTCTCACCGATCGAATTTACCTAACACTTACACAAGCTCTATCAATGTATCTTGGTGGCGCTCCTGCTGGTCCAGCTGGTACCGGTAAAACTGAAACCACCAAAGATTTAGCGAAAGCTCTTGGCCTTCTCTGCGTCGTCACGAACTGTGGTGAAGGTATGGATTACAAAGCCGTCGGAAAGATTCTCTCTGGTCTTTCACAGTGTGGTGCTTGGGGATGTTTCGATGAGTTCAACCGAATCGACGCGTCTGTACTTTCTGTCGTCTCTTCGCAAGTCCAAACAATTCGAAACGCTTTGATCCGACATCTTAGCCGATTCCAGTTCGAAGGTGTTGAAATTAGTCTTGATCCTCGAATGGGCATCTTCATCACAATGAACCCTGGTTACGCTGGCAGAACTGAGTTGCCCGAGTCAGTCAAAGCACTCTTCCGACCAGTTGTCGTCATTGTTCCGGACTTGCAACAGATTTGTGAAATTATTCTTTTCTGTGAAGGTTTCCTGACTGCCAAGGTTCTCGCGAAAAAGATGACAGTACTTTACAAGCTCTCAAAAGAACAACTTTCAAAACAGAATCACTACGATTTCGGTCTCCGAGCCCTTCGTTCTGTCCTAAACATGGCTGGTAATCTCAAGCGAGGATCTCCCGATCTCCCCGAAGATATGGTTCTGATGCGAGCCCTACGAGATATGAACTTACCGAAATTTATCTTTGAGGATGTACCACTTTTCCTTGGTCTTATTGGCGATCTGTTCCCCGGTCTCGATTGTCCTCGAGTCCGATATCCTAATTTCAACGATGCAGTTGAAGTTTGCCTCTCTGAGAAAAAATACATTTTGAAAGAAAATCAATGTGACAAAGTCGTCCAAATGTACGAAACAATGATGACTCGTCATTGCACAATGATCGTCGGTCCAACTGGTGGTGGAAAATCTGTCGTCATCAATGCTCTTTGCCAAGCTCAAACTCGTCTCGGTCTTCCAACAAAAATGTCCATCATGAATCCGAAAGCGCTTTCTGTTATTGAGCTTTACGGTATCTTGGATCCCGTGACTCGAGATTGGACAGATGGTGTTCTTTCAAACATCTTCAGAGAAATGAATCGACCAACTGAGAAAAAAGAACGCAGATACGTTCTGTTCGATGGTGATGTCGACGCGCTCTGGATTGAAAATATGAACTCTGTCATGGACGACAATAAGCTGTTGACTTTGGCGAATGGTGAACGTATTCGTTTACAACCACACTGTGCTATGTTGTTTGAAGTTGGCGATCTCCAATACGCATCACCTGCCACCGTCTCCCGAGCTGGTATGGTCTTCGTCGATCCCAAGAATCTCCGCTACCGTCCATACTGGGAACGTTGGCTTGTCGACCGAACTGACAAGCTCGAGCAAGAATTCTTGCCACAACTTTTCGACAAGACTGTTGACGTCCTTATAGATCTCATCCACGAAGGTATGCTCGATGGCAAGCAAGGTGACAAACTGAAGTTGATCGTTCCTCAGACAGATCTGAATATGGTCACCCAGCTATGCAAAATGCTTGAAGCTTGCTTGGACTCAGCTGAAGCGCCAGTTGACTCTGAACAAATTCTCGAAGCCGTTTATGTTGAGTGCCTTTTCTGGTCTCTTGGAGGAACACTTGTTGAAGAATCACAAGAGCAGTTCAACACAATCGCGAAAAAATTGCTTGCTTTGCCTGGTGCCTCTGACTCAGACACAAACTTTGCTCCAGCAGGTACTCTGCCAACTCGATTCAATCTTATGTATGACTATCACTTCGACATTTCTAAACGACAATGGATCCCATGGAAGATGATTGTCCCTGACTACATCCACGACCGAACAAAACCTTTCCATGAGATTCTGGTGCCTACTGTAGACACTACTCGTACCACTTGGCTTCTTAAAAAATCAGGCCATATCAATCGCCCAGTATCGCTTGTTGGTGAAAGTGGAACATCGAAATCTGCAACAATCCAAGACTATTTGCGTGGATTGAGTCCCGATTCAAACATGCTCTTGAATATCAATTTCTCTTCCCGTACGTCGTCAATGGATGTTCAGCGAACAATCGAGGCGAATATTGAAAAACGAACTAAAGACATCTATGGACCTCCTCCAGGAAAACGCCTTCTTGTCTTTATGGACGACATGAACATGCCTCAAGTGGACACTTACGGAACTCAGCAGCCTATCGCACTCATGAAACTCTTGCTTGAAAAAGGCTACATTTATGATCGGTCAAAGGAGCTCAACTGCAAAGTCTTGAAAGACATTTCTTACGTCTCTGCTATGGGCAAAGCTGGTGGTGGTCGAAATTCGACTGACCCTCGGTTCTTGTCTCTCTTTTCAGTTTTCAACATGACATTCCCATCTGACGAGTCGATCAATAAAATCTACACTTCAATTCTTTCTGGTCACCTGGAACCATTCGGCGAGAACATCCTCGATCTTGCTAGTAAGCTTACTGGATGCACTCTTGAACTTTACAAAAAGATCGTCCGAGATCTCCCTCCAACGCCATCAAAGTTCCACTACATTTTCAACCTGCGAGATTTATCAAGAATTTACAGTGGTCTCTGTGTCACCAGTGCCGAGCGATTTACCAAGCCTGATGAATTCATTCGAGTTTGGCGAAACGAATGCTTGAGAGTCTTCCACGATAGAGCCATTAATGATAAAGATAAGAATTACCTTCAAGACACCATCAAGGGATTGGTAACCAAAACTTTCCCTCACAACACTGAACATGTCATGCGAGATCCGATCCTCTTTGGCGACTACAGAAACACCTTGAAGGAGAGTGAACCACGGCTTTATGAAGATGTTCAAGACTTTGATGCTGCAAAAGGCTTGTTTGCTGAGATTCTTGAAGCGTACAACGAAAGCGAGACTCCAATGAACCTGGTTCTTTTCGAATCTGCGCTGGACCATCTGACGAGAATTCATCGTGTTTTGAGAATGAAACGCGGTCACGCCTTGCTCGTTGGTGTTGGTGGCTCAGGAAAGCAGTCTCTCGCAAAGTTGGCATCATATGCAGCAGGATGTGAAGTTTTCGAGATTTCATTATCCAGAGGATACGACGAGTCCAATTTCAGAGAAGATCTGAAAATTCTATACAGTAAACTTGGTGTAGAAAGCGGAGGTCGAAAAATTTCCTTCCTGTTCACCGACTCACACGTTGCTGAAGAGGGTTTCCTCGAACTGATCAACAACATGCTTACCACCGGTGCTGTGCCAGCACTCTTCGCCGACGACGAGAAAGACGCGATCATCAATAACATGCGAGACGAGGCATTGCGAGCGAACTACCCGCCAGGAAAAGAATCAATTTGGAAGTATTTCATTGATAAGTGCGCCAACAATCTTCACGTTATCCTTGCTATGAGTCCAACTGGAGACACTTTGCGTGTGCGCTGTCGAAATTTCCCAGGTCTTGTCAATGGAACTACAATCGACTGGTTCGAGGCTTGGCCAATTCAGGCTCTCATTGCTGTCGCATCAAGCTTTTTATCGGACAACCAAATGATTCCTGAGCAACATATGAACGCCGTGATCAATCACGTTGTCTTTGTTCATAAATCTGTTGAAGAAGCATCCGCCGATTACTTGACAAAACTCAGACGAACAAACTTCGTCACGCCCAAGAATTACCTTGATTTCGCAACCTCTTATTTGAAACTACTCGAAGAAAAAGACGATGAAGTTGAAAAAATGTGCGAGCGTTTGGAAGGTGGTCTCAAGAAAATTGCAGAAGCCCAGATCCAGCTTGACGACTTGAACGCTAAACTTGTTGTTCAGAAAGTTGTTGTAAAGGAAAAATCAGAAGCCTGTGAAGAACTGCTGAAGGTTATTTCAGAAAGCAAAAACATCGCTTCAATTAAACAAGAAGAAGCAGGATCCAAAGCCATCGAAATCGAAGAACAATCAAAAGTTATTGCTATCGAAAAGAAAGAAGCCGAAGAATCTTTGGCGGAAGCTCTGCCAGCCTTAGAAGCTGCTCGAAAGGCCCTTGAAGACTTGGACAAGTCAGATGTCACCGAAATTCGATCCTTTGCAAAGCCTCCAAAGGCTGTCCAGACCATTTGCGAGTGTATTCTCGTCATGAAGGGCATCAAGGAAATTTCGTGGAAAGCAGCTAAAGGTATGATGTCTGAAGCTGGTTTCTTGAGCTCTTTGATGAACATGGACGTCGACGCCATCGGCAACTCTCAAGTGAAACAGATCAAGGGCTTTTTGAAGGTCATTGGTGTCTCACAGACGGAAATGAAGTCCATCTCAAACGCTGGTGCTGGTATGATGAAGTTCGTCGAAGCTGTCATGGGTTACTGCGACGTTGCACGAGAAATTAAACCAAAGCGAGAGAAAGTCGCTACTTTGGAAAAGAACTTCTTCATCATGAAAAAAGATCTCGCTGCAGCGAAAAAAGAACTGGCTGCAATCGAGAAACAACTTGCAGAACTTGAAGCTCAATTTGAAGCCGCGATGACTGAGAAACAAGAGCTCGAAGAAGAAGCCAGCATTATGGAAAGGCGATTGATTGCCGCAGACAAACTTATTCGTGGTCTCGGTTCTGAAAGAGAACGATGGAAGGTGGAACTCGCTGGACTTAAGGAAATGCGCGTGAGACTTCTTGGTGACTGTCTCCTCGGTGCTGCATTTTTGTCCTACGAGGGAGCTTTCAACTACGATTTCCGATATCAAATGATGCAAGAAAAGTTCATTCCGGATATTCGCGAGAAAGGTATTCCAATGTCTGATCCATTCCGACTGGAAGATCTTCTTACTGACGAAGTCGAAATATCAAAGTGGGGCTCCGAAGGTTTGCCTCCAGATGAGCTTTCCATCCAGAACGGTATTCTTACCACTAGAGCCAGTCGATTCCCACTTTGTATTGATCCACAGCAACAGGCGTTGAATTGGATCAGGAAGAAAGAAGAAAAGTATAATCTTAAAGAATCGTCCTTCAACAGCCCTGACTTTTTGAAACAACTCGAGTTGGCTATCAAGTATGGTTTCCCATTCTTATTCAAGGATGTTGACGAGTACATCGATCCTGTCATTGATAATGTCCTCGAGAAGAATATCAAGGGTGGTGCTGGACGAGAACACATCATCCTTGGTGACAAGGAGGTCGACTACGATCCGAGCTTCAGGCTGTACTTGACTTCAAAACTTGCTAACCCTAAATACTCACCTGCTGTTTTTGGAAAGGCGATGGTTATAAATTACCAGGTCACACTCAATGGTCTCGAAGATCAGCTTCTCTCAGTTATTGTAAAGTTCGAGCGAAAAGAACTGGAAGAACAGCGTGAACGCTTGATTCAAGAAACATCTGAGAATAAACGACTCCTCAAGGATTTGGAAGATTCTCTTCTCCGAGAACTCGCCAACTCTAAAGGAAACATGTTGGACAACACTGAACTTATTGAGACATTGGAAGAAACGAAAACAAAGGCTAAAGAAATCTCTGAGAAACTGGTGCAAGGAGCAGAAACCTCTGCTGAGATTGACGAGATTCGAAATGGTTACCGACCTGCCGCGCGGCGCGGTGCAGTTCTTTTCTTCGTCCTCTTGGATATGTCTCTTGTCAACAACATGTACCAGTTTGCGCTCAATGCTTACCTTGACGTCTTTGACATGTCACTAAAGAAATCTCTCCCCGATGCAGTGCTTGCTCGCCGATTGCAGAACATCATCAACACTTTGACCATGAATGTTTACAACTACGCATGTACTGGTCTTTTCGAACGACACAAGTTGCTATTCTCCTTCCAAATGTGTATAAAACTTCAACAAGATATTGGAAAAGTGCCTCAGCCTCAGGTCGACTTCTTCCTCAAGGGTAACATTGCTCTTGATAAGGTCAAGAAAGTGAAACCAGCCGAGTGGATTGCCGATCAAATGTGGCAAGATCTTGTGAAATTGTCAGAACTATCGCCTGTCTTCTCAACATTACCTGACGATATTTCGAAGGATGTCGAAACTTGGGAGAAATGGTACGACCAAGATGCTCCTGAAGCTTCACCCTTCCCTGGCCGCTACGAGAGCTTAGATGATCAATTCCTCAAGCTTTGTCTTCTTCGATGTTTCCGTGTTGATCGATGTGTCCGTGCCGTTACTAACTACGTTGTCTCAAACATGGGCGAAAAGTATGTTCAACCTCCGATTGTTTCTTTTGAAGCTATTTTTGAACAATCAACGCCGCTCTCGCCAATCATTTTCATTCTCTCCCCTGGTTCCGATCCCGCTACTGACTTGATGAAGCTTGCCGATCGAATGGACATTGGTGGCAATCGACTTAAATTCCTTGCCATGGGACAGGGTCAAGAGCAAATCGCTCTCACACTCCTCGATACTGCTATCCAGCGAGGTCAGTGGCTCATGCTCCAAAATTGCCACTTGCTTGTCAAATGGCTCAAGGATTTGGAAAAATCTATCAGCAGAATCACAAAGCCGCATCCTGACTTCCGTCTCTGGCTCACCACCGACTGTATCCCGGAGTTCCCAATCGGTATTCTTCAAAGATCACTCAAGGTCGTCACTGAGCCCCCTAATGGTCTTAAGCTCAACCTTCGGGCAACATACACCAAGATTGCTGGCAGTACCTTGGCAGACAGCTCTCACCAATTTTTCCGGCCACTTGTCTACGTCCTCGCCTTCTTCCATGCCGTCGTTCAAGAGCGAAGAAAATACGGTCGCCTTGGTTGGAACGTTTCGTATGATTTCAACGAGTCAGACTTTGAAGTTTGCATGACAATCATCGACACATATCTTACGAAGTCTTTTGAAAACGAAGAAGACAAACTTCCTTGGGGAACCTTGCGATATCTGGTCGGAGAAGTCATGTACGGAGGTCGATGCATCGATTCATTTGATCGACGAATCCTCACCACATACATGGAAGAATACTTCGGTGACTTTATCTTCGATACATTCCAGGAAAGGGATAATATATTTCTGTTTGATGATTTCAGAGGTAGACAATAAATTTATGAGCACTCATTTCTCATTTGAGATAATCTCTTCCTATTCGGTTATTATCCTCTTTCAAGCCGTATTCGTTCTACAAGTCGAGTGAGATCGACTACAACATTCCCAAAGATGATGGAACCAAGGAAGTCTACACAGAGAAAATCGAAAGCTTGCCGTTAGCTAACACGCCCGAGGTCTTCGGTCTTCATCCTAACGCTGAAATCGGCTACTACACGACCGCAGCGAGAGACATGTGGGAGCTTCTCGTTGAGTTGCAACCTCAAACAGGTGACTCCGGAGGTGGAATGTCTCGAGATGACTTTATCGCCAAAATTGCAATTGACATCCAGCAGAATCTCCCCGAACAGTTCGAAATGGATAAGATCAAGCGTAAATTTGGAATCAATGTTGATCCGACTACTGTAGTTTTGCTTCAGGAATTAGAGCGATTCAATAAGGAACGGTTCAAGCCCAAAATTCGTCTTTTGGCGCCAAAATATCAGCAATGTCCACATTTTAGACTGCACTAGATTAGCACCTCTATCACTGCCCCCGAAGCGGGAGATGGCGCGCTTTGATCTCATCGGTTGGCTGAATTATTTTTAGAAAGAATTGATTCCCAGATCTTGAACCTAGTGAAAAGCTCATTGCAAAAATGCGAAGCTCTTTGGTCGAACTCGGTCGAGCGCTCATTGGTGAAGTTGGAATGTCAAACGAACTGGACGAAGTAGCAAGATCCCTTTTCAACGGTCAAATCCCATCCATCTGGCGGGCTTTGGCACCGGACACGCTCAAGAATCTTTCTAACTGGATGAGTCACTTTAGATCGCGGCTCGATCAGTACACCAACTGGGTTGAGAAAGGAATCGGTTTTGATATTTTACGGAAATGATCTTTTGAAATATATTGAGTGAGATATAAAGATCCAGTCAATTTATGAATAACTATCGAAAGTTTCGATTCGAAACCGATAAAAGGTGAACCCGATGTCATGTGGATTTCCGGCCTTCATATCCCTGAGTCCTATCTTACCGCTCTCGTGCAAGCAACTTGCCGCAAGAATAAGTGGGCTTTGGATCGTTCGACTTTGTACACCGTAGTGACCAAATACGAGGATGCTTCTTACGTGAACGAAAGACCACTGCAAGGTGCCTATATTTCCGGTCTTTACTTGGAAGGTGCCGCTTGGGACGTGGAGAACACTTGCTTGGTGCGCCAGCCGCCCAAACAGCTCCTGCAGCAACTGCCGATCATGCAGATCGTTCCGATCGAGTCTCACCGCTTGAAGCTGCAGAACACCTTCCGAACGCCCGTCTACACGACTTCAAACCGACGAAACGCGATGGGTGTCGGTCTCGTTTTCGAAGCCGATCTTGCTTCTCGACAACATCCATCTCACTGGGTCCTACAGTCCGTCGCTCTCACACTCAACTCCGACTAAGCACCAAAACTAACACCTGTATTTAATATCTTCTGTACAAAAGTATATTTTTGTATTAATAATAAATATATTTGTCTAACTAAAAACCGAGTCGATTGTTATCGAAATTCAAACTAACCCAGCGGGGTACTTTTGGTCTTTGCGGGGGAAGGAGATCATGATAATTATCATTACATTAGTAAAGTACAGGTGTGTTTGGTGTGCCTTCATCGGATATCTTTGCTAGCTAGATATTACCAATAAGCAATTCCTGAGGTAAACGAAAAAACTTATTGCAAAATGGATGTGAGATAATCTGTGAGATCAGCAGAAACTGATTATGTTTGGGAACGAGAATTTGAGAAAATCAAGGAAGAAATTTGTTGAGATATTTCCGAGTTGCGGAAAAATGTCTTTGCTTTGTCAGGTTGTTTGTATCAGAGTTGGAGTGATTCATTTCTGTAAGATCGGCCAATAACCTTTTCGGAAAGGAATGCGCGGTGCAAAAGAGGGAAAATGAGTATTCGATAGGAAAACGAGCTCACTCTTGCCTACTCAAAATTTTTGCTTGCAAAGGTTTAAGCTGATTGTTGAAAGAGACTGCACGATGGGAAAGGCAAAGACAGCCGCAAAATCGACGAAATCTTCGGCGAAATCAGGGCCGCCTTCGAAAAAAGCGACGAACTCAGCCTCTAAGAAGACAACGATGAAAACAAAGACGCTTACAACGACGAAAGTCGTCGAGACAACGCTCACACGCAGCGAAGTGACCAGCAAAACAGCAACGACTTCTAAGCCCGCAATCAAAAAGGCAACGAAGGAAGCTCCAGCTTTGAAAGCTCCACCCAAACAAGCCAACCCACTTCCAGTTCAGAAGAAAACTGCGTCAGGTATGAATACTACTCAATCGGCGACGAAAAAAGCTTCTGCGAAGCCGGCTCAGGCGAAGAAAACCGGCAGCGCATCGAAGAAGCCAAAAGAACCTGCGGGAATTACGATTACGCTCCCGGGCTCTGGAAAAGGGAAACCAATGACGATTACGATTAAAAAATAACTCCCCCTAAACTTAAAATTGTCCCCAAAAAATCGTGATGAAAATCAGGTTGAAATTTTTCTTGTTGCACTTTTCGAAATTCGGCAAAAAACTGTGCTCTTGGGCGCCTCTTGAACTCTCCACGGATAATTCTTGGTGAGTGTAGCGCCGCTAAATTTTCGCCTATAAAAAGGCAGATTTCGCCCCTTACCTCCACTCACACTTACAGAGCCACCGGAGAAACCTTCTCCGAGACTTGCAACGTCCTAAAATTTTAACCTTTTTTCATCGCTTCTTTTTGTGCCCCTTTCCTTTCGTCGTTTTCCCTGTCCTTTTCGCCCCGCCCGTCAAACCCGCCAAGGAAAGGATAATCAACAAGATGTTTTATAATATTATTATCATTTCATTTTCATAATCAAATTTCATTATCCTTCGTCAGATGTGTTTCGAATGGCTTTTCGCTGGCAAGAAGACCAAGCTTGAGGCTGATCTCGAGAAAAACGAAGCACAGTTGACACGTGCCAAAGAACTTCTCTCCGAACATGATGAGGTTATCTTGAACCTCAAGGATGAGGTCGCGCAGATAAGAGGCGACTCATTGAAACGAGGTAAGCTTTATCAAAGAACTTTCATTCCGAATCTTAAAATATTTTAGTCGCTCAGCCCCGAAGATCGCGAACTGTCAACGCTCAACCTCGTCCCATCAATGCAGGACAACTTCGTCGACCTCGTTCTCCTCCACCGTCCTATGAGCACGTCAACTCACCGTCTACAATGGTCTTGTCAAACTCCAGTACTCCATCTCCAACACTCTACTGGATCGCCACTGCTCCCCAGGAATGAAGTACACATCAGCCACCGAATCCTTTTTTTCCAACGCTTCCTTTCCTCTAAACCGCTAGAGTAACCCTTCCCGCTGTAAATCTCACTGAACCTCCACTTCGCATCACCGTCGCTCACCACTTTGTTTTTCTCGCCGATCTCTCCCGTGCCATTCATCTGTTTGAAACAGACTGTTTCTCAAAAGTTTTCAATCCTTGTTATCTTTTCTGCCCAATTTCGTCTCTCTCTAATTGTAGAGTAACCTCTCCTACTGTATATTTCCCTGAACCTTCACTTTCAATCACTGTCTCTTTCTACCGCCATGCCTTACCTTACTTAGGTAATCTCTTCTTCATTACTGACAAAATCAGTTGAAAACACGAATCAAGATAGAACCCAAAAATCCTTCGTCTTAAAATTTTTGCAGGAAAATTACAACTTAGATTTTAGATGAAAATAATCAGCAGGATTGATATTATCGCCGAGGCACTATTGTTTTTGACGCAAACTAGGGGATGAAAAATAGTTGAGCTTTCTTTTCGCCTTGGGGCGTAGTGCGCATCTGGATTGGCGTTCTATCCCTTCGTTGAGCCAATAGACTCCGCTTTGAATGCATTTTCGATGACTAGTGAGACAAGTACAAATCAAGAATTTTATTAAAATGGAAAGTGCCGAAAAGAAGAAAGCCTCTGATGTGAAGGAGAAGCAGCCAGTCTCCGAAAAACCGACCAAGGACGAGAAAAAGCCGGAAAAGGAAGAAAAGCCAGAGGAAAATGGAAGCAGCGCCGCGAAGAAGCCAAAGAAGGAAGAAAAGAAACCGAAAGTCGAAAGAAAACGAAAATCAGAGCGTTCAGACAGTGTTTGAAAATCTTTTGATGAATTGCGGATTCGTACTCTTCCTTGATTCCACAAAACTATCTCCTTTCATCTCGAAGGATAAAATGTTCAGAGTTTTTTCATACTAGTAGCTTTCTTTTCTAGTTTAATCAAAGATCTACTCATTTCTTCTAAAACCCAATTTTCAAACAGAAAGAAGGCAGTTCTCGCGTTACCCGGAGCACGGATTTTTATGTTTCCATGGTAGAAGAGTGCATCAAGCTAGAACAACTTCAAGCAAAACGTAATCTAATCCATCAATTTCCTTTAGAAAACAACGATTTTTCAGAAGCAAAAGAAGCAAAATCTGAGCCCAAGCAGAAAAAGCCCGCCGCTCCTAAAAGTAGCGAGCCAAAGTCGAAGAAATCTCAAAAAGACGAACAGAAGCGGGCTTCTCAGAACGATGAAAGTGAGCCAATCGAGCGTACCTTTGGCGAGCTGAAAAATATCCTTCGCAATTCAACGACGATGGATTTAGCCAAGAAGATTATTGGAGTGAATCTATGTCGCAGAATCGACGGACAGAAGATCATTGGCAGAATCGTCGACACGGAGGCTTATATAGGGTAAGAAATTCTTATGTAATTTCTTCTACGAAGATAAATAATTCTAGCCCGGTTGACAAATGCTCGGTTACGTTCAAAAAGAAAAAATCAAAAGCGCTTGCTTCGTATTTTGCTGAATCAGGTACCGCCTGCGTCGAGTTTGTTGAAGAAGGCAACACGCATTTGGCGATTTCTAGCGCTCTACCAGGCGAATACGTCCTTATCAGTGCTCTTCAGCCCATGCTCGGAAGGTATTATTAATCTTATTTCGCTTCGTATATTCGTTTTTCAGAGAGAAGATGAAATCGCTCCGCGGAATGCGGCCAAGCACGACGGACAAAAACCTGACGGCGACGGCAAAAGAGCTCGCCGCTGCGCTGAAAGTAACGATGGAGTTCGACGGACTCGACTTGCTCGAAGGAGGTGGCGACATTTGGCTGGAACCGGGCGTTACGTGCCCCAAAGTTGTCAAAACGCGCCGAGCTATTGACATGAACAACGAAAAAAATTGGCAAGAGGTTAGAACGCACAACAAACCTACGATCTGTTCTTTCATATAGGCTTTTACAAATAAGCATTTTATTTTTTGACCCTAAGGTTAATTTCTATGCGATATTTTGGAATGTATTCTTACATTCTTGGGGCAAAAATTAATTGAATGTCAGTCAATATGATTTTAAAAGTACAATGAGATTCGGGTTTATTTTCGCCCAAAATAGTCTCAAAAACAATGCTAGATAGCGTATCATAATTGAAATAAATATAATCCCGATTCTCACGTCGAGGGCGCTCCCGATCATACTAACAATTGTCTAGTGGAGCTTCAAGAAACTTCGCTTTTACTCTGCCACTTCCCACTGCATCAAGACAAGAGATCAAAAGGAAGAACAGAATACAGGAATGGCTACTAAAAAAATTTCACTCGAAAAATGTAAGCTCAATTTCTGTAGCTTATCAAGTCTTGCAAACACTGCCGGAAGACGTCGACCATATATAACGATGAGCAACTAAGATTATCTTTTCAAATCAAATCAACTTTTGCTACATAACCGAGCATTAAAAAATCAAACCCTTTCTACGAAATTTAGCAAACCAAACCTAACCCTAGACTACATTTGAAAACGTGCGTCAGTACTCTATTATCACAGCATTGTTGAATTTCGAAAACGGAAGAATAAAGGCTCAGACATCAGTTTAACTCAATTCGAATTCTCACCAATTTGTTGACCCGTTCTGCCTGTTCCATTGAAGATCGGATAGACCCACAGGAAAAAAAATCTTTCCCAGGTTGTCAATAAATTGGTGAAGATCCGCAGAGAGGTTGAGCTCGTTATCTTAACCTATTGCAACACTTGAATCGTATCTGCCAGCAACACACATAAACGCGTGCGAAACGTAACCCGCATCATCACGCATGGATCTTTAATCGCCAATATTTGCCTTTTCGCCAGTTTTTCTCATTTCTGTTTCATTTACCAAACACGGCGACCGCCGCGTTTCTAACATTTGCCTGAGAGAGCAATATCGCTATTGAATTTCTTTTCTCAAGAAAAAAAAAGAAAGCAAAAATAATCAAGACTATCACTTCCGTTTTTAAGACGTGTGTTAGACCATCATGAGTTAGAAAATGGGAAGCTGCTTGACCCGGGAGAACAGAAACGAAGAGAATGCTCAGACCGACCCGGCGGTTCGAACTGTAAGTGTCCTCTTTTGAGTATAAATGAGAATGTATCTGCAATTAAAATATTAAACGTTCGGGTCTATAAATATCTTTTTAGAGCAGTAAAAAGCGAGGTGAAAACCAACTTTCTGGTGAGCTTCCGCGATGGACCTCCGAGAAAAGGACTCAGATGATATGTACAGTAGTATTCAGTGAAAAACGCGTCATTGAAGAAAACCAAAAATTACCCCTGATTACGTTAGAATAATTCTATAATTTCGAAACTCAACACTTTCACACCTTATATAAAGGTGCGATCATAATTAAAAGCAAGAATCTGAGCCCATTCTTAACCAGCGATGACGATGGGAGCGCTCGTCTCAAAAAGGGATGAGTTCTGGGAAACGGCGCCGTCTTATGAAGGAAAAAAGGAAGTATGGGAAGCGCTGCGTTCAGCTGCAGACGCTCTGGAACGCGGCGACTTGGAACATGCCCAGCTTGTCATAGGTAAGCTAGAACATTTCTTCCTCCCCGTGAGTTTTTCGCTTTAGACACGGCGAACATCAAAGTTCCGAACGGGAACCTGTCCGAGTCGTACGATGACCTCGGCATCAAATATTGCATTCCCGCTTACTGTATCTCCGCCCCAGACAATCTCATCTCAGAAAAGGGATCAGTCTTCTCGCGCACTTCGAAAACGAAACGATCACTTGTAAACAACACCACCAAAATGGATACCGTGTTGCGTTTGCGCCTTTCCACCGAAAAGTAACACTCCTCAGTAAGGTTCCAACTTAATTTCTGTCTATTATAGCGAAAAGACATTTGATTTCGACGTAAGTTCGAAGGAGCTAGTCCAGAGTGCTAAATTGCGGCTCCAGAACGAACGCGATATCAAAGGTCAGCAGCGCTGGTTCTGTCAGGGCAGAGTGTTAGGTAATTTCTACTCAGTCTGGATTGACGTCATGAACGTTCGAATTTAGTGGACAATCAAACGATCACTCAGGCGCGCATCCCGGAAGGCTTCGTGATTCAAGTTATTCTTATTCCAAAACTGTAAATTCCTCACTCAAATGCTGTAGAAAGGTTAACCAATATATTTAATAACACATCAAGTTCATGTTCCAAGGACAGAAAAAATACACACAACTGAGTCAGTTGAACTGGCAGAGCTCGTCATCTCTGAATGTCCGATCGCAGGATATCCAGAAACAGTCAGAGGGATTGTTTGAGATGTATTTATTGAATTTCAATAATTGAATAGTGAAATATCGAATAGAATCAAAATTAAAAAGTATCAGTTTGATAAGGAAAGAAGAACTAGAAACGGAGGAAACTGAATAAAAGACTGGTTTCTTACATGTAGAAAAAAGGGTGGGAAAGAAGAAAGTGGGAATTGAAGTTAGGAAGATCTCATTTGTCATAGAAATGGAGGCGAATTAAGAGCTTTTGAAGCCGCACCGCGGCTTTTTAAAAAGCAAGATTGGGCCAATCTGATTGGCTAGCTAGCTACAAAGGAATATTTTTTGAATAGTATAGAATTGACTCCGAAAGCGCCTCAACCCTCTTTATATCGTGTAATAGCAGTGTGAAAAAGGAAACACTCGTGTCGGATAGATGCCTTTAAAGAAGCATAGGATTCCAGGCGGATTCGCTGGCGGGGATGCCACCTACCATTTCAGACTCGATGCCGCACTCATTGACGCCTCGTTTGATCTGAAAAGTTCGAATATTAGAATTGAATATACTAGCTATTTTGTAAGTATACTACTGCAGTAGCTACTACTGCAATTAGCGCTCGCACGGCGGCAATTGGATAGATCGACTGCAGTTTCATATATTTAACCCGTTGCCGAGCGCGTAGCATTCAGGATGCTACAACCTGCCCTCAGGCTCGAAATCCAACCTTACTATTGGCGTAGACGGCATTTATACACTAAGCGCTCGGCAACGGGTTAAAGAGTATGTACTATAGAGACTGCGATGCTTCCATGTCATTCTTTTTCAAATCGAAGTGACGCCTGCGAGAATCTGTTCTTTGTTTATTACCTTGAAGAATCCGTTGTCACCCCAGTCGGTGTTCCACGAGTTGCCACAGAGCCAGTACTTTTCTCCATTCTCTTCGCCCCAGCCTAAGACTCGGATAGCGTGACCTCCCAACGCTTCGCCAGTGTGATGCGAGTAGACGCCGGATTTGTAGGTAGGGAAGTCTTCGTAGACAATGAAAGCGCCTTCCACGGGCCCGTTCTTGTAGATCTCGTGCATGATCGCCTTCTCGTTAGCAGGAATTCTGAAAATCAAGAGTTACTAGACGGGAGTTGAAAGTAACAACGAACCGATAGGCGACGGAGCCGTAGTGCTTGTCCTGAGCGAAGTTCCCGGTGTAACCGTCGACGCACTTGTGTGAACACTTCGGTGTTGTTCCTTCTTCGCCGGTGCATGGGGGACGATCACCTTCAGTGTGGTGCTCGCAAGGCTCGATCACGTAAGGCTGGCACCCTTCGCCGTGGTAGAGGCCGCCAGTGACAAGGCCATTTTGAACCCAGTACTCCCAAGCAGCCTAAAAGGTGCATTAGAGATAGATAAGTGTACTCTTTGGTACTTAAGCACTCGTTTAAAAATATGGCAATTACCTGAGGAAAGCCACCGTTGCAGCCGTTTCCACAGACGTATCCGCAGCAAGAGAGCAAGTCTTCTGAAGACAAGTCGGCAGTGAAGCCTGCGTTGGAGTGGATACAAGTTCGATCGGAGATCGCTTCCGAAGCGCCAAATGCCCAGCAAGAGCCGCAAGATCCCTGGTCGCGCACTTCGCCGATCGAGGGGCAATCCGGCCACTATTTTGGGGATCAATTTTTGCAAAATAGAAAGTACTAGAAGATATATAAAAGTATAAGAATGAGTGATAGGTTTGCGATATTAATTCAAAATGAGTTGTAATTACAAGCTTGATAAGGATCATAGAACATATAATGTAAATGACTCTCTAATTGCACTATTTGAATACTAGATATATCTTCTCGTTTTATTCTCAACTAATATTAAAAGAACTCACGGCTTCTCTGGAGTCGAAGTTAGCTGGCAACTCGAGGTCGAGATCGTTGAGAAGATGGTTGACGGGAAGACGATCGTCGCCCAATATCGTACCGCAGAGACCAGCAACGCTCTCCGGTTTGTAATTCGAGTTGAAGTTCGTTCCTGCCTTCCAGGAGAGATTCGCAGAGTTAACCTTCGAGATGATGTCATCGAAGTTCTCATGCTCCAGGTTTCCAACCAGCTTTTCAACTCCTAAAAAAGATCATCATTAATTAGTATTAAAAATTTCCACAACAAATCATATTTTTAAAAATGTAACATACGTTTTGCCACATCTTCTACCCAATTCAAAGGGTTAAAATTCGCCGATGCGGCTCCAATCAAAACCCCACCAAGCTTCATTTTCTCTTTTCTCAAAAATCAGCGAAAAAAGAACGCTCGAAGAATCAGAATTTCGCTTCTTCCCGTATCGATTTTCAATACGAGCTCTTTTGTTATTTTTTCCCTTGTCAATTTTGCGTCGTCTGTCGCGCGCGAGAATACGCTAAAACTGCGCGGCCAATCAAAACCGGCCTGGCGATTTTGGAGAAAAGCTAAAACCTCAGCACGTTTCTTTATCAGTAATTTTTCGACGGAGATTATACTGTCTTGCTATTCTAGTATTGTCAGAGTTTTGATTGAGAGAATTCGCTTGGTCGATTTTGTATATTTAACAAACCATAGTTCTTTTTGAATTAAAATAAAGTTTTGTAATACTCAATTTCGTAGTTGTTAGAATGAATGCTTCATTTTCGTCTGAGTACCTAGATTTGCAGGGAATATTTTTAGATTGTAAAGTTACGAGAATGGAATCGTCAGAAAGCAAGAAATCCGCTCGTTTCATCTCACAGCCGGCGCTTCGCAAGAATCTCCTCATAAATCAACATTCCATGACAATGACGACGGGCCTCGCCGGTGCCACCGCCGGCATTATCGGACTAACAGGACTTAGGTACCCTTCTTGGCCTTGAAAAGGCAACTCTAGAACGTGCTTTTCAGTGGTTTCGCGTTTTTCTTCGTAGCTGGATTCGTTCTTATCGCCTTGTTGCAAATGAAAGCTGGTTTCAACTGGGAGAAGTTCTTTCCAAGCTATAAAGTGCTCATGGGCGGCTGGGTAACCGCATTCAAGACTTACATTCTCTTCTGGACGTTTCTCTACGGAATGATTCACATCTACTGACCTTTCTCCACTCTTCTTTCCTTAGCTCAATTCTTATGACTTCAAACTGCGGAATTTTAAACCATGTGATTGTAGCTGCTCTAATTCGCATCGTCGATTCTAGATTCGTTTCGTTATGGGCCAGTTTGACGTTAACATCAAATGGGGCAAGGAAAAGTTCAACGACATCACCGTAAATACTGATGAAGCGCCAGAAATCTTCAAGGCGCAGCTTTTCGCGCTCACCAATGTCCCACCAGGTCTATTATCTATGAATCTTCTGTTTTGCTAATTTTTATTTTTTTGAAGAACGGCAGAAGATCATGATCAAGGGAGGAGTGTTAAAGGACAGTTGGGACAACTTCCAGGGCAAATTGAAGAATGGCGCGATGATAATGCTGATGGGATCGGCCGACCCGCTTCCAGAAAAGCCCAAAGAACTGCCCCGATTCATGGAAGACATGGCAGATGCGGAGATGAATCAAGGAAAATGATAATCAATGATAAATCCATTCTCTTTTATTTAGTCTAGTTAAAGGAGCATGTAATATTCGCCAGATTTACAAAGTGTTGCGCTAAACGACAGATTTGAGATCATTAAGATTAAGATTGTTCCCATGTTGGTCCATACTGTTGTATTTATGATGTTAAAGGCGAATTTTTTCGAGGTCAAGAGTGGTAGAAAAGAGAGAAGCATTTTTGTAGACAACTAATGTTCTACCTATTTATCCTGCCAGGCGCTCATTTATCTAAAAAACTACCAAATACTATAGATGAAATTCCATAAGAATTTTTTGGGCAAAAAAAATTCTTGTGAGTTATCAACATATTCTGAAAGCCCACATCAGAATTAGTAGATTCCCAAAATTCTAGCACTTGATGACGTCACGATGACGTCATTGGTGATGATTAAAGGTCCCGATCCCCAAAACCGTAGGTACGCTTTTTGAGGCTGTTTTTGTGAGAAAACTATTTTTTTCTTTCAAGGAGGTTGTTCAGCGTCGGAAACTTCGCGGGAATCCGGGTTCAAACCGGCCTTAACCAGCTGGTTACTTTGGCGGTTCAATCTTTAACCGGTCGGTTCGAAAAAATTCCTTCGGATTCCCGCGTAGTTTTTGACGCTGAACAACCTCCTTGAAAGAAAAAAATAGTTTTCCCACAAAAACAGCCTCAAAAAGCGTACCTACGGTTTTGGAAATCGGGACCTTTAATCATCACCTATGACGTCATCGTGACGTCATCAAGTGCTAGAATTTTGGGAATCTACTAATTCTGATGTAGGCTTTCAGAATATGTTGATAACTCACAAGAAATTTTTTTGCCCAAAAAATTCTTATGGAATTTCATCTATACTTATTTCGCTTGTCAGAGATCCAATTTATATTTTTTTAAAAATAAACTATTTTCTAAAAATAAATAACTCCCTAACATGTTCTATCTTTTAAGCTAGACTATGTTGAGCAAAACATTGTTGACTGTATTTCGTCGTGTTTTTGAGTCATATTTGCGAGAGCACTTGAAACCCAGGTGAAGCGGGTAGTTTTTTTTTAATAGAAATGATTGTATCGTAGAGAAGCAATAGTCAATTATCATTGAATAAGTGGCTAAGATTCCCGTCGGTATCGAGAACCTCGGCAACACCTGCTACCTGAACTCGGTGATCCAATGTCTCCGCGTCATTCCGGAACTAAAAACTGCCCTTCAAGAGTACAGTCAATCCGACGCCTTTGTCAAGCAACTGAAAGATCTGTGGAATTCGGTACCTTTAGTTTGCTTAGAATTTCCGTAAAAATATCAAAATAGCTTGACAATTCTCCGGAGGCAGCGAAGCCCATTGCCTTTTTGCTTGTGCTTCATGCAAACTTTCCTATTTTCGCCGAGCGAGGGCCTCAAGGAGGACTCAAGCAGCAAGACGCGAACGAAGCCTGGCTAAGCATCTGCCGATATCTTCACCAATTGCCGGGAGCAGGAAACAAGGATCTCATGGAAGAGCTCTTCGGCGTCCAGTACAGGAGCGAAACAAAGTGCATAGAAGAAGGGGGCGAGACGGAGGCGAAAGTTGAGACAGACAAGCAGCTTTCTATTTCTGTGAGTGATGTCTTTTCGTTTCTTTTTGATCGATCAATTTAGTGCTTTATCGACACTGACGTCAAATACTTGCTGACTGGTTTGAAAAAAAATCTTGTCGAGAAGATTGAAAAGAAGTCGGAAAAACTCGACCGCCAGGCACAATACGAAAAGGTATTTTCGTAATGTTTTCATGTGCTTATTAATCCGCTGATAGAACTCGACTATCGAAAGACTGCCACACTACCTTGCTGTTAACTTCATCCGATTCTATTACAAGACGGGCACTCAGAATTCCGCCAAAATTCTCAAAGGTAAGTCTCAAGTAATTCTCAAGAGTAATTTAGTTATGAGCACCGTATGAGCATGATTTTTAGATGTTAAATTTCAAACAGAGTTTGATGCATGGGATCTCTGCGGGCCAAATCTTCAAGAAAAGCTCAAGCCAAACAGAGAGAAGCTCAAGTTGTTGACTGACAAAGAGCTCGATCTGTTGTCCCGAAAGAAGAAAAACGGGGTGCGCAAAATCGGTGAGTTTGCCGATCCCGTTTCAATATAAAATGTATATTCGAAGAACCACCAAAGTACACTCAGTTCGAAAAGACACACTTCGACGAAGACCATGGCTCCAACAACCACGGTTGGTACACTCTCAAGGCAGTTCTCACGCACAAGGGTCGATCAATTGACGGCGGCCATTACATTGCCTGGACCAAACAAGAAGACGGCAGATGGATTAAATTCGACGACGACAAGGTAGCCTTCCTCTTTATTTTTATCCTCGCAATGTTCCTCATCTTAGGCAACTGTTGTAACAGAAGAAGAAGTATTGGCACTTTCTGGCGGTGGCGACTGGCACACTGCCTATATCTGCATCTTCGAGACGAAGAAATTGCCCGTCTTCACCCCTGACCTTGAAAATGATCAAATGGAGAACATGGAGACCAGCTAAAGATACATTCTACAAAAGAAAAAAAATAAGTTTTTAAGTTCACACCTTACCGCTACTGATACATGTAACTTACTTCAAGCATTCTCTGACTGACTTGTAGCAATCAACAAAAACAGAACAGTACTTGTTTTCCTATTAAAGCAATAAAAAGATAATTAGAGGACTTGTGTTGTGTGAAATTTAGGCTCTAGCTTTAGACAGAATGGTCCACAGAGACATTTCGATTCATATCGGACTGGATGAGGTTTATGTCGAAGGGAATGGGGAAGTTCTCTTGATAAATCGTCAGACAGGGGCCATCGACGATCACAAATCGCAAGCTATTCCCACCCAGGACCGAGTTGTTCAATGTCTTGGGCTCTTTGGAATAATCAAGCTCCCAGGCTCGGTTATAATTATAAATTTTTACTCTTTTGGAGAGAGCTAGTCTAAGTCGTTCTTTTTACAACCAATTCAAAGCGGGCAATCATCTTGTCGTCATCAAAAGAGCCAAGAAGGTCGGAGACCTGTCACAAAAGAGCATCTTCCAGGTAGAAGAAACCGAAATCATCCCGATCACGCCTTCGAAAGCACGCAATCAAGGCATCGAGCAGGACAATGCCACATTTGTCGCCATGCTAAACCAAGTGCTCGCCACGCCGTCCTTTTACTTTTCCTACAATCTCGACCTCACACATACGCAGCAGAGGCTTGCCCACACGACAACCGATTTCAGAAGTCAACCGTTGATTCAACGCGCCGACCACCGATTCATTTGGAACGGGCACATGCTCCAGCCCAGGGTCTAGCAAAATTGGATGCGCGTTGGGTGACGCTGCGCCGTGGCGCCTCTCTCTCATCCCCGCCCCGGGTGCGCGCTTGAAAGTCCGCCAAAAATCGGAGGATTATCGTCATCCTAGAGTCATCCGAGCGCGGATGACGATTTGGCGCGCTTGTGCTTTACGCTGTGCGCGGGGTGTCCGAAAAGCATTAGGGCCCGCTCAAATCTAAATGGGTGCGAACAGTGACCCAGTAATGGAAATCAGATGCAAATAACAGCGGGAGTAGAAAGGTTTCAGAAACAAGAAGATTCATGTTATAACAAAGAAAATTAGAAGCACGTGTCAGTGAAAAATCACCATATTTGTGGATTCAAACTTTGCTTTCCATATGCTACCATGAAGTTTAACTCTTAGTGGAGAAGGCCCCTGGCCCCCTTTCCCGTACCCCGCGCAAATTACTTTCGGGGAAGTCAAGAAAATTTCTTTAACGCATGCACGGCGGCTTAGAGCGATCTCGAGATTCTGAAGAACAGAATCTGGAAAGCCTGACCCAATCAGAGAGCCGACAAGGTTTTTTGCGATGACTGTAGCTGCTCTTGCCGCGAAATTGCGCGCGCTCCACATTGAGCGACTCTCAGGGCCAGGGTCGCTCAGATTCTCCTATCTCCACTTAGAGCTCAAATCCATGGTATAGCATTTTTGTTCAGATAAATTTCTGTATTATGAGAATTAGCTCAAAGGTCATTATTTATGAGTATAATATAGTCTAAACAGAGTTTATCATAATACAAATTATAAACTTTAATTTACCTAGCTGAATAAAATATGGCTAAAGTAGCTAGAGCTGGCGCGAATATACAAAATAGTAATAATAAATCAGACCTAGGAGCGCAAATGGGAGCGGGAAAGCAGGCGCGCCGATCAGCGTTTGATCGTCATCTACCCCCGGATGATATTTGCGCGGTCACCCACCGCGGGGAGGACTGAGAGGCGCTAAGGCGCATAGTCATCCTACGCGCATCCAATTTTGCGAGCCCCTGCTCCAGCCCTTTATAGAACGTAGATTTTATCAGGAAAGGTTGTCCAAAAAGCATCACGTAACTTTTTAACGATCGTCTGGACAACCATCGTTAGTTCTGCCTTCCAATAATTCACGGTTTCGTCGCTATCAAACCGATCTTTTTGAACGGATGCTCTTTCGACTGGGTTATCATCTCGAGAAGAAGCATTTACCGAGTCGGGACACGCTACTTTGTCAGAGGTAGGCAAGCTAGTCAAGTGAAAGTTCGAAATTTACAATTGTGTATTCAGGAGCGGATTTGGATGGAAACGTGGCGAATTACGTTGAGACAGAGCAACTTGTGCAGTTCAACAAGAGCGTCGCGTCATTTGTTCTCACGCGTGGCTCAATCCCTTTCCAGTGGACACAACGGCCCAACATCAAGTACAAGCCTAAGCCAAAACTCAACAATCAAAACGACCAGTTGCTCATCTACAAGCGTCACATCGACGAGCAAGTAGTCCTCTACGGGCGCCAAGTGCTTGTCAATCTGATCGATCAAAAAGGGGGCGAAAAGGTACTTTCGTTTATCCCCCAGTTACCTCATTTTATCATCCAATTATTCAGCTGCTAGAATCGCAGTTCTCTGACATTTATCACAGAGCAGATAATAAGAAAGTGCGTTACGTGCATTTTGACTTCCACAAGGAGTGTTCAAAAATGCGCTGGCATCGGCTTTCTATTCTCATGGACAAATTAAAACAAGATATCGAAGATCATGGATACTACTTCTCGACGAACGAGTCCACTCTTCAAAGACAGGTAAAATAAACTCAGAAATTGGAGCATTCTTTAATCAGAGATATTGTTATCTTTGATATTAACGGAATAACGACTGTATGTTTATCATATTAAAGACTGGAGTGTTCCGAGTCAACTGCATCGATTGCTTGGACCGCACAAATGTAGTACAGTCCATGCTGGCAAAAGTCATTCTTGAAGAACAGCTCTTGAAACTGGGTGTTTTCAAACAAGGAAACCTTCTTTCGTCCTTCCCGGAATTCGAGTCCACTTATCGAAACGGTAAGCTTCATTGTCAATTAATAAGTGATGCGTTTACCGTGATTTCAACTGATGATGCGTTTTTCGTCAAATAATGACAAATTATGAATAAATAAAGCTCCTTATTGTTCGTCACTACGAGCAACGGTGGGAACGCGGCTAGTGCTATTCTAAAGAGGATACATTTTACAAGCCACTTTTGCTCTTGAGAGAGATGTGGGCTAAAGAGCTTCGTTTTTTCTTTCAACATCAAGAGTTTGCAAGTTTGCTTCAGTGTGGGCCGACAATGCAGACGCCTGTAGCACGCAGTACTCCGGAACCGGAGCGCTCAAGACAGACTACACAAGGTAATTTAAGATATCTTCTCGAATAATATCGCAAGCGAACTCCATCTCAAGGCAATTCCAATAAACGTACAAAAGAGTTTCGTTTATCAGCCAGATACTTGTCGATAACGGACACATTTCCACTCTCTTTGTGCGAGTTTTTATCGCCGAGTCGATATCGAATTGAGCTGATGGTTTTCCTTTAGAACCGGGGTGAGGACAAAACTAGGTTTGCTTCAAGACGGCAAAAACTCGGCTATCCGCTATTATAAAAATAACTTCTGCGACGGTTTCCGACAGGTTCTCCTTCTTTTCTATTTTCATGGCGACAAATGCTTGTCTAGGATAGTTTGGACTTCTTTCTGGGCAATTTCGTGTGGGATGACAACAAAGTATCGCCTTTCAGAGACAGTGCTCAACTCAAAGTGCGCATTATTCCCATTCTAGCGCTGGTCTCACTCTCCATGGCTATCATCGGTCTTTTGCTGCCTCCAAGTAAGTTCCTTGTTCTTTTCGCAAAGATTAACATTGATTGTTAAGGCGAGTCTCTACTAGAGCAAATGCTCTTCATTTGCTTCTGGATTCTAACTGGGGTGGGCTCGTGCTTCTATGTGCTCCGTCACGGGCCTTATTACGTTAACCAGCCCCTGCTGGTGCACAAGCTTCAAAAGGATATATGACTAGAGGAAGTCTACTGTATATGATGTTTTCTAGTATATACAAAAACGTTCCCATTTCTTTCCTAAACTTTCGCTTTTCCTTTCGTCCGTTCGCGACATTAAGAAAAATATGCTTTTCCTTCGCGCTTAGAATTTTGCACGCGTCTCAAATTCAAAATGATTTTTCAACTATTCTTACTCATTCAATGTCCGCTTTTCTTCGGCTATTAAACTATAAATTGATCGAAACTTATCTAAAATGTAGTTTGTATGTACTATGGAGTCATCATATCATGTAGACAGTTATTCAATATTTATAATTCTATAAGCTATAAATTGAAATAGCTTATAAAGTGTAAAATAAACCAAAGAATATTTAACTAATTTATTTTTGAAGCGCCAAAGAAGTGAATCTACTGATTATTATTAAACAAAAAAGTAGAGCTCATCTTATCTTCAAAGTGCTGAGCTAGCCCCCTGCGATAATTATCTTGTTTGTCGTTCGGAGTTGTTTCAGTCTCTCCAAACTCGATTCTTGCGAATTTAAAATTTATTCTATGTGCAAAAATTTTATCAGCTAATCCTTCTTCTCGTTTGACTACCTCTAGAATAGTTCAATCATTTTATTTCATGGGGAGAAGAAACTCTACTGTTTCTGATAACATTTTTATTGCCAGATTTGCTTTGATCGAAGTTTGTACAGACGGAAAACAACCTGTTTTGTTGATACTCATTCCTCTGATTTCACTGAAAAACATAAAAAAAGTGCAATTTCACGCTGATGACACTTGTAAACACTCGATATGCTTCTTCATAACAAAAGTAGAAACCTAGCAAAATCGTCGAACATCCCTTTTCAGAGCATTCTCAAAATGTCCGAGATCTCGCAAAAAGGAGTCCCAACTAATGACCCAAAGAATATCCACGATATGACTGCATTCGTCCAGCAAACGCTCACCGACATGCAGAACAAATTCACCAATATGTCTGACCAGGTGAGATCGCAAGTAGTCTTCCTTGATCTCAATTACTTTCTAGATGATGGGGCGCATGGATGCCATGTCCTCGAAACTCGACGATTTGGAGAAATCGATGCTGGCGATGATGGACCAGGCTGAAGAGGACTAGCTCTAGTCATTCCGAAGAAAACGTCGTTTTTCAAACCCTTCCTCTTTCTCGTCCGAATACTCAAATATCAAAAAAAAAATCCTTCTAGTTTTCCATTTTCTTTTTATTTTTGTAGAAAGCAAATTTATGCCTCTCGTTTGTTCCTATTTTTTACTCGAATTCTCTCTTTCTCATTGTGAGAAGAAAAAATCATAGGCAAGAAGAAACGCCTGATCGATTTCTTGCTTACTAAAACTTACACTGAATAAAATTTTTCCAGACTCATCTTTTGATTTCATCTCTTTCTCATTCCTCGAGCAATTTGCAAGCAGATTTCAACCGTTAAATGCAGTACTCTCTTTCGAGAAAATAAACTTCTTGTCCGGATTTTCTACTTGCAAATTCTGAAGCTTTCATCAGGCATATCTTTTTTAACTTTACGTCTTCGCGTTTCATTTCCACTTTACGATTCCTTGTTAATTCCACTGTTTTTTTCTGAAGAACCTTCTTTACAAAAATTAATTCAGGAAAAATGCCAAGAGAGCAAAAGTTCTGGGACGAATCAGAGAGTTCAGACTCAGACTTTCAAATCGCCAGCTCGGAAACTGAATCGGCCACGAGCAGTGCTTCAGAGGCTTCCGAGAGCGACACTGCCGAAAGCACAGACTACGATGACTCCGAAGCTTCAGAGTCAAACGAAGCTTCTGGCAGTGAAGAAGCAGAAGAAGATTCTGAGCCCGCGCGATCGTGCACAAATCCCAGCTGCGTCGCCGAGATTGAAAAACTGCAGGAGGAAGTTGACGGATATTTTGGTCATTTCCGAAAGTATGCGTACCTCATGCAATTGAAAGAGTATATCAAGTAAGTATTTTTATAAAAAAGTTGAATTTTATCAAATTTTTAGGGAACTCACTGAGCAGAACAAAAGGCTTCATACCCTGTGCACGAGTGATCTGATGGCGCAAAAGCGGGAGGAAGCGCTCGATGAGCTCCAGTCGATGTTAGAGAACTCTGAGAAACGACGAGCCGAGGAAAGAAAGGCGGCCATGAAAGAAATCAGCAGCCTTGAGAAGAAAATAAAGGCGAGGGTCCACATTTTTTCGTAAATCAGTCTGAAATTTATTGCTTGCAAATCCATTTTTGACCCTCAAAAAAGGAAAAGCGTGCACAGGTTGAGAGCTTGCCACCAAAACCAGCTCCCGGGAATGCCTCGCCTATCGTCATCTCTAGCGACGAAGATACTCCTACGGAGCAGGAATCGGAGGAGGATTATGATACAGATGAAGACTATCATAATGATCCTTATTCTAACTACCAGCGCACTTTGTCGGAGAAAGGTAAATTCTCGATTAAGTTTTTTTCTTAATTTTCAATTTAAATCTTAGTAAAACAAGAAAACTGACTTCATCGTACCTGCCAGGGCCGCCTAAATGCTGCCACGAAGAAAAATTCAACGCTTTGTAAATTACATGTATTTCTTTGCTCACTCAGAAAGCCAGTGCACAAAATATTAACTCTGCGTCGCCGATTGTATCATATTGTCTGAGGGTTAGGTTTAGGTTTTAGGGAACACAATATGACACAAAATCTGGCTCTTTGGCGTCGCTGTGGTTAACCCCTTCAAGTCTTTTTTCACTTCATTTATCTCTTCAACTGCGAAAATCGTTCTCGCCTATTTAAACAAAAAGGAATGGACTGGATTGATTTCAGAATGAAGAGGGAGCTGTTAGTCTGGCTTGATTTTTCGCAGGACACTGTTGACACACTGATGCGATGTGGAAACGCTGCCGAGACCAGAAGCGTTCTCTCCGATCGGCTTCACATCGAACGCGGCACAGACAAAGCAGAGATTCTCTTGGGTAAAAGGAGCCATTTATCTTTTGAAATAAGAGGGTTTAGATGCGTTCCAGGGGTGTTTGGCATACTCAAAAGAAAAAAAGTTCACTTCTGACAAAATCTCTGTAATGCTGGGTATTTTGAACCGCGTCCACAACTTCGCCTGCCAGACTTCATTCGAAAATAGCAAAGAAACGTACGTCCTGTAATTGAAGAACTATTTCGAGAATATTCTAGCGTTCAAGTTCTAAGAGACTTCATCCTCTCCCACGCATATCTCCGCCCTCCCTTCGCTATCGAGGTCTTCACAAATAAGGAATCGCAGCAAGTGCTCCAGTACTTTATGGACACTTACATTCGCCACTTCAAGCTCTACAAATACGTCTTCACCTCACGAATTGTGATGGACGTCGCGCTCGAGTTCCCCAACGAGCCAGAGGAAGTTCCCACTCCAGAGCCAGAGTCTGAGAAAGAGCCAATTGATGAGGCGCTAGCAGAAGCGCAAATGCCAGATGATGAGCTTGAAGAAATCATTAGGTAAGCGAGTAAAACTTTGTTTGATCAAGTCATAAAGTTTTTCAACGGGCAAGGAGAGCATATTTGAGAGTTCGCATATTTGAAAGTTCGGGTAAAATTGAAGATTTTATTGTTTCTATCGCATAGAAGGAGAGCAGTATAAAACAGTCGGGGGAGATTTCTCATCATGATATTTTCTAAAATGAAAAACGGGAGAATTTTCGAAAACTCTCTATTCTCGACAACGAATTCTTAAAATCAAGCTTGTGGAACTCCGAGAATTATTATGGATTGGATTGGAAATTTTCTATATCTTTATGATAAAAACTATCTGTTGTTGTAATAAAAATTGATTTTGTAGAAAACAGTCTATTCGTGATTTATTGTAGGGTGCTCAATTATGATTCAGAACCGCTGTGACAGGCAACTTCCAGGAAATGATGCGACGCTTCGAGAGCCAAATCGAGGAAACCGTTCGCCAAACGAGAGAAAATATCGATGGCCTTCAAAACAAAGATCAGGATGGCGAACTACAGAACTCCTCCACAACGCTTCAGAATAGCGGAATGTCTCTTAATCAATCGGAGAAGTAACTTCTTCCCAACTTCTGTACAAAAACTCTGTCTGGGACCTCTCTACATTTTTACTTAATAAAATATATTTTTATACAAATGCATTGACCAAAGCTCGTAAAGGAATCGGATTTAGGCAAAAGAATTCGGAGTCGCCCGGGATGCAAGAAGCGACAAACGTAGACGATGAAAATGAAGAGTTTGAGTTTATAAAGAAAAGAGAGGCCAGGCAGGCGAAAATCGAACAGATCGAAGTTGCGCTCAGAGTGGGAGATGTTGCTTCCCTCAGGAACCTGGCAAGTCAAACTGGTGGGCTGCTCGAAGACAGATTAAGGAGGTAAGCGCTCGTGAAACGGGTCGAAAGATGCTCATCGTTGCTGATTTTAAGAGAGTGCTGGCCACTGCTGCTTTCGATCGACACAAACCGCCTCCCGCAATGCGGAGATCGAAAGAAATTACGAGCTTCCAAACACTATGAACAGGTGAAACTAGACGTCGACAGGTCTGTGAAACGCTTTCCCGATCGAATGCCAGAAAAACAAAGAAGAAGTTTACAAGATGTAAAATAATGAATTCTTTGCTCATTAGTCTAGTGTGATTTTAAGCAATTAATGGACCTGATTCTATGGGTGCTGGAAGAAGAAGATGATCTGCACTATTACCAGGGATACCACGACGTATGCGTTACTGTATTGAGAGTCTGTGGCCTCAGACTCGGGCAAGTGATTGCCAAGGAATTAAGCAAACGCCACTTGCGCGACTATATGTGTCCAACGATGGACCAAACCCGAATGCTACTTGACTTTATTATGCCCATCATTAAAGGTAATCGGAAATCAAAAAGGAATGGCATAAAAAACCTCGCACTTATAGAAGAAGACGACGAGCTGCACGACTTCCTGCTTGAGTCCGATGTTGGCACCATTTTCGCTCTGTCTTGGGTCATCACGTGGTACGGACACGTCTTGGCCGAACACAAGTTCATTGTCCGTCTCTTCGATCTATTCCTCGCTTCGCATCCTCTCATGGCTGTCTACACAGCTGCAGCTATGGGTAAGCACCGAATCCAATCTTGCTTGATACCATTTTCTGTGTTCAGTTCTTCACTGTGCGGACGACGTCCTGGACCAGGAATGTGACATGCCGGCCGTGCACCATACTCTCGTCAATCTACCAGGAACGCTCGATCTCTCAGGCAATTTGGAGCCAATAATCGCCCTTGCAAATACGCTCTTCAAAAAGCACCCTCCGTCTTACCTAGCGAAAGTAAGCGATCTCCGTTCTTCTCTAGCTCTTACTCAATCCTTTCCAGACCAAATATGAAGCATATGAGAACTGTTCTCTTATCAAAGAATTCACTCACATGGAGCCAACGGAAAGACTCGTGATTAGGAGGAGCACCTCGTCTCAAAAATTCATTCAGGAAATGCTCTTTAATCGACCCTTCTATAATTTGATAGCATCCAGGCTCTACCGCGTTATCTTATCATCCTTTTCCGAATGATTATTGAGCATTTTCTAGCTTCTTAGCGCTTCCTTGACGGTGGCTGGACTGATCGCCGTCGCTTACAACTACATGAACGACTTCTTCACCTTAAACTTACTCTAGCTCGGCAACTGATATCATCATCATCACCAAAGTATTCTAAGTATTCAAAGTTCTGTCTCTCCAACTTTCTACTACTACAGCTGGAATCTTCAATTTAAAACAAGTCAAACTAAAAAACGCGGTCGCTGGTGTTTCTAATTTTCATCTTTCTATCTCTCTCTTCTTTTTTTAAACAGAAAATTCATATTTTTAAATGTTACAGTATCGTTGTGTTGAACTCTTTTTAGGACATGACAGTTATGATGTTTTTAAGTATCATCTACGTATCTTCTTTTAATAGTTCAGTTTTCAAGTAAAGTATTCATTAATAACTTAAATAAACCTCTTCAATATCTTTCAACTGAAAATTGTTTACTCTAATTTTGGTAGAATGCGCATTTTGAGATGCAAGTCGCGCGTATACTTGAGTGCAGGAAAGATTACTAACAAGAAAAAGCGCAGGGAAAAGGTGAAGCAGCGGGAAATCTCGACAATGGTTTATAAACGACTCATGATCAGGGTTCACTTTGCAAATTTTTTGTAGAAGGCGCATAAATAGGAGATAGAACGCAAGATACAGTGTTAGTTATTAGTACCTTGTTTTTCGTTGTGAGTCCTTGAGTGGCGATTGAAAAAGGCCAAAATCATGAGAATCCGAAGGGCGGAGCAGCGTCGTCTAAATCAGCAGATTTGCGAGACATAATGTCGGAAAAGAGGAAGCCCGTCTTCAAAGCAAAGTTGGCGCCTTTCTTAGATCGCAAAATTGCATCGAGCTTCCCACTTTCAAAATTGGAAAAGATTGCAGGTAACTTACTTAGTTTCGATAGAGAAGAGCGCTTCTTTATTTTTGAAAAGTCAGTTGCAAATTCTGGATTGTTAGCAAAGCAGATGAAAGCAAAACTTGCCCGTGCGATGCAAAAGATCACACCCGGATGATGACGGAGAAACATAATTCAGCGCTGCTCAAATAAACACTACCCCAGAGATCATTTTTCTTCTGTAAATTCTGTGTTCGATGATAGAAGAGAAAATATGAATGACTGTTTTAAGAATGGTGACGGGTGACGAGTTACTGTATGTCGGCTTCAACCAGGACCACGGCTGCTTCGCCTGCGGCACGAAATCTGGCTTCGTCGTTTACAATTCTTACCCGTTAAAAGTAAGTCACAGTAACTGTGATCTTTTTTCACACTTCTAAAGATAAAACAACGCCGTGTGATCCAAGGCTTGTCGTCTGGATGTTCAAAAGTGGAGATGCTTTACCGCTGCAATTTCTTGGCTCTAGTCGGTAGAGAATCTTGTCCACAGTTGCCATCGACTAAAGTGGCAGTTTGGGACTGCGAAACGCGACAAGTGGCAGCAGAACTCGCTTTCTCGTCTGATGTCCGGAGAGTCAGGCTGTCGAGAGATCGAATCGTTGTCGCGCTAGGTTTGTTCCTCATTCCTTTCTGTTACTTTTCACCTTCAAAATAGATACAATGGTGAAAGTTTTTACGTTCACTCGACCGCCACAGCAAAGCGACGTCTTCGAATCAGGTCCGAATCCAAATGGACTTCTAGTTCTTTCTCCCAGCTACCAAAACGTGGTAATCGCCTTCCCCTCACGAAAAGTCGGCTACGTTACTCTAATCAGGCTCATTGCGGAAGGCGCCAACGACGAAAAGGAGATCGAAGCGCATAAAGTTTCCATTTTCAATCTCTAAAACTGTTTTAATGAATTTCTAGGGAAAACTCGCACAAATTGCAATTAGCCAAGACGGAAAACTACTAGCCACGGCTTCAGCCAAGGGAACACTAATTAGAGTTTGGAACACGGCGACACTTGAAAAGGTTCGATTTTCATTCTACTATATCATTAAACATTTATCAAAATTGTTTTGATTTTTATTATATTAATATTAAACCTTACGGGATCTCCGTGATACCCCACTGAGAAGCCATATTTTAAATATATAATCAGATAAATTATTAGATTTTGATTCTTCCCTGATAAATTTAAACTCTACGAATATTCCAGGTGTACGAATTGAGAAGAGGAGTAAGCGACGCCTTCACATATTCAATAAATTTTTCCTCCGACTGCTCCCTTCTCTGCTCCCTTTCCTCCCGCGGCACGTGTCACATTTGGAAGCTATCAGATGCCCAGGACAAGAAGTCACTTCTCGACGGCAGGAGAAGCGTCGCACAAGTGCAAATTCCTGACTTTGTTCAAAAATCAGGTATTGTTGTCGCTTTCGCTTAATTTTGGTTAGAGAGACATTCAGGGTTCGACCCCAGCGTGGAGCCGTATCAGTGCGCGTTCACTCCGGACATGAAGCGGCTGCTGGTCATTTGCGACAACGGCACCTATCACAGATATCGTCTGCGTCTCGCCAAGGGCCAGGAGCCTCTCCATGAGCATTCTGTAAATTTCCTCTCTCAATCGTGATTCAGAGTGTTCTCTTCCTTGATTTCCAAATTCAAAAACTCTTTCTATTTCTATCCTGTTATTTTCTCTCCAGTTTGTTCAAGAACACACATCTGTCTGCAAAAAACTATTTCGGTGATCATTCATTTTGCCATTGATCCATTACCTTCTTTTTTATTTTCAAAAACTGATAAGAATTCTCATTCAAGAAAAAGCAACAATCCGTAAGGTGTCTTCTTTCTCTCCCATTTTCTTCAAACTGATACCATTTCAACAAAAAACTGATCTCCTGGATGTTTCTTATCTCTTTACTTGTGAACCTTACCCGCGGCTCTTTCGAGGCCGAAAAATTATTATTATATTATAATAACACTGTTATAATGTAAATTCAAAAAAGCAAATCGGTACGCGCTCTACCGAAAACAAAAACAACTGTCAATACTTAAAAAGGTTAATCCTGGTCTATAGCTATTCCACTTAAAAATTCATCATGTAAAAATCAAAAGCTTTTATTTCAAGTGTTCACTTTTTAAGATGGGACGAAAGGTGGATGTCGCGAAATCGCTGAAATTCTTTGGTTACTCGATTCAAAAAGATGCTGCAGGTATGCAAAAAAGAAATGAACAGTTTTCAAACTGTCGAATTTCAGAACTAGTGAGCAAACAGTTGGAAAACGTTCCTCTATCAACGCATGATGACTGGATCGACAATCTGGTCGACTCTCTCCAGCGCCAAACGCTCAAGTCGAACATTCTCAACTTTACTGATGTTCGATCGGCGCTGAAAGACTTGCAGCGTTCTGGAGGTCAAGTCGTGGAATTAATGGAGGCAGAGACGAGCCAAACAACTGTATGTACGGGCGCTATCTATTATTCATCAGTTATCGCAGATGAGATAGAGTTTTTTTAGCAGGAGGAGCAGCAAGAAACAGACAAAAAAGATTCCTTCTTTCGGGTTATCGACGCCTTTGAAGTACCCCGGTACATTTACGATCGAGAAGGAGAGAGATATGTTAAAGAAACACAGCAACCGCTCATGGGAGGGATCGACTCCAAAGTCGAGATGTTCAGAGAAAGGTAAAAAATCAAACTTGGCTTATAGAGTCTCTAAATAGTGCGTCTTTATGAATAGAATATAGATTATTCTTAAATGGAATTAAACTTTTGATAAATAATTCAGAAAACATGACTTTATTACAGCAGTAACATATTATTTAAAATAATTCCTATTAGCAATCATTTTTGGCAGAGGCTCCAACAACAGCTCTATATTTGGTAGAACTTAAACATTTTTCTCTCATTTAAAAATAAGGCTTGATTCACAGAATAAACAGTTTATATGATGAAATAATTTGTGTTTATCATTTTATCAGTATTCTTCCGGAAGATCGATATTTATACTATTCCAATTGATGGCGCTATAACGCTCGTTATCATACCGGAAAATTCGCGATAACATTTGACCAATCTTAGAAAGAATTGCTTTTAAAAAGATCTCATTACTAGTCGCCTTCATTCAGGTACAATTCCGTGCTGGTCAGGACTCTTCGTCATCGACTTTTTTCGGCTGGCCATAGAAAAGCGCAAACTGCACAGTTCTCGCTTCAGAAGATTGAGTACCTAAAAGGCTGCACTTCAAAAATGAAGGATATCGTCATTCTTGGCATGTTGAATCAGATGAAAGAAGGAGAGTGGTGGATCGAAGACCCTTCTGGCGCGATATTAATAGACATGAAAAACGCTACCTTCCATAAAGGCACAGTTTGAAAGATAGAGTCTATACCCTCTGTGCGGCAGCCTTTGTCTCTTTTTTCAGCGATTTTGAACTCGAGAAAAAGGATTATTCACGGAGTCATCGATGATTTTGGTAGAAGGAACTTATGATAATGGGGTGATTTACGCGACGGCATTCGGCTTCCCTCCGCCCGAAAGTGCCTCCGTCTCACGTAGCTACCACAGTACAACGAATTTCTTTGGCGGCGAAAGGGGCACCAACATTGGAAGTTCCGAAAGAATGCAAGTTTTGGAGAGAGATTGCGAGAATTCCGTTTGCTTCTTGTCAGGAAAGGATTTATAAATTGATAATTTATTGAAGTTGAAATGCTTTCATTGTTCAATTCCAATAGGGATTTGAAATCCTCTCTGAGGCGTGCACTTGGACGAAGAGAAACCCTTCAATCGGCTAATACGACTTTTGGAAGGATTCGCCGTGGCACCGCCGATCGCCTTCGTTCTTTGCGGCGAGCTTCTTGCCTCTCCTCACATGCCAAACTCGTACGACGTTCTCAGCGAGCGTCTCGAGAAGCTGGCAAGAAAGGCTGTCGAGCTTGATCTTCGCGATACACACTTCGTTTTCATTCCTTCCTCGTCTGATCCCGGCCTGGGCGATTGCCTACCGAGGTACATTTGCAACTTGTGGGTGTTTTCTACCTCCGGCGATTTTAGACCGGCAATTCCCGAGTCCGTTATACCTCAATATGTTCGTCAGAAGCTGCCAAAATGGACATTCACGTCTAATCCATCGCGTATCACGCTTTTCTCGCAAGAAATCGTCATCTATCGAGCAGACCTCGTCGCCAAGCTGATGCGTCACGCTGTGCGCATGCCCGCTGGTGATCACCAAGAAATGGCCGTCAAGACAATCTTGAGCCAGGCTCACCTGAGTCCCCTCCCGCAGCGACTTTCCCCTATTTATTGGGGCTGGGATCATGCACTGCCACGGGGTTGAAACTTCAAACAGAGACTTCTTATATCGCTATCGAAAATTTATTTACTAAATAGGGCACTTCCAAAAATACTCCTTTTAAAGTCTTTATTTGAGATTTTTTGACTGCTGTAGAGAGTACACATTGTCCCGGCCGGAAGTGCCGTTGAGACTCGCCCGCTTATAGCTTAGCTGTTGAAAAAGTGACTGTAAGTCTAGTGAAAGCAAAAGTTCGGGAGGAATAACATCCGGACTACTCGTGGCCCCCTTTAGATGTTCGTTTAGATCATCTATTGAGACAGGGTTATTTTTGCTTGTTGCGGTTTTCAACCCCTGACCAGCGATTATTTCCACTGCCCGATGTTTTGGTGTTAGCGGACACATATCAAGAGTACAACCTGACATCATCGGGCGTTGTGTGCCTAAATCCGTCTTCCTTCGCAAAAGACGGCAGCTTCCACGTTTACTATCCGAATCACCGAAACGTCGAAGTATCAAAAGTCCCCTTATGAGACTTTTCTTCAGTTACTAAAAATGAGCCTTTTCCTGTCTTTGATCATTTCAACATTCACTCACTACACTGCCTTTACCCTTTCTAGGGAAGTGAACGAGCGACGAACTTTTTTCAGTAAAACTAGGTTAGCTTCGAATTTCTAATAAGGCCGATCGAGAGAGTCTCTAGAGAAAATACGCGGCTTATTCCAGTTGATGCAATTATTGCGTTCAAATACCCGATAACTTCAACTCCTTTCATAGAAATCGGGCCACCATCACGTTATTCAAACATCGTGTTTTTTCGACTGATTTTTTTTACAGTACCGACCTGTTTTATCGGTAGATTGGCTTGATCAATCTGATAGTAATTCTGACACTAAGTTCCCTAGTTTTGTTACGTTGAGATTGTATTTTGTGGCTCGTTCACTTCAGAGAGTCTGTAAATCTAGCCAAGCAACAGTCAATTAAAAAAATATTCTTCAGAGATAAAAAATGGCGAGTCAACAAGAAACAGAAGAATTCGAAATTGATTGGAAGTGCAACTCGCTGTGGACAGTCGAGTACCCTAAGGGTTCCAAACTGGGCAAATTGCTCTCTCACTTTTCGATGATTCCCGTGATTGCTCCTTTCGCGCTGCTGGTCCTTTTGATTATCAAGCGCAACTTTGCCAGTTTCCGCTGCTTGACTGGTCTTCTAGCCTCTACCCTTTTCTGTCGCCTTTTAAAAAGTTACTTTCGTTTTCCAAGGCCTGATGCAGGTCACTCCGCCTCGCACGGCAAGTACGGCTTCCCTTCCGACCATTCTATGTCAGGTAATCACCAAGCGAATAATTATTGTTGATCTACGAGTGAATGTTTAGTCGCCGTGCTCGTCATATTCGTTCTTCATTATTCAAAGAAAATCAATTCGATTTGTCTTCGCGCTCTTGTCAATCTTTCAATTATTTTCTCGTCCCTCCTCGTCGTCATCTCACGCGTTTTTCTTCAGGTAAATATATTTTTATTAATCAAAACAAGGCTTTGCACCATTTTCTATCAGGTCCAAAAAATAAGTTTGGCTCTTTCTTATTAAATTTAAATTTCACAGTATTGTGGCGGCATTATAAACCTGGTTATTTAATGCATTCATTAAATGGCTGGATAAAAGCAATACATTATTAATCGTTTCTTTTTAGTATCATAGCCTGGATCAAGTATTAGCTGGCTACTGTTTCGGCTTGCTTTTTGCATTGATTTGGCTAAAATGCAGCAAATCGCAGAAGAAAAACTTCGAGCACGCGTCAAAGAGAATTGCCGAAGAAGCGACCAAATTTGAGAAGCTAAAAATTGTTAAATTCTTCGCTGGCGAAGGAGAAAGCAAAAAGACTTCGTAGACAGTCTGGTAGACAATTATTAGTGCTAGTTAATGTTCTTCCCTAATTCCGATATTCTTTTTTCTGTATTTCTTGTCTCAGTAGATTTCCAATAAAGTGAGTAATTAATTAACAATCCGTCAAAAAGGAATCATTTTTTACGATAAGGCCTTTGTTAGCCTATGAAAAACCTAAAAACTAAGTATTTTTCTGAGATGAGCTTCGTGAGAAGAGGACGGAAAAAATCCAAATTTAAAAAAATCTTTTTTTTTGGAATTTCATTTTTTTATTGTTTCCATCAAATTCTCCATATTCGAAAACCTAGAAAAAAATTATTTGTTTAGACAGGAGGCCTTCTAAATATTTTTTAATATTCATCTAAAAGTGCAAAAATGCCCTTCAGGAAAAGCTTCTTTTGAAAGGGTTCCGGTAATTTTTCTTTTGATTTCTTTCCTCGACCATCTAGAGACAGGTCTCGGACAGTTCGGTTAGCAAAAAAAAATAAATAATACTTATTGTCTTCATGCTCAAAATATGCATTAAATAACGTGTTAATGACCAAAAACACCGAAAAACGTGAAAAAACGCTGAACGATCAATGATCGTCATTCTATTGAGCGAAAAAAAGTCGAATAAGTCAAAGGCAAGATATTTCAAAATAATTGCCTATCGAAATATATAAATGTATATCATTCATTAAGAGCTATTTTGTCAATTCACAGAGATGCGACTATTTGGCTATTTTTCAATCAACTTAATAATCTCAGAGGCAACGAAACGCAAAACGACCAATTTTTTAACGACATTGTTATTTTTGAATGCTTAAAAATAACCATTCATTGTACGGATAGTCGAAATCTTGGGGCCTCCAATCTCATTTTTCTCAAACTTGTTCAAATACAGTCACTTATCATGTCTGCAAAATTTCATGCGATTTGAAACGCAGCGCGACCATTTTTAGTATAATTTATTATAAAGCTTTAAATAGCTCTAGAATCTGAGTTTTTCGGGCCTCCAAGCTGATTGCTCTTGACCAAACTTTGGTATATGTAAACTACATTTATGCAAAATTTCATAAAATTTGAGACGCAGCGCGACCCTTTTTGTCCAAATTATATCGAAATTCTATAAAAATAGCAATTTATTAGTTGGTTTTGGCTCTAGAATCCAAGTTTCGAGAGCCTCCAACCTAATTCTTCTCAAGCAGGGTAAGAAGACTATATTCTATCTGACTGCCTAATTTCAATCAAATCGAGACGCAGCGCGACCATTTTTTACGCTTCAAATCGATTTATTTTTGGTAGGTTGATAAAAAGCACCCGCTGAAACTCGCATGAGAAAAATTGGGCTGGAGGCCATTGGAACTTGGATTCTTGATCCAAAACTTACTAATAAGTGGTTATTATTATCATTTTTTCGTAAAAAATGGTCGCGCTGCGTCTCGATTTGATTGAAATTAGGCAGTCAGATAGAATATAGTCTTCTTACCCTGCTTGAGAAGAATTAGGTTGGAGGCTCTCGAAACTTGGATTCTAGAGCCAAAACCAACTAATAAATTGCTATTTTTATAGAATTTCGATATAATTTGGACAAAAAGGGTCGCGCTGCGTCTCAAATTTTATGAAATTTTGCATAAATGTAGTTTACATATACCAAAGTTTGGTCAAGAGCAATCAGCTTGGAGGCCCGAAAAACTCAGATTCTAGAGCTATTTAAAGCTTTATAATAAATTATACTAAAAATGGTCGCGCTGCGTTTCAAATCGCATGAAATTTTGCAGACATGATAAGTGACTGTATTTGAACAAGTTTGAGAAAATGAGATTGGAGGCCCCAAGATTTCGACTATCCGTACAATGAATGGTTATTTTTAAGCATTCAAAAATAACAATGTCGTTAAAAAATTGGTCGTTTTGCGTTTCGTTGCCTCTGAGATTATTAAGTTGATTGAAAAATAGCCAAATAGTCGCATCTCTGTGAATTGACAAAATAGCTCTTAATGAATGATATACATTTATATATTTCGATAGGCAATTATTTTGAAATATCTTGCCTTTGACTTATTCGACTTTTTCGCTCAATAGAATGACGATCATTGATCGTTCAGCGTTTTTTCACGTTTTTCGGTGTTTTTGGTCATTAACACGTTATTTAATGCATATTTTGAGCATGAAGACAATAAGTATTATTTATTTTTTTGCTAACCGAACTGTCCGAGACCTGTCTCTAGATGGTCGAGGAAAGAAATCAAAAGAAAAATTACCGGAACCCTTTCAAAAGAAGCTTTTCCTGAAGGGCATTTTTGCACTTTTAGATGAATATTAAAAATATTTAGAAGGCCTCCTGTCTAAACAAATAATTTTTCTAGGTTTTCGAATATGGAGAATTTGATGGAAACAATAAAAAATGAAATTCCAAAAAAGATTTTTAAATTTGGATTTTTTCCGTCCAGAAGTGATTAAATTTGAATTTGTAAAAAGGCTTCTCTAAAATATTAAATGGAAAATTGAAAGACACGCCAAAAATCATCAATGTCTGTATTGAATCGATCTTTTGATCTTGACGAGTCTGATTTAAGAGCTTGCCACAGTAGTGTCGCGTGTTTATTCCCAGTAAAGCCTGGCATTAAAGGAATATCGATTTCGGGCCTTCACGAATTTGTGTTTCTGTCCAATGCAATTACCTTCTCCCTCTTTGCGACACCACTTTTCGCATTTTCATTTCTAACAAAATCAACATACGCGTTTTTTATATATTTTCACAGCTCGACTAAGAGAAAACAATAGAGCCTTTTGGAAAGCTCGAAAAATATTTAACAAGGATTTGTGCGAGTTCTAATGAATGTTTGTTTAGAAAGAAAAATGGAGTTCCGTGCTGTAAAACAGCCGGAGCAACGGATTGCCCTGACCGGTTGCGTGGCGATATCGAATGCCAAATTCAGTTCCAACACTGCATTTAAAGTCAGGAAAGACAGCAAGACGTACTACTTTACCGGCATGCCGTCCAGTGTCCAGCAGAATGAGGTAATTTAGAGAACATTCCCGTTCGAGAGCATTTCTTGACGGATTCTGTGTTTATCTCTGACAGAGTGGGGCGAGACATGATCACAGCGGGAAGTGATCTATCAAAAATACATGTTGCAATTAATCAAACCGTGATCAATGTTTTTGGAACGGGAAGGAAGTTCGCTAGAAATGGGCGGTTAGATTCGCATTCATTCATCACGTTTGTTTCAGATGGGCTTCTCTGGCGTGCAGCGCGAATTCCTCGGCCTGGCCGAAGTGGACAGCGTGACGGCGGAGGAGATCAGCGCGAGCAAGTTGGCGCAGGTTTACTCGATCACGCTCGAGATCGACTTCTACTCGCGCACTGTCACGAAGCAGTCATTCAATGCAGATGACTTCGCAGATGCCATCAAGAATAGCTTCAGCGGCGTTCTCCTCCAAGTCGGCCATTCCTTCCCCTTCAAGCACAATCAATCGCCCTTCTTCAGACTCACCGTCAAGGAGATCAAAACGCTCACTGCCGACAAGGGCTACAAATCGTCCAACGACAAACCAGGCCTTCTCAATCAAAATTCGTCCATCAAATTCCAGAGGAAGGCTGATTCGACACTGATACTCACTGGCTCCGCTGTCAGTGCCTCCGCCAATATCATCAATCCCGATTTCGACTTCTCTAAAGTCGGCATTGGCGGTCTCGATGATGAGTTCAAAGAGATCTTCCGACGAGCCTTTGCTTCGCGTATCTTCCCGCCAGATATTGTCGAAAAGATGGGAGGCAAACACGTGCGCGGTATTCTTCTTTACGGCCCTCCAGGTTGTGGTAAAACTCTTATGGCGCGTAAGATCGGAAAGATGCTGAGCGCGCGCGAGCCAAAGATCGTCAACGGCCCCGAAATCTTGAACAAGTACGTCGGAGAGTCTGAAGCCAACATCAGAAAGCTATTTGCCGAAGCAGAAGAGGAAGAGCAACGCTTAGGAACGTAGATAAAAAATCTCTCGCTCATATTTTCTCTTGTTTGATAGCTATTTCGAGCAATTTTGTATCGTGTGATTAGGGCCAAACTCAGGACTGCACATCATCATTTTCGATGAGCTGGACGCCATTTGCAAGCAGCGAGGCAATTCCGCTTCGTCGTCAGGCGTGCACGACACTGTCGTAAATCAGCTGCTTTCAAAAATCGATGGTGTCAACTCGCTTAATAATGTACTGATCATTGGAATGACCAATCGTCCTGATTTGATCGATGATGCGCTCAAGCGACCCGGTCGACTGGAAGTGCACAAGGAAATTGGCCTGCCCGATGAAGGCGGTCGCAAGCAAATTCTTGATATTCATACGGAAAAGATGAGGACTAATCGGCTAATGGCGCCCGATGTCGACCTCGATCTGTTGGCTGCGAAAACGAAGAACTTCTCCGGAGCGGAAATCGAAGGTCTCGTTCGAGCAGCCCAGTCTTGTGCGTTCAACAGGTGAGCATCAAATATCTTTAGCTGTTTGATTTTACGCTCAAGGACTAAAGGTTGAAGATTCATCATTTTTCATTTATGACCGCATAAATTTAATCCGATAGCACCAGGGAACGTCAAGAGACGTGCATCCGGGCCATCGTCAATTCGAGCTGGTTTTAACAACATGAACTCTCGAGTAGACGTTCTGCGGCTTGATAGTATCGCCGTTCATGGAAAACGAGGGCACTCGGGCATGACACTTGCATTCACGAATTTGGAAGGGCGATTTTTAAGAACGGATAGTACACTTCCCGAGCACTAACTAACACTCCATTATCGGCTATAATTAAGAGCCTATTTGTCGACGGCTACGCCTGAACAAAGTTTAAGTACAAAACTTTTCTTAGGTGTACCTCCGGTGGAACAAAAGCCGAAATGGACGACGAAAAGATCAAGAATGTGCGTGTCGACATGAACGACTTCAACTACGCCTTCCAGAACGACATCAAGCCTGCCTTTGGTGTGAAGGATCAAGTGCTGCAGCAGTTCTTGGCGAACGGGATCGTCAACTGGGGCCACACTGATCGACTTTTATCCGATGGCATGGATTTGGCGAACACGGCCAAGAATGGCAAGCGCACGCACTTAGTGACCGCCTTGTTGGAGGGAGCTACGGGTGCGGGCAAATCCGCTCTCGCCGCAAAAATAGCCATGGATGCTGAATGCCCTTGCGTCCGGCTTATCAACCCACAGTCACTCATTGATCATGGCGAAGGTAGATTCCCTTCCCTTTTCGTTGAAATAAGCAATCGAATTCAGCTGGCAAATGTCAAGCTATCGTGCGCGCTTTCGAGGAAGCCCACAAATCCTCGCAGTCAGTAGTTGTCGTCGACGACATCGAACGACTCCTCGATTACAACCCAATCGGTCCTCGATTTTCCAACGCTGTCTGCCAGACGCTCCTTGTCCAACTTCGAGTAAATCCTCCCAAGGGTCGACGATGTCTTGTTCTCGCTACATCCTCAAATAAGGAAGTTCTTCACAATATGGGTCTATTAGGTAGAACATCAGTGAAGCGAAAAGAGAATCATTTACGTTCATCTAGGTTGTTTTGATAAAATGCTTCACGTTCCAACGATGAGATCGTCCAGTCACGTGGCGCAAGCGCTTCAAGGTCTTGGTGGAGTGTCGGAGAGAGATATCTGTAAGTGACTGAAAAGACGAGAGTTTACTAACACTTGATTCAGCACAAATATCGACGGATATTGGCTCGAGAGAGCTTAGTTTGCCTATCAAAAGATTAATTCATGTGGCTGGTGTTGCTGAAACAACCTGCGGTTCCAAAGGTAAGTGCTTCTCAAAAAGCGCCCCGGTCTTACTTTTTGTCTAAAAGCTCTTTCCAGTACTCATCAGAATACTCGAATACTTTCTATTTTCAATTTATATGCTCTATCAAATTCTTTTAGAAAAGCATTCATTTTTACTCACTTTTAGGTTTCGCGAATAAATTCATCTCTCTACTGGAAGAAGATGATTCACTGGCTGGCGCAGGATCGAACTTTTCAAGATCGAACTTTTAAACAGTCAATGTCCAATTTCATTGAACTCAAAACTGAAAAAAAAAGAAACACTATTAGCAGACTATTTGTCATTTTTTCTTCATAACTCTGAAAGTTCTCATAATTTCGCCCTTTCCATTCTGAAAAACTACCAAACTACAAATGGACAAAAAAAATTATTCCGTGCAATATTATTCCTCGTCATTACTCGGTTCAACTTTCGATTCAAGTCAATTACTCTTGTATCACTTTCAGAATGACTAAAAGAAATAAACGCCGATTTAGAAATGGGCTTATTTAACCCCTTCAAGGCTTTATTTCTTTTTCATCAAGGTTAGTCTTCTTCCGTGACATCATTTATCTTATCCGTTAAAGTTCTTTTCCTACAATTAGACGACCCTATTTCTAGGTAAATTTGATCTCATATCATCGAAAAGTAGACAAATAATGAGAAATGAATGTCTAAAAAATAAGCTAAAAGGCAATTCCCGTCCATTAATTTGAAATAACATGGACCACAACAATTTCCGTATTTAGGAAATCGTCGGTCAAGCCAGATGATCGGCACCGCCTAGTACATGTTTCCAGCACTGGCCGAGAATGCCACGCATTTCCGATTTCAGGGAATCTAACCAGCCACAAGCGCCCGTGTCACGCTAGAATTGTCCCTTCTCAAGCCGCTAAAAATCGTCGAGCTCCTTCTAAGTGGATGTGAAAAAAAGCTGGCGAGTAGTGCGGCAGAACGTCACGGTCATGTTATTAGCACGTTTTAAAACGACGCAGCTGCTTTTGCGTTATGTTCTCTATACAGGTACATTTAGAGAGCGTACTTGCCCTTCTGTAAGCACCCTTCTCAGTCTCTATTTCAACTTTAAACAAACGAGTTATTAACTTTCAAACTATTCCAAATGCAAATAAATTGCTTCTTTCAAATCTAAAAAAAAAACAGAATTTCAAAATTCTTCCGAAGAAACTTTGAAAATGTCGATGATTACACTGATGATGAGCAATTAGACAAGTGCCCGCAATCGCACTGGTCGCAGGATCGATTAAAAATGCATGTATCGTAATTATACTCCTAGCTAAATAATTATTACGAGACGAAAGACTGAACACCGTGTTTCCAGTTTGTTGGAGCTTTGTCATCGCACCCCGAAATAAACAGGCGAACAAGTATTCACACTCATTGATAATTATTATTACGCAGCTCTTAATTAGTTAAAATGCAATTCCACGCGCACCTATCATCTGCAGGTTCATAAAGAACTGCGGTGTAATATTTAAAAATCATTTGAAATGGTTATGTTGCGAAGCCGCTTTTGATTTAGGCTCTTTTGAACATGACTCAGGTTTTCTTCACAGGTTGCCGAGCCCCAACTTTGAATTTGCCTGTGATTGATAATGCCGCATTTTGTGTAAGAATGCAAACAAGGCAACAGACTGAGCATAATTGGTTGAACGAGCTTATAATTGTTCAATTAGAATTGCCTGTTGTTATCACTTTGGGAAATATTATAATTGCTCTTTGTGGTAGCATTAAAATAAAAGTGGAAATTATCAAATAAACGAGTGTTTAGGTCAATTAAATGCAGCTCAGACCGTTTTCTTATTACGTGTAAATAAAAGACAAGCGAGGTAGGCTACTAGGCGAGTATTTAGACTGCTGTTTTTAGTCAAGCCCTGGACAATTAAAGAGAGGAAATTGAAAATCGTTCCACGACGTTTATAAGAGTCCGTGGTCATGTTTTGGCTATTGAGAGTAAATACCGGACTGCTGGAAAAATGCACAAAGCCAACAATTTGCTTGTTTCTTTTTCCAAACTACCCATTAAATGGCGTTGGGCAACGGAATCAACACAAATATCCGCCGTGGACAAGTTAACGGTCAACCTCAAGCCATTGTCGTTTCTCTGCGAGTTCAGATTGGTACGGCTCCAAATTCAAGCTATCGTTATTCATTTTGAACTCGAAAGAAAAGTCCTCTTTAAAAGCAGTCAATTTTAGCTTTTTTGAAAGTCTCTTTTACGAAAATTACGCGCGCAAGAATAGCTTCGAAAATATAATCCCAAATTACGGAGGATACGTTCCCCGAACGACGGCAACTGTAGGAATAAGCTCATTAATTACAACAAGTTTCTCCTTAGTGATATTTTTGCTATACTAGTAGGTGGAATAGTGTGTTACATCATCTCTTATTAGTCTTTTTAAAACTGGCTTTTTTGGCAAAATATTTATTGAGCAACAACGCATTCGAAGATCTCCTTTCTGTTTTTTTTTTATTTTTGATTTTAATTAGATTTCAGAAGAATATAAAACAGGGAGAAATCGAATTGGGTAGAATCTAACGCACAGCTTCTTATTGAAAACGCACGTTATTCACGAAGGTAATGAGAAAAATATTCAGCCACGGGGAATTCGGACTGAAGAATTCCTTTGAAGATTCTACAGTGCGATTTGTACAAGTAATAGAACTGTATCTTAAGTGTCCTTTAGAAGAGAAAGAAGCGATGGTTCTTGAATTCCAGGATGTATTGCCGAGCGATTAAACACTGAAAGTAGAAGTGACTATCCACCATTCTGTTTTCTCCCGTGGTCATTAGAGAGATGCCTTTATTTTCCTTTACAAAAAGAAAGATTAGTGTTAGGATTAACCAACAACCCTAACCTCAACCCTTACTCATTTTTATGAAGCCCGACAGTGCAATTTTTACCTGTAGAAAAGTTTGAATCAGCATTCCAACAAAGACAGATCCCGTGTCAAAGCTTGAGAAGACTTCTTTTTTTCCGGGGATGGGAGATAGTTCCTCTTGAGTTTGCGGCAATTCTTTTTACTTGTAGTAATTTGTCAAACTATAAAAATTGAATTTAAAGAAGGCGTTTAGGTTCATTTAGGAGCTACACACTTAGACTCGCAAAGAATAATCTACCGTAGTTTTTTTTTAATACGGAGAGTTTCTTGGATGAAAGAAACGGGCGAAAATGAAATGTGTGATTAACCGCTGCTCGCGAAGGGTCAACGATCTACTCCGAATATCTAAGTATCGTGTCTTTTGCAGGAACGGCCTCAATTTGAGCACGTTTTTGGCTGGCCATTACTTGCATTCAAAAACTAGTTACTTCCTCGTCAAAGGGAGCAGAATCATTATTTTTTCTTAAAAAATATTCATGAACTTTTAACTTTATTTTCAGAAGAGTCGAGAAATTATCAGTTTAGCTATGTCTTCTTCAGGTCCTAAGTTATAAATTTTCAAGAGAAACGAATTCGAAATAATCAAGAGCTAATAAGATGCCCGATCGGAGTGATGATAGAAATTGTATGTTGAGAACTTTCTCAACACAGTAGTAAATCGGGCATTCTATTTCGAATAGACTATTTGAAAGTTAATTTCGGATACTAATGCGCAACACTATCACAACGTGGCTGTCATAGTGCTCGAGTCAATTAATAATAACTGTTTTCATCCCTTTGCCTATCGAACGCGCGTATTTGGCTCTTCCCTCTTTGTTGGATTAGACTGTAAGCCACACAAAACGGAACTCAAAAGTTGTTTCATATCTTAGATCATAAGTTTGAAAATCAATTTTGCCCGATTTCTGCCGAAAAAGAATAATATTAAAAAGAATAGAAGTGAAAGTATGTTAGAAGGCTGTAGCAGATTCTAATCCTTAGCGATTATGTTGGCGATGAGGAAGATTATGGTCACCAGGGCGGAAATCGACTGAATAGAGTGGAGCCCTCGTTCAATCTGCGGTGAGCGGCAGCACGGCCCGTTGTATATTCCCAGAAGAAGAATAAAACTTGCAAAAGCTGATTTTAGAAAACTCACTAGGATTCAAGCGGCCGCGGCGCTACTTGTTAACGTGGTTCGTTATCGATGCTTGATTTGATTATCTGATGAGTTGGGTAAAAAGATCTCCTACTGTGAGGCAAAGTACAGCGACCTCAGTTGGTGGAAATTTTCATTATAACGGGCTCGGTGTTTCTTCCCCTACTCATTCTTCTTTTCAAAATGAAACTTCATCTTCAATGGCTCTTTCATTCGTTCAGACGCGAATATGAAGTCAGAAATTTAATCTGTTACTGATTAAATAAAATTATATACAAAATAAATCTAGTTGGACTAGTATGTTCGAATTAAAAAGTTCGCGAGCTGTTTATAGCGCGCAGCACAAAACATATCTATCTAGCAAAAGTCTTATATAAATCGCATTGTGGGTGAAAATATTGAAGTCAACTTTAACCCGTGAATTGCAAAAAGCAGGGAGTATGGGACTTCGTCATTTTATAACGAAATAAGACCGCTTGGAGTTTGGAATGAAAACTAAGTCTAGATGGAAATGTTGGCAAAATCGACTCCGCCCGATCGACCAGGAGCCCTTATCTAATTAAGGGTGACTCATAATCCGCCCTTAAAAACTGTCATTTCTGTCATTCTTAAAATTCTTCTAAAAGAAAAAGAAAAGATATCAATTCCAAGCATGTGCCAGAGCGCTGCCTGTTTCCGCGAAATTCATCTGTCAATTATGGAAGCCGAAGTCAACGAGAAAGAGTTCCACTTATGCGAGGCCATTCCACAGCTCATCAGATATCGTCAAACCGCGTGCTATTTTGATCATGACATTCTGCTTAGTGAAGCACGTGATGCTTACATGCCGACAGTAATTATGCCATTTTCAATTTTAAATTTTCAAAACAGCTAATCAGCATTTGAGCGGTTCATTATTAGGGTGATTTTATGATTTCATTAATAATCACTAATTAGTCTAAATTTGCGATTAATATTAAACTTGAGAATGTTAATCGCTCCTTTGGAATGATAGTACCTTGCTACTATCATTATGTGGAGCTCAAATTAACTAGCAAGACAAAATCGTAATTCGAAGTCTAATAAATTATCACTAATAATACACTTCCTTTGTAGGTCGAGCTAGCGAGAAATAATGGTATTGACAAGAAAAATATTGAATTGGTTGATCAGAAGGAGTTTTGAAAATAAGCGACACGACAGATCAAAATTTCCGTCAATGATTTGAGTTGATTAACCTATCAGCCACTTCTTTGACGCAAAAAAAGCGCTGCCGAGTGCGATTTCCGGCGAATGTTACGAGTGCGTAAATTCAGACTGTCAGTGGCTGACGCAATTAAAAGGAGAAAGTTCAGCTCTCGGCCCTTGATGCGAATAAAACGATCTTTCGAAACGGGCTTTTCCACACATTTTTTTCGTTCACAGTTTCCATTTTGCGCCCTCGACCTCGGCCTGGCAGGTGAACGTGCGTAATTACAAAGTAAAAAAGTCCCTTTCCTGCGAGTAGAATAATCCAACCGTCCAGCCGCTCGTGAAGATTTCCGCCGTACTGTGTTTCTCCACTAGCAACCTTTTTTTTCAGTTGACAAAAGTGCTAATACGAGTGTCAATTGTCAAAAACGCAGAGCAGAAAGTTTGAAATTTTAAGGAATTGAATACTCTTTTTCTGAAAAATGTTGAAGTTGAGAGAGTCAAAAGAAGACAAAGAAGCTAGAATGAAGAGCGAAATCGACAAAATGAATCGCGAAATAGCTCAATTGAAGATGCACAATGATTTGAAAGCATCCGGCCTGGAAAAGTATAAAAAAGGAATCGACAGAATGCACGGTGTTTTGGCTGAACATGATCAGGAAAAGAGCTAAATTTCTTTCCTCGAATTTCTGGCTCTAAAAAAAAAGCTATTCAAATGAAAACTCAAAAGAAGGAAAAAAAGCTCTTACTAAAGGAATATCAAATTCTTGAGCAGCACATAGACAAAGCTGCCGACAAAGGGGGCGAAAAACTCGGTGCAAACTCGTCAAAGTCGATTCTAGCGCCAGAAGTAGTGCGCTATCCGAGAGTGAAAGAAGACGAGCCAAAGACAAAAATCAAGCTTCGACTTGTCAGTGGCGAAACTAAGGTGCTAGAAGTGAACACAGCGGATAAAGTCGAAATCGTCAGGAAATTTATGGCTCAATTTTGTGCAGGGGAGTTTTTGATGATGTCAGGAAATGGATTGTACGCTTTCGTTTTTTTAATGGTTCGTTCTTAATCTGGATCGGGACTAGCATCTGCTGATATCCCGCTGAAACGGTCACTCTTGCGTGCCCTCATGCGACAAGTAGTCATATAAAAGCGCAGGAAATTTAAGTTTCACAAAAAATATTCGGAATAAAATGTAGCTTTTATATTTTCATTTTCTCATTCTTCAATATCAAACTAAAATAAAAACTAAGCAAACTCTGGACTAAAAATTTCATGAGAGAATGAATTGAAAATAGTGGAATTAGAAAGCAATTAAGTTCGTATTTATACAATCCATTTAATCAGGCTTCCCGATGCGCCCGCTGGATGCCTCTCAAACCATTTCTGAAGCGAGGCTAATTAACGGAAGCGTTGTCCAAAAACTTCAATAATAAAAGTTGTGTTTCGACTGCAAACGAGCATCTAACGTAGCGCTGTTTTTGACTCAACAATTGCTTTCGATTTCAACTGCTCCCTGTAGTCCAGAAAGATGCCGACCATCCACATCAGTACATACAGTGTGGCGATGCTCTGTCCAAGCATCAGCAGAATAAAGTCTGAAAGAAAAGAATTCTTCTTTATTTTCTTAGTTTTTTTATAATAATAAGCGTTTTTTTTCTAAAAAAACGGATGTCATTAATAAATGGGTTCCTTTATGAAGTCCCCATCAAAAGTGATTTCTGATGAATATATGGAGACATCCTAGGCAAAGTTTCCTCCTAAATCTGTACCCTCTATTTTTATTATAATTTATAGAATATCTAACTTACAGAGTGAATATTTGCATTCTTCTCTAAGCGTCATCCTTTCAAAAACTTCCGATATTGCCTCGAAAATAAGAAAAAAAAGAAAGTCCTAAATTCTATAATCTCATGATGCACAAAAGCAAATATAACCTCTATAAAATGGGAATAGCTCAAATATAAAAATCGCCCAGTCCTAGTTTCTTCGTAGGCAGTCCCTAGCGATACCGTTTTGAAGAAGAGGATGCGTCTTCTATAAAAAGACGGAAAAGTTCATTAGAAATAAATAAAACTCGTGTGCTCTTTATTTTGCAGTATATTTGGGATTGAAACACCCCGAGAGCTCGCGGAATATTTAATTTTATTTTTGAAAACGTAATCTCCCATTTGCGCCCAAAACATTAAAGACGGAAAAAGGGGGATACCGCTGTTTTCGGATGCTGAGTGATATTTATTTTTAACTTCGTAAGAGAAGACTGGACAGTAAAGCCCGCCATATCCGCCCGGTACCGCCTTAATCATTTACAGTAGAATCTCTGTACGCGAAATTGCGAAATTAATTTGGTGAAAGCTCGCGGCTGGGCTTGGCAACCTGTGAAGTAAACCTGAGTCAGGTTTCGAAAGATCCAGTGGCTTTTGATCTTTCAGACCCTGCCTCAAGTTTTCTACATGGCTTGCCGAGCTGAGTCCTAGAGAGACTTTGTTATTTAACGAAATAAGTCGATTGTTTTCGACTTTTTCCAAGAAATGGAAAAAATTCTCTAGAACTTTTGTTGATATCAGGGCTGAAGAGCTCATTCAATCAGATTCGAGTCCGAACTTTTTCGGTCCGCAAAAGATCCAAAAAAAGTAAGTTTCAATACTCTTATAATCGCAGTGCCTGTAATTCTGCTTTTAGTCGTCGAAGAATCTTCAATACCAGAAAGAATCGGAAAGCCCGATTCTTCTGTCGGATCTACTGAGCTTCTGAAACACTTCTGACCAGCCAGCAACTTCGGAAAACGAAGTCGTCCACGAACTGTTCTCCAAGCCTGAATAAAATCAATTTTAACTAAATTTTAATAAATGTGTCGTTTACTTGAGAAACATGCGGTCGTTTTGAGTGCTAGAAGTAGCTTTAGAATTAAGTAGTGAGGCGTGACGTAGATGGGAAAGTATCGGGGGTGTCTGTAGTCTTGGCCCGTTTTTCTTAGGTTTTCTACACAGGTTGTCGGGTTTTCATGGCTTTTGAGGTTACTTCAGATTTTTCAAAAAATAGCAAGGTCGTCTAGACAATGTTTCTTGAGCTCATCTGTTGTTGTGAGGGCGTTATTTGCATTTCTTTGCTCACTCTCCGAAAATAATGAACTCTCAAAAATCAGCACGAATAAAATGAATTTTAATCCCATCCTTTGCGATGCTTCAGGTTCGCTGAGGCTGAGCTTGAGCTGAAGCAACCTACATAATGTAGAAAATCTAAGTCGTGGTTAGAAAGATCTTCGATCGAAGTTAAGAGCGTTACTCAGGGTTAGGGCTACACGTGGGTTACTTCCAGCCCTTTTTTTGGTGTTTTTTGAGTTCGGAAGGGGTTCGCGCGAACGCAGAACCCCACTATCAGAAATTGTGACGGACACTCCACCGATTTGGCAAAGAGATACAGGTCAGCCGCGCCGGTGTGCAATGGTACGGCCTCGCCATAAGGGAACCCCCTACTTGATCGAGGTTACCCTCCGCCCAGGTAAGTATGCGTTGCTCGGGGCGCGCTGAATATCGGTACTCGACGGGCCAACGCGCGCTTATGGTTTCTACATGGGGCGCTTCAGCCAATCAAATCGATCACACTCCAGCTGGGGAGATGAAATAAGTTATTTCAAATAACGAAGTTGCTCATTAACATTTACTAGAAATGGTAAGGTTGTAATTTGTCTTTTAATCGTGAACGAGCAAGTATCGTAGTCAACGATTAGCGATAAGCAAGGATTACTCTAGAATTTAAGAAAAAAAAACGCATTTACGTTCTACTTCTATTCTTGCAAAAAACCAAAAGATTCGCTGCGAACAGGATTCGAACCTGCGCGGGGAGACCCCAAGAGATTTCTAATCTCTCGCCTTAACCACTCGGCCATCGCAGCTTGGAAGCAACCCCCGAAATTGCAAATATAATCTACCGGTTGTTGGGCACTAGAAAGAACTGAAACTGAAAAGACTACAGCAAGTTTTATACACAGGTTGCCGAGGCTTAGACTACAGACACCTCAGATACTTCCCCGCCGACGCCTCATTGATCAATTCTAAAGCTAAATCTAGGCTACTACTTGAAGTTCTAGCACTAAAATCGACCGCAAGTTTCTCAAATAAACGACACATTCAGTTAAATTCGATTAAGATTGATTTTATTCAGGCTTGAAGAACAGTTCGTTTACGACTTCGTTTTTCGAAGTTGCTGGCTGGTCAGAAGTGTTTCAGAAGCTCAGTAGATCCGACAGAAGAATCGGGCTTTCCGATTCTTTCTGGTATTGAAGATTCTTCGACGACTAAAAGTAGAATTACACCCACTGCGATTATAAGAGTATTGAAACTTACTTTTTTTGGATCTTTCGCGGACCGGAAAAGTTCGGACTCGAATCTGGTTGAATGAGCTCTTCAACCCCTGATATCAACAAAAGTTCTAGAGAATTTTTCCATTCCTTGGAAAAAGTCGAAAACAATCGACTTTTCTTGATTCGAAACGAGAATCGAGAAATCTTTCTTTTGATAAAAATGGGTTACCTGAAGAAATGGTTCATTCTAAATTCTAAGTCTAAATTCTGTCTAAGTTTTGGAAGGGGAAACAAAGTCAGGCCGGTGTCAGACTCGACCCCGGCCTCGTGAATGCATTCGCAGTCGGCGAGAACTTCTAACGCACTTATCACATTACAACGTGCAGAATTCTTCGATTTTCAAACTTCAAACTTTGAAGAATACTTTTTCTTCGATTACAAATTTCTAATGGAAAGCGGCTTAGCGAATTATGATGTGGCCCGTTTATGCTCTCGACCGCTGCGATCTAATATCATGCCTCTTGAAAAATTAACGCCGTCATCACGTTTTTCGCGATCTTGACTTGTTTACTTCTTGAATATACTAACTGTTATCCCTGTATTACAGGAATGAACCGAGTCTGATGAAAATTTGCCTTTCACCTTCAGTATAATCATAACCTTCTAGGCTCGGCAACCTGTGTTGCAAACCTGAGTCAGGGCTCTGAAAAAACTCTCAAGAAAAATAATGAAGGAAATCTAAATATAAAAAGTTATATTTCAGTTTCAGTAATGAAGATCAGCATTTTCTTTGATCCAGGCGTTAATTTCCGGGTCCGAATTCCGCGACCAGCAAGCTAGAATTTCATTAATTCTAGTTCTTGTTCAATTAGAGCAATAAATGATTAACTAGTATCCAGCAAGACTTTGTTGACGATAAACTAGCCTCTATCAAATTAGAGAATAATTGACTGGGTTTCGTCTTGCGACGTATTTTTGCTCCAAATCTACTTCTTCTGGATAACAAGAATCTAATCGATTGAATGGCAGTAAACTAGTTAAAAGCAGATGTGCGATTAATATTTTCGTCGACATTGTTTTCAAGGGTATTTTACCAAAGTAAAATCGCAAAATTGACAAGATATTTCTGAAGATTTTTATCTTTAGATTCTTAAGTTTAGAATGATAATTTTGCTAACCCTCTTTTTATGTCTAGACTGATTTCGCAAGCTTCACTGACCTGGCCACTCGTGGCTGCAAGCTGCGTCTCCCCACGAAGTATTACCGACGAGTCTTAGTTCTCCGTTTAGCTCAACCACGAGCGGTCCTCCCGAGTCGCCGTTACAGCTCATCATTCGGCTATGAGCTGGCTGAGCCGGAACTCGATCTTTTCCGGAATGGAAAATTAAATTAAGTCGGAGCCCATTTTGCCGCAAACGGCTTATCCCTTTCCCGGGCCACCTTCAAGAGGTAACATTTTAATCAGTCACACTCCGACCTAAAGCGCAGGGGTTGCTTGGCTTGATCCAACTCATTTCGGGAACAGGGCTCTCAGCAAACTCGGATCCAACACGAAGTTGGAACTGCGGCCCGTCAGCAGTCTTTATCCGGGTTCAATTTTGTCAGCTAATTGCCTCTTCGTCAAGCCCCTAAATAACGAAACAGTCCGCAATCTTATCTTTGTAGACCGTTTAGAAAATTTTTATTTCTCATCCTTATCAGCTGTTTCTTCATTCTTCACTGGAATCTTCACGAGCTGAGGATCATTCCAAGCTCCGTGAAAAAGGTTTTAATCCTCTATTACGACCCAAAGGATGATCGCAGTACTTTTTGCCACGTAAATGCTGAGTACTACGTAATAACGCTAAACTTTAAAAAATGAGCTACGCGAAGAGCAGGTGCGCTGCAACCAGAATTTTCAGTTGCAAGCGAAATTTCTAAAATTCTTGTACAAGTTTCAACTTCTGCGCAAAGTAACTCTTTCTTTTCTGAATAAAATTGAAGCCCGTCCCCAAGTCCAAGTGACACCACCGCAGTTTTCATAATTCAAGGCCGCTCTTTGAGCATCTTCAAGATCGTCGAAGTCGATTTGATCCCAAGAAAGATCGGGGTATCCTTTCAAATAGGCGTAGTCTTTCTTTTCCCAGCCTTCCAGAGGTGTGCACAATTCAGGCCTTTTATCCTGGGTCTCTTTCGCTGCTTTTTATACGAAAAGTAACTTAATTGGTACGGAAGCGGATAAAATTGGACCCGTTGTCAAGCATCCTGTTCTCCCGGGACTCCAATAGCGCACTGCTGTCTTGAGCCACCGGCGTAGGGTCCCCACCACTTCTTACACTCCCGGATGGTGATGGCTAAATGCAATTGATGGGTTGCGGATTGAGAGAGCTAATGCCGGAAAGAGGCGATCCTCGAAACGTGCTCAGCGGGTGTCGTCCTTCTAACGCCCCTCAACCGAGTCTAAAGTAGTTCTACCTTTGTAGTATCCGTACTGGAGCGGCTCCACCCGGGCTGTTGAATTTTGAGCGATTCACTTAGGAACACTATTCATTCGCCCTGTGTCATGCGTACTTTCCAGATAAATCACCATAAAAATGGTTTTTAAGGAGCTCGACTACACTCCTCAAACAGAAGAGCGTTTTCGAAGGAAAGACTCGTATTATTTCTGGTCAAAAAGAAGCCACATCGTTTTAATGACTACTATGATTATGTTTTAGATTTTTTTTATAAAAAATTCAACGTGAGTTAATGATAACTCGCAGATTTGACAGCCTGTCCTTTCCGTCGTAGCCGCCGGGGTTGGTCCTTCCGAATCCAGTTTCGAACATAGTGGTGCCCATCGGAAACTCGTGCTCCATTGGGTCCATCAATTTAATTGGGGCTACAGCGCTCGGAAAAGAGACCAGGTCGATTTGAGTCTTTGCGCGGAGGATTCCAAAGTCGTAGTCCAAGTAGTCGGCTCCCCAGTTGGGGTGGCTGAGGAATTGATCCGACATCACGTAATAAAATGGACGATCGTCTCGTAAACTGCCAAAGACCATTCGGACATCGTTCTAAGTTTTTTATGACTCATCGCCGGGTTGTATTATAATATGGCCTTCTGTGGATTCTAAAGTTGATGAATGGAACTTACTCGAATATTGCAATGCGCTGCAGACATCACATACTTGTGACGATTCTTTCTTACTTTACATAATAATTATTTTCTTCTCAATTCGAAAAGGAGCGCATGGGAATCTTAGCTGGCCTCGGATTTCCAAAATAGTTTTTATCAAAAACTAGTTTGGGAAACGTGTTGCAAGCACTTCCCTATCTCACGCCGCCGCCTAAGTGGAAATGTTTAATAGCGATTTTTATTCAACTATCAAAAAATGCTCCTTATCTTTTAGGATGAAGCCGCGGAGGATAGCGGGTCTACAGATATTGTTCATTTTTAAATGACCGATAATTGAAATACTCACAGAGACTTTGCAAATTATCGACAGATAAATCGGGCTAATTATGGTCTTATTGAGGCATTTTCTAGTCTAAGAAATGAATGAAAAATCGCTCCTTATCGCTGAGAATAGATCCTCCACAGAACTTGCCCCCACCGGGGTATTGGAGCGAAACCATGTAAGGTGCACTTTCGGTCTTCAGTACATCATTCCCTTCGATAATTTTGACGGAGCGCGCGGCGGCACATGAGTAGGCTTGTAAGATGAAAATTCGGCCCACTTTTCTAACTTAGTTTAGGGGTCGGATGACACAGTTTTAGAAAGCCCAGAAGCTAAGCTTTCATTTGGGCACCATATCAAGTGGTCTGGGTCATGCCCCCAAGGCAATTCATTGGACCGGAAGTTCCGAAATCGGCACAAGAACTCTTCAATAGAATTTTCGAGTACCGGTAGTCACTCGAAATGGCTCGATAGTAGGCGCGTTAGAAAGCCCAGCGTCTGATCTTTCTAAAAAGCCAATAAAAATACTGCTGCTCTGCCACCTAGTGGCCACTAGAGGCGCTAAAATAGTGAAATTTGAGGATATTTAGGAAGGAAGGACAATAATCTACGTCTCAACCGGACGGTTTGATGACCGTTGAACGTCATGCCAAGGCTAAGAAGTCATTATTCAAAAATAGAGGCCTGAAATTTCGACCGAATGAGCAACTTCTAGTGCAAAAAATTCCCTTTCTGGGGCAGAATTCGAGTTTCTAGCGCCCCTAGTGGCCGCTAGGTGGGAGAGCAGCTAGATTTTATTGATGGTTAAGAAAGCTCAGACGCATGGCTTTCTAACGCGCCTACTCTCGAGCTATTTCGAGTGACTACCGGCACTCAAAAAATAGATTGAAGAGTTCTAGTGCCGATTTCGGAACTTCCGGTGCCATGAATTGCCTTGCGGGTATGACCCAGACCCCCCGATATTAGACTCAAATGAAAGCTCAGCTTCTGGGATTTCCAAATATGTGTCATATGACCCCTCAACTAAGCTAGAAAAATTGGCCAAATTTTCATCTTATAAGCCTACACATGAGGCTAGTCCAAGCGCAAACTTCATCTCTGAGAGTCGTGGCGTCAAATTCAGAAGGATTCATTTCTCTGGCAGCTCCCGCCGGAACAGCCCTTGCGTTCCCACCACTGTGGCCAAAGTGAAGTCGAAGAAAGTTCAGTTTTCTTCAAAATTACTCATCAATGCGCACGTAAGTTAAGTAATATTGGTTGTTTTTCTTACTCTCGCGCTGTGTCCTCCGAATTTTTTGTCTTGGAATCGTAGGGTGTCAAGATCTTACTGCACAAACGCTGTGGACATTCTAACCTCACTGCTGAGTAGAACTCTAGCACTTCCTCTTCATCTCACCATAACTCCTCGTCGCCTGCAAACATAATTCAAGTTGCTAGTTTTAACTCTCGATTGCGCCGAAGCCGCAAGCGTACCCGAACGTGCTGATAAAATCAAGCTGAATTCATCTCTTTTTCGAAAAGCGTTGAAAATTTTTGTTTTCCCAGATTGAGACCAATTGCGTTATCGTTCCTTTTGGAAGGATTCTAGGCCACCGAGTTAGTCGTTTGACGCTGACTAGCGGTTTTAGAGCAACTCTCCGATCAATTAACTCCGGAAAACGATGCACCAATTTAAAAGTATAATCGGATAGATAGTTTAGAAAACTAACAGCTTCAGCAGAAACAAATCACTAGAAGCGAACAGTCTTTGTTGGAAGAGAAGAGTTACGCGTCTTCTTGTAAGAATGAGTTCATTTCATTTTGAGAAAGAATTCCGAGTGGCGACAATTTGCAATAAGGCAAAAAGGTTTAGAACGTGTTCCTCGCCGTGTTGGAATGTGGAAGGGACAGACTCAATGGACCGTCTCGGCGGCTTAGAGTAATAGCCAACATTGTCGAGCATTCTTGAACACTTTTAGAGCTCACAGGCTTTTATTGTAACATCTTGCGCCGTGGATAGCATTCGGCCAGATGAGTACGACTACGAATATATAAGCAAAGAAAACACGTGGTCCCCGAAGTTGTCTGGAGTGGCGAAAAGCACCCGGAAATTGGCCCTCGTGTGAGGATTCTTGAATTTTGAGACCGAAACTGACGCTTCGGAGAAACAAATCCGGCCCAGCTTTTTCTCGTTAAGACATTCGAAATTCCACAATTTCGGGGAGTCGCATTCTTCGCCCAAATAACCTATTTAGTAATCACCAACACTTAAACTCCCTAAACCACTGTACTTGCTTTGACGACACAGCTGAAGCTCGATCTATTTATTTATTTCTACTTGATAGAGCATGAAGAAATTTTGCGCGCTTGAGAGCAACGACCCGAAAAATCACTATAAAATATGCTAACGAAGCGATTTCTGCATTAAAAATGAGACAACAGCCGTTAGAATTGAATCAATTTAGCAGCTTTCTATAATGTTAGTTCGAAAATGAATAAAAATGTAATACAAAAAATTTTGTTGCAATTATTCAGTTTAGAGAAGTCAATAACAATCATAAAACAGTCGAGAATTTATAGCGTTTTGGGTGTAGCCGCCCCGTGTTTTCGACCCTCCATCATCGTGAACTTTGAAGGTGTTGATCTAAAGCCATTATTTAAGCGATCGCCCGTCTAGTCAAAAATAAGCTCAGAACAATCGCTTTTTCTAGCCATGCCTGTCTTTGAAATCAAGCTGAAAATGCTCAAGGAAATGTACCACATTTCTCTCAACAGTGAAGAACACCCCATGAAATTCCGGTAATTGTAAAACTAGGAAGGAAGCGCGTCTGCAACGATTTCTTCGGGAGACATGTTTTTCACATTTTTCGGTTGGACGAACTATAGATACTCAAAATATACAGACAAGAAAATAGAATTATGAACAGTGTTTATAGAAAAGAAACGAGAGTTCGTCCAATTAAATCAGATGAGAAACTCAGATCGCTAGTGGTTCAGCGATTAGTTCTTTTCCGAAAATAGGGATACATGTATGTGAATTTCCACCCTACTATAGTATCAAAACTTCCGTTCAATAATCAGTCTTCAAAACTTACGAGCCAGCCAATGAGAGATCCGGACTTGAACAGCGCCATCTATTGAGAAATACTAAAAAGTTGTTTTTAGCGAGGCAATCGAAGCGGCTACTTGCATGGCTCCTTCTTCCCAAAGAATAAAATGTAAAGGAAAGATCATCCCTGCCGACCTCGAGAACTGGGACGACTACAAGGACATCCTTGCGGACGGTCTCCTCATGATGATCATGATGTGAGAGAGGCTTCTTCTCCCTTTGCATTCTTTTTCGACTTTTTTAATTCTGAATTACTACCTGTCACAAACCAAATAAACCGTTCTCATTCAACCCCTCCTCTTCTAACTTCTTTGTCAATCCAAGATCTGCAGCGAGGAGGACAGAGCACTTAGGTAACAGCGGATGGGAATTTCCTAAATGGCGGTTGAAGAGCTACTTAGACGAATAGAGAGCGAAGATGTTCACCACGTGCCGTTGTTCGGTATCTGCGGAATTGTTGAATGATGGGTTGTTGGGCTCGCTGCTCTTTCCGGCTGCCTCGCCCGGAAATGCTCTCACTATGTCTCCACGTGCCTCTCTGACATTCCTGCTTTCTCTTTCCACCTGCTGGAGCATCCCTCCCTAGCGCGCGCGATTTAACATTTCTTCAGCGTCAGTCTGACGCAGATAATACTTTAAATGTCGCCCCCGCTAGCAGCACAAATACAGTAAGACGCAACATCGCACCACCACGTTCACCTAACAGCTGCAAGTCCTAGCAACTTCAGGTTCTAAATTCGAATGGGCTCCTGCATTCCAAGTGCGTCCAAACGCCACTTTCTTCTAGTTGCATTACTTAACAGTAATGTCTCTTCAGGGGTTATTCGAAACTACAGAAAAGTGAGTTGCGTCAGCGAGTTTGTTTTTCTTTTTTAACCTGTTTAACCCGCGAAGAGTTAAAGTCGAGTTTAGCGCCTCGAGTGCGGCCAGTTCCAGAAAGAGAGACACGTTTATCCCGCTTCTTATAAGTCATTTAATTCCGAGCCAGCGCCTTGATTTCTGATTTCTAAGAAGAGTTCTGCCAAAATATACCGCGCTCGTCAAGTGCCACTTTCATAAGTAGCGTTCCTTTCAATTTACAGAAATAATTTTGGAGTAAGACTTATTTCAAAAGACTTTTTTTATTAATTCAACGACTCTGGCTTGATTTCTTCTTTGATTCCCGAGCATCGTGGTTTAGTTTTCGTTTCGACGACGAGCTTGAGCTATTAGGAGTAGAATGGCGTTTAGGTGATTGCGCTTCGACTAATGCCATGCTTATTCAAGAGTAGAGAGATAATAATTACTTATTATCGCCGATGAATGGTCTGAATCCTTCCTCGTGGAGGCACCAAAAGCTCCCAGGTTTGTTTCGCCTTCGCCAGCCGGATGTGATCGTGTTGGATCTATTGGCGCTCTTGCTGCATGTGACCGTATTAGTCGGTTAAAATATAATGGCAAAGTATTTGGAGTTTGACCTTATTTTAACCGTATCAGAATTTTCCGCAGAACTTGGGCGTAAGCTCGGATCGTTAAAGTCGACATATTGATTCACTTTTATTTTGTACTTTCTCTCGATCTCATCGACCATAATAGTTCTTGTTGTTTGATTCTCCTTCTTGATGACCTCTTGCTTCTCGAGTGAGTTTTTTAGCACTTTCATTTTTAGCTGCAAGGTTTCGATTTTGTCCTGCACCGCTGTCATTTCTTCGATGAGTTCTTCATGTCTGATAGACTCAATCTTTTCTGAGCTTTCTCCGCTAATTTGTAAGGAATTTGATAATTTTTAAAAGCATTCCTGAGACTCTGCGACAAATTTTCGTAGTTGGAGAATTTCTCGTTTGAATTCTCTTTCTCGCGTTCTCTGATCTTTTTCTTTCATTACACTGGCTGTAGTATTCTTGTAACAAGAATTTCTTGTTGCTTTTGACTATTTTTCTTCAAAAATTGCTTGTAAAATAATTGATCAATAGATCAAGCCTTTGTTAGTTGAGAAGCAAAAATTGATTTTGAAACCGCTATCTTATATTATGTGAGTCATGTATCCGTGCTTCGATCGTACTTCACCCCCTGCTGTTCACTTTGGCAAAATCGAGCTCTACTTCACAGATGCAGTTTGTGTTTCTTCAGCGCTTCAAGAATTCTGCTTCCTTTAAACGGGAACTTCCTGTATTCGGATGGAAAGGATCGGCCCTGTTGCAAGGGTAGCTTTACCGGGGTAGTTACCAATTCCCGAAGAGCTATCGTTATGTGTATATTAAAGGAAGCGAAATGCACACCAAAAGCTGCCGAATTGAGCCTCTTCGTTTGCGGTGCGGTGAGCGGGATTTTGGAATCTCTGGCGGAAATTATACCTCCTCAAAATTACGCAAGTGTCGTGGGCCTTCTCTTGGATGAGCGCCCTCCAAATCTGTAATTTTCATTTTTCCGAAAATCAACAGCTACTGTTTTTCCTCATCTTTCGAATTCAAGTAAACCAGAACGATTGCTTGAGCGAATCCTCGGCTAAATTTTGAATTCAGAGCTGGGGTCGCGTAAGAACAGCTCCGTCTAACTCGTTCTAGTTTTCCTCGCGATCCTCGAAGAAACCATCTTTGCGGTGAATCGTCGCATCGAGGTCGATAAGCGTAAGAGCGGCACTCTGCATTCTGCAACAAGAAGAGCGATTAACTCGAATCTACTGGGCAGTAAACTGCAAGTTTCTAAGAAAAATCAATGGAGTAGCATCATCAACTTTGTTCTGAACGGTTGTAATTTGCATCACCTGCCTCGCCGAAAAACAGACGAGATGCGGTTTTCGGACAGCTTCGCGACAATGTACCCAGAAATAAATAAGCCCCGAAAAAATGCCTATCAACAACGAATGGTCAAACCAAGTTACCGTTTTTTTTTTGCCAGTAAGAATCGCTCACTGATCATCAATAGTCGCTCACAAGAGATCTAAGATGAAGGAGAAAATATTCGGGAGAAGATCATTGATCGTAGATTCGCTGATTCACGATTCAAAAGAAAGAGAAAAGCCGGCGGCTCTTCCTTAACCTTTACGAACATTTTATTCGGAAGGCGGCTTTTCGGAACATGCAGCGAATAATCTTCTAAGACCAGATTCTACTTTTGTCATAACTTTGACTTTTAGAAATAACAAGAAGCGAAGGGAAAAGTCATGAGATGCGCTCTGGGATAAAAACCTCATGAATCTGGATTTAAAAGCGAGAAACTAAGTTAGGAACAAGTTTTCACAGGCACAAGGAATTGACAATTGTAGTCTTTTACAATCAAGGATCAGCGGCCGACGAGGTAGGTAAGTTTTGTTCGTTTATCAGAGTTCGATATTGTGGGTTAAAAGGACGATTTCTAGGCCAGAGTCTCTCAGTGCTGGGCTTATCTCATTCAATTATCTATATTTACAGGGCTTGAAACAAGCTAAGAGCTGAGAAATACTCAGACCAAAAACAAATGCTGAAGTGAGCTTCAGGTTCAGCCATAATTGGCTTTTAGTCAGTAATCATACTAATCCAGCTTATTCATTTTTTATTACTTATTCACGCATTTCAACTTCAGTTATAAAACAAGACAGAAGCGATGTTTTGAATTTTCTCCATTGACGGGATTTTCTAGACCCCGATTTGACCAAAACAGCAGATTTTTTCAAAAAGTCACATTTGCGAGAAAACAGCTAAGAGAAACGGCGAATTTGGAATCATGGCGCTGATCAAAAGCGTCCTCGACTGTCGCTTCAACTCAAAAACCTGGTGGAAGTGGTTTTGCGTAAGTGACAGAGCGCCAGTCTCGTTAAACCGACCTGGAAGATTTCTCTGATCTGAATTTTAGATGCCGGTTTGCGTCCGATCCTGCCTCATCTCAAAACGACTCAATTCTGCCAGGAAAGGGAGAAAAAAACTCAACTGAACTGCGGAGCAGCTTTTTTGAATAACTTTAGTATTTATTATTTTACTTTAAAAGTCAAATTGAAGAATTTTTGTTTATTTCCCTGGAAGTCACTTGTTCTATCTAATGTGCCCGATTCTTTTTGTTCTCGTTCTCGGGATCGTTTCCCTGATGATGTTGGTAAGTTCATAAATTCAGAATTGGTCGTATTCAATAAGATTAGTTGTATAATGTTTTCTTTAGATTCTAGCCGACTTCATCTACGAGCAACACCCAAAAGACACTGTAAAATGGATCATTTGGGTCTGCATCATTCTAACGGCGCACTTTGTTTTCTGTTACTGGATCGCCCTGGTTCGACTTAGAAAAAGATTCGACAGCCGATTCAATGACCACGATAAATGCTGTTTCTCCACTTATATCGTGACAATTTTCTGCAATCAATGCTCCCAGGAACGGATAAATCGTAGCCATCCATAACAAAATAGGCAAACAAGCCATACCAATGATAATTTCAACCCTCCCTCCTTAGGAGATCTATGTCTCTTGAGCAGAGAACGAAAGATTTGATCCGTCAAAGACCGAGATGGGTTATCGTCTGGAAAGCCACTCAAGCGAGCTCGGAAGCATCGTCATCGTCTAAATATATCCACTTCTATTCACACAACCTATCTAACCCTTTTTTCATCAAATTCTGCCATACCAATAGTTCACTCTAATCCAAATAAAACGCTATACTTTTCAACTGAAGCGGGAGACAGGTGGGCAAACTCGCGTGGCTGCTACCTGTCAAGCGCAAATACTTCTACTCACTTTCGAAAAATGAAATTGTCGAGCATAATTCCGCAGATCACTTAACACCTTGCCGTGCAAATACTTGACGAAATAGAAACGCGCCCGTAAAATTTGGGTCGGTAATTGAGCCTCAGTTACTGTGGGAGAAAGTAAATGTAAGGTGAACATACGAGCTCGCGTTGAACATTGATTTTCATCTTCAGAAGACAAAGTGATTGGAATTTCTCTTCCGGAGAAACTTTTCAATAGGGCTTGGTTCAACTTATTAAGTTTCAGCGTGATTGATCAAGTTAAAAGTCCACGAAATTGAGCACATCATCTGTCATCTTAGCTTCTTCCAAATTCATGATACCAGAGACGAAGGCCTTTCCTTTTTTTTGCAAAAGCTATGTTTTCTTAATAGAAAGTTCGGCTGAGTTGGTCGGTAGAGCTTTCTAAGAATGAGCTGGAACAAGCAGTAAAGTGTCACTTGAAAACGCATAAATATGCACCGTCTGAGAATACAGCATTGCTAGGGGCCCCGCACGTCGCCCCAAATGTCACCATTCGCGAGTAAGGGAGGAGACTAATGTAATAGACATCGAAGGCGAGCAAAAGCAGAATATTCAGGGATTCTCATCGCTTTCAAGGTCTAAGAAATATTGCTTTATTGTAGTACTTTCGTCAAGGCCACTGATCGTTTCGAAAGTACAGTAAACCGTGTTTTAGAGTGCGGCTATATATTTTGGCCCTTGCGTCGCATGTTTCGCCGCCCGCTAATGATACGAATGAAGGACGTGTAAACTTCTCACCATAATTACACGATAATGTGGTCGGTCACCACAACTCTAAATAAAAAAACGAGGGTGAAAAAAAACAAATCTTGGAAAATCACGGCAACACTCTTTAGACGCCGTTTCTAAATAGGTGTTTAGACAAAAATTATTACGGATCTACATGTCCATTTTCAGGATTTTGTTTTGCTATGTTTTTCAAGACGGAGTTGAGTTTTTTAGCTTGTCGAAGAAATTGCAAAAACACAACAAACCCTCGGCGGCTCGGTTTTCAGAAGCGCCGTTATCGCCGCTGCATACTTTATTCCAACCCAGAGCTATTCAACTTTAGACGTGGCCTGTTTATTCCCACGGCCGCAGAAGATATTTCCTTTTTCTAACAACTATGCAAATATATTCAGAAATCACCTGTTTATCACTTAGCTTTTAGAACGCTGCGGGCAGCAGTCAACCCGAATAAACACCTAAAAATATTCTTAAAAAAGTGGGTCCCCATTTAACGGATAAATACCCCTTGAAAGTCCGCATTTTAAAGGATTAAGTATTTCGATCCGTTAAAATGGGGACTCCCCAGAAGTATTTACCCGTTAAAATGAAGACCCCCTTTTTATACGAGCTGCTAAAAATAATTTCACAAAGATTACGACTTATACTTCCGTAATGAGCTAACAGGTGTTTTTATACCAAAAAGAATCGGTAAACAAGTCAGTATACATTTTTGTAAAAGTCAACATTTCACCATTCGCGCAGGTGGTGGATGTTAGCGTTGGGGATTATCCGAAGGCGCAACTTTCGGAGTGCACAGCTGTTTGCTAAAATTGAAAAAGTAAAGTATCTTTTACCCCCTCTCTGTCCAAATTTATATCTTGGGAAAGTAACATCTTGAAAAACGGCGTAAAAAACGCAAAAATAAAATTTCGAATTTTTCAAGAAAAAAAAAATACAAATAACAAAAAATGAACATCGACAAGTGGGACGAATATGGACTAGAGTGCGATCAACATTTGTATCCCGAGCTAGGTAGGGTTAAAAACACGCGAAAGCGACATTTGTCCGGCAACAGGTTAGATTTTCTCAAAGGATGGCGACTTCCCATAACTGAAGATCATTTTTGATAATTCGTTTCGGTCGCTTCGGATGTGAAAATCATCATCTGAAAATTTTATTTTCTGAAGAAATCGATTAGCCGCTTCTAATAAAGGAAAACTTAACGCGGGAGCACACAAAATTTTTTTCCCGGTGAGCGCACGGCGCCCCTTTTTCGGGGCAAACCCCATTTAAACATTTTAGCGCAAAACCAGTAAATTCTTAGGTCAAAAAAAGTCTTCCACAAGACATAAAAGACACACTGTTGACAAAATTTAGCCCCAGTAAAGTGGGGTAACGAAAATTTTCGATGATGAAAACTTGAAAAAAATCTAGGATAAACGGGCTCTGCCCCGAAAAAGGGGCGCCGTGCGCTCGCGCGTTAAGCCGCGGAAAGCGCGGCTGTTCTTTGGTGTTTGCTCGAAGCCGCAAGTGGCCTCTCGATTTTCGAATAAAAAATGTTTGGTGATTATCTAACGGGAAATTTCTAAAAGGAAGAGCCCCTTAGGATGGCTTGATTGTTGCGTTAAATTGCGCGAAAGAGTTAAGGGTCGAACGGGCGCAGAGCGGCGGTCCCAAATCCGATCCAGCCAAAATCCGGACATTGGAAAATCCAGCGCAGCTCTTTATCAGCCGCGCTTATCAGTACACCCGCTGATTCACTGCTTTTCTTATCCGTTGTGTACCCAAACACTCAATCCGAAAGCCAGGGGCATCTCTCTCCAGTTTTTGGACGGCCAACACGTCACTGGGAAGAAAATTAAACTTCAAATCTTACACTATTGATATTTACGTATATGCGTTTATTCTTTAGTTGCTATAGCAAATAATACGTATGTGAGTACGTTCGATTAAATCTCTAATGCAAAATATTCGCGTGAGAAGGAAAAATGTTTTGCTCAAAAACAGGAATCAAAAAGGACTAATTTCTAACGACGTAAGATTGAAATTAACCGCAAGCTCTTTTTTGAAAATGAGCAGATGATGTTCAAATCAGGTTCAGGCGCATCTGCCCGGAATGGCTGCTGAGGTCGAAACAAATATTTAAAATCACATAGCTTTTTATAATTCGAATGCCTTTTCTTTTTAATTATTTTCTGAAGAAGTTTCATTCGATCACTTTAGTTATTTTTAAAAATGGAATTCGAGCTCTCCGAAATTTTGGAGATGAGAAATGAACTCTGATTAAATCTCATTTATTCTGAAAAATATGATGATGTTTGAAAACCTTTTGAAAAGGACAAAATTCAGCGTTAGCGAGAATAACAAAAGTCACCGAATAAATTGCCAAAAGACGAGATAAATCGCCAAAGAATAGTCACTTTTTCGAATTCGGCGAAAAGGAGGATTAGTTGAACTGTGTTTCGAGGAGCTAGATAATAATGATCTACGTACGCGGCATAATTGTTATTCAGGAGCCGCTTTCGATGTGGAACTTGCAGATTTGCTGCCCGTCCAAGCGCCATGCGGTGGCCCAGCCCAGCACCACCACCAGGCAGCGGGATTTAAACTTAGCTACTAGATCATCCTCTCCACTAGCACTTATGACCTAATTTAATTCCACCCTCTACGTCTTCCAACATGCTCATTTTCTAGCTTCACTCAGCGTTTTCAGCTTAACCCCTTTTTCCGAAAATTCCCGTCGAATTCAATTCAAACCACTGGTTGAGCCCAATAATCAATAAGCGAAAAATGTTGTCATTTTTTAGTTAATAGACATAGTTCAATTCAGTCGCCTCCAAACTTTCGAAAAAATATCTTTTTGTAAAGACGAAAGTTAAAGCCTAAAGGGCTCTCTTTTATTCTAGTTTTCTTTACAGTAATTGACAGAAAAAAACAGTAAATAAGAAGAAGGAGTTATGTCATCAGTTTTGGACTTAAATCGTGTCTGGAAGGTGAGCTGTTTAATCTCTAAGCCATCTGGATTGGGGCAGATTGGTAGGCTCGCCAGTAGAACGTTGTAATTGGAGCATAACTAGTTGTAGCCGTAGTCGTATTTTGAGTGTTAGAGCCAGGGCGGTCTAATTTGCATTCTTGTAAATAGTCTTTTTTCCGAAGACTATTCATTTATTCTTATAAGATTAATCTCGACGCGAGATTAGTCTGTTTGAATAAAAAAGATTAATTCGGGAAATTTTCGAAATAGTTCCGAGATTATTTCAAATAATCTTGAAACGCGCGCTGTGATTGGTGGACCAATGGCCGACGGCGCGAGAGAAAAATGAAAAAACATGCTTGGAGCGCAGCTTGAAATTTTGTCCGCGCCGCCTCGCACTGCTCACAGCTCGCCAGCGCCACCCAAATTTTTCCCCCGAGCCACGCGACCCTCGCTAAAAAGATTAATCTCGAAACTAGTCCAGTCTTGACTAATCTCAGAATCTTTTTCCAAAGAAGATTAATCTCGCAAATTTTCGAGATTATTTACAAGAATGCAAATTAGACCGCCCTGGTTAGAGCTTCGGCGTACGTGGAATGAAAACGCATTTAACGAAACAATCCAGACCACAACGATGTTACGCTCTGTTCACTCTCCCTTCTTACACAAACTTTACAAAAGCGAGTATTTACTTTTCTAAATGCTTAGATAAGCCGCACAATTACAGCTCTCATCCAGCCTTAAAACAACCTATCGAAGCATAAGAATTCAAAGACAAAGATCCCTTTCCGCGATTTTAGTAGCTTCCTCATTCATTTGAAGGTACTAACTCATTTTGATGCATTTTTGTAAAGCCTCGTTTTCGGAAAATCGGCTTTAAAATAGAACACGACCGTGTCATTTGTAAATGGAGAATTAAACCACAACCAGTATTGAAACAACCGGATGCTAAAGCTAATTTGTTAATAACTGGTCTGGCCTTCAAAAATGTAGGGACACGTAAACCGATCCCCATTGACAGTACGCCCAGTCAAAACTGCGGCAGACCTCGTTCAATCCTTCGCATCAGCTGCACCATCAACCGACGCACAACAGTCAGCGCATGTTCCAACAGGTACAATTTCCAAACTACGAAGATTTTTGACTTGGTTTATTTTCGAAATTTAGGATGCGTCGCCGCCGCCCCGCGAAGTCGACTCCTTGCGAGTTAATCAATTGTCGGATGAGCAGTACGATACGTTGGGGCGAAGTGATCCACTCCTCTTCGACAGGTGAGCGGCGCCTTAATTAAGGGCCGCAAACACGCTTTCTGCGTTATTATTAGCTTATTGTTTTGACAAAGACGCAGTCCAGTTTCGAGTGAGCTTCAAACTTTGAGTTGAGCTTTTCGTTGAGCTCAAGCCCTACTTTTTGTGTAAAAGAATAAAAAAAGCTTTTTATTTTGCCTCCACGATGTCGTTATTAAAGATCATAAAAGTACCTGTTGGCGAGTAAAACGTAACGTTTTTTTTGAAGCTGTATTTTGGGCTGAGATCGTGTCGATCTCGTTTGTTCATGTTTCCGTCTTCAAGCGGTGTAAACACGCGCGCTTCAATAAAAAAGACAAAAATTAACCTGTTTTGGCCAAAACGGCCCAGACGTGGCCACAAAGGAAAAAACGGCGTCAAGCACACACGATTCTAACAGAGCATCTAACTTATTTGATATATAGCACCACTTTTTTTATCAAAAAGAAACTTGTCTTTTACCAAATTCTTTTTTTTTCATCAAAGTCGTTTCCCCTAATATTTAATCATACCATGGGCCCAACAATAATTGCTCCTATTTCTTTTAAAATTCGAAAAAAGACTAGTCTTCGTTACGTAAGAGTAGAACTTGCTACGCCGGGAATCCAAAATAAACGTGTTTTTCATGGTACTCTCGGCTTTAGTTCCTCATCAGTGTTTTATGGGGATAACACGTGTACCAGTTGATAGAGTTAAAAGGGCGCGCGTCATACTTTTATAAATTTCATAAAATTGTAAAATAAATTCAGCTCGCTTCTCCAACAACATCAACAGGCCCAGTCTCAATTTCATCTTCACTCCAACACCGGCATCTACGAGCACGAAGCTAACCCCAACAATTGGGGCACATTCACGAGCCAGGTAATCACTCAACACTTCGCAAAAAAGTGTCAACTGTTGAACTTTAAGTTATTATTTTATTTGCAGACTTTATTAGCGGAACTGTACGATATAGATTAATAGATGTATCTGATGTGTATCTGATGCGTGTCTTTTAAGCTGGAAGGTGTCGAAGTTCCACTTGGTGAACGGCTGGCGGAGCTGTCTAAGCCGGATGCCTGCGACATATCGGTAAATGCTTAAATTCGTCCTTACTAATATGATAGTGAAGGGTTTAGCCGCTTTTATCACTGCTGCGCTCCCAAAGAATTCACAGATAGGCAACCCCACGCTCAACTAAGTCTAAAACAAAAGAACACGTTCTTTATAATAAAAAATATCAAATAAGATATAAATCTAGCTTAGAAAATCGTATTTGGCGGGGCAGTCTTAAAAAGCATCAGTCTGAAGTTCCATAATTGGGAATGAAAATAAAGGCTAACTTAGCGGTAAAGTGAGACAATGATTATGGCAATCTTTGAAAGGGTATTATCGTCAATAATCTGCAGCCGATTTAGCTCTGTTTGTTTTGAACTATTTTGTTCACAAAAACACTTTGTCTGATTACATTGATCAGGCGTTAACGAAGTCGTTGTTGTCAATTATAAAGTAATTGCTGTTCATTTGATTTATTAAAGTGTCACGTTGAAAATACGCATTATTACTGAGCCTGCTAAATTTCCGCCGCCAAAAACAGGAAAACACGATTTCGCCTGTTTCAAGAATAAACAGCATTTTTAGAAAATCAAAGAAAAAGCGCTGTTTGGAAATAACAGAAATTGGCCACAACTTGACTTGCTTAGTTGAAAAAAGCTAGAAATGAGAAAGTAGCGTATTCGGGAATTAGGTTAGCGCGCGCCTTCTTCTTTTAATTATGCGTCGGTCCAATTTAAATGTAGACAAAGGATGTGTTATACGCCCTGCATTTTTTGGGGAATCGTGAATTCTAGCACTTAGTCGCAATTCTCGCTTCTGCGCCTTCGAGGAAACGCAGCAGCGATAAACTGCTCACGTGGTCACGTTACTCCTAGTGAATTTATTTTTCTCCTCAGCCTATTACTCAAGCAAACGAACCCAGCCACGTGCGGAAATGAAAACCACCCCGCACTTATCCCATAATAAATACTCAACAGCTCAAACCAACTTCAACAGTCTTCTTTAATAAGTTTAAATAAAAGAAAGAGCAAGAACCTTGTCGAATCCACTGACTTTTCCCTAAAACAGTCAAGTCCTTTTTTATCAAACCAAAAAGAAGCTGCACACTTATCTGGTTCCTCTAAAAACCCAAATCTAAAATTTCTAAAAAATAAACAAAACGAATAAGACCAAAGACTTTTCAAAGCGGCTTCGTTTTTAAAAAGCCCATACACGGCTTTTCATTGAAGCTCTTTGAGATCCTGACTCAGGTTTTCGAAACAGGTTACCGAGCTCATGCTTTTATCGTCTTATTTTCTGGTGATCTAGATATTTGTCTGAAAATAGTTAAATTCTTTAAAAGATGCGTTTTTCAAATTCAACATGCTACAAACTTGTGGGAAAAAGTAATTGTTTTCTGCATTTATATTTTGAAAAAGTGCAGCTTTTTTTAAAACCAGCTTTTTTTATGTCTTCATTTCAATTTTAAAGGTGCTCGGCGGTTGTTTGTAAACAGCGCGCGTGTAGTACTACAGTTAGCGTGAAAATATCTAAATGAAGAAAATATTTTCGCCTTGTGGTCGTTTCAATAGAAAGGTTGAGATGAAATAATTTCGGCTTCTATCAATCACGGGGGCGTCCTGCGAACTCGCCCTGCGTCTAGGAATGTTCGTTATTTTAATTTTCAAGATTCACTCAACTTCGCCGCCTGCTGCATTTATTTTTTCATATTTTAAAAATGGTTTCAAGGCGAAAGTTCAACAAGGCATTGAATTACGAGAGGGCGTGTAAACAATTTAGGAGCTTCTGGAAAATGATAAGATAAAATTTCAGTTCACGTTTCAGGTGCAGTTGGAGTACGACTATCCGCCGGATTACGCGCCCCTCGACGATCATCCGCATCAAAGGTAACTCCACAAAACGCAAATCCGTCCTGACGTGATTGCTTCTTTTCAAATTCCCTTTTCCTGGTATCTCAAATTTCAAACTATCAAAAATTTCAACTTGCATTCAAAATCACTTCTCCGGCAGCCTGTGTTCAAAACCTGAGCAGATGTTTGAAAGATCTTTGATGAAAAGCTTCGAAGCGTTATCAATTCTTACGAAGTCACTTTGCGGCTTCATTTCTTAAAAAGCCGCTACGCGGCTTTTCATTCTCGCTCCTTCAGAACCTGACTCAGATTTTCTGTACAGGTTGCCGAGTCCAGAACACAGGTCTACTAATGTAGTTGTAATAAAGTTTACTTCAAAGAATTCGGAATTTAGGAGAAAGAGAAAAAAGCTAGATTCTTATGCGATGATTCTTGTGCCGTCATTTTGGTCAATTTTGATTTTGGCTTTGATCCTTTCGGAAATCTGTTGAGTCCGAAGTGAGCCAAAATTTGGCTTCTTTCTAAAGCGCCGCGCGACAAGGGTCATTACGCGAATTGACCTCGTCGAGAATGGTTAGCGAAGCAGCTGAACTTCTGTTTTGCGGCTTTCAATTTCGAATAGCGGGATATTTAAGTTTTTCTTAATAACTTGGAAAAGAACTTATAAATGGCGATTTTCAACCTTTCCAGTTTTTTTCCGCCGAGAAAATAGAAAATAAAAACCTCCGAAAATTGTTGACCTAGAATTTTTGTTTGGAGCTAAGGGCAGGCAATTCGTGCAAAAAGATACGTAGATAAATTGGGATAAGAGTCGAAGTGAGTCACAACTAATGTTGTCTGTTTGTTGGCTTGCTGGTGCCAAGTAGCTAGGTTTGGCAATGTTCGCCGCGTGGAGCCGTCTTCTAAAGCGAAGATGGGAAATATTCAATTAGAATAAACTCTTTTACGATAACGCCCGCCACATGGCGAGGACACGATAATAGGAAATTAATTAATTTTTGCCAGGCTTGGCGCAAAAACGTGTTTCAGATTGCATAAATTATTATCCCAATTTTATCATTTATGGAAAATATTGAAAACAGACACACACGTTCTACCATTTTTTTAAATACCTAAAACAAGGGCTCGACAACCTGTGTAGAAAAGGGTCTGAAAGAGCTGAACGAGAATCGGTTTTTCCGCGACCAAAAACGTTCATAAATTGTTCAGTTGCGTTCCCATCCAAGAAGACCCAGAAGCGGAGCACGAACTGATCCCCATCCCCACTGCTGACCCAAATGATCCAGACTGGGAAGAGACTGCGCGCGACCAGCTCGGGTAAGACTGACTTTTTTCTCGATGATACGGGGCGGGTGCTTGGGCGGGAAAAAAACCGCGAAAACCACGGCTATCTTCGACCTCACAAAACGGATAGCGATATAAAAGAAAGAATACGGCGAACTTATCGAGTAGATAGCAACTCTTCTGGACTGTTTAGAACGTGGCGGTATTAGTACCTAGCTTCATATCGCCAATTATCGCGATGTGGGTGAACACTATTTTACCATCGGCCATGGCGCTCTAAAATATTCCTGACTGGAGCCGGCAACCTGAGTCCAAAACCTGAGTCAGAGCCTTAGACGACTAAAAAGGTTATGTTTTGAGTCGAAACCTTTTATTATCTTAAGCGGGTAAATCTGTTATATTTTTCGTCTAATTGACATGACAGCTCTAAACGCGCGCAAGAATTAATTACTGACAGACTCGAAGCAGCTGATTGTGCTTTGTTGTTCTTAGTTGCGAGCCAAAATGAAACATTTTTGGAAGAAGCTCGATCAGAAGAAAGAAAATGGCTCTCTAAGTTCAAGTTAAATAAAAATTTTTCAATAAAAGATGCCAGTTAGAAAACGACACCTTCCAAGATAGCTGATGTAAAACTGAAAATCAAGGTTTTTAACTAAAAAAGCAGGTTTTGAAAAATACACGGGCCTCTTCCTCTCTTCGCGTACGTTAGGTGGTCTGACCGCGCCCCGGATTTCGGATACAGAGCCACCCAGTGAGGGGCTATCCTTAGCGACCTTTGGATAATAAAATACTACTTCTAAAAACAGCTTCTTTTTTCGGTTAATTGGGCTAAAATTTCCTAGTGCACAAGTTCGATAAATTTTTTTTTATTAATAAAGATGTGGATATAACAATTTGATTGGCAATTGAAATAAATAATTTTATAAATGAAAAGGAAAACTTTCATATTTAGTTTGCATGCAAGTTCGACTGCGATGGAATGGGACTGGTCCAGCAACTCGAACATGTCCGACGAAAGTGACGACAACATGGAGGAAGATTTCGGCTCGAGCAACAAGAAAGGAAACCGCCGTCCGCGGCTAGCAAACCGAAGCCGCCAGCGAATAGCCGCAAACAAGCGCGAACGAAGCAGAATGAAGGTCATCAACAAAGGTAGCGTAAAAAATGTAATGTCTGGAGTATTTTTGCAATTTGGTCGTTTTTACGTGGTAGATTACAGATTTGCTTTGATGCGGCTTTTCAGGGTTCGAAAAACTTCGAAAAGTGGTGCCCTACGCGCGGAATGACCGGCGACATTCCAAAGTCGAAACTCTCCGCCTCGCCATCGACTACATCCGCAACCTCGACGCACTTTTAACCAGGGGACGACAAACACCACGCAACCTCCCCCTAAATATTATTTAACACCCTAAGGAGCAATCGGAGCATTCTAAACTTTAGAATCTAAAGTCTTTCTTATCTGAAGACTAGTATATTTCTCAGACTAACTCTAAGAGTCATCTCTTTAGTCGTTTCTCGTTGCATAATTGCAGATTTTTTAACCTGAACGTTGAGGCTCTTTTAAGCCTGTATACGTAACTCTACTATTCAAGGTCCCGCGGAAGGGATGATCCCATAATTTCGGCTCTCAATCTTTTATCGCGTAATTTCGGAAGCCGCTTTACTCAAGTAATCGAATTTTTAACACAAAAAGATACCCTCAACTTTTCGTTGAATGAAAACATTGAGCCAATGAGGCCGAAAAAGTGAAAATGAAAAAGAAATTGGTCACGTGTTTCATCCCCGATAAGACGACACCGGCGCATCTTCTTCCGATCTGGCGGAGCAACAGAGCGTCATCGTGTACTACACTCCAGTTGGTAAATCCCCAAAATATTATTTTTCTTTTATCATCGCTCGGCCGTGATTAGTTGAGTGACTATTGCGTCTTTTTCTTTAAAGATTAGTCTTTATAAACTTAACAAGGACCGAAAAAATACGTTTCTCTATTCAATAGTAAAAGGTTCATACTGTAACTAGTGATTGAATAACTAGCCACAAGGCTCCAAATTAGAACCGTGGGTGATCTTCTAACACCGTGTTCCTCGATCACTTCCAACAACAAGAGTACAAAGTTTACTGTAAGACTAGCCATTTTTTCGCCGGCAAAGCCACAAATTCTCATTTTATAAAGACCTTTGACCACGGGTGTAGGAGTAATTTCGCGGTCGCGTTTGACGTCGCCCCTGCTATTTCCACAACAGCGTTTTCGATCATTTTCAAAAAAATAGAAAATGAAAGTTAATTCACTATTTCGTAAGTCTGGGAAAGAAGCGCCCATAGACGCAAACACTAATTAGCTCAAAAGAAAACATTCAACCAACGAAATTTCCCCGATAAAAATAAAAAAAGATTTGTCTTTTCAAGTTTTTTTATTAATTTTTTTTGATAAATATATTGTGAAAAAAATTCGTGGACGAAGTTTTGCGGCTTCGTAGAGTTTGGTCTAGCGAGATGGTTTGGAATTTCCGTTTAGGTACAAGTACTCACGTTGTTTTATTTTTTTGTTCAGGTGAGGACCCGTCGCAAGCTGTTGCTCACTCGCTATCTTGGGTCAAGGAGCCGCAAATGACCGGCAGGAAGGGTCATCGATTCGTAAATTCATACAGTAACTTGGCTAGGACGGTATTCAATTGACAAGTGATGGAGCAAACGGGAAAGGTCCATCTTGCCCCGCCCTTCCACTTTTGAGCGACAATGGGAAGAGCAACAACGCGCGCTAAAATAAACACGTGATAAGATTTTGTATATAAAGGAGTTGCTCCGCCGATAAATACGGTAAAGACACAATAGAATTTCAGCAGGGCAACTGTAAGGACGTTGTCTTTAAAGTATTGCCCACTGTAATTAGAGAATTTATCTCTGCCCAAAAAGTGAAAGCTAACAAAATAATCTAAAACCCAAAGAAAGCTGTTTTCCGAATATAGTTCCGAATGAGCGCAATGGGATAATCCAGGTAAAGAGCCAAAGGCACCATTTGCTTATGTTTTGCATTTTGACACGTTTCCGCCCATTCTTTGGATAAAACACCAAAAGTAGCGACAATTGACTTTTGCGCTTTGAGCGAGAAGCAAGAAAATAGCTAGCGTCAATAATTTTCAGATAGATCCGGTTTCGAGGGTTTAAAAAGAAGCTTCGCGTGCTTTATTTTTTGCGCAATTACTTTGCCGTCGCTCTAGAGCTTCTTTTCTACATCCAAAAATTGCGCGTGAACGTACAGGTTGTTCTGGTGAATTAGAATTGACGAAAACTGTTTCAGACGCAGAGGATCAGAGCGCGCGTATGGTATCCTGCTTTGTCGGAACGCGACTCGAACACAAAGGTGAGCGGCCGTCACGTGTCGTTTTTGGAATCGACAAGTCACAACGCGGTCAATTTCAATTCCAAAAGCGCTTCCGAGTAAATACAAATTAGTTTCGTTTCTAATCCAGTTTAAATCGCTCGCTCGAATTATGCCAGCCGTCCTGCAATTTCGGTGACAAAAGGATCCAAGATAAGCTACTGTCGAATGTCTGGCAGACAGGATCAGCGAGTTATTACTGGTAGATAATAAGCGGCGTACACAAACAGATAACTTCTCTGGCACACGTTTCTCAAGTAGCTCCCCTTAAATCGCGCAAAGGGGGGTCTTTAGCCCCCCAAAAATGCATAAACACGAATTCCCGCGGCGGGAAACCAAACTCGTGTTCACTTCTTTCTTTTTAATTTTCAGGGTTCTGTTCCCGTCGATCTTCTCCCACGTCCAGCAACAGCCTCGAATTCCGTGAGCCACCAGGAATGGATCGAAACTATTCTCAACAAGGCGCAATTTAAATATTTTAAATCAAGCCCCACTTCAGCAATCGCACCTTTTTTTACTAAGGGAGATACACAAAGCCTATTCAAACCTAATTCTTGGTTCGGCAAGCTCTGTAAAAAACTCGAGACAGGGTTCTGAAAGATCATTACTCAAAGGCAGAGAAGGTTCTTTATTTTGAACCAAAATTTTACATAGAATGAGAAGTTAATTATCATTAATAATGGTAAAATGCGAATTCGTGTTCATTTAAGATCTTTCAGAACCCAGACTCAGCCTTTTTACACAGGTTGCTGAGCCAAGACGTTAATTTTGTTCCTCTGAAGGTCGAGCTTTTTCTCCATCCAATGTTAAAGTAAAGACGAAATGTGGACTACGAAGTCGACTGTATATTTATTGACTCGCGACCCTGTATGTTATTTCTAGCGCCTGCCCAGTTCTGCCTGTACATATCCGGCTTATGCAATAAAAAACACGTTCCAGCGAATCTTCATTTTTTCAAATTTTCACTGCTTCAGTCTTTCTTTTCCAGCAAATACAGTCTGATGCGTCTGTAGAAAAGCAAAGAGAAATTTGAACCTTTCGATTGGTTTTATTGTGAAATTGAATAATTTTGTCTTGGCAGAGTCGCTTTTAAAGGGTCAGAACTGTGTCAAGCGTAAAATCAGCTGAGTAAAGTGGGTCAGTTGGTCAATGATTCGAATCAGCGGGTCGTCACTCCCTCGATTGGAATCAGGTCAGCGCGTAGATAGAAGAACAGGAAAGGTGTGCGGCAATAGGCGTAAAATTCATATATAAAATATTTACAAAATGTAAAGTTTTTCTACAGTCGTGTCACAGTCTTTATTTTCAGAATTATGTTTTTTCTGAAGTCACGTGGAAGATGAAATAAGCAGCTGAAAGAAAAGAAACAGCTTCAAGATTATTACTGGCAAAAAAAGAAGTAATTTAACAAGTAGCCGGGGAAAATTGGAGCGAGAAATTTTGTCAATTTAAGTTTTAGAAAAAATGTCCCTTTGAACTGGTAGAAGTGGCCGAATTCCGTCGTGACGTGCCACCGGCGGTTTTCGGAGATATTCCACGCTCAAACGGACTCTGAAACAGATTTACAACTAGAGCACCATCATCGTAAGTTCAACCAATTTACTGTACCTCCCTTTTTTGTATCGTTGTAATTTAGACTCAAAAACCTGTGTTGAAAGCCTGAGTCAGGGTTTGAAAGATCTTTCATGAAAAGCCGCGTCGCAAATTTAACTTTTCAATCAATTTTCAAATTCTAGGGAAGACCCTGACTCAGGTTTTCTACTCTGGTTGTCGAGCTAAGGCGGCAAATAGATCAATCGTTTGCGAAAGAAAGTTTTTCGACGAGACCACGTGACTTCAGAACAGATTTATTCACCGCTTGAGAGTTCTGTATTTCCTTGCGTATTTTCCCTTGCTTTCCACTTTATGTAACTACGCCTGTTGGAGGAAAGCAAGACATTCTAGCACTTCAAAACTCCAACTGCGAGCTTTCAGGGTCGAATAAAATCGTGCTGAGCGAAGCTGAAAATGAACTTCCAGTGTTTTTCCTGAAATTGCATGGCGATCGCTATCTTCTGTAATTTTTGCACGCGGCGGGCAGCCAGGATACGCCGCACAAATATTTTATGACCTCTCCCTGTTCAACCGAAGCCGACGAAAACGAAGAGCTTTCTTTTTGAATTTTGTTTCACCTGCAAAATGGACTATCTTATTTAATTTGAAGTTTTGACTTTAAAATCCTAGCTGCGTTTGTCGATTCTACAATTTTCTTCTTGATTTAGCAAGAAAAAAAAACAATTTTCATGAAGCCCAAAACACCACTAATTTTCACATTCAATAGCGTGCGAAAAATTGAGCCTGCTCATTTTACAACTTTCTTCTTTGAAAAAAACCCTTGTCGTGTTCTTTTCTTGCTGAGATGAGTTTTTGGATGGGGAAAGGTGGATCATCTAGCATTGGCGAAATTCGGTGAAATATTTTGGGTTGAGCTGATCTGTCTTGTAAATAGAGTTTATTCAGAACTATCGTCGCCCGATCACTGTAAATCCTCGCCGAGTGCCAGATAACATTCACAAAATAACATTAACTCATAACATCTTATCAAAAATAGTTTCCTTAATAATTTTATTCGAATAAAATTTTGTTAAAACATATAATAAAGAACTAATCGTTTATAATATAATTAGAATAACAGTCGTCACTTATTATTAAAAATGTGGTAATAAATATTCATGAAAAGAATTTTGAAGATGGTTTACAATACGGGCAACGCAGCCTCCCTAAATGTTTTTTGAGCAGAGAAAATAAGGGTGTCACAATCTTGAGTCTGCAAGAAAAGTCAACTTGAAAGCGACGGTATCGGAGGTAGTCTTACCTGAGGATTCGTTGATGATTTTATAAATGATAGAATCGAGATTTCACCTTCGAAAGTGATTTTGATAAGTCAGATTGCAGCGGGCATAGCTGGGGTTGTATTGCGCGTGGTTGTGTTGGTACTTGGGCTTTTGTTTTTACGACGGTCGGTCACGACGGTCAGCGGTCAGCGCGGCGTTGCGTGGCTCACTGGCGCCCTCGCTTCGAGTCACCACGGCTCAGGGGGCGCTCGCGAGGCCAGTCGCCGCCCGCTCCATATATAAGAAAAAATGGCGCATTTTTCGGTATTGGATCATGTCCCTGTAATTTTTTCGAGCGCTCTGGACCTGGCCGTTCGGCGCTTCGAGATATTGCGGAGCTGATACCTTTCACCAAAAAATGAAAAATGACCCTAGTTTTTTGAAATACAATCAGAGAATATGTCATGCGAAGAAACACACGAAAGAAACCAACTTCAACCTCCGAAAGGAGCGTTTTCAAGAGATTAACTTCACGTAAGAAAATCAGCTACCAAAGAAGCAAGAAAAAAAAGACAATTATCATTTTTTAAAACAAGAGATTAAACACTCGCCCAATGGAGAAAAAAAAGAGATTTTCAAAAGAAAACAGCTTTCACCCTTAGTCAATTAAATATTTTTATTTAATTGGGCTGCCAATTTCAGGAAGATCTTCCAACTCTAAAACCTTTTCCTAGGATGAAAGAAAACATCAATGAAGATCTCAGCAATAGATTTTGATATCTGCGATTCAGGTACTTTCTTAAACAAGATTTTGTGCGGTTTTATGAGTTTATAGAATGAATGTTTTAGTATGAGCCGTAAGAGGATAGCATGAATCCAGATTTAGTGAAATATTTGTTTAAGCGTTTCGAGATTGTAATAATGTACCTTTAATACGAATATTAAATCAATCAAGTGTAAAACTGTGCATAGAAATGCGAAGAAAAGTTGACATTCAAACTCACTTTTTTAATAAAATCTATTTTTTTATATAAAAATGCTAACTTCAATTTTAGATGAAAAATACCTTCCTCAACCCGAGAAAATGCTGTACCTCAAGGTAACCATTTGACTCTATAATAATCTTTCTAGGACAATCTAAACAATCCACCATTTCAACTCTTTTCAACAATGTTTTATTCTCAAAACAAAAAAGAACAACTCTGTACATAAAATTTGATAAATCATTCGCAAAAACACGAGCAGCAGCTGAAAACGACTTCGAAGGTGGAACAGCCCGAGAGAAGATTTTTCGCCGAAAGTATCAACCGAAGAAAACAAAAGAAACTAAATGAGCACTACTATCACGCGAAAAGAATGAAAATGTTAACCTTTTGTACTTGAGTCGGGCTGCGCGGGAAGACGCGCAGCTCGGCGCAGATTTAGACCGCGCGGGGGGCCCTTAAAAGGGTCTTCCTGCAACCACCCTTACCAGTGTTCGAGGTACAGGCAGCCTGCCAATACCTGTAGCCTAGTCCAGGACGTAAGCTCTTCTCCCATGAATCCGTCGTTTTCAAAAAAGCTCAAGAATGGGGCTAGCTCCGTTCTTCCCGATGATTTTTTTGGTTATGACCCGCGTGGGGTCGAATCCCAGCAAGTTACAAAATGTTTCGCTTTTGCTTCGCGCGAAAACAGTCAAAACGAATTTTGTAAAATATTGTAGTAAAGGCCCTCAAATACAGTAACAATACAGTAAACACTCGCACCCACTAGTTGTAAAATTCTCCGCAATAGCCAGGACCACCCAACACAACTAGAATGACTAATTAATTGGTGCAAATTAATTCTTTGTTCCCCCAAGAACCAATCTTAAAAATCGTAAACTTGTCAAATATAAAACTCTTTTTAAAATATACTTTTTCATGAGCTAAGAGGCGATTCATTGTGGACCGTATTTCTCAGAGAGTACGTCCCGGAAACCATCTTTGCACCCAATAAAAATTCTTAAAAATGTTCTCTTCCGTGTTACCTAACAGCAAGTTCGCAGCAGGCCGTATTTATATGCACGCAGGCTAGAATGGATTTAAACGGTCTAAAAGCTTGGCACCAAAACAAAGAAAGCAATTATGAAAAACAAGGCCAATCGAGTTTCGGTGACGTGTTATGAACAAATGTTTCTAATTGATCGGACAATTTATAGCTTGATAATTGCTCCATCCGTTAACTACTGCAAAGAAGACCATTTTCTAACTCAACAATTAACATTTATCAAGGAGGCCAATTATAGTTCTGTTTTTTTAATTAATTTGTCAAGTCCTTTTTTGTTTGGAATTCGTGTTCGATATTTTATATTCAGCAAAAAATTAATAATAATACTGAAAGTGAGATCTTTTTGAGCGTTTCTTCTAGTGGTGGCCCATTCTTCCGCAGAGCATGTAGTCCTGAGCAGCGGTGAGAGAAAGAGATCGACAATTACCGCCGCGTTAAATTAATCTGAGAATCAAATATACGCAATTTACCGTTCGTCTCCGATATTACCGGGAACGTTTGACAGAGTGCGTAATCTACCTTCAACTACCTTGAAGCAGCTCGCTACAATTAGACACTTTTTAAGAAAATAAATTAAGCTTCTTATGCAAGGCGTCGAGAAGATCTCTCGTACCGCTGGTCCTTGAGCTTTTCCTGCATTCCGGCGAACCTGAGGAATCTTCGGTACTCCTTCGCGGGTTACTCTGACGCGAAATTTATCTAGCTGGAATTTTTCCAATCAAAATAAAACACCTAAGAACTGCGGCAAAATCACAAACTGTCGTCGTCCAAATTTCGCTCAGTTTTAACCCTGCCTCGTCGCGCACAGCACTGTACATTCGCACTCGCACATCAGTCTTTCAAGGCTCAACTTTTTGCTTTTAGCTCTTTTGCCGTTTCCTTGTTAAATTATTTCAAAAATTTTCTGAAAGAAACGGCAAAAAATGCTAAAAAGAATAATAGTGATATTCAAAGTGAGCTTCTTTCCTTGTCCCTATTTGGGAAATGCTGCTCGATTTCGTTGAAGATCTTGTTTCTTGAGATGAAGTCTTTTGCCTACAAGAAATCTTTTAAACACCGAATACGGACAGAAACGAACGGAAACGTTTCGAGGAGCCTTAATTCGCAAATGCTCATGTCAAAATAGGAAGGGACATGTGTCGGCCAATCTTACCGATAACGTATATCCGGATGCTGTTAATCAGAACACCTTAAGGTCGTAACCACCAGATCTACTTTCAATAAGAGAACCCCATGCATATTTATCAGATGAACTCTAGGCTCAGCAACATGTGTGGAAAACCTGAGTCAGGCTTTGAAAGAGCTTTTCTTTAATGCTGTCTCAAAGCCTTACTCAGGTTTTCCACCAAGGTTACCGAATGTAGGATGAACAACTACGAGAATAACAGTAATTTTTGAACTCAAATTTGGCGATTTGATTGCTGGTTGTTTTGGTAAATTATCAGAATGTTAACTTTATCCTTTTAAAAACTTGATTTAATAGACACAAGCTGTATTTTTCTCATTTTTCCATTAATTTGAGTTAATTTTTAATCGGATAAGCATTTCAAAAACCTTCTTTAAAACTTCTTAAAATAAAGCGGCGTTAGCAATGTGGAGCAGTGTTTATGTATACACAGCGAGAATAATCATTTCTAATTGGCATTATGTGTACAAAACCCCAAACGCTAATGAAATAATCATGCCCAAATATAATTGTCTACTTGCTTGGTCATTAAATTCAAAAAGAGTAAAGTACCTCAATGATCCAGCGTTCGTCTTTGTTGTTCGAATTGGCGATCACATTAGCGTTTTCGAATTCGATAGCTTGCACCTTCTCCGAAATGTTTTGACCCGGATACATAATTTTGAGGATGGAGAGGATTCCAGCGTGACTTTTCTGAGCTTCTTTTAAGATTCTACTCCTTAGTTTCAAACCGTTTCTACATTCTTCAGGTCTGGGCTCGGCAACCTATGTAGAAAACATGAGTGAGGGTCCGAAAGATCTCCCCTAAAAAAATGGCGTCGCAGAATTACGATTCCAATATATTTCTAAGTTTCGGCGAAGCCACTTTACGGCTTATCATTGTAGATCTTTCAGACACTGACTCAGGTTTTGTACGCATGTTGCCAAGCCCAGATTCAGGTGAAAGTTTCACCGTGAAAGCCTAAATATGATCTACTGCTGAATGTCTTCCGGGATAACTGCTTATGAAATAAGATTTAGATCACATTTTTAGGAGAATTTCGAGAGGATATATATTTGAGGGTAAATTGCGTAAAATGGCGTTGCGTTGCGTTTTCCACGTTTAATGTGATTAAGTGTGTTTACTGGTGCAGCTTTAGGGCTAACTGTACTTTCAAGTACTAAAAGCCGTTCCTAAAGAAAGTCTGATTTTGGTTTGCATCTGTGGACTCTACGTCGATGACAATAGCGCGGGGACGATCCTTAAAGAAGAAGAAGTAATTTTCGTTCCTTCGAAAACGGCGGCTAGTTTAACTCGCTGACAGATTGATGGAGAAAAGGAAATTACCTGCGGTGGAGTTGAAAAATGCCGCGCTGGGAAGTAAGTGTCGATTTCATCGCGATTCACTTGAGCTTCCGTCCGCTGAATGCAACGTGACCATCATTTATCATTTTTTTAAAGAGCAGATTTAAAAATTACGAAATGAATGATTATCATTTGATCATCATCATAAATTTTCAGTATAAAAGTCAAGAGAAGCCATTGAATACCTATTTTCCTAATGAATGTCACAAATAATTATGAGTTTAGCGTTCGAGTTAGGGTTTTTACCGCCTTCCAACGTTTAGCGAAAGTAAGAGACCTGACGGCCTTATCCATTCCTTTCCCAAATTTTTCCACAAAAGTTACGTCTCGATAGAAATTCTCATTCTCAGCGAGAGAAAAATATTCGGATCTCACAAGAGTATTAAATTTTAACAATTGTGCGGCACTCTCCAATTGCGGCAGGAATTTTATTTTACATGCGTAATTTTAAATACCTTTTTTATGATGTTCGTCTTTCGCGCGCTCAGGCTCATATTTTCTGACTTTTTGAGAAAAAATTGAAAATCGGAAAGCCTTTAAAAATAAATTTCTTTCTAGAGAATTTCGAAAAAGACCTTTTATATTTGAAAAGAATCATCGTTGATTGCGATATAAATTGAGTTTGTTTATTAGTTTTCAGTTCGTTTTTCTAGAGGCAGAAATACTTATCCGTAAAGTTGAAGTATGCTCATTAATCTGGGCATTTAGCTCGTTCAGCTGACTGCTGCAGTTTTGTACAATAAATAAAGGTAGGGTCAGTTTTTGGAAAAGTAAAGGGGCTCTGCTCAAGGGCCGCCGAGGTAAAAGTTTTGGAGGTATTCAAGTGTGGCGCGGTAAATAAACTGGTATTGCTCCGCCGTCTGTATCATTCCCGGTCGCCGGCAACGCATCAGCTTCACTGTTTGGAAGATGTCAACCTGAATAGTCGATGATTGCTAGACACTCTCATTCTCAACTAACCTCTCCTTCACATCGAAGACGCTCTAGAATCACAGTGAGGCCGATAAAAACGCCTGTTCTCCCGACTCCCGCCGAGCAATGGACACAAATGGGCCCAACAACTCCAAATTGCTCTCGCGTCTTGTGAACCTAAAATTTTTTTTAATTATCTGCTTATACTTGCCATTCTACTTGTCCGATGAGATCAATAAAGTTATCAGCATGAGAGGGCACTTCCGCGCCTTCTGGCCAACTGACAAAGTGAAACTGGCGAATTGTTCGGGAGGTTCCGTCGCGCGCATCTGTCATCAGAAATTCCCTAGAACGAATTTTAAAAAAGAAAGTTTGGGTTGTGGAATTACCGCATGACAAATCCTTCGCAACAGAATTCGCTGGTAAATTCGACGATGTAATATGTATACCGGGCTTTTTTGCCTTCCGGCCAGTACCTTAAAAAGTTTAAGTTTTCCTAACTTTAAAAAGATTCATTACTTTGTGCACTTTTCGCGGCCAAGTTCGTTGAGTTGTGTAAGCATTACTATCATGGTTACGTTGTTCTCCCAGATCATCCGCCAAAAATCATCGCTTGTGTTTGACATTGGGGCTTGGGTGGCGATGTACGCGCCTTGAAATGTTGATCACTGTACCTCATTTATTTTTTTTTACCTTTTTCCTTATAGCCATCAATGAAAGAAGCGTTGATATAGTCGCTGCCTTCAATGCCACGGATAGGACGAAGGTAGACTCTCGAGCTATCGTAAGGGAGAACATTCACCAGTCTGTTCTTTTTCTTGTTGCAAGCCAAGCTCGCCGCTATAAATCAACAATGAGCTCCGAATATTGTATTCAGGTTGATACCTTGTGCGTGAACGCGCCCTTTCGGCATGAGCTGAAGTCGTTTGAACTCTTGATCGAATCCAGTCGCGCCAGCAGCATCGACATTGCTCAGTCGCTCAATTGTTTTTGGAATTTCGCGCGCTTGGATTTGAGTCCCGAATTCCAAGTTGCAAGAACTAAGGGCTTCAACTAGAGATAGTGTTTAATTTTTTCTTGGATAAAGTGGAGAGAATCTTACCAACGGATTCGACGACAAAAACGTATTGTTCTTCACTTTGTATTAAACCAGGTCTCGCGACGCGCATGCTCTTCAGCAATTCAACAGGCTCAATGCTCATACTCTTATTCGCCCTCTTTAGCATCGCCAAGGCGAGAAGTAGACATCCCGTTCTTCCTAGCCCAGCTGAACAGTGCGCAATGATTGGCCCTTTTCGCACATCTTCGCCTGGAATCCTTTCAAGCAGAGCCAAAAATTGCGCTGGAAATTCGGGCACTCCGCAATCTGGCCAGCCGTGGAAGCGAATCTGGTTTACTTCGCGCGTTTGACTTCCATTTGCTAAATTGAGCCGCGAGATCGACCAGAACGCGAGATGAGACTCTTCAAGCAACGAAATAGTTATTGAGCCGTAATGCGCATCGCCCATGTCTTTCTCTGGCCAGTACTGAACGCATTTGCTCCTGCCGCGCTCTTCCAGCTCGCAAAGCATCACAATACAGGAAACGTTGTTCTCCCATGTCATTTGCCAAAAATCTGCTATTGTGTTCTCTAGTGGGCCTTTGTGACGGATAAAAATATCAAAAAAATAGTCATCGTTATGTACCGTATTTTGTTTTAGCAAAATTAGAACATAGTTTGATTTTAACCGGACCTTGAGTTGCAATCGCTTTTTCACTTGGGTCAATTTCTATCCAGTTGGCATGGATGAACTCGCCGCTCTTGAGTTGGACGCGGGAGTGATCGGGGCAATTTGAATTGCCGTATCGGCACTTGTCCAGAGCTTTTTGCTGCGCATGTGCTGGCATTTCTTCTGACGCCTGGATTAGATGCCACTCGTCGTGCAGCTTCAGTCCGCCGTTCGCCTTCAATGCGTCGAGTTTTGAGCTCAACTCGGTCGCTTGCTTGCTCAGGGAGTGATTAGAGGGAGCCTTGACAGGACTGACGTGTTCTGATGCACGGTACTCATCTGATCGTTTGATACCACTAAGATACGGCTTATCCCCACTCATCCGTCTTTTAATAACGAAGAAGACGATTGCCGAAATGAAAACGAAAGCGAGTGTCATTGCAGCGATGATTATTGTGCCAAGCTCAGTGGTGGTGCTGATCAAGCTGCCAGCTTCCGCGATGACATGAATGGGCTGAGAAAGGCGCGTCGAGGAGTGTTTCCAGTTGTTCACTGCGTTTCGAAAGTGAAGTCTAACGAATGCGTAAAAGACACCTGGAGGTAGATTTTTGTTTTCAATTCCTTGCGTTTGGCCGCCGCCGCCGATGACAAAAGGTTTCCCAGCGAAATGGTTCATGAACTCTTCATATCTCCACTGCGCGACTATCCAAGCGAACGGTTCATTTTCTTCTTCGCCCGTCGATGAAAATATTTCTTGCGTCAAATCATCTGGCCGCGTGTCGCCGCGTTTAGTAACGATTATGGAAACGCGAGTAGGACTGACGCCACTTCCAAAAGACGCAAAGGGGAGGGTAATGTTGACCACGCCGCCAGGATTGATGCTGTCAACGCGGATCACGTCGCCTAGCGTTGGGGTCGTTGTGAATTCGACTACTTGTGAGGTTTGGTCACTGCCAGTCATGGTTATTGAGACGATCCAGAATCTAACATGTACTCCAGCTGCTAATTTTTGAATTTTGAAGGAAAGCGCGTCCTGCTCAAGCGTATCTTGTTCAGGCTGTTCATCATTTATCGAGTAATAGACGAGGAACTTTTGCACATGCTTGTGGTACTGGGGCCTGTCCCAAATCACCTGTGCCCAGTTAGTTCCCACTTCTACTACGCGCAGGTTCTGAGCAATGACTCGTGTCAAACCACAGAATCCAACAATTGGCTGAGAATAAGGCCCCGAGCCCTCCTTGTTGATTGCAGAGACTGAAAACTCAAACCGTTCTCCACAATATTCTGACGCATCCGCTCGATTGTCCAGAGTCAAGTTGAATCGAGGTGAATGAACTGATCGCTAGAAATCAAAATTAGTCTTTTGAACGAAAAATCGCTCATCGATTGCGGAAATAAGCTCTTTTAGCTTGAGGATTTGGACGTTTGCATAAGACTTGAATTGAATAAAATGTTAACTCTCTGACTTAGTTATGCTAGCATTGATTTTCTCTTCAAAGCGCGAGACTTTCATCACAGCTGTGCGTTTCTTAATGCAATTATTATCGAACTTGAGCGTGACAAGGGTCAAGTGTCTGATCGAATTTTGTAACAGATCAGTCGATTGAAAATATCTACTTCGTTATGAAAAATGCTATCTACTTTTAGTAAAAAAAGATGGTGATATAGTCTATGTCAAATAGAGGTAAAGAATAATTTACCTAGAAATGAGAATGAATTGTAGAAAGTTAGTTGTTTATCAAGGTAACTCGGAAAGTTGTCAAGCTGGTATACGTTCTTTCAGAATCGAAATCATTTTAAACTTGCGTTGGATCTGTCTTTATATATGATTATCGAGATTTAAGGTCATCGACAGATTTGTATGTTTATGCGCTTGAGGGGAGAAAATTGAACTTCAGCGTGTTCCAGCTCTCTAGGGAGAGATAATCCAATTTCGCCACACATGTGCGACATCAAAGGACACATTCACCTTGCCCCGTCTGTCACAAACTTAGAAAGGTTAGAGCTAATTCATCGACTGTCATTTTAAAAATCTTAATCGCACTCAATATATGTTCCGCGGAATTATCCACATACAGACGCTGGATGCACGCCAACAGTATCTATATGTCAGCAGACGATTAATTTACTCGAGGCGGCATTAGTGAGCATTCAGAGAGTCTCTGTATATTCACTAACGCTTTTAAAGACAAAGCAGATCTAATGGACTATTTGCTAATTACCTCTGCAAAGCCAGCTTCTAGCGGCCAGTCTTTAGGGTCCATTCGTCTGTTTCTTTTTGGAGTCGCCAGCCTCCAGCGAATATTGTAGTTGGTCACGTGGCCGCCACTGCGTTCTGAAGGCAACGGTCCCCAAGTGACGGTGATCCTTTCTTCCGATGAGAAGACTTGAACCCCGGGCGGCGGGATCATAGGCGCTATCGTTTCAATAGCAACGATAACCGTCAACGGGTTGCTTTTGTGACTTCCTCTTATTGCCACAAGACGGAACTGATACTCGTAGCCCCATGCAAGCTTGTCAAATCTGAACTGCGCTCGATCGCCAGAGATTGTAAAAGAGTGATCCTCGAAACTTGTAGGAGCGTTCTTTTTAACTCTGAAAATCTTGACTTCGTAATCGTCAGGATTTTCTAGACGCTTTGGCGGCGAGAAAAAGACCGTCACTGCCTTGCCACTGATGTCAACGGGTTGTGATAAGCTGGGACTGTTGGTCGGCCCAGTCCGGGCTTCAATAACTGTTGACCATTGAACGTCGCCAGATGATAAGACCGCGCCGACCTGGGCGAGATAGTCCGCGTCTGGATCAAGACTCAACTTCTTGGACACCGTCTTCGAGTCAAAAACTTCCGTTTCAGTCCATTTTTCATTCGGTCGTTTTGAACGAATTTTGATTCCCGCCAGTTCCTTCACTTTTTCGATGGCAACTTCCAAAGGAGCGTCAACGATGATTCTCCTTGCAGAGGAATCACGTTTTCTGGCGTTAAATCGATGCTCTTCAAGGTCGTCGTTGAATTTTGCCGGCTAGTTCTCTGTCCGTTCTTTCCGTTAGCTGTTACAATCGCTAAATACTCTGTTTCAGGAGTGAGTTTTCTAAAGACGGCGCTCCGAGTTGAAGAAGGAAAGACATTTTTGGCAAAGGGAACACCAGAGATCTTTTCTGAGATAGAGACCACGAAGTTAGAAAGAGTTTTTTCGTCGCCAGGCCAATCCCACTGGACGTATAGATCGGTAATGGAGGGGCGAAGAATCAGATCAGCGATTTTTTCAACTGGGACCAAGTCCAACAGAGCAAAGTGCGCTCCTTCTGACCAAGGGCCCACGTGACTGGGCGAAATAGCGCGAACTTCTACAACATATTCGCCAAATTTCAAATCTTCCAAAATCAAGAACTGCTTCGTTGAATTGAAAATTTCAAACTGGTCGGCCGAAGAGAGCCGGATTTGAAAAGCGTCTGGACTTGGCGTTCCAGACTCCGTCAATCGCCAAGAGACGTTTCTGCTGAGCGGTGCGGCGGGCAGCTCCTCGACAGTTGGCAAAGGGAGTTTCTCGAGCAGGGGCATTGTCAATGTCGCGAGTTTGCTTCCCTTGCTTTGGAAACCGTATTTAGACTTGGACTTGACTTTTAATAGGATGAAAGATGTAAAACTGCAATAAAAACGAAATCGCCAGTTGAGAAACTTAACATTATTTTTTTAGAAAAATTCATCCTTTCCTAGAAATAAGTATTTGTCCCCTGGCCGAAGCTGCAACTCGGTAGCAAACTCGTAGAAAGACTCACTCACATCACTAACAAGTCTCCAGTGAAATAAATCGGATGGTGGAACGCCTTTCGTAAAATAGATGTCGTATAAGACGCCTGGTACATTAACAGGCGTCCAACTCAACCTCGCGCTTGTTGCTCCGTCGGTCAGCACAACAGAGAGGTTTGTCGGATCGCCGGGGCGACGTGGCCCCGCGAATTCAAAAGTCGTTGATCCAAATGACTTCCGATCATAGAAATCCTCAGCCGTCAAATAGGCCGAATACTCGGTGAATGGTTTTACTTCAAACTCGTAGAAGTCTTTTTCTTTCTGGATCGGATAAGGTTGAGCGGGTTCTAAAAGGAAAGTTTCAATAAGAAAATAAAATTGTAACTCACTAACCTGTATTATTAATAGTGACGTAAAGAATATAGCGCTGAACAGATGGGACGGGTTCCCACTCGATTCGCACGAATTTGCCAGTTTCGTCCAACACCGGCGAGTTCTTGATGATCGGAGCAGCAAGCGTCTCTGGCTGCACAAAGAGATCTTGTGTCACTTCCTTCGAGAACTGGTGCTGCCTAGCTACGCATGTGAAGTTTTCAGCGCGCGATAAAGCGCCAATTTGCAACGTCGAGCGCACAACATTCAATTCATCTTTCTCGTGATAAGATTGAGTTCCCAGCTTTTTCGAGGGATCGAGGCGAGTCCAGAAAACGGTTGGCCGGGGGTGGCCGGTTGCTTCGCAGATTAGTTGCCTCTTTTTGTCGACTGTCTCGTAGACGTCGATGAAGGTGGACGTTATCTCAACTAGAAGAAAACGGGAAATTGAGTTTTGGGTTGTCGTCTGACTGGTGCTGGTAGGAATCGTTGTTGTGGTGGTGGTTTTATGCCAAATAGTGCGAATCGGCGGCGAGTAAGCCCTCGTTGGAACTATTTTTGGAGAAGATGCTCGTTCACGAAGGGCACCCAGCCAAACTCGAGTTCCTTTTTGTAGCTCGCCGTTTTCATTCAAATAGTAGCACCTTAATTAGAACTCGTCAGGAATCGACCAAAAATGTTCACTTTATTTTATGACAGGATTAAATATGCAAGTTCAGTTAGAGCTTTCTTTCAATTACAAAGGGCGCAAAAACGATCGATGAAAAGGGGCTTGTAAAAAGAGACCCATAAGGACGGTTTTAGGCCATATTTGATTGAATTGATTAATCACTGGCGACAGACACACTTCTTGCACTTATAAAAACCTAATCACGACTCCCCTGTCGTCATAAAGCCACCATCGTCTTAATTCGCTCCCTATCTGTATTTACAAGTGATAGACTCAAAATTACATTTATACTTATTTAACGCAATGGCTAAATTTATTTATTTATTGTATACTTGTAATTTCAATGCTTACTGTAGTTATTTAGCGAGTATTTGGGATATCCGCTATGAAAATAGGAAGTGGGCAAACAATCTTTGTCTAAAATCACAAATGGTGTTAGGCGTGTTACTTATCAAAACAAAACGACTTTGGCACGGTGCAAGAGATAAATACGACAACTCAAAATTTGTTAGTTTTGGAACTACGGTGTTAATTTTACTCACATGTAGTGCGCTGTGTCGTCCTTGCTCGCCGGAAATACGGTGAGTTTGTTGCGAGCACTTTCTTCCCCGGGAGTGTAGACGTAGCTGCCTACTTCCGTGCTGTCCTTGCTCTTGAACCAGTAGACTTCCTTCGGCGTTGCTCTCTCGAGGCCACAGTCCATTAAAATAGGGTCACCGACGTATCCCTTTTCTTGCTTACTGCTGCCATCTTCCATTTTCAAACTCCTGTCGCGGCTCAAGAATGCGTCCCGCGTCGCTACAACAGAACCTGACGCAATGTCCGAAACGACGCATGTAAACTTTGTCTTCTGCTTGCTCCAAATCGTGACGAATATATTTGACCCAACAACATCATCGTATTGCCAATTTGCTTGTGTCGTTACTTTCTTGTATCGAGAATCTTCCAGGGGTTTTCCTTTATGATCCTTCCAGCTGATCCCTTAATAAGAATTCTATTTATTTGAATCAATGATAATTTTCAAGAGCTTTTTCGGTCCAACCATAAATGTCTGTTGAAATTGATGATCGGCTCTGCCCTGTCATGAAGGAAGAAAATAATGATAATGCTCCGCCGGCGCTAATTTGCGATTTTGGCGATTAAAATTCTAGCTGCTGGGTGATCCATCAAAATTCACCCTTTATCCTCGCGCGCGGGAAGAGAGGGAGGAAGATTAATTGGAAAAAATGAAGTGGCGAACTGGGTGGTGTCAAGTGGCCAATAATGGGCCCCGGCGCAGGAAGTGTTTGGGGACTTTGCCAAGGTGCACCGCCAAGCCTAATCAAAAAGTAATTACTTCAAATTTGTATTTTTAATTGCGCCCGGGTTCTTCTTTTTGCGCTTCTTGCGTACAAAATTTCTTCTTACAACATTTTTTGCATTTTGTATTCTGCCATTTTTCCTGTGATTCTTTAGCTTGCCGATTGTAGCAAATCTATTCTCCTATTTTGGCGGCAATCAAATAAATCTCCAAATTTCCGGGCAGAAGCCGGCCTACTATTTGCTTTTTGGGATGCTCATTGCGCTAAATAACCCAGATGGGGCGTAAAATCGAGATTTCAACAAAATATAGACCTCCTCGCTGCAAAAATTTTGAATTTGGCAAAAAAGTCACGCTCACTTGAGAACGAAGGCAGTTCTCATCCTTCTGAGCCAGTCAAGCTCATCTGGTAATGGCCAGCTGTCTTGGGACAAAAGAAGCCCTTGGTGGGATTATGACCAGCGAATCCGTGGAGCAATCGATGCCTGAAGAAATCCAAGCAGAAGGCCCCGGCTATCATAATTAATCAACACGGACACTTCCATAGCCCTGGGGAGCACTTCCCCCTTTTTATGAAATTTACAATCATCCCTTTGCAAACCATCCTAAGTAAATCAAGATCTCATCCCTCTCCTATCGCTAAAATTGAGAAATTTCTGCTGCATTTTTTATCTAACCTTTAAAGTTAGGCTTGAAAATATTTTAAATTAAAATTTTTAATAGGCCGTTAAAAATAGAAAAAAAATACATTTGAACTTACTGTAATTTCTTCCTTTGACAGCACAAACCAGCGGCGCTGGCTCTTCCGGTCCAGTAACGACGCTGGCGGGTTCAACTGTAAATCTGACTGTATCTGCTCTTCCGTTTCCCAACAAATTAACATAGGCGAAGAGAAAAAGGCAATTCCTCATTCTCTTGAAGATGTTTTCGTTCACTCTCTAGTTGAATCTCTTTAACTTTCTCATGCGTTGTTTATTTTTTCTGAAGATGGAAGAACTGCAAGTTTCATTTTAAAAATCCTCTTCCGATTTAGTCGTGGCGTACTCTCTCGGGCAGCTCAACTTGCGCTCACGAGATGGCGCTCTTTGCGAATCAATCCAAATTAGGGCTATAGCCAGATCAATTATCTAATTACAATTGATTTACGTACTGCATCATCAAGCTTTATGCACTGTATTCATGTTTGTTTTTCGTTTTTTTAAAGTGATTGTTTTTGATTTGTTTTACGACTGCACCATATAGTAATTAATTGAAAATAAAATGAAGGCTTTCAACTTCAAAGATGCCGAGAAAGAAAAGTAAAGCGGAACTACTATCGCGACGGAGATATTTTCCCAGAAGAGTTGAGCCGATAGTGCTACCGTCAAGAGAAGCTTATTTTCTGTCTTTCTCATCAAACTTGAGCCGGCTTCTTGTTTTCTTTCTTGCATCATAAAAATGAGGATGAGTTTCTTTTGAAGCTCGCAATTTTCAGAAAAGTCATAAAAGGCTGCGGAAGGGCTGTGATTTAGAAATACGAAGGGCGTAATTAGGAAGGCGATAATTGGGATTTCTATTTCGGAAATTAATTTCGTTGATTTGGCGGATTTCAAGCGGTGATTTGCGAATTGACCGAGGCAAATATTGGTAACGGACGCAACTTTGGTATTTTCTCGATTCGCATTCTTTTTTTCGATATTTGTCAAATGCTCACAGCCACAAATGTCGACCCTTCTGTCGCGTACTCAACCGTCATCCCCCTTTTCAATTTATTAGCGGTTATTTTCGGACAAGCTGCTTCTACGTCTTGAAGAGTAACAAAAACTTTTCCTTCTGCAATTTATTCGAATCAAATTTATTTTTTTCCTTAATTTTTTGCAGGTTCAGCAAGTTTCTGGTTCTTGGGGCAAGTCCCCCGATTGAAAACTTCTGAAATACTGGTGAACTCATCCGATGAAGCCCATTTGGTATCCGTGTCCTCAAGGTTATTTTGCTATGAATATAATTAACTCCTTATTCTTTATCTTCCAAAACTTACCCGTATTTCTTGCGAGAGAGATCTTTGCTTCCTCATGTTTGCGATTTAGATAGTCCCAATGGTCCTTATTTGTGATCCCTTTTGTGCGCAGTTCGTTCAGTTTTTGAGAACTGAGAATGATTATTTCTCTTGAATAATCTATCCACGCTTTATGTGCTTATTATTGATACAAAATTGCAAAATTTAAGTGGCTGAAAAATTTGTAACAATGTCCTTGAGCCTGTACTCAGACTCTACTAGTTCAATGGCGTCAATGTCCTGCTTGAATTTTATGTTTTTATTCGATCTTCTGGATTTTCTCCGCTCATTTTTTAGAATGAAAAGTCCTCTACTCTGTTAAAAAATGATGCTGCAGACGAGCGTCGAGTTCTGACGATTGATAAAGATTCGCGGTGTGTTTCTCTGGATCTGAGAGTAAGAATGTTCTTCTCATCACCGGCAAATTCCAATCAAATGCTCAGCAAGCCGAAGGACTTTTTTGTCTGATAGATCAGAGGCGTTCCTACGACGCCGTATTTACTCTGTGCAAACGTTCGGTAATATAAACGAGATGCATTTGAGATTGCCTTGTGTATAGTTTGCAATAGTTTCTGTCTTGATGATAGAAATTCTAACAATGAGTTAATATTTTTGCGTTTATTCTTTCTATTCTCAGACAACTATCTCACAGCTCGCCAACCGCCTTGGTCAATCTTACGTCTTTCTTCACTGCGCTTTCGACGATCCCTAATTTCTGAAACACTGGTGAAGTCATCCGATGAAGCCCATTTAGTCTCGACCGAGTCGCGTTCCGGCCATCTTTTGTTCTCTTCCTTATTTTCTCCGTTAAAATTTAAATAATAAAAATCAGCAAACCTCCGAGTCACTAGAATATACCCGCCGTCGTTTTCCATATCGAACTTTTGGAGCCTTATCCGTCTTCGTTGAGCTGCGCGAATCAAGTTTCACCAACCATTTTTCTTCCTGCTTAAAAAAGTCTAAATATCTTTTTAGTCTTTGATTGTTCGAAACATAAAACACCTTTATTTCGCCGAAGAGATTTTTTTCCTTTCTCGAGCTTCTTGATCAGATAGGCTTTGTGCTCTTCATTTCTATCTCCATCTTTGCGGTATTTGTCCAGCTTTCTCGAAGTTTCGGAGATCAACCTCTCAGAGTACTCAATCCAAGCTTTGTGTGCTATTCTACGTTTTAAAAACTTGAAAATGAAATCTATGATTGAAAAGTATAAATTTTCTAAAACAATTCCTTTGAGTTTAAATTCCGCCTCAAGAAGTTTAATGTCGTCTATATCGCGTTTGTATTTCATGTTCCTGATCCGATCCTCTGGCTTTTCACGGCTCATTTTTCAAAAAAGGCTTTTTTTGTAAAAAAGCTATATTTATGGCTGTAAGTTTGGCCGAAGTTTGGACGGCTTTGTACGCCCGAACTCGATTTGATTCAAAATGTTTCCATTCTCGACAAGAGAGAGTCAAGGCCAAACTCACCGATTTTGTCACGACGAAGTAATCTTTTTGAGCTGAAAATAACTTAACCATGATAAAAACAGCATTTAGTGCAGTTGCAAGAAAGAAAGTAAATTTAAAATAAAATAACGAAGTCTGCTGCGGGCGGTTTTATATAAAGAATAACAACCAATTATTATTTTTTCCCTTTTATTTTCAGTTTTCTATTATCTTGAACAGATTACAGACTATTTCATTTATTTAACTATCTTGTAGGTCGCCAGCCGCTTCGGTCAACCTTTCGGCGCTCTTCGTAGGTCTTTCGACGGTTTGGCATTGTACCTTTATTGAAAAATTCTGAAACACTGATGAAGTCATCCGATGAAGCCCATTTGCTCTCGACAGATCTGCGTCCCTTCCATTTGTTTCTCCATTCCTTATTTTTCCGCAATTAAAACTCTACAATTCAAACAATGTCACCTCTTCCGAGTCACTTGAATCTTCCCGTCGCCGTTTTCCAGGCCATTTTCCTCTTGTCACTTTGCTTGTTCTCGTCGAACTGCGTGAATCAAGTTTCGCAAGCTTCTTTTCTTCCATGTCATGTTTTGCTATAAATAATTTTCGGAGAAAACCAGAAGGATTTACCTTGATTTGAAATCAATGATTTCGTACAAGCGATTTTTCCCTTCCTCGTATTTGGCCTGCAGGTAGTCCTTGTGTTCCCTATTCTTGTTTCCATCCTCACGTTATTCATTCAGCTTTTTACAGCTGATGTCAATCATCTTCTGAGAAAACTCTATCCACGCTTTATGTGCTGTAATAATTGTTAAACAAAATTAAGTTTAAAATTAAAATTTAATTATAATTATTTATTATAAATATCATTTTGGAACAATTTCTTTCAGCTTATACTCGCACTCCGCTAGTTGCATGTCGTCAATGTCGCGCTTGAATTTCATGTTCCTGATCCGATCGTCTGGATTTTCTCGACTCATTTTTTTCGGATAGAGAGCTCTTTTATTCGTTATAAAGATTAATTTTGAGCTGCGGTCGTTTCTAGAATGCAGTTGTGACGAAAAAAACTATTCTCAAAAGAAAAAATATCTCGAGGATTCACAAAGATTGACGATATTGCTGTGATTTCTGGACTTGGCATGAGAAATATTTGTCATCGTCGAGTTATCGGAACATTCCTATCACACAATGCGGATGAGTTGATTTTGAAAACAGCTTGATTACATGATTTTTATAAAATAAAACTGCTTTTAGTGCAGTTGCAAGGAAGTAAGTAAATCGTCAGATGAAAGAAGACGCCTCAAGTGTGTGTAAACGCTTGTCAAGTGGCACCGGCTGAAGAAAAGGTTGAAAGTAGTTGACACGGTTTGCTACTCGTCGTAAGTATCGCCAAGATGGATGAAAAAGTGACACAACTCGCGCTCTTCAAATTCTCACGCCTTCATGATATCTTCTTTCTTTACACAAGAATTGAAAAATACAAAATCATCTAATAAACAATTTTTGAATCTACTGAAAGTCTGTAGTAATTAGTGCCCTTTTTTTCGGGCATGAAAGTCTATAGTGGGGAGCTGGAAGTTGTGTAGTCCAAATTGCCCTGATTCTAGTGTGATCTCAGAGGTTGAGAGCGTTAGTGTCAGAAAAGTTCAGGCTTTTGAAGGGGTGAAAATTCTCGTAAAACGTATGTTGAGTTAAAAGTGATTTAATAGAACTGTTAAAGCATCCGCTGCGGTGTTGGACTTTGACTCGCTTCAAAGGTGTTTTCACCTAGGTTTGGATTGCCCTGCTTCATAAAAGGGAGCTGGAAGAGGCGAGACTTTCCATATTTTTTTCGAAGGAGAGAAGGAAGAGCTTTAGCGGAATAGAAACCAAACTGGCAAGGTAAGAAATGACCTGCTAGAAGAGATAAGTCTTTTTTATTCTGACTGAGTTGTGAGTTTTGAGTTTTTCGGCACAAAGCAATTAACAGTTCATTTTTATTTGACGAGAGAGATGCAGAAGCATGAATGGGGAGATTAGGGGAAACTGAACTTATTGGAAGTAAGTCCAAACATTCCACCTGTCATCGCCATTTACATTCTTACAAAGGCCAATAGTTTTTAGGCATGGTTAGGGGATGTGTCTTAAGCTTTTCTCTTAACTGGATACTTATTCTTTTCCGCCTCTCTTTTATAAATATACGCTTAAACCAAGCCGGAACGAAAATAAATAACTTCCGTGATGTTTTTCTCTAAAAGAAGAAAATAATCTGACGCGGTTTCCTGGCATTTCCAAAATAATCACGGCGGAAATCAGGTACCATTGTAAAAACGGCCCAGATGATTCGATGATTTACGAGTTCAGCATTAGAGAGCAGTTTTAGTGATATTTATGCCAATTTCTTGCCTTTTTGATTCTAGCGATGTCGGTGTCAATGTTTGCCAGCTCTGCGCTCGGCAGCATTTCAAGCGAGCTCAAGGGAAATAAAAAAGAAACCGTCAAATCCGTCTTCTCAGGTAAAAAGAGATACTATCGTCGAATGCATTATTTGCATCAATATTAATATTGACTAGGTGACACAATTTTATCCGCCATGATCGCAGCTGCACCGTCGGGAATGCTGATGGTGATGCTCTTCTTCACTCCTCACTTGTACGGCGAAAACGGAATTGATTCGGCTTGAAAACATGATTTTTTCCTAAAGATTATTCGCGTGGAGGCAAGTTTAGATTTTTAATCCGAGGCTTGAGCATGCTCTTCGCGAACACATGCGACGCTGCACATGAACCAGTCGGAAACATGCGCCACCGTCGGCTGCAAACTCGGCGAGGATTACAGACTCGCCGATTATTACTACATCAAATCGTTTTGCTTTGGCTCCATGACAGGTTCGATCGTCCGTGCTTTCTCAACTTTACTGTTTTCCAGATTACGTGGTTGACCCTCGCACTGGGCGAATAGACGAAGATACTTACTATCCCCTCTATCGCTACAAACTCTACCCTTACGTACTTTTCGCTTGCTCTTGTCTCGGTTCTTGCGCCACTATGCTTTGGACGATCTCCTCTTCCAAAATCTCAATGCATCTGGAATACGTCATTGATGGCATCGAGGAAGCTGTAGGCGAGCTCATGCAAGGAAATGTTCTCAAGTCTTGTTACTTTTTGAGAAGTGGGTCATTTTGGAAACAATTTTAAGGCATTCAAATGACTAAAAAATTCAAAGAAGCAACTGGCCCATGCGCGGACGACAAAGAAACTCAAACAGACGATGGCAAAGACGAGAAAGGTAGAAACTCAACTGAAAAAAGTTGAATTTGTTTCAAGAAAAAGCTGAGAAGATAACTGCTGAGGTTGAGAAGACGAAGAGTAGTATACAAAATGGACCTGTCTTTATCAGGGTTCGAAATCACCTTAAAATCACCTAAAAGTGATGATTTTTCCGGTACAAATCGTGCTCTCACCTCCGTTCCAATGTGACAAGTCCTTCAATAACCTCTTCAAAAGTCATATAAATTGTTATTCTTTTACTTTCTTAAAAAATTATTACGGTGAGAAAGTTATTTCGAATTTCAAAAATATCACTTTTAGGTGATTTTAAGGTGATTTCGAACCCTGGTCTTTATAAATTCAAAAGGCGAAAAGGTAAACTTCTCATCGGACAATTCGATTCATTGATTGACTATTCTAGGGCTATATGAAGATCGAGACAGAAGATGACGAAGAAGGTCTTCTGGAGGAGATCAAGAAGATCTGGGAGAGTGATGAAAGCTACGAGAAATTTCACGAGCTCAAGAAAGTACTTTTGGAAACTCATGCGAACCGAGACGACCTAGGGACCGGTCTACAATTATCAATTCTGCTGATGAGCATTATTGAAAGGAATTTTTGTCTCGGGAGATTAAATTAATTGTGTTAAGTATCTTATGTGAAAATTCGACGAACCGTAAAATAGCCGTTAACTAGTAAAAGAAAGCTATTTATGTGGGTTAGATCCGGTCTAAGTCAAGACTGTAATCTTCAACAGGATAATGACCTTGCTAATCTGCGCGTTAAGCGCTCTCATCATCTTTTACCTCTACGTTTGGGACGTCAAGTCAATCGACAATCGTGACCTTAGGTAATGCTAAATGCCAGCTGAAACTCTTCCTTGATTCCAATTTCGCGAACTCCACAAAACTCCTCTTTGTAGTCAATTCATCACGGCTCTTTTAATAATTGAGACTTGTTGATCGCTTTGACTCAGAGGCTATAGCGAGATTTATGCGTTGACAAAGCTGCAAAGTTAACCAAAGATCAGTTTTAGTCAGTTTCTTAAGATTTATTGAGCTGCTGGTTGATTTATGCTTATTGGAATTCAACGCGTTATCGACTCGTTATTTTCTGATAAGACTGTAATTGAAAATCTTTTAGTTACGAGTGGAATTGTCGGCTTCCTCCAGCATATCATTTTACTGATGCTGATGGACATGTCTGGTGAGCGAATAGAATCCAAGCACGATTTTTTCATGTTCAGGGAAACAACGTACTGTATCTACACAAGTCGTGCCAGTCGAGAAGTGCTGACAATCATTCTCTTCACTCTTTACATTATTCTTTTCATCGGAGAAGTCTGCTGGTGCCTATCGAATATCAGGACGTGGAAACAGTGTTTTGGTCTAGTTGAGTTCTTGCCCTTTGAATCTGACTTCGGGTAAGAGTTTTTTTGGATGCATGAATGAGCAAGATCATTTAGAAAATCACTGCCATCAGATCATTTCCGTTACGGAGTGTCTGATCTGCACTTGCTGATGTCTTTAGTCCAGGCGAATGAAGCAAGCCGGGATGTAAGTATTAATCCAATTGACAGTTTGTTCTGACGCCTTTTCAGAAAATCATGCTGCCAATGAAAGTGATGAGCATCCTGCCTCCACAGCTGCAAGGCAAGGCGAAGGCTGAAACATTCTTGTCGATCTTCTTGGAGACGCTCGTCTGGTCGGCAACGGACGAGGGAGTCGACGATCTCGTCAAAAACATGGTAAAGGAAGGCGAAAAAAAGTGAACTTTTCTCGCTCCGTTTTTAATGTGCCCTGTGATGACTGTAAATTTCCACGCGTCCGAAATGATCATTTTGCTTGTATTCACATAATAAACTGTAAAAAAAGAATGTCTTTCTTGTTTTCCGCATGGCTAAAAATACGAGCAGTTTGCAGCTGAGCATGCAGTTTTCTTGTTTGACTTGTTCTTTGCAATCAAGGAAGAGTCGCGAAGAAAAAAATTAATCATTGCTTAGTTTTTCCTTTAGTGTAAAAACTACTCAGGCACTGGGTTACTGATGAAGCTCTAGAAACGCATGAGCGGCTTAAAAGATCATCAATGACTCCAGAGAAAAAGACAGCGCGCCGAAAGCAGCAGCTGCGTCTAGTGACACGGCAGCGAAGCCAAAACCGCCGCCCGCGAAGGCGGAAGTCGCACAGGATAGCGCCGCTTGTCAGAAATGGCTCAACATCCGCGAATTCCGGATTCCTCGAGTTTTGTGGGGATAGCGCTTTATTTTCATAGAACTTTGAAAATAAAATTACTTGAAAACTCATTGACCAAAGACAACTTCTGATGAGCCAGGTTTAGACCGGGAAGGTAGGGTCCAGACGAGCGTCCATGCAACTCCAGAGACAAGTGCCCCTCTCGAGGCTTCAAAGACAGCAGACCAAAGAGCAGGCGGCGAGGGAGGAGAAAGAAGCGAAAGAAGAGTAACACTCACATTCTTGCAACAAATTTAAGTAACATGTTTATTGTTTAAGCGAGTTCGCGAAGGAATTCAAAGCCACAGAAGCGAAGACACAGCAAGCGATCAATCAAAGCGTAAATAGCCAGCCAGGCCCGTAATGTAACGCCGCGCTAGGAAAAATCTAATTTATCTGATGCCAGAATCCCTCTCGCTCCTTTCACTGCTTCAATAAATCAAACTGATTTCATTTTTTTTCACGGAAATTCAAACAGATCTTTCTTGCTTGAAATTTATCTCAAAACGGAATTTTTCTTGTTATTATGATTCTCAATTAGAAATTCAAAGCGACGGTCGCTAAATAAAGATTCGAAATAAAAGTTCTTATCAATGAGAAAGTTGTAATTTCGGGACAGAATAGGATTCACTGAAAAGTCTGGTTCATAAGATCTCAGTATTATTGACTGATGAGATTTGGTAAATCCACTCTGCTCGTGTCTTTGGCCGATTTACACCTTCATCGGAGTACAATGGATATGTAAATGACGCGCTTTTTTTAAGGTTGTGGAGGTTTTATATCCCACTTGCGCCTTATAAACCCTTGAACATTATACCTTTTTGGAATCAGGAGGAAATTTTAAGAACTTTGACCGTTTTAGTTTCGAAAATTTCCACTTCCGGTCCGATTCTAGAGTCGGAAGTTGCCGAAATTTTCGAGTTTGGGCAACTTGTGACCTATCAAATTGATGCTCAGAAGATTTCGAGTCATCTCATCTAAAAATCATTAAAAAAAACCATCCCAACCGCGGTCAAACCGACCGGCAAAACTTGTAAAAAAGGCATAAATTTGTGATTTTTCATTCAGTTTTTAGCGGTTGATTTGACTGCTGTCGGCATTTATTCTTCTCTCAGATGATAGGAAATCTTCCGAGCATCAATTTGATAGGTCACAAGTTGCCCAAACTCGAAAATTTCGGCAACTTCCGACTCTAGAATCGGACCGGAAGTGGAAATTTTGGAAACTAAAACGGTCAAAGTTCTTAAAATTTCCTCCTGATTCCAAAAAGGTATAATGTTCAAGGGTTTATAAGGCGCAAGTGGGCTAGAAAACCTCCACAACCTTAAAAAAAGCGCGTCAATGCTATGTGGCTAAAAATCAGCTTAGCGTCAAGACGATTTGGCGGGGTTAAAAATTCTTCTGACTCGGATATGGCGAACTTCATACTTGAAAGCAATCAATTACAAATTTATGAATGGCGCTGGAAAAACTCAGAGGCAGGCAATTAGGCGGTTTAAATAATTTGCGTTCCTGCCGCAACTGGACAGCTTTCACACTTTGACCCGGCAATTTCCGTAAAATTCGCGATCGTCTGAGACAAGTTTACTCGCAACACCTGGTGCTTAGCGCCAATTTATGCCACCAACTTGGCGCTTCTATCACTCACCCTTGTCAGCCAATATAACTCAACTTCGCGATTTTTACACGACTACAACACTTGTTCTTCATTTTCCTCAGAGACAAGGGGACTCACTTGGCTTAACTCTCCTAAGACTTTAATTATTGTTAAAAGCCAACAAGTGCTCGAACTTCTCAGTGAACCAAACAAAGATAATAAAATTTTCAGAACAAATAGTTCCAGTAAAAAACTAGCTTGTTGCAGTTTTTCTATTTTGAAATGCTCTTAAAAATATTAAAATTAATAATTTTCGAGTGACCAAAATTTCGGTCAAATTTAAGACCAATCAGATGACCGCATTCGGTGGATGGACCAATCAGATTTCTAAAAAATGCCGCAAAAATTGGAGTTCTTTGTTCAATTTTATTTTTGTCGATTCGAGCTATCACCCCTGAAATATCCCTAAAATGACCCGGTTTTTTGAAAAGAAAAGAAGCAAGTCATGCTGAAAAATAATTGATATGGGCGGCTTATTAAATTTCACAATCAGTTAACTTGGCGTTGCAAAAACTCCCTTGGGGGAAATAAGTATCCGGAAACGAGATCCCTAAATCCAAAGAGTTTTGTGGCAAGAAGCGCCTTTCGTTGTTGAAACCGAACCGCGTTTTTTCACGACGAGCGCGCTAGAGCTCCTAAAAACTGAAAAAGGGGCATCTTGAGCGACCTCGGTTTTCTGACGCTGGTCCTCTTCCTGACGTAGTTTCTGACTCCGTCGAAGCAAGAAAGGGAGTGAAAGAAAACGGAAACGGAATAGCGGAGAGAGTGAAAGAGAAAGCCACTTGACGAAAAAGAGAAATGAAAAGATGGGTGCTCCTGTGCTTGCTGCTGCGAGTAAGGGCGTACCAGTTGCCGGAGGAATGCGCGAGCACCGACAGCCCTTCTTGGCGAGAGAAACTCTTCCACTACGTCCGCGATCTTGACAAGCAGCAAAAGCAAAAGCCAGGCTATGCAGCAAGAATAAATGCAAACGACCCATGCCTACCCGCCATGGAGCGTCTTATCTGCGAAAGGAAAGGCTGCGAAACCATTTTAAAACTTCCGAAGGGGTTAAAGAGCATCTTAAGGTTACCTGGTGCGTTTCATTGACTTATAAAAGTAGAAACTCCGCTGCTAGAAATTCCGAATAATATTTTTGGAATACAAAAAAGCCCCTTTATATAAAAAAAAATGAGTTGAAACGTTCCAATTTGGAATGCTCATGTTTATTTTGAACGGACCTGTTGGTAGCTGTGTTTTCCAAAGCAATTCTTTCTTGTTAAAAAAACTTTTTTTTTTGGTTATTTCGGCAGGTGGATTAGCGAGCGGCTCAGACACCTTCCTCCTGGCGCGTGCCCAAAGCAACTCTGGAATGGACAATTGGCGGCGCCACGTTTGAAATTTTTCGAATGGCGAATTCTTGAATTCTTCTTGAATACTTTTTCATCAGTCTATATTTGGATATAAGGGACTATCAAAGCGGCTCAAAGAGCATTTCCGATTGTCGGATCGGGTCGCCACTGTTGGGGATTAAGCACAGGCAGCTCGCCAGAAATCTAGACCACGAAAATTCGCAATAATACTTTGTTCGTTATAAAATCTGTGAGATACCAAATGTAACGCCTGAACGCAGACAATTAAAATATATTAAATATGCGCTCAAGCGTAACGTACTAAATTCTGTGATGTCAAATTTTAAATTCTTTTTTTAGGAATTTTTTCATTTCTTGATTTTTGACATTTCATCATTTGGCCACCCTTGACCATTAGTAAAATCGACTTGGGCCGTAAAAAACAGTGGATTTGTTAATTCGGCTTCAGATCTTTAATCACGCGCTAAAATGGTCGATCAGCGTTATTGTTAACTAGGAGGAGCTTTGTGTCTTGTTTCGCAGCTTCTGAAAAGCGGCAACTTCCAGCGCAAATGTAAAGTGACGCTGTTTTCGCATGCCTTCTACCGCGGCTCTCTTCAAGCCAACACGCTCAAGCCAAGAAAGGAGTCACCACTTTCAAAAATCGAAACAGCGAAAACCACAGCTATAAATCTTTTTTACTAAAGTGGGTAAATTATACGAATTTCGATCTTATTTTATTATTGTTCATTTTCTCATTAGCCGTAATAGAATAAGCGATTAGATAAAAAATAATCATTCTCACTGCTAATTTCCTTCAAAAATCAATCCTTAGACTATCCAAAAACTTATATTTTTTAATTTAATAGAGGAAAAAAGTGACTCCTAAAAGCGCATATCGACCGCAAGGTCAGCTCTGTACGCTAGAATTCAACATCAAGAAAGGGCTACATTCAAAATTCAATCCCAAATTCAAACCAAGGAGTTATTTTCTTCCTTGATTTCTTAAAACCAGGTTTTAACCTGATGATTTCAAAAAACTTTTTGTGGGGCCGGAAATCGTAAAAAAACTGCAAGTGCAGTTTTCTTCAGCTCCTCGAGACGAGCTGAATGATGGGTCCTACTCTTGATAACTCTAAGGATTTACCGGTTTACCGGCTGGTTACTGGAAAATACGTTGTCACCGGCCGTTTTTGTTCTAGAAGTGGTAAACAGATGCTCGACCCAGGAAACTGTTCCTTATAGTCAGTTCTATTGCAGGCTAAAAGATGAAAGTCGTATCATTACTCCGAAGAGATTTATCACTAAAAACAGTAAATTTTGCATGAATTTCGTTGTCGCTGCACGTTCCTGATTTTTTGTCCCATTTCCGCCAAAAATAGTATTTTAGTGATAACTCTCTTCAGAGACTTGATGAAACCTTCATCTTCAAGCCTGCAAGAGAACTGACTATAAGGAACAGTTTCCTGGGTCGAACATCTGTTTACCACTTCTAGAACAAAAACGGCCGGTGACAACGTATTTTCCAGTAACCAGCCGGTAAACCGGTAAATCCTTAGAGTTATCAAGAGTAGGACCCATCATTCAGCTCGTCTCGAGGAGCTGAAGAAAACTGCACTTGCAGTTTTTTTACGATTTCCGGCCCCACAAAAAGTTTTTTGAAATCATCCCTTCTTTACCAAAAGAATGGAGTAGACGTGACTAGGGGTTAATTGAGGCTGACGTGTGCTGCAGGCCGAGTTTTACCTTGGCTCTCTGACTTGGCAATTGGTGTAATTACTGTTGAACTTATAAATCTTAACTAATTGCGTGTTGATCTGGGAAGGCGGCGCGAGAAAATAATTTAACAGCAGTCAGCTTTTGCCGCTATTGCTGCCAAATCGGATATTTTTGCACTTAATTAATAGTTGCAAACATTTACATCAGAGTGAACTTGAAACGGTTACTTCGGGCTCACGAGAGTACAAATTCGCAAACGAAAGTTAGATGGACTAACTCGGCGACCGATTTGGAGTCTTTAACATTATTAATCCTCTATACCCTTGCATTTAAATTCAAAAATACCAAAAATGACGTCTAGCTGAAACAGATAAAACGAGCAGAAACAGTGCCGAAAAGGTCAGTCCCAGAGAGGTCATTATCATCAATAAATAACGACTTCAAAAGCGCACTGCCAACGTTGGATAAATCAGCGACCAAAATCACTTCATCATTTCCAATTCAGCGTATCAAATAATTTATAGCGACGAAAACCTTATTTCAGAGTTTACATAGTGACACTTTCATTTTATTTTCCTCATCAGACAATTTTCTGTTAATTTGGGGACTTCATATTTTGCCCGTTAAAGTGAGTACTCCCTACTTTATTTTCCTTGTTCGTAACCTAAAAATCAAATTATATTTTTTAACTCTGGAAAACCAAGAAAATGATCAATTACTAATCGTTGGCAAGTGCAAGTGAAACTTGATCCATCTTTTTTGGCTCCTTCCGATTTTCGTGGTAAGTGTCCGGTGCGGGTGAAAAAAGACGATGCTGTGCCAAGTTCTTTGATGTTTTATTTTTAAAGGGCTCAATTAAGCCTATTAAAAGTACTTCACGCAAGAGATACATGCCATAAAATCAATCCTTGTCAGCATCAATTATCGGCGAGCTCATTTGATTTTTTAAATTTGTCATTTTTACGTTTGTTTCAAGTTGAAAGTGCTAGAATAATTGACAGCAAAAGAACGCGATGTCAGGAAACATTTCTTCCCGAAATGGATTAATTGTTCCGCCTTCTTTTCCTCCAGCCACTATTTTTAAAACTAATTAGTACGGTCGAAAAGCCATAGATCGGAGAGTACGGGGAGAATCAAACCTAGTCTCGGCAAGCTTTGTAGAAAACCTGAGTCAGGCTCTGAAGAGCTTCAATGCAAAGCCGCGTAGCCGTATTGGAAGCCGGAGTAACCATTTCAATCTATTATTAAATACTCGTTTATTGAAGCCCTTCAGAATCTGACTCAAGTTTTCTACAGAGGTCGCCGAGTCCGGGATGAAACCTGTATGCTCGTATCAAAATATTTTTACGGCTATTTTGAGCATCAAAAGTTCGCCGATTAGCCCGGACTTCCGTTGCTGCAAATCATAATCCGGCGTGTGACACATTTTCAGATTTTTGTGCTCGTAACCGTAATCGCAGCGGAAATTTGTCATATTTTACGGCGTGTGGGACACACTTGGCCTGATATCTATTTATTTTCGTTATTTCTGGCAGTGCGCTCGTAAATAGCGCCAAAATCGAAGTAACATTTCCGTAATTGCGCCTTTAAAAATTAATATTAAAAAGTGGCGAGAGCAATAACGGCCCCGCGCAGTTGTGATTTACAACCGCGAACAGCTTGGATTTAAAATTCGCAACTCTGCTGATTTTGATCACCGCCCGAGTTAGTATGTAGCCCCGACTAGCCCGAGTTCCACTCGATTTACATTCTCTGGACGACGATAATCAATAAGTGCTCGCGCTGGGACTTCGTTCGCCCAGTCGAGGTCGACTACTCAGATTTCGAAGGCATCGACGAGCCAGAGAGCCTCTCCGATTGCTACAACTTCTACTTCTACCACGATTCCGGCGCCAAGATGACCATAGCCGAATGCAAAGACCTTGTCAACGAGAAACTCTTCCCGACGCAGAAAACGACCTCAACAAAGAAAACAACTTCAACTACGACTACTCGCAAAACAACGACAACAACTCAAAAATCAACAGCATCAACAACTACAACGACCAAAATAACAACAACAACTCGATCAGTGCCTTCCACTACTCAAAAATCGATTCCGACAACGACAAAGTTTTCCAAGTTTACGAAACTGATAACGACTAGGAAAACTACAACGACAGTCAAAGAAATCCAGCAGCCAGAAATAAGGAATGGTTTTTTCTGACAATTAGAGGGCTTTTTGACTTGAAAAACCTTTGAAAGATTGCCAGTTGAGGTTGAAACAGAAAAAACGACACCAAAAACGAATAAATCGACAACGACAACGAAGACTACATCAACTACCACAACAATGACGACTAAGCGTGTTTCGCGTAAAAAACCTAGTTCGCATTCAATCTCAAGTCCATCGCCAGTCCCACCCGTGAAAGACTTTCACGAAGCCGGCGTTCCTAAAGATTTTGAACCGCTCCCCGGTCCGCTCGATTTCGACTTTGGAAACCTGATTGTTGTATCACCTGTCATCCCGAAAGTAGAGGCGCCAGATGAAAACTCTGTGGTAATCGTAAGTTTTTACTTATTAACTTTCGCAGTAAATATTTTTAAAAAGACTATTCAGCGAACCCAGCCAGCAGAATGCTCTTTAAAATGCGGCCATGGGGGAAAATGCGTCAAAGTAGACGGAAAAGAGTACTGCGAGTGTCCTGAGGGTCGGAGCTTCGCGCTTGCTTCGCCCTTAGGCAAGTGCGTGAAAAACTTGAAAAAGTACTGCAAGCGTGGTAAATACTCGACCCAGAGTGTAGAAGGGATCTCTGGCGAACAGCACACTTGTGAGTGCGGAGAATCGCGACGATTCAATCTCGCTACTTTTACCTGTGAGAATGTGAGCTTGGAGAGAAGCTTCAAAGAACTGATGGAGATGGAAGAGAGCGAACGGCCAAAATGTTCGGAAAGCTGCTCGGGGAGAGATCCAGTGCGCATGTATGCTCCTTGTTGTTGGCAGCTGGACAAGTGGATACGAAGCAGCAAGTGGAAAGGGAGGACGCTCTCTCTTTGGGGGCCCTGGTCTGATTGCGATCCTCAAACTTGCACAAAAACCAGAAGGTAAATTCTCGTTCTCTTATAAAGGTTTATGTCAGTATTCGTAAGCCACGCTCTCCTGTCTTTAAAAAAGGTTAATTTACGATTTCCGAGACGGCAGGCATCTGCCTGGCATTGAATCGTGTCTTCCTACGTTTAATATCAAACAATAATAAATAAAACTCAGGACAGGAATTTATCTTCTTTTTCAGCCGAACTTGTCTGCTGCCAGAAGGAAGATGCAACCGACCCTTGACAAGAAGCTCCTCTTGCAGAAGAGGCGACTGTAAATTGTAACTTTTTAAGACTTTCTCGCGACAAAAAATGTATGAACATTGCTCATTTTTTTCACAGTGATAATAAATGTAACAAAACATCTGCCACAAAAAAATTCCCTCCCAGAAAAGAACATTTTCTTCTCTAGCTCAAACAGGCGTTCTGATGATTAAAATGAGACGCTCTCTCTCTCTTGCATTTTTATTTTTGTTGAGACAGTGTCAAAAAACCGGGGCTTTATTGAATGATTGATTCGTGTGATCTTTGGTCACCCCATCTCTGATGGATAGTCTGTCAAGCTCATCCTTGGAGCTCAGTATTACGATCACCTTTTTGAAGAGGACTTACGGGCTTGCCGAATTGTATTTTATGGCTCTCCCAGCTAATACCTTTCTTCTTCATAAATGTCCAATTATAACCATCTGTCAATATTTTTCTTTAAATATTTTTATTCAAATAATTTATGTTTTGAGGAAGGTACAGAAAAGATGCACAAAAGCGCAGATCAGGAAATCTCAGTTTCTACCACTAAATGCAGCTTTCCAGGGTCAGTGCTCAAGATCTTTGAAGAAGACGATAATTTACCTTTTGAAAAAAGTATTACTACCTTTGCGATTTGATAGCTTGCGAGTTGATTAGTGAGCTTGCCGTTAATTTTAAGGAGTTTTTCGTTCTTCTGAATTCCAGCGAGATGAGCAGGCGATCCCGGTTGAACAAAAGAAATTGTGTGCGTTCCGTCTTATAAAAGAGAGTTGAAAGTAAGTTTAATATTGCACAATTGACAGTTGAAAGAAGCTTGTGGGAAGACTGTTGATTGCTCTCCCGTGCTCTGTAAATAGAAATCAGACAACCCAAGGTTAAATGCCTCGAAGAAGCTGTCGAAGGTAAATTTGGATCGACAATCGTCAAATCGCTGTGAAACATCTATTAGTACAGGAGTAGCTACTGGCTAGTTTATAGCTGATCGAACAAATATTAAACTGGCGATAGGAGCTAAGGGCCGGGGAGAATTTTAATTCTTCATCGACAGGCTTACCGAATGTTGATCGGAGCCCGATTCCAAGTGGCAGAATCGTCTTGTCCGCCTCGTCAAACGCGTAATTATCGAAGGAAGAGTTGCTCGAGTCAAAAGAGTGCTTCTTCCGCCCAGTCAGATCAACCTTGAAGCCGAATTCTTCCAACCATGCCAACGTTTCTGGCGGAGCTGAAAGAAAAATGAGTGAGTCCTCGTTGTTTCCAACTTTGTTTAGCTTAGAGCTTAAGGTTTTGTTTGCTTGGTTATTATTTATTTCCTCGTCCAGATTGCTTTATTACGTTGTCAAAGCAAGAAGGCAAGAAAAAGACTCAACATAAATAAAAAAAAAGAACCTGTCATTTCTGGGTCCGATAATCGCCGATTCATTCTTTTCTTCGATTGAAAATCGTCGGATCTTCCCAAATTGCATGTGTGCCTCCTTCCCGTGAAAAATTTGTCTTTGATTCGGCGGCTTTTTGCGGCTCCAGATAAAAAAAAAATAAATAAAAAGTCGGTTAGTACTTATTTCACTTAAAGAAAATAAACATGTTCCAAGTTAACTCATAAGCGCTGAGCCTTTCCTGACTGCCGGAATCTCATTCGAATAAAACTCAATCATACTTTCTCGTTCTTTATCTGTAAAAAATAAAGTAAAAATAACTCGGACTTTTGCGAAAATTCAAAATACTTTCTGAAAGGCCGTTCGGACTCGCCACTTGCGTCAGAAAGTAAATTCTGCTGCGACAACGGGAAATTAATTTTCAACAAACATTTATTTTAGACAGATTGCGCCGAGTGGATCTCCAATACTAGTCGACTTAGAATATTCGAAATCTAAGCACAAAACTTGAAGTAATTAGTAATTTATTACCAATAAGTGTAGATTACCGTGTATTCTACAACGATTTCAACCTAGGCTTCTAAATCGATTACAACGATTTTGTCAACAACGATTTAAATGAAATTTTGATGGGAGAAAGAATCAACGATGCTAAGCACGCTGCGGGCCTGCGGCCCTTGCGCGCAAAATCTGGTAGAGAACTCATTTTTGCAGGAGGCCAACTTTCTCTACTCTCCCGCCTCAATCTCTAGCAAGCCTTGTTATTCTTTGCGAAGGGATGTTGCCCTAGTTGCCATTGTTGCCCATGCTGCCATTTTCAAGTTTTTCGGTTTATTGAATAATTTCCTTCGACCTTCTGCATTGTGAGTCTCTAATGCGTTTGCTATAAAGTGTGATACGAGCTGTCAACCAGAATTTAACATTCACTGGAATCTCATTTCATCACTGTATAAAATTTTCAACATAAAATAGAGGGGACCTTTTTTAACCGAACCTTTATTAGCGACTCTTTAACTTTCTCCAATTCAAAATATAATCGACTCTGAAATGACAGCTACATTGAAGTCTCCTACTTGGAAAGTTTGAGTTGCTCAAGTTGAATAGAATTCTTGCAATTGGAGCGTCGGATCAGTATTTGTTGCTCGGGGCCTTGGCTTGAAACATTATCTGCCTCGAGTTGTCGGTTGTACCGGCAATTATAGAATTTAAAAAATATAGTTTTTGTTTCTACTTTTACTTTTTAGAAACATTTTTTTGAAAAAGAGAAAGAACACATTATGAATTTTGCAAACACTGGCGCGAATATGTTCATTGCACTGATTACTATGTTTGGGTTGGAAAACTAATGAAATTTATTAATAAAAAGATTAAAGAGAAGACTTGAAAGAAGTTAAATAACGCTTATTCGAAGTTAAGAATTTAGACCACCACATGTCTGCGAAAATTAAGCACCGGAAAAGTGCTTATCTAAGTTTTTTACGCTCAATCTGTTTATTTTTAACTAGTCAACCCTCCTCGAAGCTCTGCTTTTGGATACGCCATTTTCGATCAATACTGGCTTGCGGGAATCGTAAGTTTAAAATTGAATGCTTTTTATTATATTTTTTAATAGACGCCGAAAGCGGAGAACTTTGAACTTGACGATCCTAATGTCAAATGGGGACAGAGCTACGGCTGCTGGCAAACAGAAGACGTAAAGGTAGTTAAAGTCACGTTCGCAGTTACAGTTAGTGTCCACTGGGGTTAGAAATGATCAAAAAGTTTGACCCCTACGTGATTCGAACACGCAACCTTCTGATCTGGAGTCAGACGCGCTACCGTTGCGCCAAGGAGTCCTGGCGGAGCACCACCACTTTACATATATATTCCAAGCACAACAATGACTGTACACTAAAATGGGGGCCCCTTCTCCATCCTTGACTTCGTGTATTAATCCCTTTGTGAACTTGCTTATCTTTGAGACACAAAGGGGTTAACAAAGGGACATAAGAACGGAGAGAACGATGAACAAGGGTTTCCTAAGGAAACTTTCCTTATTTTAGTGACCGTGTATGAAGGATGCAGCCTCCGGGATGCTCAATTTCATTTTATATAGAACGTGCTCTATTAAATTATAATTCAAGTTAAATTTATTCCACGAAAAACGATCAGAATGTCTTTTTCAATGCGCTCATCTTGGATTCCATCTTACCGCTTTTCTTCGGGACAAGTGCGCCTGCATCACCGAAGAGCAGAAAGCGCTATTCCAGCGCGTTTCCGATGAAGAATGCGAGATCAGCTGCGTCGACGAGTGGGACATGAGTTGCGGCGGCCTCAAGGGAGAAGTGAGCATTTACAGAACCCCGCTTGTTGACAAGAGATGCGAAACAATTAAGCTAGGAGAGGAAGGACAGTTTAAGAAAATCATGCTCGCCAGTTTTCCAGGCTCTGGAAATACTTGGACAAGGCAAGGGCGGAAATCTAGCTTTCTGTTTTAATATTTACTCAGAGTTAAGACTCTGAATGAACTCGAGAAGCCGCTTGCGGTCTCGATAAATGATAAGATAGCCGCGCTTTGCGCAGCTTCGGGATTCTTAATAAAAATGCTCCCGGATTTAAAAGGAGCCCCAATAGTTAAATTTCCGTAAAGATACGTCATTGAACGAGCAACAGGATATTTCACGGGGGCAGTTGCAAACGATTCTTCCTTGTTTGCAGGCGGCTTCGTCGGCGAGTATGAGCATCAAAACGCGGGAACTACGATTCTTGTCAAGGGAAGAGTAAAAACAGTTCTTTCGGTTCTTTGAATCATGCTAATTTATTGAGTTCATTCGTTTATTGTGCTATTAAGTACTTTCCGTACATGGACCATGTGTCCCTCTTCAGACACGTGAAACAACTCAAGCCCACCTGTGTCACAAAAAAAAGCAAAATATACGAATGAATTCTTGTTTTTTACTTTTGTCTTTAGGCGCATCGGAACATCAAGGAACAGGACGGAGCGGTGCTTCTCATCAGAAATCCCTTCGACGCGATTCTAGCCGAGTTCAACCGCAATCACGGCGGCGGGCACACTGGCCACGCGGCCAAAGAGGCCTTTTACGCGAAAAACACAAAGGAAATCTGGCCGGGCAAGGATAAGAGGGCCTGGTACCCGCTGGTGCTTGACCAGGCGAATCGTTGGTACAATATCTACTCCCGATATCTCACGAACACGGAGAACATCCACGTGATCTATTTCGAAGAGATGAAAGAAAATCTCGGCCCGCCGATGAGAAGGGTCGTCGATTTTCTCGACGTCGAAGGAAAAGAATCTAAAACTATTATTTAATTTTGAAGTAGAAACAAGCTCATACGTACATTGCGATTTTGGCGAAAACAAAATTAAAATCAATCGGCTTACGTGTTTTTCAGCAGAAGCATTATTTTGCAAAGTTGGTATCAGAAACCAACTTCCGCTTCGAGTTTATTTGATTCGACCCTTTTCAATACAAATTTCCAAAGTCGATTACTTGCCTCAGCAACCTTTTTAGGAAACCTGAGTCAGGGTCTGAATACAGGTTGGCGAGCTGTCGTTCCTATACTAACAATTTAGCCTTTTAAAGTTGTTTTTTGGAGTTTTGAGAACATTTTTAAAATTCTAGAGATTTAATAAGGTCTTTATTCGATGTCATTTTTAGTAATCTGTTCTTAGTTTAGAGACCGCTTGAGCGTGTGAGCCGCTGTTCACGCGTTGTAAGTAGTTGATTCTACGCCAGTCGTCGACTTCGAATCACGTTTAAAGTGTCTCCTGAGCAACACCGAGGGATCGTTCAAGAGAACCAAACAGCCGCTTGACTTCGACCCATTCGCGATTCACGAAGACGTCATTCCGGGCAGGGCTCTATTTTAACTTCCGATGATGATAAGAGTCAGAACAGATTTAGAGAAGAGACACCATTTTTCAAATCGCAAGCAAATATCTCTTACCGCGTTGCCTCGCCAAGACCGCGGCTTTTCTTTTCTTTTACTCGAAGCCGCAGGCGGCTTCTCGATATCGAAGATAGACAGTCATGAATTTCCGCAAAATTGCGATTGACTTTTTTTCTTTCTTAAAAAAATATTCACACCGAGGCAGCTGATGAATATTGCATTGAATGAAATAAATTCATGGAGTCCACGCAAGTTTATCAACAAACAGATAAGAAATCTTAATACTGAGCTCAAAGGAAAGGTATTTTTTACGTTACTGTTGAATTTAATACTGTTTTATTACGAGCTGAGCTGGCTTTTTTGTTTTGGTAAACTTTCGCTGTGGCTAAAGAGTCCAGCAAATTAGCCATTTTGACAGCAATCAAGCGCCTAGAAAATACAGTAAAAATGCCGTTCAAAGTCCGAAACTTACCTCAACTGCCATCATCGTACCTAAGGTCGACTGCTACAACTCTGTGAATAAAAAAAATATTCAAAGTCTTGCTCTTCACAATTTTTTTTCTATTCTTAGTGCAGTGGCTATTTCTAAAATAGACATAGAAAAAGGGGGCTGGAGTTAATAAAAGTAACAATAAGAGACAATTTTATAATTTTAGCAGAATTGTATTTTTAAATAGAAAACAGATTAGGCTTTCGAAGATTTTTTTTCTAAAAAAAAGGCGAAGCAAAAGGATTAAATTAAAAAGATTTTGATTTATCTGAATCGGGAGATTAGTTGAGATTGTGCGTTGTTTAAGTTTCCCTTCAAACAAGGTGATGTTAATGCGGCTTGAAGATTTTAAGGGTGGCTGGCTGGCTTGGCTCTTTTAATTAGACGGGCTCGGGTTAGAGCCGTCTCCCACCGCAGAGATTTGTTGAAGGGAACCCGGATAAAACGGCGATCCATGTTCCGATTCTTTCCCTAATAGATCTCGTTTTCGAGATTTGCACGTGTTTTATACAATTTTTATCTATTCTTACGACGATTTTTTTACATCGTTTTCGCTGACAAACCTTCAAGCAAAGAACCTGAAAATGATTTACAAAGAATATTTTTCGTTTTAATTTGCAGCCCAACCAAAAAATCTCTGTTTTGTTGAATGGAATAACAAGGGAGGCCACTAAACGAGACATGTCACATGCGCAGGATCAAGTGAACTCCACTAAGCTATATTCGCCGCGCGGCTTTTCTCCATTTTCATTTCGAAGCCGCGAGCGGCTTTTCGATCAATTCCCCAAACAAAATTCGATTTATAGAGATATTCATATTCTTATGATTATGATAAGAAAGCTCTAATTTCTCTAAGCACCCTTACTCGATAGAATATCGACAATAGTATAACAAAGCTTTCTATGGGATAGAAAGTTGTGTCCCAGCGTGAGAATCGTGCTCGATGATCGCCTAATTTCACAAAACAAAAAGTTGGATGGCGCTCTTTCTCGCTTCGTGGCGCGTTAACTCGGCGGCGCCGCCCGAGCGTTCGCGATGTACTGATAGCGGCTCTGAGAAGTGTCTTGTCATTCAGTCGCAATTTCTCTCCGATAGATCTCACCCCGATTTCCCCATCAAAAACGAAAATTATAAAAGTTTTTTATAATTGGATACCGAGCCTACCAGATAACGCAAGTGACGAAGGGAAGAAGATTTGACGAGAGACTGACCAGAAGAAATCCAGCCCAGGTAAGTACCCAAGCTAAGAGATTTTCAGGTCAAGAAGCAAGACCAAAATGAAGATCACTGCCAGCTTGATAGGACTCTTTGGCCACGCCAATGGACTCGACCTTCCAAGAGTTCAAGGAGGACTTCAATGTAAGCATTTTTTAAAGCTAATGATCAATTTAAATTTTACCGCGATTTTATTGAAATTTTAAAAAGAGTGAAACTAACGCAATAAGCTCAACCTGTTTCGAAAAATAATTTTAGGGAACGCCCCTGCCGCTCTACCCGCGATGAGCTCAGCACCGATAGTTTCTGTTGCCCCAGTAGCCCCAGTTGTCCAGGTCGCCCCTGTTGCCCCGGCTGTCCAAGTCGGCCCTGCTGACTCGATTGCCCCTGCTGTCGCAGTCGCCCCTGCTGACCCTGTCAAAGTTGAGCAGCCATTCGAAGCCGTTCAGATCGCTGAAACTCCGTCTGAGCCAGTCTTTGCTTCCCCTTCGGTTGGCCCGTACGATCTATCGGGTCTTCCGGCTCTTAACTCCCCACCACCATCGTCGAGCTTCGTCTTCCACAACAAACTGCCAAAATCAGGCTCGACGACGATGAAGTACATCATTTCGACGCTTCAAAAGGCCAACGATTTCCACATGGACTACCAATCGCCGTGCATTAACAAGGCTACCTGTGCCACCGACCCTGCCGACGGAATCGGCGCAGAGAGTACGCTTGCTAATCACGTGCGCGAACAACGCGAGCAGCACCCTGGAAAGTTCATCCTTTTGAAGCATCAGTACTGGCTCAACTTCACTCGCTTTGAGATGGAACAGCCCACCTACATTAACGTCGTCAGAGATCCAGTAACTCGATTCGCATCGATGTATTACTTCAACAGATATGGCTTCAAATCAATGGGATCAAAAGATAGACAGGTAAACATTTTTCTTAAACCGAAAAACCTAAAGAAAAAATAAGCTATTTTTACCTTTTTTTTTGCTCAAGTCCTCGTTGAATATTTATATATTCAAACATGCAACCGTTGCGCCAACAAAAAAGCGTATTGATGTTCCGTGTCAACAGAGGACAACATGAGTTTTAATTGCAGACTTCATTTTGATAAAAATAAAACGCGCGCGCCAAGTTAATTGAGTTTTCTTCAAATCGATTAATTTTGGTGTAGGGCGTCCAGCGACATTCGTGGAAGGGAACTGAAGAGGACATCGCAAGGACACTGGACATGTGCATGGAGGAGCAGAATGAGGAGTGCACCGAACCCCTGCAAGTCCTCGTCCGATACTTCTGCGGAACAGATCAGGAGTGCAACATGAAGTCGTCGAAGATGGGCAAATTCGGCGCGCTCAACAACTGGGATAAAGTGGCGAAGGCGGCGGAACTGGCCAAGAAGAAAATTGTGACGCAATACTATTCGATCGGACTTATGGGTAAATCATTAATAGATCATATAGATAAATATTAAAGAAAAAGCTATCAATAGTAAAAAATAGACAATAAGTAAATTTAAATCTTCAAGAAAAATTCGACGAGACATTGGCCCTCTTCGAAAACATGCTTCCTGGTTTCTTCAAGGGCGCACAGGCTGCGTACCGATCTCAATGTGAGTCTTTAGCATCTTAACTCTCTCTTGGGAGGTTTACTTTTAGTCGTTCAAAACCAGCGCGAATCTTCAAAAACTGCTCACACCGACGGTTTCAGCAACTCGACGAGAACCTGGCTGGAACAAGGGCCCCTTAAATACGAGGTGAGACAGATCCCTCCCTCCACGCTTCTTAAAACCCTTTAGGTGGACCTTTACAACTTGATCAGCGCAATCTTCTACGAGCGCCTTTCCTACTTCGGCATCACTGCCGACACAACGACCGCTGATTCTACCAAGTAACCGAATCAGAACTTGAATGAACAACCCATGAAGAAACATGGCGACAATCATCATTATTCGACAGCGCAGTATTCGATAATACTGTACCAACTTGAAACCAAACGAAACAAAATGTAAATCTTGTGAATAAATATAACACTGTATTAATCAACAAAAAAGCCAGCAACAATGTACTTCTTTGTAAAGCAAAAATCAAGCTCATAAGCCTCCTCGGATGGTTGTTATCAATAGCCTGATTAAGCGCCTCGAGGAGTGCACTCTTCTCTCTATTTTGGGGGCGCCAGTTTGAAACAAAGACACAAATAAAGAAATGGTAGAGCCCGCTGACAATAATTAAGTTTATTAATAAGTGGACACGTTGCCATCTCGATTACGATTTTAATAGAGGCTTATTTGCATAAAAACACCAATTATGATTCATAATTGCTCCGTCCCTAGATCAAGTTTAGAGCTCAATAAAAGAGAAAGTTCATAGCTAGTGAAGCATTATTCGAAACACTGCTTGCAAGTTGCAACTTTGAGTCAAAAATAAAGAGAAGCCGCACAATTCGCGGCTATTCCAACTGTTTCACTTGAAGCGGCAAGTTGATGTATTTCAAAGTTAAAGTATTAGAAAAGCACAACATTGAAGCTTATAAGATTCTAAAAGTTTTTTGAGAACGTTTTTTCTAAAAAATATGCAGAAATGGCCTTTTCAGGCCACATCGCACATTTCTAGGCAGTATGAGATATTTTAGTCAGTCTAACTGCTCATGGTGGACGTTTGAAATCAACTTGAAAAAATGGAAAATTTTGTCGACCGAAAATTGTCGATTTGTTGCTCCTCCCATTTTAATCAAAATAAATTATTGTTCGATTAAAATTTCGGTGAGTTTGAAGCCACAACAGTTGTCCCAGAGGTTCCACTTATGATGATTTAAAATGATGTCTTTCACGCAAAATTACGCTTTTGAATCTTTTAAATAAAAATTCGCAGCTTGCTAATGCGTGTTTCTGAATCTTGCAAATGAAGCATAAGTGCTTTATTGGACGCGTGTTCAATTTCGTCATTGAAAATCGAAAACAAAATTTTTACATTTATTCTACGCAAACCTGGCCGCAGCTAAGTTGCATTACATCTTGGATGGGTTGAATTCGACCGTCCAAGAAGCCAAGAAATTAGTCCCCTAAAGATTTTACGCGGTTCACTAAACAACAAGAAAATGCGGCGCATTTTAGAGTGCACATCATTGATTTTTAATAAACGTACGTATCAACTAGTTACATCAAGATCAACTGCCATAATTCCAGCAACGATATTTGGCCAAATTGCAATTACTTGGGGGAGGGGGTCCCGGGTTAGGGGTAGCTTTGAGGGTAACCCCCAACTACCTTTCTTTCGAGCCAAGGTTATATTTTGTTGGGGTGAATATAATGCGGATGGGGAGTTTCAGCGGGGGCTTCCTTTGGGATTTCTTTGCAGTGACGAGGAAGTAGTGCTTAACGACAAACATGGAGCGACGTGTTTTGATCCATTTAATTTTCCCCTAATCGAACATCACCAAGAACTCGCTGTTTTCACCAAAAACCTGGATGACGGTATAATGACTATCCTCAATAAAGCTCCATTTCAATTTCGTGTTTTCCCTAACACCTTCGTAGCGCGTCAAACCCGCGAATTTAAGGTTTTAAAAACAAAACACAAAATTTTTTTTTGGTTATCGAAAATAAGTTTCCTCCAAGCTCCATTTTTTGCTACATTTTCTTTTTAGAAATGTCTACCAGACTAATTTATTACAGTTTCAAAAAAAACAAGCAATCGTCAATTACAATTTGTCAACATAATTGTAATAGAATCAAACTCAATTATAGAATAAAACTCCGTTATTCTCAAGTGGCCACCGTTAGGTTATCCGGATATTGTTAGCAAAAATACACTTTGCGGCGTATTCAATAATAATTAACTCATTATGTGAGGGTTAAAAGGGGCTAAACAGTTTACGGACACCCTCCCTGTCGACATAAGCTGTATTTTCAAGGCTTCAGAGAAAAATAAAACACCAAGATTAAAATCACAAGATTATTGAAATTTTTGTCAAACATAATTTTCTGTCGACAAAAATTGTCACGTGACTCGATTAGCTTCTGCAAGAAGTTGAAAGTACGTCTATCATAAAACCGTTACCGATATTGTAAGCAGACATGAGTTCTTTCAAATCTCGTTTTCATTATCATTGTTTTCTAAATCAACAATGCGAAATAAAATCGCGGGACTGATTATAAGGCAACAAGTTTTCCTAAAAAATGGTCAATCTCTAAATTAAAAAGTCTCCAAAAGCAAAACCTGAAATAAAAGTTCATAACTTAAAAGTCGAAAGTCCCGTTGTATCGAGTATTTAGATAGGAAGCGGATTTGAGGTAACCAAAAGCAGGCTCTGTAGAAATCCACGTATCGACGTAATTGACCCTTATTAGAAACCCCATCTTGCGTATCTAAGAAGCTGCACTTTCAACCTTGTTGCTTCACTGCTTCCCCAAGGAAAAACAGGTTTTTAATGCTTTGTATTTACAAGTTTAGTCGTTTCAAATTGTTTCAAAGAAGATATTCTTTTTTAGTCTTTTCGTTTCTGTGAGTGTTACTGTTAGTCTCACTGGTACTCGTGTTGTTGATGCAGGTAGCTGAGCTCGGCAACCTGTGTAGAAAACCTGAGTCTGGGTCTGAAATTTATTCAATGAAAAGACGCTTCGCAAAATCTATTATAAAAAGGCGCCATGCGGCCTTTCATTAAGGAGGTAGTCCCTGCTTTTTGCGATCTCGGCAGTTTTTGAACAGAGCTCACACAAATTTGCGCTGGGATTGAGGGATACAAATTCTATGAATAGAAAGGTCCGACCCTAATGAAAGTTTGAATTCAAGGAAAAAAATTTTGTTCGCCCGCTTAAGGAGTTAGAGGGCGATAATCGAACCATACCTTGGCGAAATCACCATTTTGGCCTATTTTCGAACGCGCCTAAAATCAAGAGGATGTTTCAAAAATTTAAATCAATTGCATTTTTTGAAAGTTCGTACTTTCGTCTAGGTTTGAATAAAGCGAAATAAAATAATTCCAAAAAGTCATAATGTAATGCTATTGATCAAAGGTTGGGTCTCAAAATCTTGAAAAAATGAGTTTTTTAAGGATGATCTATCTTTAATTATCTTAATAATAGACATTGTGCTTATTATTTTTATTATCTAGAAGACATTAAAAATCGAAATATATGATAAAATAGACAAAAAATTTCGAGTTTTTGAAATTTTTCAGCAAAAACTCACTTTTCAAGTTCGATTTTGGGGTTTTTCCTCTTATATTTGGAAAAAATGATCAACGTAAAAGTTTTAGCTCTTCAAACGAGCTTTCAAAATCTGCAAGAAAAAATTCTAAAATCCGATTTTTTCACAAGCGAGGAGTCCTCGCCGAGGACTACCCCCTTAAAAATCTTTCCTAACCCTGACTCAGGTTTTCTACACAGGTTGCCGAGCCCAGACAGGTAGTGTTCGAGTTAGCATGAAAACTCCTCCTTTGCAGCTTTGAAAGCGTTTAAAAGGTGTTGCTACTCATTTCTTGCCTCGTATTTGTGAAGCACAAACTTAGCCACCGCCACTAGAATCACCAGAAGAATCACAGAGAGCGAACAGACGAGCACAAGCACCAAGTTCGAGACTGGATTCAAGCCCGACACTAAAACAACGGTCAATTACCGTTTTTTTGGAGCAAGGGGCTAAGATAGATATACACTTATTCCTGATAGCCGCATTTGCGGTTGCTTGGGTCAAGAGAAAGTATCTTATTTACTATTTTAGAATAAAGTGGCTTTGATTTTTTCAAATATTTCTTAGCGCATTTCAGTTCTGGGTTAAAATTTAGTGTTGCGGTGTATATTTACCTTTCGGAATGTTCAATGTCGTATTAACCTGTTTGAGTCCGAGTGCATTCTCGAGCTGGCACACAAACAAGCCGCTATGATCTAAAATTACAAGGCTAAAGAAGCAACACCCTTTTTTGGTGACGATGAGGAGTAGAACAAGGATACAGTAGAAGATGCTAACCTGCTGTTGCGTTGCCTTCGCTGCGGATCAGGCCGGCTTGTTCCGTTTCCTGCCACTTTGGCGGGCGGCTGATCCATTTTATCGTCGGAGCGGGATAACCTGAACCGCTGCATTGAGCAAACAAGCGCGAGGATCCCGACAAATAGCTTTCCGCCGAGAAATCTAAAGCGATTTTTAACAAAGCCCATTTCATTATTCTTTATTTTTGATTCTAATTTTTCGTTCGTTCGATAAAAGAAGCTGAGCGAGTTACAGTTGATCGCGAATAAAAAAGTGGGGTTCTAATCAAAAATTATGAAATGAGAAAAATCAATGTAAGATGGTTTATCTCCGTTATTTGGAGTTAAAACCTAACGTGACTAAATTATTCACGGCGCGGCTTAGAATTATCGAATTCCGAGATCTTTTTAAATTATTATTTTGCTCAACTATATCGAGCTCGTTAAATACACGCGTACCTGCGTTGAGTTCTTGGCTGAAGGAAATTTGAGTATCGTAGGGAACGCTTCGGATTTTAAGCTGAATGCAAGCGAGTTATTAATGCAATTTTCGGAAATAAGCAAAAAAGAAAAAGACCTAAATTTTACCGGTTTGGATAAAGCTGAAGTGAAAAAGACCAACCCTGCCCAGGCGATCTGGCAATAGTAGTTTTTCCCGTGCATCTGTTTATCAGCGTCGACAATGAACTCCTTGATCAGCTGGCCGTCAACGGTTCCCCTTGAAGTTAGCCCGTCTACTTTCCTGCCGTCAATTAACCAGTCCAAATTAACGCTTTTGCCCTTGTTCTTAATCAATTCCAATTGAGCAAAAATAGAACGAAAGGCAAAAACTCACGAAAATAGCGCAACTGCCCAGATTAACCGAACGGCCTTCTTCGTAATCAGCCATTTCTGGCACACTCGAACCGGGTAAAAATATCTCCAAAGTAGAT